ACAATATTCAACCAATTTCGGTATGTTGCTCAATTACTTCCTGAAGAATTCAAGTCGTGTTTGATTGTTGCTGCATATGCGTGGGATGGAAATTCTTATCCTGGAAATGAATATTGGATTGGTCAGTTATCTTCATTTGATCCTCAAGCAATACTTTGTTCTAATCTCGGTCAATTCCAGAATACAGAAGTTAATACGAAATTAGCAGATGCAGATAGAATTAAAACATATTAGGTTCAATATTTATTGTTAATTTCCTGTAATCCTGTCTTTGAATACTCATTTCAAGCAATTTTTGATTGTATATGAAATAAAGGTACCAAAAATAAATACAAATTTTATAATAATTTATTAATACGGAAATAAAATTATTTCAAGTAGGTAGATAATTTATTTGAGGAAAAATATATTCTTCTCAATTATTGTTTTGGATTCACTAATCAAGTTGAATAATTCAATTGTCTGAATCTCCAAACAAGGACATTCATTGAAAGCAAAACTTTCGAAAATAATCAAACAAAACATTTAAATTTTAAACTTTAAAATTCAAAACATTTATTAATCAAAATTTGATTACCTATTTCTTACGTTTTTAGAACCAAAATAGAATTTAATAAACGCTTTGTGCACTAATACATTAACAGGATTAATGTTCTACATGTTTAGAAATCAACACATGTAGAATGTTTTTAAACTTTTTCAACCTTTACAACGCAAAAGCATAAATAAGAAACATTCCTACAAGTGTTTGGCAATAATCAACTCTTTAGTTACATGAAAAAATACTTAATAAATATTGGAACAACTTAATTCAAATTAGAATTTCTTTTTTTTATATGATACTTATTTAGTAAAACAAAGACATTTCTTAAATATATTAAAGCAGTTTCTGTCAACATAACTTCAACAATTTTATCAAAAAGCTCGATTGGGGCGACAAAAATCGTTCGAAAATTCCCCTTGTATAATATAATCAGCGTGCTGAAAAGTATAATTGTAATAATCTCTTCTTTGCAATTTATTTCTATCGAGATAGGACTTTTTCATACATGTTAATTTTCTTATCTATTTGTAATTAAGTTTTAGGTAATTTATCTGCAATTTCATCATACGAAGGAGGAAGATCATCTGCAGAAGTTGTCTTAGGACTAAGACGAAATTGAGGCGTTTGTGGTCTTGAAACTGCGGATTCTTCAGTAGGTGCAGAAGGAGCATTCGGTGGTTGATTATTATAAACCGTATATGTAGTTCGTGTTGTTGTAACATTTGGATTGAAACTTTGTGATTCCTCAAAATCACTTCTGCCTCCTCTTCTTTGTTCAAATTCTTCTTCATCATCTAGTTCTATCCTATATTTCATTAATAGTATGCACTTGGAGAAGACATATAATACAGCACTAAGAAACAACACATATGGCATTATTTTAAACATGCGTAGTTTTTCTTCCTTTGAAAGTGGTCCGGGTTGTGAAGAAATATACATTTGGGCAAATGTAAGTATAAGGATGGCTGAGATAGTGAATATAAAAAGAATAGCACCAACTGTCGCATCCCGATTTTCATAATTTTCTTTTGCCGTAGCCATATCTGTAATCGTCATTATGAAAAATTTTAATTTATTAATAAACTTTTTTCTTCAAACTTTACATGAAGTGTCAAATGATCGGATAAGATAGGTTTGATCTCAAGTCCTGCGTACTCTGATGGACGATTCATTCAAATATCTAACAACACAATAATAATTGGAAATTTTGGTAAAAAGTAATTTCATGATCTTTAATAGGCATTTTTACATTTCTTTTGGCCCTGTTTATATTGAAAAAAAGAGCAAATATTTAAGAATTCTGAGAAATCTTTTTAAAAACAGATCTAACAATTTCTTTGCTGTTTTGGTAGATATTAAGTAGGTATTTTTTTTAATATTTCACATGACATATCTGTAGATGATCAGGATTTTAGGATCCTTTTGAAGTTTAATTTGTAAACTAGTAATAACTTACATGTTTTTTCTACTTTAAGGGAGCAACAATAATATTTTAGAAATATTTTATTTTCGCCAATACACTAACAAAATTAATGTTATGTGTAAACATATATTATGAGTATTGGGGAAATGAGGCATGCGTATTTCAACTACCTATCTAAGTCCTAATTTATTAGCAACTTCGTTATACGAAGGAGGAACATCATCTGCCAAACTTTTATTAGTAGTTGGACGAGATTGAGGCGTTTGTGGTCTTGAAGAGGTTGATGTTGGATTTATATTCGATATATTAGGTATTTATTATTTGCTCTTCTAAAGGTGCAGAAGGAGAGTTCGATGGACGATGAACATGGATCGTGAAAGTCACTCCACCAGTTCCATTTACATTTGAAGTGGTTCGTGATGTTATAATATGATGATCATTATCATAATTTTGATTCACAGGTCTTGTTGTTTGCTGATCCCTTAAATTATTGCTGACTCTCTCATTGTTTCTTCAACTTCCTCTGTATATAAACTTTCTGTATAATTTGCACAAAGGAAACATCTGCTGCAGAAATATATTATGAAAAGTATAACAAAAAGAGCAGTAAACCCTAATATAAATGAAATATCATCTTTCCAGTTTCCAGTGCTTGACGCGTAGAAGAGTTTTATGATAAGCACAACCATAACTGATAAGACTATCACACCAAAGATTTTGGTATATTTCTCATCCTTCTTTCTACAGTACTCCTCTGATGACAATTCCCGTTGCATAACTGGTAGTAAGTGAAGCACAAACCAAAATATTTAAATAAATTTTTGATGAATCAACAGTGAGAAAGAAGAAATTTTAAGGGAATTTTAACATGTCAAGCATTAACTTATATATGACGATATTTACTATTCTACAAATAAGATTTTAAAGAATAGTTTCTAATCAAATTGATCAAATATTTGTTACTTTTCAAGTATTAAAACAATTTTTTTGTCAACTAGGTAGGTATGTTTTATACCAACGATCGCACCCACTATCTAGATTAATGTTGAATGTAGAAGTGAACACATGGTAAAATACACTCACACAGTCTCAGATTATCTGTGAATTTCTTCTCACAACAAGAAACATTTGACAATAAATCATAAAACTGGAAAAAAGATGCTTTTGATCAACTGTGTTATCAATCCAAATATATTTTCTCATATTTATCATTGAATTCAATTCATATTTATTACCTAGATTCTTCAAGAGATTCTTTATGAATGAATGAAATTTTTTGTAAACAGAAGCAAGAAATAAAAAGATGCAAAGTTTTGTAATATACAAAGTCTGTTGCCCCACTTTATAATGAAAAAAATCAGCAAAATCAACATTTAAAAACAAACTAAAATCTAAGGAAATTTTTATTAATTAGTAATGTCATTTCAAAGTCGTATTCCTAACTTCTTCAGTGGTTCAACTGGAAAGAAGTTTTCAATGTATTGAGCAACATTTGCAGAAGTTAACAGCGTTTGGTGTTAAATATTTAATGTAGCTATTAAACTTCAACATTTTATTAAATTTTAAGAAAAATCTCGAAAGCATAAATTTGTAATAAAGGTTTGTTCCAATATATCACAGCATATTTTCTGCTTATTTAAAATTAGTATTAAACAGAGCACCTGAATTAATCAACAGTTTAAATCATGTTTCAAAATTAAATGTTTGTACTTTGCTCATCAAACTTTTAAATTCAGCAATCTTATTTTCACGTTGTTCAAGTGCGGCTTCAAGCTCGCTTATGCGTTTTAACAAAACATCCACTTCAGATTCTTTTATTTCATCACATTTTGCAACGTCAGTTGATGGATGTTGAATCTCGTCAAAGCTTTGTGTTGAATCTGAAGGTTTTTCGACAACTCCGATGGATAGTGCTGATATATGATCAGCTTTGGTGTCGAGTTTTTTAGGAGGAGTTGATTTACTTGAAGTCTGCTTTGTACGTGCCATCTTGATTGGAAGATTAAAAAGTTTTAAAATTGTAAAATCCAATACATATGTCTAATGCGTATTGTGACATCGCTATTGGAAGCATCCCTTATTATTCTTTTACACAATTCTTCATTTTATCGATTATTCAAAAATGTTTGGAGACTAAAACACCATTATTGCAATAGTAATTTTGAAAATTAATAAATTAGGTATTTTACTTTCTATTTAAAAATAGGTATATTAAGGCATGAAAAGACGGCAAAAAATATGAGAAGCGCGAAATTATTTTTCCCAATTGATGTTTGAAATTGACGTTTTTCTTAATCAATCCACTATATTAATTATCACTTTAATTTCAATAGTGTCTATATTATATTAGGTATATTTACCTTTTTTATTGATGATATTACCCTGTGAAATTTTTGTTTTGATGAGGTCTTTTCGGAAAATATTTGTGCTTAAACTGAGAGGGTGTGGTAATAATACCTCATTTAAGAAATCCTCAATCTTTGTACCCTATGGCGTAAAATGTTGAATAATGTCTACCAAAGCTTCAATGACATTAGGGAGAGGTGGAATTACGTCCAACTTTATTTATTATTTAATGTCACAGAAATTGTTGATATCCTTTTGTGCTGCGGTTTTGAAAGATAAATAAATATACGAGTTGGTCAAATGTTCAATGTAAAAGTTTTTCTGGAATTACAATATGATTCATTTGTTAACCTCTTCCAAGGAAATCACCAATAAAATCGTTTTAATTTGAAACTTAAAAAATAAGAAACAAAGATTTGTTATTAAATTTCTTGTTAGGTTTATGTAGACTGAAATGCAAGTTTAACATCAGTTGTTGAATGAACGAAGTATTTAATTCAATGATGTCCATGCGTCTTTTTGTGTCTGTACCCGCAATGTCTTACCTTGAAATGGAATATTATCAAAAAAGATTTGTGTTTCAGTTTCCTCAATAATCAGAACATTGACATGCGACATTGAAGAAGTCTCTGTCGATATGAAATCATCTGCTGTTGTGTTTTGAATCGTTTTACTCATTGCACAGTGGCAAAGAATGAGGATGATTAAAAATCAGTTTTTTGTACCTATATAATGTCTAATAATAAAAATTAAGTTTATATAATGTAGATATGTATAAAAGATTCACTCTAACAAATAATGCCAAAATAATAATAGGGAAGGCCTATAAAAACGCTTTCCATCTCTTGCCCTTTTCGTGCTCAGTGTTTTAATTTATACTATTTTTACTTGATTTCAAAACAATTAATAATTTCATTTATTAATATTTTCCCAATAATTAGGTATAAATTTTAGTTTTCCTAACACCCACACCAACACCAAAAAATTAAGAAATTCAATAAAATTCGAAAAATAAAAAATTCAACTATTTTCCAAATGAATCTTTTATGGATGAAGTAATTGTAAGTACTGAAGTTGATTCCACAATCATTTTTCTGTCTTTAGTATCATAACCGAATATGTTTTTATATTCGCCACTCGGAAATATTGAAGGGACTTTATTTGCATCGATAGCTTGATTTGAAATGTCAATAGACTGAAACGATAGTTACAAATTGATTAAAAGTAAGAACATAAATTTTTTATATTTACAGTATATGGACATTTATGAAGCACTCCAGGAACAGATTCATTGAATAATCCATAATGTGCCTGAACCAATTTGTTTTTTGATCCTTCCTCCATGATTTTACAAAAGTCAATATTATCAAAACGCATGATTTCTCGATAAATAGTTCCATATTTATACATCATTTTACAATCAATCTGAAGAAAATTTCAATGAATAAATTGAGCTTTTGTTTCTATCTAATTTCTATTTCATTACGAAAACTTGGTAAAGTGGTTTCCTCAATGTAAGAGACACACTTTCAGCAGAAAATGATCGATTAAATGATTTCGCATAGCAAGTATAATTTGGATACACAAACTCATCTGAAACATTGCAAGTTAAATATCGATAATAAAAGTGCTGGCCTTTTTCTGATAAGATGAATTTGAATAAAACCAGCGACGCTATAATCGTCAATACTATTTTTGAAAACGACATGATACTCTATTTTCAACTGAAATAACAATGAAACATTGCAACAGCATATAAAATCTAGAAGCGGACACAAACTTCACATTTAAATGGCATAATTTAGGTAGTTATTAAGATAATACTCCATGGATTTGCAAAGGAGATGATTATCAGATAACTAATAACAGCTTGAAAGTAGACAATCAGAGCGTTTACTCGTATTACATTTAAATATATTTACATATTTCACTGTACATAGTAGATAAGAGTTTTGAAAATATAAAATTTCAATGATGCACAATGAAGAATATTTTTTATTTGATTCATATGCTGATAAAATTTTTACTTAAAACACTTCATTACAATTAAAATAATTTTCAAAAACCAAGCACAAAATATTTTTTTAATCAGAAGATTATAAAACATTTTAGAAAATAAAAATATTTTCCAAATGCTTAGAACAGCAATATGAATTTGCATATTCACAGTGTATGGGCATTTATTAAGCATTCCCATATGAGCGTATTGGAGTTCGGTTTCTTGCTTGTTACACTTTTTCGATTTTTCCACTTTGCAGTAATTCTTCATTTTCTTCTTCATCCTGTGCTTGTTGTGGTTTCTTTTTTCCAAAAGTCACGTAGGTGTATGCTAAGCTGGCCAAAACACTGATGTTGATTCCAATGCAGTTGAACCATGAAAAGACGTAGTCACCTCCTATAAACATCCCAATGTAAGTTATGCTGACGTTTTTAAGGCATCCAATAATTGTGGTGGTTAAGGCCGAATTATGTTGTGTACAAAGTACTATGCTGTAATTGAGAATGAATCCCATGATGCAGGAAAGTATGAATTGTATTACGAAGAGTGGATTCGACCACTCATTGTAATTCAAGGCCTTCTCCAGATCGCCAAGGATCCATGTTAAAATGAAGGCTGGTACTAACATCATCAAACAATTATAGAACATCAAACCGTAAGTGCCCAAATCAGATCCACTCAACTTCTTCTTGACAAAAACACCATTCAATGCTGTTGATGCATTGGTTATCATAATGAAAGTGTAGCCTTTAAGATTGAAAGACAAATCATAAGATGCTGCCAACAGGGCACCTCCTACCATTCCATACACACTCAACTGAACTGCTGTTGTTGGACGTGTCTTCAATATGTAAAATTCTAGTAGCATTGTCATTAGAATTGAGAAACGTCGAAGTGCAGCGAACATTGGTAAACTTAAAGCTTTTGTTCCACCCAATCCAAAAATCATATTAGCCAAATAAATTAACGGCAATGGAAAGATTTCCTTAATAATATTATTTGAGTATTTTGGGAATGTCACAATTCTTAATTTTTTGCCACTATATAAAACTACGACAGTTGCAATAATTTGTCCAAGTGATAGCACTAAAAATGACGGAAATTCGTAGGATGTTAGAACTCGTTTGTTAACTACAGTAATTAGAAATGATGATAATCCATAAAATACTGCACTGGCTATTTTTGCATAATAAATGCTTTTATCTTCTTTCGTAATATTTTTTTTTTCATCGTCAGACATTTTATTCTACAGAACTTTGACAAATGACTACTTGAACTTCATGAAATTGATGTAATTCAATTTATAGAATTGAACATCTGCGTTTTTCTTCTGTTTATTTAGAGAGAAATTTTAATATCAAATACATCAATAATTAGAGAACTTGATGGATTCATGGAGCATTTATTCTCTTCGAAATATCAAAACAATCCAAAGCAATTCCAAGTCTAATTTATATCTAATCTCTTTTATTTCTTCATCTTAATAAATACAATGAGCAAAAGACTATCATTAATGAACTTAATGTCATCTTATCCAATCACGATTCTCTCATCTTTCATTTAAAACGAAATTTCAGTTTTTGTTTAAAAAGTTTAAAATTGTTGGCAACAGAATTAAAACAACTGAAAAGTTATAAAAACTCGAAGTTGCACTTGCTGTGGTGGGTTCGACGGTTGTAGGTTCTTCAGTTGCTGGTACTTCTATTGAGCCTCTGGTAATTGTTATTCTCCATTCAACAGCTGGATAAACTGGAGATTTTTTCTCAAGATACTCAATGAAAACATTGACATCAGTTTCACCCAAATCTTGATGTGGCTTCATTCCAATCACAGTCTCAAATCCATCGCCACCCGAAGCTAATACTGATTGCATGATGACCTTGTAATGTCCCGTTGGCTCCAACGTTTGTAACTCAGGAACGCTACATTGCGCACAAAGAACTTTGACATCAGTGACACGTTGACCAACAGGCTTATTCACATCGAAAGTAACTTGAATGCCCGACATTTGAAGGAACTCAAAATTATTTTGATTTTCAAAATTTGATATTGAATGTTCAAGAAGTTTCAAAAGTTCTTCTCCGGTCAAGTCAACCACACTAAGATTATGAAATTGTTGTTCAAAAACGTCTGCAGCTTCTTTTCTTGTGATTTTTCCTTCGTTTAATTCTGGATGGTAAGAAGCTTTAATTTTACTTCCCTGGATGACAGCGATCGAAGCATCAGTCCAATATTCACTATCATGATGATTCAAAGCATTCCAATCAACCATCGCATCAGTGATAAAGTTACCCAAATTGCATTCATTTTGAGTGCAAATACTGTCAAGTAAAACTTTTGTACTTCCAACAACTTCATTATCATCAACGAAATCTTTGATTGTTATTCTCCATTCAACAGCTGGATGAACTGGTGACTTCTTCTCAAGATATTCAATGAAAACGTTAAAGTCAGATTCACCCAAATCTTCATTCAATTTAGTTCCAATCACAGTTCCAAATCCATCAGCACCAGAAGCTAAAATCGATTGCATGATGACTTTGTAATGTCCCGTTGGTTGTAATGTTTGTAACTCAGGAACGCTACATTGTGCACAAAGAACTTTAACATCAGTGACACGTTGACCAACAGGCTTATTCACATCGAAAGTAACTTGAATGCCCGACATTTGTAAGAATTCCAAATTATTTATGTTTCCATAAGTCGATACTGAATGTTCAAGAAGTTTCAAAAGTTCGTCACCAGTAAAGTTTACCAAGTTAAGATTGAAAAATGCTGGCTGGAAAACGTTTGATGCTTCACTTTTTAAAATTCTTCCATTATTCATTTTTGAATCAATAGAAGCTTTGATCCTACTTCCTTGAATGATGGCAATTGCTGCATCAGTCCAATGTTCACCGTCATTATAATTCGTTGCATGCCAATCAACCATCGCATCTGTGATGAAGTTTCCTAAATTACATTCACTTTGACGACAATTTCCATCTAATAACACTTTCGTGCTTCCAACAACATTTTCTTCAACATCGATGAAATCTTTGATTGTGATTCTCCATTCAACTGCTGGGTGAATTGGAGATTTCTTTTTAATATACTCAACAAATATATCCACATCAAGTTCATCAAACTTTTGCACTGATTTTCCTTTGAACATTTCAAACCCATCACCGCCATCAGCTAAAAAGTCAAGCATTATAATCTTGTACATCTCTGTTTCGTTGATTTCTTGCAGTTCTGGAATCGCACACTTTGCGCAAAGAACTTTCGCTTCGACAACACGTTGACCAGATGGTTTATTCATGTCATAAACAACTTGCACTCCCGACAATTGAAGAAATTCACCACGCGGTTCACCATCTGTGAATCGATGAACTGAATGCTCGAGTGCTTCCAATAAAGCTTTTCCACTCACTTCAACGACTTCAATTTTACTTTCAAATGGAAGTACTGTGGCAGCGTCTTCTTTTGTTATTTCACCATTATTCGATCTATGATCGATAGAAGCTCGAATTCCCCCACCTTGTAATAAGGCAATCGATGCATCAGTCCAAAATTCGTTTGATTCATATTTGAATGCATACCAATCAACCATTGCATCAGCTAAGAAGTTTCCCAAGTTGCATTCATTTCTTCGACATGATCCATCGAGAAGAACTTTTGTTATTCCGACAATATCATTTTCTAGTTCTAAAATGCCGGGTCGATAAGTTTCAAGCAAAGCAAGAACGTCGGGATCCCGTGGAATTGAAGCATTTAACAAGATTGGCGTTCCATCAATTTCAATTAAATTGCCATCATCATCAAATTCAAGATGTAAATATCCGAGATATTTAGTGAACGCATAAGCTTGAACGACGGGAACTTTCTTTCCATTTGGTTGTGTCACCCATGTTGGGAAATCTCCCAAAGGTTTTTCAATGTCTGGTGACTGACCAGTGAAGAGAAATGTGTGAGCTAAAAAATGAGTGAAAAATTATTGAATGATGAAAGTTTTTCTATTGAAAATTTTTTAGACACGTTACAATGACCACCAATCACCAAATCAATGTCAGGACATTGTTCTGCAATTTCTTTGTCGCGTTCATATCCTGAATGACCTAATGCGATGATAATATTGACACCTTCAACTTTCAATTTCTCTGCTTCTTTACTGTAATGGAATTCGTTAGTTTTCACTTTAAACACATTCACACTCAACTCACTTTAAAGCAACAACTTCGTCGATAAATTCAACATCATTTTGGATTGCAACTTCTTTAGTTTCTGGTGTTAAATATCCGATAATTCCAATTTTTCGCCCATCGAGTGTAAAGACAGTTGACGGCTTTAAGTACTCAGTTTGAAGTTGTGGTTCTTTCTCAAGGTCCAGATTTGCCGCAAGAACAGGGAAATCGATTTCGTTCAAGAATTTTGCTAGATTTTCGCTTCCTTCATCGAATTCATGGTTTCCAAGTGACTGGAATTTAATTGATCATTAAATTTTATTTAAAACATTTTTCATCTCAATCTTACAATCGCATCAGGTTTCAATATCTTCAAGAAATCCGAAGCAATTTTGTCTTTGTAAAGGGAAAACCAAGGCGTCCCAGTGTAAGTATCACCAGCATTTAAATATAAAACTTTAGGAATTTTCCCATCCTCAGCTTGCTTTCGATACTCTCTAACTTCATGTGCAACTCGTGCGAATCCACCATAGCATTTATTGGCGTCTGCATCAGCCTTACTGCACTTATTACTGAGTACACCTGTCTGTTCAAATCGTGCATGCATATCATTGTTATGCAAGATTATAAATTGAAAGTTATTTCCATTCTTTGCTATGCTGCGTGGTGCTGAAGTGATTCCTGAGATCAAGCAGAGGCCGATTGTCAAAAGTCGAATAATCATTGTGTTATTTTGTTGCTATCTGAAATCAAACAACGAGAAAAAAGTTGTATCGCTTTTCATTACTTTTGTAATTCTCTTGTTCAAGTGGTTATCGTTGACGGAACATGTTCATATTGATTATCTACGCGATTGTTCGACAAGTTTATTTTATTAAAAGATGACAGCAACTTTTATAAATGAATATTAAATTTGACCACAAATATCACATTCGACACATTAGATAAACAAATAAATAAAAGTGTCAAAAAATAATTTATAATCATCTGAAGTTATAATTTATAACTTTTATTTTGAAGATATTCTTAAAAATAAATAAAATGCAAAAGTTATGACTTTTAACACATTGGCGCTTGCTTGGGCGCTTCGATTTCTTTTTCTTTTATAAATAACCGAATCAAAACAGAACAAACAAATAAAATGCAAAGTTAAAGTTTTGATCAAGGTAGATACTTTTGTTGTTGCAATTTTTATTTAATTGCTACTAAGTCAAGTTATTGTGAATGAGTTTTATTAACCTGTCTATGCCATTTTACCTCGGTTTATTGATTAAGAATTTTAAAAGCATTTCAAGTGAATATTGAAAGCATTTTGGGATTTTTTATTCTTTTTCTTTAATTGACTACGAGAGTTGAAGCAAATTTAGTCTGCACTAAACTGGAACAAATCTTATCAAAATATTTGCGCATTATTTATGTAAATACTTAAATCTAATTTAATAATTATTAAGTTATTCGCAAATATTCATAATTAGACGTTTGTTTTAGTTGAGAGAGTCTATCTCTTCACTTATCACATTGTTAGACACGTTTCTGAGTTTCTTTGAATGTAAAATGAGTTTTGTAGTAGAATAAGAAGAAAAGTGGAAACGAGTAAAAGCGAGAACAAAGTTTTTGTTTAATAAGAAACTGCGTGTTATTGACGTCACCAGCATTTCCTTAAAATCTCTTGACAAAAGATAAAAACGTGAGACTCGAATGATCCTAAAAATAAAATCGCGTTTACGCCACGTTGTGTCTCGTGCTCGCAAATGTTTTCATTGAACTTCATTTTTTTCTAAGATTAATTTCAGCAAGAATTTCAGTTTTTTAGTTTTTGAAAGATGAGAAATGAAATTGAGCTGGGCGGGCTTTTTCTTTGCTTCAATCTTTTCTTCAGCAGATATCTGGTTATTTGAAAGATATAATTTTGTTGCTAATTAACCAGAAAACTTTCTTATAAACCAGTTTTTTCACAACCAATACTTTGAACTTTACTAAAAGTATGAATTCCAAATGACTATCAAAAAGTCAATCATCTGTCCAATTGAAGCACTCAATAACTGTTTAATGATGAATTAGTCAATTGGATTAAAACGTACACAATCTAATCATGAATTATATTCATTATCACAGTGAGACTTTAACATTGATGAAAAAAAAGTAACAAAAAAATAAAAATATAAATAAAACGTGAATTACCTTGTTCACTAAAAGAGTCGATCTATCGCCTGCAACGAGTTTCAACAGACTGAAATGAGTTATTTCTCTAGCAACGAGTAAAGTGTTTAGCAGTTCAAAGAGAGTGATAAAACCTTTTGTTATTCGCTTTTCGTTATGAACGTGTTTTGCACTCTCGAAATTGAAAAGAAAACTACACAAAAATAAAGAAAAGAATTTTTAACACATGAGACGAGACAGGTTGGTGGATGTGTGGAATATTTGTTATTCTGTGATACTATGAATGGAAATATCAGCCATATATCAGCTGTTTACCGTAAAGAAATTGATTATGCAAATATAATAAAACATTTTACATTTTATTTTGAATTTCGTTATAAGTAATCAGATACTTTACAGTAAGATTTGAATATCTAATTGCTTCGCGATTACGAATAGTAATTTTAATTTATTCAAAATTCTCTGTTTAAGAAAGATAAATTTATTTTGTTTCAAGTTCAAGGACAATTTATCAGATTATTTATTTAACTATGCAATAATTATTTGCAAAAGAATGAAATCTGATAAGAATTCTTCTCAACCACAATATAAATTTTGACGTCATAACTTTTTAGTTTTGCTTGTATTGTTTTCTTTCACAACACCTGACGGCTATTGTATGAGAATCATCGCATCTTAGACGTGCAAAGTAAAGAAATTATCAAGTGTAGAAGATGTAAGGGGAAACATAAATGCGCTTGAAGGGATGGCACATTATTAAGAAGATATATGGAACAGGTTTGATGAGTGCAATCTTTCAATGATATTCAAAGAATTCGTCCCTTTTAATAGCGAGATTCATGCTGCACAATATAAAATTATTTAACGAACTTCAAAATTCATCGGTCGCTTATAAAGCATTTTCTTCTCGACAGTTGTTCACGGGAATCATTCAAAAAAAAATTATGCTTGCCGGTAAACTTGATTGTGTTAGTGGAAAATATTGTTCTGCATCTGTTCCGATCTACTATCATCATGTGCCGTTTTTATATGTATGCTTGAAACATAAATTTATGATTTTATTCAAGTGCAGTTCTGTTATGCATTTTCTTCTTGCTAGAATTATCTTCTGATGAAATTTTCTACCATTTTTAACATAAAATAATTATAAAGATTTTTTTATGAATTAAAATGAACAAAATTTTATTTTAATTTCAAATCCTTCTGTATTAAAAAGAATTTCGTTGCAACGGGCAAAAATTCTTGTATTTATGAGAGAACATCGAATGAGAATCAACAAAAAAATACCAAAAATTGCAGCTGTTTTTCTCAAATGTGTTTCGTTGTGTCTCGATTGTTGTGAATGTGAATTGGATTTTTATGTTAACGCATTCGGATTCAATCGGTGTTTGGTCTCGTTCAAAGCAAGTTGAATGTGTTTCTTTAGGCATTAATTTAATAATTAGAAGAATATTCGTGTAATCAAATAGTATTGTGAGATATCTTAAATTGTGGTGCTAAAGTGAATGATGTCTGAAAATGATAAGCAAGAAGCAAATCAGGAACGGTGTTTAAATAAGCGAAAATTCGAGAGTGAAGATGAAAATGAAGAACCTTTGAAAAGGGAAAGAATCTCTCCTGTGTCGGAGGCTACATCACGAAATGAAATAACTCATAGTCGTAAAAGTATTGAAGAAGCGATCAAAGCATTGGATAGAATTCAGTATGAACTGAACATGGGAAATGTTCTTGCTGATAGTCCGGAGAACAGTGATCAAGATACGCCACCAGAATCCGAAGACGAAACAACTCCTGATGATATGTTGAACCACGCTCATGCCATGGGTTTCGCTGCTTGTGTTCGTGAAACATTTCGCTTTTTAGATTCATGTGGAATCTCTGAAAACGACCCCATCTACAAGCAGTTGAAAAGCCGTTTCGTTGGAACAACCAACTAAAGGATGAACTAAACTCAACTTTACAATTTCTAGTCATTTTATCATCAACTAAATATTAAGAATTTTGTGTGTTTAAGTCATGTCGTAATTTTTTTAATTTGATTTTTATTGTCAATAAAATGGAAGACATTTGAGTTTAAGGAAACTAAACTGTGTATGTTCTATTCGCAAATAGTTAAATAGTTTTTGAAACAGCTTTATTGCTTGCTTTTGATAGGCGAAGGGAAGGATGGAAAGCAGGTGGTTTACGTACAGATGAACTTTTCTCATCGATGAATTTTGTCATTTTCGTTTATGTATGTTCACACACACGGAAATATCTAAGCTATGATCATCATTTTTATTTATCGAGGGGTTTATTATATTAAGGCTTTTAAAATCGCTAGAAATTAAAGATTTATTCTACTCGAATGAAACTTACGTTAAAGTGAAAATTTTTCAAAGTTGCAAACGAAATTTTGATAATCATTATTTCGAGTTAAGTCGTTAATTATTTTATTTTTTCTAATATTATTAGCCTCCGTATTTTGATCCCGAATAATCATTATTAGAACCATTTGCTCCATAAGGCGTTGGTTGAGGTTCATTTGGATCGCTTGGCTGATTCGGTGGTTGAGTAATATCTTCACTTCTCGATGCTAAAATAGAATGAATAAGCTTTCTCACGATGATGATATCTGATAAAGACAGCCTTCACTTACTACTGCAACAACAACCCATGATAACTATAAAATTCTTTACGGTTTCGACTCCTCGAAAATTCAATTTGTGACTGACAATTTTACTGACGCCTCCATCAGTTATATTTCTTTATCAGTGGAAATATCAGATTAATCATAGTCGTAAGAAATTTATTCATTTATTTTAGTACTTAAGTAAAGAAATGATAAGAAATTTCATTACGAAAGGTTGGTGAATTCTTCAATGAATGTTTTATGAGTAAAACTGATTTTTATAAACTAAAGGAATGATCAAATTAAACCGAGGTCTTTAACTTGAAATTCTTAAGTGAATAATAATTTATTATTTCGCCATCATATCAATCAGACAGTTTTTTCAAAATGCTTAACATCCACGTTAAAATATTATCCACCATATCCTTGCCCTTGTTGTTGATTGCCACCTGATGAATATGGCGTTCCTTCTGGTTGTCCTTCATGGGGATCATTTCGTGGTCCTATGTAGAATAAAAAAAGTAATTAAAATCCTAAATATTCAAGATAACTGAACAAATAATTTAAGATTTACTGCTTTGGCAACAACCCATTTTGAAATTTGATTTTATGTTTAAAAAATAAAATAATATTCGCCTTGTAGCGGCACAAAATTCAGTTACCTAATGATGAGAATATACTTGGAGGTGATGCAATATAATACGACCTTATCTCATGAAAGAACTTAGTCGATATGGGATCAAGATAAGGATCACAAGTAATTTTTAATTTGTAACGGTCAAAAGCTTTGACTTGAATTTGAATTTAATGAAGTACTAGCATTAACACCAGTTACTCAATAGAAGTCTAAGCCTCAAGTAACTTGTTTGTGATTTAACATTTTCTTTCGTAGTGCGTAGAATCGAATGAATTCAGAGATATACGAAATAATATTTTCTTTATTTAGGGTCAAATAAAAATGGGAAATTGTCTCAAATCAACTTCAAATGACGACCTAACTCTACTAAATGGAAGGACAAGTGAAACCAATCGTGAATCTATTGATCATGACCAGAATCTGCACTTTCCAGTGAGTTTTTTTTTTACTTTCAATCGCGATGAAAAAAATTAATTTTTTTATGAGTTTACCTTTGTTCTGAACTGCTGCTAATTTCCGTGATTGTGTTTCTTTTGGTTTATTTGAAATAATATTTATAAGTCTGACATATAAAGATGTTTTAATTAAAACCAAATGGTTTTCCAAAGTTTCCATTAGTGATTGCATTTAAATATGTTTATCTTTCAACAAAAATATTCATTTCATAAAGAAAAGCATAGGAATACACAAAACATGTAGGTATATAAAGTTTGGGACGCAAAACATTGCGAATGTATTTGTTGATATTTCTTGTTGTCACTTTATTTGAACTGTTACTGCCTTTAATAAATAACTCAACTCTTGAGACTTTAAACTTGAGCAAAAAGTGAATTCTTATTTATTTTAGGAGAATATCCAGCCGATATTTTATCCATCGCCTGGCGTGAGTCATCAAAGTGCTCAACAACTGACCGAAGATGAACAAATCAAGATAGCAAAACGAATTGGATTAATTCAACATCTACCAATTCATCAATACACAGATGAGAATTTTAAGTCAAAGAAAGTCCCCAGTGAATGCGATATATGTATGAATGACTTCGTGGTTGGTAAGTTTAGAAATTAATTTTTCGATGACGTCATTGTTAACCATTATGAGTTAAATAATGATTTTTATTATTATTTTCAAAGGCGACAGCATTCGATATCTACCTTGTATGCATCAATATCATGTACATTGTGTAGATAATTGGTTGATGAGGTCCTTAACATGCCCATCTTGCTGTGAACCTGTTGATGCTGGCCTCCTTACGTCTTTTGAAACAATTTAATCGTCCGTCTTATAAATTACTATTCAAAATATTTTCTACGCCGAAACATTTGAAGAGAAAGAAGAGGAAGAGTCGATTGATGTGTGAATTGCACTGCATTTTAATCCAACTTCAAAGTGAATCTTTAAAATGAAAAAGATGAAAACAATAATTTAGCTGAAAACACTGGGATAACTCATAATAATTATTGAAACTAATTCAGGACGTTATCAAACATGAAAAAGAGATAATCTATGGGAAAACTTTTTTTATCGTCGTCGTCGTAACTCGTAGTTGTTATGTTAAAATAAGCCGCCGTCTGAAGTGCGATGAAGTCAAAAAGTGTGTTGAATGACGTTCGTTTGCCACCGATGGCAAATATAAGGTAAAAATCTGCAAGAATGAAGAAAAAAAATTGAAAATTCTACCAAAGGCTCTTAATCACATTACGCTCACGTCAAGTTTCTTTGTCCGCTTCTTACAAAATCCAATTAAAAAGTACATTTAATAGAAATTTTTTGATGAATGTAAGAGTTGTCAGGACTTATGTGGTGCTAACATGCTTGTAAGATAGTGGGACGTAAACATTTCTTGAGAGAATGGATTGAAATATGTGATGAAGAATGATGATCCCTGGTGGATATGATTTTTGGCGCATTTCTAAAAATTTTCCTTTCGTAATTTTGGTTTGATTTTGAAGGTTTTTTGAAGTATACTTTTCGTGAAATCCGTTTCTTAAAACAATATTTCCTTAAACAATACCTATGTATATCCTGATAATAATTTAAGATGGGAATTATAAAAATATTTGTACTAACATAAAAGATGACCTGGTTTGGTCACTTTATCAAATTTTAACGATCTTTATGTTTAAGTTTTTATTGACCGAAATATGATTAAACATTGAAATGTAAATTTATGCGATTTGTAGACTGTGATTAAAATAAATATAAAAGTAAAAAACATGTGTCTTTAAATTTGATTTAAATCGCAGATTAAATGAATTTATAGTCAATTTTGATTTACATTTTTTATTGTTTACATGAGTTGTTTTAGAAAATATGAACGAAGAAAAATTCATAAGGTAAAGTCTGATAGTGAAGAAATTTAGTAGGAAGCGACCAAACAGCAATTATGAGAATTCTTATTAAATTATTTAGAAAATCAATTTTTCTTTTGAAAATTAAACTTTCGATGCAATGTTTTGTAAGCAATCAAGTTCAATGTTTGTTTAAGTGTTTGTCAAACAACCAAGATCAATGTTTGCTCAGCAATGTTTTATCAATGTTTGTTAAACAATGCTTTCTGTCAATGTTTTATAATCGAAGATCAAGAGAGCGGCTCGTTCTATTCTAAAGAAATTCAAAACTTTAACTTCACTCAAGTGAAACAAGTTGAAACAATTTCTAGACATCTCAAGCTAGAAAGAAGAATTCAGAGAAAAGCCATTTATCAGTGTTAAGTTTAAAAAAAATCGAACACTTTTCGGAAGCTTCTACATCAATATGATCATATTTCAAATTCCACCTCGTTGAACAATTGTGACACGAGAAGACGTTTTTTGTTGTGGTGAACATGAACATTCTTTCATGGGAATTACAACTCGTAATTTTTTAATTGAAAGAAAATGCCTATCTGCTACATACTTTTTTTTATTAATTTAAACAAGATTTCTCATTTTTATGATTTCTTTTGATTACATTTTTGATGTACATATTTACTTCTACATAATATTTACGGGTTTGATTGGAATTATCATAAGATTACTGCATTCTTCACATCCATTCATTTATTGGATAAATGAATATTCATGGTGCTGATAGAAGAGAAATTTCATTTTATTAAATGCTATGCAGTAAGACACCAAACTGATTGATATTTTAATGACTCATTTGAATAAATTTCAATAGAAATGAACAAATTTTCTTCGTTTTTATTTTCATCTCGATACAAACTCATTAGTCGTAATCAGAGAAATTATTGTAAGTTGGATTTTATGTGAATTTCAGAAATTTTCTTCATATCTAAATTAAGAAATGTGACTTTATAAAAGTTTTAAAAAGATCTTTTTTTATATCTTGAAACGCTTTATTACAACAATTTCAATTTGTCTTTTCTTTAACCGAACGTTAAAATCAAGTTTCCATTTAAGGTCTTGAATGTCAAGAGTGATTTTGATTCGCTGTCGTTAAGAGAATGATCAGATACACAGAGTGATCTTTACAGGTTCAAGTATCTCATTTTCACTTACAGTTTCTGTTGTTTTTATACAAATTTCTCAAGCCTTTCAAAGAATTATTCAAGTATCTGCTTGTATTGCATCGTATTTTATAAGAATCATGATTGTTAAACAGACACATTCTTTATTCTTGTAAGATATGGCAACATGAAAGAATTTAATTGATCTTGTTTGATTTGTATGTTTTTTTATTTCCCTTTCGATGCAACAAGAACGTCAGCAAAACACGTCGTTAATTTCTTCTTGTACTTTGATCAATAAAATAGATTGGAAATCTTGCCTAGAATGCAAGTCTTGTATACTAATCAATTGACATGTTTCTTAAAGAGAACAACATGATTCTCGTTCCTTAACACAGCAGTTTGTTTTATATGTAGCTTTAACTTATAATCATGGCAAATTTAATTTGTGAGAAAATTGCTTGAATACTTATTAACCACTACAACTATTGGAATTAATCTGATCTTACTTATAATAATAAGATTCAAGAAAAACTTTATTTACTTTGTCTTCGTATCTTCATCTTCTTTTCCTTATTCTTTTTATTGCTACAAATTTTTTTTGTTAGAAAAATTAATTCAAACACACAATGAATATTTATTTTCAGATCAATCAAATTATCGTCAAAAGTTTTAACTGCTAATTTATTTTTAAGAAGGAGACGATCAACATGATTCAAGTATTAAAAATGAAATCTTATAGACTTTATTCTCCACGCTTCAAACTTTAAAGACGTTCCAAGGCTAATGAAGCTACCAGAGAAACAAGAAAATTAACCATTAAATCAAATGAATTGAAATCAACAAAGTCGTAAAGGTAAGACATGAAGTCAAGTCAAGATTTTAACATGTTCCAATGCTCGTCATTGAATGAGATCTTTTTCAGAGTATTGTACTTAAAGATTTGCCGGCGGTTGACTACGTTAGCAGCACATTGAGTTATAACTTTTATGACGATGATAATGATGTTAATTTTCTAGGGACTATTCACACAGTAGCTGTCTTTATAATAGAGATGTTCATGTAATGAAATATTCTTCTTACAATTTGATAGTTCATCTTTGCAATATAAACAGGATCAAGTATTTTAGTCAGTAAAGTTTCCAAACGAGAACTTACTAACATAGTTAAGTTACTTACATCATATCATAAACTTAATTACAACACACATCTCTTATCTATTCTCATGCTCATCAATAACGGAAGAGTTTTACTGATTGCAATGTTGAGTAAATCAAGTTTTATTGTTTCAGAACAAATCGTGATCGATATTTCTGTTGGTGTGGGTGGTGCGAGATCATTAATCGATAGCCAGAAAACATCCTTAATAAACTGTTTATTATTGAGAGGAGAAACTGAAAGGAAACGAAAATACTTATTTTGTAGGATATTATTAAACTGTTAAAGGAGAATTAATTGATTAATGACAGATATCAATCTTAATCAGGTGGGAATCGGAAAGCAGTTAAATAATATAGAATTGAATTAAAAAGTTTCTTGCTTGAACCGCCTTTTAATTAAATGCGTGCTGAAAACATGCATGTGTTCATTTATGTCTTAATGTTCTTGATAATATAGCATTAAAAGTTCCATGGTCGTGTGCAATAAACAATTTCTTTAAGTCTTACAGGTCAACTTGTAACAAGAATGGGTGGATGAAACAAACAGTTTGAATTCTTTAAACTTCACGTACAAGCCACGTCGTAATGTGTAACATAATTTTTAATTAAAGTCAGGAGAGTTTTATGCTGCTCGAGTCGTCTTCCTGCTTGGTTTTACAAGTGTTTGGAACGATAATTTACTGCGCTTGGATTTTTATTTTGCGCTTCTTTATCTAGAATGAGTAGCAACTGAATAAAATATGTTCCCTTTAAGCGAGACACAATCATGTGAAGCACTCTTCCTGTTAAGAACTGCAATCTTCAATTATATATTGAAAACATCTGCTGATGATTCAACTTTCTCTTCAACAATTTCTCATAATTTATTAGCTTCTGTTTCTTTCAACTTCTTCACATGGAATAATCGCGAGCGTTTTAAAATTTGCCAAATTTTCCGCCAACAGTTTCTTGACTTTTTTCTTCTATTTTGTCACGGAGATAAACCTATAATAAAATTCTAAAACGTAATAAAAGATATAATGGTATGAAGATTTTTAAGCCTTTTTAACGATTTATTTTCCCAAACTCTGACAAAATTTTAATTAATAATCTTTTACGATCCAATTTGTATGCATGGTTAACGAAAATTAGCTAATCTCTCAGTGATTTTATGACTCGTAAAATCCTATAAAGAAAACTATTGAATATAATTTATTATGATATGTATTTAACATAAGTGTTTATTTCTTAAAGAAGGTTTTACGAACATGCTAAGACCTTAAAATGCTATAAATACGCTAATAAGTGTACAAAATTGCATGTAAATTTTGAAATTTCATTCGAGAGTTCATTGGAATAATATTTCATAGTTTATCTCACTTTCAAGACTCTCTGGAACTTATTGTCATTCTTGATTTTCTTTCTTGTTTTAATACTTAAGAGAGTGAAGTGAAAACTGGAATTTCTGTAAAACTGTCTTAAAGCTTCGCTTGAAAGTTATGCAACTTTTTAAATGATGAAATATTGAAAGGTCTTTGAATAAAACTTCTATCAATATTATTAATAAAATTATTGCAACTTTAATCAGTTTCTCATGTATTAATTATTGCTATGATCTTCACAAATTTAAATATTTCTTTTAAACATTTTATTTTCGTTTCATAAATTTCAAGAATATTTGATTGAGTTAAATTTTGAAGTATTTTCATCTAGAAATGTGGTATGACGATTAAAACACCAAAAAAGCATACAAGAATACCAAAGAGTGTTCTGATTCACTACCAATACCAGAATTATAAGGTGGTAATGTGTTAATCTTTAACACTTTCAATTCTCAATAAGAAAAGAAATGAAAACATTTATGCACATTGATAAATCTTCAATGCAGCTAAAGTTCTTCTTACATGGAAGGTCATTGTCGCGCGTGTTTCATGATCTTCTTTGCCGACCCTTGCAAAGACATGTTCATCAACGTGATTAATTTCTTCGGGAGCTTGTAGAAACGGACACTAATTTTCCAAGAAGAAAATTAAAATGAATAATTGATCAATCATGGTTAAAGTATAAAGATGTTAAAATAAAATGCATTTAACTACATCATGATGTGACAAATTAATTATAATCAATTAATATCTGTCGGCTATTGTCAGTCTCAATAAACGCTTAAGTTTGTCTATGGGAAAACAAGTTTGATTCCCTTCTGAGCGAAATATGGAAGTCATTAAAAATGTTACAGAAGATATAAAAATATTTTGCTGAAAACTCAACAAGGAAAACAGCTTGAGACTTTGAAAACGGTGAAATATTAATCAAAAGCTTTTTAAGAACGCCGCAAACGCTAAAATCCCACGTTAACAATTTGAAAAGACGTCTGACAGTAAAAGGTGGGAAACAACCAACAAAGATAACACTCTCAGTTGATTATGGGCAAGTCATAGAATTTTATGACTTCATCAACATAAGATCAGCAGTAAGCACATGGGAGATAAACTGCATACATACTTATTTAAATATCATGCCGTATTCACTGCATTCCAATCCATCGAGACACAATGATTGACCGTCAATTATAGTAACGTGAACAGCAATAACTTATCAGTAATAATTTTGTCATCTTCAGAGCATATTTGAATGATTTATGTAATTATTTAGCTTTTGTTACTATCAACAGTTGCTTTTGATTGCAGTTGGGTGAAACATAAAAATATTTATACGAGTTTGGATTGAGATGTTTGATCAAGTTTCATTAATACTGTTATCCTAACTATGACTTGACAAGCTAGCTGTAATTTACCTCATTTGTTATCAACTTTATCGAATCATAATTGATGCTTTAGAACATTCTCAATTACAATCTTATTCTCATGCAACAAAGTATGTTTGTTCACACTTCAATAATAAGAAATGATACACAGAATAATATCACGGAAGAAAACACCCACGCAATTAAGAAAGAATGAAATAAATTTGCAATTCAAATAGAAACGAATGAAAGTGTTCCGACATAGCGGATTAAATTTAATTTAATTTGTAACAATTTTCTGAAATGTGTGAACTCGTTTTGTTGTGTTTACTTCGTTTTTTAATAAGAAGACACTGTAATTAAACGAAACTACCATCATAAATTGAAGCCAACATAAATTGCGATTTAATGCTCAATTCTTGATTCATCAGAACGATGAGAAGGACATAAAATAGAAATTTTATGTTATGATTTATTTCAAAGTTATTGTGATAAAAGATCAGAAACTTGACGAAATATTTCAATAACGAAACGAACTTTCGTAACATGTCTAAATTTTCAATATCGTTTAATATGTAACACAAATTACTCTCAAAATGTCGCAACTCGTTCGCAAGTCATTATTTTCTGAATTGCGTGTATCTACATAAATATATCAGAGTTTCGCGATGAAAAGAAAAGGCGCTGTTGTTGGTTTGCGTCTCCTTCTTCAACATCAATTTAAGATTCTTATCACAAGCACAAAATATTTTGATAGCAAGAAAACGATAAGAAACTGTTTGTAGTAAAGAAGAATATTACGAATAAGGAAAACCATAATTAAAGTGATTTTGTTCGCATCTCAAGTAACAATTTAATTTATTTTCACATTCACATCAGGGCACAAGAATGAATAATACTCTCCGCTAGCGAGGAGAGAACTTGAGAAGAAATGAAACCTTTTCGAGTTTATTACATCAGATTGAAATTATCTGTTTCATAAATCAGTGCTTAAGAGAAATTAGTGCAAGAAGAAAACCTTGAAAGAATGCAGAAACACGCAAATAAGATAAGTAACAGCAAAAAGAGAGAAACGCCAGTAGCAATCACAAGAAGAACATGACAACTTAAGACTTGGATGCATACTGCATGCAACATGTTACATATATTTGTTTCCCTCTCAACTTACGCATTAAACATTGCAAATTAGACTATGAAAAATTTAATTACAGATGTAACTTGTTCGTTCCTTTTAACTTGACTTACCACAGGTGAATGCGGCAGCGGCGACTTAATAAAGCTTCACAGTGTTTTGTAGAAACAAACAAAAACAAGTTGAAAAATGAGAAGTCGATGATGAAGCCGCATAAGATTGAGTAGGCGAATGATAAAATTTATGTATTGATTCGAGTTTGTTGAGCTGAAGTTTCAACATTAATTGCCTACAATTTATGCTTCCAGCAATTCGTTAATTTTCAACCCATTACTTAATTATTTACGATTTCGAATAAAAATCAAACAAATTTATAGCTTTTATCAAACGCTTTTCAACTTGATTCATATGTTTGAGCTCCACGAATAAATCGCGATTAATTTTAAAATTTTTCATTTCTTTCTTTCTTCTTTAACTTATTTAACCACAAGCCAGCATGTGCAAGACAACGTTGGGCAGTAATTTATGAAGCTCGAAGCTGAGAATTTCTTATTCTGCGTTTTAATTTAGAGTTGGGACATTAAAGTCTCTTACCGACGAGTAAAGTATATGAAGGTTGTAAATGTTTTACAAGATGTGACCGATAATCATTCTAAAGAGATTGAAATTTCAGTGAATAAAATTCAAACTTCTTCAGCTACTTCTACACAATCTTCAATAGCAGAATAGCTTTGTCTGCTTACTCTCATGTCTATTAATGATCCACTTGACAAAACGATGAATGAAACATTCCCAAACATGTATCTAAAGCAGAAGTGATATTATCCGTTCAACCCTCGTTTTAATTTATGTCTGCTGATAGAAAATTTCTTGTGAAGAGACTCTCGACAAGAGAAATATGCAAAATTATGCTATTTATGGTGTGAGATGGAAAAAGATTTTATTTTGTTATCGCAACAAAAAGGAAAATCGAAAAATTATGCAAAAGAAACTTTTTTAATTTTTTTCTTGTTACACTCGACAACCGAGTAAAGCTCAATGCTCGATTCTCATTAACAGTCGCAACAATGAAACTTCAGACTATCCTTGATTTATATTTTCCGTCTGTTTGTACAGCTGTGCTGTAGTGAAAATTTAATATTTGCGGGAAAATGGAGAAACGATATGAAAAAGAAATTATGCGACCTTTATGCAAATTTTGAGGGGAAGTCATGAATAACTTTGAAGCTGAATTTAATTATCAACAGTTGGAAAATCCTTTAAGTCCACTGCTGTGTAAGATGATGTGGAAAAGGAAATATTCATACACATTTAACAAATTTTGAAGAATATTTTTATTCTCCATTTCATGAACAGTTTAACGAAATTACAATGAAATGGCTTGAAGTCAAAATTTTAATCACGCTAATGATTACAAACTAAAAATGATGTCAAAACAATTTTCTATACAATTTCATCGTTTCAGAAATGTTCAATTAACAATTTTGCATTCTTAATCGAGAGAGAAATGTTGAGAAAATCAAAAGATTCAAAAGCGAAACGAGGGACGAAGCGAGTGCGATGGAAACCCTTCAGGAAATTCAGCGAAGCTAATGAATCGAAAACTTCCTAATGCTGTTTCATTTATTATCAAACATAACAATGAAACTCCCCTTTCTATTTATTTACTTCACCATTAGTCTACAAAATCGCATTAGGATCTTAAAATTGACTTTTCTATGATTTCATAAGGAAAATCTCAAATTTTAAAAGAAAAAATGTTAAGACGCATTAAAAAATCGTCAAGATAAGCAAAGAAAATTTCTTTTACGAGCATAAATTAATGATGTGTCAAAAAAGTGAAACTGAAATAAAAAAGCAAAGAATTTCTTTGTAATTTCCTTTAAGCATTGTCGATTGTTTACCAAGAGTAACGATAAGTAAATATGAGTTAAGCTCATGAATTACACTAACAATGACTCAGAACAAAGATGAAAGATTTTCATACAATGTTGATGAAACAGAACATTTGCTTTTTCCTGGAACTGGATAAAAATCATGATAATTACGTTGTAAACTACATCACAAATATAAAAATTCTTAAAATGTTCATCTTACGTCAACACTTTCGGTTCATTGTAATTATTTTGCCCCTTGAAGTTATGCAGCTTTGTGTACTTCCATTGAAATCTTCAAGTTCAGCTCAAGAGTTTTGTATAAAAAGAATAAGAAAATAATTGTGAAATGGTAAAAGATGAGAATCTTTTAACTCACTTCCAGTGAGAAGCCCCTACTTGTGTTCATCGACTTGTTTTATAAAGAGAATATTTCCACTCTGAACAAGAAGAGAAAAAATATCTTAAGATGAAATTTGAGAGACTTTCAAAGGAAACTCAAGACTTCTTGTTTCTTTCCATTCAACATTTCTTGAGTTGAGAGCAGTATCATTACGACTTTCGATCGAGTTGCTTTAGTTTCTTAAAAGCTGTTGTCTTTAAGAAGTTTCTTTATTATTATCATCAACATATTTGATCCATCAAACATATCTGAACATTTCATGTGAATGAATTATTATTGTTGTCTGCATTAAATTGGCTATAGAAACTTGAAACCTTATTTGCGTGTGAATTCAATTTCGTGCGAAACAAACAAAAAATAAACTCGTAATTGTGAGTGTAAATATCTCTGCTTAATAGTGATGTTAAACTATCAAATGAAAAAAATGAAATAAATATTCTCATGTTGCATATGAAAGTTTAGCTTCTTGAAAAAGTTGTTAAAAATGGATAAGAAGTGAGAAATAATATCTTTTTATGAGAAGGAAGAATGATTGTTTATGTGTAGATATAGAAGNCTGCTGATAGAAAATTTCTTGTGAAGAGACTCTCGACAAGAGAAATATGCAAAATTATGCTATTTATGGTGAGAGATGGAAAAAGATTTTATTTTGGAAAGGAAAATCGAAGAATTATGCTAAAGAAACTTTTTAATTTGTTACAATCAACAATCGAGTAAAGTTCAATGCTCGATTCTCATTAAAAATTGTTACAATGAAACTTAACGTATAATATTTGTACAGCTGTTTTGTAGGAATTTTTTTTAATATTTGCGGAAATATGGAGAAACGATATGAAAAAAAAAAATATGCGACCTTTAGCAAACTTTGAGGGGAAGTCATGAATAACTTTGAAGTTGAATTTAATTATCAACAGTTGGAAAATCCTTTCAAGTCCACTACTATGTACTATACACTTAAAGGCTGAAGGAACGTTAATTTCATTTAGGACATCAAAAGTATTATGTTCGAATATGTAAATATTTCAATGACGATTGTTAGCAATCCGTTTAATTGAATTTTTTGATGAAAAAAGTTTAGAAGTCCAAAAGGTGTCACATGATTGCATTGATCGTGACGTATACATTATGGTGAGCGAGAATTTAATTCGTGCAGCTTTTAATAGAACTTTTAATGGTTAAACGTTTTCAAATTTCAGCCACTTAAGAAAGTACAGTGAACTCTCGAACTAACGAAAGCTGATCATTGTAATGGGCCATTGTTATATCAATAATTCACAGTATAAAACAACTCAATGTCACTCTTACAAATTAGTTCTGGAAAAATGTAATAAAATGAACCAAAAACTACAAAGAATGCTTTTGAGCTTTTATTTCCAATTGTCAACAAAACAATTTTACTGCCAACGTTTTTATGAATTAAGCTGAAGTTTTAAGTTTCACTTTAAATAGCGGAATCAGTTTTACAACCTATTTCATCATAATTAAGACAACAAACATCGGGAGGAGTTTGAATATCTTCACACCCTGGAGGTGGGGGCCTACATTCCATAGTTTCGCAAATACTAGTTGCCTCGTACGTGCCATCGAGTACGCAATCACAAAATTCGCATGGATTCTCTGAAGGAATAACTTCACCGATATCATAAACTTTTCCATCGATTTTACAACCACAATATAAAAGTTCTGGGCAACATTCATCGGGATATCTATCTCGATAGACACATCCTGGTTCTTGAATAGGACATTCAATTCGACGGCACAATGATTGTGTCTCTATTATTTCATCTCCTTGTTCACATACGCATGTTTCACATGGATCATCGTCAATAATTTCTTCACCGAATTCATACATTTTTCCATCGATCCTACAACCACAAAATGAAATTTCTGGACAACATTCACCTGGCTTACTATCTCCATATTCACATCCTGGTGGTGGAAGAGGACAAGTAGTATAACTGCAAGCAATCTCACCCCAAAAAACCTCTTTATCGATTGAATGACATGTACATGTTTCACACGGATTGCCATTAGGAATTTCCTCACCGATTTTATAAACTTTGTCACCATATCGACAACCACAGTACAAGATTTCAGGACAACATCTATCAGGAGTATATCAAAGAGCACATTTTTCGTATGAATAAGCTGCATCAATATATATTGCACAATCATCGTGAAGGCATTCCACTTCATTGTTGTAACAATGACACTCTAGACAAACATTGTCATTTGGAACGCTTGCACCATTGGGGTAGAATACGCCATTTTCAAAACATCCTTCATCTTTTTTCACACATTCTGTAAAAACATAGATCCAACATATGCTCAGATTGAATATTTGAACAAAAGCATTTTGCTATTTAACTTACTCAATTTTGAGGAAACTATGAAAAGAAAAAGAAATTAATTTTAAAAAATAGTAAACCGTCTTGGGCTAACATCAAGAAGGATATCCAGATAAATTTTACGAAATTGTAAGAAAGAATTCGTAAAATTTCATGGGTGATCTCCACACTTAGGTTGACCCGGGAATTTCATCTTATTTAAATTATCAGATATGAACTTACCTGATGACAAAGACGCGAAAAACATCAGCAAACTTATACTTAGTAACATCATGCGAGGTTGAGTTTTTGAAAATAAAGAACTTTTAAGTCTCGTTCAGATATATATGGAAAAAAGAATTAAAGAAAACACCTGACACTTTTTTTTAGAGTGTATTGAAAGGAAAAATTTGGTTCTATTAAAAAAATTAATAATATCCATAAAGTGGTATTGATGAATTATTCTTAACAGTTGTCGTTATTGTCAACACGATAATTCAATTTTTCTTCTCAATACCACCCAATCAACCGTTTCTGAGAAAGTATATTCATAAAAATAGTTTTTGTTGCCTCTAAAGGTGTGTGTTTAGTCCTTTTTGTTCCAGGAAAAATTTTTAGACTTAGCAACTTTAAACAATTTTCAATTGTCATGTCGAGTGAACAGTAATAAAGTGCTTAAAACAGTTATCGAGTAAAGAACGCGAAAATACTTCTATACTTTTTTACTTTACATTTAATAGCTATTTCGAAAACAAGGCTGTCGTGCCGTATTTTTAGTTTACGTGCCCTAACAAAAATTAAAAAAAAAATGTAATTAAGTGATAAATGAAATATTTCCATGTATGTATGATATACCTAAGTGACAAATGTTTGGTTAACTAGTTGTAAAGTGCTTTTGTTTCGGCTTGAACGATCAAATGATCGACTCATTTAACTGTTTCTATAAAGAAAACATTTGTTCAACGTTTATTGACTCTGTACTCAAGTTAAAAACACAATAATTAAATTGTTTCTTAATTTCTGAAACTATAAGGAATGTGTTTGTCGTTGTTCAAGTTATCATCAAAATAATTCCTTGATCCAGAGTCATCGATCAGACTATCAAAATAAAATACTAAATTAACACAGACATTCAAAGTTTCAAAGATTCTTAAAAATGACATTTTAAATTCAGAAATGTGAAGTTAAAAATATTTTAATTTAAGTCATTAGTGTCTCTATTTTGTCCTTTTCAGTTCGAGAGCAAATTTTTAGACTCAGCAACTTTATATAATCTTCAATTGTCTCGTCTATTAATGATCCACTTGACAAAACGACGAATGAAACATTCCCAAACATATATCTAAAGCAGAAGTGATATTATCCGTTCAACCCTCGTTTTAATTTATGTCTACCGATAGAAAAATTCCTTGTGAAGAGACTCTCGACAAGAGAAATATGCAAAATTATGCTATTTATGGTGTGAGATGGAAAAAGATTTTATTTTGTTATCGCAACAAAAAGGAAAATCGAAAAATTATGCAAAAGAAACTTTTTTAATTTTTTTCTTGTTACACTCGACAACCGAGTAAAGCTCAATGCTCGATTCTCATTAACAGTCGCAACAATGAAACTTCAGACTATCCTTGATTTATATTTTCCGTCTGTTTGTACAGCTGTGCTGTAGTGAAAATTTAATATTTGCGGGAAAATGGAGAAACGATATGAAAAAGAAATTATGCGACCTTTATGCAAATTTTGAGGGGAAGTCATGAATAACTTTGAAGCTGAATTTAATTATCAACAGTTGGAAAATCCTTTAAGTCCACTGCTGTGTAAGATGATGTGGAAAAGGAAATATTCATACACATTTAACAAATTTTGAAGAATATTTTCATTCTCCATTTCATGAACAATTTAACGAAATTACAATGAAATGACTTGAAGTCAAAATTTTAATCACGCTAATGATTACAAACTGAAAATGATGTCAAAACAATTTTCTATACAATTTCATCCTTTCAGAAATGTTCAATTAACAATTTTCCATTCTTAATCGAGAGAGAAATGTTGAGAAAATCAAAAGATTCAAAAGCGGAATGAGGGACGAAGCGAGTGCGATGGAAACCCTTCAGGAAATTCAGCGAAGCTAATGAATCGAAAACTTCCTAATGCTGTTTCATTTATTATCAAACATAACAATGAAACTCCCCTTTCTATTTATTTACTTCACCATTAGTCTACAAAATCGCATTAGGATCTTAAAATTGACTTTTCTATGATTTCATAAGGAAAATCTCGAATTTTAAAAGAAAAAATGTTAAGACGCATTAAGAAATCGTCAAGATAAGCAGAGAAAATTTCTTTTACGAGCATAAATTAATGATGTGTCAAAAAAGTGAAACTGAAATAAAAAAGCAAAGAATTTCTTTGTAATTTCCTTTAAGCATTGTCGATTGTTTACCAAGAGTAACGATAAGTAAATATGAGTTAAGCTCATGAATTACACTAACAATGACTCAGAACAAAGATGAAAGATTTCCATACAATGTTGATGAAACAGAACATTTGCTTTTTCCTGGAACTGGATAAAAATCATGATAATTACGTTGTAAACTACATCACAAATATAAAAATTCTTAAAATGTTCATCTTACGTCAACACTTTCGGTTCATTGTAATTATTTTGCCCCTTGAAGTTATGCAGCTTTGTGTACTTCCATTGAAATCTTCAAGTTCAGCTCAAGAGTTTTGTATAAAAAGAATAAGAAAATAATTATGAAATGGTAAAAGATGAGAATCTTTTAACTCACTTCCAGTGAGAAGCCCCTACTTGTGTTCATCGACTTGTTTTATAAAGAGAATATTTCCACTCTGAACAAGAAGAGAAAAAATATCTTAAGATGAAATTTGAGAGACTTTCAAAGGAAACTCAAGACTTCTTGTTTCTTTCCATTCAACATTTCTTGAGTTGAGAGCAGTATCATTACGACTTTCGATCGAGTTGCTTTAGTTTCTTAAAAGCTGTTGTCTTTAAGAAGTTTCTTTATTATTATCATCAACATATTTGATCCATCAAACATATCTGAACGTTTCATGTGAATGAATTATTATTGTTGTCTGCATTAAATTGGCTATAGAAACTTGAAACCTTATTTGCGTGTGAATTCAATTTCGTGCGAAACAAACAAAAAATAAACTCGTGATTGTGAGTGTAAATATCTCTGCTTAATAGTGATGTTAAACTATCAAATGAAAAAAATGAAATAAATATTCTCATGTTGCATATGAAAGTTGAGCTTCTTGAAAAAGTTGTTAAAAATGGATAAGAAGTGAGAAATAATATCTTTTTATGAGAAGGAAGAATGATTGTTTATGTGTAGATATAGAAGACGATAATGAAGCTAACATATGTGAAATAAAAAAAATAAAAATAGTAGCGCAACATTAAGTTTTTCCTGTGAAGAAATCATTTACATTTATGCTGTTTGCCTTTGAAATTAGAAATCTTTGAACATAAACATTGCATTTGGATAACTTGAAGCGAGATTCTGGAAAAGAACAGTGAAGGTAGGTTAATAATCTTTTAACATTTCATTCAAGAAAGCTTAAGTTAAACGAAAGAAAACTGAACAATTCACCTCAAGCTGCAAAAAGAATTCTTTTTAAGCTGTATTGGGCACGGCTGAATTGAACATTATTTTCATTATTTTTACATCCATAAATTTTATTTTCTCTTCAATTTTGTTTCGATTGCCTTTTCGTGAAGTTATTTATATTATTATTTTTTTTTGATGAATTCTCAATCAAACTTTTGATGATTATCAATCGTCGATCAACTTCTTTTCACTTCATGCTGTTTCCTCTGCCATCTGATGACAACAGCTATATTAATGTTTTATAAACGCACCTAATCCATGCTGAAACACGTGGTGTCTTGTCATAAATATTAATCAAAAGGGGAAAATTATAAATAAAAGACTGGGATGGAATGGGAGAGAAAATGATTTCCACTTCTTCACCCCTTTTTGTTTGAGTAAAACAAAAATTATTCAATAAAGTGCTCGCTTTATCTACACAATATTGCACCAAGTGAACCCATACACATGTTTGGAAAGTAATGAATGGTGCATATTATGTGTTTTTTCTTGTATTGTTTGGTTGGTGGTTCGTTGGCAGGAAATATTGAATATCCTTTCATTGCAACAACAACTACAACAGCAAACTTTTATTACAATTCCCGATAATAGCATGAAATGAATCAGGGAGCGAGGCGTTTTTGAAATCACAATACAAGTAAGTTACACGCTCCTTATTCAACTCACTCACACGCACATGTGACCATCAACGTGATCAACTTCAGGGATTTTATTTTAGGGAAATCCCAATTTGTCATAAGCCTCAGTTCGCTTCTGATTCTTAAGAGTTTCGTCGACACGTAAGGGAGAAAGATGCTCGCTGTTCACTCAGTGTTCATTTCAGTTTCATCCACGAAACATAACAAAATTATTCGCGCGTTAGGTTAGTTTCATTGTGCTTCGTTTTTATGTTTTTGCGAGAAACAAGTTTTCATTGCTGCCTCTTTCATTACTTTCAATTGCCACATAACAATCTTCCATTGATCGGAATTTTTTAATTAAAATCGAACATGATTTGGATTGTTTTGTGTACATATCGTGTGGTGTATTGGACAGAAAATGTGGTTTGAGCGTAAATATCAACTTAAGAAAGGTGAAAAATGATGTTGCAACGTAGCATGAATGCAAAGACGCATTAAGAAGAAGTTTTGAGATTCGAAATGGAAAACTTCTTTGATGACGATGTTTCAGTGCAGGAAATGGAGCTCTTAGAGCCAAATTATGAAGTGTTTATGAAGTGGGCCCAGCCTACAACTATTTGGGATACCATCAGTAATCGGATTAGAATGGCAACGATCAGGTAATTTGTTAAACCAATTTCATGACAAATAAGCAATTAAAATAATTGACTGACGAATGTTTTCAATTCTCTTGAAATCTGATAAAGATTCAATTTCATAATTGCTTCAGTTCTATTGTCAGAAAATGTTCTCTTCATCTCCATTTAGCTTCGAATTTTGCCACTAAACGTTTCGTTGGGGTTCGTCGGGTATTTTTCTTCTTTTTTCCTCTTTCTGTGTGTGTTAGTGTGATTCGTATTGGATAAATATCAACGTAACATCAACAACAACAATGTTGTAAACTGTAAACAACCCTCTAATGTCATTATAGGGAAAAGTTCAGGAAGAAAAAAGATCTTGATTGTGTTTGTGTTTAGAATCTATTTCGAGGGTCACATTTAATACGATTTCCAGTTTTCTAGCATAAAAAATTACGTAATCATGTGAATAAGTGGAATGATATTATCCAATGTTGATTAGAATTTATTTCAATGACACCCCTTTTGGCTGTTGTTCCATTGACGAAGCTGAACACATCATTTTTCAAGGATTTGATGAGACAATGAGGGGGTGGATAGAGAAGAGTGATGTTGACTCTCTTATCGATGGTGAAAATCAGTTGTCTGAGAAGTTGACGATAACGCTGACGAAGGGAACAAAATGTTGATTAATATTTTGAATATTAAATAATTACAGAAACATCTGAGAAAATATTGTTAAATAGCAACTTTCCAGACAAGTTTCATTGAAAAGAAGTTTTCTGAATTCTGGCCAAAAACAAAAAGTTCAACAACTCACAAAATTTCTCTTGAACTTTCCTTCATTACTTCATTCTCGATAACTTTATGTTGAATTCATCATAGCTACCGAGCTGAAGAATCCACTTGAACAACAACAGAATAAGCAAATACAATCGCCTTCGCGAACATGCTTTGAATATTTAATTTCATCTCTCGTAGTAATCCACAAAAAACTTTTCTTATTCTTCGGCTTTTTTTACGGGCATGTTTGGTAATTTTTCATCATTGCTTCTAGATGATGATGATTATCTACGAGTAGAATTATGAAAAATGTTTGAATGATCTGCATTTGTAATGAGACGTATCGATTTTCTTTTTTGTGTTGGAAATATGAAACTCATGTTATGTGTCGATATGTCAACTACTTTAGCTGCACTGTTGAAATTTTTTGAAATTACAGCATCAATGATGACAGTTGAACATATCACATTACTCAAGTACTATTAGTGGCTTCAGCTTGAATATCAAATTCAATGATGAAGTTTCATGGAAAGCGAAAATAACATAAAAACTCGTTTCTCATATTTTTATGATTCGTTAAAAAATTCTTCTCGATTTTACTATTTTACGATGAGTTTACGCCTTATGTTTCGGGCAATAAAAGTTGAGTTCATATATTTGCGTTTTGTAAAACGAAAGCATGTGCACAATTGCTATTTATGGATTGAAAAAGAACTCTTTGTAAGTGGGAAGGGCTCAAGGATGAGTTGAATTTTGCTGACAATCAGCATAGATTCGCAACATCTGAGAAGCAGCAAGCAGTCGACAAATGGGATCAGCATACTCGTAAAAGCGAAGCAATGAAGTAGCGGAAATAAAAGCGAAAAGAAATTGCCACTGGTTTAAATATTTTCTTAGAAAGGGAAAATTTTACACCACGAGATGCGATACGCGCTTCTCCCCAGTCACAATGACAAAGAAAAAATATTTCTCCAAGTGTCGATGACGATAATAAAAGAAGCGAAAAATAATAGTCTCAAAGGATACCATGTGGGGGTGGATAGATGGGAAAACATTTTACATTATGAACATGACAATTTATATTTATGAACGATGTTGCACAAAAGAAAAGAAGAAATCATGGAATGGAAACGAAGGAAAAATGTTATTAAAATCAGTAGCAATCTCAGATGAAACATGAATAGAAATTGTAAGAAATTTTGGGGATGTAACAATGCCTCGCATCACTCTCGTGAACGCGTATTTGAATATGAATGCGATTCGGCATAAATTTTTATTGAAACGTGAAAGTATAAAAGAAGCTGGCACTGCTGTTTCTCGAGAGAGAACATAAATCCTCAAACTCAATCGTCTCAGCGTTGATTTTCTTTTTCGGTGCTGATGTCGATACAATATGCTTCAGGTTTATTTTACTTGTGATAAATTTATCACGTTTCAAAAGGCTGCTGCAGCTGCGGAAGTCTGAAAAGCAATCTAAACTTGACTTAAACGTCATTGCATGATGAATTGTGTTTCGGTTTTCGAAAGAATTTCCAGCTTCCATTTCAAAATATCACAAAAGAAACAAATGACAATAATTTTCATTTATTAATAACAAACTTTGCTTTCTTACGAAATTGAATTTTAATTCATGTATTTGTTATCCAAATATTATTTTTAAACAGCAGCCGCAGGTTCTTTAACTTCCTTTATTGTATTTTAAAAGTTCATTGAATAATCAAATTCATGAATCTCATCTAATTTAATTACAAATTAGAGTCAAGACTTGCTTAGATAGATCGACTTGAAAGAAGCTACTTGAAAGGGAAGCAAACGATCAAATCATTCATTTTGTTTGTTCTCATAATTTGATGGTTAAGTAAAAAAAATCGAAAATGAAAGAAAAATTCAAGATGACGTGTCTGTGAAAACAGAGAAAATTGTTCAACGTTCAACACACAATCGAGTCGTTGTTGCTGCTTCTTGTTTTTTTAAAGGCGATTCTTCAAGAAATGTTGATCATTTATCATGATAATATGTCCACTAAGACGCAAGATGTGTGTAATTATTTTGACATTAATGGCCGAAGAATCAGAAAGGGAAGAATAAATATAAGACAATCAATCTGACAGATCGCGCAATCACTTCACAGCCAAATGTGTAAAGTCTTAAACATTGGGGAGTAAATAATTCTAGCTTTTATTTAACGAGCAATTACATACATCTTGAAATCAATTAGAGTCGACGATTTCTCGAAAAAGTAAATTGGTAACTACAAGTCATGACGCATGACGAGCTTCGTTTGTGTGGTCAAAACTTTTGAACAAGATATGACATGTGATAATGATAAATGACGAAGTTATTAAACGTTAAGCATCAACATATAATTTTATTGCTTCCCTTTATCACTTTAATTCCACTTATGGCAGCACAACTCGTCTCGTCTCGTCTCAATTCACCTGAATTCTCATTACATTTCATGTTCATATGCTTGTTCATTGCAGAATAATTTGATATCAATTTCATAAAGACATTAGATCGACATACATACATAATAAACTTCAGTCGTCTCGATATACATTTATCAATAAAAATCTTCACTTATTATCTGCACTTTGTAAGAAGCAATTAGCCATCGCATAAGATTTGCAATTCTCTTAAATGTAATGCATTGAAAAGAGAAAAATTATCATGAGAAGCGAAAACATGATATTTATGAGGATCATAAAGTATGAATGAAAATAATGATCAAACGGAGGATGGAATGTAAATTGTTACTGAACCCGACTCGACGCCTCATCATTGAAGCATAAATGAAGTGTCAGACGATTTTCAAATGCAAAACGTTTCGGTTTTACTTTTGTTGCGCATGATATTTAAATGCAAAATGAATTTCTGTGGTTTTCATTTACAGTTAATTGAAAATGAATTTCTCGCTTATCCAATGCAGTAGATCAGAAACAAGCTTCCTTCGACATCTGTTCTCTGCTTCTGGAATCTAAATAAAGCACGATACATTGAGAGAAGATTGTTTTGCTTCTTCTGACTGAGGTTTAGCCACAGAAGATCGTGACTTGCAATGTTTAATTCTCATTCAATCATTGCATTACTTACTTCTCTTTCTTGTGGTTGCAATACAAATGGAAGTCGAAACATTTTAGAAATTAATAAATTTTGTAATCTCACACCGAATCTGAGAAGTTTTCAGAAAGAACTGAAAGTGAAATTTAATATTAAAAGATTAAAAATATGACATTTGATGTCAAGTTTCTTAAATGCTTTTTCAAAGTAATAAAAAAAATGTTTCGCAGTTCTTTTCGTCACGCTGCACCTTAAAGAAAGAGAAGGCATCGTACAATTAAGAGAAGCTTATCTCGTGCAGTCTATGGTAAAATAATCTGATCTGGCGTAGGCAATAAAAAAAAGCAACGACGTCAGGCATTCGAGCATTGAAATCGAAGTCGCAGTTAAGTTATCTCGTAAGCCACTATCATTAGCAATTTGCTACAAGGGAAACTCGAAGTGACCACGTTAAAAGTCTCTTTACTCGCGTATTCATTGTTTAAACCTCATTAACGGTTATCAAAACTTTCATTGGATTCTGGCATTTTATTTAACTTTTTCATAAGTAATCCTTTATGCTTCGCTTTATGCTTTTCAATGGAAAAAGGCTTGGCTTTGTTGTATTTCCACCGAGATGACTAGAAAAAGCGAAACGCGAAAAGCTAAACGTTAAAATTGCAATTGCCTCTTAGGCATTTTTTTGTTTTATAATGCTTTTTGAAGATTAATTCGATTTATCTGATTCGAAAAGAAAAAAAAAATCAACTCAAGACTCGACTGAGGGTGAAGCAGAAAAATATTTATGCAATATTTTACTACAATAAAAATTACGATAAAAGTTTTGCATAAAAATATTTCTTTTTCTTTTTTTCATTTCTTGAAGTCTTACAACTGTAATTCTAGTTTTTAATAAAAAAATGATCCTCTAATGAAGGAAAATTATATGCGACTTAACTGCGAATAATCTTTACGACTAACAATAACGATTGAACTCAATTGATAATAATATTATAGAGTGAAGCAAGACATCAAACAATCGTCTGAAGTCTGAACCAATTTCCATTCGATTTATAATTGAAGAATCTCGTGTAGCAATGCGTGTGTGGGTAAATATTGGTGAGTTGTTAATTTAAATAGAAAATATTTACTTGAAGAAACATAAACATCGTCTGTCCGACAGAAGAAGTAAACAAATAAGCGTAGATATACCAAAAATAAGCATTATTTGAACTGTTTTTTAAATGAAGCAATGATATGGTTCAAACATCGAAGTGTTGAGTATTTAACTGAAGAAAACTGTAAAACGTAAACAAATGAGATGAAAACACTAGACGTGTAAGAAACAACGTTAATTTATTTCCTCCTTTTCATAATTCAATTATGTCGAGAAAGCGGAGAGACTTCCCACAGCTTTATCATAATTTTGTACGTTTGGAGTGCACCTGTATTAAGAACGTATTGAAAGAAATAACAAAAAGCCTTCTTGATCATCAATTTATGGTCGAATGAATCGCATTTCACGAAGAGTTTGCTTGCTTGCTTCTTATTTTCTCTTTTACGTTTTGTGGACGGTTCCATTAGAATAAGTTTTCTTCCTGCTACGAAAATTTATGCAGGAAATACTTTTTCTTCTGGTCGGCAAATCTCATTGAGGAATCAAAATTCAGGGGGAATATTTTAATGTGAATTTTTCTTGATATCAAATAAAAGAAGCCCTTGGGGGTGAATCTTCCACTGTTGAATTAAAGCATGAGAATATTCATTTTGTTTGAAATTAATGACACAAAGATTTCGGAAAGAACATCAAAAGTAAGATCTGAAGTGAAATTATTAAAAAAAACTATAATAGGGATCACCAATAAAATTATCGTAAAATCCACTAATAAACCATGACTTAAGTTTTTTTTAATGAGAATTTATTCGACAATCAACAGTTTTGTGGCGAATGTTTAATCTACTTCGTATAAGCTTTCTGTTAGCAAAGAAAAACTCATAAAAACGCCTTAGTCAAAACATGACACTACAAAATAAAAATATCTATTTGTAAATATTTGACTCTCTTTATGAAAATTGAGAGAAAATTAAATTTTCCAGCAGTTTTTGAGAGAACTGGAAATATTTTGGAGAGAGTCATAAAAGACGTTCCCCTAAAAGTTATGCAAATAGTTAAACTTTAATTTAATTCTTCATTACACAAGAAGAAGTTTTCAAAACAAGATTGTCTCGTTTATCTTATTTAAGAAAAAAGGATAATCTATTGTAAAAGATAATTTAACAAAGCCTAACATATAAAAATATTTCTCTCTTTCTCTTTCTCTCTTCCAAATCAAAAAATTTCCTGCTCAGAAAGGATCCGTCACGCATTTCAGTTTACTTTTGACTTCGATAGAAGCAGCACTGATATCGTTTTCATCCGTTTTGTTTACATTTTCTCGAGTATTTTTGTTGGTGTATTATAGAAAATAATAAGCATATTATTTCAATTGTGTATTCATGTAAACATTTTCAATTGAATAAGAAACAATTGTCTCGTCAGTTTGTGATAGAAAAAGTGTGTTAGAAAGTTAGTTAAGTGAAGATAATCACAAAAGCTAAGTTAGTCCCTAAATGGATGCTCTTTAGTCTTTTTTTTATTATGAGAAATGGAACTTTAAAACAGTGGCAATGTATGTTTAAATTAATTACAACGCATTTATTATCTGTCACATGTGTGTTCCTTCCGAAAATGTTTAACACAATTTTGTGAAGAGATTTATTGTCTCGTAAATTTTTTGTACCAAGAAGTGAACTGTGGGATAGTAAAAAGTTAAAAGACAATTTTGTGTGTCATCAATTCCAACAACGAGCATCGAAATTTTCAAAATTTATGTGAGTGTCTTCATAACAATAAAAGTTATTTTACTCGGAAATCGACATAAAATCAAAATATTTGATTATTGCGGAAATTGAAATGGATTCAAGGAACAGAAAATTTCTTAATTAGAGTGATATTCGGTCAAAAATTGTTTGGAAAAATATTAAAGTCTATCATTAAACTTTGATTTGAAATGTGCCGATCCCGAATCAGTATAAAAGCTTGTGGTTTTGTGTAAATGCATGGTTTGCCGCTTTATTAATATTTCTCGAATCTTGAGACACGCTGTGTGATTCTTGATCGGTGAGAAGAAACAGTGAGGGAATAAAAAAGATTAGAAATGAAGAAAAATTCAATTATGAATGTAATAAAAGGTTGAAAATGTGAAATTTGATTCTCAGTCAGAAGGAATGTTGATGATAATGATATTTATGCTTTTCAACATCACATTAAAATATTAAATTGTCATTTTAAAAGAACAAGAAGTTTCTCTGAATTTTATTATCGTTATAAAAAGCATAATTTTTCACCAAAAGCAACTTTCTTAATAATAAAACTAAAAAATATTCATAGAATAAGAAAAATCTAATCAAATCTTTTTGAAAAGATTCAACAATAAATTTCTTCAACTTTCAATAGTGTCGTAATAAATATCTGATCATTATGAGGGACACTGAATGACAGAATAGATGTTTATAGCTACTCTTTTGTTAAAGGCTGCTGACTTTGATTATTTTTCTTATGGAACTGATTGATAAGAAACTTTACAAATGTAACTTGAGATGGGACTCGACAGAAGGTACCAGATTGAAAACGAACAATAAATAAATTTCCGAAAAATAAAAAGAAATCATTAGGACGTAATAAAATTAAAGATTTCCTCAGAGACCACCTCTGGAGATTCGTTCATAATATTGTAGCATCATGTAAGGAATCTTATGGGAATGCTACTCAATTTTTGCCCCGAAAGAAATTTTTATTTTTTTCTGTTTATCATTCGAAGAAATACTTTTGAAGAGAAAAGGTTAAAAAAGAATTTTATGGCATTTTTTTTTATTAAAAAATTATATTTAAATTGGACATTTGATTAAACTTATTTTTCTTCTTTGTTTCAGGTAATCAATATTCATTTTATTGGATTAATAAGTTGGCTTAGTAATGATGATGGTAAGAAAATTAATTTTTGTGGTCAACGATTTGATTTACATTGTAATGATCATGAAATCGAGTATGAATTAACTTTTTTATTCCTTTCTTTGTTGCTTATTCATATTCACCAACACTCACACAATCAAAGCATTTTAGATTCAAAAACATCATGAAAAAGTCATACAAATCGACATTCTTATCGAAAACACAATTTTAATTAATTCCGAAAATGAGTTAAATGATTGAAAATGAGATAAAATAAATTTGTTTAATTTCTCAAAATCGTTTGCACGACTTTATAATTGAGAAGTAAGAAGAATTTGTACATAATCAAATAACACAAATGCAAAGTTAACACAAATACTTGAACAAATGACTAAAGAACATAACAAGTGTTGAAGTTATGAGTGTAATTAAATTGTTACAGTTGCAAGTCAAACACGATTGGATCGGGAATTCTGTCGTGTTGCAGAATTACCTAATTACATGAAACAACAAATGATATGTTGTGCAAGTGAAAAGAAAATAAATCTGCATTTTATCACAGAAAATTATCAAAGTTTCATTTGCAAGCAGTTTAAACAAACTATAAACCATTTATTGGGTCATAAAGCTTTTAAAAAATATTAGTTTTGTTCTGCCTCAATATAATTACAACACTCAAGAGAAGATTAGAAAGCAATAAAACTTTAATTAAATCCTTTTAAGAATTTTGGTAGGAAACGTCTCATTCTTGTAAGATTTACGTCGATCGTAAAAGGAATGAAACGAACATAAATCAGTTGCCAGATTTATGGGGCATAAACCAAACTTCTTAAACTATGTTAAGAAATTAAGATATTTGAATTTAAAGCAACATAAATATTTTAGAGAAGTAAAAGTAGCACAAATAAATAGAAGTGCTAATATTAAAATCAACTTAAGACAAATATCGCCTCGATTATCTTTAAAAAAATGAAAGTCTATGAAAATTGAGCTTTAACAAGCACATTTTTGATTAATGTTTAGAAATCTAAAAAGAAGGAAAAAAAATGCGGAAACTAAATTTCAACTTCAACAACTTCATTTATAAATCTCAAATTTTTTAATCTCAAATTAATGGGCCATGCATTAATGGATTCTAGAAGTGTGCGAAATTTGATTTAACAATTTTTGATAAGCGTTTCTATTCGCATAATTTTTTTAAGTACTAAGTTGAAGTATAGAAATTTTTAAACTTCATATAAAATGAATTCGTTGTAGAAAAAAAGAAACTCAATCGACACTAAAAATGCCATCAATAAATCTCGAATGATGAAATCAAGAAACGCGAGCTTATCGAATCAAATCGCATGACCCAAACACAAATCAGTGAATTAATTCAGAGTGGAGACATAAAAAATATTTAAATTTGGTTTGGAATGTCGGGAAGGAATTTTGTTTATATAATTAATAATTTGTGTGAGAAATTGCAGTGAAGTTTCATGAGAAATATTAAAGATCTTAAAACAGTCACATAGGATTAATTCAATAAACTATCGCGTACATTGAATATGGAAATCTGAATGTTATTTGGGATCAACATCATCGTTAAGAATGCTTATAACACAACAAAGTGATTTAATGCTTAAAACTGCAAATTTCATAGCATGTAAACAGTCATCAAACTTTTACTTACTTCGTGGGGATTGAAAGTAAAATTTTATCGATAAATTTATAGTAAAGCTGCAGTTTGGTGCTAAAATTAAGCTCTTTGAAAGGTGATGATGGCATAAAATAAATAAACAATGTTGCCATCGTTTGATTCAAGAACCATTTTAACCAATAAAAATTTCACAGCACGAGATTGTGACGATACTTTAAAGTTCAATGAATTAAAATAAATTCGACAGTAGAAACGATTTAAACACGTAATTAAACTGCAATGTCAGTAAAGGTAAAATAAATGAAGCTTGTGAATTCATAAATGACATACAATGTTTACAATGTGCCTCGTTTAACTTTTTATTTTAATTTCTTTTCGTCCTCTTTATCAATAGTCTGAATCAGGCAGTTATTTAAACCTTTATTGAAAGTCAAAGACAAGTAACATTTATTCACTCAGTTGCATATATCTTCAAAACATAAATTATGCAAACCTGAATAATCAAGTTTCGTTTAATATTTCTTATATTGCTCGTAAAATATATTTCACATAAATAAGCTCCACGCATTCATATTTTGCATTGAGCATGAGTATTGTTTGTTCTTGTTTCATTTATAATTATCATACATGCACTCGCTTTAAAAAGCTATAAAGTTTCACTACGATTTGCGAGATATTGAAAGAATTCAAAACAAACGCTTTACTATCTTATCAGACACACGTTTCAATTTTTATAGCATTTAAAACTCCATTGATATCAAATATGTCGTCTTTCTTCTTTAATTTTTTTTTCTTGTTCAACATTGCAACAATTCATTCAAGTTTGCCATCGATATGAGATTATTTGAACGAGAAAATCAGGCGTAAGGAGACGAGATAAACATTAAACTTCTTTTATTTTCTCGTTACATTAAAATCGAGCGCATAACTAGTTGATCTTAATGTGTTAATTAAGTAGATAACTTGTTAAAGGAATGCGTTTATGATGCAATTTTAACAATAATTCCTTCTGTTCTTGCCAGACGACTATTAGAAAAAAATAATAATAAAAAATGTAGATAAACTTCCGAGTTGTGTGTCATAAAGTGATTAAGATTTAAAACTTCCTTTAAGCATCAAAGTGAGATGGTGATGACATTAATGGCCACTGTAAAGTCTTACTTCCAACCTTTTATTTCAAATAACAAATTGATTCTACCTGCATTATTTAACTTCAGTTTCTGTTCCTCTTGATCCGAATAAATGTCCAAATAAATTGATTCCCTAGAGGCAAGGATTGATATCAAAACGAAACATATTAATGAAAGTTAGTTCGCGTCATCGCGGTAGAATTTCTTTGATTTCTAAAATTTTATTTCTAGAAATTTGTCAAGCTTGAAGGAGCATTAAACGCTTCTCTTTCATCGCTTTGTTGCGGCAAGTGCAACGGAACGATGAGCATAAGAATATCACACAAACATTTCTACCTGACTTAATAAGTATCCTGCTTGATAGAATTGTGTAACTGAAATTGAATAACGAAGGGAGATTCACCAACACACTTTAATCTATGTGCGGTCACGGTTGATTTCCTTCCCATTCATTTGATATTTTCAGGGAGAAAACAAAATTTAATTTCAAAAAATTGAATGTTCAACGAACGTAACGTAAGGAAATAGAAGACGATCCATTTCAGACCAGTTTTCTTTATTTCATTTCTTGAATTCAATTATGTAGATGTTCATGATGTTGATGATGATGATGATGATGATGTTAGATTACATGTTGCGATGTTTCATCTTCATAAAAAATATGATCATGAACATCGTCATTGTCTTGATCATGAATATCATCATGTACGTGTGTTGAATATCGAGTCATTTACTTAAGTTTTGCTGCGTCTATCCAAGGTTTAAATCAACAGGTGGTCAGTTGAAATAGATTGATGTGTAATTACAAAATGCGTTCTTGGTGGTTTCAATTTTTTATGCATTTGTGTATTATAATAACTTACGACGGTTCTAAGCATTTACCGTTCAATCTTCATAGCATATCTAACGAAAAGATTTTTAATTTCCCATTTATTTGAATTACTCATTAACAGGCCTGTTCTGCGTTCATTTTCAATGTCTGCTTATCAACAAATGCCATCAACATTTAATGAATTCGCATCGACATCAGCACAATCTCCATCGCATCATCGACACACAAATTTCAATCCATCAGGATCATCAACGCAGTCACCATTGATGCAAAAACGTTCCATGATGAATAATCAAAACTTCCAATCGAAAAATGTTGCATTAAATGCACAAACATTACCATATCAGAGTCAAATGACAAATGCAATCAACCAACATTCATCAAATGCATCGACAATGCCAACACATCAAACATTACCGCAAAACTTCCATCCAAGTCAATTTCATGGTCATCCGGCAATCATTGGCGGTTATCATTTGGATACTCAAAGACAATCGCAATCAGATGACGACAGTGGATGTGCTTTGGAAGAGTACACTTGGGTGCCATCAGGGCTTCGACCAGAACAGGTTTGTGAATTTAAATTTTAAGCATTAATGTGACCCAATATTTGTAATGTTCCCACATTAAGAAGAAGCTTCAATCAAACTTCATTTAATACTTTCTCCGCTTGATGAACCTTCTTCATGGAAATGTTGTTATGAAAAGGCCTCGAAGTGATCATTAATTTCTTTTTTAAGATACATCATAAAATGCTGCAGTAAATGCGATTATAATGCACAATAAAAACGAGCAGTTAACGCCATTGACAGCAACAATGATGCTTGAAATTCGTTTTCTTTCCTGGTTTAAAATGCAGACACAAGCATTTCTTCTCTTTGTTTGCCAATGAAACAATGTTTATTTTACGCATTATCCATTTGAAGAGTTATTCTCATATAAACAATTTATTATTAGAAGCACTTTTTGCTTGCTGTCGACGACATCAACGACCGCAAACAACGAATACGAATGATAGGATTTAGGGAGAGAATAAAGATGAGACTGAAATTTATGCTGTCGTAAGCGAAAAAAACAAGAAAAAAAATAATCCGAAAGCCTAACAAAACCCGTATTTTGCGGGAATACTTTAATAAAATGAGTGCAAAGATAAAAGTATCATAAAAGTCATACCAAAGCGATGCTTAGTAAAACACAACCGAAAACGATACATAAAATACCTTCGAGGCATAATTTTAATTCGTGTCTCTTGCTTTTTAACATGCTATGAGGAAAGATTCCCCAACATTTCATTGCTTACCTACAAACCACATCCACATCTTTAACGCTTCTCTACACGATCCTTCTGAGCCCTCTGTCATGATATCTACTAAGTAAATAAGTAGAAAATGGCAAATGAACGACTCGCAATCGTCAGAGGTTTCACAATGTGCTTTAACGATTTTCTTCTGTTTTCTTATTTGACTTCATTAGAATCTCTGCATGTTGGCGACATCAACAACACTCCGGTGTGTAATGTCGAAAAGCAATTTCCACTTCAACATTTCCGGAATTAACGGATCGCATAAAAGTATTTTCGCATGAAGGGATTAACGTTTGTTATAATGTTTCAGTAATGAAACAAAAAAAGAGAAATCTAAGTAACGTTCTTCACCTTCCATTTATGTTCATGTACATATGTTGGATTGAGTCATTAAATAATCAGTAATTATCACAATTACAAATGTAAATAACTGCGGTGTTCTTCACAAAGAAATGCTTCGCAATTTCCTAGGATTTTAAAGCAGAGAATTTTTATTAAAGTTTGAGTGCAAAGAAAAACTTGCATGATTAATCACAATTTAATATTATTAACAGATTTTCTGAAAAGGAAAAAAAGTTCAGAACTTAATCCCAAACACGTCGTAAAGCGTATAAGGAAACAAAGTCGTTGAATCCTTAAAAGCGAAACTTTTATTAACATGTTGATTTATGAAGAACAAAAATTGTAATGAAGATATCATAAAGAATATAAATGAATGTATCTACAAGGTGGAATAAATAGGCAAATAATGCATTAAGGGTAATTAAAACCATAAGGAAATTCCATTAAGACTCATAAATAAGAAGACACAAACGAATCGTGAAAATAAATAATCGAGAACAGCGCCAAACATTATGATCACTTTTCACGAAATGAAAATCGCATATCAGCTTTCCAACTTCAACTTTCGTTTGTGCCTTTAACTTTATCGCGTGCATACACAATAAGAGAATAAATTCCGGAATGGAGAGGGTTCAGCGGAAAATAAATAACGAAAAATACTTTTTCAAGAATTTATTTAGTGAAAGAATTTTCACGAGCTTCGCTTCGCTTTTAAAAGAACATTTTCTGAAATTTAAGCAAGAAGGAAAGCGGGCAAGATCGACTTATGTTAATATTCTTTAACACGCAATAAAAACCTGATTTTATTCGCTGTAGTATTGTTATCATTATCATTACTATTTATTTAATGGATATCGCTGTAGTTGTTTCATTGTTTTTCCTACTTAACTGCAATTTGTAATCAGTGAAAATTTCCCAAAACGCTCAAAACAAAAGTGGAGAAAAATGTAAATAAAGTAAAACATTAACAATTATATTTCTAGGGTTAATGAACACCTTTTTGAGCGAAGAAGCAATTAACTTTCGACATTTATTGGCTCATAAATATGAAAGTGAAATTCGTTTGTGCTTTTTCTTGTTCTGTTAAAATGTTCGACGAAAATGATTGGAAAAGTTTATCAATTTAATGAACTTCACTTTTAATTTTCTTCTTTTTCAGGTTCACTTGTATTTCTCAGCTCTGCCCGAAGACAAGGTGCCGTACGTGAACAGCGTTGGTGAACGATATCGAGTGAAGCAACTCCTGCAGCAATTACCGCCGCATGACAATGAGGTATGTCAGGAAAAAAAATTAATGAAAACTTTCCCAAATTTTTCCCTTGCTTTTCGACGAAATAGAAAAAATTCTTCAGCTTAATTTATGTTTGTCGAAATTGAAATCTTTTCCCCGTATTCTGATCGAGGGCTGAACATTCTCCATTTACAATACGAGTCCATCACAATTTCATATCACGTAGCATGGTGAAACATAGAAGAAATAATAACATTAGCTTGTATGAAATATAAATGGACGAATTTCACATGAAATCAGAAGTTTTTATTTTATTTATTGTCCCCCCACACATTCGGCAACCATCAAAGAAGTTTAAATCTTCTCTTAGTCGATGAAAATTTCATGTCTTGATTTTCAATTACTCTTTCTTCTCACTTTAGGTCCGCTATTGCCATTCGCTTTCAGACGAAGAAAGAAAGGAATTGCGACTTTTCTCAGCTCAACGAAAACGAGAAGCACTTGGACGGGGAAGTGTGAAGCAACTTCAAGTAAATCAGCAATGTGAAGGCGTGAGTAATAAATTAGAGAAAGAAGAAAGAAAGCTTTCGGATTTAAGATTTTTAAAGCAATCAGAATCGAAATGGAAGTCGAATTGTGGCAGCATAAGCCCATAATATCTACACAGATTATCTTAAACGATTCTAACGACATAAAAAGTTCCGTTACCATTTCAAAAGATGAAAATATGTTCACAAATGAAATGGAGAACTCGATACGATGCGATACCTCACAGCGGATTAACATAATAATGCTCTTTTTGTGAGTTGAAATAAAAAGAAAACACCCTGATTATTGTTATGTGCAAATAAAACCATTTTTCTTTGCTCCACCAATCCCAATCCAACTGTGGGAGTCAAAATAAATGTTTCTTCATCACACAAGCCGAAAAGTACGTGAAAATTTTATTTAAAATCGGGGAAGTTTCTCTTGCGATTTTTCCGTAACAAAAAATGAAAGTAAACTGTAGGGTGAGACGAAAAGAATGTTTTGAAGTGCTCGAAGCATTTTTTGGGCTTTAACTCACAGAAAATGATAAATTGGTTTGAGTCGTAAGTTTCGTCACATTTGTGATGATAAATTAAACTTCACTTCTTTACAATCCCCAGAAGTATTAAGAAACAGAAGAGAAGGAAAAAAAAACTTCTGATTATCCATCTGATGGAGCTGGTTTTAAACAAAAGTCCATAAAATATAAAAGCCCAAAGATGTTTTGAAAAGCAGCAAGTTCAATGGTTGGAAATATGAATAAAAAACTTTTGTTCTACCTCTATGAATGGCTGAAGAGAAGAACTTTGGCTGGCTATGAGACAAGAAAGGATGATAAGCGACAACATAAATCAGTCTGAGAGAAATGGCGACGAGAAAATTACGCTTTTCCTTCTTTTTTTTTTTTGCTAGACGGCAGACAATTTTTTTGTAGCTTTCTTTACATGTTCGCATTGAATCATTTTCCATCATACATGCTGCAAGATATGAGAAAGCAGTCATTCGGTTAATTAGATAAGACAAAAAGCATCACTAGATGATGAGAAATGTTACAACGAGGGCAACTGAAGGCATTTGAAATAAAAATGAAAGAATTTTGTGTTAGGAGAAGTTCGGAAGCGTAACATGAAACATAATTGAGGCACTTATGTCAAATAAATCCTCATGATTGCTGTGGCAACGTCTCGTCTGCTTCCATTAGCCATGTCCAGTAATGATCCACTTCAAATTGTGATGCTTAGAGAAGTGAAATTCTTCACAATCACCAACATAGATAAATTGAAAGCGACAACTTCATTCACTATTCAACATCAACCCTCATTCAATTTATGAGTCGTAGTTAAATTTTTCTGACATTGATGATGCGGGGGTGGATTTAACTTACACGAACACAAAATTTGTAATAGAAAATGTAGAATATCAATCATTCCACCATTTCACCGGATGTTGTATACTTTCTTTTCCTGAAATAATTAAGAATCTCTCCAGAATCTCAGTAACATCACGTCCCGTAGACTGCTAGGGAAAATTTATTCATGACGTTGGTGTGGAAAAGTTTTTCTTCTGTTGTTCACTTTTTCTTTTCATTATTTACGACGTCGCATAATGAATGAGCGCGTAAAATGAAAAATTAATATTTTCATGAAGATTGTTACGTTCAAATACGAGGCGTTAAATATTTGGGATGAAGCATAAGGAAGTAATGATGATAAAGAAGTGAAAAGGAAAGCACGTTCGTGAAATTTCCTTAGCAATTTTTCAAAATTAAATGACATATGGCGCGTTGGGATTCGACTCCCCTTTTCCCAAATCGTGACTTTTCCCTCCAACCAAGCGACATAAAACTTTACAAAATCTTTTCTCCTTCTTAAGACTCATGTGCGAAGTGAAATTCTGATCATAAAATCTTTACAATGAATTGTCGTTGTTGAATGATGAAAAGAAAGACGATAAACATAATTTACACTCGTGCTTAGTTCTTTTGAACCTTCAGTTTTGTTCAATTAACCTTTGACTGTTTAACGTTCTTCAATCATCCATTAATAGCTTATGATGAATAATGAGTGGGCTGAGTTCAGTTCTTTCCTTAAACAATTTCTTTTTAATAGAAAAAATTACAATTAAAATGTTTCAGAATTTATCTTGAAGAATTTTCGAATGATTAATGTTACGATTGTCTCGTAAATGTCAATATCATTTGAACTTTGAAAATTTCGTGAAATGTCAAGAAACAAAACGTCGGAAGTCACATCATGTTCAGGTCCATAAATTGCCAGCAATTATCTCAAGCGTGATGACAAAAATTTATTTAATATCTTAATTTGTTCAGAGCACAAACCGACACTGAAGAACTGAAATCAGTTCAATGTCGTGGTTTATTCGGTTGAAAGATTTTTCGCTTGGACAGGAAATTCTGGCACAATTACTTCCCACAACCCAAAAATAAATCAAATAGAAAAACCCGACAAAAGGGAAGAAGTTAAAAGTATAATTTCAAATTAAATTGCTGTTGTGTGCACAAGAGATTCACATTGACTCCTTGATAGCATTCCATTCCAAGCAGTCGAAAACAGTTTAAGAAAATTGTGTAATTTATAGTCTTCACCCATTTGTCGTTGAACAATTTAATTTCTGGAAGTGAAAGGAATCGTAACGAAAAATTTATGAACTCTCCAACTGTCCTGGGACATACTTTCTCCTGTTCTTAAATATTTTCCATTGAATGAAGCGATATCGTCCCTCTTCTAATTACCCATCGCTTTAAACAAAAGTCGTCGTTTGCTTTCATTTTAATTTTGGAGAATAATAAAAGTGAAATGAAGAAATAAAAGAAATTGTCCTCGATTTTTAATTGCTTTTTGTTGTTGGATCTCCTTAAAGACAGTGGCGTTATCATTGATATCAACTCAGAATTATCAAATAAAGTTTCCGTCACTGCTGTCACGATAGTCAAACGGAGAAATCTTTTCAAACTCTCTGACATGCAAATAAACTTTCTTTACAAAGTTCTTCAGGCAATTTGTTATTTTTTGTTTAAAAACTTTCGGTCACGATTAATGATTTCGTCTTTCGGGGATACTCTGGATGACTGTAATCATGAAAGCAGAAGGCAAAGAAATCGAAAAGAAAGAAAATTGTGAGCTTTAAAGAAAGAAAAGAACTTTTTAATTAAAACGCTTCCGGGGAAGTTTTTGAAAAGTTTTACTCCACATTGTGCCGACCAAGACTTCCATTGAACGCTTCTTTCTTTTACTTCATTGATAAAATCTTTTTAAAATTCACAAATTTGATTTTTGTTTTCATTAACAGTGCGGCGAAGTGATGATGACAGGCGATATCGGAGTTTATGGCTCTCGTTTTGGTCCCAACATTTGTTGGCATCCTGCATGCTTTGTATGTTGTGTTTGCAAAGAACTTCTCGTCGATCTAATTTACTTTCATCGCGAGGGACGACTTTACTGTGGACGTCATCATGCAGAAACATTGAAGCCACGATGTTCAGCATGTGATGAGGTAAATTTAATCATAGAACACGTCAATCAAATTTCAGGATGAAATATGAATTTGATTTGACGAAGGTTTTAATCCCATCAATTAAAATCATTTTTCACCTTTCTCAAACAGATAATTTTGGCCGATGAGTGCACGGAAGCCGAGGGTCGAGCATGGCACATGAAGCATTTTGCATGTTTCGATTGCGATAAGCAGTTGGGCGGTCAACGTTACATAATGCGAGAGGGAAAACCGTATTGTCTCGGATGCTTCGACAATATGTTTGCTGAATATTGCGATTATTGTGGTGAACCCATCGGTGTCGATCAAGGTCAGATGAGTCATGATGGACAACATTGGCATGCAACTGATCAATGTTTCTCTTGTTCAACATGTCGCTGTTCTCTGCTTGGTCGTCCATTTTTGCCACGTCGTGGATCGATTTATTGTTCGATTGCGTGCAGTAAAGGCGAACCACCGACACCAACAGATAGTTCAGTGCCGTCTATGCGACCATTGAAGCAAAACATTCACATGCAACAATCCACATCGACAAATCGAACAGCGTCTGATAATGAAGAATCAATCGCTGCACCTTCCACACCCCCATCACCAAAACGCGGCCCATCATCGCCGATTCATCAAGTTCGTAATCAACCACAGCCATCTTCAACAAGATCACCCAAAATGGGAAGAAGAGCTCTTCATTGCAGTCCTAAGCAAGGCTCAAGCACTCAAACGTTTAATGATTTGAATTATCAAATGCCTGGTCAAGTTGAAACCGTCATTACAATTAACGAACAAGATCAGTACTCACTTAATTCAAACACTTCATCCACTTGCAACAAGGGACTTGATCGAGTGCTACTTGAAAGAAACATCGAGAAACTTCTCGAACGAACAGATAAACCAAATCCATATTTTCAACCTCAAATGACGTGTCACGATCAACAAATCAATCGACTACTTCATCATGATCGAAGTCGAGAACCACTCGATTTAACTGATTTAGGTTTAAGTTTGGATAATCTTTCACCGAAAACAAATGTTGGTGTGATGAGTCAGAGTTTGAAGAAAGATCAAATGACGACTTCATCAATGCCGGAACTTCCAGTTTATGAATTATCGAAGATGGATGACATCACTCCAATCAATGAAGAATTGCCGACACCTGACATTTCAGAGTTGACTGCTAAAGGCGATGAACCATCGCAGCCGATATGTAAGATTAATAAATTCTTTTGTTTAATATTTTTAACTTATGTTTTGTAATTATTGTTCACAGTTATTCCAACGACATCAAAGAAAGAAGTAAGATTTGAAGGCGAGTTTCAAGATACTTTGCCACGATCACGAAGCTACTCAGGGAAATCATCACGCAGTAGTGGTCGACGGAGAAAAGGAAGTCGTCAGAAGAAGCAATCATCTGAAAGTCAACCGCGTCATAGACAAGAACACCGAAGAACATCAAGAACTTCTCGACATCAAAGCAATGATGAACCATCGACATCTGCACAATGTCGGGGAGTTAAAAGTGATGTTGTTGATGGACGTCGTGATGACGATGACGACACTGAAACAACTCGCAGTATTTGTTCGACTTGTTCATCAAGTTCAAGTGATTCTGATGATTTTGATTACGAACTTCCACAGCGACAAGTTTATGGCGGTGTGAGAGTGAACTACGTGCCAAACGATGCCTTAGCTTGCGCTCGCAAGGAACAACAACAGTTTCGACACGATCAATCCAACAATAGCGATCGTGATAAAAATTGCACAATATCATGAGGAAAAGTCATCAAGAATCTTGTAAATGACGTAAAGAAACTCAAATTTCTAAACCGAACGACAACACACTGAATGATGCCAAAACTTAATTGAGATTCCGTACAAAAAATCAAAACAAAAAAGTTATTTTTAAAAGTTTCAATTTAATTTTTAAATTACTCCTCGCCATATCTGAATAATTGAAACATTTCATGTCATATCTGAAATATCTATTTTGATCTTTTAATGCTTCCACGTCGTTTATTTTAAATTTTTTTAAAGATTTTCTAATTTATTAAAACAATTTTCGTTTATAAAATTTAATTTTTACTTTGGTAGAAAGTTTCAGAGAAAAAATTGCAACAAGATTTACGATATCAAATATCTTGAATTAAAGTTTAATGATTTTGTATGTTTAAGAGAAATTGAAAGAAAATAAATGACAACTTTTATATAATTTAAGTCAGTTTTTGAATGTTTTTCCTACTTTTCAGATTGTGAAATGATTGAAGTTTTCCTTGTTAGTTAACACTTATTTTTCTCATCGTTTAGTATTACTGAAAAACTTAAATAAAGCTTCAAAATTTGCATCTTAAGATTGCTTCATATTCCTAAATTTTCCTATAACTAACTTTGTGTCTTGACAACATAAAATAAGAAAATTTTCACAAATGACGAATCAAATTCCTGAAACAAATTTTATATCACGTTTTATAATTGCAAACGCTGTAAAAATAAATAAATAAATGCATCACAGACATCTGAAATAGAAGCTTCCAAGAGTTGCCGATCGATAAACTCGCCTGCACGACTCAACAATTTATTATTTCCTGTTATCAATCGATTACAATGTATGGATGAATATTCACCGCTACCTACCTTGATTAATGTTATTTCAATTGATGAAAAGTGATCGAAGAAGGAATTCTTTACACCTCCAGCTTCTTTAATGATTTAAATTTAAACATTACTGTAAGAAAGAAACAAAGTAAATGTGGAATTGAAACGCAATTTCTTTACATGTTTCATTAAAGCCACGAGTATATTATCATCGTAATTGTATTTTAATTTATCATTATAAGAAATTGAACAACGCCAAAAACTTTTTATTTGTATTCTGAGTTTGATTTTGTTTCTTTTGTTGCTCTTTGCGAGCGCACGCCAAAGCATCATTAGGCACATAACTGATTCTCACGCCACCGTAAATTTTCCTCTGCGGCAATTTGTATGCAAAGTCGTCAGATTCACTGGAGCTAGATGAACATGTCGAACATAAGCTGCTAGTTTCAGAATCATGATGGTGAGTTTCCGTTCTCATTTTAGCTTGAGCTGACGTACATGGTTCGTTTGCATGTCGACTGCTTCTGGAAGACTTTCGTTGATGATCGTGTTTATGTTTTGAGGTGTTTGACTGCTGGTCACTTAAACGATGCTCTGAAACATGTTTTCTTTGACGACTTCCCTTCCGTCTTCGACCACTACTTCTTGCTTGACGACCTGAGTTGCTTCGTGATCGGTGATTTGCTTCTTTCTGTTCTCCATCGAATCGAACTTCTTTCTTTGACGTTGTTGGCAATGCTAAGTAATTAAATATGCATTTAGATTGTAGAAAAAAGAAGGAAATAAGATCTTTGATATGTTTGTCACAACATTCCATTAAGTAACTTACCAATTGGCTTTGAAGGTTCCACAACTTGATTCTGACTTGATGTTGCTTCAACATTATCCACCACAACCACATCCTTTGTATCTTCTTCTGGTTTAATTGCTTCAATAGCATTCAATTCCGGCATAGATGATGTGATGTCGACGCTCTTCTTTAATGGCTGTTCATCATTTGATTCTTTTGTACTCGATGAATTGCTGAATTTTGGCGAGAGATTATCTAAACTTAATCCTAAGTCAGTTAAATCGAGTGGAACACGACTTCGATCTTGATGTAACAGTCGATTAATTTGTGGACTTCGATTGACGTTTTCAGCCATGCTGGTGCTTGATGATTGAAAACCGCTTGTCTCTGTCTGTTCCAACATTTTCTCAATCTTTCGCTCAAGAATCATTCGATCTAATCCCTTATTGCACGTCGATGATGTTTGTGATGTTAGCGAGTGTTGATCTTGTTCTTTTCGTTTGATTGGCGAATCAATTGTTGGTGGATATCGTGGAATGCTTTGTTCGAACTTCATTGATAGACATGGCGAAGAAACATTGCTATTGCTGTTGCTTTTCTCAACTGACGTATTCATTTGATGCTGCACGAGTGACTTCGATGTCACTATGGGTGATGCTGATGGTGTTAAACTCTCGTCATTATCTGACGCTAAACGACTTTTTAATGGTCGCATCGACGGCACTGAACTATCTGTTGGTGTCGGTGGTTCGCCTTTACTGCACGCAATCGAACAATAAATCGATCCACGACGTGGCAAAAATGGACGACCAAGCAGAGAACAGCGACATGTTGAACAAGAGAAACATTGATCAGTTGCATGCCAATGTTGTCCATCATGACTCATCTGACCTTGATCGACACCGATGGGTTCACCGCAATAATCGCAATATTCAGCAAACATATTGTCGAAGCATCCGAGACAATACGGTTTTCCCTCTCGCATTATGTAACGTTGACCGCCCAACTGCTTATCGCAATCGAAACATGCAAAATGCTTCATGTGCCATGCTCGACCCTCGGCTTCCGTGCACTCATCGGCCAAAATTATCTGCAAAACGAATGACAGAAAGGAAAAATATGTTAATCGATGGGATTTAAAAGCTTTTAAAGAGATTCATTGGAAGCGCCCGTTTGCCGATAACGATTGTCGTTCGAGTGTTTAATGTTGGTTTTTCCCTATGACTTTACCGAAATCTCTGAATAAATCGACTAACTTTGTGCCCGTATGTTCTCCCCCCAATAAGTAATATGAAATGAAAATATGAAATTTTTTCTTTGTTTTCGAATCTTCGAATGAACACTTAAAAAATGTTAAAAGAGAAAATGAAAAATTACTTCAAATTTAATGGGGGACGACTGCAAGTGAGTGAAAGGAAATATTTTCTTTAAGTGAGATTTGAACAAATGTCCTTTAATGCTCATTCGATATTATTTGTCACATTTTTCTTTGAGGAAGGAAGTAAAATGTCTTGTTTAGATTTCGATTTAAGGGTGGAAAAAAATTTAACTTTCATGTTTTCCTTTTTATCGCAATCGATTTTTCTTGAAGGATTAACTGACTGAGAAAGACAAGACGAGAGTTTGGTGGCACTGCTTGAAACTTTTTCACCCTCTTTGTTTCTTATGAATTCGTCAAACAACTTTGGCGACACTTGTTCGACACATAAAGTTGTCGTTGTATAAATTTGAAGTTAGAAAAGAAAGGGAAAAGTTCAATTAGAGTACCGACAAATCATGACATATCATTAGCCGATTTACCACACATCTCTCCATCTAAGAAATCTTAGAGAAACATTAATCTTGACGTACATGGCGAATACTTTCTTATTATATGAGTGAGATGTCAGTTACGATCACAACAAATGATGAGGTGCCTCGTCTGACATTAATCTCGAAGAAATGTATAATTTAGATTAAAGCAGCTTCGTTAGTGAAATCTCCATGAAATAAAATAAATTAAGGCATCAACTTTGCTTATTAATTTCGCTCATGTAACTGAAACTTTTATCAACGAACGATAAGAAGCAAAATCATCCAGACGAAGACACGAATCGTCATTCAACTAACAAAGAAATCAAATTTAAAAAGAAAAGTCTTAAGATCCGAAACGTGATAAGTATCAATTTCATTCAGCAAAAACCAATTCCATTAGAAGAAGGAAAATCATTGCATGAATATTTTCAGGCTCATTTTAAGAACATAAACTTTAGATTGAATTTTTGCTATCGATGCGAATGAAGAGCTTTTTGAATGTCCTTAAAGTTCATTTATTGTCTAAGACTTCAAGGATACAAAAATAAATTCATTCTCACATTTTGCCTCTAAAATATTTAACATAAAAGAAGAGAAAAGATTTGAAATCTTTTGTAGTGAAGTCTTTGGGATAAAATCAATAAAACTCTCCCCCGATTTTCCTTCATCCTCCCTTCTGTTTATGCATGCTATAAACAAAGAAACAGCAGCTCAGATAATTCTCGTCAGTCGGAAATTTATGGAACTTTTATAGGTGACACATCGCTTAACATAAATTAAAATCTCACCTCATCACATGCTGAACATCGTGGCTTCAATGTTTCTGCATGATGACGTCCACAGTAAAGTCGTCCCTCGCGATGAAAGTAAATTAGATCGACGAGAAGTTCTTTGCAAACACAACATACAAAGCATGCAGGATGCCAACAAATGTTGGGACCAAAACGAGAGCCATAAACTCCGATATCGCCTGTCATCATCACTTCGCCGCACTGCAAAATAAAATAAAAGATTCTCTGGTTAGATTGCTTAGAATGTTTTTTTTCTTCTATTTATAAAAACAGGCAAAAAATTTCCTTTGACTTTCAATTTAAAGTTTCTTCAATTTTATTTAAAAAAACTTTTCCCCTGTGGAGTGCAATGAAATTCTGTAAAAAGTTTTCAATCGAAATCGAGATTTTTTCTCTCATTTTGAAATTTATCGGTTTTTGCTGATATGAAACTTTTCAGAGTTTCATGTAGTTGGGCAAATCTCCTTTTTTTTGTCACAAACATTTTACTACTTGGGGATATTTAAGGATTTTCGGAAAATGCTGCTTCGTCATGAATTTTCCATTTTCCTATGTATCCAAACAATGTCATGGCGTAAAATGTTTTTAATTGAAAAATGTGGACTTAAAATTGTGAATGTCATTCAGTAAAATTAACTTTGATAGATGAGTAAGAGAAGAAAGAGATTCTGAATGTCCATTAAGCATAAATAATAAATTAAATCAATTAAAAGGAGCTGAGTAGTGTGATTAGCAAGTTCCGGCAATTGTAGAAAAATATTCAATTCTCGCGTGCCTTTGCAACAATAAATAAATGAACAAACGAGACAGTGTTTGATTTGAATATTGAAATAAACAAGAATCTTCGTTTTACTCTCATCTACTAACAAAACTTCTAACGGATTCTTCGTGTTTGCATAATAAATCAAACTTCCTGTTGATGAGGTTAATTACTTCATAGCTTCTTAAGTCACTCACAGCTTTTAAGTATTACAGACTCGTCATCTACTTTTCTCCATCTTTCGATTTTAATTTTAAAAATATTTTAATTACATTTGACTATACTTAGTGATCGAACTTCGATGCGAGGTAAAAACAAGTTTTGTTTAACTTGTCACTGGTTGGATGAGAGAAATCAAGTTTCTTGCACGGCATAGCGGAGTAACAAGAACGAACTTTCATGCGTTGCGTTGATTCCAATCTTACGACGATGCAAATTCATTTACTTTTTATTTTATATTTTTCCTTATTCGCATTGAACTGAAGTTTTCATTTGAAATTGTCGTGAATGAATTGAAATTCTTGTTTAATTGCAATTGAAACGTTGATTAAGTACTTGAAAGAAAAATTGCATCTTGAAGTAAATTACTTAATAATGGGAACCAAGATGAAACTTCTGAACGTGAAATTTAATTTAGATACTTTGTGAATGAATTGCGAAAGAGAAATAAAAAGCAGCATTTGTCTTTTTCAATAGACTTTCATTGCTTTATTTTCCACACGTAACTGTTTTATTTCATTTTGATTTCATTAATCACAATCACTTTCTTTTCACATTTTTCAAAACAGAAATTCTCATTAGTTTGCGATCATTAAGATGTCGACTTGCTAAGTGATGCAAGATATTTTTTAATCCAAACTACCCAGTGAATCAATGACTGCCTTTGTCATTCTCATCATCAAAATAAACATTTCGCATGTTTAAAGTGTTTTTAATCTTTAAAACCTTCATCCGAACTTTTTCTTTCAGTTTTTAAATCTCATTTTCAAGTGAACATAATGTCAGGTAATTTACGGTTTTTATTCCATACATGAAGCAATAACATTTGCTGAAATACTTTTTTCTGTTCGCCAACGCTAACATCGACTAACTCCCATTGTATTTATCGACTTCAATGCATCAAAACATTCATCAATCATTTTCTCGTATGTATGTATACATTTGGAGCAAAGTGATACGAAAAAAGCTAAAACATTAAATTTTTTCTACTCAACGAGACGGTTAATGTAAAGACCTGAATTGAATAGGATTTGGGATTGTTCAGATCTTCCGTCACTGGAGTTTGTCTTCGTATTATTAAAAGATTATTGACATGAATTTATTTTAAGAATTTCCTTTAAAACGGTTAACTTTATATTTAGACAAGTTTAGGGTTCTCACTATGTCATCAGACCTGACGTCAAGTCTGACTTGACTACCCTAGATAAATTTTTAAATCGACTCAAGACGTAAGTAAGTGTTCACGTTTAAGTTAAATTTTGAAATAGTCGCTGTGAGCTTTGTAAATATCTGCCAGCATGGTTGTAAGCTCTCACTCCATGCTATCGGTCGCTGTTACTTTGGCTAAGGAAACAAAATAATTTCATGCTAATGAAGTAATGTAATTATTATGCAAAAATTGCTTGTGGAAGTGTTGAAGCTGCATTTTTTTTCTTTTCGTTTGCATTATTATTGTGCAAAGCCTAATTGGAGTCTCACTTGTTTAATGTTCATTCTCATCCAAAGACAGAATCTTTTCCATGGAGAATTTGTATAATTTATAAATGCGGTCTTTGGCCGAACAATTTCATTCTTCACCTTCGGGTGAAATCTTCTGGTTTTCATTGAATCGAAGCGAAAAGCGCATTGAAAGAGAAACTCAAAGAATTTCTTTTGTGTCAAAGAAGCGTTTGGTTTGTTCCATTAGAAGTAAGTTTCGACATCTCTTTTTGCTTCTTAATAATCCTTTTTGGAGATACTATTACTGTCTACATAAGTTTCCTTTAGTCCTATACAAATAGAATAAATCATGCTTTATTTCCCAAAAGTCTTTTTCTTGCTTCCTTTTTAGATGTTGGAAGAAGGAAGGCGAAGCTTCCGTGTCTTCAAACTTTAGTAATGAAATTAGGGGAGAGACGGGTTTATGGAAATGAAAAAAGATCTGATGGCATCCATCAAATGGAATTCAATTGGGAATTTTCAATTTTGTTATCACAACTTACTCCTTCGCATTGCTGATTAGCTGACAGTTGCTTAGTTGCCCCACGGCCTAATGCATCACGTTTCCTTTGAGCTGAAAACAGTCGCAATTCTTTACGCTCTTCGTCGGTCAGTGAATGACAGTAGCGAACCTGGAATTTTAAATTCAATTAGCATTTCGTCACAGCGTTCATAATAAAGTTAATTAAATTTTGATTCTTCACATGACTCATTATTTCAGCCTGGAATCTTGATTTTCAAGTTCATATCTATGTCTCTTCTTTTTCATTTTCAATTAGTTTTCTCTTCTCCACTGATTCGGAGCTTGTCGCTTGATGAAGCGATTAAGTTAATGAATGTTACGTGGAAATGCTTGAATATCGTTCTAGAATTTTGTTTCTGTGTCTTGTGAAATAGAAATAAGCATGAAAATCTTAAAGTATGGCAAATTGAAAACGATTGAATGCATTGTTACAATAATTACTGGACTTGATTTGTAAGTTGAAAAGATTTCATTCGCTTCACGGATATTAATTTAAGACACAGTTTCATACATAAAAATAAAACATTCAATCTTTAAGCTTCTGTTTAACATTTTATGGACATTCCATCAACAAGCGACGTGACAAGAATCAATTCAATGCGATTTTAAAAGCTACATGCGAGAAAACATTTAAAATTCCAAACTACTAGAATCAAGTTAAGTTTATTTATATTTATAAACAAAAGTTAACAAGTCGGAAAGCAGTTATTCACCTCATTGTCATGTGGCGGCAATTGCTGGAGAAGTTGTTTCACTCGATATCGTTCACCTACGCTATTCACATACGGAATCTTGTCTTCAGGTATCGTAGAGAAATATGAATGCACCTGGAGAGGAACAAAAATATAATTATTAGTTAATTTGTATGTTTACTACCTAGAAGAAATAAAACGAGAACTTTTAACAAATTGATCCAAATAAGCGCAATGAAATAACATAAAAAAGTAACATTAATAATTACAATTACAAAACCACACCAAATAAAGTTTTCTTTCATTGCGTGTTATTAAAATTAACATATTTTTGTTGGATTTGAAATGAAACTTTCCGTTTCCACCCCCGCGACACTTTTTTTGTATTTTCTTCGGTTATCATTCAAATTCAGTTTGTCGTTTTCAGTGGATTTTCCGAGTTTCCACCTCGTCGATTAAAATTTGGATATTCACTTTTCTTTTTTGTCGAAACGACATGAGTGCTTCATTTCACTTTCACCCTCGCAATTTTCTAAATATGTATTGAAAGTAAGAAAAAAGAAAAATAAATTCCAATATTTTGCGCTCGATAAAGAAGAAAGAAAATTTCATTTGAAATTCCATTTGATGGGGCACGCGACTCAATTTTTGCTGACTTAAAAAGAAATGCCATCGTTCATTCATGTGTTCGTGGTAAGTAATTATAACTCTTGTGTAGCATTACCATAAACTAGATTTTAGCTTTAATAAAATTGCTTTTTTTCCTCTCGAATCTTTAGAAAAGTACTTTTATGGAGTATATTTAATACTCATAGCTGATAATTTACGATTTCCCGTTGTACACGATATCTCCGATACTCATACTGTCTGATATCTGACCGAAGTCATTAAATTTAAATGACTCAACTTTCTAAAATTAAAATTTAAATTCAAAACATTTTTAAATTATTCGCCTAGCCAACAGCAAGCACATATGAGAGCATTGTTCACTTCTCATATTCATCCAAAACGACAACGATGAAGTTTATGTAATCATCGTCCTTGTTTCACCATTGGGTTCTTTCTCTACCTGACTTTCCCCATGTCAAAACAAGAGCTGAGATTCCAGGGATTACTTGAGCACTTATGATATGAATGTGAGTCACCGAGATCTTTTCTGAACCAGATTCAATCCCAAGCTATTTAATATAAATGGACTTTTTAGTGCTTTTTTACGATAACGATTACACACTTGAGGAAAACGGCATTTTTTTCTCTTTCTTTACTCCTCCCGATCCTAAAATGATTTTTTATATTTTATAGCTTCACGTGAGTGTGTGTGCTTTGATTTCTCCCTGCTGTTACATCTCATCCACTTGCTTTTACTTTTATACTGTTTAATAACAAATTCAAGGAAGAACACAACAACTCTCTTCGCAGATAAAATTGTTGTGTATTTAACAAATAAATTTATCATTTTATTACAATTTGGACGATCGTAAAAATTCTCTCAGATCGGTTGTTGGTGAAATGTGGGTTCAGTTAGTGCAATAAAATCTTGAAAGAAAGAAAAACAATAACTTATGTTGTTGTGAGTAGAAAAAGTGGAAGGAGAAATGAAAATTCTCGAATGTAGAAATGGAAAACAATTTCACTCACTCTCTTGCTCGCTACAAAAGCTATTTATTTAAATGCGCCGTAAACCTTCTAATAGCAGACTCTTAAAAAACGATAAAACATGAAAAGGGAAACTTTAAGAATTCGAAATCGAAATCTGTTATTCATCGATGACAGCTTTTGCATAAAGAACCTTCAATAAATCTTTGTTCAATCAGTTGATTTTGTCTGTTTAAAGATTTCCGGCTTTGCCGACACCGCAACGAATCGATAATTTCTCAATCAAGTGTTAACTGCAGGTTGAAAGAAATTCTCAGGAAAAAGACGAAGAATTTAAATTGAAAATTAAAATAAAAGAAACTTTCTTTTTATCAGAGTGATTCTTGAAATTTTTTGATGATCACAGTCATGACTTTGACTCTTGTGATCTGTGGAATGATAAGAAAAATAATTTAAAATTTCGCTTGACTTCAGTTTACTTTAGACAGACGAATCATCAACAAGTCGCTTGAAAAATAAGTGAAGAATGAAGTTAGCACTTTTTGGTGTGTAAAAACTTCTACTTCAAATATTTGTACTTAATTTAACATTAACAATGATATTTCAAGTTTTAGCTATCATGTTTTTCATGGGAGTCGCTTTGGGACAATGGGACATGTCAAATGAACTATTACAAGAAGTGAAGACTTATGGACCATCAACAGATTCAATCGAAGAATATAACAAAACAAGAATTTAATCTTTTGTTTCCTTAGAAAGTAGAAAAACATTTAAAACCTTACTCAAGTTTAATTATTCAAAATTCTTAATATCGATTCTAAAGCTATCATCAACACTCATCAGAGAAATTCCTTATGCATCATCTAAAACTTCTATAACAACGCATTGTGATGTGAGTTGAGAAATTATATTAATTTGAGATGTTAAGAGCCTCTAGACGAACTAGAAAATTTCTTTAATTAAAATCTGATTTATCCACAACTGAATGTGATTTTTGTTTTCCAGAAATGAGAAATTTAATCTCCCAGAAAAAGCTAAGTTATCATCATTTTCATCATCTCTCATGCTTCGTCTACATAAGTCATCAGCATGAAAAATTTTTAGTGTTCCCCAACTTCCGCTCTATAAAATTGGGGTTCCGTATTATCAGAATCATGGCATTATCATGATGGGAGTCGTGCTTTGCCTCGAAGGGAAGAAAGATACAAAAAGATGTGTGGGTGGAGAACTGAAGAGAAGAAAAAGAAGAAGAAAAATTCTTTAAAATTTAAACGGAAACATTTTTCGGAAATGTCTGATGGTATCTTTTATTACCGTCAGTATTTGCTTTACGGAAAATTTATTTACATTTTCTGTCTTTCTTGTATCAGCAGCGGAATGACATGAAACAAGACAAAATATTTTTCATGCAAAAATCTGAGCTTCGTGTTTATACGAAGTAAATGAATGACAATGAGAATGTTTAAGATTTAAGAGCGAGAAACATTAACATTTATTATCTTGATATTAAATGGTTTAAAGAAGCTGAGATTGTTGCGGGCGGAGTTGAAGGGTTGTTCACTTTATTATGCGTGGATGAATTCCGATTTTGCTGCTTTCTGCTTTTGCTATGATTTGTCATACTGAAGATGATTCACTCATCCCTGCATCACTTGCTTCTTACAATACTCGCATAGCGAGACACAAAACTGTTAACTTTTTAATGAAAAGCGGTAATTAAATATTTCTTCCCTTTGTCTACGACACAAAACAGCAAGCAAACATTTTTATGTCTCTGGAAATTATAAAAAAATATGCGACTGTTGCTGTAGCAAAAGCAAACATTGGCTTTTCAATTATGAACGCGAAAAACATTTCTCTTTTGTGCTTTCAAAGAGTGAAGGAAAAGTTTATTTTTTTAAATTCCATCGACGCCACAACAAACTTTTATGTCACATTCCGCAATGTTTTTCATTTTGTAATTAATGTTATGACTTTTATGATTTCACCATCGTTTATGGTGCACGCTTCAGATGGATTCTGTTAGGCTTTGAAGTTGATTTTATCATTATGATGCCATCAAGTAAACCACTTCATGTTTATTGTAATTTTTCATTTATGTACACTTCACTAGCATTCTGATGGTCCTTCAATAAATGCGACATTTAAAAATTAAGATTTTATCTCTTTCGCTTCTCGTTTATAATATAAAAAACAATTTTTTCTGAAGCGATTCGTTGCCATAAAAAGCTCTTTATTGCTTGTCATGAAAATATCTATCGACGGTTATCAACAGGAGAAAATCAAACAGAAAACAAAAAATCCCTTCTGCGATCATAAAAACACCGACATCATGATATTTATGCACTAAACTTTCTCCTTCTGATGTTGGTTATTGCGGTATTTATTATAATGTATTCTGGTCGGAGTTTAGATCTTTAATTTATTATTCATTTGTTTGTACGTTGTTGTGACAACATCTCAGAGGCATAAAATAACCATTCAGATTATGCGTGAAAACGAGAACGTTTACCAGTAGGGGTCAAGAAATGTTTGTACCGTTGTTCAATTCTATTGATGATGACACATTTCCCAATCATTAATTGTCGAATTCTTTCACTCGAAACAAGTGAATATCTAAATGAAATCAACAGGAAATTCATTAGTAAAACAGAAAGTTGGTAGTAAGTGCTTCGACACGTACTTAAACATAAACTTTACTGTGCTGTTTATTATTGATACAACAAGTTCACGCAGAAACAATTTTTAATTTGCTCTCTGTTGCAATAAGGTTAAAGAAGAAAGAAAATGGTAAGCCATCAATGTGAAGTGGAGAAATCAATTAAATTGATTAACACTCTCGCTTTATTTATTCGTTCTCGTCATTTAATAAATAAATCAGGTTTTGCGTAAATGTTCATACAATGAAATTGATGTCAATGAAAGAAATTATCAATTTACCTGTTCAGGTCTGAGACCAGGTGGCACCCAAGTGTATTCTTCAAGTGCACATCCACTGTCGTCGTCAGATTGTGGTTGTCGTTGAACATCTAATTGATGATGTCCGATCATTACTGGATGAGCTCTCATTGGATTAGTTGGTGGAAAGTTATGTGGAAATGTTTGAGGATTTGAATTTGGCAATGGCATCGGCGTTGCATGATGATTAATCGGTGGATATAACGGATTTTGCATTGACAAAGGATTCTTCAATGAATAAATTTTGGGATTAGTTGCAGGTAAAGGTTGATGAATGTGAGTTGAGTTTGGATGATATGGAATTGCATTGGGTAGTCCCACACTGTTTTGTGGACTCAACGAGATGTGACGATAGTTTGGTGAATCCATTGATGGTTTTGCGTCACCTTCTTTGAAGTTAACTGGACCTGCTATCGGTTGTTGATGATGATACGACGACATTGTTGCAAATTTTTCTCTATAAAGAAATTAAAAATAAGAAACATTGTTAATACAATCATAATTTAAACTTCCGAGCATAAATAAAAAAGAAATGTGATTGTTAAAGTTTCCAGAAGCTTCTTCTTCCCTCACTTTTCTCTGTTGTCATAATTACAAAAGAATTATTATTATAGAATAACAAGAACTGAAGCAACGCCGTGAGAGAATAAATTATAATTCTTTCTTCTTTTTTCTTCCATTCCTTCCACTTCTGACATCCATTTTAATATGTGTCTACCGGCGATTAAATGCACAAACATGTTCAAAAACATCTCGCGCTCTACCCGGTACGCATACAAATTTAAATCGCCATCGTTCAATTTGGATAATAATTATTTATGAAGAAGATTGCTGCATGTCTCTTATGGCCCTTTTATTGTTTCTCGTAATAAACCAACTATCCATAAGTTGAGTTACAGAATGATTAATTCAATCCAACATCTCTCATTATTGTTGTTTTCAAGTGACTTAATAAATAAACATCGCCCACCATGTAGATTTTAATACACAACTTGAATAACTCATTCCTTGCGTTCTTATTTCCAGCAATTAACATTAAATGGAATTGAGAAGCATATCAACTCTAAACCAACCACATTCCTTACATTTACTTTTGCTTAACAGCATCAAAGTTGGACATTTGATATTTCACGAAACGTTTTATTCGATTTTTGTCTAATAAGCACTTTTAAAATTCAATTTTCTTTATTATTATTTTTTCGTATTCCTACAGCATCTGGTTTATCACGACATATGGAATGTTATGTTATTTCTTTTCTTAAAATTATTTCTCAAATGTGAGAAGTCAACAAAACTAAAAAATAAGAAATATAAATCTCAACCTCGCTACCACCACTAATTGGAGTTTTTTTTTCTTCTTTTCTTATGCTACAGATGTCGTTTTATCACGCAAAATCTTTTCGCTTAGGCTATGATTCTCCATCATTGTGGTTATGAATGTATGTTGAAGCAATTTTCATTCCTTTCTCTTCACTTAAATAAGTATTATTCAACATAACATTAAAGTGAATGATATCTTAAGCCAACGAAAACATTGAAAGCCCATTTTTTTCAGTCACCCACTAGTTAATGCGATTTCAAACGATCAATCATACTTCGCAATTCATTCGTTTGTTTCTCAAAGCAATTTATTGATTTACAAGCCATTTTAAGCGCTGTTGGATTTATAACGTGTCTTGCTGTTCAGTTTGGAGCTCAAAATGATGGACTGGATTGAATGATATTAATTACTGTATCAGTTTCATAATTTATTTTCGAACATTAATCCATCTATCGATTTATGACAACAAGTTTGATAAGATAACATTTGCAAACAAATTTGTTCATTTTATTAAATGATTTCGGGGCATTTGTACATGCGATTAATTCGTAGAATATCTTCGGGAGTTGTTTCTTTTCTTTGTCCCATCGTACGGTTGTAGGGATTTACAATCGCCACCATTGTAGGTTTTCTGTTCTTCGAGGAAAGAGTGTCACCATAATGCATGACACTACCAACATCGTAAGGCTTTAAAGAAGAATTTCTAGTAATTAATTTTTTCACATATAACTTGATGAGCTTACAACGCCAAATTGGCTGACTTCTGTATTTGGTCGTGTGAAAAAGCTGCCTTCTGCACCTTCCTTAACATTTTCCCATTGAATTTTGACATAATCGTCACGATCATAAGCGTTGTGCATGTGATGGAAGCCAAGTGAGTGTATGAATTCATGAACGATAGTGAATAATTTGAAACATCCTTTTTCGATACCGTACGGTTGCAATCTAAGACGTTGTGGCCCGCCCTGTCTTCCAACTGAAGAAGCACAACCGTGTGTGTCACCAGTGACAAAGATGAAGTCTCCGTCTTCAGGTGGTGAAGAAAGTTCAGGAAACTTTAGACATGTTCGATTAGCAAGATGAGTTGCAGCTTTTCGAATGTAATCAACTTGTTCTTGATCTGCAATCAACGCAAATTTTTACATTTAAATCAGAAACAACGACGGGAAAGTTAGTCATTTGAGTTACTGTAGAAAGTTGTGTTGATCCAAAACGGGACTGTATTGTTCTTCCATCGTCTTCGTAAGTCTAAACGACCAGCAAATGGCAAAAATTCTCCTTCATCGATTAACATGTCGCCTTCAATTTGTCCACTCAATTCTTCAACATTATCATCTGGTGAAAGGTTTTTCAATCTTTCAACTGAAAATTTATTTTCCTTTTAATAATGAAAATAAATGAATTTTAAAACTTTAAATTACTTTGTTCGCTTGTCAGAGGTTTTTCAAGACTTTTCTCTTTTCTGATGGAAAATGAAAATGCAAAAGAAAAGAAAAATAACAAAACTAAGCAACTTTTCATCATTTTTCTACTGTTTTACTTAAAGAAACTTTTCAGTGTAACTGACTGAATGATTCTGTTTGTTACAACTTTTATAATAAGAATTTATCAAGCATTCTAATCGCTATCTTATCATAAATAAAAGGTCAATTAAATTATGTTATTTTGTCATAAAACCTTTTATAAATCTTAAGACTTTTACAAGATCTTATCAAAGATAATGTAAATGGGCAAAATAAAATTGTGAAATTGGAATTTATTAAGAAATCGATACAAAGTCAAAAGGCTTTGTTACGTTTCGAGGACACAAAACGTTAACTTAAAGTGTAAACAACAAGTTGACGCTATCACAAGTTCTGGAAATTTCTGTTTTAAAACAAATCTCAGAGACAAATATCTGTCGGTTGAAGTGTTCAATTTCAATTTGAAATAAAAATAAAATAATAAAATGTTTAACGACAAACAAAGAACGGACGAACCTTTCAGAGGTAAACACACAAATATTTGTCTTTCATATTTCGAGATGGAATCAAATATTTGTTAAAAACTTTTGGTAGCATCCAAACATTAACTGAAGAAGCACTCGTGGTAGTTCTCGTTATAAAAAGGTTAGTCTCAGACTTTTTGTTTTTTTAATTTTCTCTCTCTTTGATTATTTAATCCCCCTAAAGCATTTTGGCAGTTTTGTTTTCGTCATGCACACGAAAACTTCTGCATCGATATTGCTAAAAAGAATTTTTGTGGAAACTGTTTGAATCTGTTTTATAATCTTCGACTTCATAAAATTGCAACCTCGAGGCGTAATCGTCGAACAGATTTTTTTTTAATTTTTAACTAAATAAAAGAGCAGTTTTTCGGCAGATAACCAGTTCTTTTTTATTTCTTTTCTGAAGTGGCTGGCAATTAAGTTTACCGGTTGAAATCGAGAAAGATTTTTCCAACAATTTAAGTAACATCAGACTTTAGACATGAGATGTAACCAATACGCAGTGAGGCTCGAATCTCTCTTCTAAAATGCTCGCAATTACAGTAAATGATCAATAATGAAGATAGAAAAGAGTCATTCCATTGAAATTAAAAGGAGAAAAAGAGCCATTCACACAAGCCACTTGAGTCTATGTGTACTCAAAGAAGCGAAGAAAACGCTAGAAAACATCAAAGAATTTCTAAAGATTATTGTAAGTACGGACATATTTCAATTGATTGATATTTTTATCAGACATTCTCAATCTCCTTCTTACTTCTTTCTTCATTCGTATTCATTTTCATTTTGAAGAACATTTAACTGACATCATATGGGCAATTCATCGATAAACATTATAAATAAATGTTGCGAGGTTGAAATTTGTCTTCAGCTTTCGGCATGAGCTGACGCGCCACATATGATGACTAACGAAGAATTTTAGTTTAAAATGAACTATTCAAGAAATAATTTCTTAATCTTATTTTTTATTCGCACAGATATGACTTGATTTAACTTCTTTCGAGATTCTTTAAATATTTAAATCATTTATTACAAGCCATTTGTAAAATTATACTTTAGATTATTTGTCGTTTTGAAATAATTCATTAGTCTCTTAAGCTTTATTGTTATAGCTGGCACTTTATAAAAACCATTTTGGATTAACATTTTAAATCAGTTGTCGTAAGCAAGCAAAGCAAGTAATTTAGAGAAGTAGAGAACGTGTTGAAGTGATGCGTTAACGAATACCTGCAGATCGTGTTGGATAACACATGAAAATTCAACGGTCACGTTCAGTATCGTTGTCATCATCATCATCATCATGGAAGAAAATCCCTTTTAAATGTGAGCATTCAACACAAGTCTCCAGTGTCACATAAAATTAGAAGAAGAACTGAATGTACCAGTCATTGAGCTTTCTTATTTCCATTACAATGTGTTGCGTTCCATAGCAGTTCCATGTACACATTGTCATTGTTATCATGCGACTCCACCACGTTCGCAATGTTGAACAATTTTATTTCCTAGTTTATAGACCACCTGTCGCTTCGAGCTTCTCTCCTTCTCTCAAACATTTCACGTTGTTTCTATTCTCACATGACTTTGCTGTTCGATGTTATATTATTTACTCTTTTTTTCGGAACAATAATCTTTCGATATTCAGACTTTGAATAAGAAAGAAAATTACTTTTGTGTGGAGATTAACAAAAGAGCGCATTTTCTTCAAAAAAAAGTATTTCATTCAACACAACAATAAATACATTCAAACGTATACAAGAGACAGAGAAAAGGCGAAAGAAAACCACATTCAATCCGCAAGCATGTGTCGCCTTAGCGCATTCCAAATACTTTCTATAGATATTCATTGAATGGGCCGCTGCTACAAAATAATGAAGTACCGCAAAAAACAACAATCGTTTGCTTCGTTCCCATTCAATAGCGGGAAGATTTGCGTTTAAATCACAAGGGACAATCCAAAAGTTGCGTAAGCATTTTAAAAGATTTTAATTAATGGAAATTCTGATTAAGGCAAGAATAAAATTTATGTTGGAATTTCAATAAAAGGAAGGAAGAGACGTTACATGATTTATGTACGTTTCCTGTCAGAGAAAAATGTAGCAATAATTAGAAAACAAAGAGATCATCAGCTTCATAAAATATGAGCTTTGGTTGAAGTCAAAGACAGAAAGAAAGAAATATGTTAAAGCAGGAAATGAAAACTGGTCGAGATGTCTTTAAATGGCTGTTGAAGGTAATTTGATCGGCATGATTTTCGGGGACATCAATTCATAGCAAACAAAAATTTCTCAAGACACAAATTGTGGTTCACAAGCAAACTTAAAGAATGAAAATTTGTTCCTAATGTGACGTTGTTAATGTTTCCATTTGGTTGCTTTAGTCGTTACATGATTCAGACATTGACAGATAACCTTTTTTCTCTCTTTTAAACGAAAAAGTTTCGACATAATGCACTTTACGAAGGATTCATGAATATAAATTTGAAATTTCACCTTCACAGAAGCATTGCTTGTCATCAGTGAGCGGCTTAATTGGAACCAGTTCCGTGAAAGTATCACTTCCATTGAATCAATATTCCAATTCTTCGAGCTGGACATTCCAACTTAACGAGAAAAGAGAGAGAAAAATGTCGAAAAGCACAAAGATTCTTATCAGAGAAGGAAATTTCAACCTAATCGTTATTTATTGTTTCTCGTGTTTCAAATAATGACTTTTCTATCAGTTTGTTTGCCTTACATTTCTCTTTCTCATCTTTGAATTTGAGTGAATTAAAAAAGAATTCTAACCAGCCAACCTTTCATTTCATATTTATATCTAAATAATCTAATAAGTTACGAGTAAGCAGACTTTTCAACTTTCCTACATTTTAAACTTAGTTCGAAGATCTTTTGTAGCCTCTGGCGATGACTAAACGAAACCCGAAAAAAAATTCATATTCGAATATTAAAAAGATTGAAACTTTTAGGATGATGTGATTGAGTCGAAAAGCAAACATGCAACAGGTAGAATATCATTAATTAACAATAATCATAAATTTTCAGATTAAAACTTGCGCGGGAATTCTCTCTCGTTGTTCCCTCCTTTCATCTTTCACTCGAAGGTACATTTGTGGAATTGAAAGACTTTTTTTTCTGTTATGTTTGTTAAATGTATGATGGCAAAAACGGCAAGGCAAAAAAGAAGGCAGAAAGAGTGAATAACAAATGAGAATTGAAAAATTGAAAACAAAGGAACATAAGTTCATATACAAGCTGATAGCGTGGCGAAGAAGGTAATTTTCTCCCGCATTTACATTAAATTGCATTCACATTCAAGTGATATACGATTGAGCATTAAGGCTTAGACTTGGTCTTCATCAAGAAGCACATTCATTCAGACTTTAGCCTCCAAGTTATAATTTGAGCTTTGCACAAGTGATTATGTCTTTGATAATTTTCCTTCCTTCATTAAATTTTATTGTGGAAAACGATTTCGATCAGGAGCATTAAACTTTCGTGATGAGATGTGCTTACATAACAAATGAAGGTTGTGAAAAACTGACATTTCTACATAGTGTTAACAGACGCCTTGTTCACCAACAAATGGAACAAAAGTTCTCGATGGGTCAGTAAAGTATCGTCTGCGGTCATAAAAAGTTTTTCTCACTTCAACTTTCTTACTTAACAGCAAAACTTGAGAGTAAGCAAGAAAAAGTTTGCGTGTCAAAATGCAGTCAGCAGATAATTTTAATATTATGAAGCCTCGATAATTTTCGTATAAATCATCTTTCGAGACAGAGGAGAAGAGTAATAAGAGAATCATCATTATCACCAATACAAACGAATTCATGTTGCTTATTTCTTATAAAAAATGACGAAACAATTTAGTTCTTCTTATTCCTTCTCTTCCAGAGAGCTTCAGGCTGTCTTATGATGTTCAAGATCTTATGATTTTGTTGTTTTTCTTTTTCTCTTAAAATCACTACCGAAGCTTTGAATAGCCTTTTGCGTTGATTTCAAGGAATTTCACCTTGAATTGCTCCCTTCTCTTGTTGATGAATAAATCGCCACGCAACTCGCACGGCACCTGAGGAAGTCTACATTGATTGTCTTAATAAATAGTTAAATATTCGTGTGATCAATCATTCGACTTGGATAAGGTCACGAGGAATAAAAGAGAATGAATTGCGCAAAGACCCCATGAACGAACGAATATTGAACGCCTCTATTTGAATTAACATCTCGTGTTGAAAAATGATTTTTAACAAGAAGTTACTTGCATGCATAAATCTACAAATCCATTAAATTTTTTTCCATAAATCTTATCTCATGAAAACTTTCTAAATCGAGTGCAAAACGCAATTAACTTTTATTTGCTGAACGATTTTCCAACTTTTCTGCTTCTTCTTTTTCCTCTTTTACTTGTTTGTTCCTTTTTAAGCCAAAAAATAAATATCTAAGTTCAGTTTCATTTCAAATGAAATGTTTTACATGAGACACAAATAGGAGTCGTACAATTTGTTGTGATCAGTTAATTGATACTCGTCGTTGCTGTATAAGCGTAGATATCAACGATAGGAATCTCATTCGGAATGAATCCTAGTTTAATAAGAAATGTAATTGAATATGAACAAAAATATAGAAACGATCAACGAGGGAATTGAAAGTTGCTGTATCAAGAACATTCATTCTCGAGTAGCAGTCAGGCTCGTCTTATTACGCGATCATATCAGAGCTTCTGTTGAAAAAAAAATGGAAAAACAAGTGAAGCTTCTTTAATTAGCATTCGAAAAGCATTGCTATTATCTACGCCTCTGTCATAGCTTCGCCTGTGATTTGTGTTCATGCAAAGATTGCTTTCCTGAGATAACTTCACTGACGAATATATTAATATTTTTTATTACTCTGTCTGATGTTTGACTCTTATTTGTTCCATCGACACGATTCAACATGATTAAAGATCTGAGTGCAAGTTAATGACAGAAAGTCTCAGCATATTCACTGTAAATCATCCGATCACCATTCGCTTTCACGCATTAACATCTGCAATAATAATTTCATGATTTTAATCGTCAAAGCGACTGTAATGCGCACTTCTAAACAGTTAGTTACGTTTCTCTTTCTTTATTTATCTCGACTTTTAATGGATTTATTGAAACAAATTACATGTTGCGCAAAACTATTCCTTTGAGGGACATGTCATTGCAAATGGAATTCTACATTAACTCACAATTAATTTGTGTATGTGTTGACTTTTGAACCGGAATTTCAAAACCGTTTCTTTAAAACTCAGAAAATCAGTGTGTGGCGCAAGAGTTTATTAATGGAAGACAAGACAAGACAAAGTAAATCTTTCTAACATCACAAAAGTGTTACATTTCAGATCCCACGCTGGAATCGACTTTAATCATTAAAATCTCTTGACTTATGCGATTTATAATCGGGAACAGAATTAATTGCACTCGTAAGTTGTGACACAGATTAAAGGTTGTCATTACTCTTCTTAGCTTTTTTAGCGATCACCAATTACTTAAGTTCACTTAATAAAATTGAACTCATCTCGTGTAAATGTTGAGAGATAAAAAAAATTAATAAAAAAACGTTTTTATCCATCAACATATCCACAGCCGATCGCTTAATGGAAACGCAATTATCTACTCACGTATTATTTGCGGCACCATTGACAAGGCTTTGATGTGTCGACTTTGATGACTTTGGTGGGCGTGGTGGGGGTTGAAGTGAAGCTGACGAAGAAGTTGAATGTTTAATGTCGTCAACTCTTCTTGGTATTGTATTAAAATTATTTCGATCATTCGATTTTGATTGCTTGTTCGAGCAATTCGCATCAATGCCACTATCAGATCCATTTTCGTTCACTTCATTAATCCCGAAAAGAAAAGGATCGTCAAGAATATTGATGACACTCTTGCCCGGTACAATTGAATCATCACGGAACGTTTTATTTCGTCGATTCTGGTAATCCTTTAATTTGAATGTGTCATGCGATTCACTATCAATCACAACCGGACTGTGAAGTTTGGTTGGGAAAATAATTTTTGAGTCTGACGACGGTGATTTATTTTTGTCATCATCGTCTTTCCGAAAGTTTGCTAAGCGTTGAGCAGCAGCTCGACCGTAAATTTGTCGATAATATTTCTCTTGATCGCCATGAAGAAAGCAAACTTTCCACCACTGTTTACACGCTAGTAAGTTTGCAGTTTTTGGCACTGAATCACTTTGTGTCGTTGCCATATTTCATTCATTAATTCCAAACTCATTCAAATGTTGCTTAGATTTCACGGAGCTTTTAATAATCAATGTTTATGGCTAATTTATTTATTTTTTATATTTTGAATATCTGAATAAAATAAAATTTGTTATCATTTCATTCTTCTGTTGACAATTTTCATTTTTCAAAAACTTTATCGTGCTGCGTTTTGCAATTTTTTATTTATTTATTTATTTATTTTTTTGTTCTCGTTTCTTGTTGAAGTTAATTTATGTGCAAACTGCTTGTACCATCGTCCACAATCTAATCTGTAGACCAGAAATATAATTACAATAAATTCTCGCTGCGGTTTTATGATAATTTATTATGTTTTTGTTATTAAACGTCTTGTGTTGAAAAAGGAATTCTTTCAGATTGTTGAACACTTTAACAAGCTGTTCATTCTTTCGTATTTTGTTTCCCGATTGTCTCTCACAATTCTGTAGCGAAAGAAAGAATTTTTGACGAGAACAATTTGATGTGGCAAATCGGTGTGAATTAATTCATGAATTTTCTTTTATTCTTATTTAATTTCATTTTATTCTATGCATGCATGAAATGTAATTTAAATTCGATGAACTGGGGAACTTTAAATACATTCGAGATCATCACTCAAAAGACTTCATGAAGTAGAAGTGAAAAGTTCAAAATTCTTGATTGACAAAACTTTGAATTGAAATTACAAAAAGAAGCTGTCAAAGTTTTGAAATTATCTAAATGATCAATCATTAGTCGAGATTCAGTGGATGTCATCATCATAAATTTTGATGTTTTAATCTATTGGCAATAATTGAATCTCGCCTTCTAAGTAATTACTAATTTGTTCCTCTGTTTTCTTGATGTGACTTCCCTTTTTACGACTTCATCAGAACAATTGTGAGAACCAACATAAGCCAATTCACCGAATTATACGGAAAGAGAAATAAGACAGAAGAACAAGAAATGTTCTCTTTAATGTAATTAGTTACAAGCGTAATGCTTCGTTTCTCTAAAAGTATTGTCAATCAGAAAAACACTGACCAACGAAGCGACCAAATTAATGAAATGCTCAACGGCGTTGAAAATTTCTTTCCCTTTTTTTAAATTTAACTTATTTAGTCGGATGGGAAAAGCTTCTGAATCTTCTAATTTCAATTCTAATTGGAAAAATGCGAAGAGAATTCACATTGAAATGATGGCAGCTTCCTGCAGAGTCTGCACAGTGTAAATTGATCAACAATTGGCTTCGTTAACGTTAAAGGAAAATCGCAGCAGTTGTCTAATTTTTTGTCGCAATAAATCGTTCAAAATAATGTTACAAACTTCATTTAACTAAAGCAATCGAAAATTTAATGAAATTATAAACCTTTTACTGTTACATCGTCGAAGACCGTTTGGTCGGCGGTTTTAAATAAACCAAATGCCTAATTGCTTAAATCTTAAGTGTCTGCGCCACTTAATGCTCTCGATTGTAACTTCTCACTTCGGCATATCTTTTTGTCTTAGCATGAATGCCACTCAATTAATACTTTTGTGTTGTTTTTCATTCAAAAAAAATTACTTCGTGGTCCGAACGACGTCTTAAGATTTCAACATTTTTTTGTTTTCAACTCTTTATCGAGTGGTTTTTTAATTTTGTAAGAACTTAACGACTCGAGGTGCTTAAATGCGTTTCAATTTCGAGGCATGTGTGCTGACTTCTGAGTCGAAAGGAAGAAATAACGCAAAATAAACGTCTACGGGTGAGTAAAATTTAAAACTTCATAAAATGAATGCATACATGCAAAGCAAATCGAGCTGTTTGAAGACGAAAGACAACCAGAGAGCAGGCAAGTAGAAACAGCATGTTTGAGACTTAAAGCTGCGCTTGCAACAGATAATTGCATAAAATGATATCATCGAAAAAATAATTCATTCCCTTTTTAAGAGTTTCAGGAAAAAAAAGGCTTCGACGACGACGACCATCGCGCTAACACAAAAAATCCGGAGTCTCAAGCAGCGATCGATGACAATGGTACAACATTATTGCTGCTTTTGCTCAGCTTTTATGGCCTTATCTCGATTAAGTGGATCGACTCAGAGACACACAAAAATTTAAACGAGTTTATTTTGCTATTGAATTTTTTTCTGCTCTTCGATCGAAATCAAGAAATAAAAAGAAACTCGAAGGCAATAGACAAGATTTCGTTAAAAACAAAAGTTAAGATAGAGAAAAACATTTGGGAAGATTTTGGTACGTGACACGATCGAAGATCATAAATTATGATATTCGATATCGTCTTCACATTAATTAGTACTAATTTGAACTGATAATAATTCTTAATTAATATTAATTTTAATTAAAAAATATCTTGTAAAAGATCGAAAGAGCCGAAAGTGTTTGAAAAGGCGATGAAAATGAAGCAGTAACGAGAAACTGGTTTTATTCTTCTATTGGAAAAAAATAAACTTTAATGTAATCTTCTATTCTTGGGAATGTTTAATTTCGATGCTGGTTGGATGTCTGCTGTCTTGGTCTAGTCAAACAAAAGAAATGTTTTAATGTTCTCTTGCACAGCAAATCATTTGTCTGCTTAAAAGCAAAACTAGATATTCCTTATTTAAAACTTGATGATCACCGCATGAGTTTTGCTTCACTTTCCAGGGTGAAAATCATTTATCTACGCTCTAATTACAACCGATATTCGTACTTTTTCAAAAAGATATCTGGATGAAGATACCGTAGACTTCTTTCTCATTGTGATTCTGCTCGATGAGAACATTTTATTGATCAATAAACGCTGTGCGATTGATTTATTCGTATATGGTGCTGTTTAAAATCCGTAAAATATTCCTTTTGTTTCGATGAAAAATTCTTCTGTCGCTATTAGAGCGAGCAAAGAAAAAAAAGTAAAAAAAATGATTTTGAAAAATATTTGAGACTATAAAAATTATGCCATATAAGAGATCACGACAAGAGCTGAAGAAGCTAAGATTTACATTTAAAGTGTTATTGACAGAGAAATTCAATATATTGGGGATAGGATTTTATGGAAAACATGGTAACGCCAATTAGCTTTGACCATCTTAAACCTCCATTTAAGTTGCTATTACAATATTTTATTCAAATTGACTCGACGTGAAATTTAATAACTTCATTCTCTTAGTTTGCTTCTTTATTTATTTTTTCTTTTTATTTTCCGAGTACAAAGCAGATTAATAAAGTTTATGATTTGTCAACAGAAAGTGAACATGACAAATTTAAATTAGTTCAAGTTACAATTTTTCTGAACATCGCTTTTTGAACTTTTTCCACGAGTAAGCAATTTAATTTAATTATTTACTCCCGCGATTTGTTGATTCTGATTAATTTATTCAGATACTGCTTACTAAATAAGTTTAGTCACTTTATTAGGAAATATAACATTTTTTTTCCTGTTTGTTTAGATTCTTTAATTAATTTCTTGCTATTTTATTTCGGTGATTAACTTTTTTTTTGATATTTTTCGCGCGATACGTTTCTAACTCTTGTCACGATCACGATTTACTCACAACTGAATCGCCAAACACCTTCAAGCCATTTGACTTGAAGTCTCTTAAAGTAGTGTTTGTGTTAAATATGAGTTGGTGTTAGAATGTTAAGCTTCTTATACCTTTTAGTTCCTACACATGATGTTCCTACACAACGTTTAATGATGGTTGTGAATGAAGTAAGGAAGATAATTTTAAGTTGTGCATCGTCGTCGATGTCGTCAAAATAAGATAAGAAGACATGAGCAAAGAAATAAGAAAGCGAAATCTTTCATAATCGATAATTACTTAGTATAATTAAACGATAGTATGATGCCGTATATTGGTGAAATTTTCCATTGATAAATAACTGACCGGTTTATCACAATAAATTACAGTCTAATAAGTATTTACCCTTCATCACGCTGCATAGGAAATATCCTATGAGGAAAGACTTGGACATGTTTTAATTTGCATTCATTATCTGCATACCTAACAGTCACTTTTCTTTGAAACTATGTAACTATAATACAAGATTTCAATTTACTGTGATAAATATGAATAAATAAATTAATTTGAATATCTAATTAACTTTCATTGCATTTGAAGTTGCAGGTATCAATAATACTTATACAACCAGACATCTACCATGTTCGGAATTACAATGTAAAGAGAAAAACCGCGATTAACTTGATTCAAATAGCTTAAGACTTTAATACATTCGACTTCATACTCCATTTCATGATCATACGTAAGTTGCGTTGTTAAATATTAAACTCGTTTATTTTTCACTGAAATTCTTAATAAGAAATTCTCTCAATTTCGAGCTTATTACGTAATTTCGTGCTTCAATATATGTTCAACAAATTACCTACCGATTCCCATTAAGTTCTCAAACTTTTGATGAATTATGCCATAAACAAGTTGCAATCTTGTCAAAAGATTGAAACGATGAACGAAAAGGAAGAAGAAAAATACCAACAGAGCTTGATTAAAGTTTAAAAGTTTATTCAGCAACACAATGCTGATTCATGCTCACCCGTCATTCATCCTTTTGTACAGAATAATTGCATATTAATCCACAATGATAAAAATGCTTGCAATTACCTGGAACGAAAAAAAAAAGAAATTAAATAAATTAAATAATTCCTTGAAATTGTTCATCAAATTCAAAAGCGTAATAAGAAACGAAGAATTTTTTATTTAGAAATCATTTTTGATGCAATTATGGCGTGGAGAATTGTCGTTTTTATAATTTAAAATTCCATTCTGAAATTTCTGAAATCCGACATGTGTGGCAAACCACAATTTGTCCAAAATCAGTGATTCCGTTCGATCATAACTGACCTCCCATTTACAACAAATTAACCCGAACAAAATTGACCCACAATGAAATCTTCTTTGATCATTCCGGCTCTTTGAATTATTGAAATAAACCGACATGAGAAGTTTTAAGGAATCTCCACTATAATTATCAGCTTCAATTTCCTGCTGTTGGCACCTTTAAAGAAATTTCATAACAAACTCTATGATGAAGTTATTACACAAATATCTAAAGCCTTTCAAAATGACGAAATGAAATTTCAGTTAACGCCTTTAAAACTCTCTTAAGACTATTGTTTGCCATAAAACACTTCATAATCTCCTTAAATATGGATTTGAGGCTTCCCAAAAACTTTGCATAACTACGAAGCTTTATTGTATATATTAATTCACTCAGAAATGTAGATATATGCCGGAAGATAATCCTTTTAAAACATGCCATCAGACTTAATGTGTAGAAGGGCTTTAAGACGGAAATTGCTTTTTGAATGAAGTTGAAACACGAATAATGTCACATCATGCGATATAAGCAGATAATGTACATCACTAGAGTTGATTTAGAGGATTTGAAATGAATATTGTTTTATTTACAATATTTAATATCTTGACAATGTCTCTCTTTATCTAATGCCACAATTTAATTAACAAAACAATTTATTCGAGTATGGAAAATAATTTTCCAAGTCTAGCACAAGAATTTTTATACACTCGCATGCCAATTGCCAAGAGTTCTGTTAATAGTTTCACCAATAATTCAATTATTGTGTCTACAAGATTCTCTTGTTGTCCGACATTCCACCCCAATTTATATCTCCCACAAACGTTGTTGCCAAATTGTATTTTCTTTGGTAATCCATCAAGAATCTGAAGTATCAAGTAATGTGTGAGGTTTGTAATAAATAATTTAATATTTCTTCATCCTATTTATTTATTTGGCATTTTTTCTTTTCTCCTTTTTTTCCCTCGAAACTAAGAACTTGGCAGAAAAGAAACAAGAAAAAAATTGTTTCAGTTTTGAGAATGCAACGAGGGCTTGACGAACACGATGAAGGGGGAACTTATTAAACTAATGAAAAATTGCCATTTTTACTGCTCGTAACATTTTCGGTGATGGCAAAGGGAGACGGAAAAATGGGAAAAAGAATTAAAGATTTTCCCCCCGTAGCCCGTAACGAATCAATGAGTATTTTTTCACCTTTTTATACTTTTTCCTTCTCGTCTTTACTCCCCCGCACGAGGAAATGTACAAACAAAAAATAATTTATGACTCTTTTCTGCAGTGAATTGAAACAGGAAGAAGCAAAATCGAAAGCAATATAAATGTCCTTAGAACGAGACACAGTCAGCAGTTGGGAGAAATTCCGTTAAATACGATTTCATTTTGGTAATAAAATTCCCTCAGATACTAAAAACAATTTCCAGATGATATGATTTAGAATAAATAAACCAAATCGTTTAGTGTGGGTGTTGAATTTTCTGATTATTTTAGTTGAACATCAACGCAGTTGTTGGGTGAAGCGATTAAATAAGAATGAAATTGCATCGAACGTATCATCATCGTCGATTTTCTGTTCAGCTTTAACAAATAAATATTTAATAGGAAGTGCGAAAGTTTAACAGCACATGCTACAAATGATAAATTGTACGTAATTTATTAACAAATATTTTCAATCCTCTTCCTCCCGACATTGTTAAACTTTGAACTGAAAGTCCTTTGAGCGTCAGTTATTAAATTGTTCGTTGGTTTTTTTAATTGTTTGCGATATTTTATATTCAAACGTAAATAAATACTTTGCAATAATGTTGCGATGATTAATATCCAACAATTACGCAATATTAATTTGCGATAATAACAGCGCAATTAAGCAAACCACACAATTAAAACTTATGCTCGTTTGATATTAAGTTTAACTGCAGAGTGCAGTGGAATCAAACAAATTTTTTTATTAGTGAAATTAGATGAACTGACACGAATTTTGTTAACATTTTTCTTAGGAATCTTTGAATAAGAAAAGAAGAAAAATTAAATTTTAAAGACTTTTCCTCAAAATTCCTGTGAAAATTTTGATTTTTATTCCAAATCTTCAATGGCTGGATTGAATTTCATGAACTTAATAATTTCAAGACTTTTAAATAGTTTAAATCGATGTTGGTGAAATCTGAAATGTGCTTTAAATTGTTGTTATATTTTATTGGAATTTTGCTATTTCAGATTTGGTTTGTGGAAAATCTTCACCCCCAGAGAATTCAATCGTGGAATCTGAAGAAGAACTTTGCCAAAGTTCTTGTAAGTTTTATTTTTTAAATTCTAAATTCAGCACAATTTCTATTAATCATTCGTTAAATTTTCAGACAGAACTCCACAAAAAAGGCTTACACCACAAAATGACGTACTCAATGCTCCTAGGCGAAAGCTTTACGTACCAAATGATTTGCAAAGTAATTTCTAATTGTCTAACCAAGTTTTTCTATAAATATTAAAGTTTCACACTTTCAGGTAGACCTCTGACATTTTCGCAAGATATTAACACTGATAGTGATGAATGTAAGTTTAGTTATTTTTGCATTTAAAGACATTCCATTCCCAATTCAATATTTAAATCGTAAATTTCTTCAGACCAAACTCCGGTACGAAGCATTCCAGCACCAAACTTTTATCGCACTCGTAAGTCTTTTAAATTATTTTTAATGTTTATTTTAGATTAAAATAGAAATTTTTAGACAGCACTCCTGATCAAAGTTCCACTTCTTATGGGAATTTAAATTCACCCATGACTCCTGTACTGAGAAACCCAGCAGCAAACTCTTTTAGACGAGCAGGTCAGTTTGCAGTCTTATACTTGACACTTTGATTCATGAAATTATTTAATTGTTAGAATTTAATTTGACACATCCAGCCATAGAAACAGAAAGTGAAACTGATTACTCGCTTAATAGGCTTCAGAGTAAGTTTTTTGATTAAATTTCTTTTAATAATATTTTAAATAATTTGGAAATTTTTAGATAACTCTCTCGGTCCACGGGGAAATCCAGAGGCAAACTCATTAAGACGAGTCGGTAAGTTTGAAATCTTTTGTTTGGCATTTTGATTTGAGTTCATGAAATTATTTAATTATTTAGCAAGAAATTTGACATACACAGAAACAGATGCCGGTAAATTATTTTTATTAGATTATTTGTAATTTTATGCTTGGAATTTTAAATTACTTTCATTATTGAAATATTAACAGGAGATTTGACATATTCCGTCAGAGAAACAGAAAGTGATGCTGGTAAATTCTTTTTATTAGATGTAAACAAATATAAGTTTGTGATCTTATATTTGACATTTTTATTTACTTTCATGACAATATTTAAATATTAGCAGATGGTTTCACATACACAGGAATATATTCCATGAATCCAGAAAGCGATTCTGGTAAATTCTGTTTATATATCATCATCGAACGTTATTAATATTTTTGATTATTTTAGATTTTTATACAGAATCAGATGAAACAGAGAGTTCTGACAGTAGGTTTTTCATTTTAATTAGTTAAAATAGTTTGATTCATGTGATGACTCCGAATTTCATGTTTTTTTTAGATATGATTGACTTAAGGCCAGTAAGGAATTTACGTAAGTTTTGTTTTCAAAATTTAGAAAACTTTATTAATCGATTTTTATATTTTCATTAATAATCGCTGATGAAGACGTTGACGATAATCCAATTGCATATGTCCAATTCGATGAAGCTCTCTACAGTAATTACTTTAATTAAATTGATTAAATAAATTACTTCCCACTTAAATTCTTCATTTCAGGTGTGAATCTTCCGCCACTATTACCAGTAGGAACGGAAAGACCTCAACAACCCGAATGTAAGTTTAAATATCATTTTTCTTCTATTTTAAAATAAACTAAAATTATTTTTGTGAATTATAAACAGCCATCAATACAACTTGCAGAAGAGTGATGGGTCCACATACAAGAAGACCTCGATTTTGAAAATGTCAGAAATTCTTTAAAAAAGGAAAAAATAAATATAAAAAATAAACTTGTAAGATTCGAATCCCTTTTGATTAAATATTCATGATTAAATACTCATCACCATATTAACGACATTCAATTCATCAAAACGATTACAATATTTTCATGATGTAAATAAACCATACGGAAAATGAAAATTTAATTATTTATTTAAGCCACCCCTCGTTTACCTTATTCACTTGATATTCTCTTTTTCTTGCAAATGCGCTTATCTTTGTTTGATTATTTTGATGAAAAGGGTTGAAATGTAAACAAATTTGAAGTTGAAGTTAATTAAACGAAATCATAAAGCGCGTTATTTTGAAAATGTTTGCCGGCAGCAAATAATGCTTGTTGCATAACTTTGAGGCGATCTTTTAAAAAATTTCTTTCCAGTCTCTCTTTCATGTTACTCTCAGATAAATTTTCTCTCTCTCTTGAATTTTTTTTCGCTCTCTTCAAATTTTATGCTTTCCAAGAAAAAAATTTTCGTTCTCTGATATATTTTTTATTTCAATCTAATTCTTCATGATGGACATAAATGAAAAACGCTTGTTTTGAGTAGGTATAACTTAAAACAGAAATAACCATAAATTTAATGCTAGTTTTAACCTCAAGATAAACACTTCAAATTGCTTTTTTCTCTTCAAGTCCCGTGACAACAAACTGTTCTGATATGTGAATATCCAACCCTTAAGTACACATAACAGAAGCCAAAAAAGTTTAACGAAAAGGAATTTTAGTAGGAGAAAACATAACTGGGTGTCTCTATTACCATTTAAACGCATTTGAATAATGAATTTTGTGATAACGCTACGAAAAAGATTAGCAACGTAAAATTCCATGACTAAACGAAATCAACAATGCAAATATTTTTTTATATCATAGTGGAAGTCAGAAGCTACGATGGAGCATTTATATTTATGAGGCATTCGCCCTCTACGACCATTTCACAACATTTTATTTGCTATAACAATGCAATTGTTAATTTATTTCATGTTCTTCGTGTAATTCATTTTTGGCCACTAAAAATTCATTAAAACGTGCATATCGTTTTAACATGTTAGTCTATTTTATTGTACAAACATTCCGAGAGTAAAATCTGAGCAAAGAAATTTAAATTACAGAGTGAAGTGAATTTAAAAGTTTTCAAGCCCAAAATGTCGTTGTTATTTTATTGTTTTGTTTGAGTTTTAACTAAGCTTCAAGATGAAGCAATGCAGTCATGAATAAATGCAAAAATATTCAAGTCTTTATTATATCTAAGTATTGAGTAAAATAGAACATTGAACTGGATACATAATTGCAATTTTTTTCTTTAAACCATCAATAGAATTATTCACTTCATGTTACCCTTTGAGCAAAGAATATTTACACTCAATTTTAATTGATTCTAAGAGAAGTTAATGTCTTAATTCTTAGGCAGATTATCTTTGTTTCTAACCTTTTCATGGATGCACGAGGTTGTGTCTCACATTCAGTTTCCGTTATTATTCATTATTCAACAAAACACCGTTCAAAATGCCATAAAACGGTTCTCCATACAGAATCGAGCTTATCAACAATAAATGCGCACGATTCATTGCTTCACTCGACTTTTTCCTGCATCGCAAATTGGTTTGTAACCATTTTTAAAACTTTCATCTAGAGCAGAAATTCATTTTATTTCTTTTATTTCCGAGATGGTCGATTAAGTGAGAAATTCAAATTTGATTTCTCAATCATCTAGATATGGAATTTAATTCAATTTCAGAAATAATCTCAAAGATAGATAAATTATTAATAAAATTTAGAGAAAATGGAAATCTTATCGATAAAAGCTTCTTTCGTACATTCTTTCTACACATTAAAATATTTTTTTGTGGTTTTTAATTATAATTTTAATGAGAAACAATTTTGTATTACATATTTCTCTCACATTTTTATTAAATCACGATTCTTCGCGGTGAGATGAAATGTAAACGTTAATTCGAATTTCCAATAAAATGAAAATATTATGCAAAAATTTGTCGACTTTGAGCGGAACTGATTGTAGAAGTAGCGAATAATTTTTGGTGTTGATTTGAAAATTACGGACAGTAAAAACCACATCGGATATTGATTTTTAGTGATGGTTAATTTGAGCCGCAATGTTGAAGCCATGAAAATATTGCTTTCTGAGTTAATGACTTAAAGCTTTCATCGCGAAACGATTTATTGAATTTTAATTTATGTGCTGCAATTACGGCTTTCTTCGATGGAATTCAAGCGGATTTTGAAGTTCAAACTAAAGAGTTGAAACATCTGCTACTATTAATATGCATGAAATGATTCAAGAAGTTATAGTTTGAGCTTAATGCGAAGACGCTTTTGATGTTTCTTGTTAAGTCGATATCTCTCAGATACATAAATTAACATCGTTGAATTTGTGCCACAAACTCTGCAAACTTCATTGACAAGATATTTATTTCTCTGATAAGTAAGTATTTCATTTCAGACTGGTATGCTCTTAAAAGACATCAACAAATTAAACCTTTTAATTAATGAGTGTTTATCTTAAATTTCAAGAGAAACACAAAAGTCATAATTTTTTAATAAGTCATAACAATTAAATTCGATCTTAAATTTCATAAGTGCGCTAAATATCTTTTTAAAAGATTTTTTTAATGCACAATCCACACAAATTAAGAATTAAGTTGAGTTGTAATTGCATTAATTAAGATTGACATAAAGCTTTACAATTACAGCACAACATTTTTGACGATGACGTGAAGTGAAAGAGGTTGGACTAATGATTCGCGAATAATGAAAGTTATAACTTGTCTCCATTTAAAGTCTGAAAGCTTTTATTAATCTTTCATGAAAATTAAGATTAAGAAAAAGAGTTTTTAAAACTTTGTAGATACCTCACACGGCTATTTACCTTCTTTTTTAAAAAAAAATTGAATTCGACTTCATGTTGTTAAGTGAGAAAATTCTCAGACCCGCCTTGATTTCGTAGAAGTTTCGGCGATTAATTCGTGGGCACAAACTATAACTATTAACTTTTAGTATCTTTTTCACTTTACTGTGGCTATCATCAACTTTTTTATGTTATTACAAACAGTGGCAAGTAAAATGAATTAAAGAAACCCTTGATGTGGTGAACTTGTGACTATTTATGAGGATGATTTGATTGCGCGAAGAATGTCTTTGGTTATTGGCATGTGAAAAGACTTTGCGTGATCTTTCGATATATTCAAACTCTCATAATCTTTGAAATCTTCTTAAAGCATCTAATTAAAGTCAATGAGTTTATAGAATTCAAGTTACAAAGCATTGTTGTTCTTCCTATTCAATTAAAGGTTTTAATAAGATGAAAGAACAGCAAACAACAAGAGCGACGGAAAACATTCTTGAGATACGAAAAGAGAAAAATGGAAACAGTTAGCATGAAGTTTCAGCAACAAAATGTGAGATTATCAATGAGACTTTAAGATTTCCATTTAGCGTGTCTTGTTTTTGTGACTTGAAAAATTTTTGCTTAATTGTGCAACACATTTCGTACTAAAATGTTGGTTTATCGTGGTCTTAAATCTTTCAGCTGTCGTCTTGCTGTGCTTGTGAAGACAGAAGTTGTGACTACAGGTTGCTTACATTTTATTCTTTTTTATCCGGGAAGGGGAACTAAACAGACGAAGATAGTCAGTCGTAAAGTCATAAAACTTAACTTTCGGTGTTTTGGAAAGAAATTTATTCTTAGTTGAAGTTTTATTTCCATTCAATGGAAATTATGACTTGATATCAGTCATTGTATAATCTCAAGAATCTTAATTCGAGATAATAATATTTTTTTGCAACATTAAACCAGTTTGTGGTAAGTTTAAGTATCTAACTTTAACTGTTTATTTACCAATAAAAAGACTTAGAGACAAAGTAGATATTCTGATTGCTCCAAATACGAGTAAAAATTGTAGAACTAACATAAATGTTTATTACACGGAAAGATTTCTACATAAAATATGTGCAGGAATGTTTTTATTTCTATAATCTTGCAATGAATATCTTCTGATAAATATTAAAAGGGAGACGATCCCTTTTTCTTCTTCCTTGAATCAGAGTAACAACAAAGTAGCAGCAGACTCTTTGAAGTTGGTTGTTAAGTTATCAGTTCTCTCACATGAGAATTGTGAATTAATTTCGTTTTTTTTTGCTTTCATGAAATGAAGAAAGCGGATGAAAAGGCAACGAAGTCCATTAATGGCATTATAACTTATTTTCTTTTCTTTTGATGTTCAGCTCATCGTCGTAATTGAAACAAACAGTTTCTTTACTGCTGCATCTTCTTCTTAACTCCCGCTCATAAATCCAATGATTCAGCGAAATTCGATGAGAAGGAAGCGGCCCATCTGTAACAGCAAAGATGATGAGTCGTTGTCTTGTTGTTGAAAATAAATACTGAAAGAAAATCCACCGGCCAAAGCCGAGATTTAAAACTGAATATTTCATCGACTAATAAGTAACTTCCGGCTTTTGCAAAAACAGGGAGAAGAGAAATTTAATCCCTTGAAAATCCAACATAAAACATTTGCGTTACTGCACAAAATATTTCCATCACGTAAACGACGTAAAAAATCTTTCAAACAATTTATTTCAATATCTGAAAGCCTTTAAATAAATATGACAGTAAGGAGTCTCAATGAAAAGGAAATTTTTTATGTGTTTCTCTGTTACTTTCTGATACTTACCGTACGAACTAATTAAATTTCTTGTACGTGCTTCATTAACAATTCCAACCTCCTCTTCTATTCATATTCTTTAGTCATCGTCGTCGTCATCATCATCATCGTTGTTGAAACTACGAAAAACATTTTTAGACCATAAAGGCGGATTATCTTTTTTAATTAAACTAGCATCTATTTCAGTCGACGGCTCTCTTGAATCGAAAGATTAAAAAAAGTTCTTTTCAAAGATTATCATGGAGAATAGAAGACGTTTTTGTTAGCCCATGAAGCGCGACCAGCTTTCAAAGCATTTTAATTAAAAGTCTGGATAAACATGAATTCAATATTGGCCAGAAGGGAAAAATCCAAATCGTTTGTTGTGTGGCATCGTGAGTGACCCAGATAACAAATTAACAACTTCTGATGAGAAAGCTCTACTTTGCTTGTTGATTTCTTGGTAAAAAGATATATAAACGCCCTTTACTTAACTGGGTTTGTGGTAATAATATTTTTATAGACGATCAACAATCTCCTGAAATTTCTGTAATAATCCATTACATATGCATAACCCGACATTGCCTTAATCAGAGAAGGAAAATCGAAATGTCTTTGAACATTCTCAACACGTTCATGCAATTTTGTGTTTATTGTGTTTTTCTTTCGTTGGTATTTCTTAGGTTTGTAGCTGCTTGAATGAATCGTCTCTGACAACTTAGATTGTTGTAGATATTTACGCATTGTACTTTATCGTACGAAGAACGCATTAAAGGAGGTCTTTGCATCTGTTTACATATTCGGTTGCCATACTTTCATCATTATTCAACCATTGAATGACATTCTACATGAAACTTTCAATAATTTTACATTTGACTTGTTAATCCATACTAACAGCTAGAATCTTGATAAATGATCGTAAAGTTCAATAAAGAAACATTAATAAATTTATACGTCTGACTGATAGGAAAGCGAAAAAGGAAATTTTTATCTGCATTGTGCAGGTAAACATTTCCACATCGATAAGTAAATAATATTAATTTATTCCATTCAATGTTGTACAATACTAAAAGTATTTTTCATGTTGCTTGATTGCATAAATAAAAGTCTCAATCAGTGTCAGTAAATGAATGCCAAGTTTACTTTCAAATGATTAATTACAAGATGTTGAATGCAATGAATAATTCCATTCTTTCATTCAATTAAATTATAAGACTTAAAGCTTATCGAGTTGTTTATGCGAAATAGATAACATAAATGAAATCAAAAATTTTTGATGTTGACTATAAAAAAAGAGAAATTCCGAGAAATTCCATCGAAATATTTGTTTGAAAAAGTTACAACAAATGACCATGTTTAAGTCATAAAAATGCTTTAGCCATCTCGTTTCTCAGTTCCTGATGCCTTTGGGAAACATGCTACAACTTACGAAATATTTTCGAAGAATAAAATGCAAATCGATATATCATCGGTTGTTCATGTTCATCGCCATTATTCTGGTCACTTCAAACCTTTTTTTCTCTGTTCGTTCCTTGTGGAGAACAGAAAATTTTTGGAAAAATTATGTAGCGTGTGAAGAAATGCCTGTTTATCTCACACTTTTGCTGCGATTCAAGAAACATTACAAAAGAATAATAATAATTTTTATGCCTCCATCCTTGTTGTTACATTAAAACTATAATTCATTGTGCGCGGTTTATTTTATATATGATTTCATATCGTGAGCTTAGCGTCATAAATGGGAATTCTTTTTGTGAATTTATGTGTGTATGAAGTCTAATAAAAGGGCGGTAGAGAATCATAAATACTATTTAATTTAATTAATGAGAAATGGCATTAGTCTCTGCTGTTGTCTTTTTCCATTTCTTATTCTAGCTCAGAAAAAAGTGTTTGCTGTAAGTTGATAAGCAGAGTAATTTGTAAGTTATTAAAGCAAGTTTAGTTCTTGTGAGTATTGAACTGAAAGCACATTGAATGATTGCACAACAGGGATGTCAAAATATTGCGACTGCAGTTTAACCAAAGCAAATATTACTGTTAATTAATAATAGCATTTTATATAATGAAATGTTGTCGTTCATTTATTTATAGTCCATATGAAACGTATAATCATGGCGACTTTTAACTGTCGAGGTAATTTATGATTAAGTCTTTAAACATTCTCTTGATCGATAATCAATGGAAGGAAGACAAGAATGAACAAAATTACTTCATGAATGATTCGGACACTTAATGGCGACAGAAATCTCACATTAGATAAATGAAACTTTAATAAGTCTTTTGTATGTTCATCATCATCATCATCATCATCATCCTCACTTGATGAGATTGCGTTTGGTTGACGTGAAAAAACCTGTTTCAATTGTGTTTAATGACCGATGTTCTCATCTGATTTTCTAATGCTTAATTTTGTTTACTTTTATTTTTTATTTCTCGTGAACAATTTTTTTTCTTAAATTCACGTAACAATAAAAAGATGCGAAGTTCCCAGCCTAATAATGGCTCTATGCTCTCACTTTTAATTCCAATCAATTATAAAGTGCTTGAAAACAAACTGAAGACTTTCATCAGCGAACAAATCAAGACGAAGTCACGCTGTGCTCGAGCATTTATTACAAACGCTTCATAACAACCAGTAAAAGCTCACAACAATCACAAACATTTTCTTTGTTAGGCAGTCAGTGATGAAAAGTATGTTGATGAATTACTCCGTCAATACAACTTCAACAGCCTTCCAAGAATCATCTCAACTTCTGGTTTTTATTCCTACCTTCTCTCCTTGAAATATTTGTTCAACAACACAACAGAAAAAGATTCTTTCATAACTCAATCTAATCTTAAAGCCGCAATTTAATAAAACCTTTCAAAGATGAACATATTGAAATAATCATCGAATTAAATGATAATTGACGAGATTTGTGATTGCCGTTTTGTGCTCAATTATGATGACTTGGAAGACGAAATAAAATTTAACAAGAAAAAGATTTTTTTGTCGATCAAAGAAAGAAAAAAAGAAGAAAAAAATCGACAAGAAGCAAATGTTTTATGACGCGAGGTTTCGTTGTCGTTTAAAAAAATTTATTGGGACAAAGAAGGAGATAACTAGATAGGGAATAAGAATAGTCGAAGAGAGAATATAAAATTCTTACTACACGTAACAATGACTTGAAGTTCTTTGCCATGAGAATCACATCAAAGCTAGACAATTAGTTTACATTTTATTCCCCAGTGCGTTTTCAAGTTAATTTTTCTAATTTTTTATTTGCTGGCTAGTTTTCTACTTCCACCTGCTACTTGATGGAATATTCTTCTATGAAGAGATATGTAAATTGAAATTGACGTTAAATAATGTTTTTATGTTATTTAACATGAAAAACCTCACACGATACTTTAACTCATCAAATTTGTGATTTCTTTCATTCATTGTTTAAATAACATTTTAATGAAATGTCACAACACGAAGAAGAAAGAATGATGGATTTGTTTTAGAATGACTGAAACAACTTCTCACAACCTCCTATGGCTTGTCTAGAACTTCCTGCAACCAGTGCTAGCTTGGAATTTCATTATTTAAAAAAGATACATGAATGAGATTGCTTAGTAGAACATCAACAGGAGTTTTTCAATCACTCAACCGCATGTGCTATCAAACCATGATGTAATTCAAATCATGCAAGTCATTCATAAAGAATGTTTTCATCAGTTTATAAATAATAAATTTCAAGATGACCAAACTGACGTACAATCCCCTTGTGACTTTCATAAAATTAAAAACCAATTAAGCTTTTCCATATACATATCGATATCTGCTGTTAAGCATCCAATCAAACTCAACAATTCATCAATCGCTGAATCGAAGTAGGAATATCAGAAACGTGTCCATCATTGCAATGAAACTAAAAGGGCTTTTATATTGTCACGACGTGAGACGAAAGGTGCATTAACTTTTACGCAACAATAAAGAAGCAATGATTAGAAATTTTATTTTAATTTCTTTCAATTACATGGCTAAATGTAACAACAATGAATGTAGCCACAACTTTGTCATGCTTCTCTATGAATTATAAATCAATCATAATGTCAGAAATCTTCAACTCTTTATACAATGATGACGATGGTGATGGTGGCAACATTTGTAACAGCAAAAAAGTAAAGTGGAAAACGACAAGTTTTTATTTAAAGTCTCAGCATTTCATCATCATTAAAATAGCATTTTAACGATGTTCTACATCAATCTGACTTGAAGGTTAGACTAGAAAAAATGTGTGCAATGGACATCAATGAATTGTATGTTGCACTGAAAATTGAAATAATTAAATAAAAAAATCAACATTATTGTCATGTTGCACAGAGAAGTTCATCGGTAAAAAGTGCAGCAAATATCTAATTACAGCATTTAGTTAAATATAGTCATGGACCATTTTATGAGCATTATTCAATTTATCATAAATAATTGCGATTAACTCTAATAGATGCCTTCACCTCTCTCAACAGTTTCCTTACTTCATTTAATATCTATCAATAATTTTTAATGAAATGTAGGTGCTGCATGCAACATAGTTTTTCTTGACTTTCCACAAGACATTGCTCGGTGCATAATAACAGAATGCTTAGGAGAAATTACCTCAACTTGAAGTAGAATGTTAAATGAGTTATAAATTACGACATGTTCATTTGAGTATTAAATAGGAAAGCAAGAAACAAACATGCTTGTAGCTAAAAACATCTAAAACCTATAGTTGAGGTTTAAATTTTTACAATCGTAATAAAGGATGGAAGGTGATGGAGAATGAAATTATTATTTAGCAACTCTTCGTAGTAGACTTTGCAAATAACAAAATGCATTAAGCGAGACAATTTATTACCAATTTCTCATAATTTCATTCTTCGACTTCTTCAAACTCACGAATTGTGAATTAAAAGTAATTTTCTTAACGCTTCGCTATTGGATTATTCCTTTCTGTTTTGTAACAACTAAGCTTCGTCTTTGCGCGTTGTGTAAGAGAAAATAAAAAATGAAAAGTTAAATATGATGAGAGTGAGTTAAATTTACGAGAACAAATGTTGCAGGTGATTTAGTACATTTATTTATAAAGTTCAAGTAGATATTAACCCCACAATTCATCACTCATGTCTTCAATCGATTTCAACAGCAATTAAGCGTTTAATTGGATTTACTGTTGAAGCTTGAAGATTCTTGTTGAACTCTTCCTCGAAAGTCGCTTTTAATATGCAAAAAAAAAATTAACAAAAAATCCTTCAAGCAGAAAACAGATTTATAGCCTTTTTAATTAACAATTGAAACGATTGTGAAAAAAGCCAATCATTTTTTTAATCCGGTGATTCGCTCAATACATCAACTGAGGAATTCAATGGAAGCTCGTAAAATGTTTTTGCGCGACTTTGATGTGATGAAAGACGATATTTTATTGTCAATTTCTAAAATGTTATGCAGGCTAAGAAGATATCTGAAAAATTCCTCTCTATCGTAGTAATCTTCAGACTTCCCATCCATGTCATGCCATATTTTTAAATAGCAGCTCATCGAATCATCGATTTGATGTCATAAAGCAAAAAAAAAAGTCAATAAAATTTTATGATGAATTCCTTCTCGCAGTATTTAATTCGAAAACTCGATTCAATTTTAATTTAAGAAACATAATTTCTAATAGCCACGTTTACGACTATTTGATTTTAATCTCTTAGAAAGAATAAAATTCTTTTCAATATTATTTTTTAATTTATGCAAATTGGCTTCGCTTTGAGTCAAATATCAACGATCGTAATTGAGACTCGTCTATGAAAAATTGTCTTAAACGCTTCATAAAGAATATCTGGCGAAGCGATTGCTGATCTCTAATCGTTATTAATTATTTACATATAAATTTGTTAGAAACTTTGTGGGATTATTTTCAATTTCCGTCTTTCGCTTTTAATTAAGTTCTTAAATAAATAATTTAAACGGTGATGAGACTTCCAAATATATCCCCACGATTTTACTGATTTAATGTTTGAAGCTGACCGAATAATGAGAAACTAAAAATATTCTGAAACTTTATCTATGACGACGACATTTAAATATTTGTTTGCTCTCTTGAGATATCGAAATGGGAAAGCTAATTAAAAACTTGTTGATCTAAACTATAATCAGTGTTTGAAAAATTATCAGCAATCAATTTCTTTCAATAATTAAGCGAAAACCTTTGCAAGAAGTCAAACAGTGCTTATTCAGTCAAACCCTACTGTTATTTAATCGTTGGTCATTACCACGTTAGAAATCAAAACTTGATTGTGCTATTAAAAATTTATTCTTAATGTAAAAATAACTCAAGGTGTTCGTTTTATTAGAAAGATGTATGGAGAGTCTTAACATCAACAGATTAAGTGTCAAATCTTAACAACTTTTGAGTCTCTTCAACTCATCTTTAAAGAGTTGTTTGTCAATCAATTATGAAAACATAAAAGTCATTCGTGATAAAGCTGTAGTGTTGATGGAAAGTTCTTACGGTCAAGTTTTCATGTTAAAAATCTTAACTTAAAAGTGACGAATCGTTCATGCGATGAACATTACGTTATTAGTTGGTTGGTTGAATGCTTGCTTGCCTGCTTGCGTTCAATGAATCTTTTTTTATGGATAAAATGGAACGCAACAGGTTTAAAATGCGGAAAAACTTGTTCATCATTATCGATCGCATAAGGCGAGATTGCATTAAGAACCAGCTATTTACAATAATTTCATCATCGAGTTCTTGACGTTCTTCGCTACGCATCACACTCTTCCAAGATTAATTGTTCATTTAAATATGAAAAATATTTAACATTCGAAACGAAATCCTTATCACGCGATATCGTTAAGTACACCAAAAATGACATCAAGGTAAAAATTTACCAACAACAATAAACAAGCGCGAAATAAAAGTCGAAGAGAAATGAGAAAAAAGATAAAATTCTATCTGAAGTCGTTGCATAAATTGTTCGCTCCCAATCTTAAGTAAGGGAAATGTTTGAAGTTTCCCATCATCTTGTCTTGTCTTAAATTTTTTTTTTTGCTCCATCATTGAAACAAAACGAAATGAACATCAGAAATAAAAACTAAAATAAGAATGTTGATCGCAAAAACCTGCTTTGTTGAATGTTTCTCAGAGATTGGTTGACATTCGTTCGTAGGAAGCTGCTGACCTGCATTTGTTTGATTCCTCAAAGAAAAAGAAAAATTGTTTCGCGGTGTAATTTGAAACCTGATTTATGCTTGCGAGACTTGATTCGCTTTATATTTATTTTTTTCCTACGTTGAGACATTTCTCAGTGACGAAGAACAAAAAGATTTAACGCAACCAGACAGAATAATTCTAAGCGTCGCTTTATGCATAAAAAAATAAAATAAAATAACGAGAAAAGTATCTAATAACACTCACAACTTTATTTATTATTAATGTCAAATGAAATCGTCTTGACAACAACATGAAGCGAAATGTTAAACAAAGGCCATGTAATTTAATTCTTAAGCTGTTAAGTTTCATTGGAATTAACAAAATTATTTCTTGAGCTAAGTTGAGAGTTAATAATTTCTTTCCTGGACATTCTCAAGAAACTCTTTCGATGAAAAGATCTTCAAACGTAGTTGAAAAACCTCGAAAGAAAGGAAGAGTCATTTTTAATTTCTTACGGTGAATGCTTTCAATGGAACAAATCAAAAGCGACAATTATCTTAAAAGTTAACTCATTCAATTCAACGTTCATCAAATGCCATCATTTGTAACTGACATGCCGTTAAATTTGCAAATGGAACGGAAAGAAAAATAAAATCTTTTTTTTTTCGGCGCACTTCTGACCACCGAAGAAATGAAATGTCACTCGCTCATTCAATAATGAAATCATCCGTGATGTAATTAAATTAATTTGCTTGATCTTTGTGTCTTTACGATGACCACTCGATTGTAAATTAAGTTTCTTTTTTTTATTAAGATGAAAATGTCTGTCGTGCAGGTACCTACAACGTTTTAGACTCAACTCGTTGACAGTTTCTTAATAGTTTCTTCAATCAACATGTCGGCGTCTCACAATAACTCAACTAACGTCGCTATTGCTGCTCGAAGGTAAAATGCTTTCGCTTATGAAATTATGTTGTCAGGCGGCGGCTGTAGCGGCATGAGAAATAAATGTTTGTCTATCATTAGTTAAACGATTTATAGTGAAACAATTTCTAACAAACAATTCGACAACGATTTGATTTTAACTTAAGCATAATCAAGAGAAAATGGATTAAAAAAATTGCTGAGTTAAAGCACAATTTTACTACACAGCATCGTAACATTCAATAAAGTGAAAAGAACAGTTGAACAGTGCTTTTATGTATATACATAAATACATATAAATATATGAGCGATGCTCCAAATTGATAATTTAAAATAAAAAACAGAAAAGAAATATTTTTCCTTCATTAAATGCAATTTTATTTTGTCGTCATTTTCGCTTAACTCTCTTCACATTTTACATTGAATTCGTCTTCAAAAGCCGACGATCTCGCTCAATTTTTTATTTTTTTTTGTTGTTGTCTTGTCTTCAATGTGCTTTGGCATTTCATCTGATGTGATCGATTCTTTCTTGCAGAAAATAAAGAGCAAAAGAGTCTATAAGAATGTTGGATTTAAAATGCATCTTTCGATCGATGTTTACGGTTGAATTATTTGATTTTTAAGCTGCGATTGTGTGCGTAATGTAATATTTTAATCCTACTAACATGACCTCCTGCAATCTTGTAAATTATTGTTCTCGTCTTCTTGAAACTAAGTTTCATGTTTAAAAGAAGAAAAAATTACGATGCTGTCCAAGGGACTCGTCAGCCCTGATATCTTTGCTGTTGTGCAAAAAAAAGGGAAGAAAAGAGCGACGAGGAAAATTCACAAGAAACGTTTCACAAACCATGATGTTCGTTCCTCAATCTTCATGTATATCGTATAATTATGTTGAATATCGTGATATATCAGAAAATTAATTGGAGTTTCTTACTCGTTGTGGAGCGTTTTATGCCGCATAAAACAACAAAAAAGTAAGAGCGACCCGTAATTGTCTGGTTGTTTTCCAAAAACAAAAAAACGAGAAAAAATCTGAAACAAAAATACAACAAATTAATGAATCGAGAGAACCTTGATGGCTGAAACAAAAGGAATCTCATCGAGAGAAATTAATCACTCAGCACAATCGAAACATTTCCAATTTATTTCATTCAATAACTTTTTTTTTGTGTTGTAATTTTGGTCTATCTCCGAAGACTTAATTCGATCGATACTGATCAGATCGGATCAGAAGCAGAAGTAGTTGAAATAATAAAAGTTAATTTGCAATATTCTTTCATCCATTCTCGAATTAAAACTTTGAATCGTAAGACGCCAGCGATGGTAGATATGAGCAAATAAGTAATAAGTACAAGCTGAGCGGAATTACAAAAAGCTATAATCATTAAACATTGCATCATTTCTAAGCAGCTTCTCCCTCTCGCGAACAACACCGACTACACTTGAAAATATCGACTCAAGCTTCAAATGATTCCATATTATATTTAAAACCCCAATCTCAATTTGACGATCAAAAGAAACTGCTGGCGAGATAGAAAGGAAAGTATAATTTCTGGTCTTCTTAGTCTTCATTTCGAGGAGAAAAATAAAAAAAGATGAATTATTCAAACCTCGATTCCAACAAAAACTGTGTTTTTATTTTTCTTTTCTTATTCATTTTATTTCATGAGCAAATAAATTCGTTTATATGAAGTTAGGATCAGAAGAATCAGAAAACTGGTTTTGGTGCCTTTTGCTTTTATTTATTACAACTAAAGTGGCACACAAGAAACCTCATCACTGATAAATGTCGCTTACTTAAACGTGGTGGCACTTTTATGATTCTGATGCTTAAGAGAAAGATCTGTTACTCTTCTTAAACAGCAGCAACAAAAAAGTCATGAGAATTAATGTTGCGTCACGCAAAAAATTCTCCTCAAACCAAATTGACTTCACATCATTTTCAACTTAACATAAAAGTTCATGATAATCGTTCAGTTATTTTGCAAACACATTCATGAAGAAGTAAATTATTAAAATTTTCTTAAATAAACTTGTCCCATTAAATAAGAATCAATTCCATACAACAAACTGTTAATGAACTAAAAAAAACTTTGCATGGCTCTTAACAAGTTTGCACTTCATGTCGACTTATTTCCCGTCTCATTACAATGGAAAAGACAAAGAATTTCAACTGAATGGAACTTTTGGTGCATAAATTTTCCCATTAAACTTGCAGGTTTCTTTTTTATAAGAATGTTCTGCAACCGTAAACTTAGTTTTTTCTGCTCTTATTAGTCTTATTTTATTTATTTAAGAGAACGTTTGGTAAATTATCAACACAAGTTTTATTCATTCTTTATTATTATTATTAGTTTTAAATATTTCTTAGCGTTTTCCCAGGAATCAGGAATCTTCACGTATTCTTCTGATTCATGTATTAAGAACCATGATACATCTCTCACACACAGTTTACGAGATAAAAGATACCACTTTTAACTTCTTCTTTAGCAGTTTCTCTTTCTTGCCTGAAACTTCATTGCCTTTTGTTTCATTCAAAAGATCTTTTAAGAAATTATTAAGCGCGATGCTTTTTCTTTTGCACTGAACTCTAATTTATTATTCTTTTCCTTCGACACGAGAGAAGGCAGTGGAAAGGTAAGAAGAATATTTTGCGAGAGTTTTACTTACTCTACAAGTATTATTTATGATGAGTGGGATGTGAAGGAAAGAAGAAAAATATTTTGAGCCAGTAAATGCAGATTATGAAGCATTTAAGAATTATTTGCAAGAAAGAGCTTTAATACTTACATTCTAGATTTCTATCAAAGCCTATCGAAGCATAAAACAAAAAGGATTTAAATCGTTTATGATGTATTCATTGGTAAAAGGGGAGTTAAAGTCAGAGTCAGCAGAAGACGAGAAAGAAGAATTATTAACGACTGTCTTGCATTTTCCTGCCTTTTAACAGCCGAATTATGACTTATTTGAACAAGACTTTCAACTTTTTTTTATATTTAATTCTCATTTACGTTATTTATATTCAGGCAGATTTATTGAACTTGTGCAATGAAACTTGTGCGTGCCAAACAGGTTCTTGGAGTAAGAGAAATATCGATTGCAAGGTTTTTACTATCTTATTAAATTTTGCATAATCGCTTTACGTCCATCGTCCATTCGATTGAGTAATTTAGTGTTTATCTAGGTATGTGGGAATCGCCTCTTATCATCACCAGACCAATTAGTAAAGAACTCGTTGATTTCAAAATGTTCAATATCGCTAATTGACTTAACTGGAACATCGGCTCAGTATTGCGAAGTCTGGTGGTCAATTTTTATTTATAAGACTTTAATTTATTTATCCACATCGTTACTTAACAGTAAGATGCTAAAAGATTAGAGAGATGTGAAAAGGAAGTCTTCCAGTCTGATCTCGGAAATTGCTTCCCTCATTAAATAAAACCGATAAATTTATAATGAAGATTATTTTTCTCATGTTTGTCCTACAATTGGAAGCACAAATGTCTAGTTTTTCTCTCTTTTTTCTTAACCAACTTCTTCTTGTTGCTGCTATTGATGCATTAACAGTAAATCAGTCGAGTTTTTCTGGTACGCCATGAAATGATAATCACACTTTATGATGATTCGTTTTTGTTGATTTTTTAAACCACGTCAATTGCTCGTACAACCATAATTTCATGGCAATCGTTTGATTGCTAACGGAATTTGGTTTATTCCATGAGAAACTCAAATGTAGATATCTCAAGGCCAGCCGGTGCTTTTGTGCTTTAGTTAGTGCTTATAAATCCATAAAAAGCTTTGAATGTAGTTCTCGATTGGAGGGAGAGAAATTTATGATCGTTCCTAGTCTTGTCTGGAAGCTCCCTTTGAGCTTGAAATCTCGACAATTGGAGAAAAAAAATTATTTTTATGCATTTATTTTAATTTTTCTTTGTGTCGTTTACACTTTGCCATTTAATTTATCTCATTTTATTTTCTTTGCAAGCTTGTTTGCTATTTTCATTTAATTTTTCTGACCTTAAAGCTGTTCACAGTCGAATGACTGGAGAAACGTAATTAATTCAACTTTGTAGGGAAGAATCTCGTAAAGAAATTATCTTGATTTCATTTCTCATTTTACCTTTCACTCTTTTTTTTCGTACCTTCATACCTTCAAACAATTGTAATCAAAAACGAAATAAAATGCCACCATTTCTTCGAATGTGCATCACATTCTCGTACAAGGATGTTTCTACTTACATATGTCGTAAATTCAGAGAATTTATAACCTGAACCTTTGCCTTGCGTTATTTTATTAATCGCTTCTTTCCATCGACTCTCATTACGCTTATGAAAAATGTAAAAACAAACAATTAACTCACCTTTTATGCGAAGAAGTGTTTTAAGGTATCCTAAAGGAAGGAATATTACAAACAACTGCTTGCTAACTTTCGATTTAAACTTTTTTTTACGATTCGTTAAAGCTAATTACAAAGCTTGGAGGCCTTGCAGGCGCAGCTCTTAATTTCTCAGAATCTTTCCGCTGCGATCAAATTGCACAAAATTTTCAATCAGTGACCAATAACTTTTTTTTCTCTTTCTTAAACTTTTATTTCGGAACCATGAACGAAATAAAAACTTTCACACAACAACACACGATATATTTATCTGTCGAACAACTGACTCAAAATAAATAATCAAATCAACTTAAAATGTCGATCGCTGATTTTTCTTTTCTTTTTTTTCTCCTTCAATTTCTTTTCAACATCAACACAACTCCATTCACTTTTCTTAGATCATCAAATTGAAATTAAATATTTTTCTTCTTCATCATAAAAATCATTGGAAATTGCCTTTCGAAACAAACTAAAAAAGTTTGGTAATTTAATTACACAAAAAAACAAGCAATGCAATCAACGTTGACCACCAATCGATTTAAGGTTTGAACTTTTATAGGCCACTGGCTAATGATTTTTGAACTTTTCGTTTCTTCCTGAGCGGTCTCGCGCACCAATGCACCAAATTGATTTCCTTTTTCGGCATTAATTAACTTTTATTTTCTGTATCTTTGTTGCCTTTAATGATGCACATAAACAAATTTTATCAAATCACAAGTGGTCTTAAACTGGACGAATGTATGAACCATCACGTCAAATGCCTTTTAATGATAATGCACACTTCGTAAATAACCTGTTACTGATTTCACCGTTTATTGGTTTTTGTTCTCAAAGAATTAAATGCACTTTGTGAACCACGAAATAAAAGAAACCGCAACAAAACAAATTCACCAATTAAATGAAGTCGAATGTCACTCGCGATATCTCTTCATTTCCTTCTTTATTATTTTTTAATGCTTTCCAAGATAGCTTAAAATGTTTTAAGAAGTCATGAGAAATATTTTAACATTTCTCGGACACAAAACAGCTTCGATCAAAAGTCAAAACAAAACTATTCTTGTAACTGTTGAAAAGTAAAAGACAACATGAAAATATTTCTTGATCTTCATGTTTTTTCACTCTCTTGATCGAATGTTTCACTCTCTCAATCGAATGTTTTCGTCTTTCTAGTTGAAACATTGGAATGAAACAATGAAAACATTGGGAAACATTGAAGTGGACAAATTTCACTAATTAAGAAAGATGAGTTGATATTAGGCCAATAAAGAAAGAAATTGAATTACTTCCTTCTCCCCAATGAAGTGTCATAACTTGAGATGGAAATATATTCCTTTTTCACGATTTTTTAACTATCCACTTATCCTATTCACAACTATTTATATTGGATTTAAAGCAGCCATAAATTATATCACGAATGTGAAGAAAATAAAAAAATCTCTTCATAAATAAATAATACAAAGCGAATAAAACTACAACAAAAAGGGAATCGCAAACGATGTGCTATAAGTCTTCTGCAGTCCAAGCACTGAACTTGTTTTCGTGTATAAGAATACGAGCCAGATATGTTGTACATAAAAAAGAAGCAGTTTGAAAGGCAAATGCTTTTTTATCTGATACCGTAAATAAATTAAAAGCAGAAAATCCGAGAAAATTTTTTTTTCTTCACCAAGCTTCAACTGAACAATGATGTTAAAATGAAAATATAAAAAAATTTCCAACTTTCATATCGCTATTTAGTGACATTTCTTTTTTTCGGAGAACTTTTGGCTTCTGCTGCAAACTTTTCATTTAAATGTTGCTGATGAATCTTGTAGCGAAGTGTTGATTGCAATTTGAATTCCGGAAAAAGGACTGGGAGTATTTAAATATGCACATAAAAACTTTTTTTTTCTCATATGAAGTTTAAAAGCGATAGTGGGAATGTTAAATGAATTTATTCACTCGTTTTTGTCGATGTAATTTACGATGCTGTACGATTGTAGTGAATTAAACATTTTAATTTGCGCATAAATTGTCACCTGCGATCGGTTTCCCTTGAAGCATTTTATTCCACGATGTAAATGTATTAATGGCCGCTTCTCATTCAATCGCTACAAAACATTTTGAAAGTGTTTCATTTATCTTCGAATTGAGTTATTTCGAGACTTCTGGAATAAAATTCTTTACTTTTCTTTGATCGTTTGCTCCATCTTGCTTTTTGACTAGACACCCACGCATTCAAGAACGATATTCATAACGTATTTAAAGAAATAACAAACAGTAATTGAATTTGATGTGTCAACGAGGCTACAACGGAGACGTTTTGTTGCTACAAAATTGCGATAGTCGATCAGAGTGTTTGTCGACATTTTTCATTCGTTTTGTTTTCTTTTATTCAAGAGTTGAGATCAACTTCCATGTAATGAGATTTAAAAAATAAAAATAAATACACTGAATGAAACGAAGCAGAAATATCTCTCGAACTTCATCATAAGACTGAGTCAACGTGATACACGCAACGATATCAACTATCAATGATTGACTGGATTACTTAAAGCCGGTTAAATGAAACAAAATTTATTCTTTCACTTTGAATTGAATCAAAATAATATATGAGACGAATTGAAAACCACAAGATACTCAAAGTGTTTGTTTCTTTACATTGAAATGAGATTTGTCTTTAGCATCGCGAAGAAAAAGCGTGTCACGATTTTACATTGTAAAAAGTTGAAAACTTTTATTTATCTAAAAATGTTGACATCAAATGACGCTCATCGGTGAACTTGTGACAGGTGTTTCAAGCGGATCTTAGAGTTGATTTAAATAGAAACACGACTTTGCCTAAAGCTCCAAAAACGTTAAAGATTGAAACATGTTTACATTTACACACCGATTACAACTCGAATTAATGTGCAAGTCGTAAAGTGTTTGATACCTTTGGTTATCAACGACACTAAACGAAGTCTTATTAAGGATTTTCTCTCGTTGCTTTGTCTCCACTCTCCAGCAATCATTCAGGTTTAACAACTTTAATTCGAACGATTGAATGGAATGTTTCATTCCTTCTTTGCCTTTAACTACTTCTCGTAAAATGTCTAGAAATTTTTTTATCTGTTCAACTGTTCAACTGTCTTTGTCACCTGATTCTTGACACTACATGCCGACATCTACGCGTAGGCCTTCTCATGATTAAGCAGAGTGAATTTCTCGAATTGAAATCATATTGAAGCATGTAATTCTTATGCTGTTTTTTAACACGCTCACGAAATGGTCGATAATTAATAAGCGTTTTAATTAAATTAAAGCAGGAGGGAGTATGTGATAATTTACACAGCGAAAATCAGCAGGAAACTAGCACTTTTATGAAACGTTTTCCAATTTGTAAACGACAAAATGTGATTCGACTTCAACTCAACGTGAACCATTTATAATCAATTAAGTGACCATGATATGAGCATAATTGTAACTTGGAATCAATTTTTATTCGATTGAGCTTTGATATTGAGAAAGATTGAAATCTGCGCATTTAAAATTAATTTCTGAAGCAATTCAATAAGATTTCTTGCCTACCTGCTTTGTGTTGCTTGCTTGCTTGCCTGCCTGTCATCATCATTCGTTTTGTATTCTTTTATTTTCCTTCTTTTGTTTTCAATTCATGTGAACATTAAAATCGTCATAAAATCGTTTTAATCTGATTCGTTAATGTGATTGAAAGCATGCGTAGATAATTATAAATTTCTGAATGATTATTAATGCTTGATTATTTATTCGAAATCATTGACAATCATTCATTAATTTTATGACTCTGGAATAAAAGTGGTGGCCATTGTTGTGAAAGTTATTCACTTCAAACTATTAATCTCAACAACTCAGTATCAGGTCGTGATTCTGATTAATGTTAATGTTCATTAATGAATGCTAATTAGTCAAATTGGAAGTTTTATTTATGTTTAATTTATTCTTTGCTCGAAAATTGAGATTTCAGGGAATTTTCTTCCTTTCCTTGCTACTCTCGGTGTTTACTTTTCTAGCGCTTTCACGCTTCAAAGAAATTTCTCACCGACATGCGAAGAACAAATTAAGAATGTTATCACCTCTTTCGTAGATTTTGTTATGTTGTATTAAAAATAATAAAAATAAAAGAGAAAACTCGAAATCAATAAATTAGGCATTGGAGCGAAGCTGACAAGGAAAGAGGGGGAGAATATCTTAATCCGTTTTAATAAATGGACACAAAGAAATTAATAGAAAAATCATGCTAATTTTTAAATGCTATTTTGTGGTAAAGAAACGATCGTCATATTAAATAAAACGGGAACCGGTTCACATTTTTATGTTTAACGATTTTCTTAGGCCATACTTAAACTCATAAAAGAAACAAACATTTAATTAAGTTCTACAAATTATTATAAATCCTTCTCATTTAATTAAATAGTAAATTGTTGCAAAATTCATTATCAAGCGTTGTGAATGTTTTTGGTCACTCTGTAGCTCACCATTCAAAACTCAAAAACTGATTTTTGCTTTTATTTTATTTTTATTTATTTATTTATTTCAGGGAACAATATCCAACTGTTAAACATCTTCAATTTATTTACTTATTTATTTATTATACAATTATCTGACAGGCTTTCATATGTTCGAAGAAGTCTGATAGAAGAAAATCAAATCAAACTTTTTTTATATTTTTTTTCCTTTTTGTTTGAAATCAAAGATGAAGTCAAAAGTTTTGTTGCATCAATAAGTTTAATATTTGATATTTGAGCATAATTTCTTTTTTATTGAAAGCTTCATATCGAATTTTTATTGCTACTAATAATATCACAAAACAAAATTCTCCTTTTCTCTATGTTAGAAACTTTTAAGTATTTTTTTTCTTTTAAAATTTTTATTTGTAAATGAATCAAACCGGATGTGAATTTCTTTTTTTAAATGTTTCAAGATTAAATTTTTATATTCTCTACATGAGTAGACAAGTGAAGTTGATGTTGCCTTCATCTAAATACCGAGAATATCAAAATTTATTCAAGAATTCTATGAAGCTATTGTAGATAGCGATAAGACGAGAAAGAATTTACTTAAATATTTCATCTTCAGTATTTATGTTTGCTAAACCGTATTATTATAGTTACTCACAACCATTACATATAAATTTATGTTGCTTTATGCTTTAAAGCAAACATCTCCGATTATTATTAATTTTCTTTTTCAATTTTTCGTTGTTTCTGAACATTAAATAATTAATTTGCGTCTTTTAAATACTTATTAAGATTTAAAGTATAAAAAATGAAGACAGCGACGGTTCTTATTTATTCTGTTAAAAAGAAAGAAAAGAAAAAAGAAATAATAAATAAAATGAAATAAAAAAAATTTTCAACATAAGAAAAATTTCTAATCATTCGAACTTTATAAAGTTTTACTTCAAATTTGAGATTCATCGACAAGTTCTTCTTCAGTATCAAAGTTTAACCACGATTCTGTTTCCATGTTGTGATTGTAATTCATTTCCAACAAAACTTGACCATTTTCAAGTTCTTTTTTGATGTGCATTGCACCATCGTGTGAATTAATTTGATCAAACTTAGGTGAACCCGATTCAAAGAGAAGATCAGCTTCGGGAAAGAGATCGCTTGCAATGGGTTCATCGACACCCAGATCAGCACATTCTTCACTAAACGATTTCTGATTGAAAAACTCTTTCTCAATCGTTGCTGGCTTTCTGTCATTGCACATCACAATTTTATTCGATGGATCAATAAGATATCCCTTGATATTCCTCCCACCCACAACATTCGCATCAGAAATCTTTCCATGCATTGCAATTTGAAACTTTTTAAACTTTTCATTCTCAATCTTCCCAACATCGGAATCATTGCCATAAATATTTCCAATGCCACCGCTTTCATCATGATTGGAATTTGTGTTATCATCGACCTCAATCTTCATGTTAAGCATCGGTGACTTTGACATTGCATCGGCATCGTTGAGTAAGTCGATAACATCTTCTTTCATGTAATCGTCGTAATCCATTTCTTCGATTTTTATTTCTGGAGTTTCATCGAAACTTTCCTTCACTGTCACTTCATCATCGCTGGTATTTGGAACAAACATAATACTTGACGAACTTCTGGGATCGGACGGTTGATGTTCATTAAGTTTAATCATAAAGTTTTGTTGTGGATGTTGATGTGTTGAAAGTTTCTGTTGTTGTTGAATGATTTCAGTAATGAGCGTCTTATCGCTAACAAATTTACTGTTCTGTGAATCGTTTGTATCTTCTTCCTGCTTCACAGTCACAAGATTTGATTGACACGAAGTGAATGTTGACTTCGTACCATCATTGCATTGTTGTGTCAATGTTTGTATTGGCCGAAGACAGAAAGTATTTGTTGAAGAATCAGAACTGTTATTACTTCTATTAACACTGCCACTTCCTTCGGATTGCATTCGAATTGTCTTAAAAGCAGCATTTTGTGAAACATCATTCGATGATGTTAAAATTGTTCGATTTCTGCTGTCATTCGATTGACTCAAATATCTTTGAAGAATGATTGATGTTCCCGTTTGATTACCAACGACAGAAGATGTCAATTGATTTGTCGGAACGGCGATAATTTTCTGACCATTATTCGATGATAATATCGCCAATTGTTGTCCACCCTTCAACACATTCATCGGAACTAAATAATTTCCTGGCATCAAAACTGTCGCTTGACTCGGAAATCTTTCATTTGAACTCGACGATTGCGAAGGTTTTGTGACAATAATGTTTTGATTTTGACATGTTGAACTCATTTCAATTCCACTGCCAACTTTTGCTTCCGTTAAAATCAATCGACGACTAACTGGAAACTTGCTGTGACTTGGTGATGTTGCAACACTGCTGCTGCTACTTTGTGGACTCAACGCTGTCTCTCTTTTCATGTCTTCCATGTAAAAGTTGTTATCTAACGACACATCTGTCTGATCATCAATGTCATGTGCTTGTGGTGAATTGTTCATTGAACCCGTCGACGCCACTCCACTTCCCATTCCACATGAACTGTCTTCTTCACTTCCCATTGTATCTGTCATCATATCTGACGTTGATCCGAATTGTTTTGAACTTTTCATGTTGCTTGACGATGAGCCAGACGCAATGACTTTCTTTCTTTTAGCGACAGGAGGATTTGTTGGTGGATTTGCTCGTCGTCTCGGTGCTGGTTTGTTATTTAAATCAGGAGAATTTCGAACTTGTTCTTTATAATTTGCTAGTATGTCGAGAATTCTTTGTGCTGTGTGTTCATCTTCTTGTACTTTTGGTGCTACTTTACCAGCTGAACCACCTCCAGTTGAAGTCTTCAATGATGGTGAGACGCTAGGTGAAATGCTGGTTATTGTAACTGAATTAAGTTTAATTTCAGTTTTAATTTTTCCTTCCGTTGTGATTGTCTTTTTAGGACTTTCTGGTGTTGGTGGTGAAACTGAAGTTGCTTCTGACGAACTTCGCTCTAACACTTGTTCCAAAACCATATCAAATTCACGTAATTGCTCAAGAGTTGAATGATCAACATTTTTCTTTGGTTTCTGTTCGATTTTTGTTGATTGTTGATCAACTTCTGTTTCCTGTTGCTTAAGATTTGATGATGACATTAATAAACTTTCCAGCTTCGATCCAGACGATTGTTGTAGTCTTGTTGGTGTTGTTGCAATCACAATTTGTTGTCGAAAATTTCCACCAGATACTTGCGGACGAACTGAAGTGTTGATAAGTTTTGGAATTTGAATTGGAACAGAAATTCTCATCGGAGCCATAACAGAACGATCCGAAGATGTTTCCGGCATTGTTGTAATGATTCTTATATTTCCACTTGGATTGTTGCCTCTTAAAGCTGTCAACAAAACGTTGCTATTGGAACTTGTTAACAACTTTCCATTTCCAATTGCACGAGCATATAACAAATTGCTTTGCATAGCTGTTTGTAATGTCGACATTGGCGACTTTTCAACATTATTTTCACTCTCCAATAAACTTAATAAAGCTCCAGCATCAGTTGATTTTATTTCTGATACAGTTCGTGTTACTTTTGTACCAACAGCTGTTTTGGCCTCAGATTTCACTTCTTTCTGTCCCATAATTTTATTCTTCAACTGTTCGTTGACTAAACTTGAGTTTGTTGTAAAAACTGTTTTACCAAAAGCTTGATTGAATTTAGGCAAAACTTGACTACTCGATTGAATGACAGTTTTGCCAATTTTTTGTATGATCGATGTTGGCGTTGCTGGTGAACTGCTGATTGTCAACAATCCCATATCTGATGTTGATTTGTTATTTGAAACACCAGACGATGATGATGACGATGATGAAGATGTTTGAATGAATTTTGCATAAGTTTCTTCGTAAATTGATCGTGTGTTGATGGGCGACGTTGGTGTACTTGACGGTGTTTGTGTTACAGATAAATGTGGACTTTTATTTCTCTTTTGGTCACCATCATCTTGCTGCTTTTGTATTATTGTCAAAATATTTTGATTATCACTTTTCTTCAATTGATTATTTATGATAATTTGTTGATTTGCATGATGAAGAATCGTTGGACCTTTTGCACCTGAAGTGTCGACTTTGTATGTGATTTTCTTTGACGTTCCACTCCCACCACTTCCACTGTTGCTACATATCGGCGTTAAATGAATTATTTTTCCATCAGTCTTACAAATGAACTGAACAATTCCTTGTTGTTTTACACTTGATGGAACCTCCGTTTTAAAAATATTTGTGCTGTTGTTGTTGTTATTGGCGTTGTTAAGTTGAGGAGATAAAGTTACAACTTGATTAGTTGGTCTTGTTTGTGATGATGTTACTGTCGTGTTTGTTGCTTTCATTGTGAAATTCGATGGCGGACTATTTAAGATTTGCACTAATTGCGATTGTCCATGTGACGCTACAACCTTCACAATATTCTGGGATGAAGCAGTTGATGTTGTTGATGGTGTGGTGACAACATCTGATGATATTGGTTGACGAGAAGATGTTTCAGATGTTTTGTTACTTGTAATGATGAAATGACGATTGGTGTTTGTTGGCAACATCACTTGTTGTGTCAACATGTTGATCAATGTTTGATTTCTCGATGAATTCTTATTATGAATAACATCAGATTGCGAATTGCATGCCACAATTTTCACATTTGTTGTTCGAACATTTTCTTCAATTTTTGTTCTTTTGTCGTGACTCGTTCTTGAATTGTTGTCATCTAAACTGCTTCCAGGTCGATTAGAAAGTGTCGCTGGTGGATAAGTATTTTTAATAATTGATCCAAACGATGTTTGAATTGTCGTTTTCGCATCGCTTTCACGATTTATTGTCGTTTGTCCGATTTTCTGAACATGCGTTGAACACTCACCGTTTGATGTTTCCAAAGGAAGCTTTTTCGCTTCTATTTGCTGTTGATCGTTATCTGTGTCACTTTTTTCTGGTGTTGAAGAATTTCCATTTTTTGCATCTTTTAAGATGTGAATAACTTTTACATGCAAGGATCGTCGCATAGGCGTGGGCGGAAGTTGAAAGAATTCTAAAGAATTCAAGCCAGGAACGAAAAGGGAGAAATCATCGTCATTGTTATTGTCCTTTAATTTCTCTTCGCTACGTAACTTATCATTAACCAACGCATCATTACTTACTTTCGGCATCCAATGACAAAATTTCTTCTTGCAATTTTTTAAATTCTTTGTAAAGTTCGAACGATTTGAATCAGAATTAAAAGATTTAACTAAATAATGTTTCGCAAAACTATTCAATAATTTTATGTTAGCAATGTTATCTACAAACAGGGATTTAAATGTTTTAGATTCAGCTTTCTTCTGGTTAGTAAAGGTATTCGAGAATTTATGGATCTTAACACTACAATCATGATCATCATTGTCAGTTTTTGTTAGCAATAAATTATTAGCAATAGTATCACCAGAATTATGATCAAATGCATAACTTACACAATTTTGGTAAACAATGTGGAATGTTGATTGGTTAAAGTTGGAAACGAATTCACTTGAGTCTTCGTATGGTTGCTCCAATGTAATGTTTTGGATTTGAAAGTCTCGACGATTTGGTTTAATCGGTTTGATCTAAATTGGAATGAAATTTATGTTTCAATTAAAATTCAAACTTATATGGAATATGATAATATAATCAGAGATTGAAATTTGTTCTTGAGAATATCATAAAAGTCAAACATAATATGCACAAAGATTCGGTAATTAAATTGCTAAGTAGCATAAATGTAGTTGAACACCCCGGAAATTTATGCTGACAATTTTCTTTAAAAAGAGATACAATAATTAAGATTTTGATTACGGGAAGTACGAAATACTAAATTTTATTTTTATGAAAAATTCCGTGCAGATTTCAATCTCTGAAAAATAAATTGAATCTACTTACATTTGATGGAAGTTTCATTTTAACTTGATTAATCTTTATATTCATGTTGACTTTCGGTTCATGTTGTTTCATTTGTTCCATAACATCAAAAAGTCGAACTTCACTCTTTGCCATGCTTAGACGATTTGTTATTGAATCGTTCGAAAGTAATCTTGGACGTTTCAGTGAACTGTTTTCAATCGAAACCTTTTTTTCAAACTTTTTCAACACTCGATTGAAGTCAGTATTAAAATCTTCATCCGATATTTCCAATTCAGTTGATGGCATCATGTTGTTGTATGAAGATAAATTAAGTGACGATTGAATGTCTGAAAGTCGTTGACGACGATGTGCACTTTTTGGCCCGGGCTTTCTTCTTGGTATTTTTAAAGGATCATCATTGTTATCAAATTCATCTGTCAGATCAATGACAATTGTTTCGCGTGAACTCTCAATTTCCATAACCACATCATCATCATCATCATTGTCATCGTCGTCATCGTCATCGAAACAGTCAAGTTCATCCACTCGCTTTTTCTCCATATCAAAACCATTTTTTGAAATTTTCTCATCTTTCAAAACGACAGCCGATGGTGGATAATGTAATGGGGGTGGGCTTTTCGATGGCAGTTCATCCTTCATAACTCTCATACACTCTTCAATTCTTGGTTTTGAAAATGGAATAAATTTTGGTGTAATTTCATCTTCAAAGTCGATTTCAGTTGAAATGCTTGAATTCATCTCACTTTTAATATCGTCGAGTAACATTTTATTCTCAACATCATTAATAGACGATATTGCAATATTTTCCGACACTGAATTAGCAACATGAAGAATTGAATTTGACTCGAGGATTTCTTCAATCGGTTTACTAAAACTTGGCTTCTTTGGTGGTGAAACGAGATCGTTGGATAAGATTTTAACTTTTTCCATATTTATAACATTGTTATTCGACACTAATGGTGGAGGTGAAGTTAGTAAATCAACCCCATCACCACCATTACCAACAATAACTGAAGATTGACAACCATTTTGAAACAATGGATTAGAAAATTGTTGTTGATGTTGATATGAAACTTGTGTCGTTGGAGGGAAACCTGGCGAATAATTCTCTTTCTTTACTACATCATAAATATCTAAATATTGCAAATAGTTGGACGATGATGATAAGTTTTGGATTGTTGTCTGGTTTTCCTGGTGATTCTCATGATGAACACCATTTTGATACGTCGAGGTATCAGAAGTTTGCTGTGGTTGTTGATGATAATTTGAGATCACATCTGACAATTGCTGTCGCTCTTGAACTGAATGATTTTCATTTTGTTTTGAATTTAAGAAGTTTGCTAAAATTTCACGACATTCAATTTTAATTTTCTTTGGTGACGGTTCAAAGTTTGTTGTTGGATCTTTCATGGAATCATCAGCGAGAGCTTTCGAAGCTGATGATGTTTTCATTCCACGCATTCCTGATCTTAATGAACATTTTATTTGACTTTTCACTCCATTTACATCACATTTAATCTCTAAATTTTTAAGATTGTGGCTCATGTAATTCAACACAATCGTTCCACTGAGTGTCGTTTCAGAAGTGATCACAAGTTTCGGATTATCGTTGTTCTCATCATAAACAATGTTGTCTCTGAAAACTTGATGAACAACAACCGAGCCATGAATTGTCGCTGGAATTTCTTTCTCAATTCTAATCGAAGGAACTTTCAAAGTATTTCGAACTTTGTTTATTGTTATTGGAAGTGTTGTTGATGTACATTGCGTGAAATCAATTTTATGCTGCGACGATTCATCACAGAAAAAGTTAATGTCAAGTTTGATTTTTTCTCCTGCAATATTCGACAATTCATTTTGTAGTAAAAGAAAAACGTTAATGAAATCGTCTGATCCATGACTTGTGTCGGTTGTTGTGATTGTTGGATAGCCGCCTTTTGGTTTGGATGATGACTGAGGTTTCTTTAAATGTTCAACAGCCTCGTTTTGTGATGAAAATGTTTCAACATCGCCGGTGCTAATCTCATTTTCATTTCTTCTTACATATTTATATCGACCAGATTCACAATCAAATAAATAAGTCTCCAAACAAAACTCAAACATTCCCGATGACTTGTAAGCTGTGTTAACGATTCGAGACAATCGTCGACCCTCAGGATTTTGTTTAAACATTAAAAAATTAAATGCGGCTTGTGTTTGACATTTTGTCGTCTTGTAACTTTCATTTCGATTGAACAAAACGAATTCCGATGGAATGTAAAGACTTTTCTTCTCCATGATTGCATAAAACATCACATTTTCAATGTCGAAAATATTGCAATTATCATTGCAGAGATCATAAACACGAACATTTCCACTTTGATACATTTTCATGACATCACAAGTCTCGTTCAGCTTTGGAGTCATGTCGAAATCAAAGAAAAGATTTTTCTCGTTCAACTTTTGTTGATTTTCATTGATTGTGAACCAGTGAAGACGATAATTTCTCAAATTTTCTAAACTCACATCAGACAAAAGTTTCATGAAGATTTCTCCACTTTTATCGATGTCAAAGTCAGAGCATTGACTAAAAGTTTTAATGATGAATGCTTTGACTTCCGATGGCAACAAAACTGATTGATTTTCACTATCATTATTCAGATATTTGATGCTTTTGAAGCGTTCAGAAATTTTATTTGTAAAAAATTGATTTTCCGTGAGAATCTTTTCGACTTCCAAACTTTTCTTCTTATCAACTTCTCCATCAGTCTCTTCAGAACTTTCTAAACGCGGTCGCTTCATGTATCTTTCAACGCCAGCATAAACAAGCGGCTTAAGGTCTTCACTCAACCGAATGCGATGATTTAAAAAGTCCAAATTCTCATAGCATAATAACGAAGACTTTTCCCAACTGTTGGCGATGTTGAAGTCAGTTTTAATGGCACATTGGAACGTTTCTAATTGTTCCTTTAAATTCATCAGTGTTCGTTCCATTTCCTCGTTTTTATTTTCTACTTTAGGAGGAACTAAACGAACATTTTCAGGAAGAAGTTCTAAAATTGTTTTAGAAAATTTTGTCTCGGATTCACAAACACTAGCAGCTTGAAAACATAAACGTTGTAAATTGTAGTCTTTAACGATCGATCCAAGTGTTGTTAGTGCCATAAACATTCGTTTGTTCGTACAAATGAATTCCTGATTCAAGTAATTCGTATCTTTAATGTTGTTGTATTTAATTTCTTCTAAATACGAGAGATCATGAGACAGTCCAATACTAAAGAGTTCAATTATTAAAATGTCGTGAATGCCGGGCATCTGAAACAGGAAAATTTTGGTTTTCTTTCCGTTAATATTTAAAGAACTCTCTGGCTTTGTTGCTTACCTTAAATCTTAAAACATCAGCAGCCAAATAATAGAATGAGCTGAGCACATTCATGTCGTAAGAGACAGCAGAGAGAAGAACCTTTCGAAGTTCATCATTCGCAAACTTATCCTGCATTGCAAGATCAACGATAAGATTCACATAAAGATTGTAATTCTTCAAGTTTTGCTCTTGCAATGGCTTTTCATATTCTGACTTCAGTAAATCTTGTGCAATGCAAATGCAAATGAAAATTTTGTTTTGGTGGATTTTTGTCACTTGTTCTTCACAATTTTTGAGCTTATTTAGAATGAATTGAATCTTACGATGATGGGGAAAGAATTTAATCTAAAAAATTAAAATTAATTGAATGACATTCTTCACTTTTAAAACTTTCCTTCTTACCAAACTTTTTAAATGATCAAATTCTCTTCGATGGCATGTTACGATTAGAAGCATTGTGATGAGGTTTTCTACTGTCTTGCAGGTGAACTTATTTTGAAGACATGGCTCAGCAATCAGAAGTTTTTTGTACGTTTCCAGGCAATTCACGATCATTTGGCTAGTATCTGTGCACTTAGTAGATTGAAATAAAATTATTAACGACTCAAGGCGAGCATTTATAATGTTGTCGGCTTCATTCAGCAACTTTTTTTCAACTTTAAAAAAATAATGAATCAGTGTGAGAAAAGAAAATTTTTAGGAAAATCCCGTGAAAAATCTTACAATTGCTAGCAAATTTTGAGGAGCGCGCCACAATTTTTCCCGATAAAAGAGCAGCGGTTGCTGATGAGTCCCATTTTTCAAGTGTATGTATGGTTTCAAACGATTCATCCATGTTTAAATCGGAAAACCGTGAAGAGCATTCAATCAGGATTTTTTTAAGTTTCGTGAGCTCATTTAACATTTCTTCAATGTTTTCTGGTTGGATGGCCAATCGAAACTGAATTTATGAATAAAATTAATAGACAAAACTTAATTTCAAATGCTTTCACTTACATCAAGGACTAGGTTTACTGTTTCTTGGTGTAACTCATCAAGTTTACCAAGATCCAGTTTATCTTTTGATTTTCGAAGATTTTCCGACCATTTCTGATTTAAGTCTGCAATGTGATTAGTTAGGTTTACGTTGGGATCATACATTTATCACGATGTATTCTTTGATATGGTAATAAATAAAAATTTTCAACTCTTTTATATGTTTTTGCAAAATAATTTGCAATCCTTTGAAGCATCCATCACAAATTGTTTTTCTATATTAAAGTCGAGGAAAAAATGTTCATTGTCACTTGTTCAGATAGATTTCAAAGCTTTATACACTTTTCAGTTATGTAGCACATATTAATTTACAGATTGAAGCTTCTAAGACTGTTAATTCTTATGATTTTCTTAATTTATTTAGATTTGTAATTTTTAGAGTTTTCATATATTCTCAACTGCAGCAAACTTCACTTCAAACATCTGAAGTTGGTTACGAGTGGTTTACATTTCTTTTGAATTTTAGCGGGAAATTTAACAATGGATTAAAAAGGATATCAAATGTTATTTTATTTTTTATTAAAAAACTCTTGAAAAAACTAATGAATTATTGCATGAAAGTTGGAATAAGATTTATTTGTCTTACATAACTTACACATACACACTGAACATATCTTATTAATTAACGTATTGTGAAACTTTAAAGTCGAATGATTTTTATTCCAGACTTTCATATTTTTACTTGAAACTCGAAAACGTTTTTAAGTTTTGTGCAGAAAACTTAAATACCTAGATCTTAACAAATGTCATTTTGTGATCTTTCTTTTTATGATATTTAAAAAAAGTTCGAAAATTTAGAAAACTCTCTTCATATTTTTCTTTTATATTTAATAAGCTTAACTTATCTTTTTTAAGGAATAAAAAAAAAGAAATTTTATTGCCAATTTGGTTTACATGTTAGAGAAATGTCCTGATAATATAATCCATGAGTTATAGCCGAAATGGCACTTCCTTTCTTTCTTTAAACTGAGACGGAACTTTGGGCAAGGCTTTGGATTTTTCGAGTAGACAAAAAAAGTTTGTTTAACTATGAACTTACAATAATCGTGATAGATAATTAAGCGTCAAAAAATACGAGAAAAATTAAATTTATCAGAAAAATACAAACCAAATAAATTTAATACATAAAAATGAGAGCTATGAATGGTAATCGTTCATTGTTTAAGAGATAAATTGATAGCACATGAGCTTATTCTATCTAAAGATATCGACCATCATCTCTAGATGATGAAATAATTGAAATATTAAAAAAAACTCATTAAATTAACTTAACTAAGAAAAAAAGGAGAGCGATAGGAAATCTCACATCTATCTAATTGAAGAGCATTTCAGTTTTTTGCCGCACATTTTCAATATTTTCTGCTGTTGAGTTTAAGTCGTCGTTCTCATCAAGCTTAGCGATGATTTCATTTAACTCCTCATTCAGAATCTGTTTTGCTTTTACGGATGACACTTGGAGATACTTTCCCGCTTTATATTTCTCCTGAATTGCTTGCTGTGTCATGCTTTCGGCTTCGACATGAATTTCACTAAGATGAGCAATGATTTCTGTCAATTCTTCAATCTCGTAGCCAAAAGTGTCCCTCATCTTCTTATTCCAAATTGGGAAGCCAAATGTGTGGTAAGCCATTGCCAATGCAGCTGCAGATAGTCGAGATGGTGTGTAGTTTAAGAATGGCAAAGCTCGCAGCAATGAAAGTTCACAAAGATACTGTGAAGAATCAAAAATCATCGTGACACTCTCCGAATGAGAAATATTATGAATTTAAATTACCTGAGCCAAGAACTTTACTTTATCGGGAATGTTTATCATTGATGAGTAGAGATTTATGAAGGCCAATGCTGAAGGAGCACATAAATCGAACGACAAAACTTTCAAAAGCAATTTCTCCATGCGAAGCACTTGCTGCTTTGTGTATGTGTCGTCTGTGATGTAAACAAATTCTCCGATCTCAGGTGGATAAATTTCCTCGTATTTGCTTTTAAAATTGATTCATTAAAATTTTTCGAAACATAAATTTATAAATTATTAACTTACGATGCAATAAACATTGCTGCTGTTCCGACAAGTTGCAATTTAGCTCGAACAACCGACATGTAACTCAAGAAGCGATCAATGTAATTAACCGCCAAGCAAAGAGTTTCACTTTGCAAACGATATTCTTCACTCACTTCAACCAACCAATCGACAAGAATAGCTCGCATACTGTCATTTATATCTGGCTGTTTCTTCATGTACTCAGCTCTTGGTCGTATGTTCTTTTGAGACTGTGAAGTTTAAGAATTGTTAAAGAAAAGTTTTTGTAATTCCTTTCATAAGAAACTTACTTCGACTTGTTTCAAATATTCAAGAATATCTTTTTGATATTCGTAAACCTCGAAAAATCTGTCACGATCGTTCCTTATGATAGATTTATGAGATAAATTTCCTCCCAAAACTGATTTATCAATTGACATTGGTGTTGATGGTTCAATTATCGACATGGGCGTTGCAATTTCATCTTTAGCATGAATATCTTTCGTTGTTCGATAACTATGTGCACAAAATTTCATGAATAAGCATGAAAAGGGAAACTTTTATTAATTACCTGAACGATGATGCTTCCAGATTATCTGTGGACCATTCATCGCTTGTAACATTTATGATCGATTCTTCCTCACAAGCAACTTCCTCTACTTTAACGGATGCTTTTATTTTCTGATCCTCCTTAGTTACAAACACATTTTTCTGAATATATGTTCCACTTATGATTGTCGATGACGATTCAGATGCTTTCTGTATCTTTTTTCCCTTTATTAAGAATTAACAAAGCAATCAATTAAACACAAGCATTACAAAGCGGCAAACTCTTTTCTAACCTGATTTTCGAAGGCATTCTCATTGTTTATTGCCTTATTTCCCAGTGGCATTAGCTTCTGTCGTTCTTTTTTGGCACCTCCGACAGCTCCGAGTCCTTTCTCGTGCACATTTTCCTGATCCTCAAATATAACAAAGTTCGACATGTCTTTTTGTATCTTTTGACGAAAACTTCAGCTTTCCACAAAAAATCACTGAGAATTGACTGCTTTACTTTAAGATTAAATAAAATATAATAAATTAGAAGCGATCTCCTGCTTCGTTCGCGTGAAAAACTGAATTATTTATTTGGCTTTTTATTGTTGACTGAACGTTAGTTTGAACCACGGGGTTAAAAACCTTTACGAGGGGAAAGTTATGCTTTCAATTTTCAAGAGGGTAATAAGCTACGATCTTAAGTATTTTTTTGTTTTTTGTCCCCTAAATATTGTGAAAACAAAAATCCTAAGAAAACGTCATAATAACCTCATCTTTTCAATTAAATCCCACAAGCATGGACCTTTCTAAAGTGCTATCAAAAGTAATTAAATATCTTGCTCTTTTTATACCTAAATTTTAATTTTTTACCTTATCATAGTATCAAAATATTCAAGCAACGAAAAAAGATGTTTTGGATCTTTTGGAGCAGTATCGGGCACTAAACTACCGTTTAGACTCCTATGTTTTTAATGATGGATCTAAAAAAGACTTGTTAAGTCTGACTGGAACGATTCCTGTTGTGTACAAACGTAAGATTAAATTTTCATTTTAATTGATTTTGATGATTCATCGAATCATTCTTTTAGAAAACACTTATCATATTCCCATTTGTATTTGGTTGATGGACACTCATCCTTACAACGCGCCGATTTGCTATGTAAAACCAACTACCGACATGCACATAAAAGTCAGCATGTACGTTGATCACAATGGAAAAATTTATTTGCCATATCTTCACGATTGGCAGCCGAATTCAAGTGACTTATTGGGGTTGATTCAAGTAATGATTGTTACATTTGGCGAACATCCTCCAGTATATTCAAAACCAAAACAAGCTCCATATCCAGGGCAGTCCTTCATGCCACAACCAGGAGCAGGAAATGCAAGTTACAATCCGTCGTTTCCCCAATCTTCTAATTTCCCACCGTATCCAACAAACAATTACGGAGGTGGATATCCACCTTATCCTCCAAATCCTAATTCATCAAATACTCCGTATCCTCAATCAAATTTTATGCCAGGTATGCCATCAGGTTTCAATTCCGCACCAGCAAATAATGCTGGCGCTACAGGGACAATATCTGAAGAGCATATCAAAGCATCATTGATATCTGCTGTGGAAGACAAAATGCGTCGTCGCATCTACGAGAAAGTCAACCAATGTCAAGCTGAAATTCAAACTTTAAAGCGTACGAAACAAGAATTGATGGAAGGTCAAACAAAACTTGAAGATATTGTAAGAAAATTGGAACGAGATGAAACGGAATTAAAGAGAAACATTCAATTGTTGAATGACAAAGATGCTGAGTTGACAAAATCTCTTACAGCCCTTGAGCAAAATGATCAAATTGATGTTGATGAAGCTGTCACAACAACTGCCCCCCTCTACAAACAGTAAATTCATTTTAGAAAACATTCTCAGTTAAACTTTCATTTAAATCGTTTTTTTACAGACTTATAAACGCTTACGCTGAAGAAGCAGCAATTGAAGATGCAATTTATTACATTGGTGAAGCATTACGCAAAGGAGTCATTGATCTTGAGGTTTTTCTTAAACAAGTTCGACAACTTTCACGAAAGCAGTTTATGAATCGTGCGCTTATGCAAAAGTGTCGTCAAAAAGCAGGATTGGCTGGTTAAGATTGCATTTCAAAGGTGGCTGATGCTTTAAGATTACTCAAAAAATTTTATTACAAATAATTATCAATCATAAAATGGTATAATAAAATAGATTTTTCTTTGTTAATTGAAAGTAGGTATTTAATTAATGATGTGTTCTAAAATTCCTTGTCTAATTAATTGTTCACATTCTGAACTTGGCAAATAATGAATGCTGTCTTTTTGAAGAAGAATCACTTCACCACTTTCCAACTCCAACTTGCCATGATCAGCTAAACATTTGACTTCAATGTAAAGGGATTTTGGTGGTTTAATGTTGGCTGTTAAATTGATTCCATTTGGATACGACATCATGTAGTTTGCAAGAAGTTTTGAGTAATTATTGAACCATTGAATTTCGGGCTCTGTCAAAGCTTCTTTAACATCTGCACTGAGTGTTGGTCCCAAGTGCCATCGAACTTCCTTCAGCTTAAGTAATCGATTGTAAAGGTAGGCAAGAGCACATCTTACATTACGTTGTAAAAGTGCATGACGATACCCAATCATTGGGAAGATGGTCTTGTCTCTCGTCTCTTGATATTGAAGTGCTGCTTGATGATTCTCTTGAAATGCTACATTTATTTCCTCTAATACAGCACGAAGGTCTTCACTCTGTGAAATGATATTTAAGATTAATTCTCTTATTTTATGAATGCTGCCACAATGATAGGTGTCGCAACATGACCTTGAATAATCAAACATTCTGTCATCGCGTTAAATAAATAAAAGTAAAAGTAATAAATCATAAGTTACATTTCACTTAACCACTTGAATGATGTTCTTCGTTCGATAACAATGACAATGTTATCTTAAGAGTTCACGTGAAATTGATTATTTGACAAAACGATTATTGCAATGTCAATGTCATGTTGCGACACACGTGATGCTATTAAAACAAAGCAACACATGTCACATCGCAATTTTCCTATCAAGAATTAGATTAGATCGTTGAACTAAGAATAAATAAATATCATTTATTATAATTTTAGTTTAGCTTCATTGCATAAAAAGTTCAACTTTTTACTGCTTACTAAAATTAACTTTAATAGCTTTTTCGACAGCTAAGCTGTCATCATCAGAAGTAGCTATTAAAGGTAAGTTAAATAAACAAAAATTTGTATTTCACCTCTACACTCGTTTTAAAGTTAAAATCATTAAACAAAAGAGTGAATCAAATTACATTAAAATTTGGTATAAGACGATCTGTTGATTGCTGATAATTTTTTAGGAGATTAAATGCTTTGTTTCCAGACATTTTGGCGAGGTGATTGAAGAGTTGAAGTACCGGCACGCTTTATTTGTTATCTATCACTTTCACACACTGAAAATATACCAAAAGAAATTTTATCAGTAACATTGAACAGATTTAGAACGGCGAGGATATGTGTCATGTTTATGTCTCCTAATGGATTAACTGTGATTAATTTATGGTTATCTGTTTATCAATATTCCCTTCATGATGATAAGATAAACCCAGTTCAGTTTGAATGCTACCGTATTTAATCAAACATAAGACAAAAGGAGATAATGAACTTTAGATTTTTATTCAGTTAGTAAACCATACGCTGAGTAACAAGGTAGAAATCATTATCAGTCTTTGTGATATATTATACAGATATCTGCGGAATCTTCAGTTATAAAGTGTTCGGCTTTCGTTGGAGAACATAAAAAACTTTCGTCTACATATTTTAATAATTTGAAAAGCTGAATATTCATAAAAGTTGCACATTACTGCTTGATGATGATTATTTAGAAAGTAAAATTCAGCAGCTTTTAAACACACGAAGTAAATATTAAACGAATAAAAAATATTTTGACGACCACCTTACGTAGTATCGTGTTGGAATTTGAGTGGTGAAGTCGAAAAAGATAAAAAAAATATAAAATAGAAACAAAACATTCATTAAAACATGTCAACAACTGTTGAAGTAATTCGCAATCAGAATGGAATAAACGATTTGAAGAAAGAAAGTTTTCACAACACATCACAGTTCATTTTAAAGTTTATGTCACAAAATACTTTCGACATGTCATGTATGGTGCTTGCAGAGTTCCTTGGAACAGCAGCTCTTATATTTTTCGGATGTGCTGGTGGAATTCATTGGAATGGCGATCCTGGACCTTTAATACCGCCATTAAATTTCGGCTTCATCGTTTTGTTCATAGTTCAAATGTTTGGACACATTTCTTATGCTTTACTTAACCCATCAGTTGTCATTTGCGCAGTTGTCAATAATTTAATATCAGTTAAGGTAAGAAAATTCTCGGTAAAGCTTTTCAAATTAATCTTTTTAATGCTCAAAATATTTTAAGACTGCAATTTTACACGTTATTGCTGAAATCTTCGGTGCGATATTTGGATACGGACTTTTAATGTTTGTCACTCCCAGCGACATATTTTCGTTGTCTCCGGAAGGAATTTGCATGACTCTTGTTCATCCTGAAGTATCAGTTTCAAAAGCATTCCTGGTTGAATTCATTTTAACGAGTACGTTGATTACAATCATCAGTGGTGCTTGGGATCCTCGTAACCGTAACAATACAGATTCAACAGCAATAAGAATTGGTAAATTTAATTAAATCCATCAAAAACAACCAAGAAACTGATTTTAAATAAATTTGATAGGACTCGCAGTGGCTGCTTTAAGTATAGCTGGTGGACCTTACTCAGGTGCGTCAATGAACCCAGCACGATCACTTGGACCAGCATTGTGGAATTGGAAATGGGAAAATCACTGGATTTATTGGGTGTCACCTCTGTCAGCTGGTTTTTTGTCTTCCATGTTTTACAGAATAGTTTTGTGGCGAAAAAATCCAAAAGACATGACAATGGAAAGTTCTCCTTTATCAGTTATCGAAAAAACTGAACTTTGATGAGTCATAAAATATTTTAAAACAAATTGAAAACATTAAGGAAATGTGAACATCCAAAGTGATAACAGATAATTGTGGGATTAAATCCAAGTGATTACCTTTGACTGTGATTAAACACGACAGTGAAACTTACAAATAAATGATAATGAAATTTCTGATAATTGATTTCTTTTTTGTAGCTTTATCTCCTTGTTGATAATTGAATGTCTAAATGTTAACCTCGCTGATAATTTCTTTTACCTCCATTAGGATTCATAAAATCACAACACAAATATTTAGAGAAAGATTTTGATCAATGTCGTCATAAGGTTTAAATACTTTTATCAATTTTTTTATGATGATGAGCACTTTTTAATACGAGATCAGATAACATCGATGAAGGTGTCGCTTCATCAATGAATTATTTACCCCTTAAAAGCTGAAGCAACTTTGACGTTTTAAATCGTAAGCCTAGCAACAAAACCAGACTTTGGTTGCAACAAATGAACAAACATCAAAAAGCGTTTAATTTGTTTTAATACTTTTCAATAAGACAAGCTTTCCTTAAAGCTTATTTCAAAGCTACAACAAACTCAACACTAACGAAAGAACATAAAGCAATTTATCATAAATACATAAACATGTTTCCTACCATTAGCCAATAAATGAATATATTTGAATGCTTTAACCGAATAATTGGCAGTTCATCGACAGATTAGCAAGAGAAATTGTGAATTAAACAGCTAAAATTTTAAAGTCTTAACAATCATTGAAGTTGAATTATCTTAAAGTACGTTACTTGAAGTCACAAATGGCAATTTCAGAAGATCCATCAAGGACGGGTAATGTCATGGATAATAGAAGCTCTTCAAAACTAACTGAAACAATTTTCAAGATCGAAAATACTTCAACTAAACAATCGAAGTTGAGATGGCATGAAGACTGTAAGTGAATAGAAGAAAATTTTTAAGTGGGCTCGTCGCTTGTCAAAAAAATTACAAATTGAAAGATTTTCTTTTAAAAAATTAGTTCGATTCGATTGCAATAAATTTTAATTAAAATTCTGTATTTGAAATATTTCAAATAAAAACTAAACAATTGAAATTTAAATGTGAAAAATTATTCACATAAACAAATTGCATCTAAAACTTAATAAACATTTCAAATGCAGTCACATTTAAATAAGTTTTGAAGTACAAAAAAAACTTCATTAAAGACCAACCATGAACAGGTCATAAATGACGGAAGCTAAAAGTAATTTAATTACCATCGATAACTTGATTTTAATGACTTTTAGCTTCTTCAACAATTTATTGCTCTATTTATTCATGATGTCTTTAAAGTTGTATTTTAAACGATTCGTAATATTGTCTTATCACTGACACAATAACTCAGTAAATCAGTTCGTTATCGGAGAAGAACTAAAAATAAATTTTTAAGAGTTCGCATCGCACGCCAATGCTTTCTTATCATATTATGGAGATATGAGTGGTTCCTATTAGATTACTTTGAGTCTTAACATTTAGTATCTTCAAAGAGACAATGAATTGATAAGTAAGAAACACTTCAACAAGCTCTCAAAAAAAAGACAAGAGTTTAAGATTGAAATTGAAGTCATTTGCCAAGAAATAACTTTAAGTGGTTGTTAATCATTGAAACTTTCTTATCATCTTGAAGATAACTTAATTATCAAATCAGAGAAAGGTAAAGTAAGATTTTCTTTAATTCAGCAAAAAAACTTGAAGATGAAGACGTGTGTGATGTATCAATTTATAATTAAATGAATTTTTTTCTCTCGGTCGTTTACTTACTCGAATAATTTCCTACAATACGCAATCAGGAATTGAGCTCGGGACGTTTGCTCATAAATTATAATTCGAACTGAGTAAAAACATGAAATGTTTTAACTCTTATTCCGAATGAACATTCCTATTTAGTCAATAATTGGACACAGTGGTGACAGGATCGTTGTTAAAGAAATTTTCTTAAAACAAAAGAATAAGTGAGTTGTGTTTGACCTTTGCGGTTGTTATGTTGAAGACAGATTGTGTTTCATTGACAAATAAGACTGATAGCGGCTTAGCAAAGTCGGGAAGTTTATTGATGGACAATTTAAAAGATTCTCTCTCCTAAAATTATTATCTTGTGTCGCTTCACTTCGCTATTTACGAGATCTAATAAAATCTTATTGCTTTATTTGATCCATGAAAAGTCTTATCAAGTGCGCTACAATAAACCGCGATGTTAAAATCGTGAACATTTTCCGAAAAATATTCTTGTCTCAATTACTTATGATACGTTCACGCGTTGAGAATTCTTTGAGAAATCTTTAAAAGTTTGTAAAACAAGATAATTATTTTATTTTATCGTGTTATTAAATTCTTTACAAGTTTTTTCACTTTCAACAACTTTCTCAAACTTATAAAAACTTTTTGTTATAATAAATTAGAAATTCAGTTTAACAATTTATTATCATCATCGTTTTTGTGTAAATCAAGCTGCAGGCTTATCAAAAACTCTTATTTTGACATTTTATTCTTGTACAAGTCACGTGGGGTCAATAAAAATTGTCTTGAACAGCGATTACGGGATTATAAATAAATCATAAACGCGACAAATTTTCTAATGATTATTATTACTCTATTCGACTTTCGAATGAATTGAGACGTTCTTGGATTAAATCCAAATTTATATGTTCTTTTATTTTTTAGTAATGAAGCAAGAGCATTTGGATTTGTTGACAAAGTTCCTAGCTGAGGTGATTGGAACGGGATTGTTGGTGTTTATAGGATGTATGGGTTGTGTGTCAGGTTTTGGATTTGAGCCCAATCACTATACAATTGTGACTGGATTTGGCTTGGCCGTCATGTTAATTATTAACATATTCGGATGCGTTTCCGGTGCACACTTGAACCCAGCAATTTCATTAGCCGCCGTTGTTTACAAATTAATGACTCCAACTGTAAGTCTTACAACGATAATTAGTTCTTTGAATTATATTAAATTAGAATTTTTGTCTAGACGGCGATCGTTTATTCTATTGGACAACTATTAGGCGGATATTTAGGATATGGATTACTTATGGTTTTAACTCCACGAGAATTTACAAGTGGCGATGGTTTCTGTGTGTCAGCAGCCAAAGCTGATACATTTACAGCTTTAATTGTCGAATTTATAATCACGTCAGTCCTTATTCTTGTTTATTGTGCAGTCATTGATCCTCGTAATGCGAAATATCATGGTAAGCTTTAATATAAATATTTCGAATAAAATTTAAAATATTTCCGTAAAATGCAATTTTTAGATTCCGTGGCATTAAGATTTGGGCTGACAGTGGCATGTTTAGCCCTTGTCGGTGGACCTTATTCTGGTGGATCAATGAACCCAGCACGTTCTTTTGGGCCAGCACTTTACAATTGGAATTGGGCAAATCACTGGATTTACTGGATTGGACCAATGGCAGGTGGACTTGTGACATCGGTTGTTTTCAGAACAGTCTTTTATAGAGAACCACCAAGAGAAGAAGCATTACAAATTGAGGAACATCCTCTTAATGATAAGAACAATGTTTAAAATTTTCATAAATATTTTTACACCAAAGTTGATTTTAGAAACTTTTAATAAATTTTCTTGAATATAGAACTCGAGAATCTATTCTTACCTTATTATAAATTTTAATGTATGTGTTATTCACCATTCAGAAACTAAGTATTAACTTTCTCTAAAACAATTAAATTTCAACTTGAATTCAATAAATTTTTTTATTATAAACAAAAGATTTTGGCGGGAAAAAGTTTCGTGTCCACGATTGTAACTAAATACAGAACATGACCAAGAAAATAAATTTGAAATTGATTGAGATTAACGTTGTAACATGTTTCTTGAGATTTAGAGATTAAAATATAATAATGTTGAGTCTATTTAATTCTTTTATTCAAATGTTAATCGTCTTTGACGACAAAATTAAAAATTTTATTAGAGAAGTTTGCCAACATTTCATTCAAATCAAATTTTTAGCATTGAAACGATAAAAGAGGTTTTCACGATCATGCGATGCCTAACAATTGTCAATTATTTATTGAAATTTAAAAAGATAATTGAATTTTCCAATGAATTTGTTATCCTCCAACAGATGGTATGAGAACAATTTCCTCATTTTCATTTTTGAAACTCTAATGTGTCGAGTAAGACTAAATTTTGTTTTAAATTTCCTATGACATCCAGGAAAAAAATCAACAGGCCAAATTTCTCTCTCTATGCATATTTTGATGAATTTGTAGGGAGTGTTTAGTAGAAAAACGTTTTTCACAAAAATCACAAGATAAACGATGAGGACGTAACTTATGTTTTTTCAAGCCTTCTTTGGTCCAACAAGTTATTCCACATATTGAACAGGTAAGATGACTTGGTCTTTCATGCATATTTAATATATGTCTTTTAAGTCCAGCTTTATCAAAGTAGGAACTTTCACAAATTTGACAATGGAATTCTTTCCTTCTGTGTTGCAAACCAACATGTGTATTCATATGACGAGCAAGACTTGGTTTACAGAATTTGTTTCCACAAATATCGCACTGATATGGTTTTATATTGAAGTGCACTCCATTCAGATGTTCCTTAAGTCCCTCCTTTCGAATCATTTTTCCACAAAACTCACAAGGTAAACGACAGGGACGTAACTTATGATTTTCTAAGCCTTTTTCGGTCATGTAAATTCTACCACATAATGAACAGGTAAAATGATTTGATTTTTCATGATACTTTAATGTATGACTTCGAAGTGTTTTTTTATTAAAGTAGGAAATTTCACAAATTTGACAATGAAATTCTTTTGTTCTGTGTTCCAAATCAATATGCGTAATCATGTGACGAGCCAGTACTGACTTGCTACTGCATTTGTTTCCACAAATATCGCACTGATATGGTTGAAAATGCGCTTCAATCAGATGTCGCTTAAGTCTCTCCTTTTTAACCATTTTCCCACACACCTCACATGGTAAACGACAGGGACGGAATTTATGGTTTTTTAAGCCTTTTTCGGTCCGAAAATTATTACTACATATTGAACAGGTAAAAAGTCCTGATCTTTCATGAATACTTAATACATGTCTTTGAAGTGTTTCTTTATCAAAGTAGGAACTTTCACAAATTTGACAATGAAATTCTTTTCTTCTGTGTTCCAAATCAAGATGCGTAGTCATGTGACGAGCAAGATATTTTTTATCGAATTTGTTTCCACAAATATCGCACTGATATCGTTTAATTTTGAAATGCACTCCATTCAGATGTTCCTTAAGTCTATCCTTTCTAAAAGTTTTTCCACATATCTCACAAGGTAAATAATGAGGACGTAACTTATGCTTTTTTAAGCCTTCTTCGGTCCTGCAAATTCTTCCACATAGTGAGCAGGTAAGATGCTTCGGCTTTTCATGAACATTATATGTGTGGATTTTAAGTGCTGCTTTATTAAAGAAGGACCTTCCGCAAATTTGACAATAATGATCTTTTCTTCTGTATTCCAAATCATTATGCGTAGTCATGTGTTTCGCAAAATTATTTTTACAGATTATTTTATCACAAATATAGCATTTAATTGGCTTCAAATTGAAATGTACTCCATTCATATGTCGTTTGATTGTATACATTGTGAACATTTTTCCACACACCTCACAAGGTAAACGACAGGGACGTAACTTATGTCTCTTTAAGGCTTTTTCTGTCATGGAAATTCTTCCACATAATGAACATGTAAGATGCTTTGATTTTTCATGATTCTTTAATATATGTTTTTGAAGTCCAAGTTGACTAAAGTAGGAACTTTCACAAATATGACAATGAAATTCTTTTGTTCTGAATTCTTTGTGGCAATGCACTTCATTCATATGTCGTTTGACTATATTCTTTCGAATCATTTTTCCACATATCTCACAAGGTAAAAGACAGGGATGTAACTTATGATTTTCTAAGCCTTTTTCAGTCATGCGAATTATTCCACATAATGAACATGTGAGATGCTTTGATTTTTCATGATTCTTTAATATATGTCTTTGAAGTCCAGGTTGACTAAGGTAGGAACTTTCACATATATGACAATGAAATTCTTTTGTTCTAAATTCTTTGTGGATGTTCAAGTGAATAGAAATGTTCGATTTTGTTTTCATTGTTTTTCCACAAATATCACAATGGAATTTACTATTGAAATCTCTTATATATTGACGTCGCTGGAACGTGTCACCATTTTTTAAAACTTGTCCACCAACATCACGTGGAACGAATTGAGGATTTGACTGATCCTGCTTTTGACGTTCAATTGTCTCCTCATTCTTCCCACCTTCAGATTCGCTTGGACTTCCATCTTCAGAGCTTTCTTCTTTGATTTCACTCATTGGTGAAACCAATTCCATCTCTGTTGACAAATTCAATTCATCTTCAACTTTGATTAAATTCTCCTGAAATGGGACTGGTAGTTCATCATCGGCATCGGAATGTTCAACTTTTTTGCTACTAAACTTCTCATAACACTTCAATTTCTCATTTACTTTGAACGTAAACTGATGGGAAATATTTAAATTGTTTTCACATTTTGAACATATGAAATCTGATCCTATTCCATCATATGACAAGTGAATTTGCAGGACAGAATGAATTTTGTTCTGAATGTCATCTGTGATTTGTATTCTTGAATTTCGCTCAGCAGCTTCTTTGAAACACAATCGACATTTCTCGTGACAATTACTGAAGTCAGAAAAGATGTCTTCGAGAACCACAACGGCATTCAAATCTTGTTTTTTCAAGATATTCTTTTTAACGCGCATCCTAAGAATTATTTTGGTTTGTCAAAGTATTTTCAAGAAAGTTTCCAGAATATTTAAAATTCTTTTTGAATGGATTTGAATTTATATTTTAAACTTAAATTTCCTTTCTTTTCGACTGCGACTATTTATATGTAAATAAGTTAAATGTATACAGAACCTAATCCACTAAATTCCAGCAAAGCAAATTTATAAATGCTGACAAAAATTAGAGTTTTTTTTCAAAATTTAGAAATATTTAATTGAAAAATAAGCCGTCTCTCTGTATTGACGTTATCGACTGTAACTATTTAATAAATAAGCCAAATCTACCCAGAATCTTTTTTGGAAAGAGACTCGAAACAGCTGATAATGACTCTCTCTTTTCGAAAATTAATAACGAGTTTCGAATCTGAAGATATGTAACATGGATGAAAAAAGTCCGACCTCTAGTGCATTTAAATCACATTTTCTAACAAATTTTTGTTTGTATCTCAACAATCAACATTTATGAAACTAATTTACCTTAAATTTTTCTCATTCCCTTATTTAAGAAAAGCAAGGATTTCTGTCCCACTTTTTTATTTTCATCAAAAAATTAAGTTCTAAACTACCTAGGTAGTGGATCGTAACTAGATACGATTTTAAGGTGATTCGTAATTGGCTAAAGACCCTATTGAAACGATAAAAAATGAAGACAAATTGTTTTTTAAATATGTTTTGTTTAACTGCTCATGTCAAACTTAGCTGTTAACTGTATAAATATCAGTTTCTGTTTCGGAAAGCACAAACAGTTCATTATTGTCAATAATTAAAGGTATTTGTTTATAAGACTTTTATTAATCTACAGTGTATAAAAATCGCTCCACATATACGCTTCAGCTCTTCGATCATGATTGTAATGACGAAAAGAAACAGATGCAAATGAAACTTTATCATATCAGGTGCTAAATGGTGTGCGAAAATTTGGTTGCTCTGACAAGTGAAACTTTATTTCATTTTCTGTTATTAAGCATGCAAAATTGACTACAAGTTCAAAGATTTATTTTTAATGACTGAAAATGTGTCGAGTAGGACTCAATTTGGTTTTAAATTTCCTATCTTTTCTCCTGTGTTCTGATGGAATATGTGTATTCATGTGACGAACAAAATTTTGTCTACGGAATTTCTTTCCACAAATATCACACTGATATGATTTTCCATTGATTTTTATATTGAAATGAACTCCCTTCAGATGTCGCTTAAGTGTTTTCTTTCTAACCATTTTTCCACACAATTCACAAGATAAAAAATGAGGAAGTAACTTATGGTTTTTTAAGCTTTCTTCGCTCCTAAATCTTCTTCCACACATTGAACAGGAAAGATGCTTTGGCTTTTCATGAACATTTAATATATGTTTTCGAAGTAATTCTTTATTAAAGTAGGACCTTCCGCAAATTTGACAATGAAAATCTTTTGATCTGTGTTCCAAACTAATATGCGTAGTTATGTGTTTAGCAAGACTTGCTTTACAGAATTTGTTTCCACAAATATCGCACTGATATGGTTTTATATTTAAATGCACTCCATTCAGATGTTTTTTGAGTGTATACTTAGTAAACGTTTTCCCACAGATCTCACAAGGTAAACAATGAGGTCGTAACTTATGATTATAAAAGCCTTCTTTGGTTTCATGGTTCTTTGATATATGGCTTCGAAGTGACCCTTTATTAAAGAAGGAACTTTCACAAATTTGACAATGAAAATCTTTTGTTCTAAATTCTTTGTGGATGTTCATGTGATTAGAAATGTTGAATTTTGTTTTCATTGTTTTTCCACAAATATCACACTGAAGTTTAGTTTTGAAATGTCTCATATATCGACGTCGCTTGCAGGTGTCACCATTTTTTAAAACTTTTCCACCAACATAACTTTGAACGAATTGAGGATTTGACTGATCCTGCTTTTGACGTTCAATTGTCTCCTCATTCTTCCCATCTTCAGATTTGCATGGACTTCCATCTTCAGAGCTTTCTTCTTTGATTTCACTCATTGGTGAAACCAATTCCATCTCTGTTGATAAATTCAAGTCGTCTTCAACCTTAATGAAATTCTCCTGAAATGGGACTGGTAGTTCATCATCATCATCGGAATATTCAACTTTTTTGCTACTAAACTTCTCATAACACTTCAATTTCTCATTTATTTTGAACGTAAACTGATGGGAAACATTTAGATTGTTTTCACATTTTGAACATATGAATTCTGAGCCCATTCCATCCAATGACAAGTGAATTTGCAGGACGGAATGAATTTTGTTCTGAATTTCATCTGTGATTTGTATTCTTGAATTTCGCTCAGCAACTTCTTTGAAACACAAGCGACATTTCTCGTGACAGTTAGTGAAGTCAGAAAAGATGTCTTCGAGAACGACTACGGCATTCAAATCTTGTTTTTTCAAGACCTTCTTTTTAACGCGCATCCTAAAAATTATTTTGGCTTGTTAAAGTATTTTTAAGAAAGTTTTCAAGAATATTTAAAATTCTTTTTGAATGGATTTGAATTTATATTCTTAACTTTAATTTCATATCTGTGTTTTATAGTTTGNCTTTTATCATATGGGATTTAAGTCTACATTTCTCAAAAAAAGAAGATCCGCAAATTTGACAATGAAAATTTTTTCTTATGTGTTCTGATGAAACATGTGTATTCATATGACGAGCAAGATAGTTTTTAACGAATTTGTTTCCACAAATATCGCACTGATATCTTTTTATTTTGAAATGCACTACATTCAGATGTTCCTTAAGTGCAGACTTTCTAAGCATTTTTCCACAGATCTTACAAGGTATATTATGAGGACGTAACTTGTGATTTTCTAAGCCTTTTTCGGTCCAGAAAGTTCTTCCACATATTGAACAGGTAAGATGCTTTGGTTTTTCATGAACTCCTATCATATGGGTTTGAAGATGTTGTTTCTTGAAAAAAGAAGTTCCGCAAATTTGACAATGAAATTCTTTCTTTCTGTGTTCAAAATCAATATGCGTAATCATGTGTTGAGCAAGATTTCTTTTGCAGAATTTATTTCCACAAATATCACACTGATATGGTTTCAAATTGAAATGCACATTTTTCAGATGATGTCTGAGCATATTCTTAAAAAAAAATTTTCCGCAGACCTCACAAGGTAAACGACAGGGATGTAACTGATGTCTTTTTAAACCTTTTTCGGTCATGAAAGTTCTTCCACATAATGAACATGTAAGATGCTTTGGCTTTTCATGAACATTTAATATATGATTTTTAAGTCCATTTCTAGAAAAGTAGGAACTTCCACAAATTTGACAATGAAAATCTTTCCTTCTGTATTCCAAATCAATATGCGTAGTTATGTGTTTAGCAAGACTTGTATAACTACATTTCCTTCCACAAATATCGCACTGATATTGTTTCAAATTGAAATGCACTCCATTGATGTGTTGTTTGAGTACATTCTTGGAATATATTTTTCCACAGATCTCACAAGGTAAACGGCAGGGACGTAACTTATGATTTTCTAAGCCTTTTTCGGTCCAGCAAGTGATTCCACATATTGAACAGGTAAGATGACTTGGTCTTTCATGATTATTTAATATATGCGTTTGAAGTCCACTTCTAGAAAAGTAGGACCTTCCGCAAATTTGACAATGAAAATCTTTTCTTCTATATTCCAAACCAATATGTGTGATCATGTGTTTAGCAAGATCTCCTTTAATACAGCATTTCTTTCCACAAATATCACACTGAAGTTTAGTTTTGAAATTCCCTTTACATCGACGTCGCTTGTTCGTGTCACCATTTCTTAAAACTTTTCCACCAACATAACTTTGAACGAATTGAGGATTTGACTGATCCTGCTTTTGACGTTCAATTGTCTCCTCATTCTCCCCACCTTCAGATTCGCTTGGACTTCCATCTTCAGAGCTTTCTTCTTTGATTTCACTCATTGGTGAAACCAATTCCATCTCTGTTGATAAATTCAAGTCGTCTTCAACCTTAATGAAATTCTCCTGAAATGGGACTGGTAGTTCATCATCATCATCGGAATGTTCAACTTTTTTGCTACTGAACTTCTCATAACACTTCAATTTCTCATTTATTTTGAACGTAAACTGATGAGAAACATTTAAAATGTTTTCACATTTTGAACATATAAATTCTGATCCCATTCCATCCAATGACATGTGAATTTGCAGGACGGAATGAATTTTGTTCTGAATTTCATCTGTGATTTGTATTCTTGAATTTCGCTCAGCAACTTCTTTGAAACACAAGCGACATTTCTCGTGACAGTTAGTGAAGTCAGAAAAGATGTCTTCGAGAACGACTACGGCATTCAAATCTTGTTTTTTCAAGACCTTCTTTTTAACGCGCATCCTAAAAATTATTTTGGCTTATTAAAGTATTTTTAAGAAAGTTTTCAAGAATATTTAAAATTCTTTTTGAATGGATTTGAATTTATATTTTAAACTTTAATTTCCTTTCTTTACGACTGCAAATATTTATATGTAAGCCAAATGTATGCAGAACTTTTTTGGAAAGAGATTCGAAACAGCTGATAATGACTCTCTCTTTTCGAAAACGAATAACGAGTTTCGAATCTCGATATGTAACATGGATGAAATTACGCCCGCCCTCTAGTGCATTTAACTCACACTTTCTAACGAATGTTTGTTTATGTTTCAACAATCAACATTTATGAAATTAATTTAGGTAGTGGATCGTAACTATCTTGCTACGATTTTGAGGTGATTCGTAATTGGCTGAAGACCCTATTAAAACAATGAGCATTGAAGACAAATTGTTTTTTGTATATGTTTTGTTTAACTGCTCTTGTCAAACTTAGCTTTTACTGTATAAATATCAGTTTCTGTTTCGGAAAGCACAAACAGTTCATTTCTGAATAAACAATTAAAGGTATTTGTTTATAAGACTTTTATTAATCTACAATGCATAAAAATCGCTCCACATGTACGCTTCAGCTCTTCGATTATTGCAATAGTGATGACGAAAAGAAACAGATGCAAATGAAACTTTATCATATCAGGTGCTAAATGGTGTGCGAAAATTTGGTTGCTCTGACAAATGAAACTTTATTTCATTTTTGTTAATAAGCATACAAAATTGACTACAAGTTCAAAGAATTAATTATAATAGATTTTGTAAACAAAACTCTTCGTTATTGTCTCTTACGTACACTCATATTCAGGACAACAAACTCCTTCTTCAGGGACTAGATTACAAATGTTGTATTGGTCACTCAAACCGGGTTCACATTGAGTCCAACTATGTTTTATAACTTCTCCATTAATGCAATTATAATGACCAAATCCGATTCCATTGAAGTCACTGACATAAATTTCAGAGCCATCATCATAGATTTGACCATTGTAACGACATTTGCCATCTATTAATCTACAACAGAAAAAGTCATCCAAAAGCTTTTAAGAATTAAACTTACACGTTGGCAAAAGTGATGGAAATTATTAAAAGAAAATTTATACGAGAAATTTCATTCATCTTTCATATTCTTTTTGATACTGCGTGTCATATTTAGAGATCTTCTGCCAATTTTAAATAAAATTATTCTTAAATATTCATAGGAAATGGAGAGGGGAATTATTCGAAGCCAACTGTTTCAATTCAAATAATGTTTATGATAAAAAAATATTCGCAAGTAGAGCGTCGTCTTAGATGATGATGAATATAAAAAATAATGATCAGAATTTTTTAATTAACGATTATTTTTGTTGCATTATTCGAGAGGGGAATTATTCGAAGCCAACTGTTTCAATTCAAATAATGTTTATGATAAAAAAATATTCGCAAGTAGAGCGTCGTCTTAGATGATGATGAATATAAAAAATAATGATCAGAATTTTTTAATTAACGATTATTTTTGTTGCATTATGAGTGGAGTGCATCGGGAAGCAATGAAATGATAAATTCTTATAAGAAATTTGTTATCGTTTCAATCATTTTCAGTGGTCACAGTTATTTTGACCTTATTAAATATATAAACCAAAAATTGTTCAAGTAAATCATAATTCTCACTCTCAATCAGAGACTAACATTTAATCAAAATCTATTAAAATTATTGAAACTTTGCTTTTGATTTTTCACAGATTTTTCTTAAATTCTTAACTTACAATTTTTAAATAATGAATGAAGTCGAACTTTAATTACTTTGTTAATGAATGAAGCAATTACAGATATGAGTGTGCACCTCTGTCTGTTTACCAAGATAAAATAACTGACTGCAAGCAAACGTGATCGACAAATTGCTATTTTTCCTGTTTTCATTTACAAACTGCGAGCTGAAAATGTATCAAAAGCTTCACAAAAACACTTGTCAAGTTGTATCAAAGAAACATCAAGTCGATAATTTTTATTAATATTTTAAATATATCTTACATGAGATTTCTACTGAGCTACAATTGTGAAGAGCTTAAAAAATAATTTAGAAAAATATTAAGATGCTTAAAATATATAAAAACGATGGAAAATAAAAACAAATTGTTATTTAAATAAGTGTCGATTGTGGGTTCTCAACTGTTGTTGAATATCAAGCTGGCAGACGTTTCTGACTTGCATTTCTGCATTGAAATCAGAATCTGAATCATAATGTTTCATGAGACTTAAAAATCAAAATATAATAATGTTGAGAATATTCTATTTTTCTATTCAAATGTTAATCGTCTTTGACAATAATTTAATAATACGACATTATGACAACTTTAATAGAGAAGTTCATCAACATTTCATTCAAATTAAATTTTCAGCATTTAAAACGATAAAAGAGGTTTTCACGATCATGTTCACAGTTGTCAATCAATTATTGAAATTTAAAAATATATAATTGAAATTTCCAATAAATTTGTCAACCTCCAACAGATCGTATGAGAACAATTTCTTCATTTTTACTTATGCTGATAAGTTTTAAAAATCTGGTGAATCATTTGATGAACCCCAAAAGTCGTTGAATATGATTTTTTTTAATGTGAAATTCATCCAATTCATTGAATAGAGTTGAAAGAGCATGGTAGCTCTTCATTTTAGCTCCTTATGCATATTTACAAAAGTCTTGTGGTGCTTTTCTTTCTTCTTACTGAATATTTGCAATTCGTGGATTTTTCATGACTGAAAATGTGTCGAGTAGGACTCAATTTTGTTTTAAATTTCCTATCTTTTCTCCTGTGTTCTGATGGAATATGTGTATTCATGTGACGAACAATATTTTGTCTACTGAATTTCTTTCCACAAATATCACACTGATAATTTTTTTCCATTGATTTTTATATTGAAATGAACTCCCTTCAGATGTCGCTTGAGTGTAACCTTTCTAACCATTTTTCCACACAATTCACAAGATAAATAATGAGGACGTAACTTATGGTTTTTCAAGCCTTCTTCGGTGCTCCAAGTTCTTCCACATATTGAACAGGTAAGATGCTTCGGTTTTTCATGAACTTTTATCATATGGGATTTAAGTCTACATTTCTCAAAAAAAGAAGATCCGCAAATTTGACAATGAAAATTTTTTCTTATGTGTTCTGATGAAACATGTGTATTCATATGACGAGCAAGATAGTTTTTAACGAATTTGTTTCCACAAATATCGCACTGATATCTTTTTATTTTGAAATGCACTACATTCAGATGTTCCTTAAGTGCAGACTTTCTAAGCATTTTTCCACAGATCTTACAAGGTATATTATGAGGACGTAACTTGTGATTTTCTAAGCCTTTTTCGGTCCAGAAAGTTCTTCCACATATTGAACAGGTAAGATGCTTTGGTTTTTCATGAACTCCTATCATATGGGTTTGAAGATGTTGTTTCTTGAAAAAAGAAGTTCCGCAAATTTGACAATGAAATTCTTTCTTTCTGTGTTCAAAATCAATATGCGTAATCATGTGTTGAGCAAGATTTATTTTGCAGAATTTTTTTTCACAAATATCACACTGATATGGTTTCAAATTGAAATGCACATTTTTCAGATGATGTCTGAGCGTATTCTTAAAAAAAAATTTTCCGCAGACCTCACAAGGTAAACGACAGGGATGTAACTGATGTCTTTTTAAACCTTTTTCGGTCATGAAAGTTCTTCCACATAATGAACATGTGAGATGCTTTGGCTTTTCATGATTGTTTAATATATGAATTTGAAGTGACCCTTTATTAAAGTAGGAACTTTCACAAATTTGACAATGAAATTCTTTCTTTCTGTGTTCAAAATCAATATGCGTAATCATGTGTTGAGCAAGATTTCTTTTGCAGAATTTATTTCCACAAATATCACACTGATATGGTTTCAAATTGAAATGCACATTTTTCAGATGATGTCTGAGCATATTCTTAAAAAAAAATTTTCCGCAGACCTCACAAGGTAAACGACAGGGATGTAACTGATGTCTTTTTAAACCTTTTTCGGTCATGAAAGTTCTTCCACATAATGAACATGTAAGATGCTTTGGCTTTTCATGAACATTTAATATATGATTTTTAAGTCCATTTCTAGAAAAGTAGGAACTTCCACAAATTTGACAATGAAAATCTTTCCTTCTGTATTCCAAATCAATATGCGTAGTTATGTGTTTAGCAAGACTTGTATAACTACATTTCCTTCCACAAATATCGCACTGATATTGTTTCAAATTGAAATGCACTCCATTGATGTGTTGTTTGAGTACATTCTTGGAATATATTTTTCCACAGATCTCACAAGGTAAACGGCAGGGACGTAACTTATGATTTTCTAAGCCTTTTTCGGTCCAGCAAGTGATTCCACATATTGAACAGGTAAGATGACTTGGTCTTTCATGATTATTTAATATATGCGTTTGAAGTCCACTTCTAGAAAAGTAGGACCTTCCGCAAATTTGACAATGAAAATCTTTTCTTCTATATTCCAAACCAATATGTGTGATCATGTGTTTAGCAAGATCTCCTTTAATACAGCATTTCTTTCCACAAATATCACACTGAAGTTTAGTTTTGAAATTCCCTTTACATCGACGTCGCTTGTTCGTGTCACCATTTCTTAAAACTTTTCCACCAACATAACTTTGAACGAATTGAGGATTTGACTGATCCTGCTTTTGACGTTCAATTGTCTCCTCATTCTCCCCACCTTCAGATTCGCTTGGACTTCCATCTTCAGAGCTTTCTTCTTTGATTTCACTCATTGGTGAAACCAATTCCATCTCTGTTGATAAATTCAAGTCGTCTTCAACCTTAATGAAATTCTCCTGAAATGGGACTGGTAGTTCATCATCATCATCGGAATGTTCAACTTTTTTGCTACTGAACTTCTCATAACACTTCAATTTCTCATTTATTTTGAACGTAAACTGATGAGAAACATTTAAAATGTTTTCACATTTTGAACATATAAATTCTGATCCCATTCCATCCAATGACATGTGAATTTGCAGGACGGAATAAATTTTGTTCTGAATTTCATCTGTGATTTGTTTTCTTGAATTTCGATCACCAACTTCTTTGAAACACAAGCGACATTTCTCATGAAAGTTACTGAAGTCAGAAAAGATGTCTTCTAGAACCACTACGGCACTCAAATCTTGTTTTTTCAAGACCTTCTTTTTAACGCGCATCCTAAAAATTATTTTGGCTTATTAAAGTATTTTTAAGAAAGTTTTCAAGAATATTTAAAATTCTTTTTGAATGGATTTGAATTTATATTCTTAACTTTAATTTCATATCTGTGTTTTATAGTTTGTGCCAATGACATGAACTCAATCCACTAAATTCCAACAAAGTAGCTTTATAAATTCTGACAGAAATTAAAGTTTGTTTTCAAAATTTAGAAATATTTAATTAAAAAACAACCCGTCTCTCTGTATTGACGTTATCGACTGTAACTATTTAATAAATAAACCAAATATACCCAGAACCTTTTTTGGAAAGATACTCGAAACAGCTGATAATGACTCTCTCTTTTCGAAAATGAATAACGAGTTTCGAATCTCAAGATATGTAACATGGATGAAAAAAGTCCGACCTCTAGTGCATTTAATTAACACTTTCTATAGAATTTTTTGTTTGTATCTCAACAATCAACATTTATGAGAAAGGGGCAAGTTGCTTCATTGGTCTAAGTGACTAAACCACGGTTTTGTATCGAACGCGTTGCCAACGGCGCGGCCGGTTCGAGACTGGGGGTGGTCATGTAGCTCTGAGGTTTTCAGAAGTTTAGATACTTCGCCCCTTAGACAGTTTTATCTTTAGCAAAGTTTTCGCTGGGATGAAAAAGTAGTGAAATGTCTCTTTGTATCGAGTTGATATTCAATTCGAACAATAGGGAATTTCTTACTTGGAATCTCTAGGCGGAACGGAGTTGAAGATGAAACACCTCTATCGTCAAATGATGATAAAAACAGCCCAAGGTTAACAGGTTAACTCTTTCTGGACCTTGGGTAGATGCAAAACGGTCGGCAGTGAATAGTCAGCACAAAATAATTTCACTGAAATTGAGTAGTGTTGTCATTTTCATGTGCCACTTATGACCATTGCCCTCAAATGCTTCGGCATTTGATGGTGGTTCCTATATGGGCCTGTCCTTGATCTGATGATGATGATGAACATTTATGAAATTAATTTAGATAGTGGATCGTAACTTGCTACGATTTTGAGGTGATTCGTAATTGGCTAAAGACCCTATTGAAACGATAAAAAATTAAGAAAAATTGTTTTTTAAATATGTTTTGTTTAACTGCTCATGTCAAACTTACCTGTTTACTGTATAAATATCAGTTTCTGTTTCGGAAAGCACAAACAGTTTATTTTTGAATAAACAATTAAAGGTATTTGTTCATAAGACTTTTATTAATCTACAATGCATAAAAATCGCTCCACATGTATGCTTCAGCTCTTCGACTATTGCAATAGTAATGACGAAAAGAAACAGATGCAAATGAAACTTTATCATATCAGGTGCTAAATGGTGTGCAAAAATTTGGTTGCTCTGACAAGTGAAACTTTATTTCATTTTCTGTTAATAAGCATACAAAACTGACTACACATTCAAGGAATAAATCATAATAGATATTGTGAACAAAACTCTTCGTTATTGTCTCTTACGTACACTCATATTTAGGACAACAAACTCCTTCTTCAAAGATTACATCACAAATATTGTATTGGTCACTCAAACCGGGTTCACATTTAGTCCAACTATGTTTTTTAACTTCTCCATTAATACAATTATAATGACCACACCCGATTCCATTGAAGTCACTGACATAAACTTCAGAGCCATCATCATAGATTTGACCATTGTAACGACATTTGCCATCTATTAATCTATAAAAGAACAGAAAAAGTCATCCAAAAGCTTTTAAGAATTTTACTTACACGTTGGCAAAAGCGATGGAAATTATTAAAAGAAAAGTTATACAAGAAACTTCATTCATCCTTCACTTTCTGTTTGATACTGCCTGTCATATTTAGAGATCTTCTGCCAATTTTAAATAAAATTATTCTTAAATATTCATAGGATATGGAGAGGGGAAATATATAAAGCCTTATTTGGATCTGTTTCAAGTCAAATAATGCTCGCGATCAAAAACTATTCGCATAGAAAACTTCGTTTTAATTATTGAGTTGATAAAATTGATGATCATGAATAAATGAGTGGATAGCGTCGTGAAACTATGGAATGATAATTTCCCAGAGAAGTTTGTCATCATTCCAATCATATTCAGTGGTCACAGTTATTTTGACCTTATTAAATATATAAAACAAAAATTGTTGAAGTAGATCATGATTCTCACTCTCAATCAGAAACTTACATTTAATCAAAATCTATTAAAATTATTGAAACTTTGCTTTTGATTTTTCACCGATTTTTCTTAGATTCTTAACTTGTTAATAAAGCAATTACAGATATGAGTGTACACCTGTGTCTGTTTACCAAGATGAAATGACTGACTGACATACAAAAGTGATCGAAAAATTGCTATTTTTCCAGTTTTCATCTTACAAACTGCGAGCTGAAAATGCATCAAAACATTTACAAAAACACTTGTCAAGTTGTATCAAAGAAACATCAAGTCGATAATTTTTGTTTTATTAATATTTTAAATTAATCTTACATGAGATTTCTACTGAGCTACAGTTGTGAAGAGCTTAAAAAATAATTTAGAAAAATATTAAGATGCTTGGAAGCTTAAAATATATGAAAACGATGGAAAATAAAAACAAATTGTTATTTAAATAAGTGTCGTTTGTGGGTTCTCAACTGTTGTTGAATATCAAGCTGGCAGACGTTTCTGACTTGCGTTTATGCATTGAAATCAGAATCTGAATCATCATCAACGTTGTCACTTTCATCGTCACTGGAAACAACTCTTTTCTTCTTTTTTGGGGCAACCTGAGTCGAATAAAATCAAATTTCAATTCAATTCAATTAATTTTCATGATGAATTTTTACCTTTCGCTTAACTGGCGACGATTCACTTTCTGAGCTGACAATTTTTCGTTTCTGAGTCTTTTCCTTTTCTGGTGCTTTCGGGCCAAGTGGCCGTTTAGATGGTGCAGGTTTCTTCACTGCATCTGGTACAGGTGAAGGTGATTTAACATCGTCTGAGTCGCTGTCAATGATTTGCTGAGGACGAACGCTTGTCTCCATGACATTATCGAACATTTCAGGCTCTGAGTCACTGCTTGATTTTTCTCCATCATTCAGGAAGGAATAATCAATTTTCTAAATAGAAATTTTAGCATCAGTCAATGTCACTTTAATTATTCTTAACTTACTTTTGTTGCTGCACGTCGACCAGGCTTTTCACGTGGAGCTGCTGGTTTCGATGCCACCAAAGCGTCAAACTCATCATCACTGCCATTAACAAGCATAACATCGCTTCCATCGTCATCATCGCTGTCCATTTTCTTTTTCTATTTCATAACAAATTAATTATTTAATTAACTAACAAACTTAATCAACTTACCGATTTCTTCTTGAAATCCAATTTCGATTGTTTGAGTCCATCAGCCGACTTTTTCTCCTTTTTCGGTTTAACTTCACCAGGTTCCTTCTTTGCACGTGGATTCTTGTCTTTTTCTTCTTTTATGCCACCTTCACCAGCAGCAACAAGAGCATCAAATTCATCAAACTCTTCGACACCTTCTGACTTCACAACTTTCTCTTTCTTAATTCCCTTCGATGTTGCAGTCGCTTTTTCATATTTCTTAAGCATTTCTGCTGACAATTTAAAGTTGATCTGTTCGCCATCCTGCGATGGTTTAGTTTCATCGATTCCTTTCTTCACTTTGATGCTTCTGCCTTTTCCACTTGAAGAACTTGTTGATTTGGAAAGTTTCTTGACCATCATTTCTTCTTCCAATCTTTCCTTCTTTTCAACTTCATCCAATTTCTTAACAAACGCATCTAAATCTTCAACCCACAAATTTTTCGGAGTCTTCTTCTTGACGGTTTGAAGTTCTGCCAATTTACTATCGCGTTGTTTCAACAATTCGTTTTTGCGTTCTTCTGTCAACATCCACATTGACATTCCCAACAGATAATCAAACTTCTTGACATCGGAAAGGTTTTTGAAAGCTTTTTCTGGATCGATTGGTTGTTTCGAAGATTTTCCAGGCTTGACGTCTTCTTCTTTAGCTTCTTCTTCCTCATCATCAGCAGCGCCTTCTTCTTCAGCATCGTCAGCCTTAATACGACGTTTCCAATCTTTCACTGGGTCAGCATCATAGCCTCGTTTGATGAGCTCATCAATCATCACTTTACGCTTCTTATTCTCAACAACCAAAGTCCGATCACATTTCTCCATAATGAAGCGAGCTTGATTCGATAATTTGTCAGCTTCAGCTTGCAACATTCCTTCCAAATGATTCTTTCGTTTACCATAAAATTCCAAACGAAGATCGAAGAATTCTTTCAAAATCATCGTCGTCGTGTCATATTTACGTAAACAATTGACATGATCAAATGAATGCATCGAAGTGATGGCAATCGATGATGTCAACTTGAAAACTCTGTGAAAACCGCCGGGTTCTTTGTGAAGTCGTTGGAATTCTCCTGGTAAGAATGAGACAACAAATCGAACAGTTGTGTCAGTGTTGTGCTCCTTGTAGTCACTAATGACGGGTTTAATCTTCTCAGCACCATGTAAAAGTGTCTCAAGAACATTTTCCTTGTAAGTTTGCGTCCATGTGCCGATTGGCAACTCGCTGATCTCAATTTTGTTTCCTTCCAACAACGCAACATTACCAACAGTCACATAACGACCATCACCAGCTGTAATGATGCGTCCCAGGAAGTTCTTGTAGTATGGCATCATCGGTTTCGGATCATTTCCCTGCATCATCAATCGCAAGTTGGCGACAATGTCACGTGGATCGTGATTGGGAATTTTTGTACTCCAACCAGTGCCGATTCCTTCACAACCGTTGACTAACACCATTGGAATGATTGGAATGTACCATTCGGGTTCAATGCGTTGATTGTCTTCGTCCAAGAAGTTGAGCAATGGATCGTCGTGAGGATGGAAAATCAAACGTGCTAATGGCGAAAGCATTGTGAAGATGTAACGAGGACTGGCGCTGTCTTTGCCACCAGATAATCTCGTTCCAAACTGACCATTCGGTTGAAGTAAATTGATGTTGTTGCTTCCAACATAGTTTTGTGCTAAATTCACGATTGTGCCACACAACGAAGTCTCACCATGATGATAAGCTGACATTTCAGCGACACTTCCAGCTAATTGAGCGACTTTCACTTCACGTTTGTCATTTCGTTTTAAACATGTGAAGATGACTTTTCTTTGGCCAGGTTTAAAGCCATCAACGACGCAAGGAATTGAACGAATGTTGTCAGTGTTTGAGAAGAGAACAAGCTCAAGATTGACAAAGTCAGTGTATGAAATGGATTTTGTTGCTTTCGTGTACAAATATCGTTCGGGAAGTCCAACAAGTTTGCGATGCTTGCATTCTTCCATGTGCTTTGTGAGCCAATCTTTACGTTGATCGACACATTTCTTCGAGAACGCCATGAGAATTGCATCGTCGTCAGATTCGTTGCCATATTTGAAGACAATTCGATGACGATCCATGTTCTGGAAATATTCTTTCGCTTCTTTCGAAGTCGATGTTCCCAAACCTTTGTAATATTTGATGTTGAATGTGTGGCTGTTTGGGGTATCTTTCTTCCATTCATCAAACTCAGGAACAGAGAAGAACGACAATTCTTGTCCTTTCTTCGTTGCCTTCACAATTGGCGTGATGAATTCTTCCATGAATTCCAATCGCAGCAATTCCGGCCAATTTGTGTGAATGAAATTAATCAACAATCCTTTGATATGCGAACCGTCTTGATCCTGATCTGTCATGATCATCAACTTTCCATATCGCAATGTCTTCAAATCATCATTTGTCAAATATTTCTTCTTGTATTGAAGGCCGAGAATCTTTATCAAGTTGTTAATCTCAGCATTCTCTAAAATTTGTTTGTGTGTTGCTTCACGAACGTTGAGAAGTTTACCACGCAATGGAAACACTCCATAATTGTCACGACCAACCACACCAAGTCCTGAAACTGCCAAAGACTTTGCTGAATCTCCCTCAGTCAAAATCAATGTGCAATCCATCGAATTTCTTGTTCCAGCATTGTTAGCATCTTCCAGCTTTGGAATTCCTTTCAATTTCGTTTTCTTCGATCCACTTGTTTTCTCGAGCACTGTTTGTGCTTTGAATTTCGCCCAACTTAAAACACTTTCAATGATGCCCGACTTCACAACAGAATTCACGAATTTATCGCTTAACGCACACTTTGAACCGAAACTCTTTGCTTGCAATGTCATGTTTTCCTTGGTTTGCGAATCAAATGTTGGATTCACGATGAGACAATTAATAAACACCCACATATGGTTCTTAACTTGAAACGGTTTAATGTTGACGCCGCCTTTGTTCTTCTTCTTGATTGTTTCCATCACTTGCTTGACAATCATATCAGAAATGTAATCAACATGACGACCGCCTTTCGTTGTTGCAATGGAATTGACGAATGAAACTTGTTGAAAGTTTTTCTCAGAAAGTGCTACGGCGACTTCCCAGCGATCGCTGATGCTTTCATAGCAGATTTTTATCGGGTTTCCTGCATCATCTTGAGTTTCCTTTACGTACATATCGATGTAATCTTTGAATGACTTAATGGGAAGCTTTTGTCCATTAAGGAAAACAGTCACACCACGAGTTGATGCAGCAACATCGTAAGCACGACGTCTCATGAGAGCCACGATGTCGTCTTCAAGCTTTTCCATCTTAAACTTTGATAAATCAGGCCAGAAAGTTATTTTTGTGAATTCATCTCTGGAAACAGCTTCGATTTTCGGTTCTGAAGTTTTTCCCATGTTTTCCATCCAAACTTGCTTGAACTTTTTCTTGTATTCTTTCGAAGCAGTTTCAACGATGAACTTTGAGCTGAAGATGTTGCACAATTTAGCACCGTAACCATTACGACCACCGGTCACTTTCTCTTCTTCGTCGTTGTAATTCGATGATGTCAAAAGATGTCCAAAGATCATTGTTGGAACAAACATTTTCTCTTCTTTATGCATAACGACGGGAATTCCTTGGCCATTGTTCATTATTTCAATCTTGTTCTCTTCCTGATTGATATCGATACGAATAAGACTCATCTTAGGATCACGTTGTTTGTTATCTTAAATTATTTAATAAAAGAAATTTAATTTACAGTTTTAAAGGGAATTTTTCGTTCTTACCGGCAGCATTGACAAGAATTTCATCAAAAATCTTGTAAAGACCAGGTACATACGTGATTTCACGTTGTTTAAGTCTATAGGTAGGAGCAGAAGCTTCTTGTCCTTCTTCAATTGGCCGTGGTTCACATACCCACATGGTGTCGGTAACGCGCTCAACAGATCCAATGTAACTGTCTGGACGCAACAAGATATGCTCAAGTTGGGATTTCTTTTGATACATTTTTTCAATGTTGCCTTGTTTCGATGGCTTTGAGCCACCAGCAGCTGAAGAAGCAGCACCATTGCTGCCACCGTTTTGCATGTTCTGTACGAATGCCTGTTATAATAAAGAAATACAACAATGGATGCTTGAAATTGTTGTTGGAATTTTATGTTTCGAAAAAACTTTCAATTAAATGGAAAATCTCTTAAGTGAATATTTTAGTATGAAACAACACACTTGAACAACGTAAAAGGGTTATTTAGGTTTGACAAAAACTCTAAAAACTTAAGAACAAACCCGAATATCACTCATTTTGCGAACTTTTCCAATTAGTTGAGGACGCCAAAAATTTTTCGCGAGAATTGTAAGAAATTCGAAATTCACGGCACAAAATTGTGTGCCTAAGCAGCAGAAAATAATATTTTTGATTTATTTGGTCTGTTTTCTGCACCTTACTAGAAATTTAAAATTATTTGATGAATTTTATGAGGAGCACTTGTCAGTTAAATTTTTCCGGTAAACTTCTATAGGAGAATGTAAATCACTCGGGTTAAGTCACATGGACAACGTACTAGAATCAATAAAACGAGGGAAATTTAAACTTATTTGAAATTATTTTTTTGATTCATTTCATGTGACTAATGGATTTTCAGAAGATATTCTAATTATTTCAACAATTTTTCCAAACCATTTCATTTATTTAACAAGCTTTTTAAAAGTATTTGGACCATATCGACCTGAAGACTTAAGGGCATACAACTACGGCTCATTTGATTTAACACGAGTTGCATGAAATTGTAAACATGTCAAAGAAACAAAAGCAACTTAAATTGTTTGAAAACAGTGAAAGCGAAGAAGAATGTACACTTAAAACTAATTCTGCTTATGCCAAGCATTATGATGAATTTCGAAAGAAGGAAATACTTAGTCATCGTGAGTTTTTAAAGTACAATTTTAATTTTTATTTTATTCGAATAATTTTCAGTCAAAACTATTAGTGATGAAGATGACTCCAGTGATGATGCAAGCACAGATGAAGAATTAGTTAATCCTGAGTTTGATAAGGAGTTTTTGAAGTCGCTAGCTTTTCTCAAGAACAAAGATCCTAACAAATACACATCGATCCCGACTTTCTTTGAAAATGTTCCAACAGTTGAAGAAACAGTGAAAGAAAAACAACAAAAGAAAGGAAATAAGCCTCTGACAGTTGCAGAGTATCAACGTGAGAGATTGATAAAGACGGAAGGACGAATGTCAGAAGATGAATCAGCTGATGAAGAACATCCAAACAATAATTCTTTGTCGTATGTAGCAGAACAAGAAAAAATCAAAAACGATTTGAAACGAGCAATGGAAGACTCAAGCGATGATGAAGGAATGTTTAAAATTCGCGAAAAACCAAAAGAAGAAGTTGAAAAGGAGGAAGAAGATTATCTTAAATGGATTGCTGATCAAAAGAAGGATGTTAAATTGGGAAAAGACGAGAAAGCGTTGAAACCTTTGAAAGACTTCTGGACCAGCGACAAATTATCAAAAGCTGATCAATTTCTCAAAGACTATATTGTCAACAAACGATTTATGGATAAAGGCGATGTTCCCAGTTATGATGACATGATTGGATTATCTGAAGATGAAGAAGAAGTCGAAAAACAAGCAGAATTTGAAACAAAATATAATTTCAGATTCGAACAACCTGACAATGATTTCATCAAACGTTTTCCTAGAAATATTGAAGACACTGTTCGTGCACCAGATAACTCTAGAAAAGAAAAACGAAAGGAGCGTCAAGAACGAAAAGCGCAAGAGAAAGAAATGAAAATGAAAGAACTTCGTGAGTTGCAAAACATTAAAAAGCGTGAGATTGAAGAGAAGTTGATGTTACTGAAGGAAGTTGCTGGAAATGAAGACTTTTCGCTGGCCGAAGAAGATTTAAATTCAGATTTCGATCCTGATGAACACGATCGGAGAATGACAAAAATGTTTGACAACGAATATTATGGAATCGATGAAGGCGATAAAAAGCCAGAATTTCCAGACATAGACGAAGAATTAAAGATCGAAAATTGGGATAATTTCGATAAAAGTAAAATTCCTGATTTACCGCAAGATGATGAAGATCAAGTAGCGCATTGTGAGGATGATGACTTCATAATGGATTGCGATTACAATCCTGAGAATGAGAAAAAGAAAAAAATCCAAGAAGAACTAATTGAGATGAGTAAAGGACGAAAGCGACGTAAAAAGATTTCAAAACTGGCTGAACTTATTAAGAAGGAAAAACCAGCGTACGATCCATCAACAATGGATAAAACTTATGAAGAATATTTAGATGAATATTACAAACTTGATTACGAGGATATAATTGCTGATCAACCGTGCCGTTTCCGATACACCGAATGTGTTCCAAATGACTTTGGACTAACTGTTGAAGAAGTAAGTTAAATTTTCCTTTCTATTTGACAAATCTTTAAATTTTTTCCTTTAGATTCTTCTGGCATCTAACAAAGAGTTGAACCAATGGGCAAGTCTTAAGAAAACTATGCAGAATCGTCCGAAAAATGTAGAAATCAACGACGTTGAAAAGTATAATCGTCGAAGAAATAATTTGCAATTAAAGAAGAAAATATTTGCAAGTATTTATGGACAACCTGAAAGGTGAGCTAATTAAATTTATTTTCTATACTTTAACTAATTTATTAATTAATATTAGTGACAAAAGTGAAGACTCTGATGACGATTCAAAAGTTTTGAAGGCAGAAAATGAAACTGAAGCAACTCAAACTTTAGATGACTCAAAGGAAGTTAATGAAAGTAAAGTTGACGAAGGAAACAAAAAGAAAAAGAAGAATAAGAGGAAGAAGAAGGGATCAAATCAAGATGTTAAGCCACCAACAAAACAATCAGTCAACACTAAAGTTTCTGTCAAAGCCAATGGTTTCAAAAATAAAGTTGACGCTCAACCAAAATCTTCTGGGATTTCATCAACTTCAACATCAAATAAAAGAAAAATGACCGACGAAATTGAATCAGCAACAAAAGCTCCTCAAAGATTCAAAAAGCAAAAACTTCACAACCAAACCGGAAAACAGAAATCTACCAACAACAAACAAGCATCGGAATTTAATGAACTCAGTGAGAATCGACTAAAAGCCTTTGGAATTAATCCGAAAAAGTTCAAAAACAAATTAAAGTACGGAAAGAATCAACAAATGGATCAAGGGAAAAGTCATAAATTTAATTACAAGAAGAAAGTTCAAAAATAATTTTTTTAATGTTTTTTTCATTTATTTCCTTGTTTCGCAAACTGAAAGAAATAAAAAGAATTTATTTAATAGAAATTAAATCCATGTTGATCTCTTTGGCCTTGTCTTTGACGTCTTCTATTTCTTCGATTTCTTTTGTTATTATTATTGTTGTTGTTATTTCTATTGTTTAAATTGGTGTTGAGATCGTAGGGATTGTAATATCGTGGATCAACACCACGACGGTCGTATCCATCATATCTGTCGTAGTTATTAACTCCCCCGCCACCGTTTCTTCGTCTGTTAATTCTTCGCTCCTTAGACTCACTTGAAGAACTGCTGCTGCTGCTGCTGCTACTACTTGAACTTCTTGCTAATGCTTTTATCACTGAATCAGGAAGCCAAAACATTTCTAGTCAGAATAAAAGAAAATAAAATTTTCTAAATTTTTAAAGGCAGAAATATTGTTTTCAAAAACTCACCAGCAGATTCAATGAATATTAAAATAATTAACAGAAATTCAGCCTTGAACTTCATTGTTGATCTTTTTTGAAGCAGCTTCAATTAGCTTCTGTCAAATATTTGACAACATTCTCGTATTTTATATTCAAAAAAGAAATAACTTTGCAATTATGATTGTATCAGATATAAAAACAGTAGACTCGGTGAAAGGTTACGGTGGTTTACAAATTTAAGAGATTTTTATCTATTTTTACATTCTTCATCATGATTCATCGCTATAATCACCCAAACAATGAACTTAATAATTTTAGAACTTTTATTTGTTGTTTCCGATTTTATTTAACTCTCAACTTGCTTGTATGTGACAAGAAATTTAATTCAAAAGATTCTTTGGAGGATTTATTTGTGATGTGCGTTGCGGCGATTTCGATTGTTGTCTCTGTCTTGATTTCTGGCGCGATTACCACCATCTTGACCACGTTGGCCGTCCCTTCCACGTTGTCCATCTTGACCACGTTCGCCGTCCCTTCCGCGTTGACCATCTCTGCCTTTCTGCCCATCTTGACCGCGGTGTTCATTCTTCTTCTCTTTACTTCCATGATGATCATGTTCATCACGACTATTGTGCCTTTCATGCTTCTTCTTATCTTTATTTCCATGACGGTCATGTGAATGTTCAGCATCTTTTTCATTTGAATGTTCCCTCTTATCTCTTGCCATTTCTGTATTTAATTAAAGCCATTGAAGTTTTAGTTTTTAGTTTTAAAAATTTCGATTTATTGCCTTGCTTGATTATGCCTCTACATATCACAAAATGGAATGACTAGTCACAAAATGGAATGACTAGTAAAGCCATTGAAGCACTTTAAGTAAGCTCAATGAATGAATTCGAACCTACCAACTGAATTGATGGCAACAATCACAATCAACAAGGTTGCAACTAAGAAAAATGTTAACTTCATCTTGATTAGATTTTGCTTCCTAAACAGCTAAACAGTAACTCAGCTAAGATTTTAAAGTTTTTGTCATTTTATACACAATCTTAAGCAATGTAATGACAATAGATGAAAATTCGAACCAAATATTTACTTTTTGAGCACTTAACAGCACTCAAGACAACACTTGACCCATGAAATTAAATAATTTCCTTTATTGACTGTAACAAAGCGTGAAAAAATCTTCGCATAATCTTAAAAGTTGTCGCGCGTTTTAAGATGACATTAAAGCACTCACATTAGGTTTTTTTTTCTTCTGATGTTTATTTAAATTTTATAACAGATAGAAATTTAGATAACATATTTCGCGTGTCATGAGATCACTGATTTTAATTTTGAATTTCCCTTGAAAAGGGAACTCATTCAACATTTCTTGATTAGCAATTTAAGTATAGAAAAATATTTAAGAAAATGGAAAAAAGATTTAAATAAATTTAAAAAAAAATAGAAAATTATGAATTTTTGTATAAAATATCTTTGAGTAATGGACCGCCTCTACCGTAGGGATCTTCTGTGATGAATAATTCCTTAAACAGCCAATTATATCGAATCAATCGAGTTTTAATGATTTTCAGGTATTCTGGTTTCTCGTCTACCAAGTCGCCTATTGAATTTAATTTAAATTTCATAAAATGTCAAAGCAATCAATAAATAATCTTACGATAATAGTCGTTTGAAACGATTGCTGCGTCAAGTTTCGCCGCTGCTTCCAGTAGCACTCGGTCGTCGTAAGCTCTCGAAGCCGTACATTGGAGCTTTCCATGTTCATGAAGATATTTCATGATTTCATAGTTTGACGATTTACCAAATCGAACACGAAATTCTGGAACGATTGCTTTTACTTGAAATCCTTCCTTCTCGAAGTGTTCAATACAAATCTTTAAACCTAATTTAAACTTCAGCTGTGAATTTGACAAATATAATTAACAATTTCTTACCTTCTGCTGAAAAATCAGCATCAGTTTTTATCGAACCGTGATTATCAGTGAAGCTCATGGCAACATTGCTTCCGTCAATCAAAACTATTCGCTTCTCTTTCTGATTATTTTCTTTTAAATTTACATTTGAAGTTGTTGGCTGTTCTAGTTTTGGAATTGGAGCTTTTATTGGCGACTTCTGTTGCTTGGATTTCGATCTTCCGTTTTTTTGTGGGCCATTTAAAGCTTCAAATTCTTTGTCTTTCTTTTCTTTCCACTTCAATAATCTTTTCTTCTTCCTATCCTTTCCTCTGGACTCTGATTTTGGTTCATTAAATCGCTTTTCTTCACTAACAAATATAACCGAATCATCTTCCTTTGGAGTTTCTTCAATGACATCTCCAACAAATATCACATCGTCAGATTTTGCACTTTCATTCAAATTAGTAGAAGTCCCGAAAGTTTCATAAACTGGAACCTTTCCAGAGCTCCCAGCTTTTCTATCTTCATAGAATCCAAAGGAAGTTGACGATGATGTTGCTTCATTTATTTTCTGGGATTCTCTCACAGCCACTAAACTTTCCTGTAAAAGATTTTCGACTCCATCATTGTCTATGATTTCACCTTCTTCAACTTCATAATCCATTGGCAGACTTTTGATCGTTTCGTTGGATGTTACAACTGCATTTTCACTAAACTGGTTTTTAGATTCGTCACGAATCCAAATCAATTCTTCACTCGGAACCGTCGAGACTGTTGACAATCTGGTTTGTAAATTTCTCACCACTGAGATATTAGCCAGATTAGTTCTGCGCCCTCCCACATTTGATGGGCCTTGGTCGGATGTTTGAAAAAGGTTTGCTGATGTCAATGTTAGAGGATTTGGTGTTGAATAAGATCTTCGTCCAGGAAACTTTTGCTTTAATCGCTTCAATGTTTTCTTGAGACCACGAGATATTATTTTAGGGCTTCTAAGTGAAGGAGAACTTGCATCCTTTAAAAGATTAATAGAGTAATTAAACAAGAAAAAAGTTCGCTTTAAGTAACAGCGAACAAATGAAGTAAGAAAATAATTAAAATTTGACCTTTTTTTCGGGACGGTTCGACTCGTCTTGAGGAACCAATCGCTGGAATAAACTTTAATTTAAGTTTATAGCCTGCGAGAGCTGAAATGATTTTTCTTCTCATTTCTTTTATTCATTTGAAATTTGTCGTCATTTGCAAATTTCAACGGCTCAGCCAGTCATGAGCGATTTTTCAAAAGTCATTTTCGTCATTTGAATTGACGCTCATGATTGGATTCAACACGGTCAGCAACTTTTCACAAGGTCAATGAATGTGCTTTTTATTTTATACCGTGCGAGACTGCTCTCCCGTTTTTGACAATTTTCCATCTTAAAAGTAAAAGTTTCTCAACAACTGAAACTGAAATTATTTGGAAAATTTAATGAGTAGATAAATAACTTTTATTTTTTTTTAATTAATCAATAAAACTCTTGATACAACAATGAACACACAGAAACACACGAGGGATTAAATACACAACCAAGAAGCAGAAGAATAGCAAATATGTAATGAGATCAGCCCGCTGTCCTTAACTCATATTTTCAAGCTTATTTTTCCAACTCATTAATTTCATTTTCAATATTTTTTCTCGCATTAACTTCAAATCTTTCACGCAGCCTTGGAGTTGAATAGATATTCGGTATCATAAGAAGCGTTTTTAACATTTTCAGTCTATCTTTTTTATAAGATTCCGTGGCATATTCTTTTTGCAAGTTTTGAGTGTAAGTTGAGTAAGAATCAGACGAAGAACTACAAAATAAGTTTAAATATGTCAAGTTTAATTATGACTCATCGGAAATTTTCAATGTCTTCTTCCTTACCCCAAAACTGCCAAATCAAAGTCGTTAAATAACTCTATCTGATATGAATTTTCTTCAGATGACTGAAGAGTGTCGTCGTCTTGAAGCATTCGTAAGACTTCATTCACCAAAGATCTCTTAAAAAATCATTATCATTACAATCGAGAAATTTAAGAACGCAAATTATTCATAACTCACATCTTTGATTCCAGTTTGAACGACAAAAAGCTTAAATTCGTTGCAATTTAAGCTTTTAAGATCTTTTTTCACGTCGTAATGAAAATACTGGAAAACCGTTGCCAAGATCAGAGAATTCTTGAAAGATTCCTCACTAGCTAACTCGTTTATGAGATGAAGCTTCTTTTCAAGCATCTCTAAATTATGAAAATATCTATTTTCAGAAGTATATTGTCGTTTTATGTTTTCCTCCCATGAACTTGAAGTTTCAGGAGTTGTGCAAAAGCTTTTACAAGCAGAAGTAAATGATTCCATGTTAAGTTTTTTTTTAAATAAATTTTCTACAGTTTCGTATGAAATCAATGGACGACCGAGACTGAATCTTATCAAACTCTTATTTGGCATGCGTGAAAATAACTTAGGATCTATAGATTTGTTTTGTTTTTAGCTTACATTATTTTGTTGACTCAATTTCATTTTTCGAGCCATGCGTCGTCTTCTTTGAGCACCCCTACCACCACTTCTGCATTTCTTTTGACCCCTGTTGCTATTATCCATCAAATTATATAATATTTCCACCTTAAATAGGTAATAAAAAAATTGTAACCTTTGTCTGGTTTTTGTTGTCGGGCGCTAAAAATTGTAATAATCCATCAGTGGTGTAACACAAATTAAGATTCATAGACAATTTTATCGAATTGAACGTTCAGTTCGGAATTCAATCATCTTTTATGTTCATCTTGTAATTGATATCATGATAGATTCATGATTAAAATAATAAAAATATCGAAAATCATGCATAAATCCACGAAAAATTTAAATTTTTATAGAATTTTGTGACATCATTTTAAATTCCGTTATTTTTCGAGGGGATAAACTACGATCGGAATTTGATCAAAACAATTGAAATTCAAATTTTTTAAAACAAATCTTAGATCAGTTCTAGGATAATCAAATTTACGCTAAACATCGGATTTATATTTAAAATGGAAGAAGAAAATCAAAAACCAAATGAATCTAGTGATAAAGTTGATGATAATAATGAAAATGTGAAAGGAAATGATGGAAATAAATCTGGAACAGAAATGGAAAAGGCAAAGATAGAAACGGATGATATAAATATAGACCAAGAGGCTGGAACCAGTACCAATGCTAGCAAAATTGAAGCATCTAAACCTCCATCGAGAAGAAATTATCGTCGACATACCGGAGATTCTGATGACGATAGCAGTTCCGAGCCAAACACACAGCAAGAAGAACCTCCCGCTGATCTTCCTGAATCTAATCAACCTCAACCAATCAGTGATTCGGAAGATGTTTCATTAGATGAACTACGTGTCAGTGTGAGTGAAGAGGACAATAACCACAATGCAAGAAGGTAGATGATTTATTTATAGATTACGGTTGACTACTTTTCGGGTTTTTCACATTTATTTAAGAAAATTTTTATATTTGAGACTTACACAGGTCAAACTTTATATTGATATCATTTTCAACCACAAACTTCTTTTATAAAATCATTATTTTCAGTTCCGATTCAAGTGATTCGGATTCATCATTCAGTTTTGGCTCACGACTGTCACCTCTGATTAGATTTGGCGTGGGAAGTCGTAGAATGTTTGCTGATGACGATACAGATTCAAATGGATCATCCGATGAAGAGGTTGTTGACAAAGCAAAACGACTGACTAGAGACATTATGAGCAAAGATTCGCCACTTCATAACTCCGTAACATGGCCTAAAATTCTTATGAATCGCGAAAGCGGGTACTTTTGCAAACGTAATGAATCACGTTTTGCTAATCATCGAAAGGTCTTTGAGAGAAATTTTTATGGTTCGCTTAATTCAGTTCAACGACTTGAACTTATGGCAAAGCTGAATGAACATGTTGGCTGTGTAAATTGCTTAGGATTTAGTAAGAATGGACTTTACTTGTTGTCAGGATCGGATGATTTGCGTATTATTCTCTGGAACTGGTATAACAACAAACCGCTGACGATAGCAAATTCAAAACATCGAAAAAATATCTTTCAATGTAAATTCTATGAAGAAAATGGCTCAACATTGAAGGTCGTTTCTGCATCAGCTGATGGATCAGTTTCCCTTCACAACTTTTCAAGTTCAGGCGGGCATACAGAGAAACAAATCTACAATCACCATGGTGCTGTTCATAAGATTGCAGTGACAGATAATGTTGTTTACACCTGTGGCGAAGATGCATTAATTATGGAAATGGATTTTAGAACAAAAGCGCCATCAAAGTTGACAATAGTACGAGAGAAGCATCGTAAAATTCCTTTATTCAGTATCTTCGCGCATCCTCTCGAAATGAAATATGTCGTCAGTGGACGAGATCAATTTATCAGAGTTTATGACCGTCGCAATCAAAAGGAAGTTTTATCACGGCACTGTCCAACAGAGTTGCTTGAAAGGAACACAACAGCACGGTATATTTCGTGTTGTGTCTTCAACTACAACGGAACTGAAATTCTCGGGTCGTTCAATGATGAAAATATTTACTTGTTTGACACAAATAATCACAATCTCGGTTCATATCTTCATAATTATCAGGGTCATGTCAACAGTCAAACAATCAAAGGTGTGAACTTTTACGGTCCTAAAAGTGAATTTATTGTTAGTGGTTCTGATTGTTCCAACATCTTCTTCTGGCATAAGGAAACTGAAGCTATCGTTCAATGGATGCGTGGCGATGAAAATGGAATTGTTAACGTCCTTGAACCTCATCCGATTTATCCTGTTTTAGCAACATCGGTAAGCATTAAAAATTTCTTTTCTTCTTGACTAAATTCAAGTCATAATTCAAGTTTATATTTTTCGATAATAAGCAAGCAAGCTTTGGTTGCGATACAATTCAATTAAATGTTGAACTTGTGACACTCACTGAACTTTAGTCGAAGCCAACTAATCATGTTGTTATTTATCTTGAACTGCGACCCTTAAATCATTTTATGTAGAACTTTGATTGTGTACATTAACAACATTATGATTTTCCTTCCACAGGGCTTAGATAAAGATGTTAAAATTTGGATGCCTTCCAATGAAGACTTCGACATGAACGTGGAAAATCTGGAGTCTTGTATTCAACAGAACATGAAAAATCAGATCGAAGCGAGTCGTTCAGCAACTTTTTCATTGGATCCCACAATAATTCAACTTGCGAGAAGATTCTTTCAAAGATCACATCGAGAAACTGTCTCACCAAATACTTTTGCTAATACTTACCACTCATCAGATGAATCTTCTTCTTCATCACCTTAAACACAATTATTTGAAAATAAATAATGAAAATTGTTGTTTGTGCCGCTTCGAAACTAAAAAATTGTTTGTTTGTCATAATTTTTTACTTTCTGCTAATTTAAAAATCAAAATATAATAAAATGGAAAAGAAATATCAAAAAATAGAAGAATAAAATGTGATAGATAATTTATATCTTGTAAATATCAAAAAAATGTTTTAACAGATTTAACTAGAAGATAGAAAAGAAGGTTCACTAAAAAGTTGGCATTAAGGAGCTTTATTGTTTATCCAAACTGAAAGTCATATAGAAAAGGTTCGAAGCTTCTCCAAGCCATTTTATCTACTGTAATGTTGTGCTTTAAATTGTTGAAACTATTATCACATTGTCATGTTGAACAAGTCGTAATAATCGCTACGTCAAATACATCAACAGCTGCCAGAACAAAGGACATTTATGAAATTTATATCTCTAAAAAGAAAAAGTCACTAAAAGTATTTTTAGAACACTGTGGAAAATAAAAATATTTTTTATTTTCATACAAGATGACAATCAATGTTAGTTTCTCGTTAAATTGGGTTAACATAACAAAAAGTTCATCGATTACTTAATTCACGCCAGAAAGCTTTCTCAACATTTAGTACGTTAATTTAAATACTTTAAGTTCATCATTGAGTATAACATAAATTGGGATAACTTAAAGCTTTTTTGTTTACTCTCATTTTATGTAGACACTCATCATCATCATAAACAGTTACTTATAGAAATTTTAGTTTGCTTGTGTTGAATTATGAGATGAATATCTAGATGATAACTTTTGAATACTGTTGTTTATTTTCGAGCGTCTCTTAATGTCGCTTAAAAGTCTAATCTTCAAACAATTCATGGCCGAAGGATGAGTATAAAGTTCATGACATCTGTATATAAGTTTTCTATTCTTCTTTTCATGTTCGTAAGTAAAATATCAACTGTTCCTTTTTGATAAAAGAAAAGACGATATTAGTAAATATAACATCAAGTTTGACAGTACAAATAATTAAATAAATTAAATCTAGCATGAAAATATTCTTTTAAGACACACATTGAAAAGCGTTATACGTTCATGAATATTTCAGCAAGCATTTTACTGTCTGGAGCTTTATTTAAAAACGGAAATTAATCTATCAAGTCGTTGATGCCGAATAAACTTTTCAATTAGGCCTTTATGAAGTTTCTTTTATTGAATATGTAACTGGAATGTTGGGATTTTTTTTTCTATTCAACTTCATTTTTAATTTCTTTTTCTCTTCTCAATTGTTTAATAATTAATACTTCTTTTTTTTCAATCGAAATTGAGTAGAAATTAGAAACATTCAATACTTTAAGTACTTTGAAATGGTCATCATCAAAGTTTTGATATGCATTTGTTAAGTATTCGAGAAAAATATGTGATTTAAAATGGTTTTCTTCATTTCATCAATCGAGTATAATATTCATTTATTTATTTAATTTATTTATTATTCATTTTGATATCTTTACTATGCATTAAAATATTATTTCAATTTCAATATCATTTTTTTTTCGCTTTGTTAACTTTTACTGGACAAGTGTTTTAATTTATGCATGATAATCAACTAAAATTCCATCAAGGATGATAATTAACTAATCTACATTTCTTACTTACTTACAAGTAAATGAAATGATACTTCTTATGCGACCTTAGAATAAACATTGAGATTGATGTTTGAGCTACAAACAACACATGAGGTTGGTTACTTTACTCTTATTTATTTGTATTCATTCTTTGTGGATATTAAGTAAAACGTTAAATGGGAAAAGTTTTAATTACAAATTTGCGTATTTTTCATTTCTTTCTGTTTTGTTTTTTTCATCATAACATCCATTGAAGGTAAGAAGAGTTTACGTTTTTAAATTTGTCGAAATTTTACGTAATTTCTGGAGAACGCCCATGATAAGTGAATTTCCTTTACATAACGAGTTTTGGGACTTTGGGCAGAGAATGAATATTTTCTGAACTTTCTGCTTCCTTTGTCGAGATATTTTCAAAAGAATGTGTTTTCGAGGGAATAAAAGAAAACTTCTCTTTCCCCATGGCGTAAATTAAATATTTTCTTTGTGACTTTTGAGAAAGATTAGGGAATTGTGAAAATGAAACTGTTGTGCCCAAAAGCGCATCTTATAAATAGAAGTATGTAGATAGGTAGTAAAACATTGTTTTCGATTCTTATTTATTATTTATACATAAATATGAATGAGTAAATTCATGATAAATGTTTAAAGCTTTTAAGCGTTTCCTTTTATAAAGTAGTTTAAAGCTTTCTTATTTTTTCTCCTTACAGGATTTTTTTCTTATTCATTAGGATTCATATTACCTACATAAAAGGTTTTTTTTTTCTCTTACATCATCTATATAGATAAAGCTAATCAATATCATCGGCAACGTCTTCTTGTTCTAGTCATCTTCGCCAAAAGCGAAAGTTAAAGAAGCCTTTGCCACGCTCTGACTTCGGGGCCATTAACATTGGGACTTGATTCTTATGTGTAATCTTAATCTGAGTCAAGGATAGAAAAGGAAATGAAGAAAGAAATGTAAATAAATAAAAGACAGAAGGAAAAAAGTTTAATGAGTTTCGGACGTCAATCAAAGTCATTAACGACGAGTCAACTTACAACTGAAGGTGCTTGCATCCACGGCTCACCGTCGATTTGCATGGGAAAAGTCTTTTTTGTTGTCAGAATAACTTCGCTGCATTGTGCTTTGTATATTTTGAATTTTAAATATTCATAAATAAACGAAGAAAAGAAAATGAAAATATTTGAAATATATCCGTAAGTAAATGTTTACACAAATATTTACCCAAACGTCTTGCTGACGCTTTCAATCCCGTCCTAACTTGGCCCATATGGAGACAGTTTTCCAATCCGATTACTTCAATTCGATGGTCGCCAATATCTTTTTATTTTGAGTTTGTGTAAGTGAAAGAGAAGAAAATGTTTATGCTTTTAGTCAAACATAAATAAATAAATGCTGATCAGAGCCTAAGTACCTTGAATGGCAATTGATAAGTCGACAGAATTGAAGCTATGAGATGAAAACTCCTTATCGCCAGTTCGAAGTTTCTTTAAGCGTTTAAATGGACCGGATGTTGACGTGCTGCGACGAATTCTTTTCTGTGATAGATTCTCACCCCACAGATTTGAACCGCCATGAGTATACGGAATATTCAGCAAGGCAATTCCTTGTAACGGAACACCATTTAAGTCTAATTGAACGCCATCACATGTCAGCTCAACGAACTCGTGAAGGTTCTTACAAGTCGCCGAGAACGTTTCGCTCGTAGCATACTCAAAATACCACAACTTGTTCTTCATTCGTGAATTGAACTTGTGTGGATTTTTTTCACGCTCCAAATGAAATTTCACACAAATAGCAGCATCGACGCCAACTGTTGATTCGAGATGTGAAATGAAATGAGAAGAAAGGAATGAGTTTGATTGAAAATCAGCGAATATTTCTTCTCATGTAAACAACATTTTTAAGTTTTTAAAGTGCTCGTGCGTAAACAAACCTGAGAAATAATTGTTTATAATATTGTATGGTATTGTAAAGTCCGCCACAGATGCAGTTTGTTCAATATCTGTCGGTTTAACTTTCATTTGTGATTGAGTTAACATCATGAGATCGTTACAGCTGCTGCTGGTCTTCGGCTTAATGGAGTTTCCTGCCTCACAGTCTTTCATATTATTCTCCACAGTGCATTCCTTTCCACTGAACTTCTCACAATTCTGCACCATTCCATTCGATTCGGTCAATTTCTGTTTGCTCTTCTCGATTACCATTGATGTGGAAGATGAGTTATTGTCACTTAATACAACACGCTTAGAATTTTCAATTGATATTTCTGAGGTCTTCATATGATTTTGAACTTGTTCGTATTGATTTATCACAGATTTTTCGACAACTATCCTTTGAGACAGTTCAACTACTCTTTGTACGTTCTCTGATAACGTTACCTAGGTAAACGCAGATATGAAGCAAAGAAAGAACACAAAGAAATTAATATTCCGAGAAGAAGCTTTCATACTTGATTAATGATCAGGTCAATAGCTTATTAGTTCATTCGCAACTTTTCCAATCTATTAAATAAAAAACTTTTCTTTTATATTTTATCCAAACTTGTCCAATTATTGATTCAAGAAGCGCTTCCATCATTGAAGTATTATCTATGAACAACAAAAAAAGTCTCATTGTTCAAAATCCTATGATTTCTATCGTCGTTGATGCTTATAAACTTTAATTTAAGATCACAAAACATCAGCAGATATCTAAATTACTTTTTAAACTTTTCTTTTTTTTGTTTAATTATTTCTTTAGATTAAAACTTTTCTTTAACTTTTAAATGCTTCGATTGCGCAATCAATTTCACAGCTAGAAAAATCAATAAAAAGTTTCCGGAGTTTAAGTTAACTGACCTTTAATACTTTATGTGAAGGAATTGTGAGATTTTCTTCTTTATCACTTTTAGCTTCTATACTTATGTTCCAGCGATCCATCATCACGATATCAGAACGAGAAAGCTTCTCAAGAAGCTTTGGAATGCTTTCCCCTTCGTATCCGCCACCCCAACGTAAACAACGCGCTAAGTCATTTCCTGAATGCGTCAAACAAGTCGTAGTTAGGATGATTAAAAGTTAATGAGCGAAAAATATGAAAGAATAATAGCAAAGAGTTACAAACCTGTTCCTAAAGGAATCACACCGACCGCAGGCTGACTTTTCATTTCTATAGAATCTGTAATTAAATAATTTTCTGTAATTAATACTTTGTTTAATTAACAAGTTTTCTTTTTCAACAATACCCATTGCTTCAAGCACCCAGCCGACTGTGCCGTCGCCTCCACAACAAATAAGTTTAAAGTTTGGAAGATCTTTGAACATTGTAAGTCCTTTTTGGCGAAAAATCATAACAAATTTAATGAGAGCTGTTTGTGGAAAAGATTTTGAATCGTTCTCGAATCACAAAAAAGTTGGGAGAAACTTGTCATCATTTCAACAGATAAACGCGAGTTATTTTTACTTTGAATTACATTTGCTGCTGACACTGACATGTTTCAAAAATTCAAAAGATTCTTTTAAGCAATCAAGTGATTCAAAAACGACCCTAAAGTTGAATTGAATTACCTTCAAGTGGCCCTCCCTTACTCAAATCGTACACCTGACGCGGATTCAAAAGATATTGAAACTTCCTTAAAAGCTTTTCGCCTTGGCGACCGCCACTCTTTGGGTTGATGAAGACGAGAAGCGGCGTGGCAGTGGGAGATGGTGAAGTTATTTGAAAGTGAATTGGTTGTGGAGCCTAATTATAATAATGAAAGTTTCCACATTTTCAATCTTCTCTGATACATTAAAGGTTTTTGACTTTACCTTTGACTTAATATTTGTGACACTAGACGATCTTTGACGATCCAAAACAGCGGGACAGATAGAGGTAGGTGGTAAAATGAAATTAGCAAACTTTCCGAGATTACATTCCGGCTTCACGTTGTTCGCACATCGATTGTGCAATGTCATCTGACACCATCGACACGTTAAGCCGACGTAAGCTTTTATTCGTTTTCTACACTTTGAACAACTTCGATAACAATTTCCTTCAACCCAATGATGTGTGAACGAACCGGTTCGCTTTGATTTCACGTACGTTGTGATGCAGGAAGCAGGAGCTCTTTGAACACATCTCTCATGTACTGTATACTTGCATACTGCGGAAACAAGAAACATAAAAACAGAAATTCATGAGGTCGACCATTTTGATCTTTCAAATGCAATAAATTTCAACTCACGTGTGCAGCACAATCCTTTCTTTCCCAAGCCAACCAGCATGTTTAAGCAGAGATTGCAATAAGCTGGTTTAGAGAAATGTTTGAGTCTCCATACGTGATAACCATCTTCTTTAAGAGTGTTGTCAACTCCTAGGTTGTAAAATTTAAGTCACAAATTTAAAGACAAATCTTTTCAATGAACAGAAATAGAAGCAGAAAATGTTTATGTTTGTCATCATATTCTTGTTTGAAGCATTTACTTCTTTAACAAGCTTCTCTTTTTTGTTTCTTCAAGTTTCTTCCTTTCCTGAAACGAAGTCTTTGAAATCTTAATTCTAACGAAATTCGGAAATGTGCTCGCTCGTTCGTTGTTATATAAGAAAAACAGAATGAAACGAAATTAGATGAAATTCTGCTAAGAATGACGCAGACGTTTTTTTCGAGAATTGCTGATGTTATTACATGATCAATGATGTTTGTTTCAAAAAGGCTTAATTTTTGCAAAGGTTTTTCCACCTACAATACAAGTATAAATAAGCGTGGGTGGTTGGTCACTCATAAATAAATAAAATCTAGAATGAAATAAAAAATTTCATTGTTTTAAATATTATCGCTGATAACAGCTTTAACTCGTATTTTTCCGTTTTATTTTACTCCCACGTTTAGCGACACGCTTTGCAACATGATGTTGAGAAATAATAATAAATTATGTAAAGTTGAAAACGTCACGATGAAGGTCCCAACTCTCCAAAGTCATAATACTACATACGCATTAAACAATATTTAAAGTAAGTAGACATTAAAGTATCCTTTGCATGGTGTTGAAAAACAAATATTTTCTCATTAAGTCCCTTCGTGCGACGCTTCTATTAAGACTTTCACCCGGATAAAGTAAATTTTCTACATTCCACTAAGCAATTAAAAGACAATGAATACAAAAAAAGCCGCAGATAAGGAGACTCTTAAGTCTCAAATGAAATTGTCGACCGTAATTAAGAATTTAGACAAGCGGCAAACATTTAATATTGCACAAGATAGAAATCAGAAAAGAAATTGTTTTTCTCACCTAGCAAGACTAAAAGTGGGATTGTTGTCATTCCACCACGTTTCCACTCGTCAAGCGACACACAACCATCGCAGTCGTAATCGATTTCCGTCATCATGTCTTGAAGTATCTACACGGATGGATAAATATGCGAATAAGTTGAATATGACGTGAAGATGAAAATTAAATTAAATTTTCTTCTTCTTCTTTTTATTATGATGTTTGAAAAAAAAAGTTTTACTTACAGGTCTCAACTCAGATACATCCCATCCCAAATATTCTGCAACTGACATCATTTGGTTGACGATTGCATCAGTTTCGCCTTTGTCAAGCACTCCATTTCCATCGGTGTCATATAATCTAAACATAACTGAAATTGTATAAATTATAAAATGAAATCCTTTCAATCATATTCAATCAATGCATAATGTGACATGTCACATCATTGAAATAGTTTCTTACATTCCAATTTATCTTCCGGACGTCCTGCCTCGAGTAAAGATAGATAACATACTACGTCTTTCAAGGGAACTTTCATGGTTAATGGATCCAAAAATGATTGTTTCCTGGGCATTAATTTAATATCTGTAACCGAGAAATGAGGGAGATAGGAGAATGGATGACTTTAGAAAGGATGTAACGTGATTTTTCTACATGAAAAAGCGGGATGTTTTTCAATGACGTCATCAAACCTTCCTTTTTAAGTTTAATCATCACAAGAAGAAAAAAATCACTTTTTAATGATTCTAATGATGATGATGATGATGATGACTATTGAAACATCAGTTTTCTTCATGCCAATAAAATTAGATAATTCACAAATAAATTTATTATTAAAAGCAAGCCTACAATCTAATTTTTAATAGCATTAATAAAACTACAAACAGCTGTTGGCAGAATAAGTTTTCTCGGAAAAGTTATAACGTTACATCATTAAACTTTTGATTTTTACTTAGATACACAAATTTGTATGTTTCGTCACTGTTGATGTTACTACGTCATTCATAAACAACCCCGCAGCGAAATAAAATAAAAAAAAAAATGATAAGAGCAAAGACAGAACAACCACGATTTGTGTGTGCTTCGCTCAACGTACCGTCGATTTTACAATTTAGTGAATTATTGCTTTTGCGCGATGAATTTCGTGACATTTGTGAATGGGAGTGACTATGTGAATGCGTGGGGCTCGACTCGGTTGACGGACGATTAACTGGCGCTAGAGGGCTTGGTGTGACCGTAACAAGAGGATGGATAGTGCCTGGAAGATAATACCCAACAACAGCTTTATGTTTAGTTGCGTTCCACACAAAACAATCTAGACGTTAATTGCTTTACGAAAATAAGTTTCTAATTACCCGATTTGGATTTATTGTCATCATGTCCCAAGTGACTTAGTTGGTGGAGTTTATCAGTGAGACCGTGAATTGTATCAACAAAACTATGCGACTTAGGTTCTGGTGTTAAGCATGGTAAATTTACAATATTGTTCATATTTGGTATCGATCCTTTTTTGTTTTTGTTTTTTAAAGCAATTCATTTTACATTTTTTGTTTGTGATTTTTTTTGTCGGAAAATAAAATCAAAGAAGAAGAAAAAATAGTGAAATGAAGTGCATTGCATTAATAAGAAATAAATATTTGCTATTATGAAAGGAAAAATTTTTGTTTGCTTAAGTTTCATTCAAGGATTTGTTTATTTTCAACTCATAAAACTGGTGCCGCATTTCTACAAAGCTAAATGGTAAAAAACTTTCATTTCTTCTTTTTTAACTACAAGTCTACATAAATAATTCATTGTTGGAAAATCTAAGTTCAAAAAAAAGGAAATAATTGCAGTTTTATGCGTTAAAATATAAAACAAGTCGGCGGCATTCAAATTGATGAGTTGCATGATCGAGGGTTGTAAAAGCAGATTGAAATTCTCCCTTGCCATTCATTTCAGTTTTAAATCATGAATGCAATCACATACTTATGACTCAACATTTATTCTCGACATTTTGTTGTCAATCCAAACTTCAAACTTCAAACTTTATTCTAATGTTTTCTTTATAAGTACCTAAATATCTAATTCATAATGAGAAAAAAACCAGAAAGCAAAAATACCTCTAGTGTTATGTGATGTAACAGGAGCGCATGCTGTATTACTACTTATAGCTGCCATACAACTCAAAGTGCTATTACCTGTTATCTGGGATTGATAGGGTCGTAGGAAAGACAAAAAGAGATGCTTGGAGAGTTCTGTTGGAGTATCACAGTCCAAAAACAGATCGAGAAACTTTTGGAAGCCCTCAAAGTCAATATCCTTGGAAATATATTTAGTTACGAGGGAAAAATGAAATGAAATGAAAAGTCAAATCTTACGTCATCTTGATTAAATTTATAAGTCGATTCAGGTCCGCAAAATTCTTCCAGCACATTTTCCAATTTCTTATTCGAATCTAAGCATAAAAATTAAGAATTTTCTCTTGCATTCTCAAATGGTTATCTTTTAAACTTACAGCTAGCGAGATCTTGAAGCTGCTGAAACTCGTTCGGAGACAATTTATCCCATTGAGTGCATGCCATCTGAAACAGAAAATAATAGAATGAAAATTTATTTCGATTACGCTTACAGAAGCGATAAATAAAATGTCGCTAAAAGAATACAAATAAAAAAAGATCTTGAAATGAGATTGACAGTTCAAAGTCTTCTTTCTCGTTTCCAGACGAAAGTCAAAACTATTTATTTGTAGAAATCAAAAAACTTTTGTCTCTACACTTTTGTCATCATTAATCATCATACGAATATTTATAGTTGCAGAGTAAGTTTTTTGATCCGATTGAGTGCATGTTTAACTCATAAGACATTTCTCGAGGAGAAACAATCTCGTGCACACTTAAAATAAATGAGCGAATGAACGAACGAAATGAACATGTAAATATAATAAAAGTTTATATGGTTTACCAGAATTATTTTGAGAAACAAATTTTGTAGTTTTAATAATCAAAATATTTGGCAGTTCAGTTTAACGTTGTGTCAATTTTCTTTAGCTTTTCGTGAAAACAGTTTTAATTGATCAAAGTTAAAGGAGTTTCCGTGCCTCTTGTAAATTAACATTCAATGTTTCAAAGGGTTCATGATAGGTTAATAAGGAGTCGTACGTTTGTTGTGTAGCACGCTATGTTAAATAATGAGAAGTTTATGAATCTTAATTAATACTTGAGCAAAATTAATGCAAAAAATAGAGAAAAAACAAATTATTGGTTTATATTTCGATGTGAATTATGGGTCAATGCTTAGTGAAATTAAACAAAAATTAAGACTATTTAGTCTGAGCTTACTGCTATTAATAAATGAATGTTCCGTTAACTAAGAAAATTATTTAAAACAATTCAATAAAGTTTCGAGATTTATTGAAGCAATTTCTTAATGAAAACCCAACTTAGGAACGCTTTTAAAGGAACAAAACGCAAGAGGAGAAATCACTGTCAATTTATAGGCACGTATCGTATATTTTATGCGGATGAATTCCTTAAATATTTAAATATCTTGCTAGATACTTTATAGAAGAATTTATAGTGAAACTTAACAAAATTAGCTTTGGAGAAAATATTTTTATATAAAAAGTTTTCAAACAATGTATTTATTGTCTCTTCATCAAATATTTACCTTTTTCTTTCAAGTTAAGTGTGGGTGGGGGTAAACGATATTTATTCAGCAGTAATAGAATTTGATTCTATAAAAAATCTTCAGAATTCTTTTTTGCTTTTTTGAGGAAAATAATATTAAAAAAATATTCGACTTTGGAATGTATTTTTCTAATAAAAGCATCAAAATGAAAAAACTTGCTTCATTCACGAAAACATTACAAACACAGACATTCAGTTTAGCCTTGAATGGGGAAAAAATATTTATTTGTTTAAATGTTTCATCTCGTATTTTTTTTTATCGTGGAAATATTCACAATCTTCTTTTATTTCCTTGGGTTCTACTTTCAGTTCCTTTAAAGCATGGAAGTCATGCCTCATGCTTTTCAAACTTCTCGCTCAATTTAATCTAGTCCTAAACGATTATAATTATGCCATTATGAAATATTTATGTGAGCATAAGAATGCTTTTCGGTTCGTAATATTTGCATGTGCTTCTGTCGTAAATATGCACAAATGGATTCTCTTGTTTAAATAACTGTCTTCGTCTTTTCGGCACTTTTATCTCAAATTCACTTGAACAATGTACACGTACTTATATGTATATTTATTTAAATGTTCTTTATAAATTCATTCAAAATAAACGCATTTGTTATTCTTTCAAATTGCACTGAAGCAAATGTTTAATATTTACAACAGCACTTCACACTAACTCACTATACGCGAGAATCGACGCGAATAGCAGCTGACGTATTTAATTAATTCAACTTGATATTTATTTTTGATTATCTATTTTCTTCTAGTTTTCCACGCTTTATTTTCACGACTTTTCACTTCGAGTGTGATCAGACGGCTACTGAAAATTTTCTCCAATATGAAAATTCTTTATACAGAAACATTATTTATCCTCTCGTGGAAATTCTGGAGAAAGAAGAAAAACTTAACGAAACTTGAGAGAGAAAATTATCAAGAGGGAAATTTTCAAGAGAGCGAAAGAGAGGAAAATTTTTCAGATAAGAGCGAAAAAGTTTTAATACAACGTTTATTTGTCAAGAAGCAAATTAAAGGATGGAAACGAATAAAAAAAAAGTTGAAAAACATGGTGAAGAGAAATTTACTTCAATTCAGCAAAAGCAAAACAAACTCAATTAAGATAGAAGTGTAAGCACATGACAAGTAAGATGGAAATGATTTTCCATCCAATAGAAAAAACCGATAAACATGAGATGTGAGAAATTTGTAATATCAATTTCGTGCCACTTCTGACAACACAGCTGGAAATCAAATGTTGCTCGTCTTTTCTCTTTCATTCTTTTTTTCCTTTACATGATTTCATCTCATAAACAAAGCTAAGTTTAGTCAATTACACAACAAGTCTGATGCTGCTTTTTGTCTTCGTTTGATACTCGAAATATTGAAGCGTGAGGCGACTTCAATTTCGAGACTTTTCTCGTTTTGTCTTGAATAATGTAGACGTGAATATAATAATTAAAAGCTGCTGCTTTTCTTTATCTCGCCTTGATAGAAGATTCATTTGAATAAATTTCAAATTCAAGATAGATGTTATTAATCATTAGTTTGAACTTGGGCATGGGTTTGGGCTAGGAAAGAATCTCAGAATTTCTTTTCTTATCGTTTTTATTTATCTCTCCATCTATTTTTATGATTTTTATGAGCCAAATCATGATGATGATAATTTCATAGCTTTTCGGCATATTTTCTTCTCGTTGCGACTAAATGAACCTTTAAGATATAAAGAACTTCTCTAAGATATTTCAGCGATTCCTTTGTAACCCTCATTCTTCGACGTTTTTGAAACGTGAAAACTTTTTTATTTTGTCGCAAAAGAATGTTTTTGAAGCTTTTCTTTCTTTTTATTTCAGTCGCTTTCAGCTACATGTCAACAACATTCAATGTCTTGCGGGGAGAAATTTCATTGACGCATATACACATCCCGCACAGAGACTATGTTTCATAGTGAAATTATTTAATTACAATCGACGCTAAAAAGCTTGCACGTTCGATGATGAATAAGTCTTTCATTACATGAAAGTTGTTTTCTCTTCTTTTTTATTATTGTCAGAGCACATCTGAACAAATGAGAAGCTTAAGAGTCATAATTGAAATATATGTAGAAGACTTTCGAACTTCAAAAGCCCTTTTAATCATACAACAAGATATTTCTAAGTCCATGGGCTTAGTGTAGGAGTCAATCAATCAACATAACATACAAAGCTACAAATTACAATCTTAAAAATAGAAAAGGTCTCAATGTCAGAGTTTTTTTTGTTGCGCTTCGTTCAAAGTAGGGTTCGCAAAAATTGCCAACTGTAGGTTGCGAAGAATAAAATCTGTTCAGGCCATCATGTAGGTTTTTTTTATCCATGTAAGTATTTTTGCAAGTTTGAGAATTTAAAAAAGTTCCTTCAACATTGATTTGAATCTGCTATTAGTGGAGTCTGATTAAATATTAGAAAGCATATTTAAACAAATGACAAGCATGTGTAATCATTTATCTTCATGACTTCCTCATTCTAATAAATATCAAATTACTTAATCTAACAAGAACTGATCATCAAAATATTAATTATTTCATTTGTATCCTTATGCACAAGCAAAATTATTATAAAAATCAAATTATAATTCAATTTTGCATTATGTAAAGTGATACAAACAAAATAATTGATATTTTATCGTATTATCAGTTCTTTTGAAAAATCAGATTAAGTTATTTGATATTGATTAGAATTCTTAATAAGTCATGAAGATAAATGATAACACATGTCATTTGTGTAAATATGTTTTCTATATATTGCAAGTTTGCAACATATTTTGGCCTCAGTATGCCTACGTAGACCTGTGTACGTTAGTGAAACCCTAGTTCAAAGATATTTACATGAATAATCTTATTGACAATATTTACATTTATGTACACAATTTCTTCTCTTCTTGATGAAAAATGTTATTTGCTTTGATGTAAATTTGATTTACAAACATCCCTGGCTTTAAATAATGCAACGAAAAGTTATGAAAGTGAAGAAAAGTTTGGCGCAACAATCAAGCTCATACTCATGCTATTTCCGTCTGTTGGAATACTTCAAACATGTAAATGTGGGCTTTCATAAATTTCAATTACTCAGAGTCTGCTAAATTTCTAACACGAAAATTTTCCTTGTCCATGACTCACACGAACAAAAGAGAAGAAGAAAGAAAAAAGAAAAGTTTGATTGGCCTCAATTTAAAGTGAGAATTGGAGAAAATATTCAAATATTCGTAAAATGCCACAACTCAACTCTGATTATTTGGGCTTTGGTAGTATAAATTATGCGAACAGCAGAATAATATGAATTTTCAATTATTTTCAACAGTCAACATAAGAATTTCCCTTGAGGCTTCCTTTTTCAACATAAAAAGTTACGATCACTTTCCGGAATCATTTGTATGCAGAAACCTCCATTGAAACCATGATATCATCGTTCGCTTAAAAATATCCTCGCTCGCACATAACACAATTCGCTGGTTTTACGATTGAACAGTTTTTTTATTCGTCTTTCTTTGTTATTGTGAAAATTGCCAGTCTGCTTAATTGGAACAACAGAACTACTGCTTTCACCCTAAAACTGATTAAGTTGAAAACAAAAGGGCAAGGACGAGAGAGAGAAGAGATAGAGAAAGGAGAGATAACGGACGAAAAGCTGCAACGAAGGATTGCATAACATAAACGATTTTCCATTGGGATTGTCAGTGAGGTGTAGAAGCGACCATGCATTAATTCTTGCCACTTAGGGCGGCAAAAATGTTTGTAACGCAATCTTTTAACCAGCCACAAATAACTTGTGCGGAAATGAAAAGAAAGAGAAATGAAAAAGTTCCATGGAAACAGCAGAAGGCACACAAACACACACTGAAATATAATTTCAAATGGATAGGATTTGAAGCACCCGCGCGTTAGCTTTTTCAATTGGAATTTATGTATTTTTTATTATTGTTGAGATTAAGTTAAGGCTTGGAACTCATAAAAAAGATGCTTCTGATATTGAGTAAGAATTTTCTCCTATTTTCTGATATTTTTAATCGTTTTCTAATTTCCTTTTCTCCTTTTCTTTTATCGGATATTTCTTCTTCTTGCAGTGAAAGAACGAACGTCAATCAAAGAAAGAAAAGTTTTAAAGACGAAAAGGTTTTTATTTCTGGTTTAAAAATGTCACACATTTATGTTGATGTTGAAGATAAAAATGAAAAGCTGAAATGTGATAAGGCATGGTCATTATAACTGAATTAAATAGTTGATTAATTCTTGCGATTATCCGGCCGAGTGTATGAAATCTATCTTGGTTGGCGAGAAATGAGATTCATGTTCACTGTCCCGCAAAAGAAACAGCATCTGCTTTCATCTTATCTTTCACAGCGTTTTTCTTTCTCTTCTTGTGATTTATCGGCTTATTATGAGAATTCATTATTTTATGAATACGTTTTAATAAAGCCTTGAACTAAATTCACAATCATCTTTGAGATATTCATCTACTCTTAGTAGTTATTGATCCAACAACTTTTCTTTTATTGTTGCAGCAGTATCATTTGCTTTACCGTCAAGAGATTGACTTTTGAACGTTTCGTACAACACACTTGGGTATGGAAGGAAATAGAAAAAGAAAAATAAGAAGAATCGGAGGAAAAGATAAATCCTTTTTCGACGCTTTGTATTCTGTGAATCCTCAAATTATGCAATCCCAGAAAAGTTAGATTTAGTTAGATAAAAATCTTCTTATGTGTATAGCATAACATTACATAAATATTTCAGTGAATTCCAATTTTTAGCCTTAAAAGAAAGGGGGAAACAAAATCAATGTCGAAGGTTTAAGATGTTTACGTAAACTTATACTTCGAGGAGGAATTGTCTTGAGTCAAGGGTCTTGACTCTTGTTTACTTTTCCGAAGATATTCTCGTGAGCGCTATAATTGCGAAGATGAATGGAATCAAGTGTTATACGGAGTTTCTTGCATCCAACTGGGTTTGGAATGACGATGTGAAAAGGCAAAAGTTTCATTTTTTTATTTCTTTATGTGGATATGAATACCTTTCTTTCATGTTAAAATATATTCACCTTTTTGAGTTTCAAGGTAACGTCTATGTGGGTGGTACTCTGCTCTATCTTATCCTTTTATGATGATGATCAGAGAAAGCAGTTGAAAGAAGAACGACCAGGAAAAGATTTGATGATTTTCACCTTTCAACTTTTTCTGCACATTCGCTTAATTCCTTCGCTTTAGGATTAATGCAATAAGAAAATTTGCCGCATTCAATCTTTTTTCCCTTTTATTTTTATTTTCTTCTCAGAAGATTTCTTTCTTCTTTTTTTTTTATTGAATTTTTCATGTTAGTTCAGCTGGAAATTTTCACGCTCGTAAAACTTTAATAGCATTTTTTGTGCTTGTAGCTTGTTATATATTCCCATTTCTTATTTTTAATTTTATTGTAGACACATTAGCGATCGATCATTGAAACTAGTCGTTAATGGACTTAATTAAAACACATATGCATACAACACTTTCACGAGCACAAACTCACACACACACACTTTGTTTCTCGATTTATGCCGATATCGTTGATTTATTTCATTTCACGAGGAAATTATTTTCTGGCCATTTCGGAAGCAACAACATCTATTAAATAATTTTTTTTCTCCTACGTCAATGATCCCGTATGCCTATGTTTGCTTTCATATCTTCCTCTATAATCCTAGGGCGTAGGTATTGAAACTGAAATTAATTCTCGTCACACAACGCGTCAAAAAAAACTTCTGTCTTATTATAAAATCTGAGTTTTATGAGCTAAATTGTTTTCTTCGTGATAAAAACTTTGGCAAAACAAACAGATAGACTAGTTGACTTTAAAATATTTATTTTTGATATAAAGTGATGAAATAATTTGTGTATACCGAGCACGTTTTTCTCGAGCTTGTTACGCTACAAAAAATGAACGGAGACTGAAAGTGAATGTTCGCTGTGAAAAGCTTCTTATACTTATGTCGAGTGAGAGGCGAGTGGAAAGTTTTTTTAACGAAAAAGAGAATTCCTTAAGCTTTTCCTTTCTATTGAGCTTTATTACGAATTTTCTCTATCCTTGGTTTGTATATTTTGCGTCCCTTTTTTTAAGTTATTGCATTAGAATGCATTAGTAAATCTTCAACCTAATTCCATTTTACGATAAGTGACTATAAATTAAAGGATTCTTTATTTTCCTTCTTTTTTTGTTTGTAACAACAAAAAAAGTTGAGAAGAATAGCTTTCAGATAGTGGATTCATTATTGAATCTGAAAGAAGCAAGCTTAAAGACATAAATGTTCATTTTTTCCTATGCTTCTGTCGAAATCGTGAAACTCAATTGACAAATTAATGTGCGAGCTTTTTTGCCATTACTGCTGAGGGATTATATAACACAATGATGTAGTTAGTACGACGATCCCTTAGAGTTTCGTAAAGCCAATAAGGAAGAGAAAATTACGACAGTAAAAACCGTTAATAACATTCCGACAAGGTATTTGCTTACATTTGAACAGATGAGATTATCTTGATTTTAACATGAGAAAATCATCAGTTTTTTTCTTCTTTCTTGCTTTTTTTTCTTATTATTCAACAACAATCAGAGCATCCCCAAAGGAACAATCGCGCGCTCATCGTATACGAAACATCTCGAATGATGGAAGACAATGATGGTTGAAAATATCGACGGAGAAAAAAAAATAAATAAAATGACAAGACATCGGCCAAGACAGTTATTTAATCTGGAAAGTTTCACCATCTCTTGCAGCACACAAAAAGATCAGAAGAAAGAAAAAATTGAAATTTCCATATCAAAGAAATTGGAGCATGATTAATTAAGTCATTTATCATTTTTTAAAATGATAAAAAATTGTTGTTGTTACCATAGCACCAGTAATCTAATTTATTGCAGAGCTCTTTTTCTCAAGCGTTGTTGCCTTTTTATGAGGATCGCATGGCTTAACATTACAATGTTGGTGACATCAAAATATTTATTGTGTTGCTGAAGCAATTCGTCCATGAAAATGGAGCACAATCTATTCATTAATGAAATTTGAGAATGCAGTAATGTGATGACGTCGATAGCACAAGAAGGGAAGGAGAAGAAGAAAGATAAAACTTTTTTCCTTTTTTTTCTCATAGACTCAAGAAAATTTGTTATGGGTGGAAGTTAATAAATGACTTTACAGGAGTTTATATTCTTTTTCTTAGGTTCTTAAACTTTAGCAAGAATGCCAAATAAATTATTCCCTTTCATTATTAGCTTTTACAAGAATTTTGTCGACATTTAAAAAAAAAACATGAAACCTTATGGATTTCTAAAAAAAACCCATTGAGTAAGATAGATACCATGGAAATTCTCTGCTGACGTCTTTCGTGCTTCTGGACTTTGTCAAAAAAGATTCACTTCAGTCGCAAGGAGAATAAATAAAATAAAAATGCTTTTTATAAACAATCAACTTAATGCGTTAGTTCTCCATATGCTTTCTACCAAATATGTTGTCAGCACTCCACGTTATTTATTTTTTTACTTGATCAAACTCTTCTTATCACCAAGGACTTTCAAGATATACTGTGGTCTTCAAATGAGAATCACATGAATAACTTCAAATTTTCCTCAAATTTTCCATGAGAAAAGGGAGAGAAAAACTTAACGAAAACTGAGAGCGGAAAAGTGAGAGAGGAAGAGAGGAAATTGCAAGCAATTTGAACTAAATAGATAAACATCTTATCTGACGATGTTTATTTTCATGATATGAGAGCAAACCAAAGAAAATGCATTAGATATCAAGAATAAATAATAACATTTAAAAGGTTAAAAACGATTCGGGAAAACATTTTGTGTGGTTTAAGTAGGGAAAAGGAAAACATTGAAATGTGAAAAACACTCTCAAAATTTCGATGAAATTTTCTCACAATATTTACACTCATAATGCAGAAGAACGTTTTGCGTCATCAAATTATAACATATGATGTCCAGTTTGTCACGTCACAATCGTATTTTCACGCATCGTTATAACAAGATGGATAAAGAATGGAGAATTTTTTTTTGATATTTGTCGTAACCAGTGATCAGAGCTTATATTGTTCATATTCATTGAGACATGTACAACATACGACATGATTCCCGTGTTTCTCGTTTTTTTTCCTCATGCTGAAAATCAATTTTGGATTGAGAGAGATGATTATTATTTTTCCAAAATATTTTCATTATAATTGGCAGTACGACACATGACCTTTCAGATTATTCAAAAATTTTTGTAGTGTCACGTAGAAGTGATTAGTAAGCCTTCCTCTGAGTCTTTGACTGTTTCTATATGAAAAGATATGAAAAAAATGTAGGAAGATCTTCTCTCATCACAGACAGCATCCTTGGGCGTCGAAAAGATAATTAAAATGTTGTTTCTAAATATAACTTCCAGAGAGATTTATTTCACAATATTGCAATACAAAATAATAGAACGAACGTGATACGATGAAATAGAGTATTGAAGTTGACACAAGAATCTCTGACAATCATGAACATGAGAAAAATATATTGTTTGGTGATTTGCGGTTTTTCTTCATCACACTGAAACATAAAATAAATTGAATATCAAAAACATCGACATGTTTACATAGATAATATATTTTATTTACTTCTTAATTTTTCTTTTTTTTCTATACACGTATTAATTGGATAGAGGACAATGAATGAAAATCTCTTTTGTTATAATTATGATCTCTCAATTGAATTTATTGTTTCAATGACATTTAGCTTTGGAATTTCATTTGTTATCGTAGAACATTTTCCCTTAGGTGAAAACGAATTCGAAAGTCGACGAACGAAAAAAAAAATTCCATTGATCTTGCCTACGAATTATTCAAATAATCAGGCATTTAATCAGCTACTTTACTTACCATTTGAAATCGCATTCGATGAAAATATATTTCTGCTTCTTTTTCTATATGTTTGTCATTGAATTGATATCTTTTTTCTTTTTTTTTTGTATAAGTCATATCAAATTCGATTTTCTTTTGTGTTTTCTTCGTCTTTTATGTCTTGTTGTGGGTACAAAAGCTTCACTACATTTGTTTTATTTTTATTTTCAGTGTTTCTGCTAATGTTTATGTTATTCTCATCCATTTTTTGCGCGCCTATCGTCTACTTTCTCTATCAACATTTGTTTCATCTAATTTAACTAAATTTCTTTCAAAAATTTTAAATCTCTTTTTTTCTTTTATTTTTGGATTTTTTTTTTCATTTTAGATACACATGTTTCATGCATGGCGATATCATAAGATTTGCATTTGGCACCGTGTTTATTCCTTACTCGTCTTGAATATGATTTAAGAAACTCTATGTCTGTTGTCTAAATGATGTGTTGATGATCAAGTAACGAGAAAATTTTCAAAGAAGAAGTTGAAGCGAATAAATTCACTTAGGCAGATAAATGAATAATAACGTTGCGTGTGCATGTTTAGATATTTAAATGCCATTATGTTCTTCTAAATGATATAATTACTTTTCACTGAAATTCTTCTTCTTATCTGTCTTTTATCTTTTGCATGATTTATTTAATTATCAGACCCTGTATGCTGTTAAAAGCTAATAAAATATATTTTATTTATGCTTCCTTTAAATATGCTTTTTTTCTTCTGTCTACTTATCAATGCCAAAATTAAAATTTATGTTGTTAGTTGAAAGTGATTTTACTTATTTGGTTGTTCCAGTCGTGAAATTTGAACTTTGAACGATGACGAAGTTTTGAGGAGCCATCTTAGGTTAATCTTGTGTTGATATTTAATTTTCATTTCAATTCTATTTCTAACTATTTGGATATTATCGCGTATTATGAGCTCTAAACAGTGATGAAAAAAATTGTTCATTAATAAGAATATTTTGCACTATAAGTATGTAAGTGAATACGACGACATACCAAGACGTTTAAGGTACAAAAGATAAATAATTTAAGCAGAGAACAAACTCACTTTTTATTATTTAATATAAACGAGAAGCTCCTTTTAATGATTGACTCGCATCTTTACTGTATTCAACTATTTAAGTGATATTCGCATCATAAAATCCCTAACGGAGATTGAAATCTATTCCAAACTAGAAGCTCAAAGACGAAGTTGGGCAGCTTCGGAACTGTTAAATTATATGCCAAGGGAACTTGTATTTGATCTCCACTTTTCATATAAAAATAATTTTTTATCAAACACATTTTTCTTCTTTGAATTAATTTTTAAATTCTCTGTCATAGAAAAATGACAAAATACAAAATTTAAAACGTTTTATGAGCATTTATGAAGATAAATATTTCAAATTTATCTTCCTTTTATTCATTTCCTCATGAGTCATGACATGACTCTTTGTTTTTCTTATTTAAATTCGATTAAATGTCAAAATTTTCGAAAATTGCAACTGTGACAAAAAAGTTTTATAATAATCGTTTCAAAAAGTTGATTTTCATTAGTAACATATATATTGAATCACAAACATATATCTTTTTATGAAAAATGATTTGTAAACTATTTGATTCTGTTTTGAAATTGTCTACAACATTTATGGTTAATACTACTTTGATTCTAAGTAATGTCTATTAAGGGCTAATAAGTATGATATAAGTAATTGAAAAGGACAAAGTGGATTTATCAAAATATTCAATGAAATTTTAGTTTCATCACATTGTCATCATAATCTAACATAATAAGTGCATAGATGTATGTGGAATGTGGGAAAACTTCTTGGATTTGTGTGAGACTTAGATTAAAAATCTTTTTATCAGGACATAAATGGGTTACAAGCATGGTTTAAGTGTTATTTTATTTATTTAGTTTTTGGATTGTCCCTAGTTTATTAGTAATTTTCATAAATCATCTAATCATATCACTAATGTTATGTATTTAGAGAAAAATCGAGCACAAAGAAAACAATTTTTTTTAATTTTTAGTTCAGAAAAAAAAATCAAAAACTTAGTCTTTATTCTGTTTGCAAATGTTCATCTCCCTTTATATATATTTAACATAGATTTATATAAGCTAAAGTACAACTTAGAAAAATTAAAATTAAAATATATTTTCATTCAAGTTTCTTTTTCATCTAAGAAGTCTAAAATTGGCACTAGCAAATCTCTCGTGGTTTTCTTGACATTATTAATTTGCTTATGAAGAAAATAGAACGTGACATTAACAATTGTTGCACGAATTTAAAAGAAAAGTCGAATAAAATCATAATAAATTAAACCACTAACTTGACAACGAATAAATTGATGGATTTTACTCTTTTAGTTGTTTTTGTTTTCTTTCAGAAATTTTGATAATTTATCACATTGTTTATCAATTAATTTTGTTTCTTCTTAGAGAATAAAAAGAAACCTTCATTTCTCTTCTTTCACTTAATAAACATCTTGTCAAAAAGATTAGAAAAACTCATGATAAATAAATTTAAAGCCTTTCTAGATAACCAATACTCAGTACCATACCAATTAATACTATCAATTTCAATTAACAATTTTTTTTCATAGCTTTACAAATTTAAACTTTAATCCAAGATTCTTTGGTTTTGATCCCCATTGTCCAATAATTTTTTATTTTTTCTTTCTAAATTTGACTAAATATTTTTTTTATTTTGTCTTCACTAAGTTTTCATCATTTTCCACTTTCTTTTGCTTATTTACTTGAATTTCTTTATTCTAAAACGTATTGAATAGAAAATTTTAAGATCATCTGAATGCATTTCATTCAGAAGTTGAATGATATAATTATTTCTTTCATTCTTGTTCTGTTTTTCACCATTTAATTGAATATCGTAAACATTCTACCACAAAATATTGCTTTTGAAAATTTCTTTTTTCATTTTCTTTTAACCGTCGATTAATTTTCCTTTTATCATCAATCAATATTTAATCAAAAACATTGAATCGACAACTGATCGTCACACATCAAATGTTTTCATAAATATTGATTCTTAATGCATGCATGTGATTTATTTTAAGAATGTGCAATTAATTGAGTTTAAATTTAAATTTCCTTCTCTAAAAATTTGTAAAATTGCGAACAAACATTTCATTTCCAATCAGTAATCTGTGCTTGACAAAAGTGCATTCTTATAAAAGAAAAAGATCTTTATTGCTAAAAATATATTTTCCATATTCTTTTCCTTCTCTTAATTAAGTAATTCAAGAATGATTTCCCGCTCATTATTTTATCTTAAAGAAAAAAAAAACAATTTGCATGTCAAGTTTGTGAACTTTAAATTGTTCTTGACATCGACGTCTATATTGAGTTTCTCCTTCCTTTTTAATAATATTTTGTTTAACTCACAAAAAAGTTTTAAATTACACATTTGTCTGTAACATTTATTAAGTTATTCTTCTTTCAGTAATATAAATTGATCCCGATTCACATATCTTATGATTAGTGATTTATTTTATCCTTCTTTTATGTTTATTTGTTATTAGATTGATTATAATCAATGAATTGAACAAAAGATTATTTAAAAGTAAAGTACGCTGATATTATTATTTATTATGAAAGTCGAAAGTTACTCAAATATGTATTCTTGTTAAATATTGTCTTTTTTCCTTTTTAACATTCATGTTATATTCATAATTTGATGAACTATTCATACAACTAAATCAATCATTCTCATTTCTGTTGAAAACACTGACAATGATGTCACTCGCATGATTTAGAGTTCAACAATATTGATTTGATTGATACATTTATGTTTGTGGATTATAATGAACATTATTTTCAACTAAATGATAAAAGCAAATATCGAGATCGCTCTATAAAAACAAAATTAAAAAAAAATCTACTAGATATTAATTAAGCTAAAACATAGAATAGAAATTAAATTCTACTTTTCTAAATTTTCCCATTCCCTTAGATAGATATTTATTTGTTGAAAAATTATCTAATAAATTCATGTTTGTATATAATCATAAATATTATATTATGCTAAATATTACAACAATGAAAGCTCATAGAAAATTAATTAAAGTTTTTCTTTTTCCTTTCTTTTTTTTTGTGAACTTTATTTGAAATTTCATTAACCGGCGGATGCAATCAATGACTTCATTTTCTTCTGATTTGAAATCATTTGACATATTTCCGTAAAATGAAATAAGTTGGGAAATGATTTTCTACTTCTTTTCTTCAATGACTATTGCTCTGTTAATACACTATTTGCCATCCCACACGATAAATAAGAGAAATGTTCTTGTTCCTTCTCTTATTTCTGAGATACCTTCAGATAACATTATTCAAAGACAAATCACAAATGGATCCTTTCTTGTTTATAATGAATGTAATCGAAAAAGGATTAAATCTTCAAAATTTTCGTACTTTACTTAAAAACGAAGACGAGAGGAGAACATCTTTGCATAAATTATCCTTTTTAAACGACAAAAATCTTTTCAATGCTGATAGCCATGGAAAGGGGGCAGGCGGAGAGTGAAGAATTTGCTTCGCAAAACTTTATGAAGAAAGGTTTTAGAGAAGAAATAAATAATTTCGCAGCAATTTCCATATATTATAATTAATATTTATTAATTCGCCATTTGGGATGAAAGCGTATTGTGGAGATATTTTCCGCATGGGAAATGATGAAAATCTCCATTTAATTTCTTTTTTCTCTGTTTTAATATATTTATCAGAAGAAAGTTGTAGTTCGGGTTAATGACTTTCAAAAAACGTTGACTTAAATTTTGCTATCACCATTATTGTTATAACATTTCTTCTCATTTCTTATTTAGATAACAGTTCTTGAGAAATGTTGTCTCTTAATGAACGGATATTAAATATAAGAATATACAAAATACATATCGTCATAACTAACATGCGTGTGCTGTATTTTGTATGATTATAATTTCTTTCTTCATGGTCTATACATACAATATTAATTTTAATTCTTCAAATACTTCAATGACAATAATAATTTTCATCTCGTGTTTCAACATAAACAAACAATCATTCACGTTTTCTGTCACAGTCAAAAACGATAATTGTATTCACACATTTCATGATTATCCTTTAAAATGTCTGTGACTTGGCAGCCAAACTTTATGCAGACAGATCTTCTTTCATTTCATGAAACATTAAAAATGATCGATAATTTTTCCCCGTAATCCGATTTGAGATAAGATACTTTTATTCTGCAATTTTTTTTCCTTTTTTCATCGTGGTTTTTCACCGTATCTAATGAAACTGAGATGGAAATAAATAAGGAACTGAACGAAATAAGATTTTCACTTTCAAACGATTACCACAAGACACCACGAACTGTTCAAATGTCAATTTAGTTTTGTGACTCCGTTCTAATCCGTGTCGTGTTATGAAAATCATTTAAAATGATGAGATTTTGTTGTTTGCAATTTAAGCTTTAAAATATCTTTCATTGCATCACAAAAAGTCTCATCAAATTCACGATATAAACTGTAAATTTTTGAAAAATTGGCACTTTTATCATTTTATAAATTTATTAATACCGTTCAGAGCTTCATCAAAAAATCAAGTGTAAAAAATCATTTTATGTTTTCTCCTTGTGTTTGTTTGCAAATTGCTTTGTATATTTCATGCTTAAATCCCTTTTCAAAGGACTCTCAAGAAACATCTTATGATCGAATAAGATGAAAAAGTGCACTGAAGATTGATAAATAAATTGAGAGAAGGAAATCAAATAAACATTTTCTTATCTTTTCAATATGGGATTTATATCTTCACCAGATTAATATAAAAGTATATATTTATGTTTATTTATATATAAATGATTTTTTCTTTCTTTATGTATTGATTCAAAAGATATGTCGATCTTAAAAGCTAAACAAGTTTTACTTCCTAAAAGTACTTTACTCTGTTTCGGGTCCAACGATATGTCAATCGTCATTTGCACACATCCAACGAAGGATGAGTTAGATAAATATATGTTGCTCCATGATTTTTTTTGGTTAGATATTACATTTTGAATGCATCATTCTATATCTGCATCAGTGACGATCCGAGCGGGTTTATTGATGATGATAAAATTCTAAAATGTTTAGAAAGAGAAAACAATCAACTATGCGGGAGATAAAAGCCGAAGGTTGAAAAACGTAAAACTGGGAAGAATCCACAATAATCTGGCGCACTTCATCATCTATAGACAGCAGATCTAAATAAATGTTCAAGGTGCCTTAGTGTGGTGCCTTTACAATATGATTTGGTGCAATGTATGAATATGCTGGAATTGGCAAACCAGCAGTTTCCATTGAAATCCTATAAAAACAATAAAAAAATTTATTTAGATTAAAAATATTTTTCTCGTTTCTTTTTTCCACTCCAATGTTGCATAACAAAGTTTCTGTATCGTTTTCAACATTTCAAAAAAAAATAAATAAATTTTCCATTCTGAATATTTAATATAAAAAAATTAAGAAGGCTTAACAAGAGCTTCACACATAAAGATTTGTTTTAATAAAAAAAAAATGAAGTTCTTCGTCATTAGATGTATTCAGAGTGTTGTTTCATTAGAAGCATCAAGTATCAAGGTTTTCTTTCCCCTTTTTGAATAGAATTTATTTATAAGAGTGGTTCGTTCATATAAAAGTCTTGAATTTTTAATTTTCGTTTTCATGAACAGTTTTCCATTCCATTTCACATACGTACTTTAGCATGAAGAAAACAAAAACAAAATAATAAAAAGATAACTAACATAAGCAGCATTGTATGAAAATGCATCATGATAAGTGATGGCAATGAGCAGCAAAGCTGATAGATGTGAATGTTTAAGTATCAATGTTTAATATGATGGTGTTGGCAGAGGCAAAAGGAAAGATATGTGCCAAGGATGAATAAAATGGATTTGTCGGTTTGAGAGAAAAGCGAAAAAGGATTTCATAAATTATTCCTCAACGAAATGCCGGGGAAGAAGGCACATTGAGGGGCGGAAGGTGAATGGATGGAAGGTTTTAAAATGAAGCTTCATGTTTGTTGATAACATAAAAGAAATAAAAGTTTCATGATTCTTACCAAAAACATATCTAGGAATAAAGAGGCTACAGTTCATATGTTCTATATGTAAATTAACTGGAAGGTTGAAAGTGAATCGATTCGATGGTGGTGATGGTGGTGGTGATGTGGATAGGATTTTCCTTTTAACTTTCACTCGTAAATAAGGCGAGTAATTGACGACAGGATGAAAAATAAATAAATAAAAAGCTGAAGAAAGAAAAAGAAACACTTCTCTACAGAATCAAATCAAAAAGGTTTTAAAAATGTCTAAATCTAATTCGACAGAATTTTTCACGCGTCAGAAGTAATTCAGGAAAATGGGTTGAAAAGGAGTGAAAGAAATAATAAAGTTTGGAAATTAAAAGACTTTTTTTTTCATCTTGTTGACGCATTTGAAATTGAAGCTAATAAAAGAAGCAAAATAAAAAGAATTTTATATCTTTTTGTTTTGTGATTTTCTTTCATTTTTCTTTTAATTTTTGAGGGGAAAGCTGGATGGAAATTTTGAGATTGAGAGAGCGTGTGAAAATCCTGCAAAAATTTCACATTGGCGGTGTTTTACAGCTGCAAAGGAATTGTTAGGCGGAAAATGAAACTTTTTTAATACAGCAAAGTAATTCTAGATTAAATTTAGTGTGCAAAAGAATGTTAATTAAGAATCGTTTGCTGATTGCGTTACGCGGTACTTGAACTTTAACAAGCTAAATGTCAATGAAACTTTTAAGTTTAATCTTGCAAGTTAAGAAAGTTTAAGCGCTTTAACGTAATACGCAAACGATCCTTTACTAACTTTTATTTCTTCATATCTAAAAACTATTTATTGAATTTTCTGCATTTTCTTTTTTTTTCTTTTTCTTCATAAAAGTTTTTATTCGCACAAGTGCGGAAAAGTCTAGCTCATCTTATGTCATAACTGATTTTAAACTATCGACTACTTTTCGACTTATCAACTAATGAAATGAAAAGATTTCTTTTAAAAAGGAAAATAAAATAGAGTTTTTCCTCAATAGCAAATAGCTTAAACCAATTTCTTTTTCAAATTCAACTTCAATTCCACTATTTTTATTCTCAATATTTAACAAAAATTTGTTCTCTTCACTTCTGCTATCAAGAAAGTATGAGAAACTTTTTATGTTAAGCTCATTTGTTGAATTATCATTTCATTATGCAGTTTTCATTCATTCACTTACTTATTTCTTTTTCTTCTTCACAAGTTATTCAAAATCGTGAAAAAAGCATTTTTTACATCGTTAACAGAATTGAAAAAATAAGAAAGCGAGAAAGAGAGAAGTTATTGAATGAAACATCCGGCACTTGAACAAATTAATTATGTCATACTATGACATCGTAAAGTGCAAAAAAAAGAGAAAAACTCGTCCTTTGGTACTTGTTCGAGTCATATCATGGCTGCTGTAATTGAGTTTTCTACAAAAGCGAAGCCAGAAAAATATAAATTGACAACAAAGCAGAAATTTTAAATGACTGAAACCATAAAGAATTTACTTTTGCTTTATTCTTTCTTCCCTCCATCATTGTAGAAACTCAGTCGATCGCCTTACAGTGGAAAAAGGGGTTAAAATCATGGAAAAATATTTTGCAGTGACCACGAAAAATTGTAGCATAAAAAATGAGCTTTTGAAAAGCGTAAAGTGCTTGCCTCTGCTTTTTCACAGCAAACTAATGAAATTATCAGCTGAAAAACATTCTTCCTCATGAAATATTCAGCCTTTTCTCCATTAATTAACTTGTCAATTTCCGCCAATTAATATCAATAAATTATGATGAAAAATTACATTATCTTGTTGTGCCATTGATTCCTCATCAGTCAAATGATGAATGCATGTGTTTTTGATGTATAATGGACATATCAAAGCATATCATTTTCTCTTAAATGAAATCGATCGACATCTCTCTTTCTCTCTCCCCTCTTAGCTTTCATTTCTTTATTTCGATACAAATGATCTCTCTTTACTTTGTAAAATGATTTCTAATTAAATTACAATCAATATAAATTGTGCTTACATTTACTTCATCATTAATAAAATCAAATAATCATAATAGAAAAAGATGAAATGAGAGAACAAAGAGAACATTGAAAATTAACTATGAATAAAGCACCAACTACGTGGTGACATGAGATTGAAATCAGCCATCCAAGTGTGTTAAATCGATTAGTTAGACCTTTGGTATTTATGCGAAATAAATGATTAAAATCAAATCTTTTCTTTTCTTTTTTCGACAGAATATTAATGAGTGTAGATCAAGCAAGTCAAATGGCTGATTTCTCACTCACTTAATCAAATATATTTAATTTTATTTCATTGTTTTTTTTTTCTTCTTCTTTTCTTCTTTCTGTTCAAACTTAAATCTTATCATATAAATCATAAAGAAAAAAGATTTTCCTGATATCTGTCTAAACTTATTCTCAGATCACGGCATTTGATAATCAAAATAATTGTCTTTAATTTTCCACTTGTTTGTATCATTTTTTATTAAAGCCGAAAGTGGGGAAGATTCAAAAGATTTGTCACGAATACTTTTTGTCACTTTGAGAATTACCCATTCAACATTAGCAGATATTTGTATTAATTATGATTGATTAAATGAAGAATAAATGTTACATTTCATAAATTCGTCACAAAATATTTGAATCTTCCCCTAAGATTTTTTCTGTTACAAAAATATTTAAAAGGAATTTTAGAGGTACAGAAAAATGTCAGCGGGTTTTATCTCATTTTTCTTAAACAACGAAAATATAATCGTAAATATCATTTTCGTTAAACATCTAAAATTCAAAAGCCTTATCACGATTTACACGACAAAACTTTCATTTTATGTTACATTAGTAAAAAAAATTCTTAATGCGCGATTGATTAATTCAGAGTACACAATTTTTTTCTTCCTGTTAATAAGGAAATTAATGCCAACATTTTCAGTGATATAAAGCTGAGAAGATATCAAAGATTATAAAAAAAGTTGACTGAAAAAGTTTCCTCATTTGATTAGCAGATTCTTCGATTTAATGAAAGAAAATGGGTTGGGGGGAAAATATGTATAAGTTCAAAGTAATTTTCACTTTTAGCAAGACTTTTAAGATACTAAACTAACAAAAAAAAATTCATTATTAACAGCGAAACTTTTTCGCTAGCAGTTTTATGAAGAAAAACACCAAAAGGGGAGAAAAAAGACGAAAAAAATGATAAGATTTACGGGAAAAGAGAGGAAACTATCAAAAAACTTTTCTAGTAAAAGGACGAGGGAGCGAAAATAATGAAAAATAATTTTCCACTTTTCCATGCTTTTCTACTTATTTTTCTTCTCCATCGCGAATTTAAAAGTTTGGCGCTACATTTTTACTCTAATAAGGATTAAACTTGCTACGCTCTTTTGCCAACTTATTTAAGTCGTTACTGGCAGCACTGGTAGAAGGACGTGCTCTTGCATTGAAGGCTTTAGCACGGTGAACGCCTGTCGTTTGAACAGGCGGACCGAGATTCGTCAAGCCACCCAATAAGTCAGTCAAACCACCGAGTGCCGTTAGACTCGTGAGTGCATTTAATGCACCTGGTTTAGAGAGTAATTGAGCCAGTGGAATTGCTGACGCTAAAGCAGCTGCAGATGTTGCAGCATCAGTAGATGTTGCCCCAGTTGCGTTTGCAACACTCGTTAAATTAGCTGGTGTCGGTGTAACATTGACACTACCATTATTTGTTGCAGTTGTCGTTGTTCCATTTGTGGCACCATTTCCAGATTGTTCCTGTATCAGATTAGCCTTTTGCAGTTCGACGCTGTGGGATAAGAGAAAGGATCGAAAAATTTTTGTTTGGTTAGAAGGAAATTTGGCTAGGGATAAACATACAAAAAGAAACGAAAACAAAATTTAACGAAAAAAAATAAGAAAAGAGATAAAAACTAAACTTGGGATATGTTTTTGTTGTTTGTAAGGTGGTTTTCTTTTTCAAAACTTTTTTTTTATTTACGTGTGATGATGTGATGAACGGATACATAAAAGTTTGGTGCGGTATTTGATACAAAATAAAAGCTCACGTTCATAATTGACAAACAAAATTGGAGGGAAAACAAGAATCTTCCCATAAATGACGGAAGGATCGTTCATTGCTTTTGATGTTCCGTTTCACTTTTATTCGTTTTCAACATCACGAAGTGTAATTGGAAAAAATTGGATAAAAAATAATAAATCGTGGAGAAATGAAAAGAAATTTTCAATTTTTTTTTATACATTTTACTAAATTTCTGTTTCTTTGGTTGCAGCGAGAAGTAAGGAGAATGGAAGAAAAATGTAAATCAAATAAAATCATCTGAAGGAAATTTAATGTGAAATAAAAACACATAAAAGGAATTTTCATTTTTCTTGCTTTTGCTTTTAGGAAATAGAAAATCTTCTCTCGCAATGAATTTTCATCGGTGAAATATTTTTTCCTCTTCATCGTTTTCTTCTCTTATTTTATTTTATTTTCCTTCACTTGTTTCAAAAATGTAATCACACAAAATGGGAAAATAAAAAATTCTTGGGAAATATTGGAAAATCATGAGGAACGAGAAAACTTGTTGTAATGCGAGTAAAAACATTTTAGACTTATGAGAGAATATAAAAAAAACGAAAACGGCGTGTGCGTGTGTGCTTATGCGGAATTAAACATGATGTATAAATAACGATGTTTTCGTGAAGAACAAAACAAAGAATATGAAATTCATATAAAAATTATTTACAGAAACAACAAAATGTCTTAAAAAATGGTTTTAAAAAATTCAATAACATTGTAAATTTCGTTTTAAAGGTAATTGGGGCTGACAGGGTGGCGGATGTTTTCGTGAAGGGATTAAGAACATGACAACATGATTTGATCCATTAATACTTTTCCTCGTCGAAAAGAAAAGACATTTTATGACTTTTTCATCTACAGATGTCGGATAGGGCGGTTGGGAGCAGATAGAGATAGAGTAACAATGACTTTTCAAGCGAATTGTTTCACGCCTGTTTGGGACATGTTTCGGATTAGTATTCTATCAGTTTGTTCGCATCAAAAACAATATGCCATGTCAAATTAATCGCATCATCGCTAATCTACTTTCAAGAACAAATATCATATAATAAAAACACGATTAACAAAACAAAGAAAAAAACTAAACGTTCGACATTCGTCGGACATAATAATCAACGAAACACGACTTTTCCGACAAAAAAAAGCTTTGAGAAGACATAAAAATGTTGATGCTGTATGTCTTCAGGAACATAAACAAAACAAATAAAAAATAAAATGTTGCGCGAAAAGAAATAGTTTTGCGTGCGAGGATGATGAAATTTATATTTTAGTGTTTGATAATTTGTTTATCTTAGCTCTTCTTGTTATTTTAAATATATTTATTTTAACAAATTATAATGGTACGGTAGAAATGAAATTTTTACGATTTGTCGAGTGACTGTTAATTAATTACGTCAACGAAAACTTTTAATTGTTTTGTTGGTAACTTCAGATATATTCTTTGTTTTGTCAGAGCCCACATTATTATTGCTACCCCGTGATGGTTAAATTTGATATTTTTATAAAAAAGAACAATCGAAAGAGATTAGAAAAGACCTCCGCTCCATTAGATATTTAATTAATTTTATTTGATGTTAATAACAACAGATATGAGAGCATTTTGATGCAAACTGTCGCAATTTTATTATTTTGATTCTTTTTACTTACCTCATGTTGATTAAATATTGAGCGAGTGCAACTGCATCGGGATTTCCGCTGATAGTGATTGTTCGATCAGTATTGCCACCTTCACGTTCCTCACAATTTGAAATTCGAATCATTGCTCCAGATATTTGACGAATCTCAGCAATCTTAGTGCCGCCTTTTCCAATTATGCAACCGATCAAATCATTTGGCACAGTCATTTCATGTTGCTGCGCGTTTGTCTGTGTTCGACTCGTAGTCGTGCGCAATTGTGAACCAGCAAGAGCGGCAAGTGCTGTATTGATAGGAATAGATAGAAAGTGACAACAAAAATTAAATTAGTAGAAAAATGATAGAAATTTATGAGAATTGAAGAGATGACACATAAAAAAATGCGACCCTTCGTTCAACTAAATTTGGGAATTCATACAGTTAGTGATACCTGTTGGGTTCAATCCGCCAGTATTTGACGGAATAGCGCCAGCTAACCCCAATGCAGCCAGTCCCGCTAACGGATTCTTTGCCAGTCCAGACATCTGTAAATTTGATAGTAAAAAAGAAAGAGAGAAAAGCACATAAATGTAGAAAAATCTCAATCAATTTTTAGCGACTTGGAGCAGCATAGCGTCCGCGTAATGACTTTAATAAAATATTGAAAAATTCAATTTGGAGTTAAATTGATGGATGGATAAACGTTCGATATTTTGGGACATGGAGATTTTTCATTCAGTTAAGGGGACAGATTGGATGATGATGCATGGCGAATGTAATTTAACGAAAAAAATAAAGAACTTTTTTTTCTCAATCCAAATCATTTTACTTCGAATTTGACATTTTCATGTCATCATCCTACTGTCATTGCCTTTTGAAAATATGTTGAAAGTTGGATTGTTTGCATATTTTGTCACAACCCTTAGCATAAATCAATAGAAAGAGTTTAGTTTTAGGAAATTTATTTATGTATGTACATATGTTCACCATCCATGTTACAAATTGATCAGATGTGACAAAATCTGCAAACAACATACATTGCATTACATTTATGTATATAAATTTTATATGCATGAGCTGAAAGCTTGTTTAATCATTTTTCCCTCTCATTTTCTGACTCATGATGGACGCTGACACGGAAAGGATGAGTTAAAAAATAAAAACTGAAATATTTTTTAATAAAAAAAAAAGAAATGGGAAATCTGGATGTCATTACGCTTTTTATCTCTCGCTATAAAATCCAATAATTCTTTTTTATATCGAATAATTTTCGGTGCGCTTGCATCAAACCATACACGCACATTGAACAAAATCATAGCTTAAAAAATTGAGTGAACATGAGAAATAAATATCTGTGTGGTCGAATCTTTTTCTGTTCATTTATATTTTTATTTTCGAAGGGGGCTGCTTAATTTCAATCCAATTTCTATCTGTTTTAGACTTTTTTCATTATGTAGCTCGAAGCAATTCTCAGATAGAGAACGATAGACTGAGATACAAAGTGGAGAGGGGGAAAGTAATGTCGGTTTACCTTAGTTGCCAGGTTATATTGGATTGAAATTTCACTTGTGATGGATAGGATGTGAAGTCGTATACAGAAGAGCATTTACCAGAAAAAAAAACAATAATAAAAGCAAAAATACAAAAAAATATTTTGTATCTCAATCGTATTCAACAGCAAATTTCAGAATCAGATTTGGGAGTGGAGGCTTAGGTGAAGGAGAGTCTGAATAGGGGAAATAAACAGAATTTTGTGGTTGATGTTTGTGGTCAACTGTTTTTAACATATAAAAAAAAGATATTTATAGGACAACTTGAGAAGAACAATGAGAGAACGAGAGGTAAAGAGCGAAATGTTTGGGGTATCCTGTCGAAAACTTAAAGGATAAATACGTGGGAAGGGAAGGATCGTTATGATGTGCCAGAAAATGAAAAAGGAAAAGAAAGAAGAAAGTAAAAGTATTGAACGCTCGTTTATTGTTACATGAATACATAAAAAGCAGGTTGGGTCACTTTCTTCAAAAAAATAAGCTTCTGCTTCTCCTCCATCTCTTCTTTAGATATTTATTTATGTTAGTAGTCAATGGAACAAAAAGTAAGGGAGAAAAATAAGACAATTTCGTGTTTTCTCCCAACACAATAAACTTTCATTTTAGACCTTTTTTTGATCCCCCATCATTATTAAATTTCATTACATTTTCTTTGAAAACATAAAAAAGGATTATTAAATATTTTTTTGCAAATTTTGTATGTTTTTGTCGTTTGGATGCCACAAGCGGTCAACATCAATACCTGGTGAAGCATCTGTACTATATTATGTATGTTCGTCTGTATGTTTGCTTCTACCTCTCATTTTTACACATCATATTGTGCTTTTATGATAACTTTGGTGTTCCCTCTGTTCATTCATCCAGTTTGGGGATTTTGGGAGCAATCATAAAAGTGAAATGCTACCATTATTGCAAACATTTTCTGACCAAATAATATCATTATATGATTACGAAATGTTGTTGTATAGACGAAAAGTTAGTTTCCATCACCATAAATTTGGAGTCACAAAGGCAAAAGGAAAATAAAGTTCTAACACGTTTTGCATTGAGGGAAATCTACATTGTAGATGTTGTATACGCAAGAGTTAATGTAAATTAAGGAATTAAGGTACAAATTACTTTATCATTTCTACAATTTCACATCCATAAACCAGGGGGGAGAAAATATTTCTTTTTTATTCATTTCATACTTCTAAAATATAGCACAAAGATACATCAGTGTGGTTTGGAAAAGGATTGACGAAGTGAAGCAATCATCAAAAACAAATTACAATGGAGTTAAGAGCTTAGGACTTTTTGTACTTTATGCTAAATAGGGAAGCTTTTTTGTGGACCGATAAAATATTGATATTCTTTTAAATGTCCAATGAGACGAAGCGCGGGGAGGTGGTTGGTAAAATTTACATAGGCACAGATTTGATGGAGTGGCATTATATAACAATTAATTAATAATTACATTTTACACTCGAGGGCTTATGATATTTGTGTGAATAATGAATGTAAGGGTGGAGGGGTGTTTTTTTGGGGCTAGGCGTGGGTTGTGGTTGGTTTAAGGGTAAGGGGCAGCACCATTCAAAAATAAAAGTTAATGAGAAAAAGTTTCAGTTTAAAAACTCACATCAGGAAGTTGTTGAAAGTGATGTGGAGGCACTGCGCCTTGCAAGTGAGATCCTTTCAGTAAAGGATCAGTCAGACCCGTAATGCCCGCGTGAAGGCCAGAAAATAGTGGAAATACTGTGCAAGTCTAGCATGTACATCGACACAAAAACAGAAACAAATTTTTTTTTTTGTATTTTTTTTTAATTATTTCATGAGTCGAGATCATCAAATAAATTCGAAGGTATTCGGTAACAAATTTTATCTATGACGTTTTCATATTTCATTATATTAATCGACGGTGAATTAGTTAGATCGAATTCATTTTGTTTTATTTAACCGAAAGAAGAAAAGCGAAGGTAAAGAAAATTTATTGAACGAAGCATGTCTCAAAGGCATTGATGTCGGGTAAAACTTTCACGTATTCATTTTTATCTCCTTTCGTTTTACTCTCTCATTGTCTTCTAAGCTTTGAAACAAAATAAAAAATACAGAGTATAAAGCGAAAAGCTTCCTTCTCTCGCCCTTGTTCCGTCGAAAGTTTTACCTTTTTTTTTTGTCATTCTTGCTTTGCTTTCAACGAGAATTGGTTTTCGGTTCCCTTTATATTTATATTTTTTGTTAACACAATTTACGGAAGCAGCAGTTAAATGCAGCAGAAACATGGATGATGTTTTAATTAAATATTTACCTCTTGTGTTGGTACAGCAAAGTTTCCTTGTATTGTGTATGCTTGACCATTGGCAAGAATAACCGGGCCATTAACTTGCGGCTTTGGCCGGTATGGTATTGTTGCGCCCTTGGGAGGTGACTGTGGGGAAAGAAAGGAAAGAAAAAAATTACGAAATGAAATATATGAAAATCAATTTTGGTAAAATAAATGTTGTTGAAGGAGACGTCAGGTAAGCGCGGAAGTATTCAGATGTGCCACAACAATATCTGACGTAAACAAATGTTTAACTTCAATTTTATTTCGTTGAAATATACAGAAAAAAAGGTCACTTGCTGGCATTGTCAGAATAAGCGACCCATGATGAACGATAAAATTAAACAAAAATATTCCCTCAAATATGTTTTTATGCGAGATGAAATAGAATTTTCACCCAATCCATCATGAAAATGTTTCCAGGAAATTTTACTTCAACTTATTTGAAAACAAAAATTGAGTTGTAGGATAAATTTTTACTGATCAAACGCTAGTTGTAGAATTTTTTCACTTATGTAATATTTCCCGCTTCAGCCATCTTCAATGTTATGACATTCAATTTTCAAGAACTCGATATGAATTTCATTATCATTTTTCTTCTTTCCCTCTTGAGCACGTTCAAAAGCAAATTTCAAATTGAAAATTGCAAACTCTATGCTTGCATCTGCGACCATGTATAATTATGCTGTTATAAAAGTGAAGAAGAAATGACGACGAATAAAAAGAACTTCTGTTGATTTGTATCGAATAAAAATTCTACTTTCAGAGCTTGGGACAAATAAACGATACAATGTGTCGATTGTCATCAATTTAAATGATTCTTCCATTCGTTATTTGAAATGACACAAAAGAATTGAACATGAAACAATCATTTTCCTATGATGACTACACCGAAATAAAAATATATACGAACAGATATAAGAAATCTCATAAATAAACGTTCAAAGCTGAAGACGAAGAAGACAAATAAATAAATGAAGGGCAGAATCATCACCAAAGCGCTGAAAACTTGGGTCGTAATGTAAATAAATGAAAATTTCTTTTGAATGACAATTTTCTTCGACAAAAATATTTTCTTTTATGATATTAAAGTTCAATTAAAGTCATTTCTTTCATTTTTCTTTCTATTTTCTATTCATTTTTTCCCGCAGGAAATCGCTGTATTCAAATCAAATCGCCTACAATAACGAGAAAGAAAAAGGATGACAGCTTTCAAAAGAGGTTTTTAAAAACCCTCAGCATTTTTTTCTTCTACTTCTTTTGCCAGATTTGCTTTTTTATTTTCTTCTATCGTAGAGAGATGAATGTTTCGAAGGAAATATCATGATTATTATTTCTGAAAATGCTTAAAATTTATACAGCAAACAAGTTTTGATTCTTCTCACACATAACACAACAGCATCATTAAGTGGGTTAGCAAGGATTTGTGCCATTATTTCTTTACCACTTCCAAATATTCACTTTCTCTCTCTCTCTCTATCTCTATCTTCCTTTAAATATCTCTCTTGATGCCATTGAAATATGTTGTTTTAGATCCATATTTCGTGTTTGCGTGTTTATGTATGCTCCCTTAAGTATGCTCCAACTGTCGAAAGGGATGTTTACATTAAAAATTACAACAAGAGATAATTACATCACTCAATATATATAATATGCGCACGAAAGGGAAAAGAAAATACTGAAATTACTGTTAAGCGAACAATAAAGTGATGACGGCAAGAATGAAAAGGAAAAAGCGGAAAATTTTGTACGGTGCGCTGTGAAAACAGCTAAAGTTAGCAATTTTCATATTTTTTAATCCTGAATTTGCTTTTATAATTTTCCCATCGACTAGCTTTATTTCTCGTCTCTATTGACTCGCTTAATGAAAATAAACATTTCAATTCGCAAGAGTTGCATGAACTTTACTATTCCCTTGTTTTCATCATCGAAATGAAAACAAGTGAAAATTGTTTACTTATTGAAAAAGCATCAAAAGAGAAGGAAGAAAGAAAATTTATTCATTATCATAGAAATTTTAATACTTTTAAACTATTTTTTCTGAAGAGTTTTGAGAGATTTTTAAAGTCTTTGTTGATTTGTTGCAAAAGCTTTTATGAATTTTCAACAACAGAACCGAAAACAAGCATCTTGTTGAGAAAGAGAAATGTTTAAACATGGATTTTAAAGACAGTTTCGGAACCCATAACTTTTTTACGATTGAAAAGCTTTAATCATTTTTACTATCAAACGACGGATGTTTAATGGACGAGAACCCATTGAGACTTGTTTTCTGCATAACATAACACAACATCCGATGAATGTCAACAGAGTTTGGTGGCTCTGATAAGAGGATGAGAGGCAAATTCATTTCATAACAAGCAACGTGTTGAAAAGCTGAAGCGTTCATATTTAAGAGGCAACAATAAAAAGAGATAACACTTTGCAAGCTTATTCCTTTACTAGTTATCCGGTCACAACAGATATATCCTACTGAGTGCTTTCAAAACCATAATTCCCCATAAAAAAATATTTGTATTCGTATGGCAATTCTTTGTAAGAAGATTTTGATATTCGAATAACACGAACTATCACTTAGTAGCAATAGCAAACTCGAGAACTTTTAAAACTTTATCACAGTAAGTATGGCAACAAAGTATTTAAGGAAAAGCATTAAAATCATACTCACTTCCAACATTACACAGCATATCTGATGGATGCATTGGGTGATTGAGTCTGATGTACCCGTTAATGTTACGGCACGTTCCGTTGAATTTGGCAACATTTCGCTCGCCACCTGAATCGAACATCCGGTCATCTCTCGAATCTCCTTAATTTTTGAACCTCCTTTTCCTTTTTTTTTTATTTTTCATCATGAAGACAAAAAGACAAAAAGAAAAAAAGCGAAAGAAATGAAAATTTGGTTAGAAAAAGGAAAAAAAATGAAAATCATTTTCCAAATCCCTTTAAATCACTTAAAATAATGGAGAAGAATGAGACAGCCTCGAGATTTGATTTTCATTGTTGCTCATTCTTTATATTCTCCTCCTCTAATGGAATATTGACTGAAAGTGTAGATAATCTATCAGCGACGCTCTTCAGGATGATGGGGGAATATTGTGGGGAGTGAGAAATATTTACAGTTGAAAGAAGAAAATGATGAAGATTAAGAAGAAGAAAGAGATTTGATTCTCCAACTCACTTAAGAGACTTTCCACTTTTTACACATTTTTGAAAAATGTCTAGAGAATGAGCTTAACTTAGGTGAATGAAGGGAGAGGAGTAGAAGGGCGTTGAATTGGATAAGACGATCATTATGACGTGCGTGATGAAAGACAGGAAGACTGAATGTGGAAAAGCTTCTTGGGAAATTACTGATTTTTATAATTTAATTAAATGCAAAATGAGTAAGAGAAAGTAAATACTTTTTGTAAATAAAAGGAAAGAGAGAAGAAAGGTAAGTAATAGAAGTAACAAATATTGCGTCGTGTCTCGTCCGAGAAAACGACGACTTAGTCATAGAAAAAGCTTTTTTTGTGTGTTTTTCTTCGCTTCTTTCATCATCATCATCTATTCACTCGCGAGCGAAAACCAAATCAAGATATAGTCAATTGTAAGATTTGCTGAATAATAAAATTAATTTAAAATCATAATAAAAGCAACGAAGAAGTCGAAGCATAAAATTAGGACGAACCAAATGCTATCGTCTTATGTATAAAAAAAGGAAAAGCTTCTGTGGTAAGGAAAAGAAAGATAAAGAGATGAAGTAAACTTGTGGGTTGAGTAATGAATGGATAGAGGGAGAGAGATAGAGATAGAAATCTTTTCATGGGGGAAATGTGGACGAATCATCAGAAGAAAAAGTAAGAAAGAATAAAAGAAAAACGGTTTAGAGTGTAAATTTATTTACCAATTAAAGATCCACACTGACTTGCTGGAACAATTAAGCGGAGTGGAATTTGTGTTTTGCCATTTGATGTGCTGACGTCATTAAATTGGGAACACCACTGTAACGGGATTCATATGAATAAATATATAAAAATATGATTAAGTGTGTGAGTTAAAGAAGGAAGAAAGGTAAAGAGGGAGAGAGAGAGAGAGATAAATGCTAAGAACAAACCACAACAGTAATTTCAGGCATTTGAAACCATTTACCGGTGCGATTTGTCTTAAGTGAGAAGTGATGGTCGCTAAATTACATAAAAAGATCTAATGATGTCTAATCCCTCTTTCAGTTTCTTATATCATAATGTTGGAAAATAACAGAGAAAAGCAGAGGTTGGGATAGCAAATACATCTTGGGAATCACTTGGGATTTTCTGAAAATATTTCTCATGTCACATATAACGACAATCACTTGTGAGTGGGGGAGTTAGGAAAAGCTTATGGTTTGGGATAATTTTACACTAAAACTTACTTCTTCAAATTTCTTTATGATTAATGTAAATGCCTTGTAGATAGCACTAGTCGATCCTGATACAGTCACAATGCGCTCGGGACATGATCCATCCGATATGTTGATTTTTGCTCCAGACTATTAATAAAGAAAAAACAGAAAAATAACAAAGTGAAATTAATCACTGAACTGGTTGTAAAAAATGCGACTAAGAGGTCATTTATGACACTTCACAAAAAGAGATAAATGTGAGATGGGAAAGCGAAATAATTAATGGAAAAGCTTTTTTTGTCCTCGGAAAAATTTACATTTTAAACAATTACAGCAATTTAAATAGTCAAACATTTCGGAAAATTTGATAAATTAGTTATAATGGAGTTAAGAAGAGTGATAAAAGTGAAGCATGAAAGTGAACATAAACGAACAACTTTTGTCATGATATCATTTTTCAAAACAGGAACAGTATAAAAATGTTAAATGACTAATTTAATAAAGAAAATTCTTTCTTTCATCCTCCGTGCATCAGTTTCATGTTTCATGAGTATCACATGATGGAAAACACGACAACAAAATATCAACTTTCTGTTTCTAAGCAATCGCATTTTTCTCCGTCTCTTTATGAAATGAAATGAGATGGCATCAGCCTTAAAATATGTTTTTCTTTTAAACTAAATAAGTAGAACATCAGGAAAAATAGATGAAGAAAAAAAAGCGATTCTCTGAGTGCGCTTGTTGTGATTACATTATGAAAGATTTTTTTACAACTTTTAGCATCATCAGTGAAAAATATGTGACATAATATAATAAACAATATGACGAAGGACGTAAAAATTGAGTAATTTAATGTAATTGAATTTTCACCAGCGCGCACGCTTTCTAGATCTGCCATGATGATGATAAAGTGCTTTAAAATTGGTGAAATTTTAACATTTCTCGGATGATAAATTGATCGATTTGATAAATGATAAAACCTATAAATTGTATTAAATACCAATTAAAAGCGCAGATGCTTGAGAGATTAATGTTTTAGCTCATACATCAAATGCCCTAAAAGCATCGTCGCTAAGTATTTATTTATCTACTTTTGTGTAATTGAAACCATTCAGAATGAACATGTTGAGTTTGGTGTCAGAAGTAGCTTTCAAATGCATGCAGAACATGTGTTTCTGTATGTTTGCTGATAGTCATACATCTATTCAAAGTTCAAAAGTTCAATATACCAACAAATTCAACAATAGCTCAATAAAACTCTTTCAAAAACATAAAAATTATTAAATATGTCACTCTAGATTTAACAAAATTTCGTATTTATTTATGTTATTTCGTGACGCAAAATTCAATAATAAAAGTTTTATGTGTGAAAATATTAAACAGCAGTGTGGTTGGAAAAATTTATTTTCACGAGTGGTAATTTGTCAACATACATTCAACATAAATCCACATTCACCAAATTCATAATTGAAAAAATTTTCAATAACATTTAATGAATAAATGTGAACGAAGGAGCGACAGATTTTCATGTTTGGAACAATGAACGTTGTTATGTTGATTGGCCTTATCAGTATCACTAGAGGCGTTAAAAAACAAGGAAAAATATTATTTTCATTCATCAATCCAATGCATGCTCAGGGCAGAGATAACATTTTCAAAACTACTTTTTAATGATAAATAAATTGATTCAGAAATAAATAAATGGAACAATTAATGACAGATGAGATATCTATGGCCCAGCAAACGATAACGAGCATTACAAATAAATTTTCATTTCGAAATGAAAATTTATTTAAAGCCTTCTATTCATAGACTGCATTTCGTTGAACATATTCACATTATTGTCGCATGATAGCAACCACAACTCAACTTTCAATGAATGCTTTTTACTAAGAGTAGAAATCGATAATTATTATCGATATCGTTAATTTCTTTTTTTTCCTTCTGCTTCAATAACCATTTGGAAAAATAAATAAAAATAAGAAGGAAAAAAGCATTGAAATATAAATGTGTGTTTGAAGTGTACACGAGAGAAATTTTCTAGGCCTTACGTACAATTTTTCCGAAGAGTAAACGATGATTGGATTATAATTGGGAAAATGAATCGTATACCTATCGACATAAACATCGATGGAAGCAAAAATAGCCAAGTATAATAGACAAAGAATTTCTTTCTTCTTTTCCTTTTTTGTTATTTGTACTTTTAGTATTTAATAGTTCAACCAGAAAACGAATCGAATGAAGTTGGAAAAGGAAAATTTTCCGTTGTAAAAAAATAAGCTCAAGCATGAAATGTAAGGATCGCATTTTACTACAATAAGAATTTTAGGTAATAACTTTGACATGTGAGGAATTTGTTCTCTAAGAACATTTCAACCCACGAAAGTTTGCCATTCTCTAGTTTCATTGAAGAAGATGATAAAAATTGAATTAAGTGAAGCAAACGTCATAAATATTTCTGTTCCTTTTGTTAGGAGAGAATCAAAATATGATTTAATGTTCTATGAATACACCTTCAGGAGTCTCAAGGAATGGAGTTAAGTTAAGAAGATTCTACAGCGAGCTGTCGTTTTGTGTGCACGGCTTTCCATTATTATGTAATAAATTTTTCAAATCCAATTTACTTGTGAGAATAGCGAAGAGAATTCTCTTATTCATGTATGTAAGTCTATTCAGTTAAGCGAAGCATGTTGTTAAAAGATGAGACTTTTGTTGTGTGCCATAAATCCTCAATTTCTTAAACTAAACACTTAGTTATTATGTTTGAGATGGAAGGAATTTTTTTTGGTTTTCTCTTTCATATTTTTTTAATCATTTTAATGCCTCGTAACAATAACTCACCTCCTCTCTGAAACGCTTCACGATTTCTCCCTTCTTGCCGATTATGCTTCCGACTTCCTGTAAAGAAAATGAGATGAAGTTAAAATGCTGAGTATGGTTTATGCCTTCTTCAAAAAAAAATGTATATAATAAGAAAGAAAGAAAGAAAAAATGATATAAAATGTATTTGACATAATCAAGATTGATCCCTTTGCAAGGGAGAAAATAAAAGTGAATAAGAAAGAAAACTTTTTTGAATTTGAAGAGAGGAAGAAATGAGCGCGGATTCAAAGAGAAAAGCTCATGTCAAAATAAGTGGCTGAGGATTATATCATTTTCTTCTCGTTTTACACTAAATTAACATTTTCTTTTCCTTTTTCTTTTCTACCCATTTCTCTCTTCTTCAAGTTGCTAATTCAATTTATGGCCTTTTCACAGACGTTTGTACGACGAAAGTGAAGCATTTGGCAGGAAACGCAAAAAGGGATCGCTTTTTCTGTCGCTTTATGGCCTCTTGAAAGTGGGGAATGATTTTTCCATGAACAGAAAATAAATGAAAAAAAAGGTAAAGAACGCAAACGTAGATATTTACTTTAAGAAAACATTCTCTGATTTAGTTTCTCATTTAAATATCGATTTTCTGTCGAAATTAAGCTACGCAAAGTCCTGCAAAACACCGCGGTGTCAGTGACAAACATTGAGATGTTTTTGTTTTCACCTTTTACGCTCACCTGCGTCTTACTCTGAAAATGAGTTTCTTTCTTACTTTTGTTTCATATCTTTTTATTTTTTCATTTTCGCAAAGCAACTTAATTTCATTTTATCTCCAATAAAAATATGACTTAGAATATAACAAGCTTGAAATTGACTTTAAGAGAGAAATTTCAGTTAGTAGAAGACTTTGACTTGACTCAAAAGAGCCTGGGGACAAGCAATAATATTTATTTCAGCCCACGAGTATGGCGAATACAAGTCATGAAATGAAGAAAAAGGAAGAGAAAAAAAGGAAATTGCTTTATACTAGACACAGTTTGATTCAATGTTTGTTTATTAAATGCCTGAAAAGATTTTACTTCACAAAGCTTGGCAGAATTTTTGAATACACCTCGAGGGTTAGAACTTGAAAATTAAATATTTACCGTAAGAAAATATGTACGTAAAAGAGGAGTAAAATAGAAGGAAGAAGGAAAATAATTTGTCAGTGGAAATATTAAGAGATCATAACTTCAGTATTTCTTCTTTTTTCCTTCATTTTTATAGTCATTTTAGAGGGCAAAGTAAGGTAAGAGAAGACACAAACAGACAACAAAAGAACAAAGCAATGCTTCACCGCCACTGTCAGATGAAATGAAAAAGCCTTAATTTAAAGAAAAGTAGGGATTGAAAGAGGAACTTTCTTCATTTCATTTCTGCCTATCCTACTTAAAAAAAATCAACAAAAAAAAAAGAAGCGGAATGAGAAAAGTTTACGGAGATAGGCAAACTCTTATTAAGAGATTGGTTTTCCCTAAAATTAATAGTTCTTAGCATCATCGCACTTGCACTACACCAATGAAGCGAACATCAATTCTCATTACACTTTAATTCCATTGATTAAGTTGAGGTTACAAAGGCTTTTCCGAACGAAGCACGAGAAGACGAAAGCAAAGTAACACTAAGTGACTTTTGCTAACTTTTTTAATTACTACGTTGAAGAACTTTCCAAGGAGGAAAAATTAATGAAGTGTCAGGCAAAAAGACGTCACTAACTTTTAAGCAGAAAAGGAAAAATAATTTTTTGAAACCATAAACATTTTATCAAAGTTGTTTTGGTTGTAAATTATGGAAATGAAGCTTAAACTTTAAACAACAAAACAAGTAGTAGAAAGTCACAGATTTTTTAATTAAGTAAATGTTTAAATCATTTTCAAAGGGTGGAAATGATAGCAAGATATGGCAAGAAAAGAAATATAAAAAGAAAAACTTTCTCTTTAACAATAAAGATGCTTTGTATGATGACAAATATCTACTCAGTTGTTCTGCCAACAATGAAGATAATTTCTTTTTCTCTGTGCCTTGTTAGCCAATCTTTTGTCCATGAATTTTTACAGCGTAACCGTTCATCAGTGTTACTCGTACATTGAGAAAAAGCAACAAGATGTGAAAACTTTTCCTTCGAGCAAGAAATGAGATTCAAGAACAAAAAAGATGCTTAAAAGGTCTTTTTTCCAAACATTAATTTCAACAAGAAAAAGAAAAAAAAGTTTTCGCTATAAAAACGACCTTCTTTGTAGCATCAACATTGTTTTATGTTTTTTCATTGTTTGTTTTCAACTCATATCATCAATTGCTCTCCCCTTCTTTATATTCTTCCACCTTGACATCGAAAGCAAACGAGAAAAGTGTCATTTTGATACATTTGAAATCATTTTCCATCCCTTCGAACATGTTGCTCTGCTCTGCATACACATGAATACACTAAACAACGACGGTAACGATGTCGATGAAACCGAAAGGAAAAGAGAAAAAGTTTTTCTATCATGGTTGACATCATACTTTAGCTGAACTGTTTCGTTTTTTTTCTTTTCACTCATGGTAAGCGACGCAATCTGGATGCAAACAGTCGGTTGAACGAAACAGGTGAAATAAAAAATTACGGTTTACTCATTTGGGGGCAAGAGAGAAGGCAAATTATGATGTTATGAAAACCTTCTAGAGTTCGTTTTTCTCCATTTTGCAATGCGCACTCATTTTTCTGCCTTCCGATCATGAATTCGTAAACGATAAAAGTCACACACAGATATTTTTCGTCTACTCCGTCAACAGATAAGAGAAAATTTGTGCAATTGGCACAAAGAAGCAGATGATGAAGAGAAGAAGGAAGACGAAGGAGAAATGAGCATCATTACGGTAAAAATAATTTAGTCAGCAGTGCAAAGTATTGCGTGCAGAAGTATACGAATGACATCAAATACAGATTCTCTCAGCTTGACGATGAAAATGCATAACAGGTATTTTCAGGTCTGATTTAACTTTGCATTCATTCACTCAAATCTCAAGCATATAAATATTTATATACGTGCATGATTCATAACTCATAGAAAAGTAAATTCAGGATGACATTTCGAAATACCAAATTGCAATTGCAAATTTTGTTCATTCCTTCTTGCTTAAGATCAAATTAATGATAAATTCAATTTATAAATTTCCGAGTTGATCTTTTCTCTTTTTTTTTCTAAGATTTAATTCATTTTATCTCGATATAAATAAAGTGGAGGATAAACAGAGAAGAAGTTGGAAAATGAATTTCTACATTTGTCATTAAAAACGAAGAAATGACAAGAAAAAGAATTAAGTACATTTAAGCGAAAGATGGATGCAAGCGTTATATTGGTTGCTATTTTTATCAAGAAAGCATTTCTTGTAGACAAATCGAGCTTAGAAAGAGAAGAGAAGAAAGCATTTCGTTTTTTAACATGGTTGTAAATGGCAAAACGCCAATAAAATGCATATAAAATGCGGCAATATTTTATTTCTCGGTACATCTTTCTCCCCATTCACTCGATGTTGGTTTTGATGTATGTAATTTACTTCTATTTTTACAACTTAACAAAATACTTCAGCATCTAGGGATTCTTCCTTCGATATCTTTTCTATAATGTCTTACAGTGGGTTGGTTTGGATACAGAGGGATAAAGATTGAGGGATGACGCTGTCTATAACCGATAACTGGTGAGAGTGATGGGAGGAAATGGCAAAAGAAATCATTGGGGTTAAAGCTCCATGGAAAATTAAATTACAGATGGATTGATATGTTTCTCTAGCTATTCCTCTTTCTTACTCTTTTTCTTTTCCTATTTTTGTGAAGGAGATAAATTTATATTTATATAGAAATCGGAGTCGATACACGACACGATACTACTCACATGCCAATATCAAATAACTCATTAAATCTCTGAAATTATAATCTCTCGTGGCAATGGCATTTCTATTTGCACTAATAAGCAATTCGTGAAGCAATAAAAGTGTCTTTAATCTGTAAATCGTCTTCGTAAAAGACATTTCTTCTTGATTCGAGGGTGGATGTAATGGAAATTGTTCTTCTTCAAGACGAAGAATATTAATAAAGATTTTTGTTGCATAGCGAACGAATAAATTTAATTACATAGCGAGAGAATCAAAGCATCTGTTATTTACTAGAGCACTTTCGTTACAATTATTAGACTTTGTCGAATGTTTAAACATCAATAAAATGGAGCATTAACATTTCACTTCACATAAAATTTGTCATAATAGAATTTCACTAATTAAGTTTATCTTCTTTTTGTATTTTATTGAATTCATATAATGTTACGCTTTATTACAACTCTGAGTGTGATCTGATTTATAATTAACTGGATGTTTGATCAGGAACGTGCCTTATTTAGTCTACAAACTATGAAGAACATGATGTTGTCTATCGATGGATTTTATTATATCCAACAAGACTGTTTATGAACTTTTTCCTTTTCGAATCTATGTTTGTCTGTCATTCCATTTCACTCATTCCTTCAACTTTTCCAAGGCTTCTTCAACAAAAATTCTTTAAGCATTAAATTTTAGATGAAAACATTCTTTAGGGATAAGCGAAAATAACATTTCATTGGAATCATTTTTATTTGGTGGATTAAGGAGAATGAAAAGAAGAAGATGGAAGCAAGAAAAATATCGCGAGCCTTTTATTCAAATTTTTTGAAGGAAGGTAAAAGATTGAAAATAAAGTAGGGTGGAAATTCAGAATGCAAATTTAGCACCTTTTCNATTAAATAAACTAAAATTATTAAAATTTAAAGCAATGTTTTTAATTGTTGATTCGGAAGCAAAAATGTTGATTCGGAAACAAGATTTAATGTTGTTTCGGAATATTTTTAAAAATAAGTAGACCTTTTTGTAGACCTTAACGGAAAAACAAAAAGGTAAACAAACACTATTCTGTCTTGTTTCATGAATTAAATAAGCCTCATTTTCATAATTAAATTTTAGTTTTTATAACAAATCAAAAAAGTTTCAATTAAGAACATTTTAGCTCTTTTTAATGTAGAACTAAAATAGAAATGTAAACAATAGTAGACAAAACTTGAGCAAGTTGATATATATTGCAACGCAAAAACTTTCCGAATCAACATTGAAACGCTTTCCGAATTAACATTCAAAAACTTGTCATCACATTTTTATTAATTATGCTACAAATTGTTAAAACTAAATAAAAATCGAAGTGTTTTTATTTAGTATACCAAATAAGGTAACATTTTGGTAAAACAGAAGTTTAATTTTTAAGTCTTTAGGCTTATAAAACTTCTGAAGAAAATCGATGAGGTTTTTCGGAATGGTAGATCAAAACCATGAGAAAAAACAAAACGAAATCTAACATCGATTTTAAAATTAAATGTTATTCGAGCAGATCAATTGACTGCTCAAATATGTGCTATAACTAATAGCCTAAACAAAAAAAAATTCAAGTCCCGAACAAATGCATCAGTTCGTTCAAAATTTATTTTTGTTTGAACCGTTGTCGTAAGCTTCCGAATCTACATTGCTTCCGAACCTACATTTTTCACCCTAATAGAATTTCACTAATTAGGTTTATCTTCTTTTTGTATTTTATTGAATTCATATAATGTTACGCTTTATTACAACTCTGAGTGTGATCTGATTTATAATTAACTGGATGTTTGATCAGGAACGTGCCTTATTTAGTCTACAAACTATGAAGAACATGATGTTGTCTATCGATGGATTTTATTATATCCAACAAGACTGTTTATGAACTTTTTCCTTTTCGAATCTATGTTTGTCTGTCATTCCATTTCACTCATTCCTTCAACTTTTCCAAGGCTTCTTCAACAAAAATTCTTTAAGCATTAAATTTTAGATGAAAACATTCTTTAGGGATAAGCGAAAATAACATTTCATTGGAATCATTTTTATTTGGTGGATTAAGGAGAATGAAAAGAAGAAGATGGAAGCAAGAAAAATATCGCGAGCCTTTTATTCAAATTTTTTGAAGGAAGGTAAAAGATTGAAAATAAAGTAGGGTGGAAATTCAGAATGCAAATTTAGCACCTTTTCAACGTTGCCCATCCATTTGAGACAAGAAGTGAGAGCTCTACATAAGTTTCGGAACGTTTATTATATTCCAAATGACAACAAGTCTTAGAAGTCAGACGATGATAAATGTTTGTACATGTTTTCTTAATATTCCCTATTCCGAATCTCAACTCAGATTTACCCTTTTCGCATGTTCTTTTATCATAAAATTTCGCCTTTATTATTTACCAAAATCAAGATTCCTCAAATATTTCACAATTTTATTTATCTCTCTGACATTCATAGTTGTTCATTCGTTCTCATCTCAAGTTGTATGCTCAATTGAGCTTCACGATAATGTGAAAGATTTTCTTTTTCTTTTTTTCAGATTTTTTTTTGAGGGACGAAAAAATGTTGAAATCAAGATGACAATGCGAATAAATAAATCACTTAGAGATTAACGCTAAACTAGCTTCTCTTCCTTTTTTTTAGCATGTTTAAGACCTCAAAATATTTAGCTTAATAAAATAATGGTTTTTGCCTTGCAAAAAGTTTTCTTCTTTCTTTAAATGCCAATCTTCTGACACAAGTGACAAGCATAAGTTGCAATAAAAGCATTTCGTTGAAAGTGTCATTCTAAATATTGCAACCAACTTTCTCCACATTGGACAGAATGATGAAGTGTGGTAAAATGTAAAATAATTACTAAGAGGATTGACAGAAGTTGAAGCAAGAAGGAGGAGAAATTCAAAGCCAAACAAGCAGTTTTAATGAACGATTTTTCATAGAATTATTCATGAAAAGCTGTGAATTTAACTAGTAAGCTGCACAGAGGGGATGTAAAACCGCAGAATTACAATCCTTTCATTCGCAGTAACGTAATTTCAAGTTTTTCCGTCTACAAAAAGATTAAAACCAGAATAATTATTTTCCGAATATGCTGACACGGTTTTTAGTTTTATTAAATAATTTTTTTTGGTGTTATGGATAAGAAGAAATTTATTTTTAAAGCTTAGAAGGCTCAATATTTTGATTGTTGTGTCTACATGCGTCAATTTCTTTCTCAAACATTAAATTGCCATGAGTAGCTGAAACACAAAAATTTTATCTTTTTCAAGTGACGAATAAATTAGAAGCTGGGAATTTTTTGTATCTAGCGGTGAAACAAATACAAAAAAAAAATGACAATGGAATTTTATTCTATATTTCTTCTTATTTCTTAAAACAGATTCCGACACTCAAGTTTTATGTTTCTCACTCATTGTCAACATTTGTTTCTTTTTTTATTTCAATCTTTTCTCATTCGAGCGTTATGATCTGGCGATGTTACTGCTGTTGTGTTACAAAAACTGACAAAACAGTAACAAATTAGTTTCATCTCGAGACGTTCAACGAGTGATATGTTTTAGGTCACGCTTTCATTCCAAAAGTTATGACAGGTGAATAACCTATGCGCTCGTTTCATTTGTATACGGTGCACATCCCAAAAGCCCTTATACATACATAGACGGAGATATCTTGGAGAATATTTTGTTTCATCAAACTTTAATGATTTTACTTTCAAACTTAAATACATTTATTGAAAAACCTTCGTGAAATATTTTTCTTTTTGTTTTGCTTCTACGTATTGTTTCAACATTCATTTAGATTCTTCCCAAAAATTTTTCTCTCATCTCATTTCTTTTTTATAAGATATTTTTTTTCTTTCGTTTTGTTTGATCGTGCAAACAGTATGAAATAAAGAAATAAAGAAAAAAAAGTTCTGAATCACAAGAGAGTTAAATGAGATATTTATTTAGTTCAGAAGCATTTTAAAGCGACGAGAAATAGAGGAAACAGAAAGGGAGGAGAAAAAAATACAGAAAACTTTATTTAATTAGCTAGAGTTTGTTAAATATATAATTATAGATACTCTTTTTCTTTTCTTTTTTTTACTTCATAGCCTTCTCGCCGAAGACAAAAAGATACGTCGAAAGATCTATTATTCGTCATCTTTAGACACGTTATTTATTTTTGTAAATGTCGCTGACGATGAAAGCAAGATTTTTGTTTCACTTTGCTTTCTTCGTTTAACTGAATTGATGTTTAATGGCTCGCTTTTCTTCTATGTGACATGGATCGAAAGTGATACAAACGGTTCATTTTATATATTTCTTCTTAAGAATGTCTACATGATTTGATTTTTTGGTCGCTTCTGTAGATGAAAACGCAATTTGAGATGAGAAAGAGAGAAGAATAATGAAAATCATTTTATTAGCGTTAAAGGCTAAATCTCATTTTTTTTCTTCTTTCATTTGCTTCAATTTTATTACAAAAGTGACAGTCATCAAAAGCAATAAAAATTCAATTACCACGCATCAATGACAAAAGATGGAGAGATAGAGTGAGAGTAACCGTCAACAGATAACACGCAAAGTGCATGATTTTTCCTTTTATCTATTACATCACAATGGAGTTTACTTTGACGCTTTAAAATATTTTACGCTTTGATAAATTGTTGCGCTTTGTCGTTAAACATTACACTTTTTGAACGCTACCGCCATAATTTCATAACGAATGGACTCTCAAAGAGTTTTTATTTAGTTAAATAGCTTTTTAAGCGGTTGTTTTGTCGCTTCTTGTTAGTTCACATACGATAATTTACATGAAGTGTGTAATAATCCGAAGGGGAAAAAGAAATGTTTGAAAAACTGTTAATAGTCAATGAAAAAAAAACTCATATATTGTACAAAGCAGGCAAGCGTATGGTGATCCGATGATAATTAATTGAATTATATATTTATTGTGTGTAAATTTTTTTAGGTTTTTTAAATTGCTGTTAATAAATCGTGGTGAAAATTTATGAAGGTCGAGAGTGGATCACTTATTTCATGTCAATTTACTAAATCTTATTAGGTATTAATATTGTTCTCTTTTAAGAGAACTTACACATCACCAGATGTGAATAATCAGAAGCAAAGATACATTCATATTCTCTTTCATACGTCAACACGGGCATATAATTTGCCAGTTTTCATGACTTCAAATTGTTTCAGTTTTCCCTTTGCTCACTCGTCGAATGTATCGACATTTGGAAAGATGATTTAGAGCATGTTGTAACTGATAAATTAGAATCTGGTGCGTGAGAGCTCACAATTATGAAAAATTGCTCGCGGACATATTTCTCTGCTTGCTCCAAAAATTTATGAATATTAAATAATATTAAAAATCTCATCAAGCAGGAAATGTTGCGCTTCTCTTCTCTCCTACGTAGATATTTCACTTGAAACGAAAAAAATATCAATTTTCTAATGAATCTTCTCATTTCACTACATGTAAAAGGATGTGCGCAACGTTGCCAGTAAATCATCCAAAGTCAATTTTACACAACAACTCATTCGAATATAAAAGCAAGTCTCATGTTGATTTTCGTATCAACTACAAACGATAAAGAAGAAGAGGGGAAAAAGAAGTGCAATAAGTCACCTAAATCTTTTCCAATAACAAATGGATCGACATGAAAAAGCTTTCCATCCTCTCATTTTAACACTTCATAAAGGACGAGATGATAAAAACAATTTAAGGAATCGTCGTGATGAAACAACAATGAGAAATATAAAAACAACAAAAGCATGTATATTGGAAAATAATTTTAATTAATCTTGACTGTTATTGCTATTAGTTCAATCTTTAACACTGTTTTCATACTAAATATTATACGCCCAACATTGAAATTCATTTAACTTTTTTTTTTTAAGAGATAGTCAAGAGTACGTAATCAAAATAAAAACAAACAGTACGTAACAGCAAAGAACGATAAAATGACAAAAAAAAAATCGACTCCATTATTGGAATTCATCAGCAATCTGTTTTCTGTTGATTTTCAAACAGTGAAATGTCAGGTTTGCTTTTTATCAAGTTGGAGTAGCAGCGGCGATTCTTTTTATAAAAAAACATAAAATACAAATAAAAAATTTACTTTGGATATCGTGGAATGGAAACAAAAAAATCGTTTACAATACGATTGGAATCAATCTCAACGAGATTTGATATGATTGAAGGTATAAATCAGCATGGATAATAAATCAATAGTTTCAATGTTTACATATAAATGTGTGCAGCTTACCTTTCCTTGCATAATCAGTCTGATAGTCAATATGACTGATGGATCATCAGGAAACTTCAAACTGTTTGACTCCATGTTTATTCCTTTGATTATGTCACTTGCTCTCCTTTCACTTGTTTACACTTTAAACTTTTATTCTTTTCTCCTTTTTTTAAATTCCTTTCGTTTACTATCTTCCTTTATGTTTATTACAATAACACTTTAATCTGTTTATATTTTACTGTTTGCTTACGTAAATCCTTAATGTAAATACTTCCTGTATAATTTGAATGTGATAGTAGCAAAAACACTCTTTAATTATAATTTCTTTCATAAAACAGTTAATGCTTAATTAGCTTTAAGAAACAATTAATCTGCTTAGATATATCCTTTCTTTCCTTTTCTCTTTTCTTATTTTTTTGGAACGAGAAAAAGAGAATTTCTACTTTACTTAAGAGAAGAAAAAAATTCTTTTTATCGTCTCGCTTTCTTGTGTATTTTTAAGCGTCTAAAAATTGTCATACGATGAAGACTCCCGTATCTCTGGTGATGATTGTTAAGGGCTTGTGTTGTAATAAGATCTGAAATGAGAAAGATTAAACGAATGGAAAGGTTAGTTGAAGGCTTTTCTTAGATGTTCGTGTCGGATGTAGACGAATAAGAAGAAATTCTTTCCGTCCTTAAAAGCAGATTATAGAGGAAGAGTTTCCTTTTATTTTATTTATCAGAAACTGCCAATATGTGCGAATGTAGGACGTTTCTATGGATTGGATTATATCTGCCACACATTGTATTTTCTATTATTACTTATTGATTGAATTGAATTGAATGGTTTTGACATTAACTCGAGTGTTATAAAATTAATTAAGATGTTAACTACACAACATCCACAGAACACATTATCGAAATGTTATTAAGCCTTTTACAATAATCAAATCTCTATCCATCTCACTCACAAAAGCCTCATTTAAATTGAAGTTGAATGGCTTATGACCATTTTTGCTTACAAAATCAATATTCACAATGTTCTTGATGAAGCCATTGAGAGCTGAAAGATTTCATTTTCGAGTATCATTGATAAATTGAAACGATACGTAATGTGTTTCAATTATAAATTGCTTTAAGCACTATAACTTTTTTAATTAACTAGGAGTTACATTTATTATGAAACTTAATAATCGTGATAAAATTTCTACTAACATGATCATTCCTCCGTTTTTCCCCCACAATAAAAACAACATCCGCGAGCAAAAACACAAAAAAAAAGAGATTTTTCGGGGAAAATTTAGTTATTTATTGGCGTCTGCTATTTCCTCCAGCAACATTCATAGAGTTGATGTGCAGAAAAAAAAGATGTTAGCCATGTGAGATCAATTGCACATTTTTTTTTTGCAGTAGTCACAGAGTCTATATTTGCACATTAATAAACACGATTTCGTCCCAGTCTGATTTTTCTTTTTTTTTACGAATGTAGATTGAAAGAGAGAAGAGCGAAGCGCGTCGGTGAATGATTTAATAATATTTTCACGATATGTCGCGATTATAAGTGCTTCACGTCTGGCAAAATACTAAATACTGACTACATCATACGCCCCGGTTTTGCGTTCATCGTATACACGACAAAATCATAAGCGAAAAGGGAATAGAGGAAGAAGAAAATATAAAAAAAAACGCGAAATAAATTGTGCTGTGTGAGTAGCAGAATGAGAATGAAAAGAATTTTTTTGAGATTATTTTTTTAGTTGTATGAAGCACTCACATGCAGTGAATTTGCTTTGATGTGCATATGTACATAAGAAAGGGAAGGTAAGTGACATAAAAAAGTTTCTTAAAGAATTTTTTGTTCTCCCCTAAAGTTGGAGAACTTAAAGTTTGTACAAAACATGTGTAGTTTAAATACCTTACAGAAAACAGACAAACATAATTCATTGCTGCATACATTGCATAGCAACAACAAGTTAAAAGTGAATTTTTTTTCTTTCCCTTCACTGCCTGCTTGCATTCTAATTTTTTTTTGAAGTAGAAAGGAATGCAAATAGCATTATATGTTCTGCTTTGTGTGAGCTTACGAAGGAATCCTTAAAAAATCATCCAGTAATCTCGAATGAAATGAAGGAATAAATATGATAAAAGAAGCACTTTGAAGTGAAACTTTTTCTCTGTTTATGTCTGTTGTCATGCATGATAATAATGTATATTGTGTATATGCATCATTCGATGTGCAATCGTGACTTATATGGAAAATAAATTTGTGACAAACAAAAAAAAACCCGCCTTGCAACTAAAAACGCAAATCTTTTGAAAGCCAACATTATTTTTCTTTCCTCGTGAAAACAAGAGATTGCACCGTAATATCGCGATTGAATGCACAAATAAGGATATAATAGCAAGATGTATGTCGTTTGTCAACAGATCCCAAAACGAGTATGATCATTTCCATCCAGCACACACCGTGTACCGTTACAACCAACCGTATGCTTGCATTCTCAATGTCCGCTTAATCGATTGTTGGCTTTTGCAATTTGTTAATTTTTTTTTTCTTCTTGATACCGCAGTGCATATGCATCTGTTTTAAATCCCATTAACATCATAATCGCTTCGATATTTTCTCTTTACTCTTCTTCTTTGTGTTTCAACATTTTCATTAGCATGAAGAGATCTGCATGAACACTTCTCACCATTTAATTTTTATTCCATTCGATCCCTCAAGCGTTAGATTAAAATGTGCAAAACAGTATGCAATTAGCACGCTCTTAACTATGTAAATTCTAAAGAATCTGAAGTCTTAAAACTGAAGTATTTATTAAATAATTCTATTAAATCACACAAATCATGCGTTTCGTTTTGTTCGCTGCTAACTGACAACACCACTTTAAACATTCAATCTCGACTGGAATTTTTTTCTTCTATTTCAATTTCTGCATGACGAGAAGCTCAAGAAACAAGAGAGTGTTGTGATAACACGAAACAGAGAGAATATAATCAAGACGAAAAAAAAGAACGAATCACACCACCAAAGGGATTTACATTTGTGTATCTAACATAATACATAAATGGAAAAATAAAAGCATCCACTTAGTCTACTATATACGGTTTATTCCTTTATTTGTCAATTTTCTCATACAAGCAGTTTTATAATCAGTACATTAAAATTATGTACATATATGTTTGATAAAGAAGAAGGTGAAGAATATAAGCAGAACAATATTCTTCTCTATAATCAGACTTAAGAGAGCAGTCAATAAGTTCATATAACGGTGGTGTTGTTATATTCAATTTATGCTAGTGCATTCTTGCTTTATTATGCTTCTTTATTTTTTTCTCTTGCTTCATCTTACGTTCTTTCTTTCCCCGCAAAACAAGCATAAAATCCCACAAATTAAATCAACAACAATAAAACCTGTGTGGAAAATGAGAATGAGATTATTATGTTGTTGACTAGGAGAATGAGGCTGGGAACTGTCCTAAATATCGAGTCGAGGACCACATGAAGAATGAAGAGGTTTCTTGAGAAGTAATAATAACATGTTATACTAGACTAACTTAAGTTGTTTTCGCCTCAACAATTACACTATTGGATTGCAATGAAAATCAGATCTTACAACATGAATTATCGTTGCTACTTCATCTACTTTTCTCTCACATTATAATTAGCGTATCATCTCTAAGCAGAAGACGACGACGAAAACGATGTATAAGAAAAATTTTCACTGCATGTATTTTAATGATACAATTTAGAGGAGTAAACTTTTTTATTAGAGAGCTCTTGGGGCGATGCGAGAATTTAAATTAATTAGTGGATTTAATGTAAATAAATTTTTGTGAATTATTTATCGCAAGACACGACACTAACGATGAAAATGAAAAACTTTAAATTCTTTTTCTTTTTGTTTCTCATAAATACTTTCACATTGTCAAGAAAAAGAAAAGAATTTTGACATGTTTTACAAAAGTTTATACAAGCATACTTTAGATGAGGAAAGCACCAGCAATAACACAACGCAAGTTAATAAGACAAATGTAATCTAATTTTCATTTCTTTTTGCTTTTGTTCTTGTCACTTATAAGGCATCCCAGCACAAAGAATTTTTTCAGCTAGCTACACGGTTTGATGTTTGACGCTTCGCAAGCAATAATAGAAATTGTTCTTCATGCATTATTTAGCATGTCAAAGAGGATGAAAATATGTAAAGGTTTTCCTATTTATTTTTTAACCTCAAAAACACAAATATTTGCTTGTCGTACAGTAATGAAAAGTACTTTAGATATTATCTAATGAATTGAAGATTGTGTCATGATGCTCTTTAATTAAGAAAATACTTTATAAATTAGCAAATTCTGGCCACAAATATCTTCATGTTCAAGAAAAGCTATCTCAAGCATTTTTTTCTACTCATTTTAATTTGGCATCTAAATTAAAGTTACTCACATTAATCAAATAATATAAATAGAATCACCACTAAACACGCGTCATCGTCACTAATAACAAATTCAAATTTTATATGTATTTAACTTCTTAAATTAAATTATTGTAAAGAATTCTAAATTTTAGGGATTTTAAATATTGTGACTCAAAATAATAAGTTAGTCACAACCCTGCAACATATTTTGAGCCGTTTCGCTTGAGTAGAAAAACTACCAAACAATATTTCATTGCTCAATGACAATGGATTAGACTTGCAGTTGAAATTTTTCTGACAATGAATATTTTATTACTTGTTTACTTTTATAAATTCTTAATGACTCAAATGGACATTCTTAATTGCTTCTTTCTGTCGTAAAATGCACTCGTAAACTGATGTTCAATGTCTTCGACAATTGTAGTAAATATTTAAATTGGTTAATAAGGAAAAAGCTTTCTTCATCACGAAAGGATGAAGAAAGTTTGTAGTAAATATATTTGTGTTGGTCTGTAACGGTAGATATCTCTCATTTCGCTATTAAGTAGATTTTTAATTGATCTTAATTGAATCAATTATATCTTTGATTAAAGTTAAGGTAAGTTTTAACAGTAAATTGATTGATTAAAAATTCAATTAGACGAAGCTTATGTTCGCAAACATGGGAAAAGGTATCGTGTCAAAAGCATAAAATGATTATAAATATCGGAAGATTCAGTCTTCCCTTTGCCGCCACCACCAAACAAATCAAGCCGCTATTTCCAGTAGTTTGTTTGTCTGATTTTGAAATCCTAAATTAAATTATGTCGAAATGAAAGTTATTTCTTATCGTCACATTTTCCTTCATTATCCTATTCGGTATTAATTTTATTTTCAACTTCCTTCTCCACGGCCCATTATACGTGCTCAATATTCAGGTTTGAACATCTAATAATAATAATAAGTTGATATTTGCTATACAACTGGCAACCACCATAGTTCCCAATTCAATTTGAGCTTACTCAACTATGAATGAATGACAATAATATCTTGATAACAAAGAAAATTATATGAAAAATTTGTAATATAATAGCAGCAAGCAACGTATAAGGAGAGAGATAGAAAGAAAGGGTATTATGAGTTGCTCAACATGCAGTTGATATTATAGTCTATAATTTTCCGACTTCTTTTCCTTCTCTTCTCTTTTTATCGACTGTTTAACACACTCATCGTGATTGAGATCAAAATCAGACAGAAAGTTTCGTCTTATTTCCTTACATTTTTTTTTCAGCCTAACAGATCTTTTTTCATATATAAACAGATAAAATCTTTTACATGTCTGTCTGTAAATCTTGATAAAAGTATCTATCCTTTCTTGGAGTGCCTTAAAGCCTATCGCCACCCACATAATAATTGAGATACTGTCATGAAAGGCAATACGAAAGAAAAAGAGGAAAGCGTAAAATAAGAAAGAAGTAAACTTATGTCTCTTTTCATAATAACGATATGCTTTGTTAACAGAAGGAAAATTATACTCGAGCTTTTAAAACGTTGTTATGTGAACGAAGCATGAAAATAAAAATTTAAAATAATTTCTCTTTCGTAATAATTCATGACAAGATGGGAGGGGATAAGAAATAAGGAATTTTTTTTGTTCAAGTTGCTCTTGAAATATTTCACCTCGAAGGTAAATGGCAGGATTGTGCTACAAAATTGAGACAAATCTTGTGTCGTTTCTATTGAATATTATCAATGAGTTAGTAGGTAGATTATGTTGGGTGAGAATAAATTTGCAGCATAAATCTCATGATTACTAGGGATCAAGGAAACGGCATCTACGTTTTTTTCAACCCTTCCAATGATCGTCTCAACTGTTGTCCTAAGTAAAAAATATTTTTAAAATATTTCCCTTTATTCATTTTTCCCCGTTGTTTCCAATCTTTATAACATACGTTCTCATATGCGCGAAACATATTTCTTGTTTAACAGTTGAAAGTAATTTTGTTCAACATACTTCTGTATGGTTTATGAATTTCACATCATTTGTTATCGTTGTTTCCTACCGTTTATAAAATCAAGTAGAGTTGAGACATGCTGTATAAAATATTTGTGTCTTTGAACATTGTGCATGAACATAGGTGTGGATAAAAGTGTGTATGTTCCTATGTCGTCTCAATTTCACTGTAATAATTAATTTAAATGATTTTATCATGGTTGGAATATTAAACACTTTTGCTTTCCCTTTCGTGAGAAAAGCTTTGTCGAATGATAATCAAGCCTCATGCGTTGTAGATTCATGCAAATTAAGTTTTCATCAACAGTCAAAATTTCAGTACATAAACAACATATGAAAAAACAACATTCAAGTATGAACGAGCACTAAATTTTATTGACTTTCCAACAAGAAAAAAGGAAGATAAGATTTTAAAAGTAGGTACATATTTAAAGAATAAATTTTCAAATATTCATAAGTATCGATCAAGCGGAAAAGGTGGAATAACAACCCTTGAAATTACCTACAATTTTGATAGCTAAACAGCCTCTTTTGCGGGAAAATTAAACCATCAAATGAGTGTTACAATAACGTCATTGCTTAGCTTTAAAATTTTCACAGCCATAGCTTTTTAACTTATTTTACACGCTTCTCGATTTGTTTTAGCTGTTGATGACTTTGATGTTGACATGCGATGTGTGTGATGGTTTTCATCCCTTTTTCTTTAACAGACTTCATCCACATCATTCAAATAATATATCGTTTCACGTGTATATATATGTACTTATATTGTATAAACAATTTTCCTTTGAGAACAATTTTCTGACTGAAGACAGCATCAGTGGGAGCGGCACAAAACGTTAATCAGGCGGTAAACAAAAATAAAGAAAAAAAATATTTTCTCTCATTTCATTCGGTTATATTCAGTTCTCATCTTAGGATTCCTCGTATATTTTTTGTCACGCCAAATACAAACTTCAAAGAATATTTAAAATTTATGAGCTCTGTGGCGTACAAAGTCGAGTATGATGGTTTCAGTCTTATGTGGTATGAGGGATGGTTTGATGTTAGAATATGGTTCGCTAGAAAGGCATTTAAACGATAAATTTTTCAGGTCTCATTTTATTTATGAGCCTTTTTTCTGCTTCTTAAAATGTTAACGTCTTCTTCCTTTCATCGGGAAAAAAAATAGCGGTTGAATAAAGACACATCACTTAGAATGTTCACATGCAAGCTTTTTGCCATTTTTTCCTTTCTTTCATGTTGCATAAATTAATCTTATTAAGTATAAAAAAACATACAACAAATGTTGTTGTGAACATTGCAAAAACATGAATCCATTAGAAATGTGTCGGGAAATAGGAAAATATTGTGACTTTAGAAAAGTCAACGACATTAAAGCACCTTATAAAATGCAAAGTTCTCTGGTTAATTGAACTTGAGGGTGGTGCTTGCAAATTTGTACCGAGACTTGGGCTTGAAAACGTTCCAATGGTGGTAAAATTTCCTTCGTAGGAGAAAAAACGAAATAATGATCGCCATAAATTAAATTTCCAAATCGCTTGCTACATAACATCAACATTAATGCTGAATAAAAACAATGTTTTCCGTCATTTTACGTAAAAGCTTTCGTAATAAATGTAGCAGAGTAAAAAATAAAAATTAAAAGAAGAAATAATCTTCCTTCGTTCTTCTTTTATTTTTTTTTTACATTTATGAAGGTAAAGAGTCGCTCATGTCGTGTGATAATATAAATCTTATGATGACATAAAAGTGCATGCTTGAAAGCATATTCAGAGTCATAAAAGCTATTTGAAGAGAAGAGACAGCATCAATCTCATGCTGCTCCATAAGCTTTCAGCTTTATGCATCCTGAACTTTTATTTCTTCGTCTTCGCATCAATTTTTTCTTTCGGCTGCGTTCTGTTAAGCTTCATGTTAGGATAATGCTTCGAAACAATGAAAGTTGAAATGAAAAGCAAACGAGTAGTGATAATCTTGTTGAGTGTAATTTGTACGTTGCCGCTGGTGTAAAATAATGAGTTGTAGTATGATGCCGAAGGAGGAAAAAGTAAAAGATAAAGACTGAAGATGAAGAAAGGAAAAAAAAGTGAAGCAAACACGTGAGCTTTTTCCCACTGTTGTCTTCTCTATTTAAAAGAACGAAGCAATTTATTTGGGAGCATCCACGAAAAGTCGAAGAAAATCAGCAAGAGAAAATATTTGACATCATGCTTCGTAATGTAAAAGTTGTTTGAATTTTTTTTTTCATCCTTCTTCTTTCAAAACTTGCTACATAACAAAAATAAAGTGAAAAAACTAAGTGAAGAATAAAAGCGATGGAGGAAAATACGAATACACAAAAACTTTTTCATTTTTATTGTCGATGAATGACGAAGACATGTAGAAGAAATAAAAATTATGCTGTCTATTTTCCGGATGATTTCACATGGGATTTATTCATGAGTTGGGTCAGTTTACTTATGCAAGAAAAATTTATAACTTTTTTTTCGTTTAAGGTTTTAAATGGATGGTCGAGTTTATGTCTTTATGTCATTTTATACACACATGTTCATCGTTTCACCAAAGTATCTACTAATTAATTCTCTTCCATTTTTATTCTTGCGTGAAACATCATGACAAAGACATTCGATAGAAAATGACTAAACCTAATTCTAGTGACAGAATGAAGCGACTACATGTAGAGTGACATTAAGTTTTCAAATTCAATTAGTGATAGAATGAAAATGAAAAGAGGCACTTAATTCATAAGAAACATGATGTGAAGATTAGGCAAGATTAAAGGGAGACGAAACGATTCAAGGGTTGTAAACTTTATAGCAAAGTGGCTCCAATTATTTATATTACAAATGGATAGTTACACAGCAAAGAATGCAAAGTCATAAAAAGGGATGCTTGAAATTTCTTTCTCAGTGGTTTTTCGTTTTCAATTTTCACCCTCGTTACAAATACAATTATGGAAAAGGTCTTTGAAAGCTCAAATAGCAAAAGCACTTTTCTATCATGTTGCAAGATGCAACGACTCCAGTAAAAGCATTGTTATTTTTATGATTTTGAGTTCAGTTTTCTCCTTTCATTTGACAGAATTCATCGTCTAAAAAAAGAGGTAAAATCTATCCATCTATCCATAGAGATGTACACAATTATATAATAGAGAAAAATCTGTTTGTTCATTGGTATTTGAAGTGGAACGATGAAGATAAGCAATACATTCAATTATGTGCAATATTCTGTTTGGCTCTCGGTAACAATACTTTTATTCACTTGAAAGCAGATATGGCAGCAGCAGAAGAGAAAATAAGCTCTAAAGTATGTCTGACGGATGAACTGTACAGTGATTTAAGTGACAACAGTAAAGGAACTGTAATTGGATGCGACATAAGGACAAATCGCATACTAAATTGTTTGTGTTATTGTTTTATCTACGGATTACGGGGAATCTTTTTAACAAAGACTCTTCATCATGAAGTTTAGATAGTTAAGTGGAAAAAAACAAGCTACCAATTTAATCTAAAGAAAATTTGAAATTTAAATGTGATGGTCTCATATGAATACACTTCTTGTCTCTATTTTTACTGTTTAGATGGTCCCAAAAATACTGTATGAGTTGAAAGTTTCGTCCTTTCATGATGCCAGAACTTTACTCTCTGTTTTGTTATGTAAAATTTTCTGTAATTAATTTTGTCGTTAGGAAATTTCTTTATTTCCTCTTCATGCACACTCAGGAAATTTCTAGTAAAATATGATTTCTCATTCAATAAAAAAAATTGTTGTTTGTTCATCAAAAATGGTGAGGGAAAGAATGGAAGGAAAGTTAATAAAAAAAAAACTTTTTCTATTAAATGATTAAACTTTGGTTTGGCTCGGTTTCAACTTTCTAGTCGCTCGTAGCCGATCTTTCAAATATTCAGTTTAAATCTTTGCACCATCTACTAACAAACTCGACGAATATTAAATTTCAATATGAAATGCCAACAAAATAAAAGATGAAAAAAGAAAAGCCGAAAAGAAAATCAATAAATTTTATTGTGCAAAAGCATTTTCTCCTTTTTCTTCTCGCGCGGCTTATATCTCCTTGTCTATGAAATGAAATGCTTCAACAGGAATGTGTCATTATTGAAATTCATACAAGTAATATTGTACACACATATTTCCCTTCCTACAGTCTTTTTAAACTACACTCTCGTATTTCAATGCTCCTAAATGAAAACGTTGCTACATATTCTCAGTGACATTCAATGAACATAAAAAAGAAAAGGAAAAAAAAGTTTTTGAGCACAAAAGATGATAAAACAAAGCCATAGAAAATTTTCAGTATGTGCACTGAAAAGCCATACGATAAAGTTGACACAAACATAGACACACTCAACAGTATCAACTGCCAACATGTATATACGTATTCAAATTTCACCATTAATTGTGCTGAGCTGGAAACGATATGTTTTCTTCATAATTTAATTATTCTTATTAAAATATGAAAATAATTTTCAATTGCCTTTTATGTTATTGTGTTGAGAAAGTTTAAGTTTCATACAGAGTTCAACGACGCTTTTTATCAAGAATGGATGAAGAATCATTTCAATAATTCTATTGTTGAATGTTGTAAAGTTCTTCACAATTCACAATTTTCAAGTCTTAAAGTATTCAAGATGTCGACGAATGTTTGCATGTCATGATTATGAAGAAACTAACAGGTATTTATTTAATAAACTTTTATTACATTTATATGCTTCTTTCTTCACAATAAACATGATAATTCTTCGAATCATACAAATCGTTGTAGAAATTTCATTGCATGTCGTCACAAGAGGTTGTTATGAGTATGGAAACTGTGGAGGAATGTTTTTAACTTATAAATAAATGTTATTCAGTTATGAAACATTCATTCACAGTACTTCACACAAACCATAAATCATCTCTAGCATCATCTACGCATGCAGAATGTTTGATTGTATTGATTATAAAGGTATTCATCCAGCTAAGGAAAACTTATATACCTGAGTTTTCGCATGACTTCATTTATGATTATCCACCCCTAAAGATTGGTCTCTCTGGTCTCGTTATTGAATTAAAATAATGAGATTTCGAAAAGCTTTCAATTTCAATTTGCCAGCAATTTTTTTTCAAGGATGAACAAGGAAAGAAAGGAAACCAAAGAAAAATCAAACTGTACTTTGCGAATTCATAAATACATTACTTTTCTCATCCCCAATCTCACCAGTAATTCTTCTATTAAAATGTATTTATGCAAATTTGATTCTTAAAAACTGAATCTTCTCAGGGATATATTTCTCATTCTTTTACTTTCAATATCCGAGCGGTTTCATTAGATCGAAATGCATAAAGTTAGAGAAAAGAAAGCAATACCGTCGTAACAGATACTTGAAGAGATTCCTCCCCTGTTAAAATTTTAATGATTTCTTGAACAGTTTACGCCCAATTAAGGAAACTCTCTGCAAAATATTCAATTAAAATAAAACAATCTAGACGAGATAGATGTGTACATTCCAATTATCAATATTTATATCTTCCGAAATATTCAATCGTGCTGTGCTGTTCAATTTATGTTGCTAAGAAATATGACGAAATAATGTTTGATATCTTAGATGTCTAACAACCTTCAATAAACATTTCTATTTTACTGGTCATATTTCCTCTAGGTATTTAATTGCAAACTTTCTTCATACTGAAATGTAGCTTTCAACAAAAACAATTGAAGATTATGAGGATGTAGATACTGTATTCGAGTAAAACAGCAAAAAAAAACTTTCCTGAGGGCTTAGGAGGTTCTGCTGTTTTTTCTTCTTGATATTCATCCTCATCCTAAATATAAGCATAAAGAAAAGAATTTTTTATAAAGAGAGTGTTTATGGATGGATAATAATAATGGAATCATCCAAAACGTGCAGAAGTACGGAATTTTCAAAAGCAGCTATTGTGATTCACAGAGACATAGCGCGATAGATAAGTTCGCTGCGAGGCTAAGAGATGAAGTAATATGAAGATGGTTTTGTGTAAGTAAATACTTTTGTGGAATTTCGCGGAGATTCAAGAAAATTTTTATCTACGATGGTTTGATGCTGCCTAGGTGGGTTTAATGGAGAATTGAAGACAATTCCTTTATTAAATATTATTTTATACACCCAGAAAAATGACGCTGCTTTTTCAATTTCGACACTGATGATAATGTCGAGAAACGACAGAAGTTTTTGCCATTAAATTGATATTTTAAAAGTATTAGAATAAAGTAAGGTAACTGATTCAATATTCTATCTCTCAATGATTATCAAAGCAAAATTAATAACTCGTAGAAAGGAAAAATTTGTCGATACTCATTGAGCATGAACACACCACTCATTAAGCTTTACGCTACCAAACCATGTAAAAGCGTCTCTGTTGTTTTTATCTGTTCAATGAGCTGAGAAGTATGCTGAGATGAGAAGCGAAAGAACCTTTTTTTTTGTTTTGTAGTGCGATGGAGAACAAATCCACCCTTTCATTTACACTCCATTGAATTTCGACCACTCTATGACAGATACAAGCGTAGAACAAATACCTTATTTGAAGTCTTACGAAGATTAGAGCGTAAACGAGTGGCAATTAATTTCAGAAAATGTTCATTAACGCGCATCAATATGTGTCAAAATATGTAGCGATTAATCATAATTACCTACGGTAAATTTCGAATGTAATTGTAGTAGGAACACAAATTCATATTCATGAGTGGATTAGTTGGAATTTCATTGGTCACAGTATTGAAGTATTTTGTCAGTTCACTGAAGCTTAAAATAAATAGGCTCGTAATCAAACAAAACTGTAATTACATTCCATCACAATGTTCAGAATAATTTCAAACATCTAATTGAGTATGAAGAAAACATGCAAATTTTTGTCGATCATAATGGCAAAATGAATATGTAAGTTGATCAAAAGTTTTTAATTTCCATATCTCCTCGGTTACGACGAGTAAAATCTGAGATACTTAAAAGCTCAAGCCCTGTAATCTCTTTTTAATTTTATAATTGTGTCAACACAAATTATGGGTAATGTCGCGTAATCCCAATGTTGTTTGGTTTTCTCTTCAACAGAGAATTGATGATGCGAAATACATCAGTTTTGCATTTAGCATCTGTAGAAGTATCAAGAAAAATTATTTTCAATTCTCGCACAAGTATAAAAAAAGAAAAATGCACAATTCAAATGCATTTGAAGCCGTGGGTTAATCATTTTAATTTATATTGTCTACAAAATTTCTAAAAATATGAATTCGAATGAAAATAGAACGCTTCATGTAAAATTACGTCTATTGCTAATGTTAGTCGCGAGTCTCAATTAAAAGCAATAAATCTTCGTCCGCTTGAAGTTTGTGGCAGAGAAGACGAGAAAAAAAGAGTCATGAGGAGTAAATATCTAGAAATTATCTATTTAGCTTAAATCAAAAAAGGTTTACAAAATTTATTATTCAGACAATAGTAAATTGCTTCATGTTTTAGTTCAAAAATTTCATTCGGAGTCTACATTAGTGTGAATTTATTGGTAGGATCAAAGATACATTATTCGGGCTATTGTGCTTGATTTATGTTATATTTCAAGACATTTCCCGATCTCTATTCATCATTAACATACTTCACTTCGTTTTCAACAATAACAGCTAACAAAATACTTGTTTCTACTTTAAACTAAGTACGATAACAAAGGAATTTCGTCTGGAATTTAAGAATGAAATTTTTGAGTAGATAACGAGGATTCTTCAATACAGTGAACAACATGAATAGAATGAGATGTACATGAGTTTCCAATTATTGAAAGAATTCCCCAAAGTAGAAGAAGACGATCCGAAAAGATGATGCATTGCTTCTTAACAGATAAGAAACAAACTTTCTTGAGCATAGCAAAAAAAAAGGAATCAGAGAGAGTGTATAATCCACAACAATCAATCCCAATTATATCAAATCGATGAGAAAAGAGGAAGGAGATACTCACTTTAAGTCGCTGTAATACTTCCAAACAAAACAGTTGTAATAAAAGGATTGTTGCAGAGAAAAGTTTTCAATTTTCGTTTATAAATATTTTACGAGCTTATCAATCCTCCTTCACTTTTTTATTCTCTCTCACTCTCTATCTGTTTCTTCAAATTCCACTTTATCGATTTGAAGTGGGTACACGTCACAAATTATAAGCACTCTAAGGTAAAACTTTACACCTTTTAGTTTCAATTTTCACACACAAAACGGAAAGGAACAAAACTTTTCTTCATTCACTTCCAAAAAATTTTCTTCTTCTTTATTTTTTTTTTATTTTCTTTCAAACTACGGAGAGAATGAACGAGGTGATTCTTGAAAGATATACTTGGTATTTTGACTTCAGTTCTCGATTTCAGATATGCAAGAAAGGATATGAGAGAATTATGCTGTTTGTTTGAACTTTTATCTGTCGAAGGTTTTCCTAATTTTTTTTTAATTCAAACGCACATTTTCCGGTATGCGATTAAGTAGAAGAAAAACGACTTTTTTTCCGGTTGGTCTTTCGGTGAATTGTTGATCATAAATAATTCAAATGCAATATGATGTAATGATTGTGGCTGCTGGGTTTATATGAAAAGCGGTTAAAGGTTGATAAGAACGCCCGAATCGGTCAAAATTCTCCTTAAGACTAAATCTGTTACACGAAGCTGAACTCGCTTCTAACGTTTGCTGATGTGATGTCCTACTGCGTCGCATAATGCGCATGTGACGTCATTAAATGAAGCGAGATGGAGATAGAAAATAAAGACGACGATACTTCTGCTGTAACTTTCTTCCACGTGACAGACAACATAAGGATGTAAATATACAAAAACACAACCGGAAATTAATGACAACCTTCCGAGTTTCCTCAAGAGCTTTTTGATTTTATGCTTCTTTTGTGTATGTTTCCTCGTCTGTGTCGCTATCTAAGTATGTATGCGAGTTGACATGAAAACGAAAGATTTTGTAATGAGTTTTCGTGGTTTTTCATATGTTTAAAATTCATAATAATGAAAATATTAATAATGAAAATATGAAATGGAATGAACAGATATGGAACTGCAGAAAAAAGTTTTGAAAACGATGAACGTATGAATAGATTATGTATTTCTATGTAAATAAATGTATGTAATAAATCATTTTAAAACTTTCTTTAAGAAAATAAAATAAATAAACCTGAATGGGTTGTTAAATTAGAACTTTTGACTTTCTCAATCTAATCTTTGACTGACACTTTAAAAATATAAAGAAAAAGTAAAATAAAGTTTCTGAATAAATAAATGCGACCGTATAATGGATGGATAACGTTCAACTTAAGGATAAGAGATCTTTTTTTCCTTTTTTATTTTATTTCTACATTTTATTGTGTCTCAGAGTGAATCGTAGGGATAAAGGTGAAAAATCACCGTGAAATAAATTACAGAATGCATTTTTTATGAAAGAAAAGCAAATAAATAATGCACAGAAATATTTTATTTATTCATGAGTCATGAACTTTGCTCCAGAAGATTGAAAATCAAATGAAAATCAGTGGAAAACAAACATCTGCTTAGGAGATGTTAAGGATCAGAAAATGTTATTTATGTTACATCAAAACAAATCAAAACTTTACAATTCGATATAAATTGAATTTAATCTAGAGTAATAATGACATTCAAGTGTATGTTACGCATTCTAATAATTTATTCTCGATACATATACATGAAGGAGAGGATAAAAATCCTTAAATGTTACCAATAAACATTTCTCATGCTCCACTTCATTCATCTTTTTAGAGAAGTACAGAGATAAATAATTTGATTTAGGATGAGTTCACAAGAGCAGAAATCAATATCGAATTGTGAATTCAAAGGCATCTTAAACAAATTTGTGAATCGAAAGTAATGTGATTACAAATACGACTGTGAAAAACCTTTCGTTGTCGCTGATATTCGATGAAGCATGAGCGGAAGAATTTAAAATGAAAATAAAATAAAATTATTTTTCTTCGTTTGCCTTTGTGTGGAGCAATAAGGAAATGGAGCAAAAGGGACAAAGGTCTTATTGCTATTCTTAATTTCACTTCAATGTTAATGAAGAAATTGCGATCCAGGTATACATTATAGCTGTCTGTGAATAGATTTATTGACTTTGGAGATTTTCTTCCCAAACAAAACAACTCGAGGCAAGGTTAAAGATTTATAGACAAGTTTGATTTAAAAGCATTTGATGATCCCCTACACTTTCACAACCTTCAAACTGTGAATCAATCTCAAAATTAATTAATTTTTCATTCTCAAGTATTTTTCTTTCTGTTTTCTTTATTACGGAACTCTGATATCTCGTTAAAAATTCCCAAAGTTTTCTTTAAATATTTGAAGTCAACGTCACAGCCTTTTGATGTGTTTATCTTCAAAGTTCATTAAATTAGTATTATAAATTGGATCTGACTGTTCAAATATGAAACAGCTCAACATACATTCTAACCGACAGCGGCCAGATCAGAAGGAAAATTCCTTTCAGTTAAATTAAAAACTTTTACTCATAACATGAAAAGTAAATTATTTTTTGAACCACAAATCCTAGGCAGCATCATGACAATTGAAGAATGACAAAATTGTTAAATTCCTTTGCTTTATGAATGTTTTTAAAAATTCAGTTCATTTATGCAGATTTTTTTTTGAAAGGGGACGAAAACACTTACGAAGTCTATCAAAGCTTTGCAATATTCAGAAAGCTATCACTCATCAACTCTTTCTATTCATTGAATATGCTTTTATATGACGGTTGTTTCGGTCGATTCAATTTCAGTCTCTCGCTAGGTCTCTTGTCAAATGAGAATCGATTTTAATTAAATCCTAACAATGGTTCGGTCAGATATATGTGAAAGTTTTTCTCGTCCCTCATTCAATGTCCAACGTAACAACATCAAGCATTTAAAACTTTGACATTCCGCTCGTGTAATATTGTTTATAGTCTCTTGCAACCAAGAGCTGACGCTGCATTTTATCTGAGTCTTTATACAATGAGAGGCAATTTTGCTATTTTAAATTACATCATGCCCTACAGTTTTATTTCTGTTGAGCTTTTTCACTCGCTACCATAGAGATAAAGAGCCAATGTAAATCTACAAAATGATGAGATTTTATAAAAAAGTTGTGATAAAGGCTGATGAGAGTACAAAGGAAAATATTTTAAAGTTTTATGCTTATGATGATGATGCTGGAGGTGAGATAAAATTCAACAATGAAAGCTTTCGACCGGAATAATGAAGAATTTAATGACCGAGTTAGTAAGCATACACCTGTTTCAAGGCTTCGAAGATTAAAGATTCATCTTTCTTCATGTTAACCCGCTTTTAGTTGATTATTTATAATTCCGTTATTAATGCTGATTATAGTAGGGGTCACAAATTAGGAAATTTTCCTGAGATATATGATAGATTTTTTTTATTAATATTAATTACTTCGAATCACGCACATTTCTCTTTTAGTAATTTCAGATTTACTTAACAAACTCTTTCTTGTTATTATGAAGCAGCAAATGAAAAGCGTACATCGTATGTCAACAAAAAGCAAACGCAATGAGGTTCAGGTTATTAATTGAAATATGGTCATGCAAGCGGAAGTTTAGTTAGTCAATCAACTCGAACCTGAAGTCATCAGAAAAGCTTATATAATTATGATGAAAGTTATTTTTATGATTCTTTTAGGGGAATATGTGGGTGGATTTTATTTTCTTTTCTTTCCTTTATGATGTTTTTAATATGTTTTATTGATATTTAATCGCAACAAGGTCAAAGGCACGTGGCCAGATACTTTCCAATCATAATTTTCTTTGCAATAAAATAATTGAAATAAAAGAAGGAAAACATAATTGTTAATCAAATTTTCTCTCGTTTAAATGTGAAATTTAATATCAACTCATTTAATTAAGTGAATTGAGCTGCTTTGTCTGCTACATAAATTATTATTATAATTTGTTTCAGTGAAAGAAGACAATCATGGGCTGTACTTACTTAAACTTTTGAATTTTTCCGATTTTAGTTCATGATAAAAGTTGCTATCAAATTCTTGAAATTAATATGGAATTTCTAGTTTTAACTCAACAACAAAATGAAGGAAACTTTCACGTGCTATGAAAATTTTTAAAAAATGTTGTCAGAAAAAGTAAATTTATGAATTCAGTTGCACTTTTTTTATTGAAAATTTCACGAGTTTATTAAAATAAATTTGTTCACATGAACTTCCAATTGTAATTCTGGGTTCTATAAATAATAAAATTTGAAGGAACCTAAAAAAGTTTTGTTCTTAAAGATTCGCCTTTTCATTTAAGAAGGCGTCTGTCAACAACATGTCGTTGAATTCAGGATGACAAGCATATTGCTTAAACTCAGTGATTCCTTCTTCAATCAAAACTTCTTCGTCCGTACAAAAGTTTCCGGTGCAAGATCCCGGATCTCTTATTAAGAGAGCGTAAGCGGAATCTGCCATGATATCAGTCTTCCTGGCAAATTGATCACTGTCATTGCCTCGAAGCATAACGGTTGCAGCTGTTTGGATGATTTTTTCCGGCCACAAAGCGTTCACATTAATATTGAACTTCTTAAATTCTTCAGCCATTCCCAACACGCACATGCTCATCCCATATTTGGCGATGGTGTAAGCAACACGGTTTGCGAACCAGCGAGGCTCCATGCTTAACGGCGGAGAAATGTTAAGAATTTGAGGGTGATTGGACTTCAGAAGGAATGGCAGACATTCCTTTGTGACGAGGAAAGTTCCTCGAGTGTTGATGTTGTGCATTAAATCGAATCGCTTCATGTCAGTTTCACCAACCTGTGTGAGACTGATGGCTGATGCATTATTTACAACAATATCGATTCCCCCAAACATTTCAACCGCTTTCTTAACAGCAGCCTTCACTTGAGCTTCGTCACGAACGTCCACAATGCAGGCCAGTGCTTTTCCACCGGCATCTTCAATTTCCTTCGCAGCTGTGTAAATTGTTCCAGAAAGTTTGGGCTGGTAAGTGGATAGAAGTCAAAAGATTAATAATAAAAAGCATTAACAACTAAGGCGATTTTTACATGAGGCTCAGCTGTTTTAGCGGCGATAACAATATTCGCTCCATCAGCAGCAGCTTTCAATGCAATCGCTTTTCCAATTCCACGTGAAGCTCCTGTTATGAACAAAGTTTTTCCACTCAATTTCCTAAAATTGTTACATTCTTTGTAAAGCACTCAGAAAAAAAATGTAAAATTGAAATTCTAGTCCGCAACTTAAAATCAATAGCTCGACAAAATAGATTATCAAAGTTCATTTAAAAAATATACAAAGATTATAAAATGTTCGATACAGCGAACGGTTTTTGAATATTTTAAAGGAACATAAGCTCACCCAATGTTTATCCATAACTGAAAGGAATATTTAAGTTTGTTAACTAAAATCTGTTAATGAAATTTCATGAAATATTCAGGTCAAGTTGAGGATTAGTTGAAAAGTGCGAGTCGAATGAATGAAACTGTTCAATACTTTCTTCTGCTACTCATTATCCATTCATTCTCTATTTAGAGTCAACGACCTTATAAAAATTATTTAATCGAAAATTCTAATTATGTAAGAATTTTGTTAGGAACTTATCACAAGTTGATTCGCTACGATAAAAGAGAAAACAAAAATTATTTACAAATTTCTGCCTTAACATTATCAATCCCAATACAGCAACGATTTAAAGCGAATATAAAAAAAATTAAATTTAAGCAAAACAAAAAAAGTTTCTGCTTGAGTAGTCAATCAGTATTTCTGTGTGGGTTCAGGAAAAAAAAATCCTTCAAGAAAAAGCGTTTCGTGATGCTGCGCCACTTTGAAAAAATGAAAAGAAAAAAAAACGTAATGGAAATTTCTCGACATGAAACAACGATGCTAAACGCACATCATAACATTAGTGAAATGAACCATCGGATTAAGATTATTGTTACATTAATAATTCTCGGTTTTTTTAGGTAAGGGAAGAAATTTTAATTAATTTTTTTTAATATTCCGTCATCAACGCGGGGGTGAAATAATCCTAATGAAAATGTGTTACGTAAGGCTCATGAAACTTGATGCCATTTGTAACTGATTTAATTAAGGAAAAATAGGAAGAATACGACCTGAACCGTCTGCTAATTTACAATGTTAAGCCCATCAATTTTCCTTCTGCCGTTGAATAATTAGTGAAAGTTGTCGTCTTAATTGACTTAGCAAAGTAGTGACATTTGTGATTTCAGGTCGCAAACAATTTTCTATCTTTTTATAATGCCTTTTTTTTCGGTTGAAAATGAGAAATGTCTATCGCGTCAACACAGAAATGTTGGTCAATTATACTCGCTCTCATCCATTTACACTCAATGTGGAGAAGCTTCACGATAAATTGCGTTCTATTATTCATTTGCTACTATAGAGTAGAATTCCAGCATCACATTTTAACAGCCACGAGAGTGCTTGAAGGGATAACGTGAACTGACGTGTAGTGCAAGTTCTCTTCTTCCATTCTAAATTTAAAATTTGCACACAGCATGGGAGAATACAGAAAATAGCGGCAACCTTCCTTCAAAACGTTTATGATTATGATAGAAAGAACACCCACATGAGAAACTGACTCCAACCGTGTTCTAAGAATCTCGAGGAAAAGAACAAATGAGGGGAAAAAAACTCGCATAGAGATTGAGATTCATGTTCATTAAAAAATCATTATGTTAGTATGGTGGCAAGTTTAATTCTAATTTATAACCTACAAGGGATCACCGACATACATGCTCGGCTTTCTGCAGTCCTCTGTATACAGAGACTCCCTGACTAAAAGGATTATGCTCTTAAAATGTAATAAATCTGTTTGTAATTTAATTAGTCTTGTCATACAAAATTATTTAAGATTTTGCCACAATTTTCCTCGGTCGCATTGAAAAACTTCATGATGTACGAGCGTATGAATTTATTACAGAATAAAAAATATCACAACAAGAGTAAAGGAAAGTAAAGTCTGCGAAAGCCAAACGAACGATGAGAACGAACAAAAAAAAATATGAAACTGTCCTAAACCTCTTCGGATGTTGGGAGATTTAAAATAGATTTTTATTTGGTTGAGTTGTGGAGCTTATGTTGTGTCTGCGTTAAGGGAATTTCCTGCTGCTGATTTTCCGTTTTAGAAGTGCTATTTTCCTGTTACAACACTCACACAATCGGGGTGGGTGGAAAATTGAATTTTCGTGTTTACATAAGATTGGGTTATTTGGACCTTCGGTTCGTTGAGGAAACTCGTTCGTTAGTAAAACTTCAAGTGATATTATACCTTATTGAGACTAAGGTGCTTACAACATATTTCAAATTATGAATATACATAAATACTTATGTATGTGAAAATTTTTCCAAATTTTTCTTGTTTATTTACCTACCGAAATGGAAATACGTTTGCTTAATTTAATACTTACTTCTGTAACCATTGAAAGCAATAACAATTATGGAAATCATGAGTATTCACCAGGAAGTTCTTAATATTCATTTATATATATTTATGCTTATGTTGTGATGTTTGATAGGAATTTTCATGTAGATGTTAAAAGAAAAGCTTCGATGCAGAATTAAACTATTTTGTAGCTTAATGACTTACTCGGAGTATCATTTCAGATATTAAATTAATATTATGATTCATGAGTAACAGAGTTATAAACTTTTAATTGAATAAGCCTTCCGAATAAAAGGAAAATATTTCAAATGAAAAGCGTATGATGTAGAAACAATAAAGCTGATTAAATATCAATAATTTGTCTTTGATATTGATCACTTTCTATTATTTATTCCTATTTTGTTCAACATAATGCAGGGACGAAAGAATTTATAAATAATTCATTGAAAATCAATTTATTTATCTGACATGCGATGATGTTGCGTAACACTGCCCATAGACGATTTGCTCTACATTTTACTTGGACGTTGATGTTCAGACAACACAAATGAATGCGAAATGGAAATAAATATAGAATTATCAATTAAATATTCATTTCTTATTCTTCTTTTCTTATATTTTTAACAAGCTTGAGGCTTATCATTCATTGTATTAACTGAGAAAGGTTGGAAGTTTGTAGTAAAGCTCGAACCATCACCAACCCCATCTAACGCTTTACAAACCAAAGCTCCGCAACATATAATTTTTCAATTTATCTAAACGGTCGAACCAAACTTTTATCACCAATCATTTTATTGCCATTGATCACGATTTTAAGCAAATGAAGAATGGAAAATAATTTTTCTTCTTTTCATTTTTAATTCGTCTCGTTGTAGAAACGAAGCATGAAGTTAAATAACATTTTGAACAGAACTTTCCTAATCACGCTTTCATGATTGTTGTGCGCAGTTCAATTTCATCGTCATAACAATGTTTTGTTCAGGGTTTAAATGATGAAACTTCCAGCTGTAGTCAATATTCTTCATCGTCAAATTTCTGTTCAGTCCCTGCCACGATGACGTCACCATAAAATTGCCATGTGAAAAATAGGGGAAAATTTCAGCATATCCATCGTTGCAAAAAAAAACTTTTGCCAGTCTTTCGTAGTGAGAATTCGTAATTTTTCTTCACAATTTTATCTGATAAAAATTTTTGTTTATTTTAATATTTTCAATCCTTAAAATGCTGATACTTTAATTTATACAAAAGTTTAGTTTTACTTTTGCAAATAAAAATAGAAAGAAAGCAAAATTACCTTCTAGATTTCATAAAAAGGAATAAAAAAATTCTTTTCACGAGTTGGAAATGAAATGAAGCAAAATGGATGTAAATTAATGCTCGGAAAATCTAGAAGAGAACATAATGAAATGTGGTTTAAGCTGTGTTATTAAGTAGATATCAGAAAGACTACACATTTAAGTGAAATCAAATTAAATTACCTTAAATTTCCTTCGGAATAGTCTGCCAGGAAATGTCATGAAAAAGCGTCATTAAATAAACCGAAGAGATAAACTCATTGTTAGTGTTGGTTTATAAATGAATATTAAAGATGTCACGTTTTAGTGGAAACTATTAAATTGTGCAATTCAGAAACGTAAGACAGCATTACATTAAATTGAGTTTTTGAAAACTCTAAAAAAAGGATGCCAATCGTGATAAAAAGAAAATAATTGAAGAAAAAGAAAGAAAAGCTCTTGAGAGTTTAGTAAAAAGCCTCAAGTTTAGTTCAGAGCAAATAGAAATCTCCAAAAAGGAAAGAAAGAAAGTTTCCTGAGCTACATAATCGATTAATAATTTCATGCCTGTGCTTCTGGATTTATTTGTGCTGTTTCACTATTTAAGAAATTCATGATAAACTTTCCCGGGTTCATGTTTCAAAGTTGCATGAAGATGTCGACATAAATAAATATTTTTCTGTGTTTTGTTTGGAAAACAATGAGCGATGGCTTATTACGCTTTAAACAAACAAAAGATTTTAATCAAATGACAAACTATTGTCTGAATCGTTTTGTGACATTCAATCGATTTTAGTACTTCGAAAAAGAAAACAATCAGAATATTGATCAGCAGTCATTTGATTCGCCGCGGGAAAACCGACATTGAAATTTATTCTTAATTTGTGATTGCATATATTCGTGACTGTGTTTATGAGTTCTTCATTTAATTTACTAAACATAATTTGATGATGCTTAAATGATCAGAAGAAAGAACGAACTAGCAGCCTACAGCTCTATGATATTGATAAGATGATATTATTTATCCCGGAGCATTTCTGGGTGTCAATAATAAAGTTTTATGTGGACTATCATTTCCTAATTGGAAATACAAAAGTTATTGGACTTAGGTGGAAATTCTTTAAACGGTTGTCACTTTCATATAAGACCTGGATGTTGTTTGTGATGTCGATAGCTTTGTTAATAAAAATGCCCGAAGCTTATGCTTTAAATGTTACTGTGAAAAGTACCATGATGTCATTGACATCGTCTTATGATGATTCCGCTGCTGTGGGTGAAAGTCTGCCTACGGCTAATGTTGTCAACTCAATGAAAGGAAAGAAGCCAATTTCCATACCGGAAAATGAGGTCATAACGACTGAAGACACTGAAGATTATTTAGAAGAAGATTCGGAAGAAGACTACAATGACTTGATGAGAAAAGACAACATGACAGGTAAGTCGCATGACATGAACTTGGCAAAACCATCAGTGACACAATTATTCCTTAGGAAATGGGATGCTTGTTGGAAGCAAATGTGAATTCACGTGTGACAAGCGTCTTCATCACGTGTTTTGTAATCCCATTTCTAACAAATGTGAATGTGAAAAGAATTATCCAGTTAAGATAGGTGGGTTAAGTGTCATACATATTTTGAATTATTTATCCAATTCTTATCATAAATTTTTCTTCCCTTTTCCATCTTTCAATTGTTAACATCAAAAAAGGTCCTCGGAAAGGCTGTGCAAAACGTAAGTTGTCAGGTGTCATCTCAATTAAGTTCAAGAAGTTTTATTCATCTTTTCTTACAGCCAAGAAACTCGGCGAACAATGCTTTTACGATCTAACGTGTCTTTATAACGATGAGAATTCCGTTTGTATGCAAATAAATCACAATGCGATTTGTCAATGTAAGGAGAATTTTCATGTTGTAACACATTCAAAGCCTACAAGGCGCACCTTTTGTACGCAAGGTAAAGCATATTCTATTCTATCGAAATAACCATGACAGTGAGTGAATGATGAAATCTCAAGATAATTTCTCCATAATATTGACCGAAAAGATGCAAGAAAAATATTATTTTTAAAGATACTTTTATACTTCGCAGAAAAGAAAACTCATTTGAGTTGCAAACAACAACATATTGTGTGGGGGAGGGTTGAAGAAGATTTTGCAAGCTTGATTAATGATAAACATAAAATTTCAGATTTATCAGTAATCGCATCAGATTTGCCAACTCTCTTGGGTGTCACAACTGGTATTGCTGTGCTTGCTGGTTTAATTTGTATGGTTTTGCATTTATTCAGTAAAACGAAATATCCGCGAACACGTCATTTTGCTGATGCACATTCAGGACCGCCAGTGATGTTTGCGAGTGATACAGGCAAGGAGAATAATTTCATAAATTGAATTGAAGACTGATGAATTTTCTTCCAGGAATTCCTTTGACAATACAATCCAATCGGCCATCATCACGATCCAGTCAACGATCGTCAGGTTCAATTGGTTCATATGCACGTCGATCATCAGGTGCACTTCATTCGAAAGGAGTTCAAATGTCACAATCTCGACAAGGTGCGGCTCGATCAGCTGCCATATTGCTATACTCATATCATTTAAATGCTCTGAAAGATCAAACATCATCTTCCCAATATATTAAACCATGTCTTTCCAATGAACTCATGGCCAAGTACATTGAACAACAGTTGGAAGATCAAAAAAAATTACTCTATTTAGATATTCCAGCATTGCGCAATCATAAAAGTCTCATGCAAAAATTAGGATTAAATCCCCGTTCTGAAATTGATCTTACACAATTAGAATCGCAAGCGATAAGCGAAAGTCCATTGCACAAGAAATTAAAGCGGAGTTTATTTAAACAATTAGCTCCGATAGTGAGAAAAGATGTCACCGAGGCTGATGCGGATGAGAGATCAGGTGTAGATGGTATATTTGTTAATAAGAGCACGGAGTCTGGTTGTTTAAATGGTAGTTCCGACAACCAACTTCATAATATTAGCTTTGCAACTGATGGCGGATACACAAATCCTTTAGCTTACAGCATCGAAGATCTTGACGAAGTAGAAAGTGATGACAGTGACAACGATGACGATGACGTTGATGATGACTCCGAAGAGAATGACAAACATCATCCCATTAGTCACATTATCGACAATCAAGCAGTTTTCATTGGAACTTTGCCAACGCCCGCCTCCGAAGGTCCATCTATTGCGGTATGAAAGATTAAAACAAATCTGATCAATGTCTGTAAACTTTGTCATGTCTTATTTGAAAACTGAAATAAGATTCTTCCTGTAGTGTTGGTTTAACTGATACACGAATATGAGAACTCTACATGAAACATAAATTAAAATATGTAATGAGACACAAATATACTGCATTGGCTATTAATGCTGTAGTAGTTCTCATCTTTGATATCTCTCTGATCTCTCTAATCCTCTCATAGCCTACTTAGCCAAAAAAAAAATTGTTGATGTCGTTTAAATGCTATTTTATGTTTCTGAAGTCCTTTATACTGTTTATGTTTAATGGATGATGTATATAAGTATTTATTTATACATTTCAGATGATACACCGATGTAGATGTTCTTAAATGTTTCTATTCTTTTGCACTCAATTTAACATGAATTAAGAAATTTCTCTTCGAGCAAGAAAAAGGTCGGAAATGAAAAATGATTTAATTTCACTCGTGAACTAAACTAATTATAAGAATATCCTTCATAATCTCGCCTTCTTCTTCGTCTTGTATAGTGAGGCGACAAAACGAAGTGGAAACAACCAATTTGCAATTCAATTTGTTGTTCTTTCTTTATTTTTCCTTCTTTCCTTTCAAACATGATAAAAAATTCTTACGAAATTTTCCGAAAGGAAAATTTTCGATGTCGCAATCAAATATTTTATGTTTCGATTTTGCATTTTCAGGGCTCTCAAACTTGTTTAGCAATATGGTGGTATTTTGTTCATTTATAATAATTTTATTGCATCATTTCATTTGCTCGCTTTATTTCATAGTTTATCGGCTTTTCTCTTTCAATGCACATAAAAGAAGTTTTTCTATTTGAAAAGAAGAAAAAAGAAGAACTTTTGCATGTTACACGTTTCAAGACTTTTAGTACCTACTTAATAAATTTTGGAATATTCTCTTTAATAAAAACATTTCCTTTAACACTTACAGGCAGTCGAAGACCTAGCATAGCCAGTGTCCACAGGTATGAAATGAAATATTCAGTGAATCAACACGTCAAACCATGAATTTTTGTTAGCGACGTTAGATTAGTCAACTACAAATTTTTAAGTGGCATGGCGTGGCGACAGCATTATGCAAATATTTTAGTTAACATTTTTCTTTCCTTCTTTTTCTATTTATCCCAGTACAACCTCATCAATTCGCAGTTACTCAAGTCGTCGATTTGAGCAAGAGCTTCGTGACAAAGAACTGAGGCAAGAGATGAAGAAACAATTATGTCGACTTCAGGAACAGCAGCAATTACAAAAACTCAGACCAACGATAATTATTGGTGACGCTTCCATACCATTCACAGTCTCAAAGCAAATTCAGATGCCATCGACAAGTCCACACATTTTAACGCCGAATTCCACTGATGAACTTTTACCATCAGTTGAAGAAAATGACGAATTTTCACCTCAATTTGATCGAAAAAATCAACCATGATGACGAACTGATTGTTGGCTTACGGACCCATTCAACTAATAATATAATTAATAATTACTAACTGATATTTGCTACAATTTTCACTTGTCAAACAGAAAGAATTCTTTCAATCTGTAATCGAAGATAGTATTATAAAGTATCTTGTTAAATGTTGATAATTTTTAAGTAGACATTAGGAAAATACTTTTGGGAAACCAAAATAGTGCAAGGAAATAAATTTTCCAAACTAAAATTGACATAGCCAGCATCTTGCATGGATGGATGAGCGGAATTTTTGCCAAGCCTTATCAGTAGCTTTTACTGTTATCTTAAACGTAACTAGATGAACCTGTCTTGACTAAATATTTATTTCTATGTTCAACTGATTGGGAAAAAGAAGAAAAATGTTAATTGAATGGAAAGAAAATGTTTGTTTCAAAGTGTAAAACAGAAGAAAAAATTAAATCATGTTAAAGTTTTCAATGCGTTTCTGCTGATTAAAAAATACTTCACGACAGGAAAGCAGAAAAGCGGCGTTTGTTTGTTTTGTAGATTTGCCAAGATAAGCAAAAGATTAGGGACAAAATATACATAATGTTGTATCAGCATTGATAAATATTTGTTGTCAAAAACATAAAAAATAAAAAAATGTTTAAACGGAAAGAAATCAGAAAAAAACATAAAAATTTGTATCGTGACTTGAAGACAAATGCTCAGTTTGAAATAAAGAATAAAGAAGAACAAAACTAGGAATTGATTCTTTTTCTGTGTCTTCAGGCTGTAGATTGAATTGATAAGATTATACATGAAATATTTCAGATCACGGACATTGATATCATTCTTTCTTTATGTTGTAAGCAGATATGACAAGTTAAGAAGCGGGAGGAATTTTCAGTTGTGGGTGGATTAAGGAACAATCTCAGAAGATAAAATTGTGGACATTCAGCGAGTTCAGGTGAAGATTATGGTGTCAAAATTATTCCACTTTCTCGCATTGTAGCCATTAGAAACAGGCTTATTGTAATCCCAAGAAGGAAATTCAATTTTAAAAGCTTTTTCCCTTAACAACAAATCCATTTTAATAAAACTTGATTTTTTTTTACATAATTTTTTCATGTTTATTTTATTTAAAATCAAAAGAAAGTTTTCTATGAATATAATTTAATCAAAAATAAAAGGAAAAAAAGATGTTGAAATAAAGAACTTAAGGTTTTGGTTTCCATTAAGGAAATCTTTTCAATTACAATATTGAGACATTGTTTAAGATTTAAATAAAAATGTCTTGAAGGTATTTGTTTGTTTAACTATAGAAACAACTTCCAAATATCTATTTGAGAAATAAGAATAATTAAATGAAATGTTTATGATTTAATCGAATAACTTAACTCATCGACTTTCAAATCACTTACAATAAATTTTAAAACATTGCCATACTTTATCTTACATTCTAATTCAAAGATAGTTTTCATATCAATTTTTATTTTACATAAATTTCAAATTTGATGTGACGAATTTGATTTTCTTTTCGTTTCATAAATTCTTTCAATGTAAACAATTTTCTTACTTTATTCTTGTTTTTTTGAAACAAATTTTAAGAGACTCGAATGTCATTATCTCGTTTGATCTTCTTACATAATATTTAGTCATAAATTGGATTCATAAACCACAAATTCTTTGCTGATAATTATTCTGTGTCTTAAATAATTCTATAAAAAAGAGAAGATAAACTAAAATCTAAAAAGGATTTCTAATCAATTTACTTAAATAATTAGACGTCAAATGGTTCTTCTTCTTTCTATAATGTTCGTTCTATACACGATTCATTGTTATCTCAAACTATTTTTATGTATTTATTTAATTATTTTCTAGACTTTTTACTTTATTTTCTTTCATTCATTCATGTTGTTTATTTGCATATTGTGAAAAAAGAGATATTAAGGCCATTTAACATATTCTTTTCCTTCTTAACAAACTATTTGCATTACAATTAATAGAAAACAAAAATTGTAATTACAATTTATGAAATTAAATGTTGAAATAATTAAATTCTCCTCCTTCTTCTTAGATCGGTTTAAAACCCAAGAATTTATAAGTACTTGGGATATTTATGGGTGAATGAATTTTTATATTTTAATTCCTGCACGAACCATCAACAAAAATGAATAAAGAAAAACTATGAAAAACTCAAGAGAGAGAAAAATATTTTCGGATGCTTCTGTCAGTGATAATTTATGATCCCAACCTTTTGTTTTTATTTTGTTTCTGTTTGTCTTGGAAAAACGAAATCGATTTCTCATGTTTTATTCTTTTTGTTGATGCGCTAATCTCACGCGCATCACTTTCTTACCACTAATCATAACATCTCTGAAAGCTTCTCCCTATTCCATTTGATCCGATTGGATTATCTCGTACTTGACCCATGTCGTGTTGTCTGGTAAAACTTGTAAAACTGGCTGATTTGACATCAGCACGTTCCTGGTTGCTAATTGAATTTGATTATTCTGTTGTTGGCTTTGACCTTGTTGGTTTGTTTGTTGGATTTGAATTTGTTGTGTCTGTTGACTTTGTCCACTCTGTTGATTAATGTCACCATTTTGCTGTGCTTGGCTTTGATTATCAATCTGAAAGGAATGAAAAACAATTTTTTAATGATGGTTGTAGATCATTTTATGTTTCATTTCAACTGACCTGTTGTTGCTGCTGCTGTTGCTGTTGTTGCTGCTGTTGTTGCTGCTGCTGCTGTTTACTTCCACGATTCTGCTCTAAATGTTGACGTTGATGTAAAATCAAATGATTCTTCTGTAAGAATGCTTTGCCACATTCAGGGCAAACATGAGAACGGAGTGTGCAGCTGCCATCGGGATGACGCTTGTTATGCAAAACCAGACCATGCTTAGCTACGAAACTCTTGCCACAATACTGACAGAAATGTGTTTTAGCCTTTTGTTGAGGTGGAGACGTAATCTGGACGACAGTTCCTTGTGGCACTTGATTCTGTTGTTGCTGCTGTTGCTGTTGAGTAACTTGAACAGTTTGTTGTTGAACAACTTGCTGTTTAATTTGTGTCGTTCCTTGTTGTGTTTGAGTTTGTTGGGGTTGATGAATTTGAATTTGTTGATGTTGATGTGTTGCATGTGTTGGACTTTGAATAATTTGACTGACAACTTCACCACTTGATGTTATGATTTGCACAGGAACTGGCGATGATGAAGCTCCTGGTGTTGTGACAAATGTCGTACCTTGTGGTAAACTCAATTGATTGACCCCTTGGAACAAATGTCCAGGAATTGAGGCGGTAAGAGCGCATAAATCATTAATAAGACTCTTATCGCCAGAGTGTAAGCGTAAATGCAAAGCGAGACCCTCGCGACTGTTGAAAACACTTCCACATTCTCTACATGCGTATTGTAAACGTGGTGGCGTTTCTCCACTTATTGCTGCAAGCAAATTGTTTGGATTACCAACAACTGTAACAGTTTGTGGTTGCTGTTGAATATGTTGCACTTCAATTTGTTGTTGTTGCTGTTGCTGGGCTTGTTGTTGTTGAGCCTGTTGTTGGGCTTGCTGTTGAGCCGCTGCAGCAGCAGCTGCCGCTTGTTGTTGCGCTTGTTGTTGAGCTTGCTGCTGCTGGGCCTGAGCTTGGGCTTGTGCTTGAGATTGTTGCTGTTGAATCACTGTGGCAGTTTTATTTGTAACAATTGTTGTATTTGGTGCATTGGGATTCAATCCTCCATGAACCATACGATTATGAGCATTAAGCTCAGCTTTTGATGCGAATCCTTCACCACACGCAAGACAAGGGAACGAAGCTTCACCGGTATGAGTTCTGTGAGAAAAGAAAGCAAAATTAAAAGATTTTTAAAGAGCTTTATGAAAAAACTTACTTCATGTGAGTTGCTAAAGTTCGTTTTTGCAAGAACTCACGACCACAAACTGTACAAGAATGTGGAACACGTCCATGTAACTTTCCATGATTAATAAGTTGAAATTTACGAGCAAACGTTGCACCGCAATCGGCACATGCAAATGGATTAACTGATCCATGAAATCTTGAATGCATATCAAGATGTTCCTTCTGTGCAAAACTTTCACCACAATCCTTTAAAATAAAAATTAAATGATTAAAATTTATTATTAAATGTGATTAAAAGTAATTTATTTCATTTACCCCTACCTCACATATGTACGGCCTTTCTCCAGCATGAAATTTACTGTGAGTTACTAAATGTCGTTTTAAAGGAAACGATCGTCCACACTCTTGACAAACAAATGGACGATCACGTGTGTGAACACGCAAATGTGTCAATAAATGATGCTTTAAAGTGAAACATTTTTTACATTCACCGCACTGATATGGACGTTCAGTTGTATGTAACAATAAATGAGTGTTTAAGCAGTGTTTATGAGAAAAATCTTTTCCGCAATGTGGACAAACATGAGGACGTTCACCTAAGTAAAAAAAAGGAATTTAATATTGAACTCTCAAATGATTTATGAAAATTCCTACCAGTATGCGATCGAGCATGAGTCGTAAGATGATGTTTCAACAAAAAAGTTTTACCACACTGTTCGCAAGCGTAAGGACGCTCCTTGTTGTTGCCCGGATCATTTTTACGACTCTTTTGTATGACCGGTTTGACATCTTCTGTTGTTTCAAAGTGCTGCGAATTGTCAGTCATGTAATGTTGCATTGTAGATTGTAAATTATCGGCACTTACAACAATTTCAATTGTTTCCAGCTTTGGTGATGTGCTCATATTCGGTTCCATTTTACAATGTGTAAGCTGTTGTTGACCTTGTTGATCTTCGCTTTCTTCAAGAGTTTGTAAAACTTTCTGAACTTGAATAGAAATTGCTAAAATTTTATAAATAAAATTGTTTAATTAAGGAAATTTGTCATTGAATAGTTTATTGCATCTTACGAGCATTGTGTTGATCAGATGCCGAAGTCGTTGTTATTGTATGCTGATTATTAGCTTGAACTGCAGCTACAGCACGTTTCATTAAAATTTCATTACATTCTTCAGCTGTTAACTGAAGTGAGCCAATCGGACTCATAAAATGAGTGGTCTTGTCACTGGTCGTATAAATTGTTTGTCCTTTTGTATCGATTATATTATTCACTGTCAATAAATGTTTTAAATAAATAAATTGGTTATTAATTAGATAGAAAACTATTTCTTACCTGAGCTTCCACTTGATGTTATAACTCTATGCTGTCCAGCATTTTGCGAATCACCGCTGACGAGAATCATTCGTCTATTGAGCATTTCCTACTCCTCCTTCTTGTGATTATTTATGTTAAAACTTCCTCACTTTGAGACAAAAATCTGAATCTGAACGAAAATTAAGAAAAACTGTTTTGAATTTCAAACAAACTTCAATTTAATTAAATTACTATTAAAAGAATGAATTTAAGACGCTTTAACATGAATAGATTTTGCTTTTCAATGGAGCATCAAATATCACCATAAGCTTCCATTATATGAACATTCCAGACATGACGCTTAATATTTAAATTCAATTTTCAAAAGAAATTGTTTTGTTTTGATATTTTTTTCTCATTTCAACCCGCGAAAAATTGTTATATTTATGTTGAGGAAAACATTCACAAGCAAGAGATATGTAATGTTGTATTAATTTCACTATCACTCTAAATTTTCCACCATCACGTTCCCTTTATAAGCGTAAAATTTATATTTTTTTCACTTTGCCAACAACTTGATTACCTTTATTAATTAAACATTTGCCATATCAATACTTTTAACTATATTCTGATATAAAATATTGTAAAAATAACTTTGAAATCTTATTTTAATTCAATTAATTTTTGAGCGTCCCTGTTTCTGAAAATGATGACAAAACGTTTCACACACACACATTGTTAAACGCTGTGTAAAATAATCCAAAATGGCTAAGAATGTATGAACGGGTAATATTAAAAAATCTTTTATTCATAACTTTGAACACCTTCTTTTGATTTCACTTAACTTTAAAGTATACACTTAATAGTTAGCAATAGAATGGTAGTATTTTAAAGGAAGAGAAATAAGTACACAAATATAAATTTACCAATATTTCTGAAGACGACTTCAATAGGAAATTCTACAATCAAATTATTTGCTTCTTTTGAAGCGAAGGAAGCGAGTCGTTGCCTCTCTGCCGCGCAAATATTTGAATTCCTTATTTCACTCGAATTAACTTTATGCAGTAATGGCGAACGATAAATTTTCTGAGAAATTAATTTTTAATGTGAGAATCATAATGAAAATAAATTTTTTAATGAAAAGCCGGCAAAGCTATTCACTTTCAAACTAGAACTTACACATAAGCATTGTACGCACCTCTGTCGTATGTACTTGTTTTCATTCATGCTTCCACATTTTCTGTATGTAAGTAAAAAGATAAATATGAATACAATGATATTTATACATGACTTTTAGAATTTTTTCAAGGAGTTAGTGGTATATAAAATACACTGTATGGACATGAATCTATCGTCACTATCAGACACTATTTTCACTCTATACGTTCATACATTATTTAAACATTTTTGTATTTAAGAATCTATGTATATCATTTTCGCTTCAATTCTTATTTAATACTATTTCATCAGAATATTGTTAAATTTTCCACACACTTCGCTGCTTTCATAATCGTAAGGATAGGTTTTGACAGGTGTACGTAGTTACTATAGTAGATTCTCATGTGTAAATTTTTATTTTTGACATTCTACATGCAATACATTAAAATTATTTGTTTTCGCGCCTTTGAACTTTATTTCATTCCAATGTTGTTTACATTTTGTTACTCAATATTCTCATGCACATTCCGACAGTTGAACAGTTACATCTGTTTACAAAGAAATTAAATTAAAATAAGAACATTGAAAAGAAAACTCAATTAATTTTTTTTATATAATCCGAGAAAAATGATTTTATTCAATTTTTTTTACATAATAAATCAATTAAATTATGAAATTTACATGAAAGTGAAACTCGAACTTCTTTTAAGATTGATTGCGTATTGCGTCAGTAATAAATATGATTTAACGCTAAAGACAAAATTTATATTTACAGTATCACCAACAACTTTTGAATATAAAATCGATTGCTTACCTAAATTGGTGAGAAAACTTTTCATTTCTTTTCTAAAATCATTTTTGATAGAATTTTTTACTCAATATTTTTCGAATGATTCATGAGAAAATAAAAAATAAGAAGAAAAAGACTTGAAAATTTTTACAATCATTGATAAAAGAAATTATTTGTATTCATATTCGACGTCATCATCGTATTCATCATATATTGGGACTTCTGTAGTGGTCGTTGTCGATGATGTTTCAGGCGCCTCAGCTCTTTGAATGCTGTGTCGGCTTTGGGATTTGTAACCATCTCGTTCGTCGTTGGGCAATGACGAAAATGAAAATCCACTGATGCCGCGACTAGAAGTTAAAGGTTTCAACATGGGGTTTAAAGCATCATTAATTTCGACATCATACTCTTCATTATATATATCATCGAGTGTTGTCTTTTGAGCCCCCTCACGATCGTTAGAATTTATTAAAAAAGGTTGTTTTTGATTATAATGATTGTTTTTGACTTGATCTGAAGTCTGCTGTTGAGATATTTGTCCAACTGGTTGTAACCCTCGACCTTTGAAAGGATTACCACCTCGACTAGGCAAGAATGGTCGCTTAACAACCCTCACAACTGCTCTCTGATCTTCAATATTTTCTGGTTCAATCTGTTCATTGGTCGTTCTACCAAAAAATCTTTGTAAGTATGAATTACTTTGAGTTGCTGTCGACAAAGTTGTTTCAGTCGTTGTTGGATCAAATATTGTTTGCTTATTTGCAAATTTCTTTTCAATAGAAAGTGCTGGCAAAGGTTTTCTAGTCGCTGAATATTGTGAAGTTGACAATTCATCTCCGAATTGAGCTACATTTTTCGTTAAACTTTGATCGATTACAGGCTTATCGTATGGATTCTTGTAACGATTTATGCGAAAATTATCTGGAATTGATGGTGTGGCAATTGATGACGATTGAACATTTTCATTCGAGGTTCGATATCGAGTATTGTAAAAAGCCGATCGCTCATCAATTCTTGGATAAGTCGAGGTTTCGATAGGCTTTGGAACTGTCGTAGTGCTATCGTAATAATCATCATCATAATACTCAATTTCAGGAGCTGCTTCTGTTGTCGTCGTCGTTGTTGTTGTTGTCGTAGTCGTCGTTGGTTTCTTGGTTGTTGAAGTGGTTGTTGACGTCTTTAACCTTGGAATGTATCCCTTCGTTGTTGATATTGGCCTTGAACTTGTTGCTGCAGATGACGATGGAAGATCGTCGTATTCTTCTTCATAATATTCTTCATCTTTTCTGTTATCATCTTCGGCTAATGTCGATTTCTCAGGGGATTTGTATAAATATTTGTTCTTCTCACTTAACGGAACAGGTCGAGAAATTTTAGGCGAAGGCCGAGGTCGGTCAAAAATTGATCCAATTGGTTTAACTATTCTCTCATCGCCAGGAGTTTCCTCAACGAATTGTTTCTTTGCAAGAGCTTCTTGACGAGGTTCCGGAGCTCTCTCTTTTCTTTTTTCTTCCAAAGTGTCGTCATGATTCTTTCTTCGACCATATTTTCGATCTTCCGATTGTCCCTTTTCTTCATCATATCTCTTGCGGTCATCAGTTTGTCGTCGGTCATCTGAAGTTCTTCTATCGTCATAAAATCTTCGTTCATCGTCAGGTCGTCTGCGATCATCAATTGGCTTACGATCATCTTTATTGTAAGGCCGACGTCTATCATCAAAACGACGATCTTCTTGCCTCCTACGATCGTCACCATTTCGTCGAGACTCTGAACGATTTCGATTTCTGTATGGTCGTCTATCATACTCATAATCATCAAAGTCGTCGTTATTCGGTTTACGATTATCTCTAAAATATAAAAGAAATCAATAAAAGAATTCAACGATGATAATTAAAAGGTTCAAAAACCTGTCATCGTACGGTCTTCGATTGTCATAATCATCGTAAATTGGTCTTCGATTTCTAGGCCTTTGCTGTCGACGCCTTCCGCGATCATCGTAAAAATCATCCTCGTAATCGTCGTCATAATAATAATAATCTATTTGTGGTCGTCTCCTACGATATGGCCTTCGCAAAGGTCGATTTGATGGTGGCCGAGCTCCAACTGGAGCAGGAAAGTCATCGTTGTTATTAATAGCACTCCGAAGTGGAGGTTGATTGTTATTTGCCGCTCCTAGATTCGGCGAATCCTTGCTTTGTGTTGCTGAAGAATCTCTCGAGGCTCCGCCCAATGGTGAACTGCCTGGTGCTGGTCGTTTATATAAATTTCTATCAATTAGTGGCACTAAGCCTGACCCAGGAGTCGTTGACTTTTCAGTTGTTGCTTTGTATAAGTCATCATTTCTAGAAGTAAAAGTGAATGAATTTTATAATCTATGTCGTCATCAGAGCATGATGTTACTGACCTACTCCAATATTTGTAGGAGTTTTTGCAATCAACTTCAGACGCAAAATGGCAAATAAAAGTTTTCTGATCAAATGCCGTGAAATTTGCGCAAATGAAATCCGATCGGACGCCATATAAGCAATGATGATAAAGCTGAAAGAAATATACATAAAGAAGTCAAATCGAAACTAATTACAGGTTTTTGAACTCACTTGACAGCCAAATTTGATTGATGCATAAAAGCCGTTTATCTTGTCTTCACAATCAAATCCGATGTCTTCTTCAGCGGGCATTGAGTCGAGGAAAGGGTACGATGAGAGGTTGAATCTAAAAATATTTTTAAAAATGCAATCGTTTAACTTTTCAACTGGTTATGTAAGGTGTCATGTTTCGCTAACCCGTTTAATTCTCGTGGAAGGTTCGGATCCCATACATAATCAATTTGTGGAATTCCTGTTAAGGCTATTTTTGTTCCATTAACTTCGATCGTTAACTGAAAACAACAATAAAGATATAAAATTTCATGTCAGTAAAATGTGAACGTGCTGATATCTGATTTAGTTTGACTGTAGATTAAATAATATAGGAAAATGTTTCCTTCATAGACTAGACAGACATAATACGCTTTTCGACATCAAATTACTGAATTTAGTTTGTAATAACAATTTCGCATGCTTAAAGATACTTTAAGTAAATAATTGACATGCTAACCTTTCTTAAGACAAAAAGTAAAAAAGAAAACATTGAAACTACTTAAGTTGCACTTACTTCATCATCAGGCACTTCATCGAGTATTTCACGAAGCTTATCAGCCGGCGGCGACTCTTCAGTGGTCGTCGTACTTGTGGTTGTGTTGAGTAGTTTAGAAAATTTCCCAGCATGAATGAGTGATGTAGCTCTCAGACTTTCAACGTGCACGACAAATACTGTCAGTGCTGCATTTTTAATGAAAGATGAAGATGATAGAGGAAGAAATAAAAAAATGCTTTTGTTAGTTAAATTTTCGTGTGACTTCTTTCTTATCGAATCTTTCATCTACTAGAAATAATTAAAATCACTTGAAAGTTTATTTCGGACAGACATAAAAGAATTGTAATAGCCCGAGAAGCATAATTTTAAACGACCTTGCTGTAGCTTTATTTTTTTGTGGCTGAACGATTCGTTTGGTGGGAAAACGACACGTAATTCTGCTGTAAACTGGTTATTCGACTCGACTTCTGAATTCATAAATTGCTACAGTTTGATCACCGCAAACGTATTGGAAAATGTTGTTGTTCGGTAGCAATATTTCTCAATTTGATACACCGAATGAATGACTTCTTTTGAGCTTTTTCAAAATCGTTTGATCTGAAAGAAATCTTACAACGATAACCTTACCTGTTAACAATAATATCCATCGTTTGTATTTCGTCATGGTTCAATGAGTATCGGGCCAGTGATCTGAAGTGAAACAAAGGAAACAGAAAAAGATTGTCTTTTAGAGTTGTTCGAAAGTTAAGTTCAAGCAACTTGACATTGATAAGTATCAATAATTCGTGTCTTAAGCGACAAATAAAAAGTTTGACAAGCGAAAATGCGGAAGTTTTCCTTTTCGCCGAATGCAGATTATCGGGCAAGTCACACTTAAAAATCAGCTTGTGTAAAAAGTTACTCAATTTTTTGTGAAGTTTTTTATTGATTAATTGTGCAAATAGTGACTGAATTTCATAACATTCCACCGCCTTCATCCATGCGCTTTTATTTTTGTTCGAGAAAGTGGCAAAGTCTTTTGCAATTGAAATTAATTTGTGTTTACGTGATATGGTGATATGTATTAATCCTAAGTATGATAAATCAAGACGCAATGTAGAAAAATAAATGTTTTATGCATTTACACGCATGCGACAATAAAGTTTGTTGCAAACTGGTTTTTAAAATATTCAAGCAAAAAAATATTTTATCACTGGTGTTATGACATTTGACTAGCTTGGCAGCATAGCATGGCTTCGAATGGTAGTAGGAAACAAATTGCTGCTAAATTATATGATTTACTTTATGTTTGAATGGTTTTTTGTTTTTAATTTAAACCCTAAATGGCGATAATAGGCTTTGTAAAATAAAAATCCATTTTCGTTGTTGAAGACAGCTGAAAAGCATTAACATTAAGCTTGACTAATGACACATTCATTTTTTTTCCTCTTGAAGATTCACTGAGAGACAAATGGAGTCTTCTCTGTTGTTATGTCAAGAAAATTTCTTTCTTTGAATTTGCCACGCTATTCATTATGAAATGTCTAACTTCCGAGGTAACTGATATAAAAGATAAGCCACTTTGAAGGAGTCCAAGTTAATTTGGCACAGCATGACATGCTTTTTTCTCAAGAACGTTACATTGAAATGTTTTTTTTATTAATTTACTTTAGCCGCATCAATTTCTCGTTAATTTGCAAACGTGATTCCAAGAGTTATGGTCAATCATGCAAGATCAATAAATTCTACAGATGTTGTTGTTGAATAAAATCGGATCCAATTATATTTAACATTTAATATCCTTCACAGATATTTCCTTGAGAATTTTTTATTGAAATTTCTCTTTCACATAAAGTTTAAATGTTTATGGAATAAAATTGTTGATTTTAGAATGGAAAACAACTGAACTGTTCTCATTTTGAGATTTTAAATGTGCTGATTCATTTGATAAATAATAAGTAATAAATGTAATGGAGCAAGGCAACTTGAAAACCTTGTAAGTTCATGTTTAGAGCAAAATACTAGGCAAGAAGTAATTGAAACACCAAATCGATGGTCAAATGTGGTTTCAAAACTTCTTTTCTTAATAATTTTATTCAAATTTATTAACATCTTAATGTGATACAAATTATCTTCCAAATTAGGCAAAAACGGTTTGTTGAGTTGCTGATGTATAAATAAATTTAATGACCGTGAAAAATCTGTTATCTTATCAATTTATCGTGAAGATTGTTCAGTTCCAAGAAGCTTCCGGTTGATTTTCAAAGTAATTTTGTGGTTTAATCATTAAGTATTCATGTCATAAAATGTTTGCAAAAACTTTTCAAAACTGTATTTACCACCGTTTGGAATCGGCATTTGATTCAAGCAAATTTCGATGTGGTAACGACACAATTTCCTTTGATATTTGATTCTTCTCAAGAAGGCAAGAAGGCGAAGATGATTTCTTATAAATTCAAGTTTTGCACTTCCTTGTTCTGTTTGACTTGTGTCTTATGTCGTTTGACATTTAATGATATTTTAAACTGTTTTATGGAGATGACCTCGACAAACCTACTCATGTGACAGGAAAATTCTTTAAAGATTTGATTTCTAAACTTCTTGTTTTGTTGTTGAAGTCTTTAAAATATTGCAATAACATTTGTTAGATATACATGTAAGATATTCAAGCTGTTCAGCTTTCTTCCTAACAAAACAAACAAACAAAAATGAAAACACCTCACACACATCCAACCAACCACATTTACCTGAATTGAATACTCAGAAATAAACTGCAACTTAAACAACATCGTTAAAACTTTAATTAAATGGAATTGAATTCGTGGAAAAATCGAATAGAGTTTTGTTTATTTTGTTTTTTTAATGCCTCTCAAGCTTCAACCTTGACCCCTCTGTCTACATTATGGTGCATCACGTTCGTCGATTTAGATGCGAAAGATTGCATAATATTCACACTCAGAAAACTGACCTCGCAGAATCTTTGATTGTTTTCGTTTGCGGTGATTAATTCAAAGAGATTATTCCAATGTCGAAGAAAATTAATGAGACTCGTAAACAGTCACCTCTGAATATATTTTTGTTTAAATCAATTAAAGTGATTCATCTTTGCATTCACCGCAAAAGAAAATGAAGCAAATGTCATTGCAATGTTCAACAACTTAAAGCGATAATTCATAAAATAAATATACTTTAAACCTCAACTGTTATGTTTCATTTTTTGCAGACAGCAAGCATTTCATTCATTTAACATTCGATTCACGTTAGACAAAAAAGTGGCCTACATTCTACGCTATTCAAGTAAAATTGTGCAACTGATTCGAGTAAGAAATAAAATATTAATCTAATTAACGAAAGTTAGTTAATTAAAGTAGGAAATTATCGACATTTATCGAACAATATAAAAAGATACTCGTAACAGAATTGAATCAAATAAATTTGCAGAGCGTGACAAGAATTTTCGATTTATACGTTCGATAATCGCCTCTTCAATATTGTAAAAAGCGAAGGTCGATAAACTTTAACATTTTAATTTTATACTTTTTAAGCGATTGAGTCATTAAAATAAGACTTGTTAACGATATTGCTTCAATTTTTAATTCATTATACTATGAGATAAATGCACGAAAAACTTTCAATTTCAACGTCGAGAAGTTTCAGCGAAAAACTAATTTCCACTTTTCCATTTTTCATCTCTAAAAAAGCGTAAAAAATGAATAGAAAAAAATGAAAATCAAATACTCGAAATCAGCAAGAATAATTAAATGCACGCGGTAGTAAATAAAAAGTCTCATTGCGCTACAGTCGGTTGATTTTTGGGGAAATTATTCACATGTGAAAATGACTCAAACGCCTTGTTGATTTATGTTGTTGTGTTGTCTGATGTCATGACTTAAACGTGATCGTCATTGCAAAGATGAAGCGACTCAGTCAACACTAAATATGCTTGGGAAAATTCCATCTCAATAAATAATGTTAAATATTCAACACTTTTAAGAGCTTAATGACTCGAGAGAAAAAACAACAGTCAGTGTGATGTTGCTGCTCACAAATAAAAATTTCTTTTCACTCAACGAATCTCTTGTCTTAAGAGTTTTCTAATGTAAAGCGTGTTTAATGGCTTAGCTTGCATTTCACCTCACATTGAATGAACTACCAATTGGTAGCTGTGAATAGCCAACGCGATGATGATGTTATAATATAACAAAAGAAGACGACGGCTGTTATCGCATCGAACAAATATTTAAATGTGAAGTGTTGGGCGAGTATGAGATAACCGGTAATTAATACATCGCCCGTCGCGTCGACGATTTTGGTCCATTGAAAGATAAGAAGAAGATGAAGAAAAAATAAAACTTTAATTCATTATCTCTATGTAAATGGTTTGGTGTGCAGAGACCTGTTTCTCTTTCCCTCTATTTGCAAACAATCTAAAGCCTTGAAAGTGAGACCTTGAGTGGAACTGACTGTAATTCACTTCATTTTGTGTATTGTTTCAATCAAGGAACTTAAACTGGATCACATCGGAAAGTTTGAAATGAACGACCTGACGCAATAAAAATTTCCATACATGTATTGCAGTAAAAAACATCTCAATGGCAGTTTAATGATTAATGACTAAACTTAAGAATTCCGACTGGTAAAACCAAGAAAAAAAAGCTTCTTCCTAAGAATTCAATTTAAATATTTTAGCCACTACTTTTTTAAATCTTATAGGAATGTTTGCATTATAAAGTTGATTTACGACTTTGCTGGTTTTTATGTTAAAATCACAGCGGAAATTTTGATTAATTTTGTGATCTTAGTAGATGAGCTCTTAAAGGGAATTTAAGATCATTAATCATGAGATAAGTTTCTGTTTATTTTAATTAACAAAGTAACTAACATGTTGCTGGCTTTAAGAATGGAAACAATGAGTGACACATCAGCTTCATATATCTGAACAATTTAAAGCTTATCCAATGCAATTAACTTCATTCATAAAATGTCAAGCGGATTTTCTAACAACGGACGAGTGGAAAAATTTCACTCATGTTGCGTTTTATATCGTCAAACGCGCTTTTAAATGTTTTTCCTAACAAAGTAAATAAATACTATGATGGAAAATAATCAATTTCAAGCTTAAATTACAACGATACAATCAACATGTTTGTTACTTATTACGACTTTTGTTTTTCTTTCCTCTCATTTAATACTCAGTGATATAAATTATATTGCCGAGATTTTTGCTGCACGATTAATGTTGATTTCTGCAGTCGATGGTGTAAGTGGAGTGAGAGAGCAAACCGAACGTTTTGTGTGGTGAACAAAGTGAACACTTTCAGAGCTCTGCTAACTTTCACGTACAACTTCGACTTAATCGTGGACATTTTTTCTTACTTACAAGCAACCAAACAAGATTTATAGATCGGAGTGAATTGTTGAATGAGAATCTAAGCTGCTATTTCCAACATCCGTGATTGATATGTCTTCGAAATATCGTAGATAGCCGTAGACAATGGCATAGAGTACAATGGCGAGTATCGAAAACTTGAGATACAAAACCAATATTTCACCGATTCTAGACAATGCCCGACGAATTGGATTCATTCACTGCCCTGTGTTGTTTCTCTTTCGGTGAATTCATCGACTAATACAGCCGCGTTCCGCAATAAACTAAAGTGAATTTATTGCAAGAGACAACATGAAGAGAAGAGAAAAAAGCAACTTTTACTGATTTTTCTTCACAGACTTATTTTTCGTGTGACTTTTTCAATTGCAACGATCGCGGGTTTTGATTTTTTTTTATTTTTTATTTTTTGTCTACCAACGTGTGTGTTGTTTCTGTATTTATTTATGGAGACAGCGACTCTACTGCTTTGCTGTTTTCGTCTTTCTTTAATGAATTATTGATACACATTTAATGTCACACCGATCATGTAAACACAAGCGCAATCGTTTTTTATGTACTTTTTTGCTTGACGACTCGTACCAACCTAAATTCAATTTACATATGAACGATTACATAACCCATGAGGTTGGTATGTTGAAATCTGATCAAATGTATTCACAAAAATATAAAAATATATTATATTTATATATCTATCTGTTATAAAACTTATTTATTCAGTAAGTTTCGTTTGGCATTCAATCATTGATGTCGTTCGTCTATTTTGTCCGCAAATATTATCGGTCGTTCTGTTTCTTGAAAGCTTCGTTTAAATTAATTTCAACTGTGTGGTTTTTTTAACGGGGTGAGTTCTCAAACCACTTTGTGCTTATTATTTAAATGAGATTTCAGTTATATCATTGGCAATGTTTTCACTTTTCCAGCTGCAATTTTTTGCGAAACTTTTTTTTTATTTTATTCGATTTTTTCCCCAATCGATTAATCCAGTTGTTGTGCAAATTGCTTTTAATCAAAACTGCATTTCAAGTAGTTATAGATTTTTGCTTTAATAAGCGCAACTTCACTAACACTAACTGAATAATTTTCTGCAACTAATATCGAAGAAAATTAATTAATTCACTTCTTCTTTGCAACTTTTCGATTTTCGATTCGGAGCGGACTTTTTTTCGCGCACGTCTACACCCGACAAAAGTTTCTCACCAACTGACTACTTACTTCAGTTTCGTTTTCGATCCTCCAAACACGTTTGGCGAGAAGAAAAGAGCGCGTGTATGCAAAATGTGTATGAACCGATCAATGGTTGAACTGCTTCTAAGCGTTGACTGTTGTTATTTCTGAAAATATCAAGATGATTGACGAAGGTCAACGAGGATGAAGCTCATTATCGTGAAAAAATTCTTGTTATTTAAGATTGCGAAACGATTTTAAAAGAAGAATACTTTAAGAAATCAGAAGTCAAAAGCTCAAGAGCTTTGTAAACAAAGTATTTTGCCTAAAGTTCTCTCTTCGGCGAAAAATTTTCTCAAAAAGCTCTGAATTGTGCGCCTGTAAGTTATGCAATTTTTAAGTCAAGTTGAGTTTACTTGACTTCAAGTTAATTTTCTATTGAATAATTTGAAAGCTTTTATCTTAACATTTCATTGTCACTATTTAAAAACGCTTTTATTTTTAATTTTTACCCACGAGGGATTTTCGAGAAATTGACTTTTAAATTTTCTTTATGTGAGTCTTCAACAACTTTTTTATTATTAATTTGTAGCTAAAATTTCAATTCCATCTGCCACATTAAATCACCGATTTCTGTAAAGAAAACATTGATCATTCTTCTAATAATTAAATTCTTCATTCAAAATTAAGTTTCAAAGACAAACATTAAGATTCTTAATATATTTTAATAATCATGGCTCTTGTTTCATTCTTTATTCTTGTAAATAAATTTTAAATTATGTGTGAAAAGTAAATTCGAAAAATATTTATAAAAATTGTATCATTGATGCTTAAAAATGAAACTTCATTAAATAAAGTTTAATGTATGACAATTAATCAAAAACATGATGAGGAAGTAGAATATGTATCACAATTTATTCAATGATTAATACGTGTAAGATATTAGATGGGATTTCCTTGCGCATCTTTGTAAAGTTCTTCATTATTTAAATAAAGATCTTCAGCTTGTGCACAATTGACATTGTAGAACCAATCACAGACACGATGTTCCTGTAAATAAACATTTTAACATACAAAAACATTTTGAAATGACAATTCGAAAGATACTTGATTGAACACAGTTCCGTTAGGGCATAGAAAATCAAATTTGAGACCAGAATGAAGACACCAATGCCAGACCTGACATCTTGTTTCCATATCAGCGTAATATCCTTGAAATGAAATTATAGATTATTGCAAGAAATCGAAAGCAATTGAACAATTCTGTAATGAATCGTCTTTCAATCACAATGAAGCTAGTATAAAGACAAATTGTGAAATGATACTGGTTGTGCTATTTTCAAATGAATTTCTAATGCAGGTTACCTTGCAAGTCACTGAAATTAAATGTTACATAATTTTAATGAGCAGATGTTACCTGGCAATCTGTTTGCACATGAAAAGCTTCCTCCCTTTGGCACTTCCGAATAATTTGGGTAATCAATACCTGCGGTATATCCTGGTATTTCCTGGTTATAATTAAATGCCAGCATGAACATAATTTGAAGAAAAATTCTCAATTAATAAAAGAATCACAAAAGATTTCGTCAACATTTTTAAGAGTTTTTAACAATTGCTCTAGTTGCACTCACAATTCACAAATTTCAACCAAAGGTATGATTTTATCATTTGAACAATTCATAAAAGATCTTTTTACGAAAACGATGTTGCATTTAATTGTTTTTATACTAACTAATGAATGTAAATTCTCACAGGAAATATTTTGAAACTGATTCACATTTTATGAATTGTTGCTACAATTTTTCTTGTTTAAGTATTTACTTACACCATAAGATTGCGCACTGAAAAAATATATCACGAGAAGTGCTCGAGTTATACACGAAAATGTCTTCATTATTTCTATTAAAAATTTAGATGAATTCCTAATTTAATCCTTTTGGCAACTCAGTAATCCTTTGAGTTATTCTTTTTTGATGTTTTATGCTGCAATCCACTAATTATGTTGACTCATAATTGAATGTGACTGGTGACCGAATTATATTTACGCGCCTCTTCGTTCAAAAATCCAACGAACAAATAAAAACAATTTGAATTGATTCATACATTTATATTTTTTTCCACGCCAAGCGGCTCATCGTTCCACCACCCCACCATTATGGAAAAATAGTTTGAATGTTTCTCCAAATGCATCTCATAAAGAATCTTTTTTCTCTTGTGTCTTGTATTTTTGAGCGATTTTTTGACTTGTCGAAATGTCTTGCGGATATTTAAGCGCGTCTTTGATGTGGTTATGCATGCTCGCCTTCAATGACGTAATTCATCGTTCTCTGTGCTCGGTCTTTTGTACTTTGAATTAACCTATTTTCAGGGTGAAAAACAAAGCGAAGAAATTGAGATGCTGCAATTTGAATAAAGATTAAAAAATAGACGAAGAAATGTTCACTGCGTGTTTCATCTTTGGTCACTTTTAATAAGTTTTATTCGTTGTTATTGTTATTTTCAAAATGAAATTCCTAAGATTTCTATGCAATAAATAATCAGCTTTTTCAAATCATCTCGACGCCTTTTAACATCTTCCATCAAACATAAAACCTGCATCATTGTTTATATCGTTAGTCAATAAGTTTAAGTGTCTGCCGTACTTATTTCTTGCACTAACAAGTGGCTGAAGATTAAACGATTGTTATGGGTCTATAGACTATAGTTGAATAATTTTGCAAATATCCGAAGTGCTTTAAAATAATTTTCCACCATTAATCATTTATATGATATTAATCTCTATCAACGATCATCATTTGTATCTATTACAAACAAATAGAAATAAATTTCATCAATTTTCTCACTTCCTGTCATCAAAGAAAAGATTTTTTTACTAATTTCTTTCATTTGAAAACATTGAAAATATTACACTCGATTATAGTGATGAAAAAACAAGACAAATGAATTATTATGTAAGCGTCAATCTTTCATAAAGTCGTTTAAGATTTTTCTCAGCGAGTTCATGAAAATCACGCATTAAAAGGTCGTGAGAAGTAATCAAATGAAAATTGTTTTTCCAACACTACTGGAAGTATCGAAATTAATGAAATTCAATACAAAATTTAAAAGGTTGCAATATTTAATTAATTTTTACAAGAATTAATCTATGAAGACAAAGTAGCAGCGGCGTCGTGTTAGTTTAGATAATTGATTGAGCATGATTTTTACACAAATTTTATGAGAATCTTTTCTTTTCATTACTTCAAACTGAATTTAGGTTTTCTTCTTAATATTATTCACCATCCATAATTCAAAAAAACTAAACTAACTCAACATTCAATTATTTCTCATTATTACGCCTGAAGCATAAAACAATTTGATTAATTTCAAAATGACGTGAAAATGTATTTCCATCAATTGCCACTTCGTTTTGATTTTTTTCCCACGCGACATTCGACCTCATGACCATGGGATGGAAAAATTAAAGTAATGATTTATCCTAAGCGATTCAAACATCTTCAACACGATTCGCATAAATCTTGAGACATTTTTATGCAAGAAATTTTAAACATCTTCATCATATTTTCATTTCATTGCCAAAGTCCTTGAATTATTAATTTCGGTCACATAACTAAACTTGCACATTAATTCACCATGATGCGATAATAATTTCATTAAAATTTCATTATATGAGATATTTATAAAAATGCCATCAAATTCATTAAAAGTCTGAAGCTTCGTCCAAGTCTTAAAAGAAAAATTCACATGACGAAGAAGAAAAAAACTCAAAATTCATTCTTTTTTTATTACTTAAGTACGCTACGTGGTAATTTGATTAACAAGGCGATGGAGCAGAAAAAGCTTTTTGTTTAAACAAAACTCATCGAATTGCAATGAAGATCCAGTTGCCTGTCTGTCTTTCAGTAGCTTTTCAAAGTTGGATCGTTTTCTGCTGGGGTTTCAATGTGAAATTGCCAGTGTTGATCTTATTGGTCTTCACAAAATTTGAGCATTCAACGAGCATATAATTTGCTTGATGTATGTTTGAACACAACGATTGCTTAATTCCATGGAATCTTTAATGATGAGTCTAATAACGATCTCCGAAAAATTCCAATGTTTACACTCAAACCGCAATGCTGCAGGCAAATAATTTGACAATTATAGAAATGCTCGATCATTTTATAATTTTTTATTTTTTTTCTTCACGCAAAATCTTTGTTGATTCATTTTGATGATGGAAATTTCAAGTGAACCCGCATTCTCATGAAAAGTGTTTCAAGTTCATGAGTAAAGTTAAGAGGTTTCTACTATTAGATGCATTATGAATCCATTAAGTTATGAATGTGAAAATTAGTGCAGTAATGTTAAAAGATATTTAAATGTCTAATATCAATCGAAACATTAATTGCTGCATGATGCAGACAAATCACAATTGGTGATACAAAAACATCCCCAACAAAGTAATTTACCACAAGAGGAAATGGTCGGCGTATTAATCAACTTGTATTCACTTAAAAATGTGTAAATGATGTAAGATAACATAATAAAGACAACAAAACGATTTCCTACTTTATTGCGTTTAAAATTGTTTTATTATGTGTCGCTGATGTGGAGTTGAAAATGAATTGAAATGGAAGTTTGCTTTGTTGAACTTATTAGCAAAGCTTTTACACGGTTTTGTGATTCTTTTTAATGACTTGCAATCTCATCTGTTGATCTTTTTATTCGGAACATTGTCTGCTGATACACTTTTATTATTGTTTAAATATCTGCGAAGGAGCTAACATCAAATGTTTGTTTCATTTAATTATTAGTTGCTTTGAAATCGCGATGAAGATTTTCCATTAAGAGTACTGAAGCAATGTCGAACTAAACATTGAATTGTTCCGAAGATATTAGAACCAAACCAGTTACATTATTTAGAAACATTCCCATAAAGATTTTCCGCTTGCGCTTTCATAGAAGTCAGAAAATCAAATTAAATACAATTTGATGAAGAATGATGTAAATATTTTGTTTGTTCGGACATGGCTCGTTTTTTTTTCTTACCTTCAAAGTCGGACACATTAAATGTTAAGCAATCTAAAGTTAAAAAGAAGAAAAATCATCTCGATTTAATTCATTGTCGCTTTTTATTATTTTTCTTCTCTTGAAGCTTTTTTTTTTACTTTTTAATCTTGTGCACAAGAAGAAAGAGAGGAAAAAATAAAAAATTTCCACACTCGTCGTTTGCTTAATATTCGCTTACAACAATTGAAAATCTTCTCGTTATTTTGACTAATTTAAGTATTTAATCTACTGTGCATCTGCTTTGAATAAAAAGCGTCTTCTGTGGTTTCCAGATCGCTTTCGGATGTTTCGTGATTGTTCACTCATTTGTAACTGATCGTTTAAAGATGGCATCTCGATTATTGGATCGAGAATGGATAACGAAATTTTCTGTGGATGATTTGTAACGTCGAGCTCTGAAGTTGATGCTGCTATGCTTGCATCATGGTCATGTTGTGAATTTGGTATAAGTTCTGCCTGATATTCGTTCGATTCTTCCGTTTCCTCTTCAACATTCTCTTCCACTGAACTTTTCTCAATAACTTCTGTTTTTTCCTCGATAATTTCAAAATCGTGAGTTGGCATGATCTCCATCATTTTAATATCTTCTGACATTAAATTATTTTTTGTTTGATCTGATTCATCAGCATCATTATTTTCCATGTTAGAAATTTCCGTGGAATTCTTCAAATTCTCATGAATTGCCATCTCAGCTGTGCTGTTACCAGAAAATGCTCGATTTGATTCTTCAAAATAATCTTCCGAATCTTCACAATCAAAATCTTTTGTGTCGTTCCAAACACAAACAAGTACCCTTTGACTGAAGACTGTTTGATCTGGACATATAAATGAGAAGACTCTTTGTTGACCTTCTAAACATCGATGGAAAATCTAAAACGAGAAAACCAATCAATTTTCATGCTTTAAATGTTCATCATAAATAATGAAAATTATTACCTGACATTCATTGTCCACGTCAGCGTAATAACCCGGTTCACGGTCTGTACAACTGAATTTGGTGTCGATAATTTCAGATCGAATCGATTGCGAATCTGATGGCAATCTCGCTTCAAGTTCATTCTCTTCTGTGGCATCATCATTTCTTCCAGAACTCTCAGCGTCATCAATCTGAAATGAATATAATTGGATATCACTTTCTTTAAGTACATATCTGAGTAATTTAAAGAAAGTTTTTAAGGAGACTCAAACTCTTGTTTATCGTCCCAAGGTTAAAAAGTCATAAGCAGTCATCTGCCGCCTTTAAATATGAAATCAATAGCGATGATTGATTCATGAAATGATGCTTATTTTTTTAATCTTTTGTTCCCTTGTTTTATTCGTGTGCTCATTCATTGAATTTATCGGATGTGACCTTTTTATCAACTAATAGTTTCAAGTTCAAGAGAAACTTCAATTATTCTTCTGCTCTTGCTATTATAATATTAAACTAGCTACTCATCCACATACATGAAGTTCAATGACTTTTTGCCATTTAATCATGCACCCAATTCTGCACAATGCACCTTTCACTAATTTGCATTCAAATGGCAATCACCGTTCTAAATTTTGACGAAATATGGCAAAAGAATAATTGATGACTAATGTCCACCTACAAATCTCATTCATATTTTAAATGAACATTTATTTAATTCATTTTAACCGTTCATCTTTAATTTATGTAAATACGAGAACAGTAACTTCTGGAAAACTATTCAAATCGATTCACTTCCGACATCCGGTTTAAACAATGCTTGTTGTATGAAAACTTTGGTTTACCTTTTCACTTATAATTGATGGTTCTAACGTTACACTTGACATTTCTGTAACTTCATCTTCTGCTTTTAAATTTCTCACTCCAATAATCACAAGAAAAATAATTCTTAATAATTGAATTTTCATATTCAAAGACTTTCAATAATTGCACAATTTGCATCCAGGTTTAAATTTGAATTATTTTCAATTAATCACACGACGTCTTGCACAGTAATGAAACTCGTCAACCGTTTACTGATATTTATATATGGTCACATTATGTCCCACAACCAAATAAATAGAAGAGAATTATTCTTCTTGTTGCTATTCATTACATCGCGTAGTGAATTTTCAATTGAACATCAGAATGTTCATTTATTTAGTTGTGTTCATTTTATGGACAGTCTGTGATCTAATAATAGTATGTTTTATATGTTTTCACTTCTGGCTTGACGTGATGATTTGGTTTTGCATTCTAATAGGCAAATTGTACTTTAATTTACATGCTTCTGACACTTTGCTTTTACAGTTTTCATTTGTTTCGATGAGTCGATTGTGAATGGAAATAAAGTTTTGATTCAGATACTTGATGGAGATTTAAATGTGATATGGTTTGAATTAAACAAGGAACATTTCAGACATATTCAAATTAAAAGCTAGGCGACCTTGTTTTTCATGATGTTAATTTAACATCTGGAATGGTAAAAGAAGAAAAATTTCTTTAAAGGAATTGTTGAAAAATTATTTAAAATATTTTTGTTTTTTTACTTTAAATTTAATCTCTATGCTCGTTTTAATTCTTCATATTATTGTCATTGATAACAGCTGATAACGAGTAGTAAATAAAGTAGAGAGATAAGATTTGATTCTTCAAACTCTCATTTTAGTATCAAATTCCAACTTGGCCTGAACATTTGGTGGATTTTAATTAACAATTTAAAATTTAAATAAATATTTTGCAGTTATGGAGAACACTGGGTAGGTTTGTGTTATTATAAAATATTCAAAAACTGTTCGCTGTATTAAAAATCTTTTCATATATTTTTGAACGAACTTTGATAATCTATTTTGTCGAGCTATTGATTTTAAGTTGCGGACTAGAATTTCAATTTTACATTTTTTTTCTGAGTGCTTTACAAAGAATGTAACAATTTTAGGAAATTGAGTGGAAAAACTTTGTTCATAACAGGAGCTTCACGTGGAATTGGAAAAGCGATTGCATTGAAAGCTGCTGCTGATGGAGCGAATATTGTTATCGCCGCTAAAACAGCTGAGCCTCATGTAAAAGTCGCCTTAGTTGTTAATGCTTTTTATTATTAATCTTTTGACTTCTATCCACTTACCAGCCCAAACTTTCTGGAACAATTTACACAGCTGCGAAGGAAATTGAAGATGCCGGTGGAAAAGCACTGGCCTGCATTGTGGACGTTCGTGACGAAGCTCAAGTGAAGGCTGCTGTTAAGAAAGCGGTTGAAATGTTTGGGGGAATCGATATTGTTGTAAATAATGCATCAGCCATCAGTCTCACTCAAGTTGGTGAAACTGACATGAAGCGATTCGATTTAATGCACAACATCAACACTCGAGGAACTTTCCTCGTCACAAAGGAATGTCTGCCATTCCTTCTGAAGTCCAATCACCCTCAAATTCTTAACATTTCTCCGCCGTTAAGCATGGAGCCTCGCTGGTTCGCAAACCGTGTTGCTTACACCATCGCCAAATATGGGATGAGCATGTGCGTGTTGGGAATGGCTGAAGAATTTAAGAAGTTCAATATTAATGTGAACGCTTTGTGGCCGGAAAAAATCATCCAAACAGCTGCAACCGTTATGCTTCGAGGCAATGACAGTGATCAATTTGCCAGGAAGACTGATATCATGGCAGATTCCGCTTACGCTCTCTTAATAAGAGATCCGGGATCTTGCACCGGAAACTTTTATACGGACGAAGAAGTTTTGATTGAAGAAGGAATCACTGAGTTTAAGCAATATGCTTGTCATCCTGAATTCAACGACATGTTGTTGACAGACGCCTTCTTAAGTGAAAAGGCGAAACTTTAATCAGCACACAAAGCAGCTGGACTCACTTTAAAAAAATCAATTTCAAATTTTACATTTAAGTCGTCAGATTGTGAATAAAATTTTGGCATTAAAGTGTTTTTAAGTGATCAAATTCTACTTTTGTTTAAAACTTCGAACACTTTAATTTGACATTTCTCGAAAAAGCCGACTTTAAATGGAAACTATTGTGGACAACCACTTGATGAAGATTTAAATGCGATACAGTTTGAATAAATTAAAGAAGTAAACTTTTCAAACTGATCTGAAGGTGCAAAAGTAGTAAATTTACTCTCAGATTGATTTCTTCAATATTTTCTCATCAATTTATTAAGAAAATTTGATAAAAAGTCTTCCAACTTCTTAAGGAAATAAACTTTCTAGAAATGACTTTTTTAATTTGGATGATTACTTTATAAATTAAACAAATATGATCATTTGAAACCAGCACGAGAGCACCAAAACGCTTTCTATTAAAACCGGTCCTCGTGAGAGAAACATGGAAATAATCTCGTCCGATTTGTTTCTCGTGAATTTTGACTTGTTGGCGATCAAGAAGTGATCGGTCTGGAAACAGTTTCTTTTAAGTTTTTATCATCAATAGTTCGTGATATGAAGTGGCTATTAAGCTTTCTTGTTCTCGGTTTCAATTTGTTATCGTTTGCTCAGCATATTACTTTAGAAATTCCACAGCATCATGTCAACGAAGCAACAGAATCAGAAGAGTCATCATTTACAACTTATATAACAAAGAAATACTTCTTCGTGACATTTTTCAAGGTAAAAAATTAGAACGTAGAAGCTCCACACTGGAAGTTGCATATCTTTGCGAAACTCTTTAAAAACAAAATAACAAGAAAAGATTTTTTTACTTTCAGGCAAATTTCTTTCGAGCTCATCAATATTGCCAACTCAATAACATGGAACTTTTAACCATCGACTCAAAGGAAGAGGAGAGTGTTTTCATGAATTTAATTAATGCCAAAGGTGTGCTTGAAACATGACCTCGTGTCTTCCCATTCAAACTTATATTTATTCTCCATAGATTTTGAGTTTAAAACAGCGAAAGATTTTTGGACGAGTGGCAATGACTTAGGTGAGGAAGGCAAATTTTACTTTCTCACAAATGGGAAATCTGTTGGAAAATTAAACTGGGCTAAAAATGAGCCCAACAATGGTCGAAGAGCTGACAGCAATGAAACTGAAAATTGTATGGGATACACAATGACAGAGAATCTAAAATTTTACCGACTTTTCGATCGATTTTGTTCCATCAAATCGAATTTCATTTGTCAAAGCATTGAGTAGACATTGTGGAGATTCTCTGAATTTTACAACATCAGAATAATGCAACAAATGAACTTTTATTCAAAAATTACTTTTAGCAATAAATAAAATAATTTCTATCAGTGCAACTTTAAGCGTTGCAACTTTTTGGTTGTCTCATTTAGAAAACATAAAGAAACAAATTGTGATTGTATTCATTTCAATATTTTATGCACAGCTTTATTTGTATACCTATATGAATATCAAAATAAAAATAAATAAAAAAACAACTGAATCTGTTTTCTTTAAATAACTTTTATTGTTCTTTCTTTTTTGTACAAAATTTCAATGACCATCGATAATTTTCATTTGTTTTGATTCGTCAACTTATTTACAACTCATTTGTCTTTACTCTAATCAAGAAGTAATAAATTAAATTTCAATAAATTAAATTTCAATAAATAATTTTCATTCAACCAAAGTCTCTTAAATACTTAACAGATTTACGAAGTTTTTCTTTAATTTATTTAAGAATTAAAATTGCTGTTGATATTGTTGGGGGTACGGTTGGTTACTGTAAGCCAATCGATGGGCAAAACCGCTTTCTGAATTATAATCTTGATTGTTTGATTGTCGCTTCCATGAGCTTCCCCAGTCATCATGATCATGATCGTAATGATGCTTTAAACGTTGAGAAGATAAAATCATAAAAAATTGTTAATATTTGATAACAATGTAAGAGAAACATTGATTGGTAGTTGGGGAAAAGAAGCAAAGAATTATTATGATTTATGATAAATATTTACGCACCTGATGTTGTGCATGTTCAATGTACACGACCTTTAAGTTTATTAGTTTTCGTAAATGATGAGCGAAAAGAAGGAAAGATATTTAAAAATGTGGTTAGTGAAGAGAAAGTCGCAAAGAAAGGTTCCTAGGGCTATCGTTGAGTTTCAATGCTTACCTTGTGTGGTGCCTTCTTCAAGTCAATCCAGAAGCGGGCTAAGTTAATCATCAGAGAGGCAAGAGCGACAGCAAAGAATTTCAATTGTAAATGGAATGACAAGATCTTAAGCAACAGTTCGATCTTTGACTTAATTATGGCACCAAGGAAGAACATCTTCATCAATCCTTTCTTGCCTTTCTTTCCTTTTTTACCCTTACCTGTTTGATCGATATTGAAGTTATCGTAATGCACGAGAAAGAAAATCATATGTGAGTGTAATGTTTATGTTGTTTTCAAAGATAAACGATGACTCTTATAAAGCTATTCTGAAACAAGAACAACCGATAAAAGTCCTCGTAAGTGTAGAAAAAATTCTTTGTACAAAGTTGATGGAAATGAAAATTTTTAAAGAGTTAGAAAAAAAATGAGTTAGAAATGAGTGAAGAAATAAACTTTTATACGGTTTTGAAAGCTTCAGCAAAAGTTTAATTCATGTTTGTAAGTTTCAAAGCTTTTTTATGATTATCGCAATTTGTGATCTTCATTCATGAGATGTGATAAAATTAATAATTTTCCCCTTTTTATGATGGATGCTAATTAAATGTTATTTAAAATGAATCACTTCTAAAGTGACAATTTATGCTTCTGCTTGCATGAAACGAATTAATTTTACGACAAAATTTGAAACTCATTCATCTTCACATGTACTTGAAGTGATGAAATGAAAGCAATTAACACACTTAATTGAAATGTGAAAACTCTCAGTATTACCAATTGAGATGCAATTAAATCCGTTAGACTTTGTCTGAACATTTTCTCTTGTTTCAAGTTTTCAAAGACAGCTATTGGAAAATTTAAAGTCAGTGTAAGTTTTCAGCAAGAAGTGTTTGTTTAAGTGACTGAGATGAATTTGGTGAAATATACTATTACCCCGATATCCAATAAAACCATAACCATCGTCATCGTCAATGATTTGCCCATTGTTTATACCAATGCTTCCAGCTTGTTTAAGTCCACCCTTAGCTCTTTGATCTCCTGTTACTTTACCTTCTGATTCATCTCTTCCAATTGCTTCGAGAAGTGCATAATCTTCATTGAAATCATTTGTGTCTACATCATCGTCATCATCGTCGTCAATATCTTTCGATTGCTTCAAAGCTCGACTTCCACGTCCACGTAATCTGAAAATTGTTCCATTGATATGACAAATAAAATTATCTTATGTATGTTAAGTCACTTACTTATCGATTTGACCTGTAATTAAGTCAGACATTTCAGAAACACCACGATCTAAAGCTCCCATTACTTCAGATGGTAACTCGGTTTTCTCATCATTGCTTGCACCACGCGAAGTTTCTTTCTCTTTCATCTCTTCATCCGCTTGAACTGAAATGATTTAACCAAAGTCGCAAAATATATAAATTGTCACTTTCTTTTACAAACAGGCATCCCACAACGGATTTTCCTGATATGGGAATTGTTTTTTCATTTCACTAAGAAAATATTTCAATTCGCAACTGGTTGGAGTTCGCTCATCGTCGCCGTTTATAACCCATAAACACACATTTTCTCGCACATGTTGCAGAACTATTTCTTATTTAAAGAATCAAAAGAACAATTTTACGCTCGGGAAGAACATAAATGTTTTGTGAATCTAAATCAAAGTGTGGTTTGTTTCGCTTTTGATTTTTCACAACTTCGTGGATAAACAAAATTTAACTTAATGATCATCACAATTATCATAGTTCAGTTTTTATTAATTTACGAAAGTAATTATTCCACTTTTAAATGATATTATAAGAGGTAATAGAAAAAGTGAGTTTTCTCAAGTTCAAAATGATCAATAAACTTAATCATTCATTCATTTATTGTCTATCTAAAATAATTTCAGTTTTCTTCTTTAACATCACATTATGAGTGGTGAAGTGTGCTATATTTAATTTTGAAGAGTTTTATTTCCTCAAACTCACACGTATATGGTCAACAACAAACCGATACGCTTGAAGAAACTTTATAATATTTGAAACGGTACGTCGTCAGTTTTATTTTTGTTGTTTGATTCAACCAATTTTAAAACATGAGATTCTTGAACTTGAACTCCACTGGCATGTGAAAGAGAAGTAATTTTCAGACAACAATAGTGTGTCCGAAATATAATAAATAAGTAAGAAACACTTCTTCTTTAATTGTATGCTTGTCATCGATTTCACTTTCTTGACTATTAACAATGATTCGTACTTGAACATTTTGGAATTAAATTTTACAGACGAAACTGAAAAATAAGAAAAATAAAGTTCGTTGCCACAGAAGAAATGTTGCGAAATAATTTGGTTCAAATGTTTACAGCTGTTTTTGCACTTCAATCTTTGATTAAAGAAATCACCACAAGTAAGTAACAAAGTTTTTCTCATCGGGAACATTAATTTCCCAGAAAGCTAAACAAGAATTTCTTCATGTCGATAGCCATTCGTCTGTCCCACATAAAACTTGATAGAATTGTTCTATATTCAATCTTCTTCCACCGCAAGAATAACTGCTTTTAGTTGCATCAAATATACATCTTCTGATCTAATTTTGCAGTAAATAGCTTACATAAGTTAGTAAATTGCTTTCATATACGTAATTGTCTCTTTTCCGTTCACATTGTTTATATGCCTATCGAAAAGTTTAAACGCAGAATGGAATAGAAAACTTAATTTAAGATGAGCATGTGGCGATCTCGTTATCACTTTATAGTTTTGTCATTCCAGTTTCAAATTCTTCTAAATATTGTAAATTTTGTTCCAAATATTTGAAAGCTTTTCAGGTCACCAATAAAAGATATCAAAACTTTGAATATCCTAAGATTATCATTAAAATATAGAAATCGAGATTCGCATATTAAATACATAAATTCATACATTTTGCTCATCTAAAAACAGCAACAAGTTTAAACAGTTTTGTTCGCCTTCATTCAACGTTGTCACATACTTAGTATCATTTCTGAATAAATTCTTTGCTTGCTTCTTCTCTTTATACACTCGAGATGCATGAACATCCCAAAAGAAGATTATCATCGCTGTTTGCTTGAATATATTTTGCAAATTAAACATTATTTTAATTTTTCTATTGGAAAGTGAAAGAAAAACTGTCATGTGCTTAGTATCAGACCTTATGGGAAAAGTGAAAACTTTTCTCTTCTTCAGAGATGACGATCTTTGATTCATGTGGATTTTGTTTCGTTTGTTTCTCGTTTTTATTTTTTTTTCGGTTAGGAAGTCAACATATCACGTTGCACAGATTCTTTATTAGGTCAGGAATGTTGTTTATGCATGCAGTCGATTAAAATTGAATTAGAAAACAAGATTCGTTCGCTAAAATACCAGCAATGAATTGTCGAAAGACTGAAGACGAACAAGAAAGAGAAAAAAAGAGAAAGACATGTTCATGTTCTTAGTGGATATTTTACTTTTCCAGCCTTTTCCGAGTCTTTTCGTGATGGCATCGAAACATAATTTCCTATTTTCGATATTAACCCGTTGGTAGTTGCAATTCAATGCTATAAATGAAGACATTGTTAAAAGCAAGTTATGAAGTGATGATAAAAATAAAGACAATCCCTTCATTTCTCATGCATTCTTTTCGCAACCGTCCGAAAGTTCAGTGTATGATGGGCTGATGTGAAAGCTAATTATCATGATGATGAACATATCTTGAATTCATCCATAAATAAATTCTCTTTCGCAAGATCAACATCATGAAAAGTTCCTGCAAATTTTCCATCGTATCGTTTGAAGAATCATGAGTCATGACATACAGGAAAATGCAGCTTTCACAAATGATAAATAACACATCTATCCAAATAGTTATCGTGAAACTTAATATCTTTCTACTCACCTAATAATTCGTGTCGTTTTTGCTCAACAGAATCTTCCAAATTATCGAGCATTCGCCCAGTTTGCTCTTTAAGACAATTCCAAGGAGTTGGTGAGACATAACAGAGAATTGCTTTTACAAGTGATGACGTCTGCCGACCTGCAAATAGAATTTCTTTCAATCAATTATCTCGACTCTTTAAGTTGTCTTCTTTCTGTTTTCATTTCGTTTTCTTATTTCAATATCGTTTATGAAAAGTGAAACTAAGTATTGAGAGGATAAATCACGATCGTTTCAGCTGATGTTTGGTTTATTATAAAAGTTCATGACTTTTAATAGCAGATGATTTAGCAAACGATGGAGAATTTTTTCATGAAGTTCAAATGAAAAGTGAATTTACTTTCAATTGCTTCACCCAAATCTTTGGATACGCCAATTATAGCCTTTCATTATTATTCACAAATTGTTTGAACCACCTGACATTACGAGACATCAATAACTAATGTTTCAAAAAATTGGGGAAGAAACTTAATCAAAAATAAAGAAAATAAAAGAAAATTTCTAATGAAATTAATCAACTCTACATACGTGATCAGTTTTGCAATAAATTTCGAAATTTTGTTACAACTTTTAAAATAATCAATAAGCAGGTTGAATAGCGTAAATATTTATGAGTGAGGATATTTAGTGGCTTCGCTCTTCCATGTTTGACAGCTTTAAAACTATTAAAGACCGCAAATAATTAAGTTTAAGGTCAACATCAAAAGAAGATTCGAATCGAAATTTCTCTCATTTCTTTTTTACCATTTTCTGGATGAGTCAGACATTCCACACAATTTCTGTAGGATGAATGTGAACTGTTTTTTGGATTTTTATTATAAACAATGACAATAAAAATATATAAATTTCCATTTCAACTACCAGATCCGTGAATTGCAAGTGAAATCGAAAGGAAATAAAAAATTCGTGATGATGCGATTACAACTAACTATAAAAGATTCTTTTCGTTTTTAACAATATAATATCAAATGCAAAACTCAAACACGAGTAGCTTCTTAAACTCATTTTCGGTATCGTGGAGGTTGGGAAATTGTAAACACTTTCATTGAAGTCTAATTTACGACACCATACCAAACAACAGAATCAACACGAATTTATTCTCCCTCAACCTGAACAGTTTCACTTACGCACTGGAAGTGAAATGTGGAACAACGTTGTAAAGTTGATGATCATAACGACAGTTCATTAAATTTATTTATTTAAAGCTTACAATTATTATTTTTATAAGAGGTGAATTCTGTTATTTATTTACCAGTCTTTTCCGGGACATCCTCCTTCGCATTTACACAAGCAAATACAATTAAAAATATTGTTGCAATTTTCCACATTCTAATTCTTTACTATTCACTTTTTATAAAACTAATTTAAATGAACACAAAATCTCAAAACTTTTTCTTATGTTAAAAAATTAATTTCGATGTTTTATCAATTTCAAACCTAATCAATTTCAAATTAAGCCGAAAAAATTTAAAACACCGCTTAGTACTATAAAGTGAGATGTTTAACGTTCAAGATCAAGGCGAATACTGTAATATTTTAGCAATGCGTCGCGTTTATTTTATATGAAGGAGAAATGAGAATGTTGAGCATCTTTCATTTTAGAAGAAAGAAACCACAAGACGTTAAGTTGAATTTTTATTCTCTTTCTCTTCAGTCTTCTTTCTCCCTGTCTGGTATCAAAGGTAAACAATGCAAAAAAAAAAACATATGAGAAGATAAATTTATTAGTTTGACAATCTTTCTTTTTTTATCAAGTTTCTTTTTCTTACGTTTCTGAGTTGTTATTTTCTTTTTCAAGTTCCAAATTCAAATAAATGCATAAACTTTCGTTTGAGCTTTCATTATTCTAGTACTTCAATAAACGTAACTTACGTAATTACGTAAGAAACAGTTTTATTTCACACAAAGCTTGAGCATAAAAGCTTAAATATTAGAAAATAATCTAATAATTTGTTATGTTCATTTTTTTCTTGATGATGTTTACTTCATATGTTTACGTACTTATTATCGTATCTTTTGTATATGTAGGTATTTAATCTTGTTGTGATATTGTTGGTTCTTGAAGTTCAACATTTTGAATATATGAAAAAAATTATCTACTTGATAAATTAGCGTGCAGATATTTGATTTTTTTTTATAAATATTGCATTCATAAAAGTCTCTATGAATGCTTTCATTCATGTTTTCTTGAATATTGTACACAAAATTTAATTTAAACTAAAAGCAAGCATAATTTGCTCTTTATTCTAATCATGATTGCAGGAACAAATCGTAGGTTTCGAGAAGTAGAATATAAAATCGGAAGAAACTCAAATGCTTCATTATCTGGTGCAATTAAATTAAGCCTTTTATTGTTCAAAAGTTTTATTTTAACTTGATTTTTGAATTCTCTCCTTGAATTACTCATTAACATACTTCGCCCCTGGCCCTGTTTCATTTAAAGTGGAATTTTTCACTAGGATATAATAAACTGAAATGTCTCTTTGTATCAAATTTGATAAAAATATAAATTTGTCAAATATGAACAATGAAGAGTATTCAGGAATATACAATCCTGTGGAACGCTACTGAAAGTGGAACCTTCATCATTCAGGTGATGAGACAAAGGGAGCGAAACAAGTTGGAATTTATATTCCTGTATTCTTAATCGCTTTAGTGTACAGTCGTGCACTCCCTACTCTGATGATGATGATGATACTCATTAACATTACATATGATATTGAAATTCCTTCCTAGAATTTCAATTAAAACAATTGTAGTGATGAATGCGAAAATTTCTTAATATTATTAAAAATTATAATTTATTTTTGTGATATTTATTTATTATTACTCGTATTTTACATTTTATCTCAATTGTCTGGTATTGAATTGATAATGTCATTTATCGATTCTATATCTATAATTAAATTGGAAGAATTATAATTATTTTGATTTGTTTTTATATTTTCGTAATTTATAGACTGGATATGGGGAAGTTTTGGAACTTCGATATTATTACTATTTTGTTCTTGTTCTGTCAACATAGTTGATGAAGGAAACTTTGTTGAAGAAACTTTCGAATGCTTATTGTTTATAATTTCCTCAGGTAGTGCTTGGGAAACGATAAAAGTTTTCAAATTTTGTGTCACAGGTTTGTTTTGAAGCGATGAATCTCCAGTAGAATCTTTCAAATTATTAGGAAGCTGGATATCAGCTTGTTGCTTTTGATATTCAATTTCAAGAGAGACAGATGGAATAATTGAAAAAATTGTATCTTTAGTGCTTTTATCATTGTATCCAGAAAGCTCATTAAATACTTTTTGTTCATTAGCAATTTCTTTTGGTTGGTATCCATTTTCGTTGGTTTCGTAAGAAATAGGTGAAGTAAATTTGGAATGTGGTGTGTCAAAACTATTGTATGTGTAATCTTGTTGAAAAGGTGAAAGAAGCGAATGAGAAGGATTAATCTGGATTGAAGGTTTCAAAATTCGAAGATGAGGGAGTGAAACTCCTTCGGTGGAGGTTGGAATGTGATCTGTGTTACCAATTGTAGAGTTATGACTATAAGGATGAGAAACTTTATCAGAAGGTATTTCTTGATTACGTAATACCCCATGAAGTTGAGGTAATGAAACACCTTCAGTTGCTGTTGGATTGATATTTGAGTTATTTGGTGACGATTCATGGTTTTGGAGAGAAACTACATCAGAAGGTATTTGAATAAGGAATGGTATCCTATGAAACTGAGGTTTGGAGACTTCTTCCGAAACTGCATTTTTAAATGGACTTAGTGTAATATTTGAATTTTTGTGTCTATATTCTTCATCGTCACTTGTATTTCCTGAAGTTGATTGTTGATCTTCACTATCATTTATATTTCTTATAAGAGCAAATTCACTCTGATTATTGATCTGGGTTTTTAGAGGATTTTCACTATCCAAAGACAAAGCTTGTGTTGTTGGTGGCTGAGAACCTCTAAAACTTGAAACTGCTTGTTGAATCAATTCATTTGGACCTGTAAATGGATTTTCCAATTGTAATCCAGATGGTCTTTGGGGATTTGATGATGTTGATGATTGCTGTCCAGGTTGATTTGAAGAACCTTGTGATGGTTGAGAATCTCTGAAACGTGAAACTGCTTGTTGAATCAATTCATTTGGACCTGTAAATGGATTTTCAAATTGTAATCCAGATGGTCTCTGAGGATTTGATGATTGCTGTCCAGGTTGATTTGAAGAACCTTGTGATGGTTGAGAACCTCTAAAAGGTGAAACTGCTTGTTGAATCAATTCATTTGGACCTGTAAATGGATTTTCAAATTGTAATCCAGATGGTCTTTGGGGATTTGATGATTGCTGTCCAGGTTGATTTGAAGAACCTTGTGATGGTTGAGAACCTCTGAAACGTGAAACTGCTTGTTGAATCAATTCATTTGGACCTGAAAGTGGGTTTTCAAATTGTGATCCAGATGGTCTTTGGGGATTTGATGATTGCTGTCCAGGTTGATTTGAAGAACCTTGTGATGGTTGAGAACCTCTAAAAGGTGAAACTGCTTGTTGAATCAATTCATTTGGACCTGTAAATGGATTTTCAAATTGTAATCCAGATGGTCTTTGTGGATTTGATGATGTTGATGATTGCTGTCCAGGTTGATTTGAAGAACCTTGTGATGGTTGAGAACCTCTAAAAGGTGAAACTGCTTGTTGAATCAATTCATTTGTGCCTGTAAATGGGTTTTCAAATTGTGATCCAGATGGTCTCTGTGGATTTGATGTTTGCTGTCCAGGTTGATTTGAAGAACCTTGTGATGGTTGAGAACCTCTAAAAGGTGAAACTGCTTGTTGAATCAATTCATTTGGACCTGAAAGTGGGTTTTCAAATTGTGATCCAGATGGTCTTTGGGGATTTGATGATTGCTGTCCAGGTTGATTTGAAGAACCTTGTGATGGTTGAGAACCTCTAAAAGGTAAAACTGCTTGTTGAATCAATTCGTTTGGACCTCTAAGTGGGTTTTCAAATTGTGATCCAGATGGTCTTTGGGGATTTGATGATTGCTGTCCAGGTTGATTTGAAGAACCTACACTACCAACTCTTGGAGAAAAAGGTGAAACTGCTTGTTGAATCAATTCATTTGGACCTGTAATTGGACTTTCAAATTGTAATCCAGATGGTCTTTGGGGATTTGATGATGTTGATGATTGCTGTCCAGGTTGATTTGAAGAACCTTGTGATGGTTGAGAACCTCTAAAAGGTGAAACTGCTTGTTGAATCAATTCATTTGGACCTGTAAATGGATTTTCAAATTGTAATCCAGATGGTCTTTGGGGATTTGATGATTGCTGTCCAGGTTGATTTGAAGAACCTTGTGATGGTTGAGAATCTCTGAAACGTGAAACTGCTTGTTGAATCAATTCATTTGGACCTGTAAATGGATTTTCAAATTGTAATCCAGATGGTCTTTGTGGATTTGATGATGTTGATGATTGCTGTCCAGGTTGATTTGAAGAACCCTGTGGCGGTTGAGAACCTCTAAAAGGTGAAACTGCTTGTTGAATCAATTCATTTGGACCTGTAAATGGATTTTCAAATTGTAATCCAGATGGTCTTTGTGGATTTGATGATGTTGATGATTGCTGTCCAGGTTGATTTGAAGAACCTTGTGATGGTTGAGAACCTCTAAAAGGTGAAACTGCTTGTTGAATCAATTCATTTGGACCTCTAAGTGGGTTTTCAAATTGTGATCCAGATGGTCTCTGTGGATTTGATGATTGCTGTCCAGGTTGATTTGAAGAACCTTGTGATGGTTGAGAACCTCTAAAAGGTGAAACTGCTTGTTGAATCAATTCATTTGGACCTGTAAATGGATTTTCAAATTGTAATCCAGATGGTCTCTGGGTATTTGATGATGTTTTTGATTGCTGTTCAGGTTGATTTGAAGAACCTTGTGATTGTTGAGAACCTGTAAAACGTGAAACTGCTTGTTGAATCAATTCATTTGGAACTGTAAATGGACTTTCAAATTGTAATCCAGATGGTCCTTGAGGATTTGATGATTGCTGTCCAGGTTGATTTGAAGAACCCTGTGATGGTTGAGAACCTCTAAAAGGTGAAACTGCTTGCTCAATCAATTCATTTGGACCTGTAAATGGGTTTTCAAATTGTAATCCAGATGGTCTCTTAGGATTTGATGATTGCTGTCCAGGTTGATTTGAAGAACCTTGTGATGGTTGAGAACCTCTGAAACGTGAAACTGCTTGTTGAATCAATTGATTTGGACCTGAAAGTGGGTTTTCAAATTGTGATCCAGATGGTCTTTGGGGATTTGATGATTGCTGTCCAGGTTGATTTGATGAACCTTGTGATGGTTGAGAGCCTCTAAAACTTGAAACTGCTTGTTGAATCAATTCATTTGGACCTCTGAGTGGGTTTTCAAATTGTAATCCAGATGGTCTTTGAGGATTTGATGGTGTTGATGATTGCTGTCCAGGTTGATTTGAAGATCCTTGCGATGGTTGAGAACCTCTAAAACGTGAAATTGCTTGTTGAATCAATTCATTTGGACCTGTAAATGGATATTCAAATTGTAAATTAATGAATGATATTTGCGATTGTTTTCCAGGTTGTGAATAAATAATGTAAATAAATGCTTCTTAATTACTTCTCAAAGCTCCCGAATGTGGAGATTTGTTTATCTGAGCAATAGGATTACGCTCAAATGATTTAGTTCGGATAGATAAAGTTTTGACTCCCATTATTATATTCAAAATTCCAGTAATAATTAAGATTTTGAGCGTAACAATAATGTTTGTTATTAATACTCCAGTCAGCATGACCAGCGGCAAAATCAATGCCATAATCTTTTTAGCGAAAATTTCAATGTGTCCCAATTTTCTCCCTGAAATGAAAAAAAAACGTACACACATTATAATTTTTTATATTATGAGTATTAAATCTAAGTTTTGTAAAACATTCATCAATTATACATTCAACTGTTTAAACTTTAATGTTCATATGATGAAAACTGACAGATAATATTATTCTTATTTAAGTTATTTTCAAATCAACTTGAAGCTAGAATAAAGATCTTTCAGTTTCTTCATCATTTTATTTTATTTTTTATGTTCATCAGTCACCCATTATTTCATTTGGGTTCAGTTTCTTTAATGAAGTAATTCCAAATGTTCTGTTCTTAATAACACTGCATAATGTTTAAAAATGTTATCGTTTAAGGTCCTGGATTTTTTTTTCACTTCAAGATTAATAAGTACCTAACTAAATTTTAGTTGAATAATTTGTTATTATTTCATCACACCCTAAGTTAAGCTTTTAGGTTTTAAAAAAGTGCTGATACAATTTTTGATACATTTAAAGTTAGTAAACTAAATTTGTGATTAAAATCTTCAAGAGATGTTGCAAGAAGATATTAATTAGATTTCCTCATAACTTACAGATGAACTATTATTGTGATTTCACATACAATTTTTTATGAAACTTTAAAGCTCTACCAGCATTGTGCAATTTTTATCTCATTTAAAAATTAGAAAAATTTGATAAGGAAAAGTTTTGAATAAATAAAATTATTTAGAACAGCAACTTTAATCCTTCTCAATAATTAGGCAATGTATGAATTTTATTCCTAATTTGCATAATAAGATGACAAAACACTAGTTTGAAAGAATGTCTAGTTACATCGAGACGATTCGTCTGCTTTCTGTTTCGTATTACACAAAGAGATCAGATCCCTACAGATGAGCATGTAGATGTGAACTCGTTCCTTCGATATAGTGTAGGTAGATTCATTGAAGAAAATATTTTGATCAACTTCTTTTTACTCTTTTATCGACCTAATTAAAATATTGTTTATAAAACTAAACTAAATAAGTAATATTAATTTGTTGACAATCAGAAGTAATCGATATCAAGAAGTCTCGTGATGAAAAATTTCTTCTTCACATCATCATAAAACTATCGTAAATTATAATTAACAAACACTCAAAATTGAATAAGAGAAGTGTGTTAAATATTCCTTTCATTCTATATCAGAAACGAAGATGTTCACTTTCTTATGTCAAACACAAACACGTTTCAAACTGAAACCCCAATTCATTCCATTTCTTTTATTTGAAATGATATTGAGAAATTTATATTTCGCTCGATGATAGACCCAAATATAAAAAAGTTTTCTTGATCTCTTTCTAAGGAGCATTTAAAGCACTTGAAGGTGAATGCTTTCATTGCTTATAGACTAAACTTTTCTCACACAATTTTCTTCACTATTGTAATAGCAAATGATTAATTACCAGTTGATTTCTCAGAAACATCATTATTTGCTTCTACATAACCACATGCCAGAACGAAAATAACTAAAATTATGTTTCTCCACATCGTTAAAATTATAATTTTCTATCAAGTTCTATGACGTAAAATTTATGACAAAGAAATTCAATCCACTTGTTTTTTAATATGAATAATAAATAAATAGTTTGACGACAGAAGCACTGCTTAGTTTTGACGTTTGAAGAGGACAACATCAAAATGAATACTGTCAACTCATAGCGCATTAATTTAATAGATACGATTGAGAGAATGAAGAAGATTTTCCTTAAAAATTTTGGATAAAATTCGCATTCTCTGTCTCTCCTTCATTTCATCTATCCGTAAAAAATGTAAACAAAACAAAACTTAAGCGAGAGTTGACTAACAGTAAAGCACTCTGAAGAAAATGCATTTCTTCTTTCTTCTCTGATGAATTTCAAATATTTCTTCTTCAGTTTCTAACATATTTTATATTTTAACAGTTGAAATATTTCAAGCTTCCTCTAAAGCTTTGAAAAATCTAGTCTTATTTGATTATTTAAGTTAAGCTTTTGCTGGTAACTTAACTGAAATCAAAAAGTTTAAACTGGAATTTAAAAAGCTCAAACTTCAACGCGGAATTGATGAATCAATAAGTTAAACTGTAAACAAAAATAAAACTGAAAATTGAAATAAGCAGATAATCAATTCTAGATAGGTGAGAATTACTTTCATTTGTCTTCTTGTTTTGTTCTGAAATTTCTTTATTCAACACCGCCCATAACTGTATTGCTTTGTTTCAAATGTTCTTAAATCTGCCGTTAACATTTAAATGAAATTTTTGATCATTTCAATTCTAAAATCAATTCTTTTAAAAATTCAGGTAAAGCTGTTCTTAAGCGGTGGCAGTTAACATCACGCATTGAGCGATAATTGGATAATTGACCATGTTTTCACGAGAAAGTTCAACAGAATTTAACAAAGATATGATTCATGAAGAAAGGTTTAAATTATGCTCTAGTTATCATGATCTCTGTGGCTAACATCATAACTATGTTTTCATTTCTAAATTCAGGTTTATAATTTCTTTGTTCACAAATTTATTCAATGATTTCACACAAAAGTAAAACATAATATGAGACGATTTAGATCATTTGAGATCGCAAACGCCTATGAATTTCATTATATTTATCACTGAGTTTATTACCATTAATTAATAATCATTTCAATGGTTTTTTTGTCCTTCATACATATTCATGCAACATCATGCTCAAACTTAAGTCATTAAATATGTATCTAATGTGAAGGTGAATAATTTACAAAAGATGAGATATTACGAATATCTACTTAAAAACAAACATCAATAAATATTTTATTATCTAATAAGATGCTGTTTTCGTAGAAGAAGCACGTGCTATTGCATCTGACAGCAACTTCTTGACTTCTTCGGGATTCATTGAATCAATCGATTGTGGGAGAATCAGTGTTGTCGGTTGAACATTGAAATTCGGTTGATTGCTTAATCCATTAACCACTCCATCGTAACCTTGTGGTTGCTGTAATTGATTAATTTGATGGAATTCCGTTTTATGTGGTATTTGTAACGGAATGCCTGAAACTGATCCCCTTTGTGATTGTCCAATACTCATTTGATGCTGTGGCTGATAAAGATTAACGGGTGATGGAAAATCTTTTGGAGGCATGTAAAATCTGTATGGTTGGTTAAATGACGGTTGTTGATCATAATAATTTGATTGCTGTAACCACTTATAGTCTTGATTGTTTCCGAATCTGTAGTCGTATTCCGAGCTTCTTTTGAAAAAGTCGCTGTGGTCATCGTGACCACCAAGATTATGAACTTGATGTTTATGAAAATCTGAATTTCCATTTGAAGGTACTGGAATGAAAATTTGCTGTGGGGGTGGAGGTTGATGATAAACAGGATAGACCTGTGGTGAATCGTGTTTCGAAGGAAGAAAATCTTTTAATGCATAAACGATCTTTGCTACCATAAATCCAAGCTGAAGTAACAACACTTTGCCTACTAGCAATAGATTCAATACTCCAAGTATTTTTATCTTAAAGATCACGGCAGTGAGGAGACCACCAATGAAGGCTGCTGGTAAAATTATTTTTCGAAATAGTCGAATGCGTCCGAACGTTCGCTCTAAAAGGAATAGAAGTTGAGAGATAAATTCATTAATTAATTTACAATGCAAATGTTTTAATAAGTAGAATTAAGCCTAATCCATTTCACACACAAAGGAACAAAAGAAGAACAGCAATTGGTCCCGGAATAGGAAAAGAAGCAGTTTGGGAACACAAACTTATCAATGACAAGTTAAAGCATCGCTTCGACTTGTTTCAAAGGGAAAGCAAAGGAATTTGGATCGAGAATCAAATCCCTGACCTGATCTAATGATGGTGGAAATGAGAAAGCCACCAAATAAAAGTGCTGGCAAAATTATATTTGGAAACAGTCGAACTTGCCCGAATTTTCGCTCTAAAAGTAATGAAATGTCAATGGTAAATGCATTAATATACGATTCAAATATTTTAATAAAGTTCACGATTATATTTATTTTTAAACATCCTGATCTGATTCAACAATTCATTCATTCAGGTGTAAATATGCAAATTTTAACTTTGCCCTAACGAAGTGAAATGGGTTGATTAACATAATTCACAAGGCATGTGTGATAAGAGAAAACAAATTAAAATAAACAAATGTAAAGTTTCCATGAAGCGCCAACCTCGTTTGTCATTTGACTGCTTTTTTCCTGTTTGATCGAATTTAAAAATTATAAACTTTTCGTCAACAAAATACTCAAATATTCAAAGTCAAGTTTTATTTCAAAGTTAAGCTTTGGAAAAAAGTGGCATTGAAAATAGCTTTTGGAGGTTTCCGCATTCTCTGTTGAATGTGTTTATTAAGAAATTTACTTTGAAAAGTTTATTTGAGCGCGAAATCTTTATCGGTTTAAATCATTCAATGATGATGCAGTCATTTTTATTTAGTTTACCTGTAATTTCGCTTTCACCGAAATTCCATTCAGTAAGTAAAGATTTGAGTAGGTGACGAATCTGAAGCAACTGCTGAGAAAGACTCTCGTACGTACTACGAAGCGATTTTTGATTGTTAATCTGCAAATCGTTCGATGAATTGTGACTGGCTTCCGCTTTCAACTCCAATAATATGGAAACAATGACTAGCGCAGAGAACAATGCCACATTGGAAGTTTTGTTCCTCCTCATACCTATAAAGAAGATTATAAACACATTGAAGGGGAAGTGTTAATTGTTGAGTTGATTGAAAATTTGACTATAACAGTCAAGCGTTGCAATTACAAGCACGTGAACAGAAGATTTATGATTTATGATTTATCAACACAACATAACTTGCTGTACATCATAAGAAAATAAACAAAATAGTTCATAAGTTTGTTTACTTTACAACATCCGAAGTGGAGATAAAGTTAACAATAAAGCAAGTAATTGGTGTGCTTTGAAACGTTTAAAAGTCCAACAACCGATTGTTTACATCTCTCATTAGCAGTTTGTTGTTTGTGAGCAATCAAATTGGAAAGATAAGTAAATTATTCACTCAAATTAAAGAAAGAAGAAATCAATAAATAAAAGTTTCACAAAAATTTCTTTTCACTCATTGTTGCATGATTCGCGCGCTCTTTTGAAAGAGATGCAATATGTTGAATCGAGTTTAATCAACAAATATCTACGTGAAATAAACGAAAGTGCATGCTACATGAAAGTAAAACATCTGACCGCATCAGGTTTTGTAAAAGAAAACTTATTTATTAATTTCAGTGGGAACAAACTAAATTTTTTGTGTAGGAAATTGAATAATAATAAATGGATTTCAATCAGTAGATAATCCATCTTATTAAGTTTTTTTTCCCTTGACGAACATAAAAATGTGCCACATACAACGCCACATAAAACATGACTCGTAAACAAAGACAATTTAGAGCAACAAGTTTAACGCCGCAGTTGAAACATGTTTTTTGCTTTCATTAAGATTTTGAATTGGTCTGAATCACTTTTCGGCTTTTGGTCGATGATACTACCTAGCAAAAGTGAAATGCTATAGATGAATAAGCGAAAAGAATGTTAATTTGAACGCTTTACTTTTTCAATCCCACTTGGCTTGAAGCTCAGTCGACAACAAAAGTTTCTTCAGGATTAATGACACATTTAAATTGTATTTACTCAATGTAGCATTTAAAAACTTTTACAGCAGCACAAATATTTGAAGAATTAAGTAAAATTCGAGGTTCAAGTGAAGTTAAAACTTGCATTTCTGTAAGTATGTTAAATTTACTTTCATCATCATCATCACCAAATCTTTGTCGATTGACAAGTTTTCATTTCATGTTTACTTACTTTTTCCTGTTCCTATCTATAGTTTTAAGTTAATTAATTTATTAATATCAAAAATGATCGCTTCACAAAAATATTTTTATGAATGTAAAGTTTGCATAAATTTATTTCACATTTTCTTTTTATTTTTTTACAGATTCTTTTGAATGTCGAACTTTGTTGTTGTTGTTTAGTCACGTCTTAAATTGCAAAAACCTAAGGATGTTGTCATTTTTATTTTATTTAAAAAACCATTAAATGCAATCAATTTTAATTTATCATCGTGTAAAAAGTTAAAATCACTTAGTTTCTCCAGTTATAACCGAACTATATGATCAGCAAGTGTGAAAATAATCAATTTTTATGTTTTTACTGAAAGCCGTTTTTATTCCGATCCACTGTGATATCAGTTCAAGTGCAGACTGAAAGAAATTTTTACCATAAAAATTGCCGTGGACTTCAGTGAGAGCGAAAGAGATTGCGAGGAGAGTTAACGCAGTTAACGGACAGCGAGAAAGAAAGACTTTTACCCTGCTTTCTGCTTACTGTTTTCTATTAACTTACTCATGATTCATTGAAGATGTAAATTGAGAGTGGCTGCTGGATAAAATAAAATGTTTTGATGATGTAAGAAATTTATTTTTCCATGGAAATTTTATTTTGCAAAAAGAGAGAAAGAAAAGAAAAGAAAACTTACCACGCACCATATAAAAGCTCTTAACCTAAATTGAATAAAGTCTCTCCAAATTGAAGGCTGAGAAAGAATTTTGCTGATAAAAGTAAGATTCTTAAATGTCAACCAGCTGGTGAAAAAAAAAAACGGGAAAAGTGTGAATATTATTAATTTTTCGACAGTCCGTTGACCGACCCAAAAAAAGATGAAAATTTTCATCGTTGGTGATCTTCACATAATAAACTCAACACAGAACTTGCAAATTGTGCAGATAAACTGTGCGAGACATCAGACAAACAATATGCATCTTTACATTTAATTAACATTTTTGTGTGGTCAGATCATTCACCGTTAAACTTTACAATTTCATTGTGCCAAAAACGAGAAATATTTCATATGTTTCACGGCATTGAATTTCTCATTGTCTTTATTTATTATTTAATTTCAAGTCCAATGAAAACATTCTCTTATATGGAACACGCATGAAAGAAGCAAAAATATTTTATTTGACTTTACTTATTTTCCCTTCACATCGTTACACAGATACGTGACTTTTTTGGCTTAAATAAAATCCGACGGATCCTACACATTAAGTGCGCGCACAGAAGAAGACAAAAATGTTTAGAGACCATGAAGAAATGCTAAATAATTCTCCGATGATCGTCGTTTGCATATTGATTATCCACTGAGTTATCAAGGAAGGAGAAAGAGACAAAAAACATCCAAAACCGTCGAAACGGAAAAAAAAGATCGTTCACGAGCTTCTAGAAATACATTAAATAAATGATCCGCGAAATTGTCCCCTTCTCAGAATATCTTTTAGTATTTTCTACCTCCAATAAATGATCGTATAAAAACGTAAAACTTGAGTAAGTATGTGATCGGAAAGCTTCATGAAAAATGGAAATATAACAAAATAGTTCATTAAGAAATGGTTTTGTATGTCATTTAAGTTTCCTTCTTACGTTTTTTTAAATAAAGAAGTTTCTAAATATTTCTCTTTTTTACACGTTCTCAGCCAACATCTTTTGGTAAAGAAATTGAAGAATGGAATCCAATGTCTGAAGAACCTTCTTATTTAATGATATTTGCTACGGTATTTGCGATCGCTTAAGTCGTTTCGTTTATTAGTTTTGCCATTTCCATTTAAACAAGAGTTGTCAACGTCTCAAAATACATTCGTATTTAAAATTTAAATATTTTTTTTTTATTCTCTTTGCTGCAGGCCAGTTGATGAATTATGTTCTCATTCCTTAGTCTTCTGAATCAGACTTGACGCCTTGACGCACTTCCAGAATGATAGAAGATGAAGAATCAAAAGTCAGCTTCTTCTTATTCATTACATTTGAATGAGAGAAAAAAGTAATAAAACAGCATTTGTGTCATTAATTAAGCGTTTCTCGGATGTATATGTTAGCGTCTCCCCAGAACATGTTATGACCACATGTGCTTCTGGGTGATATGATGAATGAGATTAATTAATCCTTGTGTCCTATCGTTGGCAGAAATCTGATGATTGTATCAAGAATTCACCTAACCTCTTAAGGCTATGTCTAATAGCGATTTACATAAGTTCGACAATATGTCAAAGACAAAGCCTAAAAGAGGCTAAATTTTTTCTGACAACATTGAAATGTTGAGTGTTGGTTGCTGCACAAGGTTAACGATAATTCAAATAATTCTTTCTTTTTTTTCATCTCTAATTTGCACTTCAACAAATCATTTACCACAATCACAAATAAATTTTTTAACGTAGATATAAAGATGTAATCATAATTTTCACTTTTAATATTGTTTTTATTTCAATTGAAACATTTTATGAAAATTTAAAAACACTTTGGATTATTTTTCTTTCTTCGTTTCTGAACCTGACACGATAAAACCTTTCAGAGAACTTAACAGTTTAACCGTCTTTTGAGGAGTAGTTCTTGCATTTTTTATTTCGGAGTCTTTATTGAAAAATTTCAAGGCCGAGGCACAGCCGAAATAACAAGAAACACAAAATCGTATGTATTAAAAGCCGTCTTGCTTTGTTGTTGTGAGTCGTTTTTTTTTCTTTCTGGATATTAATATTCGCGTATACAGTGCAAAAGTGTTTTTTTCCTGTGTTCTCTTCGACGGGTTTTTGTGAAGCAGGCAGGCAGGCAGCATGGTTAACTCATTTTCAAATCCACATTCTCGTAAGCTCTATGTTTTCGATGATGTCATGGTGTTTTCTTCCATCGAGTGCTCCAGGAAATGTTAGATGCCAAATATTAACTATGGGCGACTTCACCTACTCGACCTGCTTATGTAGTTTGTCTTTCTTATCGACAAGTGTGTTAAAAGTCGTTTGGCGATTGAAACTAAAGCGAGATCGTTAATAGCTACTAAATAAGAAATTTTTGAATAACAAACACACGAGGAAATTTTTTCTTTTTTCATTGAAATTGACTTTGACTTTAAATTAAACATTTTTGGAAGATTATCATTTGTTGTTGTATTCTGTATTCATGAGAGACTTTGACGCTTCGCTGGTGTTTTAAGTCTTCTTTCTGCTTTTTTTATTTTAACAAATTATGTTTTGTTATAATGGCTGTGATGATGGTCATAAGAGTGTTAGTAAGTCTCTGACTGTTGACTAATTTTAATGTCCACAATCTCTCATTGATTTCATATTCAAGACTTCGCTCAAATCGACTGAAGCGCACGAACGAAATTAGATAGAAAGATTTTCATGTATTTCCAGCTTTTAAAGTTATATAAATACATTGGCTATTTATCGATATTAGAAGTTAGATTCATCGCTTCAGGCTTAAACAACTTTCAAGATTCAACATTTGATGGCTAAAATGATTGTTTGAAATTAAATAAATATTTATGGGTGAAACTGATAATTACACATGTTCCAACCCTGGTCCCAGCCATAAAAATGTTGCATGAAGTCAAATATCTAATTAATGCACGCTGACGAGGCTTCTTCTTCCACCACCATTCGAGTCTTCTTATGTTCAATATAGGAAAACCTTGAATGGTGCATGTATGAGACGCTTCAAAATAAAAAAATCTTTAAGATTTAGAGAAAAAGCTAAGAAGAAGCATAAGAATGTTTGCCTTTTATTTTGTTTTTAGCTTTACTTCATCCTTCTCTATTGCATTTTGTTTTCGAGATGAGGGTCTTGAAAGACGCAGCAGTACGATAGCCAAAAACAAAAACATTTCGCACAGATTTGTTACTTTTTTCTTCTCAACAGGCTTTTTTTCGTTGCCTTCGATTAAATATTCCTGGCTGTTCTTTCATTTCTATTTCACTTCAATATTCTTCAGCTCTTCTTCATTTAATATTTTTTGTTGCCTTTTTTTATTTTGCAGAATCCAGATTTTATGTTGTGTCTGTGCGAGTGCAAACGTTCTGCCGTTTTGCAAAAGAGATTAATTAACTATCAACGTTCCGATACAAGAATTTTCATCCCCAAACCAACGACGATCAGTTGTACGACTCACAAAAATATTTTTACTTTACGAATTTCTTTCTTTTTTTAACTTCATATAAATTACGTCTTTGTGAGTTGTGTCTAGAACATGTTTGAATAAAGATTTCTCAAAGGCAATAAGGATGAGGGAAAGAGAAAAGAAAGAAGGAGACTGTTAAATATGGAGAAATCTGCGCGCATCAATGCATTCGTTCATTCTTTATGAGAACCTATCGCCCAAAAAATATTCTTTTTATAAATTATTAAAATTTATGACTGCCAAGAAATTCATTTTCGCATCGCGGCGACGGTGCAATAACATTGTAGCGATCGAGCTTTTCTGTGAACTTCACAAACATCAAGCAATGGAAGGTTCACTACTAAAATCTCAAAACTGGTTAATCCACAAAATAGTTTCATTAAACATTCAACTTCAATGTTAGGCACCGAAGATATAAAAAAAATTCGACAAAAAACGTGTGCATAGCTTAAAGACATTGTGTTTTATACAATCCCACAATGCCTAAAATCAAGGCTATCAAATGACGTCACTGTCTGTTTTCTTCCATAAAACATTGAAGTTCTCTTCCATATTTGTTTTGACTAGAACTATCATCAACTAACAAACAGGTAGCATGACAAAGATTTTTCAGATTCTCAAAACGGTTTTTTATTCGTTTTTGGTTTCATCGGTAAATTTGCGAAGCAATTAAACATTTCGCTTAAGTATGGTGCAATGTCAAGAGACAAAAATCATTGCCACAAAGACTACGATGAATTAGAAAGGAAACAAACTAAACGAAGAGAAGGAAAAAATGTATGAGAAGCATTTACACACCACGCCGTGTGGCTCAATGTGACTTTAACTTTTGATTCTCTTATTTTTTTCATATTTTTCATTATAATTTTAGACATATCTTCTATATTTTACTTCCACATACAGTCTGATTGTTGTTGCAGTGGAGCGGAGGTAAGAAGAAAAAATTAAATGCAGAAAATCATCAGACGACGGGTTATATTTTCGTGTATTCGCTTCTTCCACTTTACGGTTAAACATTCTTTTTGTAAGAGAAAATAAAAAAAATTAATGGTCAGGGTTCTTAATTTTCGCTTTATTGTTAGATCATGAGTTTAATTCTGAACGAACAATTCAACAAAAATGTGATCGAAGCTTTTTCATTGATGAACGGAAATAGCTGAAAGTAAAATTGGCCTCAAGACATTGCCTTTTAGAGATTTGTTAGATCAAGTCGGAAATACCAGCGAAGAAGCTTTCAAAGAGTGATAGAATTTGTAATGAAATATCTTCTAAGTATTACACGTAGAGTTCTTTTATTACTTTTCTTATATAAGATTATTTTCAAAGGAATAATTTGATATTTATAAGAAGCTCCAAGTACAAGTTGTGATGGCATTTTTTGGAACAAATTTTTAGTTTTATTTACACTTTTTAAAGAGAATTTATAAATAAAATCATTTCATTCTCCCTTAATAGAAACTAAATTCTAGAACATTAAAAAGATTATTTTAATAAAGCTAGAATTTATAACGGGAAATTAAAATTTAAAATAGACAAGACACATTGAGTTCATGATGAAATTTGTGTCTTTGATAAGAAAAATTGTAATCGTTCCAAAAGTAAGCTTAAAAGAAAATTCTGAATCAAACAATAAAATGATGATGAATACATTTCATTTAAAAGTTTTATATTTATTAAAATAAAAAGATTTTTTGTAAACTCCATGAAAAGTGTTATGTAACTTTTCATTGGATTGGTTTTTATTCAGCAAAAATAGAAAAAGTGCAATGAAACAGAATGAACTTGTTTGGCCGACTGTCTGTCAATTATGTTAATTTTATTGAATTGATGAATAATTTAATCGTGAAAGTTTTTCCTTAAGATGTTTCGGATGACATTTTAATAAGAAAAAGTTCTTCAAATTTTAAAAATACGGGCAATAAATCCTGATTTAAGGAATTTCATAAAGTTATCAAAAAGCGCCTTAAAAGAAGTTTCGAATATTATCCTTACTTGTTTTCAATTTATTGTAAGTGAAAAGCAGAGTGAAGAGTTTTCGTTTTCTTTAAGAAAATATTAAAATTTTGATAATCTTGTTGATTTATAAAGGATAACAATTGCACAGGTATTGCTATTCGCTATAAGTTATTTAGAATTCCAATCAATTAGTGATTAAAAAATGACACAAATCAAAAGCAAATTTATAAATCGTTCTTAAATTCATGCGCAAACAGATACGAAAAAATTTCCTTTGTATTTTCCAACGATGCGAATGATTTTCTTTAGTTTTCATCCAACCGAGCTCGATTGACGTTTATAATTTGCGGTGGTGATTTTTTTTGTACAACATACAATTAAGAAAAGAAAATTGAGCTGAGATTTAGAGAAACAGAAAATAAATATAATTTTAGACACATTAAAATCGTGAAGCAAAAAACAAGAAGAAAAATAAAAACACAACAAAAAGGAAAGAGAAACGATAGTAAAAGAAAATTAAATAGAATGTGAAATGGGATAAGGAAAGTCAAGTTAAAGAAATATCTAAGAATTGAAAACAAAGGAATTTCCTGTAACCAAGAAAAAAGAGTAAGAAATTTGATGCAGAAAGAAAGTGTAAAAGGGTTTCAAATTCAAGATGATTTGAATGTGTTAGATTTTGGTGATTATAATTAATTAAAATAAGCTCATTAAATCTTTCTACTTATCGCTATAGCAAAGTTTTTTTGGTTTTCATGTTTTTATTGAGCATTGTTAAGGATACGATTTACGGTTCGGTTTATGATATTATTTTCCTTCATATAAAATGATATTCAAGGCTTCTGGATCACTAACACAATTAATCAGCTTTTATTATGCAAATTTCATGCTCTGAAACGTGAATACGAAGACGTCCATTGTCCTTGTATTACAGGAAGAGTAAATAACCCTCGATTTTTACATCCTTTAAATGATATTTTTATTTTGTTTCTTCTCTTTTTTTGCAATCTACCAAACTGCATAAGTCTTCTCTCATTAAATTTAAAAGAAACAATAATATGAGCCTTTAAATACGTTAAATCTATGTAAAATACGTGAATATTCATTTAATGACACGAATCCATGCCGAGACGCCTTTTCATTTCCTTTCGCACGGGAGAAACATTAACCTTCACAATCCATGGTTTTGCTTGTTTTTCAATGCTCGGTTGATGGAAATTACAAAAGAAAAACAGCCGTCGATGTAATATTATTATGTTACATGTTGTTTTTCTTTCTCTCTATCTCTTTTTCTCCCTCTTTCTCTCGGCGTATTGATTTTTCATGTGAATAATGGAGACAGGATCATTTAATATTTATATGGTGCGTCCACAGAAAATGTTTTCTTTTTCCAACATAGAAATCTTTCCTAGAATAAGTTAACCAAGTGATTGAACAAAAAAATAATCAATAAGCTTTCAACAATTATTTTTTGCTTGAAAATGTCGAGGGTCGTGGCTCACATTTTTGGTATGAGTGGGTGGTGATTAAGCGGGTAAGGTTGTAGACATTGAACTAATTTTTCTCTTTTCTTCTAACAACATGACTCGGGGCTGCGAGGGTTTTCCCCAAATTGTAGTCGTATCCGACGAAAAAAAAAACAAAGAAAGAAATTCGACCAAACATATAAAACAATCATGATGTCATAAAGTTCTAAGGCATAATTTAGACAAGAACTGTTGTAAACTGCTTGCGACCTGTAGAAGGACCTGAAGGGGTCTTAAATGAGAGAAAATGAATTTTAAATGGTCCCATAATAGCGGTTGAATCTATTAGGAATAAATGTGATAATTTTTTTTCTGCAACATTTACTGTCATATTTATGGAGCGAACATAGACACAGAGAAGAAAACTGTTTGCATCCCTCAAAGTGTTTTTCCATCTCACATGACCCAAATGTGAATAGTTATTGATTTTCGCCTCCATTTCCATGTGGGCTTGCTCTGCTTTTTGAGATTATCTGAAGCATCACTATCGAGTAAAAGAAACTATTTTAAGTTCAATCAAAGATCAAAAGAGAATTTTCCTTTGTCAATTCTGCAAAGTTCTTTTGAGATTTTCCTGTCATAAATCAAGTGTGTCATTTGTAATGCAATCGCTTAACTGCTTAACTGAGTTCCTTGACATTTCTTTCGCCAATCTTAAGGACATAAAAAGCATTCTAAAGGCGAAAGGAGAATTTATAGCTGTCAAAAAAGAAACGCGTTGGAACTCGATAAAAGACTCAAATATTGATAACATAGCTTAACCTTTCGATGTCGTTAAGCAATTGCGTGACTTTCCTCACTATATTGCTTTCAATACCGTTGAGCTTTTACAAACGGAACATTAAGAAGTTTACTTTCCTTCAAAGAACCGTCTGTCGTTAAAAGAAACGCAAAGGAAAATTGATTAGATCATATCTTGTGAGTATCTCTCGAGACTAGTGCCATAAACTATCTAAATTACATACGAAAAATAAAATAAACCTGAAGCATTCAATAAAGTAAAGTGTGACCCTTTGGAAAACGATAGAAAAAAGAAAAAATAAATTAAAGTTAATCAAGTCGAACGTTAGATATAAAATTTTTCTATTTTCGGATGATCATGACATGAAAAGAACGAATTCATTTGTCTAATAGGATTTCTATGACGAAAGTTAAGGTAAACTAGACCAACCCATCCTTCCACCTCTCTTGTCTTGGTCGACGAGCTTTTGACATTGACAATTAAGGTTCCAACATTAAATCCATTAAATTGTGGAGATTTATTTTCGTTTCATTAATTCATCGCAACGAAAACACCAAAAATTGTCTTCTGACGTCATTTTTCTCTATGACTAAGGATCAAAAAGAAAGAATTTTCCTTTCAACTCGTCAACATAAGAAATGTAAACATGCAAACATAAAAATATATCCATTAAAGGTTTCTTCTTCTCAAATCCTGTCACAGAAATTACGATAGTCATGGTGGGCGGACGGTTTATTCTTTTTTTTTTTCCTTTCTTCAAATCATCTTTTCATTGGAATAAAATTACATTCAACTATATTTGGGGTATGAGCTTGGCGGTTTTGATACAAACCATTAGAAATTATTATCTAATATCCTTCTTCCATCATCATTAAAAGCTTGTAAAAGTCGTTCGTTGTGAAGCGAGTGGGGAAGACGGAATAGCCGCGACCGAGATGATTAACTTCTTGAAAAGGAAAAAAAGAGAATCAGCAGTTGTCGTGTTGAGAAATAAGTAATCATTCTTCAATTTTTCATTGTTGTTGGTCGGGAGACTTGTGAAAACATCATATGAGTGTATGAACGAAAGAAGAAAATAGGAAAAAAGAAAATGTGGCGACTTGAAAATGTAAACAAAATTATGTGTTTCGTCAACATCGTTTCTGAGTGTCGTTTGAATGTCTTCTATCAAAGCAAAAATGAATAATTGCAATCAGAGTTTATGAGTTTGACTTCTACTTAACTTACTGATAACAAAACCGATGACATAATACGTTTTTTCAATAGTTTAATTTAACAGAACCGTTCCAGCCTTGCATTTATTGATTTTTCTTTCTCTTGTGCTCGTAATAAGTAAAACATTGTCGATGTTGTATATGCACAACCACCACCATCAGACAAAGTTCTACATGTACACTAAACGATTGCAAAATTTCGCTAGTGCCAAACATAAAGTAATGACGTCAACAAAGTGTGACCTAATTACGAATCTAGATTTCATTTCATTTTATTTAAATGAAAATGTGTTGAATATATTTCCCTGACTGTCTACAAGGAAAAAACATTTTCTTGACTTTTTCTTTCGTGTTTCTTGTAATCGTGTCTTAGGAAAGAAACTATCATCACAGTTGTAAAAAATTTTAAACATTAGGTGTGAAAATCAACAAAGAAAAAGATTAAAAAAAATCCTTTTAGTAGGACAGTCGTTTTGATCATAAGATTTTTTGCATTGTGTAGGTCGCCGATGCGAGCTCAGCACTGCACCGAGCAATTGGCCCACTTTTTATTATTTCTCTCGTGCTTTTATGCCTTACCGTATCATTTTCACCGAATATTAGAGTCGAAACTGTGCGAGTGCATCATTCGTTCCTGTGTTTGTTCTTTTTTATCCATTCTATGAAGAAACTTCTTTCGGTTCGTCGAACATTTTTCCAAAAAGCTTGGAAGCAACGTTGTTAAGCAATAACGCACCTGCGCGTTGGAAAGGCTTGACACGGGAAAAAGAAGTTCTTAGTGTTTCGGTTAATACTTCGTCTCAGTCATTAAAGTGATTTTCAAGGTGCCAGGCGACAACTCTAAAGCTTTAATTTTTTTGAGGATGTTTTAGAATGCAAAAAGAAAGAAAGAAAGAGAAAAATAAGAAAATTCAAGCACTTATTTTTGAAAGAAACCCGAGAAAGAAAAGTTTTACAATGTAAAAATATGTTGATAAGATTGATTACTATGTTGAAGTGCTTACAGTGATAAATGGTGGAAGAAAAACTTCAGTGAAATTAAAAAAAAAAGTGAATTATTAAGATAAAAGCAAAAAGAAAATGTTCTAAGAGAAATCGATATAGTGAGAGAATGAAAAGTTTGCTGCTCTTAAAAGCTGTGCATTATTTTTCTTGTTTTCATATATTTTAGAAAAAATCTTCATGAGAGGAAGGAAAGGATGAAAATTTATAAATTTATGTGTGTGTATGTGGTGTATGAAAACAAATGATGACGTTTTAATGGGAGATCAGGTGGAAGAATTATGAACTGAAGAACATATCCTTGTAAGATTTTGTGATTCTTGCAGAATGCGAAGATTGAAACAGATTTCTTTTCACTAAAATTTTTATTATAACAGCGACACCAACTTATTCATGACGTCGTTTCAACCTGTTTTCTTCTTTTTTTCACAATGAAAATTTTAAGCTCAAATGCTTAGTGCTAAAAGGTTTGAATGAAAAACGCTTGAGCGAGGTAACATGAGGAACTTCTTTTTTCAATACATTGATTAGCTGAAATTTTTTTTATCGTTTTATCTTATATGATAGATGTGTGATTATCACGTCATCCTCAGAATTTTCTGTATATATACACAACAAAAGTGACTGTTTAACCCACACACTTTGAATTTTTTGTGTGTTTTTTTTCACTCGTATTTTCGTCTATTTTTAAACCTTTTGCCGTTTTTTTTCGCTTTTTAATCATGTTGAAATGGCGAAGATAAAAAAAAGAAACTAAAGTGCGATTTTTCTCAAACCATTCAGTATCAAGCGCGCTTAACGAGAGAAGAAAAGTTTTATTGTTTAGTGGAAAAGAGAAATAACTGAAAAGTTCAATCTGAAGGGAGCGAAAATATTTAATAAAAGTTCATTCGTTGAAGAAAAAGAAAAATCTTCATTTCCATTTTCTTCGTCTCCTGGAAAAGCGAAAACAAATTTTCCTCATAAATTATTTCAAACTTTAATATGCATCGTTATCCATTGTAAAAATTGAAACGGCGAATATCAGTGCATGTTCAGCACTCATGAAGTTGCAAAAAAAGAATAAGTTTAAGAAATTACTAGAAATCTAATCGTTCTTTTGTTCTTGTTCTCTCACTTTCAAACATTTACTTTTATGACTAAACAAGTAGAAAAGAGAGAAAAGAAATGAAAACTAAATCAAATGTCAAGGACTGTAAAAACGAAATTTATGAACGTGAATTTAATGATTGCTGAACCGCATGAATTTATTATAAACGCTACGGGAAAATCCCCGAACTGAAAAGAACATATAGAAAGGATCGAAAGAGAAAAATTTGTTGCGTGGGTGTTGTAAAAGCATTAAGCGTTCAGGAGGCAATTTTCTTCTTTTTTCTTTCTTTTTTTTTCAATAGTAGGTATCATAGCTCACAATAACGAATATCTTTACATTAGCATTTCCCCCTAACGCTTTCTTTGTGGATTTTCCAGTGATAACTCAAATATTTGTGAACACTTAAAAAGCATAACGTGATGAACTAATAAATAACATACAATGTGATGAAATTTATGTTTAAACGTTGTGGTTATATTGAAATATAATAAATAAATATATATTTGTTGTAAATGTGATAATAATTTGGGTTGTCTATAAACCTAAAAAAAAAGTTAAAGACAATTTGATAACTAAGAGAAAAGAAAAAAAAATTAATTTAGGTGATAAAAAAATTTATCTGTAAAAACACAAAACAAATTTGATTAACAAAAAACTTTTGTCTTTGTCATTAATTTCAGATATTTCATGTAAAGAGATTTAAAGTTTAAATTCTACATATGTAAAACGAAGTCTGAGATAGAACTTATCGGTTCTAGTCAAAAATTGGCTTATCTACTATAAATTAATCAAATTAAGAGAATATATTACGAAAGTCGAAGAATGAGTTCCGCCGTGTCTTCAACAAATGTTCCAAGCACACCGATTCTTGTTACTACACCATCAAACGATACAAAGCCATCATTTAATGATCATAAGCGAGACGATTCCAATGATGATGATCAGCGACACTTGAATAAACAAAACTCGAACAAAACTTATACTCGTGTAAGTTTGAGTGAAAGAATTTCCATCCTTTTGTTTAATCACAAATATGAATGACATAATTTATTAATGAGATATATTTTATTTTTTTAATAGGGTAACAGTAATAAGAGCAAACAACTGACAAGAAGTCACGCAATGAAGGAATCTGCATCACCTCCACGCACACCGAACTCTCATTCACCCAACGATATGAAGTCTCATTCACCAACGGCCCCGACGCTTGTTACAACATCATCAGAAAATATAAATCTTGAATCTCCATCCTCACAGTTACTTACAGCACCGCCGACATTCATCTTGCCACAATCAGAGTCAGTCGGTGGAAAAAGTCAGTTGGACATAGAATTTCCCAAGCTCACGCCGCCAAAGACAAAAGTTGGATGGAGTTCATCACCGCCAGGTTCGCGCAATCATAATCGTAAATCGGTTTCATCAGACACATCGTCCAATAATAATTCCCTAAGCGAGGATATTAGCGAATCTCAAATTAATGATAAGACAAGTCAGCAACAGCAAAAAACAGGATCTCAAATAATCTCTACTTCGACTGCAAGCAATCAGTCGTCACATTACAGCAGTGACAAAAAATCGCCACAACAAATCGATAACGAATGCGAACAAAGTTCAGTTGCTTCACTTGAATTTAATAAGCAAGAAGAGCGTGAACGTGTGATAATTTCACCATCGAGAGCCCAATGTCGTAGCCCAAATTATCATCATCAACAACAACAACAGCAAAATGACAACAATAATAATAATGGATCAAAATCAACAACAAATTCAGTTGTCGCTTCTTATATCAACGTCAAAGGAAAGCCACCTTTAAAGAATATGGGCTCGTCATCATCATGTGAAGGTGGCAACACATCATCGGGCTTTATTTCGCGTGATAGTTCAAGCGAACAGTTTGTTGATCAAAATGGAATCGATTTGGTTCAGTTCTTCAAGGAAACATTAAATAAGAATGTAAAAGATCGTAATATGTTAATGAAAATTGAACGAGATTTGACACAATTGGCTGTGGATCAAACGTAAGAATTTCCTTACTTTCATTTTTAATCATAATTAATTTAATCTTTTATTAAAAGGGGTCGTACTTTCATCAAATTTCCGCCTATGTCTTCCTATAATCGGATGTTGGTGCACAGGACAGCAGCTTACTTTGGAATGGATCATAATTTCGATTCCGCACAATTATGTGTGATTGCATCGATAACGAAAGAAACAAGACTTCCTGATGTAAATTTATTCAAATTTATTTGAATATTTTTGATTAAATTAAATCTTTTAATGATTATAGATACGCTTTAAAACTCTCATTCGCGATACGTTCAGTGAAGAACCACGTAAGTCGATCTTAAAACGTGAAGCTCACAGCTTCGAAGACTATCGTCAAGGTGGTCTTCTCTCAGTTCATCGTGGCATTTTAAATCGCAAAGCAAAAAGCTTTGAAGAACGTGATGAGGAATACGATAAGGTAAGACGTCGTATATTCCGTAATCGTGAAGTATTCGGTGGTTATGAATCGGTTGATGAACAGGAATGGCAATGGATGCAACAGGAACGAAATGATACTGGCGGTGATCTTTCGACTAAACTTAAAGTTCCAAATCGTATGATAAAAGTTCATGCTTCGGTAAGAAAATGTGAAAAAGTCTAAACTGACATCATTTTTATTCTGAAATATGATTTCAGTCAATGGAAGGACGTTATGGTGAAAGAAATCCATCAGTTTCGAAATCACATAGCTTTGGAGGTTATGGTGGACCAAACAACAATACATTGATGAGAGATGATTCGATTTCATCTAACAAAAGTACTGGATCAAAGATTCATAAACAAGATTCATCAGCAAGTACAACATGGAGATTATCACCATCAAGCAGCGGGTATTTAACATTTTTAATTAACTTAAAATTTTCTTTAGGTTATGTTAAAAAGCTTATTATGAAACATTTTTAATATTATTTCAGCTACAAGACCCAATCATTGCGTTCAGATTCTGTTACGCCATCGCCAACTGGTTATGGAAGCGATACACCTGAACCACCATCACAATCACCCGATAGAGGTGTGGTATGGGCTGTGACTGACCTCGCGAGTGTGCCAAAGGGCAGCTTAATTATCGATCCTCATACACTTCAACCGATTTTAAATCAAGATGGGTGAGTTACTTTTCAAAAAGACATCTAAACATTCAATTAATATTGCTTTTTCCTTTAGTTCTTTATATCATTTTGATCCTTCAAATCCACCAACGAAAGCTGGCCGTTATGGAAATTCAGGAAATTCACGTAAGAAACCCGACCGTCAGAGGTCGTTAAACAATGCTGGGAAGCCTAATTATAGAGATAGCACCGATACTAACAACATTAACACAAGTGGAACGTCTGAATCTGATAAATCTGTTGTTTTGATATCTAACAAACCAATTTCAAAAGTAAACACTTCTGATTTTGATGATCAAACAGATACAATGCCGATAGAAGCGCCCAAACCGTGTGAAAATTCTGACGATACCAGCACAACCAAAGAAGTTGATTCTTGTGAAAGCAACTGTAAGTAAAATTTAAATTTTGTTTCCTGCAAATTTAATTAATTCAAATGGATGAAATCGCAGCTAGTCAAATCGATGTGAAATCACAGTCGAGCTATCTTAATACAACAGAAGAAACGTCACCAAAGCAGAAGAATCAGTCAACAAGTCCAAATCTACCTTTGAACGAAAAAGTTATAAACGAAGAAGAGGTAAGAACGTTGACAGATGCGAGAAAACAGAAATAAACAATAACAAATCTTTTAGGAATCTGTCACGCCAACGTCAAGCATCCAAGCTATTGAAGAAATTGGAAATGAAGATGATGCGAAGAAAGATGATGTCATTTCAACGTCCGCAACAGCAACACCTCCCGTCCAAGAGATCAGATATCAATCGAATCCCTACGTCAACACAACAAATCCTGCGGTTACTCCAACATTATCTGTGATGGGATATGCGCCACCACCAGTACCATTTTCAGCTCCAGTTGATCCAGCTGGAACAATTTATCATACTGGGGTAAGAAATATTCTTAAATTCAACTCTGCGACAGTGAAAAGTTTAAGAACGTTTGTAATTTATGTCAATTATCAATAAACGTAATTTACAAATGTTCCCCATGATATTTTAAGATTGAAGCAAAGATGAGTCAGCAACAAATGTAAACTTTGTTTCTTTTTTTATTTCAAACAATTTTTTTCTTTCCCTTCTTTTTTTCTCTCTATTAATATCTTGATAATTGTGTAATTTTGAAGCCGGATGGCACGTTATATGTTTTATCACAACCTGTGATGTACTCATATGCTGCGTCCACGGTATGTAAAAGCAATTGACTCATTAATCGTTTTATTTTGCATACCATTTCCTTTCAATCATCATCATCATTAACATTGATTCTTACTGATTCATCATTAAACACAACACGAGAGAAATAGAAAATTAGCAAAATAATTTTCCATGTCTCTTCAACTCATTCATCATTTCACAAATGTTTTTCATCCTAAAATTCCAGTTAATTTAATTAATGTTCATGTTATAGGAAAATGAGGTGGCAAACTGTTGGGTTCCAATATTTGATCAAGGTGCTTTACAATCGCGTGATCCAAACATGACAACAGTTATGCCTGTGAGTTATCAACCGACCCCAGCATCGCCTTACAGTGGACCGACGACTTTATATCAAAGTCCGGTTGTTTATTCAGCTGATCAATTTCCTAATCAACCAGCTATTGCTGGTCAGTATCCAATGAGTTATCCGATGGGATATGCTACGTATCCAGTTAATGGTAAGTCATTAAATTGCCAACCAAAAAATTGTTTTTCATCTACATGAAATCATTTAAAGGTGCTCCATATCAAAACTTTTGGCCTCAACCAATGACATACTTTTTACCACAACCAACGGCAACACCTACGCCTGTTCTTGTTCCACCTGGCGCTCCACCAACTTCAATACAATCGACCCCTTCCGTTAACAGTCACAATCCAAGTACAAATTCAGGTGCATCGGGAAGACGAAGTTCACCACCATCGGCTCATAATAATAATACTAACAATAACAGTAACACTACCAACAGCACATCAACTCCAGGCTTATCTTCGATACATACAACGGCTGTTCCATTGCAGACTTTTCCTTCAAGTGTTCCTTTATCATTAGCCACAACAGACAACAATAGTGGTTCGGGTCCTCAGGCATTATATGCGATACCACCTTCGGTCTATCCAAATGTCCTTCCATATGGCACACAACCTGCTGCTGGCTTTTATCAACCATTGCCCCATCATCCTCCAGCTAACACAACAATCATCAGTTCTGTTATTCCCCATTCAAATGCTCATCCTACGGGTCTACCATCAACGCCACATACATTTCAATCTAATGTCGGACATGTACAAGGCGCTGAAGTTTTAACTCATTTCCCATTCAATCAACCACCGCAAAATATGAGCATCAATAATGTCAATATGAATAGCAATGTGGCGACAACATCAACGCCACAATCAGCTCCAAGTACACCTTTATCATTGACGACAGTTCAACCGAGTTTTAAGAATCCTCCATTATTCGCAACACCGCCAATTATAGCAACGTCAACAATTCCGGCTTCAGTGCATATTGCACATTATGATGACAGTAAGAAGCAACATTATAGTGGCAGTGGATATGCAACAAAAAAGTACAACAATTCTGGAGGAATTCTTAATACGCCAACATTACCACCTCCACCGAATAATTCGATTGTTGTAAAGACTCAAAGCTCAAATGGAAATCAAAGGCAATCGATTGGAAGTGGTTATCAATCGGGAATGCAAGGAAAGAAAAATGTAAATTATAATGGTGGAAACAATATCAATAATAATAATAATAATAATAGTAGTAATAATAATAATAATAATTCTACAAGTAGTCATACAAATAGCGAGGATACAAATAGTTTAAGCAATAGTAATATGAGTAGCAATTACAATAGCAATCGAGTAAAAAATTCATCAAATCGTGATCAAACATCAGCTGGTTCATCGACAGTAAGCAGTGGTGGTGTTGGTGGTGGCAGTGGTTATCAGACAAAGTCGACTTACGTTTCAAAAGGACATCATCAACATCAAAATAATTATTCAGCGAACAATAACGGAAGCAACAGTAACAGTCCAAATTCAAATGATAATTCGGAAGGTAATAAGTATGTGTCACAACCACAGCAGCAACAGCATCGTGGACCATCACGACCAGTTCCACCAAGCTTGGATTTAAAGCGTAACAATAATAATAACAACACGAATGTTGTGACGAATAGTTATCATCATCACCATCAGCGCAGTACGCCAAGCACAAATTCCACTGAAAGTAATAATTCTCCCAACAGTATTACATCATTCGATCATTCACGCAACTATCACTACTCACAATATCCATCAACATCAGGCGGAACGCATTTCTATCGTGGTGGAAGTGCTGGCGCTATAAGCGCAATAAGCGCAGGTATGCAAATGAATTCAAATCCTAATAATACATCGGGAGATGGAACATCGATTCAAACATGCTTTCCATTCAATGTTCACTCACAAAATACAGGAGCATCGTCGACACCTTTGATAGACTCGTGTCATCATCAACTCATCGGTTACAACACAAATCCAATGGCAACAGGAATGTATGTGAAGTTTGGACAAGCATTTACGTTCGCAAATGTAAGTTGATTCATATTTAATATTTTTCTGGTGTCATGACACACAGTTTGAGAATCACTGACAAACATAAATTTCTGTTTTTTAATATTTTTCACAGCCAATGCCGAATAATCGAAAATCGCCATCAAACGATATTCGTCAACCATTAGCACCACTCGCTGGTGTTTATTCAACTATGAATATGGTGCTGCCTGGTGAGATATTAAATAGATTAACTCTCGTTAGTGATGTCAATGAATAAATAACATAAAAAATTTATTTAAAGGAGGACCTCGTCAAATGAACCCACGTTCGATGCATAACAATCATAATTATAAAGGAAACCGTACACAGAGATAAAAGATGAATTGAGATTGATTATTGATTGTTGATTGATGAATGATGAGGAAGTAGTATCGACAGACATAATAATTGCTATCACTCCATCATATTCTAAAAAAAGAAAGAAGAAAAGTCATCAAAAAAAAGAAGAAAAAAAACATCCGAAAGAAAACTTTATTAATTGATTTACTTTTAATGTGTTGCCAAAAAAAAAAGAAAAAAGCAGAAAGAAAAAGAAAAGAAAAATTATTTGAGGTAAAAAAAAGAGAGATAAAAGTTTTCCTTAGATGGAAATATTTTTGAATCTTCTGGTTATATTTCTAAGTCATTTCAAATGATGAAGTTATTTATGTTGCGAAAGTTGAGTTAGTGATATGAGATTTTAAATAATTGATTAATTCAAGTTTAAATCTCGTGATGATTCAAGCACATCAATGAACGACAACATAGTAAGCTTCTCTTTGAAATGTTTCATTATATTATAGTCTAGCAGATGCCATCATAAGAAAAGAAATCTTCAGTTAAACATGACATGATCAACAGATGAAGAAGTTAAAAAAGAAATCTTTAAGAATACATATTTATAGGAACAAAAAAAAAGAAAATAATAAAAAAAAGGAATCAGAGATGACTTATGCTAAAGCTAAGAAGTTTTAAGTGTGTATCTAATACAGACATACAATATTATAAATCATTAAGTTTCTACAAATCTCTTAAAAAGTAAAAAAAAAAGTCAGATATTTAAGAAAATATATTTACTCTGTTTTTTTTTTCTTTTTCAACATTTTATCCTTACAATTGTTTCGATTAATCTATCTCATCTCATTCATTACTTAATTACTTAATTAAAAATTAAAACAACTCTCTCAGATTTCAGACATGTTAGTTTTGTCCTTTTTCTCTTATTGAAGTAATAAAAAAATAAAGGTAAAGCTATTTCTGAACATTGTTTATTGTTTAATTAAATCTTTTTCTTTATGATTTCTTTTTCTTGTCTTTGCACTTTTTATCTCACTATTTGAATTTTGAAAACTTTACACAAAATCTTTCTCTAAATCAGGAATTGAGACTGAACAATTTTCGTTTACATTGGTAGTTTCCAGGTTGCCACTTTAAAAGTTCGATTTACATTCAAATAGATGGAACGCTTAATGTCACAAATAAAAATTCAATTTTGAATGTGATATCTGATTGTAATTTTATTATTCATCAATTCACAGTTAAAATGGAAAACTTCAACAATAAAAAAGTTATTTATTTGAAGCATAAGTTGAATGTTTTGAAAGATTTAGAAGGCTTTCAAATTCATTTTAAATTTTGATCTTGTCCCAGTTTTTTTATGTTCTTTAATTAGGTATCTAAAGATTTCCTAATCGTTTGTTGTAAAGTTTCTGTTTTCATGGAATGTTGCGAGATATTAAATGAGATGGCGAGGAGTTTAAGAGAGAATGAATATTTAATTAGCTGAAAAGGATGCGAAATTGCTTTTAAAATTAAAAGAAAAAAGTTATTATAAAAAAGAAATGATGGAAAACTTCTCATGAATTTTCATTTCTACTGAATTTTCAATTTCTTTTCAGATTTTTTCCTACTGAAGTGTTTAATTTTCAAACATTTAAATAAAGTTTCCTACGAAACAAACTAATACTGAAGCCAATAAAATTCTTAAGGCAACTCGTTAGATTTTCTAAATCTTTCATTTTTGTGGCTTCGTTTTTTCATTTGTTTGAATCAGAACATTGCAGAATAAATTGTGGCAGAATAGATTAAATGCTTTTCAACAAACAAATTATAAAGTTAAGTCCTTATTTAGTTACACTCTTTAAATCCAAGTTTTCAACGAAACCTTTCAATGAAAGATCGAAATCGATAACTCATTATCTAGAAGAGATTGCGATTGTTGACTAGTGAAACTAATAAAGGAAACGCATTAAACTTTTATACAAGCAAAAATAGACTTGAAGAAATAAAAGCATTTAATAATGAAGAAAAAGAAAGCAGCAATTGCTTGTCACAGTCCTTTACACAACAAAGTATTCTGTTTTAGACTTGTGACTTTTGGAATAACTTTTCTCCTTCGTACAATCGCCTACTTGCTAATCGAACGTTTATCTAATTCAATTTATGAACTAACATGTTTTTATTGTCTACAAAACTACGAAATGATTGCAAAGGTTTGAATTTATTTTGTTTCTTTCTTTTCTTTGTTGTTTCTGCTTAGACGGCGAATCGAATCACCATAAAAGCAAGGAACAAGCGCCACGAGATTTCCCTTTTTTATTTCCATATGTTACATTGGTATTTAATTGTTTTGTGCACTATTATCGTGGATTATCAGTTTATGCTTCCCTCCAATTAATTATCAAACTTTTATATTGCGCCTTGCAGTTGCTAATTGGTTACACTTTCAGCTTAGCTGAGAAAATAAATTAACAAAAGAGAGACTCTCGACACTTCAATATGCACTGAACTTTGTAGTTGAATCACTGATTATTCGACATTAACAATAAAAAGCGAAATAAATAAAGAATGAAGATTCTCGCTGAGATTTTTCAACAAATTCAATGCACGTTCTTTATTTGAAAGAATTGTAATCGATTGTAATATTAAAACAAATATCTACACTTATTCAAATGAGACAACAAACAACAGGAAAATTTAAGTTAATGTTTTATTAATAATCTTGGACTTTTGCATATCTACAAATTTCCAATGAAGGATTTTGTATGAGAAATATTTTGTTTACCACCAAAGAGACTTGGAAGACAAAAACAAGACTAAGAGAAAAGCGAAATGTAAATTCAATTCGCATTCACCATATTAGGCTTAATTTGTATATTTATAATAATCTGCACAATTATTTCATAACGCTGAAAGAAAAAAGCGAAGTAGCAAAACATGGCACAGCGAGTAGTTGAGGCGCCGTTTCATTCAATAAAATATTTTTCTGTATCGAAGACAAACGTATCTTAAATGCTTTTTATCTCGTACGCCTTACCTTTGCACATTGTGATTTGATATTATTTTTTATTCCATAAAGTTATGTTTTACTTCTATGAAATTAGTTTTAGTGGCTTTCTTTTTGTATTTACTTCACTTGGATGTTTAGTTAAGTCAAGTAAATTTGCTTGTTTGTAAGTAAATAAAGAATGAGAAGCAAACAAGCAACTTGCAATGTAGCGATTTGTTACAATCTGCGATTGCATATTATTTTAATTTCCAACCATTGTTCTTTTATTACAAGGCATATCATATCGTCCAGCGCCCCGAAAACCTTTTCTTTCTTAATGAGATAGATGGAGTCTCGCTCCAGACTACCGTTAACTCGCCGACAATCGGCAAATTTCAAAAAAAAATAATAAAAGCAAATGTTTTTGTCGCGATTTTTATTTTCTAATAAATTTTGTTGTTAAATGAATATCCTTAAATGGAGTTCGAAAGTATAGAACTAATTTGCTATTTTATTGTTCTGTCTGACTATTTATTCAGCATGAGATTGCGCGTAAGAATTGAGAAATGTTTTAAGTTTGAAATTGAAAGAAATCGCAGCTTATTTAACCGTCGAAATGTGAATCCAAACAAACGACTGTCATGTCATCCATCACCCCTCTTACTTTATACACGCCATTCAACTCTGGTTACGGTTAAAATGAAGTTCCGAAAGATTTCAATGCTTCAGTGAGAAGGCAACCCCTGGTCGCCAATCAAAATACAATTTCTAAGGTTCACTCAGTTGAAAATTTGAAACTCGTGACCAGAGTGTGCTCGAGTCATTATAGAAACAAAATTTCAATTGTAAAGTAGGTGGATGAAGAAGAAGTTAGAATGACAATATATCAGTTGAGAGGATAAAATAATTATAATCATCATTTTGTGCATAAACCGAATGTTATAAAATGTTTCTCTTTTTTGTGTGCTTCCCTTCATCATGTGCTTCGTTTCACACATGTTGAAGTTTTCTCTCCTTAGTCGTGTGGTTGTTGTTGCCTTTTTTTACCTTTTCGAGGATCGGGATCAATGTTAAGGGTGGAATTCTTTGGCCTTTTTTTCAGTTTTTAATTCCAAACCTGGCACGCGTTTACTCATTCACTCATCGTAGTCGTTTTATGCATGAGGGAAAGTTTCAACAATAACGACACCACCATCAAAGTTGTTTAAGAAATTCTCAACAGAAATCCAAACTGTTTTCTTATTAAAACAAAAAGAAGTTTTTGCCATTAAGCAAAGGCGCAACAGACACCAAATGCTCTGTAATTACTTTCATGTACGCAAGCTTTGCAATTAATCAACGAGCAGAAAAAAATTGAATTTATGGAAAATATTTGCAGCTTTTCGTTCAATTAACTTACTGAAAGATTGCGTGTTTGTTTGTAGAGCAAAAAGCGCGCGCACGTGTCTGGTAAAAGAAGATTTAACAACCAGAAGAAGTTCTTTGTAAGTACCCAACAGAAAGAAAAAAACTTTCACCTTTCATATTACGATCAACAGAATAATTATGAAGGTGCACAACACGACGACTGCTTTCGGGCATATTCTTGAGTTGACTTCATCACTGAATGAATCTTGGTCAATGCTCATAATAAATTTCATAAATAACTAATGCATCTCATCCATATGTTTAGAAGAAGACGCAGCAAAATTACGAAAAGAAATCAAAACTTGATCCCGTAGCGAGAAGAGACGAGAACGTGAAGATTTCAAGGCACACATTTCTTTTTATTTTATTCTTCTTAATTTGTATCGTGTGCCTCATCATCGTATCCGAAAATGTGTAGAACATTTTATTATCGGACCTTCGACAGGTGTTTTGTTCATTGTTCAGACTCATTTTTTTATTTTTGTTTTATTTGTGAAAATTTTTTCAACTTTTTTTAGAATTTTTTTCACTTTGTTGAAGATTTTTGACTTCTCGCGTACAATGAAATCTTTTTTATTATGGGTTCGCAATGAATAAAACAAAACGTGGATCGTTCATATTGAGGGTAAGCTTGATGATGACTTGATACTTAAATATCTACCATGAAAAATTCAGATTTGACTATTTTTATGTTTCAAAATAAAAAATCCTTGAAATTTCGATTTAATAATAATAAAAAAAGCGGTAGAGGTGTTTGATAGGGGAGAAGAACTTGACTTCACTCTCAGACAACATACAAAACGAAGAAGCGTACTTGCCATATGCCTTCCCTCATTGCTTCTACCTTCGATGTAAAGGCGAACGAACATTAGACATAAAAGATCTCCTTAAAGTTTAGAATAAAAGTCTCAAAATAAGAGCATAAATTATTATTTTTTGGGAAAGGAGAAAAAGGATCAATTGAGACGAAAAGGAAGGAAACAAAAGATAAGAGGCAATGAACTTTTCAACATTATTGCTTTGAACGGGGAAACGAGACAATCGACGAAAACGAAGAGCTGGAATTTCGTCATGTTGCTTGTTCCATGCACATTAGCGGATCAGATGTTTCAACATTTTTCGTAAATAAAAATTGTTCCTTCTTCTAAGACACAAATCTTTATTTTCCCACACATCTTCAGTGTAATTTATAAACTCTATTAAAGCCCTAAAAATGATTCTAATTGTAATTTTAATATCAACTTGTGAATATGTAATTGCTTCAATTGGAAGCTTGAATAAGAGAAATGTAACCGCATGACAGTTGCATTACATTTCAAACGAAGAATCCTCCAAAATGATGAGAATCATCTCAAGATAGTTGAGCATATGTAAAGCACTCAATTGAAGAGCGATAAGTGATATGATTGATAATACATGTTTGGAACACACACAAACAGTTTATGCAAATTATTATCCTTCATTTCCAAGCATAATATTAGCGGAATCATATGTTTTATTAACACATTTTTCGTCTTCAATTGCAAGTAAAAGTTGAGTAAAACAACCACATGACAGTTGCTTTAAACATTTTTCAAAATGATGGGAATGAAATCCCGACAAACAATCACATTTGGAACACACAAACAGTTTATATAAATTATTACCCCAATTTACACGTTTTGTGAATATTTAAATGAAATTTAATTAAAGTGTTTTCTTACTTAAAGCAAACCACAATTCAATTAAATTTATTAAATGTTTTTATGTCTCAAAGATATCTTTGAGAAGTGAAGAAGAGTAAATTAATTTTAATGTGAATTGATGAACCTCAGTTGAGAGGTCAAACTAAAACCAAATTTGTTTCTCTTCCGGACCATCCTTGTGGATAGCTAATCTCGTTATATCATCAAGAATGAATGAAAGAAAAGCCATTTGTGAAGTGAAGCATATTTAAGTCAAGCCACTATCATCATATGCAAGAAATTAAACGAATGACCGTTACACCAGCCCGCTTTAATTTGGTTTGAAAACACCTTCGGTTTCTTTTCTTTTCCTATGATGATCGCACACATCACGGGCTGCTGGCGGATTAAAATATAAATTAATTTCCGATTCTCGCTTCGTTTTCTAGACTAGGTTGCGGACAACGAAAAGATAAGGGTAGATTTATGTAGAACTTTTAAGCATTCAGTCTCGCGCTTCTTTCCTGAAAAAACATAATAAAATAAAATAGCAACAAAGAAGGAATTTTAATGACTTTAGACTGTAATAAGAACAACAGGAAAAAAGAGACAAACAACGACTTTTATTTACAAAAACACAGTGCGAGTAAAAATAAGGGTCAGGTGCTCTTGGTAATTCCTTTTATAACGTCGTTGAAAGTCGAAGTCGAAGACTCCACCACTTCGATGCGATGTAATAACTTCTTTCGGTTCTTTTACAGATTTTAACACAGAAGTGATCGCTATCATACAAAGTTTAATGGACGAATTGGACTGAAAGCTGGAATGTTATTAACTTTTCACTCCCTTTCTTTCGAGTTCATTGTCTTTAAGGAAATTTATGTCGAAGATTTTTTTAAGGTTCTTCTTCTGAAATGAATGAAAAACACCTTTCGCTTAAAGGTGCAGGCATCTGAAGGATAGAAGACAACAATCAAAGACATCACATTCTTCTTGATTAAGGGAAAATCTTTATTATTTATTTTTGATTAACATCATATAATAAATAAATTACTGCTACAAAATTTCTACAACTTAAATTGGATAATAAGCTTTTTTATGGATATGTACGACAGTTAAGTCACGAAACAATCCCACATATTTTATAAGGCAAATTAAATATTTAGATAATCAGCATGACTTTAACATTCAACTGTTTTTCATAAGAATTTCTTTTGATTCTCAAGAACGTTTGATTTCTTTTCGCTTTCAAATCTTTGGCAAAATTAGCTGACTTGATTATGTTTTTTAATCAATAAAAACGTGTTGATTTATACAAATGCAATAAGATAAATAACAAAATCAAAAAAGAAGTTAGATAACTTAAATAATGGGTAACTTTATCATCTCCAAAGTTTTTTTAACTAAATTATTATAGAGTACGACAAGGTTTAAGGCGCGCTTTCATGACACTAGTCATCGATAAATAATTCAACTAGTGAACACTCAAATTAACTAACTAATTGTTTATCCTACTTACTACTACTAGGTAGAAGCACTAATTTATTTTTAATCTAACAAACCCTTTGGTTATGTACGCAAAAAGAAAGACAAAATAAAAAATCCTTAATCTAAATTAACAGTTTGAGAAAGAAAAAAAAATTAAATATTAATGGCGCAATATAAAGTTGAAATGACACTTAATTACAATCATGAAACGATAAATGCTAATTGTTTATGTACTTTGGAATATCGTGAAATTAATCTCTGATCTTCATTTTGATATACTTAAATGGCTTTGTTAGATTCTCATCAAACTCTTCTTCCACTTTAATTACTTTACTTGCATCACTTTCATTTTCAATTTGATGTGTTGACTCTCGATGTCTTCTTAAATCGACTTTCCTTTGAAATGCTTCTTCACAAAGACCTGTGATAGGAAATGAAGATTATTAAAACGTATTTAGCATTCAGCTTTTGTGATTCTTACCACAACTGAAAGGCTTATAACTTCCATGTTTTCTCATATGAGTTATTCTGTTGAAAGAATAAAAGAATTTTATGTTCAGAATTTTATTTTATGGTTGAAAGAACAAAAGAACTTACAGATTCGAACTCTGACTGAAAGCTTTTAAGCACACCGGGCACTTGTGCGGTTTTTCGCCAGTATGAATATAAACTGATGAATAAAAAGTACATTGACGTCATTTATGTACATTGTAAACTTTTAAATCTTTCTTACCATGCTTCTTCATATCTGATTTTTGATGAAATCTTTTTCCACAGTAACTGCAAGGATATGGCCTCGTGTCCGAATGTATTAAGAGATGAGTCGACAATGTGCTACTTCTTTTAAAAGCTTTTCCACATTGCTTGCACTATGATAAGAATAAGAATGAGAGAAAGAAATTAATTTAACATGGATATGATATTTATTTATAAACGCGCTTCGTGTCGTAATAAAATTTAATTGCTGTTTATTCAATGTAATAATAAAAGACAAAAGGGAAGCATCACGCAACATTTGATTGTGAATTAAAAGAACTATTAATATCAATCATTAGAACAAACAGAGAATCAACGATTCGATATCTTTTGATTTGAAACGGTCGAGAAATATGAACTAAACTTCAACCCCTTCTAAATTCTTAATAGTAATCATTGAAAGTGAGTGGGTGGATGAAAAGTTTTTGAAGGAAAAGGGTTGAATTTTTAATTTATTAATTGAACAGCAACTTGTTATTTTGTTGCTTCTTGAAGACAATTCAATTCGTTCAATATCAATGACAAATGAATAAATTAAATTTTATAGATCGAAAGATTCGTGTTCGTTTGTAATTAAACCTCTAATGTTATCAACTCAACTTAAATAATTACAATCGTAACTTGACCGATCTAATCTACTCTTTTATTTATCATTTCATTACCGGTGATGGAAGATTGAACAGAGTGAGGGTTGGTTGGACATTTGACTGCTCTCAAACAACCATTCGTGACCAACAAAGAAAAAAGTTTTTCTTTTTTTGTCATGATTATGAAAATCGAAAATTGATTTAATTAAATATTCACGTTGGTTAATTTGAGGATTTCTTTTATCGTTCTTTTGAATCTTCCATCAACTATGAAACTCTTACACGTTATTATCCAATTGACAATTTCCAAAACTTACCTCAAACGAACGTTCTTTTTTCCCTCTTTCATCACGAAACTCACGCACCACAAAATCACTATGTTCAGTTGAATCAGGCTTAATATGTGGCAGACTCTTGCGAAAGGTTTTTGGGGTTTTTTCAAGAATATTTCTACTATCACTACCATTAAATGTTGAGTTCAAATTGTTGTTGAATGTGAGATTATTATTGTTATTGTTATTATTATTATTGTGCATCAAGAAAATGTCTGTGCAATTTTTCTTTAAAACTCCGTAATCAATTTGTGATGAATTTTCTCGTTTCAATGACATTCCACGAATATTATCAAAATTAAATTTCATTTTTGGGGTTGTCGGTGAACTTTCTGATTCACTTTTAAAACCAAAAGATTTTTCATTTTGACTCACTAAAGATGCTGGCGACCAAATAGCTGAGAAAAGGTTTGGATTTAATTTTGGTGTGGGTGGTAGCAAAGGCGATGAAAGTGTTGAAGAAATGTCAGTGTCACGAACGGAATTCTTTTTCGAAAGATTCAAAGGCTCGTCCATCTCCATCTCGTAATGATCTTCTTCATCTCGATCAGGTGTTTCCGGAGTTAAAATATAATCACGACTCATCATCGTCTCTTGTTTTGGTTCAACTGGAGATTCTGGTTTCTCTTTCTTAAAATTATTCCCAAAGGCAGGTGGAAGTGAGAAAATCAACTGTTGCCACCAAAATGGATTAGCTGTATAAAAAATTGTTGGATTTTGATAAAGCAGCGATAAATCGGGAAATCCTTGATTTTTCTGAAGCATTTTAAGTTGTTCGATCTGATAGAGATACAAAGGCGATGATGGATTTAATCCCAATTTGGAAAGTTCCGAAGAAGTTGAAGCTGGTGATGGAGGCGATGATAAATTTGCCATTTTTTGTCACTTAATTTTTTTTAATTCACAATTAATAATAATTTCTTCACTAAATTTTATTTTAAATGTTCAATTTTAATTAAGTTGAAAAAAAATATTTTCACGAGAGTTTCTTTATTCCAATCTAAATCCTTCGAAAATCGAAACACAACTGAAGGATTTCAATCAAACTCAAGGAATCTTTTTCAATTCAGAACGAAAAAAATAATAAAACAAAAATCGCACAGCGATCAAATGATTTCGAACTGTTCTGTTGCGCTTCTAAAGATAAACTATTGTGGAGCGCCAATTTATGTTGCCTTCTTGTTGGTGTTTTCCTTTTTACGACAAACGATAATTTTTTACGTGTATCGTGAGTCGCTAACAGCCGGCAAGGTAGCAAAGTAAGAAAAAAATTGTTGTATGGGTTTGAATGGATGAGAACGATACAAAGAATGAAAAGATAATGGAAGAGATTCGATGAACTTCGTTTCACCTGAATTTCTTTTATTTTAAGTTGAATTCTAAAGAAAACAAATTTTTATTGATCGATTGCAACGTTAATGGTTGGACCCTTCGGATTATCAAAGCGATCGTTACTTTTGATGCTGAGAATCATAGAAAGTCCAAATGCAACGGTCATTGAAAAGAAAATAAATACGAGCAAACCAGTTAATATCGGAGTTGTCATTATGATTGGTGAAGATTTCGATGGATTTTTTTTTGGTGGAACCTTTTCCTCGGTTCCTGGAGTATCATCGATGTCTGGAGTGTCATTCATATCATGTTCTTCGCCTAAAGGATTTTCTCGAGGATGTTGGTTTACTTTTGTTTCCGGAGGATCATTCACATCATGTTCATCTTCAAATTCTACTGGAAATTCAGGCAAACCTTTAACATTTGGATTCTCAAAAGGCTTTTCCAAAGGATTCTCTACAGGTTGTTCATTCGGCTTCAATGTTGGAGGATTTTTTATTGCGTCATCAATAAATGGTGTTTCTTTAAAAACTTGACGTTTTTCGCGTGATACTTCGACCTTTAATAAATTTAATTAAGTAAGCAAAAGTTCCAGCAAGAATTTTCTTACCAAGTGAGAGTATTTTCCTGTGTAAATGGCGACAACTTTATCGCGTTTCGATGTCATCAAGTTAAAGAATTCCGCCATGGTTTCATCTGATAAATTTCATCATTATAACATTGTGATTGGAGTCACAACTAAACAACTTACCATGATCAATAAAATCTTCATTTCCTTTTACTTTATCGAAATAAACAAATATGAAGTCTTTTTCCTGACCAATTTCTTGTATTAAGCAATCTTCATTGAATGACATCACTATTTGTGAATGATTCATAAAAACTTTCTCCAAAACCTTAACTGGATCTTCGACTGAGGTTAAGTAAACTTTATTTTGCATCTTTGACAAATTTTGGAAACATGTTTTTCCATGAATTTTACATTGACTCAAATCTTCCACTTTCAAGAACTCTTCAATGAATACAATCGTTAAAAAGTTTTTACATCTTGGTTCAAATAAATCGGAGAAGTCCTCGGCAGTCATGTGATAAAGAGCTGGAAATGGAATTAACCTTTGGGAATGCATTAGAATTTACATTTTTAAAGAATTTACTAGTTATTTTACTTATGTTGTCCCCATATTAATACTGGGACTGAATTGCGATGGCCTTGAGTTGTATTAACAACAAGAAAAGCAAAGCATATGAATTTTAAAGCTTGCATTTTGATTCTGAAGATTCTTTTTTGAATGAACTGGAAGTACTGGAAAAATACTGGAAAAGGCCTGTTGAAAACGTTGAACATTTGTATGGTTCCACACTAACACTTTCTCGGACCGACGTAACTTGCATCTTGCATCATCAAAATTAATATTTAAAGTGCTACCTAGCCGAAGTTTAAATGAATAAAAAATAATGCAGTAAAATTTCTAAATAAGTTGCTGTGTGTGAGGCACAAGAAACATGCTCTTTCTCTCCAGATTTTCTCATTAATTTTATACATTTTCTTATGATTTTTATTTTCGTTCTGGTCGTAAGGGAAAGAAAGTATCAAAAATCGACCTGAACTGTGATTTGTTACTTTGGGATGGATTTGAAACATGATTAGCAGATGACACGAAAAAAAAATCTTCAAAATCATCGATCTAGATTTTAAATTAATAGTGAAATGAAATTTAAAATTTTATATTAAAAAGTTCTTAAAACATTAATATTAATAACCTTTTTCTCTGGGCCCACATGAAATCGAGGAAGAAGAATTGAATGAATGACTCTTTGTAAGTCTTTATGCTTTGCTCCGCCCATCAATTCTTTCATTGGTTGCTTTCAATCTCCGAAGTTGCGCAATCAAAACCACTTCTGTTACTTCGTTTCATTTGAAGTTTGCCACAAAATTATTCAAACGTGCGACGAACAAATTTTTCGATCTAAAACATTCAAAACATTGTCTGAATTTCAATCTCCTGACCTGGGTTATTTTTACGATAATGGTGGTATAAAATACGTTATAAAGTTAATTGGAACAATCAATAACATGAAATGTAAACTGTTAAATCATCCCTTCGCTCTATTCGTTACTTGATCATACTCACGAGTGAAGCCATCAAAGGTCATACATAGTAGAACAAGCAACCCTCACGCTTCAATCATTAAGATTTTCTCTTTCAAAGTTAAATCTACGTTGGTCGTTAGTAATTTGTTTAAATTATACCCCAAAAAAGAATTCACTTTAAAAGTTTCTTTTTGTTTCAACACATGTCGCTTTATATCGCTTCCCAGTGCCATCAACTGAGGCTTTCTTCCTTTTGTTGGTGAACTTTAAAATCGGTTACATGTATTGTAAATAAAAATCCCTTCGTCGGGGTTTGATGAGTTCATAAGGACAACATTTGTTAAAAACGTTGAGAATAATTATTTTTCAACGACGTAGAAGATGATTTAACAATATAAATTAAATTCATTAGAATGTTTCACAATGATCAAGAAGGAAAACCAAAAATCACAGAAGAAATGTTAGAAAATAATTTATTTAAGCAACATTTCCATTTCATAAACATTTTTTTATTGAACGATGTCCACGAGCCAAAACGAACGAGATGAAAAAGAGAATTCGATGATGTAAAAGGAATAAAGAAGCTTCCCAGTTCGTGATTGTGGTTTGTTTTCTCTTGGTTTTTCTTAAACAATTAACAGTCAGTTACTCTCATCAACATTTTTTTTCCGTCTGGGTGAGTGCGCACGTGAAACACGCGCCAAAAGAAGCTTCTTACATGTATGGATGTATCTATGTTAATAAATAACCAGAAAACGAATAAAAATTCATTCGGGGATTGAAAGACTTTTGGAAACCGAAAGAAGAGAAATAAAAAGGTAGAAACAGCTGTCTGCAGCGAAACTTAAACACTTTTTTAAGATACTAAAACAACAACAACAACTTCGACAGCAAGCATCGCTAAGAAGTAATCTTTTCAATAAGACAGGTGCATCATATTGTTTATTGCGTGTGCCAAGAGATATCAAAATGAATCTTTGTGATTCGATTGGATGGAAGGTGGACAGTTGGCGGCATGCGCTCCGGTACCTGTTTCTTCTTCTTTTCGTTTTCAACTCGAAATCAATGCATTAAGAACAATAATTTGTGTGATCAAAGCGCGTCGCCTTATGCAATATGTTAAACTGGTTTTATGCACCTTTTTTAACGCTCTTTCAAGCTCTTCTTTCTCTTTGATTGTTTCTTTTCCGAAAAATGTTGAACAGCTTCTTAAGTCGCGAACATTTGATTGCGCAATTATTGATTTTAATTGATTTACAGTTGTTTGAAGCCCATCACGACCAAAATTTGCATGATTTTTTCTTTCTTTTTTTTCAGTTTTCATCGTGGCGTTTTTAGACTCAAAGAAATAATCAGAAATCATTAATTAGACGAAACCAAAAGCGATCGATAAACCGGAATGAGGGTTCTTTGAATAAAAATGTTGCCGTTCTCTCTCCAATTAACTTTTTTTAAGACATTAAATGATAGTGGATTTGTATAGGAAGAATTACATGCACGATAAGGGTGAATGAAAAGTCGGAAACGGGCCAAACCATCATGTCAGGTGCAAAGCTTCGAATCCATCTTCATTGATTCATTGAAATGATAATTAAAGATTCAAATCATTAAATATTGCATTCTCATCAACCTAGTATTAAATAGTTTGAAGTTGACCCATCCGAAAGATGAGAAAAGGAAAACTTTAATCTAGATTAACTAATCTGGATTGAAATTGTTTAATCTAACTCGACTACAATTAAGATTAGATTTGTTTTAGGATTAAAAAGTGAAAGTTTCAGAATTTTTCAATTTTATTCAATCTAGTTTCAACTTGTGTACATTTCATTTAATTAATTGCAAAATATTTCTCCTATTAAGTATGTATATAGTCAATTACCTATTTAATTTATTCTCGAAACATCTCTCGTTTGATCAATTGAAGAAATTTTATAACCGGTGAAGCTTCCACCTCATGCTCATAGAAAAATATAATAAATAACTAAAACGTTTTATATTGTTCAAAAAATATATTAATTTTTTAAATCTCTGCTTATACTTCTATTGCGACACATTTTACAATTTCATTGTGATATGCCAGGCATTTTGTTCGTGGAACTTTAAAAGGAAACGTTTTAAAATATTTATCTAGAAGTAAAAATTAAAAATGTCTTGTTAACAAAATAAATACAACAAGTAACAGCTATCTTCATTATTATTTCGGGATCAATTCTTTGATCTTTGGAATTTAAAGAAAATGCATGCGAGAGTTAATTGTAAATATCCTATGTAGATAATTAGAGCTGTAAATAATTCAATTTCAATTTTCCTACATAAATTTTATACTTTTCATCTTAAGCCTCAAATTTTGATAAGATAAAAACTCGCTAACATGAGTCAATCTTTCGAATTTCATAGTTTAAAGTTGACGCTGAAACAGATCTTTCACTAATTATAAATTCAACGTTAATTATTGTCGATTTCATTCAATTGCGCAGTTCGTTTGTGTTTTTGATGCTTGAGAAAGAAAAAAATGCTTAAAGCGATGTTGACTAGCACCGTCGAATTGCATTTCCTGTCTTAATTATTCTTTTTAATCCTCGTTTTGAATGAATTTATAGACCAGAGCCACCAACAATCCCATGATAATTGTTGTAAGCCGTATTCAATTGCTCCATAATAATGAACGTGATGACCTGACGAAATGATAAGAAAATTAATAAATTTATTTAACAATCTTCTTCTTCTTCTTACAGTGTGAGGTCCAAGACGGAAGTAATAAGGCCAAAAACCTTTCCACAATGCAAAGACACCTTCTTGACGACAAACTTTCACTAGAACATCAATTGCACCTTTGTATTCTTTGCTACCATCAGCTCCAATTTTCATGTTCTGAATTCTGAAATTATTACAAAATTTATGCTTTCAATTTAAGAATAAGACAAAAGGAAAGTTCAAATTAACTCACCTTGTCTTTGCAATATCAACTGGCATTGAAGCAACTGTTGTGACGAATCCACTAATCATACTCGCTGTAAAATGCATGAAAATTCCTTCTGTAAAGTAGCCACTTTTAACGAGCATTTGTTTTGCTTGTGAATATGAAGAAAGTTGAGCAGCGTTGACAACTGCAGCACGTCCCATTGTTGGAATGCAACCTCTCCACAGTGTTACTAATCCTTCCTCGCGAATTATACGAACAACTGCGTTAACAACTGATGTATAATTACGACGTTGATCAAGTGGCAAACGTCCATCAGCTGTCATTCTAATTAAAGATATTTCAGCTGGATTTCCAACGAAAGATCCTGTGATACCAGCGCACACACCAAGTCCCATCGAGACGAAAAGATTTGGACTTTTGCCTGTCTTCTGCTTGTATTTTTCATTTAAAAATGTGTACGTTCCCAATCGTGTTGTTGTGTATGTTGCTTGTCGCAACAGAGCAGCTGAAAGTCCTTTGTAAAGTGCTGGAAATCCTTCTCGCTTAATGATTTTTGAGAAAGCATCAAAAGTTCCTGAATACTCTTTGACACCACCACCTTGACCTGAGATCTGAAGACGCGTCTTAACCAAATCGAGTGGTTGAACAAAACAAGTTGCTCCCATTCTTAAAATAAAAACAAATTTCTTATCAATCTTTAATCACAATTGGCGCATAAAATTTTATTGAACATTTGACATTTTTTTTTGTTTGTTTTTGAACGATCGTCTAAGCAACAACATTTTTATGTTGTTTGTTGTGATTTGCCGGTTGGCGATCACATGTTGATGACGCAACTAGTGCGCGAATTTACTCTTGCACTTAGCGTTGATATTTAAATTTTTCTCAAGTTTTTGCTCTACACATTTCATTAAAATCAATGTCAAAGATGTTCCACATACAAATGTTTGTAGGTAATTTCTTTTCTCTTTTTCCTCACTATTTATTTTGCGATATAAATAGAAAATAGAAGCAGAGACGAGAATGAATGGCAGAAATTAATGTCGTTGCGAAAAGTCATAGAATTGTGTATGGGGGAATACTCAGAATCAAGGATATTTGAGCCAATGAACTTTTAATTGATTGAATCGCGAATCGTTGTTGATTCCGTTAAGTTAAGCATCAAATAACTACCAAATATGACATAAATACGATAAGATAACTCGTAGTGTCTATGAAATAGATAATGTGTTAATTTTATTGGTAAGTTTCAAAAGATTGGACTATGATACTAGCTCTCAAAAAACAAATTGGTTTCCATCTCATGATTTAAGATTATGAATAGGTTTCAAGGCAGAGAGGGAGAATTTATAAATTATATAACGAGTTTTTGTTATTTTCACTGCTAAATCACTCATGGAATCATAATAGCTATAAAAATGACTTTCAAAGTTATTCGTAGATGCATTTCAAGGTAGTTAATAGAAACAAGAAGTCGCTAAGCCTTCATGGATGAATTTTGCCTTTTTTTTTTCTACATTCATGTAAATGAATTGAAAATTTGTGACGTCACATGAGGAAATAATTAAATTTAGTGAATATAGAGCGTCTGAAGAATTCATTGATTGCAAAGGGTTTTGTTACATAAATAGAAAAGTATGTTGACAAAGTTTTGTGTGATGAAAACATCAATTGATGTTGCAACGGAAACACATGACGATGATTCAGATCGAAAAGTTAATTTCTCAAGGTTTTCGCCAAAGTCAAATTGTCGTAAATAGAGGAAGAGTTGAAAATAGAACAACTTACCCCGCCGATCCGCCGAAAGCATATTGCAAATATGCTGACTTTTTGTGTGGAACTGGTGGTTTTGATTCACTCATTTTAACTTTCTAAGATTTTGGACGAAAAAAAACTTGATAACACTTTTAATGATCAATTAAACCTTTCTGTTTTGATGGGTTAAAAAATCAGATGCAATCAGCTTCGTCAATGTAGTGCAAAAGGAGGATGATGAATGACTGGCAACAGTGAGATCGTGTTTTATTTATGATGAAAAAAATTTAAAATCTTAAAGGAAAAAAAACTCGCTACAAGTCAAAGCCGATTGTGCGTTCCTTATGTTGTCATTTCAAATTCCAGAAAACCGTTAAACCTTCAAAACCACTCGACATTTTTAGATTTTAGAAAAATATATTTAGATCAATTTATACACATGAGACATCGTTATCAATTCAAATATGCGTTATGGATCTCGTTTGTTTTTCTCTGCGAAAGATTCAATAATTGATGCAGGATAAAATTGGAAGAAAGAAATAATATTTTGACTACATTAAAAATAAAAGTTTCACTTATTTTTTACACAATTTTCTTTTTACTCTTAAATAATAATTAGAAGACATAAATCATATAACTTTCTGGCTATGGTTGTTCATAAATATTATTCAAAATTATTATTAAATTTAATGTTAATATTTTCTGTTAATTATAATCGTAATCATACAAATTGATTGAGGTAATCAATTATGAAATCAAAGTTCGTTCGAAGTCTATGAATTATATTATGTTTTAAAGAAATCTCCAGAGATACAAAAGAAGTCTGACCAACTTGATCGCGCTCATATCCAATGAATCACATTTAACAAAAACCTTTCGAATGTTGAAGTATATTTTATAACAATTGTTTGTGATTCCCAATCAAGTGTTAAACAATCATTAAACACAGTTTTATTAATTACTTTAATCGTTGAATTTAATGAAATTATAGAAGAAAAATGCTGATTGATAAATCATCTTTAAAGAAAAGTATATATTTAAACATCAATGGATCAATCTCAAGTGCAATTATTTATAAAAATTGCTGATCGTTGTACACTAAGAAGATCAAAGAAGTAGAAGAATTTCATTGGCTTACAGAGCGTGGATGATGTTTTCATGTTGAACTGAATAGAATAACATTAACACTTTTTTTCTTTTGTTTTCTGTAATGCACACGAAGAAGCATCGCGCGTTAATTAAAGAAGAAGAAAAATTATAAAATAAGTCGACGAGAAATTAAATTTTAGCTTATAAAATCTCTAACTAACTAGATGTTTATAATTATGCAATTATATATATAAATTGGATAGTAAAAATCTTTTCTTTCCTTCTATCTGTTTCTTCCTATAATACAATTAAAAAAGTTTTCATCTCTCGTCTTCCATTATTTATTTAGTAGAAATTTTAACTTCTTATCTTCAATTGTTCAATGTTTAGCAACGTCTTCGATTGCTTTCAACTCATTGAATCGTTCAGTTATCAGTTTTAAGATAAAAATGGATTAGATTGATGTGGATTCATCCAACCAGGATTGTTGTTGTTGTTGCTGCTATTTCCGTTGTTGTTGTTGTTGTTATTTAAGTTGTTCTAAAAATAAGAAAGAAAATGATTCACAAACGATTAGTGAAGATTCTTGAATTAGAATTGTAGTTGTAAAGATTCTTATTCCTCATGTGATGATTTGAAGATCATTCAATGTCAGGTTCTTGACTTTCAATTACATTTTAATGGTTAAAGAAAAATATTTCATTTAGGTAATTATTACACAACGTTGAAATGAATGAACACATCACGTCAGAAAAGAGAATCTTTTATATAAATAAACCAGATAACTATAAAATAAACATAACTACCTCAGATACTCAACAAAAACGATAAAAATTGTAAATTGAATCTAATCATAAATAATCTCAATGACGAGCGAATCCAAAATATGCGCAAACAACATAAATAATAAAATAAATATACAAAATGCGAGTGTCGCTTGGTGAATCATAAATGGAACTTGTAACTCAATTAAAAATATAAAAATCAAGTAAATAAGGGTGAAGTTGTGTAAAGAAATAAAAATTACTTTCAGGTGAAAGAAAATGAATGAAATTGTACATTGATGTGGTTGATTTACCGTACGATTTTACCAACAAAAGCTATCGATTATTTAAGCATCCAACCGCTTCGCATTGCTGGCTATAAAAAGAAGTTTAAGTTTGTAAATGTATCAGCAATGATTCGAGCACATGTTGCGATCAGATGTCGTGTGACGGTGAAGTGAAATGAAAAATAATTCTCTACGCAATAGAAATGTTTGTACTTGTTAAGGTCAACAACGAATAGCCACTAGCGATGACTTTTTATTCACTTTGCATCTAAATATTGCTAATTCATTTAATTTTTTTATTTCTTCCTTTTGAATTCGAAACGATGAGGAAGAAAAATACTCACAGAAAAGAAATTTTCGTCATTGAAAACAAGTGAAACTGGTCGACGATTGCCATGTTCAAGAACATCGCGACATGTTCGAATATCATCGAGACTTTTACTGAGATTTGCAGCTGACACGATTGAAGCATTCACAAAACTTGTGTTAAACACTTCTTCGTCATCATCAGCACATTCGACAGTTATTAAATGATTTTCATTATTATTCAACATGTCACCGTCATTAGAATCAACATTAAAATTTGTCTTCACAAATAAAGTCGCGCATGCATTTAAATTAACGAGAAATTTTCGTGTTTTTATCACCGTCATTAAACAAAGAAGAATTAAAACTCACCTGAGCTGTTTCGTTGTTATTGACTGGCGCCCATGGATCCTGATTTAACGTAACTGGAAATTGTTGTTGCTGCTTTAATTGGTTTATGGACGGATTCTAAGAAGTTTTCAATTAATTAATTAACGAAGAATTTTCATCATTTTTCATGACTCACCTGAGGTTGATTTTGCTGGAATAAATTTTTTGTCTTCATCGCTGGCGACTCAAATGGATTGTATGCATTGTTATTTGTCGTGTTGTTAATCGGCTTAATTAAATTATCCAAATTGACCAAAGCTGAATTTTCACCTAAGAAAGCTGCTGGATTGTTGACTGTCGGCTTTTTCTGTGCCAATGGATCCATGTCTGATAATAAATCATTCAAATTGTTGTTATTTTGTTGATTCAACAAGTCATTGACCGGCGATGATGTTGCTTGCTGTGCTGATTTACTTCGATTTGTGATGATGTCAAAGTCATCTAAGTCAGAACCAGGCGTAAGACCGCCCAGTGAACTGTTAGTTTGACGTGGCATTGGTGCAGGAAACTAGAAAAACAAGAAAATTAACAATCTTTGATAATTAAAAATAATTTCAGTTCACTTACACCACTCGACTGATTGTTGGTCTTCATGACAGGCGCCCATGGATCCAACGGTTCACTCTTCGAATTCCATGGGTCAGGCACTTGTTGTGTTTGTGTTTTAGTGTTCCATGGATCGGCATTTGTTGGCTTCAGTGACCAAGCACATTCTAAATCATTGTTGGTGGGCTTTGCAGGTAAGACTGGAACAGCGCCTGCCATTGGTGGAACATTTTGAAGCCATCCTTCAATTGATGAGCTTGAATTGGCTGATGGGGAAATTGTTCTTGCAGCAGGCATCGGTGCACTTGCTTCTGACATAGGAAAAGCTGAAGCTGTGGAGTGCATGGATGATGGCGGTGGTGGCAGCCAAGGATCGGCTGGCTTTGATGACCAAATGTCGTTTGACCTCGCTTGTGGTTGTGGTGGCACTGACGGCATTCCCCAAGGATCGCTGCTGTGTTGCTGCTGCTGCTGTTGATGATATTGCGGTGGCGGATTGGAAATATTTGTAGCACCAAACGAAATGTCAAGCAAGTCCACTAAATGACTCTCAGGTTTCTTTTCGACGTGCTGCTTCTTAAAGTCTTGTTCACTCTGACTCAACGCTAATTGAAGTCTCACATCATCGCTTCGTCGTTTCTGATCTTCCTGTTCAGCTTCTTCTTTCGACATTGCAATTGCGAGTTGTAATTGAAGTTCCTCTTCACCAACTGTCTGAGGACGAACGAATTCGATTTCAGATGCACCGGCTGCTGGTGGACGATCAGACTCAGGCCAAACAGGAGTGTCTCGATCACGACTCGGTCCATCAATTGAACCGTCACTGCCAAAGCCACTTGCAGTCCTAGCAAATCTTTCTTTTGCTTTTAAAGCTCTTGCACGTTCCGCTTTTAATTAGATTGGAAAGTTAGCAAGTTACGTAACTTAAGAACATTTTTTTATTCTCACCTTTAAGACGTTCGTCATCTTTAAGCAGAATCACCATTTGTTTGGCTTTCTCGCGTACATGAACGCCTTGATCTTTGCCTTCTTCCATGTATTGGAAGTCTTTAAGAGTTTGAATGGAGAAAATATTTTCCTTACATTGTTGGGCGACCTTCTCCGAGCCCGTCTTTATGAGATACTCAAGTAAGAGTAAAGCTTTGTAAACATGTCGCCAATTTTTCCCATGATCGTTTGTACGCTTCCAGATCATTTGCATGATTTCCGAGAAGGCTACGACATTGTAAGTTAGGTCGGCAATTTCTGCCATTAGTGTCGATGATGGGCCCCATGGATCGTTCGATGTTGCTTCACGTACTTTCACCTTAATACAAATAACAGAAATTTGATTAAATTGTTTAAAATTCTTGTCTTTGAATATTCACCTGAGCATCCGAGTAATTATGAGCCAAGTTTTTTATATTTCTCCGTAAACCCGCGACATTCATCTGCATTCTGATCGATGTTTATTCAATTTATTTGCTGTCGATGAAAGAGGAAGAAAAGTTTACACTTTAAGAATGTTTTTCTCTTGTCACATTCAACGATGAATTTCGTTTACCAATAATTCTTAATTAAATTATAAGTAAACTTGAAAATTTCATCGACTTCACCTCGCACACATATACGCAATTTTCAGGTAAATTTACTTCATTGTGAAGCCAATGAAGGGATTTTCCCATCGATTTTCCCTGCCATTGCATTTTTCATGTGCAAAAATTGAAGGAATTTGAATATTAAAATAGAAGTTTAATGTTTTGAGTTCTTACAGCACATTCTCTTTATAAATTCTTTATTTTTGTCTCTGTTTGAGACAGAGAAAAATAAATACCAGAAAAATTCTTTCCATATTGTTGAGTTTTAAAGATTTCGTGCATTTTCAGAAGAATCGAAACAAAGACGAAAAGAAAGCTTTTTTGAAACGTAAACTGCGAATTCATTCTTGTTCGACTATTTTATCTTCATCAAAGATAAAGAATTAAGCTTTGTTGCCATTGAAAATAAGGCGAAAAAGAAGAATAATAACGAAAATAATGTGAATGTGATTCATTGACTGTGATGTGTAGGAGAGAGAGAAAATCAATCTGAATGTTGATGAACTTTGAGGACGGGACGGTTAAGAATGCGTAAATTCCGATCTCCAATCCAATTTGTATAATTTTAAATTATTTTCATTGTTTCTTAATTACACACTTTCAGTACAGTTAGATTTTCTAAACAAGCTGTGATGCAATTTGCAGCTAAGTCTCACCTTTACCTCGAAAAAAAATATTCTAGAACAGGAAACTTAACATAAAACTTATAAAACTGTAACTTTTACACTTTTCTTCACGCAACTTTTTATCTGTGATTAATTAATCGATTATCCTATATTGTTTAACGCTTCAAACTTTTGATTTGGGTCAGTTTTGACGACTGAACAGCGAAATATTCTATTTAGTGAGTTGAAAAAAAAATTATGAAGGGACGATGGGGTTGAGTGAAACACAAAAACCAAAAGTGATTCAAATTTTAAAAAACCGTTAAAATATTTGCATTAAAAATGATCTCGAGGAAATTTAATATTTTTGATTCAAATGAATCCTCCCACTATAAATAAGAAGAAACCATTTAAATTTCTAAATAAATGATTTATTTTTTTTCCTTCATTTATGCTATAATCTTAAAAGAATTGTCACTAATTAAATAGCTTTCAATCTCATTATTGATTTTTAATCTATCCATAGCAAGTTTTCTGTTTTCTTCAATACCTTCTTTAATTAACTAAATGAAAAAAACAAAAAAAAATCATTATAAATCTTCCATAACATTGGTTTTTGCATGGGCTTGCTTTAAAAATTGTTTTGTTCTCTTCTTTTGTTTAACTCTTATTTTCATCATTGTCATTATTTATATAAATTTTTAAACACTAAAGTCTAATATTGTATTCAGCTAGAAACAGAAAAATTAAAAGCTAGAGCATACTTTAATTGCATTTTATAGATACCTAATTGCAATATATAATCATCGGTGCCTGTCTTCATTAAAAACCCTTTCTCTCCTTCTCTCTCTCTATCTCTCTTTCATTTTCACAATTATTAAATTAAAAAATAAGCTTATAGTTTTAAATTTAATTAAGTGACGGTAATTTTGATATGCCAGCGGTGGCAGAAGATCCATTATTGTTCACAGTATTACTACTAGAATTACTGTTATGAGATGAAACTAATGATAATGTTGACGTTGAATGAATGGATGAAGACATTAATCGATTAAGTGTCATTGATTTGCGATTCGATAAATCTTGATAGCTTTCGCATTGATATTTATCACCCAATTTTGATGTTGACGTACCACCACCATTTCCACTGTGATGAAGAAGATGAGAATACGTCGGATTACCACTCGGCGGTAATGATTTGTGAGCATCATCACCATGTTGCTGTTGTTGTTGTTGTTGATTATTATTCACATTCAGTTGATGTAATGTATTATCATAATAAAAGCAATTTGCTGTAATTCCTTTACTATTAGACGACGACGACGATGCTAAAGGTTCTTTGCTGCAATCCATTGTTGTCGGTGCTGTTACTGATGACGTTGTTGTTGTTGTGATAAGAGATTGCGGTTGTTGATGTTGCTTTGAAGAAGTTAAATTACCAGAATAACTATTATTGTTGCTATTACTGTTACTGCCTCCATTTCCACTTGTGTGTGGAAGTTTTGGTAATCTCCTTTTGAACCATGAATGTTTAAATGCTTGTTCTGGTGTTAGACGCTTTTCAGGAAGCCATTCTAAGCACTCACTAATAAATTGTAGAAAATAAACATCATCACATCCATTTAAAGCGTTTTTTAATTTACGACTGCCTGGTGGGCCACGTGAAATGCCACGTCGTGAGAAGCCTTCAGTCATTATCACTGATCCATCATCAAGTGTTTTCAATGAACAATAACGTGGATAACCCTTTGCATTGAAGAAGATTTTAGCTCGCTTCGAGTTTTCAAGAACTTGTTTCGGTGGCATTCCCAACAACTCAATAATGCAGGCAAGTTGATCAGATTCATCTTCACCAGGTAGAATGGCGTAGCCTGTGTAAAGTTCAGCAAGTATACAACCCAAACTCCACATATCAATTGGCATGCCATACTTTCCACCGAGAATGACTGAAATGAATTTAAAATCAGCATGAAATAAATTAGAAAATATTCTGAGATCACCTTCTGGTGCACGATAAAATCGACTTTGTATGTAAGTGTAAACACGTTGATTCTCATAACACGACGAACCGAAATCAATCACCTAAAAAGCAAGCACAAGAGTGAACATTAATCGATATTTATCATTTAGAAATAAGTCACCTTGATGCCTGAGCGACCTTGTTGCTTTAAAAGAATATTTTCTGGTTTCATATCGCAGTGAATTATCTTAAATTTACTGAGAGCGTCTAGACATTGAAGAAGCGAATGAGCAAATTTGCGGACAAGCTGCAAGCTGAAACCTTGAAATTTATTCTTCTTGATCAACTCGTAAAGATTTATATGTAAAAGTTCAAAGATGATGCACATGTGATTCCGAAACACAAAGTAATCGAACCTGAAAGGAAACAAAAAAAATAAAAACAAGGAAATGATTAAAAAACGTGCGACTTCGTCTTCTTCAAAGCTGATAAGAGCAGGAATGTTAAAATCTTTTTAGAATGTGAAATGAAATGAAATGAATGTTCTAGTAATGTTGATTGATTGCTTGATATTTATGATAATAAATCATCAACAGAAAATTTCTTTTGTTGACGACAACGTCGAGTAAATAATTGAATTAAATTTACTTCGATCAGAAGAGTTTTGGGAACGAAATAAATCATAAAAATGTTGAATATACTCACATGTGAATTATATTAAAAGTGTTTTCCTTATCTTGACCTCTCAAATGCTTTAAAATGCGAATCTCTTCTTGCGCTTGTCGATGAAAACGTTTCTCATTTCTTACCATTTTCAAGGCGACATGTTCGCGTGTTTTATGATCGTAAGCTTTCACGACTTGTCCAAAGCTGCCTTTGCCTATGATTTTCAGCACTTCATATCGATAAGCGACATGATCATGTGGGATGTGAATATACGAGCCATTCTCATTGTCATAATCAGAGTTATTCGGACCTGTGCCCGAACGTTTCTTCGCATTAGCACCGATAAAGTAAATTTGTGAGTATTTGTAGATTTCGTGATGCTCGTATGGCGTCAATTTGTTCATATAAAGCATCATCACCTGATGTGGACTGGCAACAATAGGCCAACTTTTCGTTGATTGAGACTTACTTTGTTGTTGATCATTTTGCTGACCATTCTGATGCTGCTGCAAATCACTATTTGTTGATGTTGTTGACGTCATTTGCTTGCTATTATTTTTGTTTATCCCATTCACACTCAAATCACTGATTTCTTTAAAGTTACTATTATTAAGATTATTATTATTATTATTATTATTTGCAATTAGACTACTGCTGTGTGGTAGTGAATTCTTTCTATTGCAGATTGCTTGCAATTGCTCATCCGGTACTGATGATCCTGATGATGAGGTTTTCAACATTGGCTGGACTTGTGGCTGATTAAATTGAAACTTTTGTGGAAGTACCATAGCAATTGATGGTTGATTTGTCTGTGAATCCGTGAAATTGATATTGAGGAGATTTGAAGACGATACGGTATTCCTTAAATTGGAGTTGGACGTAGCAGGAAGCGATGAGAGCCCTGCCGGAAGTGGCTTTGTAAAATTATCCCAGAACACAGCTGAAGCGGAAGAATTATCACTATTATTAAATTTGAGGCTTTTGGCTGAACCTAAGGGTTGTTGTGAGTGTGAGTCCATAGCGAAGTTGGTTGATGAGCTCGGTAGGAAATCAATGTAAGATTTAGTGGCCAAAAAGCGTGAATTGTTGTTGTTGCTGCTGCTACTTCCCATTGTGAATTTCTCCAAATTCTTATCGTTGAGTGACGATATAGAATTAATTTTTGATATTATTTTCATGTTGGGTGTGTTTTGCAATCTGTTTAAATTATCGAATGAGTGCTTTGAAATCCGAGAACTTTTTTTCAGTGTCGATGCATTTGACATGAATCCACCACCCTCGCTTTGATTATCGCCATTATGAGCCTCATCCGTGAAGATAAGCGATATTTTCTGTGAAAAAGGGTCATAGAAGAGAAAAATCGTTAGTTTTGGACATTACTTAACAGCATTATAATTGATTATTTTTTAGCAATTGAATTTTTTAGCTTTTCTTTTCCGTCTTACATTTTCCATTTTTGTTTAGTGAGCTCTTTTTGATCACATATTTACTTTAAATTTACGGTCATTTTTAGTTCACGTATAATTAAGCTTATGAGTAAAGTTATTATTATCTAATATTAATGGCTGTTTAATAGAAAACTTCTACTTTTTTACATTTTTCGTTCTAGAAATTTGTTGCGAAGGGCAAAAGCTACGCTAACTTATATCCAGTTTATATTGAAATATGGCGCACGTGCCGTCAGGGTTCAAAATTCGTTGTTATCCGAAGGTTTTATCCGACAATTGCACAATTGACTCTTACAAAAACAAATAAATTTTGTGTGAAATCATTTTTCTTCTGAAACTTCTCCAAATATTACAAAGATGAAATGGTTTGAAGGTAACATTGCATCAGCAATCAGCACTGCTAAGACTTGGAATGCAATTTTCGTCGTATATTGTGAAGGTAAAGTTCAAATAGCTTGTAAAATGAAGAAATACATGAAACAAAAGAAACTTTTTTCAGGTACTGATGAAAATTCTAAACAAATGACGGAATGGTTAAATAGTGATTTAGTTTCAACTACACTCGAGTCAAAAAAGTTTGTTTCAATCAAAATCCAGAGTGATAAAGAAGAATATATTCAGTTTGCTAAAATTTGTAAGTTTCCATGTTTTTTCTCATGAATGAGACACGTAATCTTTAAATTCTGTTGCTTTTCTTAGATCAACTTGTACCAGTTCCATCTATTTTCTTCATAAGGAATGGAACTCCGGTTAAAATCATCACTGGGGCAGTTAAAAGTGCTTTAGAGCTCAAAGATGAGATTGACAAGTTAAATGATGATAGTGACTCATCAGAAATTTTAATTCAAACCGAAAGATTGTCAAATATAATTCCACCAAGCACTTCTGCTGTGAATCCTGAAATAGAATGTGAAGAAGGTGTTTGTTTTAAGAAACCAGAGTCAAGTGTTGCGGCTGAGAAAATTGAAACAGCAGAAGAGAAGGAAGAAAAAATAAGGAAAGCAATGAAATTGATCGAGCAAAAGCGCATTGAACGAGTTGAAGAAGAACGTCGTTTAGAGAAAGAACGAGAGATTCAACGTCGCAAAGAAGGTCAGGAGATGCAAAATCTTAGAAAATGGCAAGAAGACCAAGAACTAAAGCAGATCAAGGAAGAAAGAATGAAGGAGAAAATGGAAGCGAAAGCTGCAAGACAACGCGTTCTTGAACAAATCGAACAAGATAAAAAGGAACGTGCTCAAAGGTTTGGAAGTCAATCGTCACCGACAGAAGCAAAAACTTCACCAGCAGTCGCATCTACGCCTCCTTCAACATCACAAACTGCAAATACATCGAGAATTCAATTTAAGAAACCCGATGGAGAGAGCGAGATTGTCACATTCGACAGCGACATGATCTTTGCTGATGTTCATGCATTTGTCAAGAACGACATTCTCCGTGGATCAACAAAAGATTTTGCTTTGGCTACAACTTTCCCAAGGAAAGAATTTACTCAAGATGATTTCGATAAAACTCTGACTGCACTCGGTTTAATCCCTTCCGCAGTTTTGCTAATCATTATTAAGAAGACGACATCGTTCCAAGGACCAAGTAGCGTTTTGCCTACACAAACTGATGGAAGTTTTCTCGCAATGATTGGAGCATTAGCTGTTGGATTATTCTCGCCTATTGCAACACTTTTTACATATTTAAAAAATTTTATTTTGCGAAAGCCTCAATCATCAGATGAGGTGAATGAAGCGGGAAAAAGAAAGAGAAATGAAGAAACTTTGGCGGCAAATGACGCGTGAGTATGAATAATTTTGAGGTAACTTAAACGATATTAAAAATCTCTGTTCATGTAAATAGCGCAAAAAAACGGAACTTGAAAGCTTTCAACAATCCGCCAGCTTCAGGATCTTCTCAAAGTTCAACAGGTGCAATCCCCAAGACAACTGGCGCTTACAAAAGACAAACTTCGTCAGCTTCAAGCAACGTTCATCGATTACATCAAGACTCCGACTCGGAAGATGATGAAAGAAAAACTTGGAATGGAAATTCAACACAGCAAATGTAAAAGTATTTTATGTCATCATCATCAATTTTTTTTTTTATTGCTTTCATTCGTCTATTTTGTTGTTGTCGATATTATTGATTCAATTTTCAAAGAAAATAAAACATGTTTAAAATGATTATCAGCAATAAATTTTTCATCTGATTTAGAAGTTTGATTTGTGGCTTGAAAATTTATTTATAAAAAGATTTCAACTTCAATGAAAGCTGCACAAAATTTTATTCAAGCGATTGTTTTTGTGATAATAATAAAACAGAAGTTATGACCTTAAATGAAAGTTTCCAGGAAATAGAATCGAGATAAGCATAGATAGTTGGATAAAACAGCAGTTAAGGCTTCTATAAAATCAAAAATCAATAATCATGTTGTGATAAGAGAAGAGACATCGGAAGTTCATAATAATGAATTTTTGACAAGCAATATTCGATATTTAATATTTTCATAATCAAACACAACTGTTAGAGAGGTGATTTATTTGTCAGAACTACATAATCATCCACACAAGCAATCGAATTTCATTGATACGCAAACATGCTTCCCTCCCTCCCCATATCTTCATCATAAATCGTCGATTAATATGTTATCACGTTATCGCATTCAAATGAAATTATTTGGATTAAAGAAAAATCAATTTGATTAAGTCAATAACGAAATGTGTTTGATGAGTTTAACGACGAATTAAGTCGAATGCTTATAGCGAAAGAAAGGCTTCTTAAATGGATGAATCATTGACCCAGCGGAAACTATTGAGAGTCTCACAGTTGCATAAAGCGCCACTCGATTATAATCTGAGATCGTCAGCAAATAAGTCATATGGTATTTAATATTCAATTAAATTTTAAACGAGTAAATATTTATATAACTTACCTCAAAGCTTCAACCGACTTCAACGATAATGTTTAAACAAAAGAACGAATGAACGAAGACGAGTAAAGCCATTAAGGTTGATTTTAAAGTTGCTACCAGATTCGTAACCACCACTTTCGTGGAAGAAATTCAGCTTAAACTGAAAGCAAATAAAAGAGTTTAAACATAAAAAGCGGTGCGATTACCTCATTTAACGACATTTAATTATATTTGTATCAATAACATCATTACTACTCTAACTTCTTTAAACATTTGACGATGAAACTTTACCGCAAAGAGCAAAGAGGAAAGCAAACAAAACCGGCAATAGCTCTTAGCACACTCGACTCAAGCGTCTTCTTTTTGTAAGAATTGTTTGCACTCCACGACATATCAGTTGAATCGTTAAGAAATCAAAGTCATTTCATTATGATTATTAAGAGTTTTGGAACATTTAATGTTCCTTGAATACGTTCGAATTGACACACAAAAGAAAAAATAAAAATAAAAACAACTTCAATCAATCAATGTAGTCCAATCTCAATCAGAGACTAAAATTCATAATTAATTACTTATTGATAAGATATAAGAAGTTGATTAGATGTAATTGGAACAATTAATTTTATTTGCTTTTTATAGCGCTTGTTGAAAGCTACCTAATCACTTATTTAAGGATCCAATCAATTTTAATGCGTCAAAATTTAAGCCGTCTGACTTTTGATTGCGTATGACATTTTTCAATTAGCTAATCAAGATTATTTTATTTAAAATTTGACAGAATTAATCGAATCATGTACTGATAACAATTGTTAAGTAAACTTTTTTTACTTTTGTTTGTTTTTGCTTCTCGTAATGATTAATTAGATATTTTTAGATTACCTTAGATTTCGAAATCCCAATCAGCGAAGTGTTCAATCAAAATTATATCGAAGATCAAACTTGTACGCGTTGAAATAATAATTCTCGCTATTGCAACTAATTGAGCGTTCGTTTACTTACCGTAAATGGTCGGAATTTTTTAAACACGTTGATTTTCCCGTTGTCAATTTATCGACGTAGCCAATTAATCATCCCACTGAACGACATGCTTCAAGTTTTCTTTTTCCTTCCTTTCATCATCATTCTTGGTCTTTAAATTTTCCATGTTTTAACGAAAAGCACAAGCCCGATGGTAAATGTCTGACTAATGTGTGCGAGCTGAATAATAAATGAATCTTTCAAGTTGCTTCATCAGCCTAATGAATGATTAAAATGCCATTCATACCATTTAATTCAATTAAGTCCTCCTACCAGATCGCGCTAAAGTGCTATTAAGGATTTTATTTGCTCCATTTTCTCTTCTTATCTTTTCTATTCAGCTCTTGAAAATTTTTCATGCTAAACAAAAAACGAAATCATCACCCATTATGTTTTACATTAGAAGAGTCGATGACAATGTAACGTCTTGAGAAATCACAAAATTCAACTTCTTAACTTCTTGATATTCCTTCAACCTCATGTGATCTCATTGACGGACAATCCCAACTCAAGTAATTTGTCTTAAACGAGAAAATAAATTGATATTTTTTATGGGCCGTTTGTTTTAGATTTGAATGTAGATGCTGAGTCGTTAAGCAACGCATTAGGATAAGTGGCTTGAATACATTTTCATTCTTTTTTTCTTACAGAATTTTCTTCTTCTCTCATTCCCATCAGGACAGTTCACAAAAGCATAAAAGCTCGCTTGTATCTTCCCCTACATGACTTCTAAATGAAAATTAATTCAAGATGAGAGTGAGGTTTACATCATCACTGCGTTTTTCACCATCCTTTCATTTCCCTATGAAAATAAAACAAAAAGCAAACTAATTAAAAGATTTTGTCAAACATTAATCTTTAAGTTGAGTATGCAGGGAAAGTGAAGCATGACAAAAATAAATGAACATTGTAGTCGTTACGTTCATACTCGACAACGACGATGATGACGACGACAAAAAATATATTTTCTCTCTCCATGATTCGAGTTTCATCATGGAGCTGCCTTCCATTACCATAAAATTTCTTTTATATGTATTTTTAAATTGAAAATAATTATTAATTATCTCTACCATTGCTGTCAGTGATGAAGAGAGAAAAGCGAGTCGAAGAGACGAAAGTAAATAACTTAAACATGTACAAGTATAACATTCGCTACTTAACTTTCCATTATTGAATTTTCAGTGAGTAAATATGAAACGCCCACAATTCCAAGTTAATATTTTCGAGATATTTGGAATGCTTTCCTGGAACTTTCCATTTCCTTTCGGTGCACCGTCTGCTGTAATTTCATTCATCAAAGTAATTTTGAGCGATGAAAACTCATCAATTAGAGCATGAGAGATTCAATTAGCTCCCAATGACTCCATTACCCAGCACTTTACAGAATCTGATATCAGTAAGCAGATTTACATGCATGTAAACACTTCTCTGTAGTCCCCTTTCAACAATCAATCAGCTTTGGGGTGGGCAATTAATACGCTCAATTGGATTTTATCAAGCACTTTGAAAGCTTAATTTTGTTTGCTTATCGTCAGCCGAACGAAAGGTAATGAATCGGTAAATAGTTAACTCGAGACATGTTTTCGTGTTGCTTACGAAAATTCAATTTAGCACTTAAGCGGTGGAGTTTAATTTGGATCGATCAACAGAGATTGATTACTTTGATGTTTAACCACCAATTCAACAATGTTTCGGAATTATGAGATAAGAAATTTTAATGGCTTTTTGTTGCTACTGAATTTATTTTTATTGCTGTAAGCTTCGTATTGTATTTAAGTCTTGAATATGCCTTAGATAGTAATGCTTGATGTTTGTAAATCTCAGATTCACATGAAAATTACTTTACAACATGAACAATTCATTCTGAATGGAGAAGGAAAAAAACTGTTGAAGCATTCCTCCATTATTTCAACCCTACACCAAACCTTACCACTCATGAATTGAATAAAATATTTTACTCCATGGAATAGCGATGCGAGTGATCTGTTTGCAAAATGTTTTTCTTTTTTCCAAAGTGAAAGGAATATTCTCAATGTTAAATATGCAGATTCAGTAAGGAACGAACAACGAATATCAAATTTGCTTTGCATCATGAAAACTCAAAGCTGGAGATGATGTTTTAACACTTCTTTCACCCCCATCATGAGACGCTTTCCATTTATTATCGCTTACAAAAAATTTTATACTTTCCGCATAATGTTGTGAAGGAGTTTTGTTGAAATGGGATTTTATTACGACGATGTAGCCATTTATTCTGATTCAATGATTTATTCAAATTTTGCTTGTTTTTCTCAAATAAGATTCATCTTTTTACACACTTTTCAGGATGAGTTTACATATTTTGGAACATTCTTTGGATACAAAGCGAATCTTAATGTGACCTTCTCCTGATTCACAACTTTTGTTCTTCCCAAAAAGATCTTTCACCATTTTGTGATAGATGTGAATATTTGTAATCGGCTTGATTGAATTAAACGAGATAGAAAATCCTCGACAAATAATTTTCTTCTCTCGACATTTTATTTCAGTCGGGTTCGTATGTGTCGAATCCGAAATGTAAGCAGAAAGAACATCAAAATCTATTGACTTATCGCTTTTTGAGGGTTGAAAATTTACATTTGAATGATATTTTGGGGAATCATCATCAGGGGTGGTGCGGTGGTGAAGTTGTAAAGGAAAACTGTCTTCAAATCAGTTGAGATGATTTTTCAAAGATTTTTGCTTTCACCTTTTCTTTTAATCTTCTCTCAAACTTATTTACATTCTCGACAAAAATGAAACTTTATCATGACTGTTCTCATATGCATTTGATTAGACAATCAAAAATCTTATGTTCAATCAAGTTTGAGCTTACAATTCTTACCGAAAACTTTCTCATCGTACTGAAGGTCTTTGGGACACATTCTGCAAAAGCCAGACAAGCTTTCTTCTGAAGACAAATTCATGTCGCCCATTTCTATTATATTTTCTTCTTTCTTTCATGCTTGATGTATTTACATAGACGATAAATTGTAAGAAGAACCAAAACTCCCTCGCATTTCGTTAGAATTGCCTTTAGGGTTCGGATTGTGTTTGTGTCCCGAGAGGAAATGCAATTAGCTAATTTAATTTAATTCTTTTTCTTCAATTCAAGGGTGGTTAATGTGAAGGAAAATGATAGCAAATGATAGTTGATTATGTTCAGGTTCGGAGAAATTTATGGAACAATCAGAAGATGAATTTGTTTGTGATGCAATTCAATGTTTCTGTAGGTTTTTATTTGGCTTTCATTTCCAAACGAAAAAGTTTCTTTCATCTCAAAATTAAAGTGTTAAAAAATCAAACCACGACAAAAACATTTAACAAGAATACATTTTCATTCACAACAATGAAATTCAGCAAAATTTAAGACCATCAAGTGTTAATCTGTTTGTCAAACGGATTACAAATAAACTAAAAACTTTCAAGAAACACACGAGGGTTGGAATGCAAACATCTAACACTAAAAATTATTATTTCTTTTGTATTCGATGTGCAAAGTGCATTTAATTTTTCTAAGTTGATTGTTGTTGGCAATGAAATAAATACACCCTAATTGAAAGCCGTCATAAATAAATTATCGCAAGGATTGAAATGATTCCGAGGGTTGGTCGTTCCCTTCTCAGACCTGTAAACAATTTGGCTTTTCAATGCAATTGTAGCAATTATGGATAGAAATTTAGAACCTGTTTGCATTCAATCAAGCATTATCTGGATACAAATGCAATTTACTTTATTTACATTTGATAGTTTTATATGCTTTGAAAATATGGTCACAATTAGATGCGATTAGTGACGTTAGTTTTCATTGTTCTTTTACTTCTGGAATCATTTGATCTCGGTATCTGAATTTTACGCCCAAACGATTAACATTACTTTGATCTGTGATTTCAAACTTCAGTATAAAATGCCATATGTTGAAATAATTTTAATTCATTTGATTGAAAATTACTCATAGACCTGATTAACTTTCAACTGCTAATTGTTGGATTACACTTTATTACATAAAGTTTAAAGAACGCTAATGAAATATTTCTTCGACATTTGTCAATGTTGACAAAACAAACATGTTAAAAGTTTTAAAATTTTCAACCCTCATAGACATTTATAAAACAGTTTAAAACAGGGACGAGCGTCAATATTATTCCAGTCTCGGGGTGCTAATTAAACAATGATTATAATCCTTGAAACCGATGAACATCATCTGATCGTCACACTTTTCCCTTTTCATCACGTAACATAAACGTAAACATAGTTTGACGAACGATAAAGGTTTTCAACAATTGGCATGTTTGGATTAAACACATTTTGATCTTTTATTTTTGTCCCTTGCCTCATGATTTATTTTACACCATTCATAAACAACTTTGATTGCACATCTGTCATAAATAAATAAGCAACAAACCTAATTATAAATTTAAATGTCGCTATTTGAAACTATCTACGTTAATGACCAAATTAGTTCATGATAATTGAAGTTAAAATCACCTTGTAGGTGTCAATAGAAAAGTAATCGATTATAATTTGTTATCGGAAGACAAGCTGGAGCATTGTTGCGTCAAAAATACTATTTCAAATTTGATTTCTGTTTGTATTGATAAAGTGCGATAAAAAAATTAAATTTGAAATGTTTAACAAGCAAGAGAAATCTAGTTTCACGGTAGCGATCTTGTATTGAATGAGTTTCGTTATTGAACTTATCTTATCCAAACATGTGTCAAACGCTTCTGTTAACTTAAATTAGTCATTAATGTGAAAATAACTTTTCATTTAATTTAATAAAGAAATCGTAAAATGTACAATTTTTTAATAAATTTTTGACACTTGACAATCTATTATCATTAATTAAATCGAAATTATTTCAATATTATGATTGCTTAATGAAAATAATTTTGTCTCCAATTATCTTATTCAACGTCAACATAAGTGGAATTACAATTATTGATATATTTATAGATATGCTGTGAAATATTCCTGGAAATCGCATATCAACTTTCCAATCTCAACATAGCCACGCCCACTTTTCTTACTGAATCTGCAGACTCCATAAATGAAACATTCCGAGTATTTCCCCAATCATACTATTTGCACAATATTTTAGTCTCATTATGAAGCGATAAAAATTGAATCAAAAACACTCTTGGAACGAAAACTGAACAACAAAACGAGCGATTATATTTTGTAATGATGGTTCATCAGTGTTGTATGAATGTGTAACATGGTGTGTCTGTATAGAGATGTGTTGAACTCAAAGCACTCATTGCGATCATTCTTCTAATAGACTTTGTCAGTGACGGTCGTAAAAATCGGAAGTGAAAATAAATTGACTGCTTTCTTAATCGAACATTCAGTCAGTGGCAAAACATTTTACTGCCATTACTGACCTATAGCAACTTCTCGAAAAAAAAAGCTTGTTTAGTGTTAAGAATAATAAAGACGAGAATTTTCATTAGCATAAATTGTCTGAACTCGAAGCTTATTTATGTAAATTTTATTAAGAACAATAAAAATCCTGAAAGCTACAGAAATAATAAAGGATTAAATACATCGCTTGTGTGCAAACAGATTTTTCTGTGTACATTTCAAAAGAAGTTAATTTGATTTTGTAGTATAAAGTGCAGCAATGTTTTAATTGAACAAACATTGAAATTAATCTAAGTAATCGGAAATAAGAGAGAAAGGAGGAAATATGACAAGCTCATCTCCTAACAATCGCGTTTCATCTCCAGGGTCATCTAACGATGACACAGAACAAAATCAAACTCCACCACCTCTTCAAATGCCACCAGAAATCAGAATTTTCCAGCAACAAAACTGCCCTGAAAACAATAATTTAATGAGCGAACAGAACTATCAGACTGAGTATCAAACACCGACGCTAAATAGCAAGAAATCATTTTGCATTGATGCATTGTTAGCAAGAAATCATAATGATAGTGAGAGTGATTTAGAGAATAAAAGATCTTATGATCAGTTTAGAAACAACAATTACAAGGATAACATAATTTCGAGAGATTTAAATGGTAGCCCCGATGATCAAATGTCAAGGTGAGTGTGCTTTAAATAGTTGAATCAAATTCATAGTGAAAACATTCGAAGTAGATCTGATTCACCAGTGTCATCGACACGTTCAAGTCCACCAATAAGTCCTGGCTGTGAAGAACAGAATCAACTGCCAGAAGGTTTCATTCAAGATGAATCATTCAAACGTCCAATTCCACCTGATATGCGTCATCCAGGTTTCCCTCCACAGTTCTACAACATGTACCAGCCTCAACTTTTATTGCCCAATAATTCAGCTTTTCATCGACCTGATGGAAGTGGAAAATCGATAAGTGTGAGTTCTTTTTAAACTCTAAAATATTGAAGCAATTTAATATTCCACAATGTTCATTTAGATGCCTGGCTTTGTTCCCCACCTTTCTAATCTGGAGTTAATTCGGCAAGCAGGAATTTTCTACCCTCGAATAACTGATCTGACTGGTGAGTTGAAAAGAAAAAGATTCTAAATCAAATATTGATTTCCAATTATATCATCATCCATTTACGTTTTCATTTCAACAACATCCAATTACGATCGTTTGTGAGTTGATATCGATTACGATTTATTTGCATTTTCAATTTCCATATATGATTAAAAAGAAAATTTTATTTGCATATTTTCCATCCTTTTTCCAATCACTTTAACATTATCGTGAGGGGGGACCGAAAAGTTGGAGCCTCGAACAATTCAAGTTNGTTCCAAAACAGAAGGATGAAATGGAAGCGATCCAAGAAAGGTTACCAGGAATCAAAATCAAAGAGTCAAGGGTCGAGCAAATCAAAAATTACAGAAGACATTATTGAACGATCACCAGAAGGCGTTTTAAAGAAAATTCAAACATCAACGCAGTTGGAAAACATCGAACCACAATTTTCACAAAGGATATTTCTAAGTAATAATAATTTCAATGAAAAAAATAATCCATACATTTTGGGAATAGCATGAGATTAAAAGTCAAGCTAAACAAAGACAAAATAAAAATAAAAAATGATATTAAACTCAAATCTTTTGGAATTATGGAAATTTATTTTTATGTTCTCTTACATTGAAAGATTCAAACAAAGAAAGAAATGGGAGCCGTCGGAAAATTCGAAAAAAGTCTTGAAAAGGACATAAAATGATGATGCATCACCCAACAATGTTAGAGAAATTTTCTCTTATGCTCATTTCAAGAAATAATGTCGTAACATAACTTACGAAATGGTACAGAAACAAAATGTACAGAATGACTGGAAAGCTCATGCAACTTTCCAGTCTCGTCATGGCCACGCCCACTTTTCTTTCTGAATCTGCAGACTCCATAAATGAAACATTCCGAGTGTTTCCTCAAGTCTGCTATTTGCACAATATTTTAGTCTCATTATGAAGCGATAAAAATTGAATCAAAAACACTCTTGGAACGAAAACTGAACAACAAAACGAGCGATTATATTTTGTAATGATGGTTCATCAGTTACTGTTTGATTGCAAAGCTAAAAGTGTGATAGTGTGGAAGGAAAAACTTTTGTGTTGAACGTGGTTCAATCATTCCGTGAAGCAACGTCAAACGAAGTGGTTGTCAAATTACATTTTGGAAGAAAGAAAGAATTTAAATTTTTATTAAAAGATATTTTGAAAATTGTTTGTGCAATGGATGAAGATAAAATAAGTGCAGATCAAAATGAATTTTCTGATATACCAACAACAGTGATTTATCGAAAAAATATTACAAAAAGTTCAAAATCATTTTTAATCGAAACATTATTGTCGAAAAATGATGAAAAGTCAAATACAACATGTAAAAGGTCTTAAACAAAAATTCACAAAGATGAAATAAAAATTAATTACAACGCTTTCTTCAACAGTAATTCGCCATCACCAGCTTCATCGATAGCATCAAGTCCACCTATAAGTCCTGGAAATGAAACGAATTTTTACCAGCCACATGAGTCTCAGCAATTTCAAAATTCATTTAAATATTCAATGGATTATTTTAATCATCTTCACCATCAATATCCTCATTTTGAATTGTTCCAACATTCAAGACTTTTTTATCCACCAATAGGCGAATTTAATGGTGCGTGATTCAATTTTATAATTTAAATTTAAGTAAAACTTGTTTCTTCCAATTGTATTCAGCCCAGCACGGATTTTTTGGAAAAACTCGGAGACCTCGAACAGCATTTACAGTTGAGTTTAAATTTATCTTTATTTAATTCATTCGATGATTAATTTTTACATTAAATTCTTCACAGTCCCTGCAGCTTTTAGAGCTTGAGAAGCAATTTAAACAAAACAAATATTTATCCCGTCCAAAGAGATACGAGGTTGCCAGCAATTTAATGCTTTCTGAGACTCAGGTACATGTTCAGTTCATGAAGAATATTTAAAAGCATAAAAATTGTTTATTTATGATTCATAGTATTATTTTTGATTATTAATTTACATCATTTATTTTTCTTTCTTTTCTTTTATTCGCTAACAATTCTCCAGATTAAAATTTGGGTAAGAAATTATGATGAATTAAATTTAGAACTCAGTTTTAATAAAATTTATTTTTAAATAGTTCCAAAACAGAAGGATGAAATGGAAGCGATCCAAGAAAGGTTACCAGGAATCAAAATCAAAGAGTCAAGGGTCGAGCAAATCAAAAATTACAGAAGACATTATTGAACGATCACCAGAAGGCGTTTTAAAGAAAATTCAAACATCAACGCAGTTGGAAAACATCGAACCACAATTTTCACAAAGGATATTTCTAAGTAATAATAATTTCAATGAAAAAAATAATCCATACATTTTGGGAATAGCATGAGATTAAAAGTCAAGCTAAACAAAGACAAAATAAAAATAAAAAATGATATTAAACTCAAATCTTTTGGAATTATGGAAATTTATTTTTATGTTCTCTTACATTGAAAGATTCAAACAAAAAAAGAAATGGGAGCCGTCGGAAAATTCGAAAAAAGTCTTGAAAAGGACATAAAATGATGATGCATCACCCAACAATGTTAGAGAAATTTTCTCTTATGCTCATTTCAAGAAATAATGTCGTAACATAACTTACGAAATGGTACAGAAACAAAATGTACAGAATGACTGGAAAGCTCATGCAACTTTCCAGTCTCGTCATGGCCACGCCCACTTTTCTTTCTGAATCTGCAGACTCCATAAATGAAACATTCCGAGTGTTTCCTCAAGTCTGCTATTTGCACAATATTTTAGTCTCATTATGAAGCGATAAAAATTGAATCAAAAACACTCTTGGAACGAAAACTGAACAACAAAACGAGCGATTATATTTTGTAATGATGGTTCATCAGTGTTGTATGAATGTGTAACATGGTGTGTCTGTATAGAGATGTGTTGAACTCAAAGCACTCATTGCGATCATTCTTCTAATAGACTTTGTCAGTGACGGTCGTAAAAATCGGAAGTGAAAATAAATTGACTGCTTTCTTAATCGAACATTCAGTCAGTGGCAAAACATTTTACTGCCATTACTGACCTATAGCAACTTCTCGAAAAAAAAAGCTTGTTTAGTGTTAAGAATAATAAAGACGAGAATTTTCATTAGCATAAATTGTCTGAACTCGAAGCTTATTTATGTAAATTTTATTAAGAACAATAAAAATCCTGAAAGCTACAGAAATAATAAAGGATTAAATACATCGCTTGTGTGCAAACAGATTTTTCTGTGTACATTTCAAAAGAAGTTAATTTGATTTTGTAGTATAAAGTGCAGCAATGTTTTAATTGAACAAACATTGAAATTAATCTAAGTAATCGGAAATAAGAGAGAAAGGAGGAAATATGACAAGCTCATCTCCTAACAATCGCGTTTCATCTCCAGGGTCATCTAACGATGACACAGAACAAAATCAAACTCCACCACCTCTTCAAATGCCACCAGAAATCAGAATTTTCCAGCAACAAAACTGCCCTGAAAACAATAATTTAATGAGCGAACAGAACTATCAGACTGAGTATCAAACACCGACGCTAAATAGCAAGAAATCATTTTGCATTGATGCATTGTTAGCAAGAAATCATAATGATAGTGAGAGTGATTTAGAGAATAAAAGATCTTATGATCAGTTTAGAAACAACAATTACAAGGATAACATAATTTCGAGAGATTTAAATGGTAGCCCCGATGATCAAATGTCAAGGTGAGTGTGCTTTAAATAGTTGAATNGTAGCAATTATGGATAGAAATTTAGAACCTGTTTGCATTCAATCAAGCATTATCTGGATACAAATGCAATTTACTTTATTTACATTTGATAGTTTTATATGCTTTGAAAATATGGTCACAATTAGATGCGATTAGTGACGTTAGTTTTCATTGTTCTTTTACTTCTGGAATCATTTGATCTCGGTATCTGAATTTTACGCCCAAACGATTAACATTACTTTGATCTGTGATTTCAAACTTCAGTATAAAATGCCATATGTTGAAATAATTTTAATTCATTTGATTGAAAATTACTCATAGACCTGATTAACTTTCAACTGCTAATTGTTGGATTACACTTTATTACATAAAGTTTAAAGAACGCTAATGAAATATTTCTTCGACATTTGTCAATGTTGACAAAACAAACATGTTAAAAGTTTTAAAATTTTCAACCCTCATAGACATTTATAAAACAGTTTAAAACAGGGACGAGCGTCAATATTATTCCAGTCTCGGGGTGCTAATTAAACAATGATTATAATCCTTGAAACCGATGAACATCATCTGATCGTCACACTTTTCCCTTTTCATCACGTAACATAAACGTAAACATAGTTTGACGAACGATAAAGGTTTTCAACAATTGGCATGTTTGGATTAAACACATTTTGATCTTTTATTTTTGTCCCTTGCCTCATGATTTATTTTACACCATTCATAAACAACTTTGATTGCACATCTGTCATAAATAAATAAGCAACAAACCTAATTATAAATTTAAATGTCGCTATTTGAAACTATCTACGTTAATGACCAAATTAGTTCATGATAATTGAAGTTAAAATCACCTTGTAGGTGTCAATAGAAAAGTAATCGATTATAATTTGTTATCGGAAGACAAGCTGGAGCATTGTTGCGTCAAAAATACTATTTCAAATTTGATTTCTGTTTGTATTGATAAAGTGCGATAAAAAAATTAAATTTGAAATGTTTAACAAGCAAGAGAAATCTAGTTTCACGGTAGCGATCTTGTATTGAATGAGTTTCGTTATTGAACTTATCTTATCCAAACATGTGTCAAACGCTTCTGTTAACTTAAATTAGTCATTAATGTGAAAATAACTTTTCATTTAATTTAATAAAGAAATCGTAAAATGTACAATTTTTTAATAAATTTTTGACACTTGACAATCTATTATCATTAATTAAATCGAAATTATTTCAATATTATGATTGCTTAATGAAAATAATTTTGTCTCCAATTATCTTATTCAACGTCAACATAAGTGGAATTACAATTATTGATATATTTATAGATATGCTGTGAAATATTCCTGGAAATCGCATATCAACTTTCCAATCTCAACATAGCCACGCCCACTTTTCTTACTGAATCTGCAGACTCCATAAATGAAACATTCCGAGTATTTCCCCAATCATACTATTTGCACAATATTTTAGTCTCATTATGAAGCGATAAAAATTGAATCAAAAACACTCTTGGAACGAAAACTGAACAACAAAACGAGCGATTATATTTTGTAATGATGGTTCATCAGTGTTGTATGAATGTGTAACATGGTGTGTCTGTATAGAGATGTGTTGAACTCAAAGCACTCATTGCGATCATTCTTCTAATAGACTTTGTCAGTGACGGTCGTAAAAATCGGAAGTGAAAATAAATTGACTGCTTTCTTAATCGAACATTCAGTCAGTGGCAAAACATTTTACTGCCATTACTGACCTATAGCAACTTCTCGAAAAAAAAAGCTTGTTTAGTGTTAAGAATAATAAAGACGAGAATTTTCATTAGCATAAATTGTCTGAACTCGAAGCTTATTTATGTAAATTTTATTAAGAACAATAAAAATCCTGAAAGCTACAGAAATAATAAAGGATTAAATACATCGCTTGTGTGCAAACAGATTTTTCTGTGTACATTTCAAAAGAAGTTAATTTGATTTTGTAGTATAAAGTGCAGCAATGTTTTAATTGAACAAACATTGAAATTAATCTAAGTAATCGGAAATAAGAGAGAAAGGAGGAAATATGACAAGCTCATCTCCTAACAATCGCGTTTCATCTCCAGGGTCATCTAACGATGACACAGAACAAAATCAAACTCCACCACCTCTTCAAATGCCACCAGAAATCAGAATTTTCCAGCAACAAAACTGCCCTGAAAACAATAATTTAATGAGCGAACAGAACTATCAGACTGAGTATCAAACACCGACGCTAAATAGCAAGAAATCATTTTGCATTGATGCATTGTTAGCAAGAAATCATAATGATAGTGAGAGTGATTTAGAGAATAAAAGATCTTATGATCAGTTTAGAAACAACAATTACAAGGATAACATAATTTCGAGAGATTTAAATGGTAGCCCCGATGATCAAATGTCAAGGTGAGTGTGCTTTAAATAGTTGAATCAAATTCATAGTGAAAACATTCGAAGTAGATCTGATTCACCAGTGTCATCGACACGTTCAAGTCCACCAATAAGTCCTGGCTGTGAAGAACAGAATCAACTGCCAGAAGGTTTCATTCAAGATGAATCATTCAAACGTCCAATTCCACCTGATATGCGTCATCCAGGTTTCCCTCCACAGTTCTACAACATGTACCAGCCTCAACTTTTATTGCCCAATAATTCAGCTTTTCATCGACCTGATGGAAGTGGAAAATCGATAAGTGTGAGTTCTTTTTAAACTCTAAAATATTGAAGCAATTTAATATTCCACAATGTTCATTTAGATGCCTGGCTTTGTTCCCCACCTTTCTAATCTGGAGTTAATTCGGCAAGCAGGAATTTTCTACCCTCGAATAACTGATCTGACTGGTGAGTTGAAAAGAAAAAGATTCTAAATCAAATATTGATTTCCAATTATATCATCATCCATTTACGTTTTCATTTCAACAACATCCAATTACGATCGTTTGTGAATTGATATCGATTACGATTTATTTGCATTTTCAATTTCCATATATGATTAAAAAGAAAATTTTATTTGCATATTTTCCATCCTTTTTCCAATCACTTTAACATTATCGTGAGGGGGGAACGAAAATTTGGAGCCTCGAACAATTCAAGTTTCAACATTGATATCGATTAAAATAATTTTCCTCTCTGTCTCATTCTCATTCCATTCAGGACCAAAAGAAATTAAGAAGTTGAAATATTCATTCTCGTCATCTGTGATAATACTTAAATTAATTTAATCATAAAGATGCCAGCTTTCGATCAAATCCAAAGTGGTGAAAAACTTCTTATCATTGATTAATTTAACAAATAAATTTTGTTTATTTACTACAGATGTTTCATCTAATTGTTTGCAAAGTATTTAAGGGATGAAAGCGCTTAAAGCGAATGGGGTGAAAAATTATTGCTCAATTCGTTTGATTGCATGGTGTCTCGATGTGGTTTTTGGGATGAGACAAGGGTGAACTTCCTTCATACTTTCATGAATTGATGACGCTTTTTCTTCTCTCTAATGGGTTTCAAAGATTAATTAGCACTGGGTGTATTGTGCACAGTGCACTTGATCAAGATAGAAACTAAATGATGCACTCTTTAGAATGTTTATCCAAACACCTTATGGCTGTTAGTTGTAAATTGTAATTAATTAGAAGAAGCAAATATTGAACATTATTTTAGCAAAACTGCATTTAGGACATGTTGGATTTTTTAGTTAGCCTTGTATGGAATCTAATTTATTTAGCTCAATAGCTACCTAATTATTCATTCAAAACATACATTCGAAAGTCTATTCGTATAATTTCCTCGTTGTAAATTTTCCCCAAAGTTTTTTTGCAAGCCAGGGATTGAAACTGTTTGAATCTTTTTTCCTGAAATGAATTAGTCACGTTCAAAAGTTTAAGAAGAATCTTTGGATTGAATTATTAGGAAATTATTAAATCATCATTCGAAAGTTGCTTTTTCTCACAGGTTTATGTTCTAATCCCTGCAATAAACACATACATAGAACCTTAATTTCAGTAGCATCACCAAAATTTAATTTACAATCCCCACTCGCTCGCTTCGTTCCAATTAGCAGTCGTTTAGTATCATTTATAAAATGGTTTAAATGTAAAAAACAAATTAAATTTATCTTGAATTACATTCGTCAAAGAAGGAAGAGACAAATGAAATAAAATGGGGGGAAAAAGTCATGAACAAAATCCCATGTGGCAAACTTTGTGATTAAAAATTCTGAGGATGGAGAAGAAAAGTTGATGAAAAGATAAATTAAGTTTAATTAACGAAGATTACATTTTCCATATCATTCCGAATAAAAAAGTTTTTCTTGATAACAAAAAAAAAGCATTTAATGCTATGGCAATCAAGAACTGTAGAAATATACCCGACAATTTATCGTAAACATTTTCACCATTTATCCCTCTCCAATACAGCTTCAGTAAAACCACCACGCCATGACACATGAGAGTCGGAGAGAAAAACCATTTTCCATGACTCGCTTTTCATTTTTTTTCCTTTTCAATGAAGAGGGAAAACTAATGATGAGGGTTTTATGTTGCTTGAATGAAGGAAGGAAAAAAAGATGATTTTCCTTAAATGCTTGGAAAATTTAATGGGCGGGAATTCGTTTCATTGAAAATGGTTACAATTTTCACATTAAATTGACGAGCTTTCTGATGAAACCAAACAACAACATAAAGTTATGAATTATTAAATGTTTGCACAATGCTCGAGTCTCGAGATTTTATCCCAAGATTTATGTTCTTGTTTTCATCCTTTAAGTTGGATTTCTAAATGACAATCATTTTTTATGCTCCTTTCGCTTTTCCGGATAATTCACCGAACATTTTCTATCAACAAAAATAAAATTTGTCGTAAAAAATAATCTCACAAATGGACTCAATTCGCATATATTTACTATAAAAGATAATTTCTTTCACCAACCGCATCATCATGAGACAATAAATTTTGATGTTCCTGTTAGATGATCCTATAAAATTGTTCTTAAATCAAAATTAAGTGCATCATTTGGTAGACGATCCAATTCGATTCGACCGTTGCTTAACGAAAGTAGTAAAACGGATAAAGAATGATGAAAGTTGTCGGAATGGAGAAACACAGAATTTTGCAAATAAATATAAAGGCATAACACAAATGGCATCATAAAATCTATATGTGCTGGAAATGGCCAATTCCTACCTAAAAAACATGATACCAAAATTGATATTGGCAAAACGGATAGATATAACAATAAATGTTATGAAAATCGTTTGTTCATTATTTTCGATTTTCTTTACTTCTCCTTCCGACTTTTCGAATTTATTACTGGTGTACTCAGCTTCGTAGTTCATCTTTGGGGGATTGCGAACAAAATTTTGCAGATTGCATTTCAAGCTCGACCATTTTCTATCTTCAACTTGAATCATTCGGTCGGTTTTTGTGGGTTGTTGTTAGATGGAAAATAAAAGAAAGGGAGAGAGAGAGAAAGTAAGTGAGAAAGAAAGAAAGAAAGAAAACTCATTGATTGGATTAAAAGAGCTCAATTATGAGTAGCAGAGTAAACATTCATTCGATTATTTACAATCTAATTTCTCGAGAAGCGTCTGACGCAATTCAAAGTATATTTGCTTTGTTCCTAATTTCAAGAAATAACAGAATTAGAAGAACTCGTTGAAAATCGAATTTAGTGCTCATTTTTGATCGCAATGAAAATACTCTTGAGCACGTTGGCTTTAAGTGTCTCGACAAAAACGATAGAAACGTTTTAAATGTGTTTGCTATTGGATCATTAACAGAACGATGACCAGTTTCAGTCAATTGAATTTTTGAAATTTCGAAATGTCTGATCTCTTCTTTATTCTCATTAATTTGGTTATTAATAATAATTTCTCTTTCTCTTGTTCCTTAATTTTTAATTAAGGACAACATGGACTTTTTGGCAAGACTCGAAGGCCTCGAACTGCATTCACAGTTGAGTCATATTTTATTTAACAATCAAACTTTCAACTCTCATAATTCTGAATGTTTAATTTTATTTACAGTCGCAACAACTTTTAGAGCTCGAAAAGCAGTTCAAACAGAACAAATATTTGTCACGTCCAAAGCGCTACGAGGTTGCCAGCAATTTGCTGCTTACTGAAACTCAGGTACAGATTTCGTTCCTTCTTTTTTTACTATTCTTTTTTCCATGATGTTTATATGTCAAATCATGGGGATTAGGAATGTGATAAGAAAGACAAATACTTTTTTATGTCATGTGCCATGTATCATCTCAATGATAAATAACTTTTTTCCTTGTCAGCAAGGAAAAACGTCCTTAACATGATTTTGTGGTTACATTTTATGTGAGAAAAAATGTTTACTCAGCTTTTTGATTTGTATATTTTTTCATTGAGCCATCAATCGAATAAAAAATCTTTTAATGTTTCTTTATTGATCATTAGGTCAAAATTTGGGTAAGTTAAAATTCTACACTTAAAACATTACAAAAAATATTTTATGAATTTTTCATCAGTTTCAAAATCGTCGAATGAAGTGGAAGAGATCAAGAAAAGCTCAACAAGAATCGAAAAATAAAGAAAGCCATAGTAATAATGATGATAAGCAGCCACGTGAAAGAACATCATCAATTGCTTCAAACCATCCTCCCGGATTCAAAACTACCATTAATGAAAAAGTCATCACAAATCTTACGAATAGTAATTTCCACTTCTCGAAAACTGCTGATGTACATTCTCATCTCAATGCACATGCTGCTGTTCCACTTCATCGTCACATGAACAACTTACCAGGATCTTCAAAGGATAATATTGAAGACAGTTATGGAGGGAATGTTATAAGTAGACCAAGCGTCTTTAGTGATAGCGATGATATGATCTGGAGGGTTGTTTAATTATACATTTAAGTACTTGCGATTAAGACAGACAGATTTGTGTCGGTAGTCTGAAATTGGTCTGAACAAATAACTATGTATTGTGAAAAGCTGTAAAATAATTTTATTTCTTAAGTAGGAACTCCTTATTTACAAAGTCATTTAGGTACCATTAATCGAAGTTTATTTAAACCTGTAATAATATCTTCAGTTTAATTAATAAAGTACTAAAGATTCTGAAATTTAAATAAGATCTACATGACCACAGTAAATAAAAGATGGGTGAAGTTTATGAAACAATAAAAAATATTTATTTCAGGCTTAATTAATCCTTATTTGTAATATGATTCATTACATTGCCGGTGAACTTCTCAATCTTTTTAAGATCTGGCTGGTTCTCTGTTTTATATTGGACACACTGGAATTGCAAAGAAGAAGAGAATTATGAATGGAATATTTGAGATTTCAAATGATGTTAATTAAATAAACACTGTTGAAAATGATCGTTTGTCTCACGAGTTAAAAAACTGAAGATTATGCAAAATTCAAAGCCATGCAAAAAAAAAAATCGTGACGACACTAATGTGAATTATTAAATGAATCATCTAATTAACGAATTTATGAGATTTATAAATAGCTTGGCAGATAATAAATCGTCTCACTCGGTGTCTATATTTAGTGTCGTTAATAAGTCTGTTTAAATAAATAAATTTACTTACTTTTTCATTGTTTGTGACTTTAAGAACGAGCGCCTTTTTACTATGTGAATACTTCATACTGTAGCGACATTTTTCTGGATTATCAAGAAGCATTGCTTCTGCTGCAACTTCAAAGTCTTCGAATGTTTTTGCGTAAACCATTATAGCTAATAATTTGATAATCTAAAACTTGAATATTTTAATGTTCCACATCAATATTGATAACGCTGAATTGCAAAGGGAATGAAAAACATTCAAAGCGTATGAAAAATTTCCGCTGAATAGTTGCTGAATTCAAATCAAGGGGAAAAAATAAAATTCCGGAAACCTTGCGAGCGCTCGTGAATCAAATGTAGTATTTTAAAGCGATTAAGATGTCTACAAACACTGAAAATATAGTTAAAAAGTGTGAAGTAGTTGTAGATTCAACGAATAATGTACAAGAAAATCATAGCAAATCATCAAATACATTAAAAAGTGTTCGGAAAAAAATTCGCAATTTTACAATTCGAAGAAAAGCTGACGAAAAATTAAAAAGTGATGACCAAAACGATAATCGCGAAAAAATTAGCGACGAGACACTAGGCAAATCAAAAATTACTTTGAAAAAGATTTTCCGGAAGTCATCGTTCAAGAAATTCATAAATAACATTCAGAATTTCACAAATTTTACCGTAAGTTAGGCGCTTACACTTCATTCATTCATAGTAAGACGGGGAAGAGAAGAAAAAATAATCGGATTCGCTTGAATGAGTCATGAAATTACTAAACTTAAATTGACTTTTGTTCAGATTGAGTGCTCTACATTGTATTTTGTAGCTTTGTAGTTTTTCAAAATTTTAGTTTTCTTCTTCTTTGTTGATCAAATGTGAAACACGAGAAACGTTTGAGTACTTAAGCTGTACACTTCAATTTAAGTTTAAATAAAAACATCGAAAACATTTAAAGTTGGAGATTCCACTTGTCACATGCTTCTCATTCTCGTTTAGTTTCGCATTTCATTATCTACATATTATCATAAAAAATAAAAATTCCACTCCGCACAATGCACAAACGTGCAATAACAAATGAAAAAAGAGTCGTCAAGAGTAGTTTTCCGCTTGGGAATGAAATAATTGGAATTCCATAGTCAACGTAAATGACCATTTGTAGCACATCGTTTCATGTTTTTCTTATGTATGTGTAATGTTGCCGCCCAATCTTATAATAAATTCTTATATAAAAGGTTAGAGTCGTTGATAAAAAGAAAATTTGAATAGTTTCAGACAGTTGCTATGTAACATGCCTTGTGATCTCATGATCAATGTGAAGATAAAATACATGCAGACAGTTGACATTGAATGTAACAAAATAAATAAACAAGTTAGAAGGAAAACCTTTCTCATTCATTTCGATATTTTTTTATTTGTTTTGTAGCAAATAATCTTTAATTAATACTTGTTTTCCTCAATAATTTCTATGAATTGTATTTAGTCATAAAAGATAATTTTAGCTTTTTAATGAAAAAGAAAAAAACACGTCAATATTTAATTTTATATAACAAATAATAAAAAAAGGCTGCAAGGTTTACCGACTGACTTAAAAGTTCTCATTAAAAAGCTTTCTTTGACATATAAAACTGACGTATGATGAACAGAAAACAATTAAAACTTTTTTTCACGTGTATAGTGAACACCTTGGCAACAGTAAGAATAACGGGAGAAAAAATAGAATTAATTACAGTATTGAATAATGCAACTGAGGAGAAAAAACTTCTTAATTAAGTTCAATGTCAGTGATGAGAAATTAGCAACTTATCACCGGGCATAGGCAAATACATTTAACAATTCATATCTATAGATATACATACATACATATGTACATATATTTACATACGTGATGATGCTCGATTAATTTACATTAACCTTGACGATTATTTATTTTATGATACGCTATCGTAAACTCGAGATGAGACTGCTTAAAAATATTTACTTATATGAAAGCATCTCATGCAGTGGATAAGACATAACTCATGACGTTTTCCCTCTTTTATGACTTTTTCAGACAAATAATGCCAAAAATGATCGAGTACCACCGATAAATAATTACACATGGCCACCAGATTCGATACCAGGCGTGATTGGACTACGCAATCATGGCAACACTTGTTTCATGAATGCGGTACTGCAATGTTTAAGTCACACCGACATTCTCGCGGAATATTTTGTCCTTGATCAATATAAGGTGAGTAATGATGACTTTTCGATTATAAATCCGCTCCACAATCCGTTTTGCTTTTGATCGTTCAATGACATTTAAATTTTTGCAGGCTGACTTGAGAAAGCGAAATAAAATCAACTCAAGGAAATTCGGTACAAAAGGTGAATTAACCGAGCAACTTGCGTTGGTACTCAAAGCCTTATGGACTTGTAAAGATGCGTCTGAGTATAGCACTAATTTTAAGGAAGTTGTGGAACGATACGGCGCACAATTTCGCAGTTCCACACAACACGATGCTCAGGAATTTCTCTTCTGGTTACTTGATAAAGTGCATGAAGATCTCAACACAGCAAAGCAACGCAAATATAAATCAATCAAAAATAATTATGGACGACCTGATGAGGTCATTGCTGCTGAAACTTTGGCCAATTACATGAGATGCAATAATTCATTTGTGCAAGCTGTTTTCAGAGCTCAATTTCGTAGTTCACTGACATGTCCACGATGTCACAAGCAAAGCAACACTTTCGATCCATTCCATTGCATATCAGTGCAATTACCTCAACTTTCTTTACAATCTGTCATCGTCAATGTGCTGTATGACAACAAAACACCGACACAAGTTAGGATGGCGATTGGCGTTCCGCAAGGTTCGTCAGTTCTTTCGTTACGTGAGAAAATTCATTTAGAAACTGACATCGATGAGAAGCGAATGGTTTTAACGGAAGCATCAACGACGGGATTTGGAAGACTTTTCTGCGATTCTCATCCGTCGTCAAATATCGGAAAAGATGAAAATGTTTTATGCATTGAACTGCCAGATAAAATTGAAGATTCACAAATTGCGCTTTGCATCATGAATGTTAAAGTCAATGAGAATGATGAAAAGAATTCATTTGGTAAGAACATTTTCTGTTTTGTTTTAACAAATACAGTGGAACTTCGATGAACAGATGTCTCTAGACGGGCATTTTCGAGTTCTACTGTGATGAAACTTTCGTCACTGAATAATGCAAATTTTATTCATTAGTTAAAGCTTTCAATATTTGTTGTGTTCATTCTCATGATATTCTAATTTCCTCGATTTCTTTTAAGGTTCCGTGTTTTGTATGAAGATAAATCGTGACGTTACATTTAGCGAGTTTCAAAAAGCTCTGTTAAAGCAAATGTCGGGAGTTTTAAAGCCTGAAGTCTTCAGTTATGCAACACCAATTAACGAAATGTTCAAAATTCATTTGCAAGAGCCATCAGCAGATCCAGGAACATATTTGGAAGAGAAATTTGAACATCCATTGTTGACAGACATGATTGACTTGGCGCTTTCAGTTCAGCCGACAGATTCAGGTCCACTTCATATAAAATTGTCATTGGAATGGCCGGAACCGGAGAAATATTTCATCGACATGGAAGATCATTTCGTTGAACATGAAAGCATCGCAGAGCTGAAAGAAAAAGCATCTGAAAGCAATGAATTGTCACTTGAACAATGTCTTGATCATTACACAAAAGCCGAGACTTTAAGTGCCGAAGATGCTTGGCGTTGTCCGCAATGTCAAAAATATTTGCCAGTTGTTAAGACTTTAGGACTTTGGTCACTCCCAGATATTCTTGTTATTCATTTTAAACGTTTTCGTCAGCAACAATTCAAAGGATCGCACGCATCGAAATTAACGACTATGGTCAATTTTCCACTCACTGGATTTGATTTATCAACGTGGCATTTAGCGAATGGCATCAATGGATCATCGTCAGTGAACAGCACTTTAACACGTCGTTTAAAGCCATCAAAAATGGGAAGTTTAACGAAAACAAATCTAAATGAAGATCATCGTTATGATTTGTATGCTGTTTGTTATCATCAAGGCGACACTTTAGAGACGGGGCATTATACGGCAGCTTGTAAGAATCCATACGATCAACAATGGTACAAGTTTGATGATCAACGAGTGTCATTGATAAAGAACGAAGAAGTGTCTGAAAAGATCATCAATAATGAAGCTTACATGTTGTTTTATCAGCGTCGGAAGAATGGCGACAATTGCGATAGTTCTGGTGCAAGTACAAGTTCATCTGAGCATTGGGTATCGAAGATTGCACCAGCGCCAGTTGTCACAACAAAATCTGCAACGAAAGTTTCAACTGACGTTACGTCACCAACAGAGAAGAAAGAAAATGACGAAGATAAATTGGAAATTGAAAGTGAAGAGGGAACGAAATTGAAAGTGTCAGAAGAAGTTGTAACAACAACATTGAACATCGATGACATTGAAGCGATTGACGGTGATGACGTTCCTGAAATTAAATCAGAACCGATCAATAACATTGTGAAAGTTGAAGAGAATGAAGTTCACATTGAGGAAGAATCATCCGAAGATGAATTTTCAGAAGTCATACCAGCAGATAACAAAGTCACAATTCAAGTTGAGATATCGAGTTGTTCACCCTCACCTGAAATTGCGAAATTGACGTCACCTGTTCATTTTAAAGATAAGAATTCGAATGACGTTGTTAGCGAGATTCAAAAGCGTTCTGAAGAGTCTGATAAGATTGAAGAATTGATGTCACAACATACAATCAATAATCTTTTGTGGAATGATGCAAATAACAACAGCAACAGACATAGCGATGTTGGTGCAATTACAATTTCGGATTTACTTTCAATGGATCGAATTGATGAAATTTCTTCAACGTCACTGCCGAAGAATTACATGCTGCAAGATTGTGAACCAATTCCTCGTAGGATTCGAGGTGTTAGCTCGTGCAGTAAAGACACATTGCTTTACATTGATCAACAAGGAATGCTAGAAGACGAGAGTTTGCTTGAAAATCGAGCTCATTGGGTAAGTTTCTCATCTTCTTCCTTTATATTTAATTAATTCATTTAATTTAATCTTTCAGATATCACCAGTTACACCTCATAAGCTCATAACAGTCTCGCCGAAAAATTAAATGTTTTTAAGAATTTATGACGAAGTTTTAAGATTATTTAAGGTGACTATACAATTTAAAAGAAGATGAAGAAAACTTTTAGAATTCCCTCGATTTAATTAAATAAGTTTTAACGAGAAAAATCTACAAACATTAAAGAGTCTTTAAAAGAAGAAAACTTTTCACATTCTACCAGAATTTCTTTCAATAAATAAAAATATTTACCTAATAAATAAAATGAACGTCTGAAAATAAATAAAAAATTTTAAAATTTAAATCAAATCGGAAAAAATACATACGAAAAATATTTAAGTAGCAAAAAAAGGAAAAATTAATAAAAATTTTAATGATGAAGAAATTGATATTTTACAAAATTATTATCTAATTGACTTTTAAAAAATGGCAAAATTTGTTATGAAAGTTTATATATTTTATAAAGAAAAAAAAAGATACTAGCTAGTGATGCTATCGGAAAAATATGTAACTTTGATTAAGTAAGGAAAACAAAACAATAGATTTTAATTGTGATAACGTTCCTCTAAGTCATCGCAATGAAGAAAACAAGAAAGAAGTTGAACAAGGAAAACTCTTTTAATCTTTTACAGTTTATTTACATGAATCTTAGGTTAGATTTGTATACAGAAGACAGAAATCAATTTTAGAATGCGTTGCGTTAGCGATTAAAGAAAATAAAGAAAGCTGTAAGTTTGTTTGTATACCGTCTTTTACCGAAAGTGAGACAAAGTGTTACATTAAATTAAAAGACAATATCCGGTATTAAACACAGAAATGAAAACTTTACAAAAATTCCGAAATTCGTTCAATTGAATTTTAATTAATGTAATGCAAAAGTCATCTTTCTGGTCGAAGACGGTACTAGGAATACGAAAAGAAATGAAGTATTTCATTATTCATCATAACGCCTCATTAGATTTACATTCCTTTGATTTATCTTGCGATAACAAAGCATTAGTTACCAATCGGTACACGACAACCGTGACCTGAATTTTATTTTATTATTATTTTCATTATTTTTCTTTTCTATGAGCAAGAAAAAAAACGAAAATTGATTGTATCGTAGATAGAATTCAAAGAATTTTAATATTTCTTTATGAAAAAAATAGTAAAATCAGACAATTATATTTGCCCACGCACTTTTAGTTTTAGGTTCATAAGCTTATTCAGAAAGCACTAAGTATCATGGGAATATATTTATTTTACTATGTATGATCGCCCATAAGTATAGTTTGGAGCATATTTGGTAAAGAAATGTAATTAAGGTGATTTAAAACAAAGAAATAAAGGTTTAGCAATAAAAAGTTGTCTGACTTTTGATCTTTTTTAATTTCCTTAGAGACTCCTACCTGTTAATTCTTCCGTTTGACTTTAAGATCTCATTTGATCTTAAAAGTTTCATGACAGCAAAACTTTTAACATAATATCAACGCCTCGTTGTCACTTGATCATTTTGTCATCGATGAGCATTTTTAATTGTTTAAAGCGCGACATTAAAATGTAATTAATTTCAATCTTTTCATGTAGGTCTTCAATTAAAAGACCGCTGAGAGGATGATGTTGATTACACAATCAAGTTCAATCAAAAAGTGATGTCACCTTGACTAGATATCACTTAGTAACATAAAACTTCGTCCATTGTTTGCGCTTACAAATGAATGAATCTATTTTTAGGAAAAAATATTTATGCCAAGATTTATGCAATGTTATAAAATTAAATAATTCTTCTTAATGGGTAAACAACATATATTTAATAAAAGAGAAAATTACTTGTTCGTTCGATATCAAGAGGTAATGAAATGCAAGATTGATTAATTACAATCATTATGTTTAACCTTGGCTACCGTCTTGATATGTATTCATGGCTGGCAGTAGCAGCGAAATGGTTGTAAATCATCATCTAATTTCAATGCGTAGGCTTTCGAAAGTAAACAGAAACTAGAGAGTGGAGAATCATGATGATGAATTGAAACTCGAGATGATGGCGCCGTGTCGAGAGTCATTGTTTTTCGCACTCGTCATGTGATTGCTCGAATTTTATTATAAAAATAAAAGATACGAAAAGATAAAAGAGAATGAGAGATGAATATCTAAATATCTTGTGAAGATGAATTGAGATGTCTGAATGATTCAAATCATTTGAATTTTGATTAATTATTTAATGCAAATTTAATGAAATTCATTCTCGCATTCGTTCGTTCTTAATTTTAAAATAAAATATTTAAAGCATCCGCCGCGTTTTTCATTGTTTCATTTGAATAATTTGTAAATAATTTTCCTAACTTACATCATCGATCACGTCATTTCTCCCACCGACATCGTTTCACTTCATGTTTGTTTATATTTTACTGCAATAATCCACCACAAAGAATCTGAAACATTTTCAGAATCACGCGGAAAGGATTTTTTTCTATTTTATTCTCTCTCGAGTCGAGAATGTTTCGTTTTCCATAAAAGAAAAAATTTTGCAACTCTCAATTGACTACACGAGCATAGAATTTGCTTCTCTTTTCTCACAATCAAAACATATTTTACATATGTTACATACGAAGTTCATTACGTTGATCTCTGAGGTTGTGCCTAATACAATTAAAATTAAAATTTCATCAAGTTATTAAAGTAGAAAGAGCAAGTTATGTGATGTCTATTTTCGTTATAAACTTCTTTTTTTGCGAGGTCTGTTTTAACAACAAAGGAGCAACTTTTAATTTAAATATTTAACATAGTACAGAACTATTAAAGTTTCTTTTTTGAAGTATTAAAAGAAAATATTTTCATCAGTCTTCGACAAAAGTTGCATGTTTTGCGGCGTGGAAAAGGTCTGAATTTTCCTCACGGTTAATAAATAAGAAATAAAACCACACGAAAATCTTAGCAACGGTTCGCATCGCATTCGAATGTAAGATTCATAAATTCTCGACGGTTTTTCATAGGAAAGAAGTGCTTCGAAGGAAATCTCATCATAACATATCCACTTGAAGTCTCATTCATTCTTCGCATTCTTTATTCTTACGTCGTTTAAGCAACGCTCATCTTAAACCATAAATATACCGAAAATAATTTAAAGCAGTATGAATTCTTTTTGAATGTTTTGAATGAATGGAGAGGGCATGTTCATAAATCATGTAGCGGGAAGAACTCAGAAGAGAAGGAAGGAAAAGAAGACGCTTTTCACTTTGAATCAAGCTACATTTTATTCTTTTTTTAAGTATCTTCTAGTCAGATCATCCAGTGAGAAAGTAAATTACATTATTTATCTTCCAGATTAGTTTTGATGTTTATTAAATTTTTCTCCCTTTTCCTTCGGGATGAAAATCTTAACTAAGTTATCACAATCATTTTCACTTTGCAACATTTTTTCTTCCTTCAAACATAATTGAGAGGCAAATGCAAATTTTCTTTTTTGATGGCTTACGATGATGAAGAAAATTTCCGTATTTTTCATTCATTCATTTTCATTTGCTTCCATTTAATGGAAAGGGGAAAGCAACGAGACCGATTTGAGTTGTGATTTTTTTGCTTGCATTTCTTCAGTTGGATAAGTTTGATAAATAAACAAGATCGGAGACGAGATTTACACGTTTCTAAGTATGAGACAAGGCGTCTTTATTATTCCTTCTTGTTGTGAAACCTGTTCAGACCTGACTTTGTGAAAGGCTGCTCATGGCGTCGATTAGTCTTTCTCCATTCATCGTCTGTTCAGGAATTTCTTCTTATGTGGCTTTATAGCTTGCGGGAAGAAAATGAGAAGCTATTAATATTACTTTAGCCTACATCTCATGAACCTTTCTTTGTGTTTTCATTGCGCTTGCTTTCGTTATTACCAAGAGCGAAATATTTTCGATACAATATTTGCAACGTGGTCACCTTAAAAAGGAAATTTTATGTGTCGGGAAAAGGAAATTGAGTCAAGAATTTACGACAAGCAGAAAATCTAATTTGCTTCTTCTCATGGTTATTTATTGGTTGTTTAGTCGTCTTATTGCGATCAGTGGAAACAAATTCAATCTTTCAAAGTAAATATCAGAAGATATTGCATGAAAGAAAGAATTTCGATGTCTAAAAATACTTGAAATATAACTGGGAAATAAAAACATTTCAAATGAAGACGCCTCCAAATGAAACGTGTAATTGCTTGCAGACATTTCATGTTTGATTTGTTCATTTTACTCCCAAGGACTATTCGCTTTGTTTTGTTTTACTACTTTCTTACAATTCTTCGAGTCAACATGCCAACATTATTGATTTACGCGAAATTCATCAGATTTTTTCATTGACTATCGTTGATTCATTGACGATCGAGACGAGATAGAGCATGTCGGAGTTTCATGAGAAATTCTCAACAGTTATTTTCGTCACTGACATTGAAACAACGCATGGTGCTCGACGAAGATTTATGCGGCTTGGCTTATATCTTTTCTTGTTTTATTTTGTTTATTTAAATTATCAATTCAACTATTGAGATGAGATTCATCATCTCAGCTAAATTTAGGTGGCGACATTTGGCTTGCGAAAAATCTATACGGGAAAAGAATCGTAATTCTATTAGCACCGTTTCGGACGTTGTGGTGGCTGTTGCCATTTTTAATTTGGACTTGAGATTTCTTCTCCCACATGATAAATAAACATCTATGTAATTTACCAACTTCATTGTGGTTGCTGGCAGCATTATAATGTCGTTGAGAATGAAACACGAGATTTTTATTGTGGTCGATTTATTAACAAACAATATCATCAAACTATCAATTTATGTGTGGTTGCTTATCGGAGGTGTGACAAACATAAAAATAAAATTAAGTTAAATAACACAAAAGATGAGATGCTCATCTCTTGAATTGCTTCGAAATGAAGCTCGATTTGGTAACCTTGACATTGACTTCGTGAATCTTTTTTGTATTCTTTTGGTTTCTTTCTTATTCTGCTCGGGTTTAAATTTTTTAACAAAAAATGGAGAGGAATACAGAAGCTCTTCATTATAAGTCTTCTGAAGCGAACTAATTTGCCTTCTAATTCTTTGCTTAAATTTGGAATTCATTAATGTTAGGAAAATATTTGGCAAAAAAATAAATTCTGCTTTATTTTAGTTTCGTTGAGCGTAGCTCTTGAGTGTTCAATTGAATTCTTTCATTCATCGTAACTTGTGTTCTTCAACTTTCCTCACATCATAAGAGTATTCAGATTATGTTTAAGTGTTCTCTTTTTCTTTTATTTAAAAGTTCGATATAGAGAAATACTTTGTAAGATTTGTAACGCTATAAGTTTAATAGACGAAACGTGATAAATTGAAAAACTTAGCTCCATAATGAATAAATGTTTCCTAAATGTTCTCATTCCATTTAATTGCTTGAAAACAGCGAATTAAATTCGCAAAGACACACTCATTATCTTTTATGATAAAGCACACTCAAGCCAGCTTTGTTTGCACAGTTGTTTAATGGGTAGACGCTGCTTCCAGTCATTAATTCAAAACCGACCAGAGCCTTGTCATCGTCATGTGCCTTAGCAGAAATTTACGCCACAATGTAGAGTTTTGTTTGAGATTTTTGACGTAAATCTTAAAAAGACTATCATAAAGTTATTACGAACATGAACTTTTGAAAGCCATCTTTCGTGTTTGCTTGTTAATGGCTTTGCACCACATATGTTTTTATCGTTAATCACGCGTGTACAAATATTTCTATTTATAGACCTGTGTGAGCGTCAGCAACAGCAGCATCCAATATTTATATTCATTCTCCAGTACCACAGACAATTTCATCGCAGCCTTTGCGGGATCAAAGCCGAGACGAAAGAAATAGCAAAAATTAATTCTAATTCTCCTTTTAATATCGTACATTAACTTGATTGTCATCTGCCGTTTGTCATTCCAAATAAGGGTGACAGCAGCGCGAGAAAATGTTGTTGGCTGTTGTTTTTAATGCGCCAGAGTCTTCCAGATGTGAACTTGAATAAATAGCATAAATTCTTAGCATGTTTGCTATGCCACGTGTCTGTAAAATAAATAAATGCTGAAGACAAAATCAATTGAGAGATTGTGAACTGAATAAGACATTCAAATTTTATTCTTTACGTTGCATTCATTTATTTATTAAAAACAGGTTTTTAATCAATGACTTTGCAATCACTTCATTTTCTTCTTCAACGACTTTTCTTGTCTCTCTTATGATGATTGGCGACCGGAAAGAGATGCGAAGCGAATATTGAATGAACGTGCCGCTGTTACGAACAAGATCGAATATGTCATTGAAATAATTTATTTAAAAGATTTCTTTAAAAAATGACAATTAGAGTCGAACATAAGTTGAGTCAAGACAGGAATAACAACAAACATTGCAAATAAATTCTCATTTTGACACAACTTACACTCGTCCCATGTATCCAACGTTACTTAAGTGATTAAATCTTTTTCTTTATTAAGTGATTTGTCAATCTAATTAAAATAAAGAATTAAGTTGAAACGATTTTAAAATTTACATTTTAAAAGTGAGAGCAAACTTTGGATCTTCTTCTTTATGCTTAAATGTTGAGTTTTTAAGATATCTTTGCAAGAATTTTGAAGACGATGAAATTACTCTTGACGTTATTTTTCTTTTGGACTTTTCTTACATTTTTTTTCATTTACTTTTAAAGAGGTAAAGACTCTTTTGGCATTTGGATTGCGTTTGAAACTTTTGTTCGTTATTAGTCTTATAAGATTTAAGACAAAATAGGATTAGTTTAAAAAATAGAAAGAAGCTTTTGAAAGGAGGTTTTGGGGTTCTTGACTTTTAACTTCNGAGTCAACATGCCAACATTATTGATTTACGCGAAATTCATCAGATTTTTTCATTGACTATCGTTGATTCATTGACGATCGAGACGAGATAGAGCATGTCGGAGTTTCATGAGAAATTCTCAACAGTTATTTTCGTCACTGACATTGAAACAACGCATGGTGCTCGACGAAGATTTATGCGGCTTGGCTTATATCTTTTCTTGTTTTATTTTGTTTATTTAAATTATCAATTCAACTATTGAGATGAGATTCATCATCTCAGCTAAATTTAGGTGGCGACATTTGGCTTGCGAAAAATCTATACGGGAAAAGAATCGTAATTCTATTAGCACCGTTTCGGACGTTGTGGTGGCTGTTGCCATTTTTAATTTGGACTTGAGATTTCTTCTCCCACATGATAAATAAACATCTATGTAATTTACCAACTTCATTGTGGTTGCTGGCAGCATTATAATGTCGTTGAGAATGAAACACGAGATTTTTATTGTGGTCGATTTATTAACAAACAATATCATCAAACTATCAATTTATGTGTGGTTGCTTATCGGAGGTGTGACAAACATAAAAATAAAATTAAGTTAAATAACACAAAAGATGAGATGCTCATCTCTTGAATTGCTTCGAAATGAAGCTCGATTTGGTAACCTTGACATTGACTTCGTGAATCTTTTTTGTATTCTTTTGGTTTCTTTCTTATTCTGCTCGGGTTTAAATTTTTTAACAAAAAATGGAGAGGAATACAGAAGCTCTTCATTATAAGTCTTCTGAAGCGAACTAATTTGCCTTCTAATTCTTTGCTTAAATTTGGAATTCATTAATGTTAGGAAAATATTTGGCAAAAAAATAAATTCTGCTTTATTTTAGTTTCGTTGAGCGTAGCTCTTGAGTGTTCAATTGAATTCTTTCATTCATCGTAACTTGTGTTCTTCAACTTTCCTCACATCATAAGAGTATTCAGATTATGTTTAAGTGTTCTCTTTTTCTTTTATTTAAAAGTTCGATATAGAGAAATACTTTGTAAGATTTGTAACGCTATAAGTTTAATAGACGAAACGTGATAAATTGAAAAACTTAGCTCCATAATGAATAAATGTTTCCTAAATGTTCTCATTCCATTTAATTGCTTGAAAACAGCGAATTAAATTCGCAAAGACACACTCATTATCTTTTATGATAAAGCACACTCAAGCCAGCTTTGTTTGCACAGTTGTTTAATGGGTAGACGCTCCCGAGAAACCAAAATTTTCATGTACATTTCAAACCGGTCGTATGACTGATTTCTCGTGTCCCTGAAAGGGCAATTTACCAAAATTTACTGATTTTAAAGATTTTTAAAGTGGTACTCAAACTATAAGATAAGGCTACATAGTATGTTTGGGAAAGTTGTTCCTTACTATTAGTTGCAACTTTTTTTGGTACAACATATTTCGATAAGTTGGCACCAGATGGCGCTATAGATATAAAAAGCCAAGAAAATGTGAAAAAACTTAATTACAGCTTAAACTATAAGGTTTAGCTGCATGGTGTGTTTGGAGAAGTTGTTCCCTTATGCATGCTGCAACTTTTTCTCATATAGTGTTTTTCAGTACATTGACACCAGAGGGCGCTAGAATGAAATTTCAAAATGTATCAGAATTGAATAATTTTAACTACAGCTTAAACCTTAAGTTTTAGATACATAGTGTGTTTGTAAAAGTTGTTGATTTTCACATGTTGCAACTTTTTTTCATACGTTGTATTTCACTAAAGTGGCACCAGAGGGCGCTGGAGACGAATTAATTATAAAATCGTCTCCAGCGCCCTCTGGTCCCACTTTAGTGAAATACAATGTATAAAAAAAGTTGCAACATGTGAAAATCAACAACTTTTACAAACACACCATGTATCTAAAACTTAAGGTTTAAGCTGTAGTTAAAATTATTCAATTTTGATACATTTTGAAATTTCATTCTAGCGCCCTCTGGTGTCAATGTACTGAAAAACACTATATGAGAAAAAGTTGCAGCATGCATAAGGGAACAACTTCTCCAAACACACCATGCAGCTAAACCTTATAGTTTAAGCTGTAATTAAGNAAGATCGGAGACGAGATTTACACGTTTCTAAGTATGAGACAAGGCGTCTTTATTATTCCTTCTTGTTGTGAAACCTGTTCAGACCTGACTTTGTGAAAGGCTGCTCATGGCGTCGATTAGTCTTTCTCCATTCATCGTCTGTTCAGGAATTTCTTCTTATGTGGCTTTATAGCTTGCGGGAAGAAAATGAGAAGCTATTAATATTACTTTAGCCTACATCTCATGAACCTTTCTTTGTGTTTTCATTGCGCTTGCTTTCGTTATTACCAAGAGCGAAATATTTTCGATACAATATTTGCAACGTGGTCACCTTAAAAAGGAAATTTTATGTGTCGGGAAAAGGAAATTGAGTCAAGAATTTACGACAAGCAGAAAATCTAATTTGCTTCTTCTCATGGTTATTTATTGGTTGTTTAGTCGTCTTATTGCGATCAGTGGAAACAAATTCAATCTTTCAAAGTAAATATCAGAAGATATTGCATGAAAAGAAAGAATTTCGATGTCTAAAAATACTTGAAATATAACTGGGAAATAAAAACATTTCAAATGAAGACGCCTCCAAATGAAACGTGTAATTGCTTGCAGACATTTCATGTTTGATTTGTTCATTTTACTCCCAAGGACTATTCGCTTTGTTTTGTTTTACTACTTTCTTACAATTCTTCGAGTCAACATGCCAACATTATTGATTTACGCGAAATTCATCAGATTTTTTCATTGACTATCGTTGATTCATTGACGATCGAGACGAGATAGAGCATGTCGGAGTTTCATGAGAAATTCTCAACAGTTATTTTCGTCACTGACATTGAAACAACGCATGGTGCTCGACGAAGATTTATGCGGCTTGGCTTATATCTTTTCTTGTTTTATTTTGTTTATTTAAATTATCAATTCAACTATTGAGATGAGATTCATCATCTCAGCTAAATTTAGGTGGCGACATTTGGCTTGCGAAAAATCTATACGGGAAAAGAATCGTAATTCTATTAGCACCGTTTCGGACGTTGTGGTGGCTGTTGCCATTTTTAATTTGGACTTGAGATTTCTTCTCCCACATGATAAATAAACATCTATGTAATTTACCAACTTCATTGTGGTTGCTGGCAGCATTATAATGTCGTTGAGAATGAAACACGAGATTTTTATTGTGGTCGATTTATTAACAAACAATATCATCAAACTATCAATTTATGTGTGGTTGCTTATCGGAGGTGTGACAAACATAAAAATAAAATTAAGTTAAATAACACAAAAGATGAGATGCTCATCTCTTGAATTGCTTCGAAATGAAGCTCGATTTGGTAACCTTGACATTGACTTCGTGAATCTTTTTTGTATTCTTTTGGTTTCTTTCTTATTCTGCTCGGGTTTAAATTTTTTAACAAAAAATGGAGAGGAATACAGAAGCTCTTCATTATAAGTCTTCTGAAGCGAACTAATTTGCCTTCTAATTCTTTGCTTAAATTTGGAATTCATTAATGTTAGGAAAATATTTGGCAAAAAAATAAATTCTGCTTTATTTTAGTTTCGTTGAGCGTAGCTCTTGAGTGTTCAATTGAATTCTTTCATTCATCGTAACTTGTGTTCTTCAACTTTCCTCACATCATAAGAGTATTCAGATTATGTTTAAGTGTTCTCTTTTTCTTTTATTTAAAAGTTCGATATAGAGAAATACTTTGTAAGATTTGTAACGCTATAAGTTTAATAGACGAAACGTGATAAATTGAAAAACTTAGCTCCATAATGAATAAATGTTTCCTAAATGTTCTCATTCCATTTAATTGCTTGAAAACAGCGAATTAAATTCGCAAAGACACACTCATTATCTTTTATGATAAAGCACACTCAAGCCAGCTTTGTTTGCACAGTTGTTTAATGGGTAGACGCTGCTTCCAGTCATTAATTCAAAACCGACCAGAGCCTTGTCATCGTCATGTGCCTTAGCAGAAATTTACGCCACAATGTAGAGTTTTGTTTGAGATTTTTGACGTAAATCTTAAAAAGACTATCATAAAGTTATTACGAACATGAACTTTTTAAAGCCATCTTTCGTGTTTGCTTGTTAATGGCTTTGCACCACATATGTTTTTATCGTTAATCACGCGTGTACAAATATTTCTATTTATAGACCTGTGTGAGCGTCAGCAACAGCAGCATCCAATATTTATATTCATTCTCCAGTACCACAGACAATTTCATCGCAGCCTTTGCGGGATCAAAGCCGAGACGAAAGAAATAGCAAAAATTAATTCTAATTCTCCTTTTAATATCGTACATTAACTTGATTGTCATCTGCCGTTTGTCATTCCAAATAAGGGTGACAGCAGCGCGAGAAAATGTTGTTGGCTGTTGTTTTTAATGCGCCAGAGTCTTCCAGATGTGAACTTGAATAAATAGCATAAATTCTTAGCATGTTTGCTATGCCACGTGTCTGTAAAATAAATAAATGCTGAAGACAAAATCAATTGAGAGATTGTGAACTGAATAAGACATTCAAATTTTATTCTTTACGTTGCATTCATTTATTTATTAAACAGGTTTTTAATCAATGACTTTGCAATCACTTCATTTTCTTCTTCAACGACTTTTCTTGTCTCTCTTATGATGATTGGCGACCGGAAAGAGATGCGAAGCGAATATTGAATGAACGTGCCGCTGTTACGAACAAGATCGAATATGTCATTGAAATAATTTATTTAAAAGATTTCTTTAAAAAATGACAATTAGAGTCGAACATAAGTTGAGTCAAGACAGGAATAACAACAAACATTGCAAATAAATTCTCATTTTGACACAACTTACACTCGTCCCATGTATCCAACGTTACTTAAGTGATTAAATCTTTTTCTTTATTAAGTGATTTGTCAATCTAATTAAAATAAAGAATTAAGTTGAAACGATTTTAAAATTTACATTTTAAAAGTGAGAGCAAACTTTGGATCTTCTTCTTTATGCTTAAATGTTGAGTTTTTAAGATATCTTTGCAAGAATTTTGAAGACGATGAAATTACTCTTGACGTTATTTTTCTTTTGGACTTTTCTTACATTTTTTTTCATTTACTTTTAAAGAGGTAAAGACTCTTTTGGCATTTGGATTGCGTTTGAAACTTTTGTTCGTTATTAGTCTTATAAGATTTAAGACAAAATAGGATTAGTTTAAAAAATAGAAAGAAGCTTTTGAAAGGAGGTTTTGGGGTTTTTGACTTTTAACTTCTAAAATTTAATGATAGTTTAAACCTTTTTTCTTTGCATCTGCACGCTGTTGCTTCATAAGAAGAAAAGCTTGTCGTTCTTCTGGAGACAACGCCTTTAATTTCTGTCTGAGTCTTTCACGTCTTTCTGCTTTTTCTTGAAGCTTACGTTTGGCTTCAGATTTTGTTGTTCGTTCAACAATTGGAGGTTGAGTTGTGACTTCAATAATTTGTGGTTGATCTGTTAGCACTTCCATAGTCGTTGTTGGATCTTGTAGGATGTCATTAGGATGATGATGATGTCTTCCAGCATTCGTAACAACTTCAACTGGTTTTACACTCTTCTGAAGTTTTTTTTCACGATTTCTAGATTTGAATCCCAAATTAACTTCGCCAGTTAATTGCAAAGGTCGTGAATGACGCTTTCGCGGTTTCACTGGTGGCTGACGTGGATTTGAAGCATGTAATGGATGAATTGTGTCCTCTTGTACTTTCTGTTTCAATTGTTCTATGTTGTTGTAAGCGCTGTATGGTAAATAATCCGGAACGTTATCGGAATTTTCTGCTTTCGGTAATTGATTGTACAACTGAATGGACTTTTCCTTGTTTATGCGATTTCTCTTTGGAACATTACGATAAACGCTATCGGTAGTTGAATGGAAAGCAGAAGGAAAAATTGAATAAATTAAATTCGTTGTGGTAGGAAAGTAATTAAATGATTGAGTTAGGTCAGCTGGCGATAAAATCTTTCAAAAAAAACAAACGGAAGCAAAATTTCTCACCTTCGATTTCTGTTAGCGTTTGTAGACACATACACTTCCACTTCGTTGGCTAATTGATTTGGATATGTTTCATTCCATTTTGTATAAACTCTTTGACGATTCTTATCGTTCACATACGACATACGGTGCTGACAGATATAATAATGTCGTTCTGTACACAGTTTTGCTGACCATCTGGATAAAATTCCGCATGTTAAATAAAAAGTGATTCAATTACATTAACTTAACTCACTTGTATTCAGTTGCTGGATCCATAGTCGTACAATGATACCGCAAATCAGATCTGGGATTGAAATAAATATTTGAATTAGTCTATTTGATTGCACTAACAACATTCTAACTTGTTTACTTTGCTTCTTTATCAGCAAATGAATTGTGTTTCATTTCACCACCATTATAGCCCCATTGCCATTTATTTTGCTGCCAATTGTACATTCCTCCGATCCATTTATCTTCTCGAACTCGATCTTTATTTTTTAAGAACTTCCGCAAACGTCGATCAGCAAATTTCAAAGGCTCAGCAAGCTTGCTGTTACGATCTTTACATTCGAAATGTGCGTCAAGCCAGCTTTCTTTTCTAATTGAAATGTAGTAACAATCGTTGCCAATTTTCTGGAACTGCGGTGGGCAGAGAGCGTACATACGACGAGCTCTCGTAAGTGAAGGAAACTGTTTTTCAAGTGGATGATTGTGCGGTTGTAAATCATCTGAAGTTTGAGTATTTACAAAACTAACTGCAGCAATCAAAGTGATTGTCATCAGGATAATGTTCTGAGTCATGATTAATATTTACTTGTGTGGGAGGCTGAATTGATAACTGAAATAGTAAACAAAAATAACTAATGAATGTTTTGATACTCGGTTATGGTTTAGATGGCGCTCGATGACATTCCAATTATACTCTTAGTCTTAACAACAATTAATTGAATTAACAACAAGCGATAAAACGTTTTACGAGTAGAAGAAATTTGTTTCAGACGAAAGTAATTAAGCAAATGTTTATACACCTGCCTTCGAACACACAAAAATAACCTCAGTTCAAAACTCTCAAGAAGATCCGATAAAGTTTTTGTTAGGAAAGTTGTCTCGAATTTCACTTAAGCAGACGATTTCTCTTGTTGTTCCTTCCATTCACACATAAGAACACTTCTAACAAAAGACATTTTTAGTCTTCAAATATTTTCCTGCTTTTGATTACATTTCGCTTTTGTTTGATGAAAGCAAAAAAGGCGTCGTTTTAGAAGTAGTAAGTCTCCGACACTTGAATTATGTTTGATATCTTGCACAGTGTGTTTGCTTAAACTTTTAGCGAATCCATAAATATCATTTTTTTCTTTTTGTCAGAAGCTATACATTCAAGCCTTCAAGCATTCTGCTAAATATATCGGTTTTGGTATCTTCATTCAAATGAAACATGTTTGCCGTCATTCTAAATGTTAACACTCACATTAATCAGCAGTTATTTCAGCAAGGCTCAACAATAATCAGAAATTCATAAAAAGCGAAGACGTTTTTCTTGCTTCTCTGTGCAATAAATAAACAACAAATTCTGCGATTAATAATTTAGCACTTTATGATTAACATTTTTCAAAGTAATTTTTTGAAAAACACTTTTAAAATCGGTCTGTTAAAGCGAAAGGAAAACTCGCGACTGAATGTGTCAAAATAATTTTTGTGCAAATCTTTTTTTTCCTTCTTCTTCGGCAAACGAAACAATCGAAAAATGAAACACTTTTGACGCTTGCTTTTGTTTTTCTTGCAAGAATGGTTTGTGATAAAGAAATTTATGTTACTGCTGTTAGAGTGCAAAGCATTTTGGTATGTTCGTGAACACATAAAAGAGATTACAGAGTTTTTATTTATTACTTGCTCTTGTTTTCGATGAGGTTTGACTTTTGATAGTCGAAGGAAATTATTTTCTTGCAACAATAAAATATTAAAACTTATCTTTAACAGATGTATAAAATATATTATATTGCAATCATTAACGAATACTTTTGCTAGTCAACAAATTTGTGTCATTTTATTTCTCCACTTCTTCTGTTCATTCGTGTTTGGATAGGGCAAGAGAAATGTTTACGATAACCGAAGAAAACTTTATAGATTCAAAGTCACTCACTAACTCTCTCTCCCACGTGTTGATTAATCCGATTTTGCAGAAAAGACAGAAAGTCTCGAGGCATGTAACTCATTAGTTCATGAATGTGCAGCACAGACGATTCATAAATATTTCATTTTTATGACGTTTCCTGCATATTATGTTATCTTTCTTTACGTTTCATGAATTTTGAAAGCTCTTGATTAACGAGCTTTTGAAATAGCTTACTTGACCTTTTTTAACTTCAAACATTTTGAGAGTGTCAGTCAATTAAATATCCAAATAAGGTAAAAGCCCTTCTCAAATGTCATTAGCCCAAGAAAAACAAACGACTTGATGCTTAATTTTCTCAGAAACATTAAATTACATTCACGCAATTGTGCAATGTCAATAAAAATTTGCATGAAATTGACACGAAACAGAAAAGAAAGTCAATTGAAATCAATCAGTGATGATTTTCGATCCATGTTTGCAATAAGCAAACAGCAATGTGACAAAACAAATGACAATTCTACACGCAAAAGACATGAAAAAAGCGACTTGATGAATTAACAAAAACTTTTGTCTCTCTTCCTACATTTTTTATTGTATTTTTTTTTCTAGCATCATCGCTTTAGCCTTCTTCAGTTAAAATAGCAGCACTCTAAGATAAACTTAATTACAGAGCTTTTCATTATTCATGCAATATGTTTGAGACTAGAAGATAGACAAGAAAAGAGATCGTAGCATAAACACACATAAGCTTTTGTAAAGGTAAATGGAATAAATTGAGATAGAGCCAAGCACGGGAATTTTATTCAAACATGTCACATTTGAATCATGCTCGTGGGTGGCATATAGCTGATGTCTCGTGAATTTATATTGCTTTTTCATGCGAAAACAAAAGAAAAAAGTAGAAGGGAATGGCAAGAAAAGATATTTCAGCACAATTTCTTATCTATATCGCCATAGAAACGTTAAATGAAATCATCGACTGTGGAACGTGTTTCTACTGTCGTCATATTTACCACACTGATTCAATTTATGTTTATTTTCGAGTGCTGTTACTAATCAAAATACACGTGAAGACATTTTGGATAAATTTCCCAAGCGATTGACAAATCAGTTTCATAAGAAAGCTTTGCAAGTGATTAATAAAAATAGCATCAGAATGAATAATGGTGATTTAAGGGCCATGTGAAATCACACAAACGATCATCAATAAATGATTTCGAATTCATGAGTTCTTTTGAATTCTTTTCTTTACTTTTGTTCTGTTCTATCCAGTTCTTATTCTTCTCAAAAATTTCATCATTTTTCAGAAATTTATGCAGGCTCACTCTTGGTATTATGATAAAATATTACAAATTTTAATTTGGATTTGATGCTAATTTGCAAAGAAGTTCGCATTTATGTACTTATTTAAAATACAAATGCGAGTTCTCTTCATTGGAATGTAAATCTCATGATATTCTTGAACAAGTATTCATATTAAACTTGATTGCTTTATTAGAAACAATGGAAGCAAAGGAAGATGGCATGATAAGGTGTGGCCAAACACTTGACGTACTCAAGCACTTAGCAATAAATGTGTCAACAAAATTGATTTGCTGCAAACTTTACCTTCACAGTTATTGCAAGTGACACATAAAGAGATTCAAGTTCGATAGTTAACTTCTTTCATCATTATTATTCATCTGAAATGAAAGTCCGACAGACACGTACAATGTAAGTATGAAGACATGAGAATAGATTAATAGTGTTAATGATGATAAATAATTATAATTTCTTGCTTTCAGGTTATCAATATTTATCAGATGTAAATTAACAAGGAATATTTTCTATTCAAGTTTTCTTTCACAGACGTGTTCGTGTGGCGTAGGAAGCTTTAATACTCAAGTTACTTTCGGGAGAGACTGAGAGGAGAAAAAAATCAGCCATAACAAATCTTGATTTGGTATCAGAAAGCTATAAAATAAAAAGATTGAAATTCACACGATTGAATTTTTTTTTTGTTTTGTGTTGTTTCAAATGTGGAAACTTGAAGGGAAATAAATAAAAATTTTAAGACAATTTTTATCCGCCTCCATCGTGCAAATGCAATCGATTACAACATTTCGTATGATGAGATTTTTTATTACTGTCAACACGTTTCAAGATCAATTGTTTTAAAAATAAAGTGAAGAAGTGTGCGTCATCAAACAATCAAAAAATAACGAAAAAAAGTTAACGTCTAATTTATTTTATAGTCGAAGCTTGTTTGCGCCTCAGCGCCGCTTGTTAAAAATTCATTCAAAGACTTGCTATGAGAGCTTTGCTAGCGTCTTCTCTACAATGTTTTATTTATGTTCAGAAAATTTATTAATATAGATCATAAATTTAGCAGAGTATCAAATATCAAGTGTTTAGTTTTCGGAAGCATTCGCAAATATCTTTTTTTATTTACAATCATGACATCATAGAAGTAATAAGTATGCAAGACACATAAAAGTTTATTAATTTACGACTGCATCCACTACTCATTTTTCTTCATAAGCTTCCTTGTGTACAAAATCTCATGAAAAGTCTCAGAAACGTTTTGCTTGTGGCATTTATCGTATGAATTTTTAGAACACAAAATAGAAGAATATTTTATTTAAACAATTTGTGTAGCGATACAAAAGGATAGAACAGTTCTCAAGTTGCAAAAAGTATTTTGCTTTCTCCTTTCAGCTTTTTTTCCACTCAAGATGAATGTTTCATGAAGAGCCATGTTTTATGTAAATGTGAAAACACTTTCTAGAATTTCTTTAACCATGCTCACTTCCTTGCGTGAATTAAAGTTAAACTCTGCAAATCTACAAGCTTACATACCTGAACGGTTCGTTATGTGTTGTGTTGAAGAGTTTATCCACTCGTAAAGTCGTGAGTTCTCAAGTTGTTTCTTCCGCGCGAAAATGATCTTTTTAAAAAAGAAATTTTCTACACAATTCTTTCTTTACTTTTAATTAAAATGATTGAGATTCGTTGCAGATTTCAAATTAATTCGACATTTATCGATGTCATAAATTATTCACTTCTTCTTCCACCCGATAGTCTTCCTTCCACTTTAATCATAAATTATGGAGTAACACAAGAAGATGTGCTTATGGATCTACCACAGAGAAAAACAAAAATAAAGCCAAAAACAGCGAAAAAATCTTTCTCGTGCTAATCGTTCGAATATTTTTTTGCAACTGAAAGCAGCGAGAGACATGAAAGCATATTATAAGCTGGCGAGCGAGAACAGTCATGAAAATGGAACACACGCGTTTATGCAGAATCGTGTGAAAATGAGTCACTCAATGACTTCACTTCGTAATGGAGAGAATAGGATCACCATCTGATGTCAGAGTTATATGCAAATGATTTAAATGTAAAGATTATTACAGTCATCAAAACGAGAGCGTAATAAAATTAAATGACACAATTTTTATTTCTATTCAATGTTATTCACAGGTAGCTTGTAAATATTTCCCATAAATATTTAAATAAAGTCATCATTCATTTGCTTATGTTCTGTCTCTATGAATGTCGCGAACGGTCAAACTTTATCAACGGTGGCTAATTTATTTACGCACATTTGTCAGTAAAAAGTGCTTAAATTATTTATTGCGAAAGGTTATCGCTGGAAGTGGCAACGCCGACAGAAGATTATGAGCTAAAAATTTCATTTTATTTTTGGTTGGAAATTTTTAACCAAAGAGTATAATGAACCTGAATGTTGATATTTATTTTTTGTCGATGCTTGATATGAGCAAAAAAAAAAGGTTTTCAAACCATCAACATCATCGAAAGCTGTTTTAAAAAATGTCTTTTTTATTCCTGGAAAAGTTCCACACACAAAAAATTTAATTTCGATTTTGAAGGTGATAAAGCGATGTTTTAAATTTATAACGTTAAAGCTATGCTTGCTTACCTTTTAAATCGGATCATTTTATTGTATTTATGATTACAAAGATAAATATCATAAAACGCTGCTTGAAGATATTTTGCACAAATTCTCAGAAATTTAAAGAAATTTGTATAACTCGACATTCGTGTTTAGAATAGATGTAGCAATTTATTTATGTTTGGGAGAATAATTCAAGATATTTGTATATATTTCAACGTAAAATATATGAAAGATTCTCGTTTTAAGTCAATTTATGACGGGTGAAATAAAGCTTCTGATGTTATCACAGTTGATTAAGAAATAGAACCTGCTAATTGGACATTTGATAATTTTTTTGGCATTCACATAAATAAATAAATGAAAATCTTTTTTTAGAAACGAATGTTTGGAATTCACGAAATGTTTAGAACTTGTGCTCTCCTTTTTCGCAAATTACGATAGTTGCAAAGTGAAAAATTAAACACTTTGCCCTCCTTTTCGATATCATAAGTTATTTAACAGAAGGAAAAAGAAAATTTAATGAAAAGAAAAAAATCAGGGATGGTACAAAATGATTATGGAAAGTTAATTAAGAAAATAGATGGAAAACGATAGTGGGAAAATACTGAAGCCAAGGAAAGTCATAACTTCTTTGTAAAATAAACAATGGCTCTGTCATAAGGCGTGTTATTTTATTAATTTACTTTGAAATCTATCCCCGATATCTAAGTTTGAAATGGCAGAGATATTTTCATGTGTTTAACGAAAGAAAAAACAAACCAGCAATGAATCGTGTCGTCAGCTAATTTACGTTCAATGTTCCCGCTGTTTGATGTCAGCCGTTAAAGCTTAACAAGTTTTTCTATACCCTTTAAATTTCCTGACCGAGGTAAGGCAGTTTGTTTTATGCACAAAAATCATTGGTTAACATTTTTAATTCATTGTTTTCCCATTTGTGGTCATATTCCGCCTTTTTCAATCAAAACATTTTAATATTTTTAATTTATTTTACAATGTTTTAACAACAAATTCAATTATGAGTAATTGCAGTATAGTCTCGCTGTTAGCGCTCAACAGAACTAATGTAAACAAAAAATATGCAATTTTAAGAGTGATAATTGATGCTAATATTCATTCAGTGTTTCTCTCTTTATTTATATTTTTTGATATTTGCCGATAAATCTGAATCAAACACTTGTAGATTTCTATGACCTCAATATATCGATTGTAAATCGATTAAGAAGCGATGTATCAACCTACTACCAATGTACTCGAGCTTCATACTTTTTTATTTTAATGTATTTTCAATTAATTAAGTTGAGATAAAAATATGAAAAAATTGCAAGTTTCATGCTTTCGTTATCAAGTTTTAAAATGTAATAATCGATTACATCATCATTACACATTCATGAATGCATTTAATTGAAAAAGTTATTTGTTTTTATTTTCCAAGCGTCAATGTTTATAAATGTGAGAAAATATTTTGAAGCAGCAGTTTCGGCAAGAGTTTCGGCTTGCAATTTGAGTGTTTTGTCGTGTTGCATTAGGAAAACATGAAGTCATAACAAAAACATTCTGTTATCAACCAAAGCAACAGAAAAATGCCGGCTCCGATGTTTCGAAACATTGCGAAAACATTGATTGTCATTGTTTTAAAAAGCATAAAAATTTGAAAAAGAGGTTTTAGTCTTACTTTGGTTTTAAAACGGACGAGTTCTCCCAGCCAGAAGAAGAAATTAAAAGTTTGAATACAATGTAAGAAAATTCATAAAGAAACTAAGATAAGAAAGTCAATATCGCGAAAAAGTGACACTGAATATATAAATATTCGTCAAAACAAAAGTTTTCCATTCATTTACCTAACAGTGATGCAAGAGTTGCAAAAATTGAAAGCTATTAAAGGTGTTAAAAATAGATATCTAAAACACTCGTTAAACTTTCCCACGATTATCGTGAAATTCATATTTTTTCGCTAAAAAATAAGTAAACTTAAAGTGTAGCTAATCAATCTGCAGTTGACACATGTTCGTTTGGTTTTCTTAAGAGTTCAAATCATAACAAATATTTAGTATTTTCAATCGTTGAAACAATTTCATTTTTTTAAAATAAACTTGTCATTTCTTGTTGTTAAAAACTAGTTGATGAATTGATAAGACTCGCTAATGTACAATCATGATAACAGTTCTGATTTTAACTTGTCAAAAATTCTCATTGCATCGTAAAAATAGAACAAGGAAAAACATTCCACAAATAAAAAGCAAAGTATGGAATGAAATCAAATTTGCTTGAACTAAATTTGTTTTGACACGAGATATTCACCTGAAAAATACAATGCAATAAATATCAAGTTGAAATGTTTTAACGGAATGAAATTTCTTTTTCAACTTGGAATATTCTCAGTTCAGGAGCCAACAAATGGTGTAAAAGTTTGAAACTATATTTCAACTGTATCGGACAAGGGGGTGGAAAGGTGGCGGTTAAAATGTATATTTCATGAGAGAATGAAAGAAAAACATTTCAATTTAAGAATTCCAAATGTTTTCTTTTACTTTTACGTAAATTGAGCTTACGTTGTATAATTTTTCAAGCCAACCTTCAAGAAACAGACCCCCTTGAGTTGTTTTATGTTTTTCACTCTACAGTTACCCGCAAACAACTGCATCTCATCATACTGAAAGCCATTAAAATTTTATTAATTTCTGAAGAATTCATGATATGTGCTTATGTATGTCATTATCGAATGCATCAATAAATATCAGCCCTCAATCATTACAAAGCTGCAAAAATACAATTAAATTTCGATTAAGAAGTTTCAGGAAAGATTTCTCTTCTTAAGCCACAAAAGGAAAAACTTTACGATGCGAAGAAAAGTTTATTGAAAGAAAGTTTCAAACGAGGAAGTTTATAAAGTATAAACATATTTATTTATAAACTTCATATGTTTGAAGAGTTTTAAGCCATTTCACATAAAGGTTCTTATGTGTGTAGGTCTAAGTTGAACTCATAAAACTTTATTTTGCAGAAGAAAAATCAACAGCATGACCTAAAGCATGACTTAATGCTAAAACTACGCAAATTTACAAATATTTAAGAACCGTTTTGAGTCACCATAATTATGTTCTCAAATCTTTTTGAAGAATGTCCAAATTTGTTTTACAATTGATTGTTAATATTTCAAGCATGAACGTGACTTTCGGTCAATAAATTTTTAAATAGTTTAAAAGTTATAAATTTTAAAACATGGCTAACATTTTTATATCTTTTAAATAAAATAAATGTCAGATCAAAATGCAAAAATGTGTGAACTTAAAAATTATTCTCGAAATATCAAAAGTATCAAACATAAATATTATTCAAATCAACAACAGCCATTAACTTAAATTCCTTGCCAGTTAAACCATTTATAAATCTTCAAGAATTTTATTCTTTTTTTCATTTCGTTGCTGTTGTTGATATCGCAACAAACCCACCAACGAACAAACGAACCAACCAATATTGCGTTTGAAACGGAAACGATGAGAGGTAGATGGAGAATAAAAAATCGATTTTTTTTGTAAACTTTAACACAAACTGAAAATCCCATTTCTGCTGTCCATAAACAAAGCCACAAAAACCCTTTTATATCTTCTTTATTGCCTTATCACTCATGTTCCTGGGGCTGGCTTGCCTTAACTCGTCTGCTAAGAAACAAAACGAAAAAAAGCAAGAAGTAGAAAAAAAATTGAAGTAAATGGAACTGTTAGTTGAAAAGATTTTTTATTCGGCATGGGTCATTTATTGTTACATTCATTTCGCACAACTCAAATCTATTTCTGGTTTTCCACTTTTCGATGATTCTTCCTTCGTTCCATCCCCATCCATTTGTTGATTTCTTTCAGCAAGTTCTTTCTTTGCATCTTCGGTTTCCAAATAGTTTTGCCACTTTGCCAATCGTTCATTCTTATCGGCTTCGGACTCGTCGATTCTGGTTTTGAAAATGAAAGAAAATTATTTTTATCAATCTCAGAGAAGAGCGTGAACTAGCATGAAGAACTGAAGATTATCAATAACAATTTACTCACTTGTATTTGGTTTTTCCATCCCACGCTTCCGCTGAAAGCTTCCGTTGGCCAAAAAATCTCCCATTCATCAATTGAATAACAAGATCAGCTTCTTCAGCATCTCCCATCGTGATCTGTGCGATACCCTCAGGATGACGCTATTAAAATTGAAAATTATTTTTATTTAATTAAAAAGATGATTTCAGGGATTGAAATTTATTCTCCAATGAATGAATTCCAATCCCTAACTCAATCATATTTAACACATTGCGTCACTTACATCATAAACAACAACTTTCCGAACAGTTCCACACTTGCCACACTCTTCACGCAAATCGTTTTGATATTCAAGTATCAGTTGCACTTCGCGGTCAAATAATTCAGGCTCGAAAAGATTTTTAATTATGACAGTTCGTTCATGCTTTGCACGTTCACCTCTCATCTTCTCTGGACGCCAATCAAACAGTCTGGCCACATGGAAATAAATATTATTTTAATTTGCGTAAATCTTTTACATTGCTGACTTACTTTTCTTGAATTTTTTTCATCTTTTCTTTCTCCTGTTTCTTCATTCGTGGTTTTAATGCTGGATTGTATTCACCTCGCATTTGAAATTCAGCCCGTTGAACGCTGATTTTCTTACCGCGAACATCATATCCGTCGAGAACATTCAGAGCCAGTTCAACAGATTCAATCTGCAATAAGAAGGAGAGAAAAATTCTTTAGAAGCTCAAATTCTTTTCATGTTTTGTCAAAAAGGTTTTCTAAAGCCACAAATTGATTTTCAAATGAATTTCTACTATCAAATTGAATCATAGAAGCCTCGTTAAATTGAAAACGGAGCATTTGCCTACATACACATCATTTTCCATCATAAATCTGCTTTCTGTTTTCATTCTCGTCTCGATTAAAATATTGCGTATTGTCGATGACTCGTACAATAAATTGATATAATATGAATGATGGTTTGGATACAAGAATCAAAAAAATAGTTTTCTCAGTAGAACTTTCCAATTTTTTCCAATAAAAATACAAAAATGTTTAAATCTTGTTTATGGTAAAAAGGAATTTGATTTGGTTCAACATCATAGAGATTAATTTTCGATGAAAGGGAGAAATGGTAAAATCCATTCGTTCTCTCTTTCATTCAAAAAACTTAATGAGATTGAGGATAATCGTATCCTATTTCCAAAGCTATGAGATCGTCATCATAAGAATTTAATGAACAGGAACACTGATGAGTTGATGTAGATTGTGGCTTTTCTAACACCCTGCGTAATTCATGAACCGTTCCATGTAGAGAATTAACTTCCTACATTTTCATCAAACATAAAGCTCGACAACGTTGTACGATAGAAAAATTGATTGATGCATGAATCACGTTGTGAATGTCAAATTTGATGATCAGACAGAAATAAAAATTCTAAGCGGAACTAATTCAACGACACAATTTTAATGATGAGAGGAATTTTAAAGGTTTCTTTCCTTTTTGCCATCGTCGAGCTTCTAAACAATAAAAAGGACCACCGCACAAAGTCATGAAAGCTGTTTTAAAACATGACAAAAGAGCCACAAAAATGTGTAAAAAATCATTCGCTTTAAGGTTTAGGTTTTTTTTATTCCATATTGGTGGAGGTTTGATGAGAATATATTTCAAAAGTGAGACAATAGCTAAAATTAAGTGCAAGGCACGATTCAAAATTACTTCACTCAACCGTAACAGTTCTCGATTTTATTCCGATGCAATTTAGTAATAAAATCAGGAATGAAATAAAAAATCAACGAGATAAATTGAAGCGTTTATTAATTCGAGTATCATGAAGTATTTAATTGCATTCTCAATGTTGTCATTCGTTGAATCATGCCAAAGGGGATAAATTGAAACTGTTAAACGTAAACTTTGTTTTATGTTTTCATGAAGTTACCTCGAAATTAATTTATAAATGGGAAGATTAATGAGAGATAACTAAAGGACTTTTAAAGATACTAAAATGAGTTGAAAAATGCGATATGAAGTATACAATTTATAAATCGGAATCTGATGATATTTTATCTGATATCATCATGTAATCTTGTTTGTTTTAATGCTTTGTATTGTTCATTTCCAACCAGCAAAAGCCTTTTCGCATTTGGGCGTACATCAAGAGCGAAATCTCAAATGATTTATTTACATTTTTCTTGTTACAAAGCCGTGTAATGCTTCTGATAATCTCCATGGAAGACAACGAAGGAAGAAGGGAATAAAAATAAAAGTTATCGATTCGAAAGATTCACTAAGTTTGTTAAGACAATTCTTCTCTTCGTCCCATGTAACTTGTTCATCCCGTATCATGATTTATTGATTACAAAGACTGCAATTAAACCATTTTTCATAAACATTGTCAGAAGTTTCCGTCAGTTCGCTGCTTATATTAGAAAATAAAGGCTTAAAAGTTGCGATTATGATCGTTTAATTTTAATTTATCTTATTTTTATGCTTTCAAGTTATCATAATTTTGAGGGATAAAATATGCTGAAGGTTTTGAAGTAACGTCTTAATTCATTAAAAGTTATCTTTGAAAATAATGCAACTAAATCATTCCATTTTAAACTTTTGATTTATTTATAGAATCTTTTAAAGAAGAAAACTTTTATGCTTCAATGTTTCAATGTTTTGATGATATATTTGAATGTTTTATTGTTTCATTCATGCTATAAATGCGGAGTTGTTTAGATAAACGAGCATCTCGGTGCGATACTTTTTTAGTCTTCGCGAAACAGTCAAGTCGGTTGCACGAATTCCAATTTTCAGTCTAAAAAGATTCAAATATATTTTTTCCTCTCTTTTCAAAACTAACCTTCCTCAAAATTCGTTCTATTCATCATCTTACAAAGGAATGAAAAGCTGTGTTGAACAAGTTGTGAATAATTGAACTTCAAAAGCTTTCAACCTATTCAGTTGTTTGCCAAAAATAGAAGGAGCTTTATTTTTAGTAACGACAAAATGTATGAGAAAGTGATAAATATTTTATGAAAATAAACTATATTAGAGTGATATTAATCCGGATAAGAAAAGCTTATCTCGAATAATTATAATGATAGCAGCAACAGTGAAAAGTTAAATCCGAAAAGTTTCTTTACCCTTTTTTTATTTAATTTTCTCGAGAAACACCAAGAAAAATTAATTGTAAAAATGTAAACGTAATAACAGAAGCATAGAAAAACAAACAGAACAAAAAAAAAGCATTCTTGAGCCTCATTCCGTAGATCAATCTCCAACAAGCATAAACCCAACGATACTAAGAATAGATTTTGATGGAGTTTTTATCTCAAGATTTTGTCTCTTTCTCTCTCTTTTTCTTCAAACTTAATGTCTTTGCACAATTCACTGGCTTCCCTTTCAAGATAATTTTTCACTGGCTTTAAGTAAGGAAAATGAATTTTTCTGCTTTTGCCTTTTCTTGCTTACATTCGACAGAGTTTAAACAGAGTTTGGGTAATGACTTAAGACTCGTTGCGAAGGTTAAATGTAAACATTGAATTTATCTTTTATCTTATCATCATCAGTCATATGTAGACTTCACCTATTTTACATTGAAGAGTGATATTAAGTTGCAAAAGTTTCACATTTCGAGAACGCTTTATCATCGTGTCATAATACTTAAAATCTTATTCGGTCAAATATAATCAACGAATGTGAAGAAGACAAAATTGGAAAAGTTTTGCGAATAAGAAAAAAAGGCAAATTTTAAATTGGGTCAAGAGCAAGAAATCAATTTAGCGACCTTTATTGATCATTCATTTAAAAGTGATTTGACAGCGAAGAAGAGTGAAAACTCTTTCGCGATTCTTCTAATGGAATTGGCTGAAAAGCCGTGTTGTGAGCGAGAGAAAAATGTGTAATGTCATTAGGGATATACATTTTACATAAACCCACGTTAAGAACAGAACTGAGGGTTGCTAAACTGGGATGACATCTGAGTGATGTTTAATTACTATTACCAAAAGCGATATTAGCTTCGGACAAGTTTTATACTCTTTTATTAAATTTAAATTTATACACTTTCGAACCTTTTCTTGTCACCGATGTAATGTTGAGTTAGAAGCAAAGACAAATGAACAAAATGACATCAACAAATTATTTAAATTACTTTTATTTATGAAAAATTCATATCAATTATTTTGATGAACTTTTTTCTTCTCGAGGGTAGAAGGATAGAAGAAGTCGTTAAAGCAAATAAACAACACGTTCGTCATATTTTCTTATTGCTTCAATATCGTAAGATGAAAATTCTTCTGAGGTTTTCCAAGAAAGAAACGTGCGTGTGTTCATACGTTTTCGATTGAGAAATGAAACAAATGAAAGTTGGCTGCTGACGTCATCATTATGAAGAACTACAAAATCATATCTACTTATTTTCACAAATATCTATGACAGGATAGCAAACCTCTTCACAACAATGTCATTAGAGATTTGAAATGAAGCACATATTAGACATATAAATCGATGAAAATCTTTCAACATTCTCTCCTCGACTAAGCACAGAGAAATGTCGACATTGTTCGAGAAAGCTTTTGTTACGATGCTTACGAAGAAATATTTATGTATACTAAAGATGCAAATTATTCGAACGTTTGATTAATCAATTTTGCGCATTAGAACGTGTGTAATTTATTCAAGAGCACAAACTAATTCATTGGAAAATGCAAATTGTGCTTTATTTTATGACTTCATCCACATCATCATCATCATCAAACAAAGAATGTGGGAGAGAAGGAGAAGGATAAATATTTCAAAGCACAGCACATAGCTAACATTTTTGTCTTTTACTTCGTAAATATCTCTCATTTGTATCATAAATGTTGAAGTAATCGTTGATAATTATTCAGAAATGTGCACTGCACTCAAAAATGACATAAGCTGTGAATTGTAAAAGTAAATAGAATAGTTTATAGTTTGAGTAACAAACTGAAACTTCATGCAACTGTCATTAACTGAACAATGTATTTGAACAGTTTTAGATATTTAACTAACGTAAGCGACAAAACTTCCAAAATTTCCCTTGGCACCCAATTAAATAAATCGTAAAAATTTTCTCCCATTGAGAAATTAATTTCAATTGCTGCATTGTTTGAATGCTTTTTTCTCCTTCATAGTGATAATTGGACAATTGCATTCGATTTACTTACACAATTTCCAACAAAATCTCTTTTAAATTGATACGCTGAGAATATTCTTTCCTGGTTTTCAAGTGAAATTTGAGGGTGAAGCTAAACGTGAAAGATAATCAATCGGAAGTGTGGTTTTAAATAGCTATTAAAAAATTCTCTTGTTCTTGTCGATGAACGACATTGATGAAGGCAATCATGCTCTTTAGCATTCCCGAACAAAAAAATATTTCATATATCGAAAGAAAGAAAGAAAGAGACACGATAATTGATTTAAATGAAAATTTATGGCCTAAAATACGTGTTCCAGTGTAGTTCGAAGATGGAAACAAAAATAAAATCCACATCGTTATGCAAATTCCAATTTGAATCAATTACATAAGAAAGAAGATACATTGATTCTAAGCTCGAATTAAGCTATAACATTATCTTAATATGAATCAATAGAACATAAATTGTTGTCAATTATTTTCCCACAATTACCATTCAGAAAGCAAAGCACACGAGTTACATTTACGTTGGTTGTCAACATAGAATTCATGCATTATTTTTTTTCTTCTGTCACTCGTTTCACCCATCATTAATTAATGTTAATTCAACTCAAATTATACACAAACGATGCATAGCATAAAACACGTAATTAAATCACAAATTTGTTCTAGCGCGATGCTTCACAAACGTTTTGTACCTTGTAAGGTGTGTAGGAAGTCGTTTTGAGATAAATTGCTTTTGTAATAACAAATTTTTGTTGATTTACATTTGTTTGATTTGATTACGTGTAGTCTTACAAACACCCAACAATTACTTAAAAGCGATGATGAATAACGATTTATGAAAGTCTATAATCCGAAGAAAGAAAATCATTCGTTTGACAGGGCTTTACACATTTTCGTACTTTTTTCTTATCTTTAAGTGGATAATTTACCCCCCTAGTCATAAACATTGCCCTTCATAAAGCACTGACTTAACAGTCAAAAAATTGTGTAAATTTTGTAGGCAAACATTAGAACTCAACGGATGACGGCGTATTTGTTTTAAACTGATGATTCCGTTGGGCAGATGATATTTAATGATGATGATCAAAAAGAAGAAAAATTTGTTTATACAGCTTCGCACAATGATGATCATTGATTCATTTCCAGTCGGCATTGGCACGCATGTTTTAGATATAACAAGCCGATTAAAATTTTATGTCTGTTTAATCTCCATTCATGAACTCAGTCATCGATCGTTTTAAAAACTTCATCTTGATATTGATTGACTTAGGAATGTTTTCTCTTCCATCCCATAAAATTTTGATATTTAACCACCAATTTCTATTTCATTTTTCACTTCATCATTTTTGTTTGAACTTTATGACAACGAATGTGTGAACTTATTAAAAATTATTTCTATGCAAATTTACCAAGCAAAAGATCTGATAAATAATCTAAACAAAATTTTTGGCGAACTCTGCGAGTTTTAACTTAAATTGATGAAGATGAATGTGTGAAAATTAGCAAGACTTGTTAGAAATAGAAAAGGCACAAACCGCAAAGCATGTTAATTGATATTTCAAATGTAATCAAGCACAAGAATAAACACGAACTGCTATTTTCTTGTCTTGGAACGAGTGTTATTACAAGAACAAAGTACGAAAACACGTAGAGATTTGCAATCTTGTCTCAGATATTTCTATTTTTTCCTCTATCCGTTTATCTCGTTAAAGATGTGCAAACAATACCAAAAATAAACGAAAAAACTACTTAAAATTCTTTCACTTAAAATCTGTAATTGACACCGTAAGTGTTTCGCGTGCCTCTAACTCTAAAACATCGTACTTGTGTACGCTTGGAATAAAGCAAATAATCAGCGTAACATAAATTATCAAATGTTCAAAGGCCTTTTCATCTTCCAGTATTAAATACAATAAGGAAATGTTCGTCAGTTACGAGAATGAATAAACAAAGGCACTTATAACAAGACAAGCTCTTCTTAATTATTATTATGATAGCAAAGATCAAGCAATGATTTACATAATTTTTGAATGAAATCACCAAAAAACGACAATTCACGGTTGCTCGAGCAGCAATTAATTTCCCAGAAATTCTTTGAAGCATTTTTTGACAAGTCGTTGACATCGCTAATTGAGAATTTATCTTCTTCCATTATATTTTGACAAGCAAGCATGTTTGTAAGTAAACGGAGAGATCATGAACAAATGTAGGCATCAGTGTAATTTGTCATGAATGACTTAATAAATATCTTTTACACTGCTTTACTATGATTTCATAAGAATGAATGAAGAAGATAAAAGAAGCACACGATGAAGTCAAAGTTGATTAACGACTCTTTTATTTGCGCTAGTGCCTTATGCAATACTCTACTTATGAGCTTTTAAACTTCACTTTTATCTTCTTGTAAAGATTATCAAGCTGACATGAATCTTTTTATGTACTTCTTCTCTACTAATACAATGCAGTCAAGAGTCAGTGATTTCAATCTCCCGCTTTAACTGTCTTCATTCTTTCTCTTTTTCTTTCGTTATTATTCTTTTTAACGAACGAATCATCACGAGTTGGCCCAATTAAATGAAAAGAATTAAACTTTTCTTATTTTTGAAGTAGATATTCTCCGAAGAGTGAGAATTTTTTTTCATGACTTTGAGATGGCACTAAATATATTGTGAATACGCTGACGTTCACTATGTCGTTGTTACTTTTATTCTGCCCTCGAATAAAATCGATTTAGTCTTTCTGCAAGCATTTCTTAGTAAATAATTCAATATGTTTCCATGAATTTCAAGATATTTAACAGTACATAATGCCGAAGGAGCTTCGTAATTTTTTAGTTATTGAACTGAATTTAAATTCGTCGCATAAAAATCAATTTTTAATGTTATTCACATCTTCTAAAATTCATGCAACTCAGCAAGAAATATCGAAGATATTTTTCCCATTTTCAATGCTGTAAGCGTGGGTTTGGCTTGACGCGTGTTGCCTGCAAATGCAATTACAGATTTTATCTTTTCAATTGTGCGAATCGAATGGAGTGATTGAGACAGAAGCTTTCAAGCAATATGCTTGGTGAACTCATTCATGCGATGAACGTTACAAGTCACAACATGCTAATGATTTGTAAGAAGAGATTTTAGTCTCAGAAATTCAGTTAAATTTGATTTATAAGCGATCGAATTACTGCTTCAATATTCCAAGCCAATTGCTTTTTATTGTTCCATAGCAAAATATTTATGCTTGCTAATGAAAATATTATGTTAACATAACTTACCAATTCGCCATGTTGTGTCATGGATATGATTAAAATTTGCACAGTAACAATCGCTAAAATAAATATTTCGGACTTTGATTGTCTCATGTTTAGATATTTACACAAATGCATTAAACTAAATATATCAATAGCAAAATATTCAAATGATGACTGACGCCGATGATATAATTGTTTCAAGTTCACTATGTCAAATATCTCGATTAACTGCTTTGAAGTGCCGCAATGTTTTTGATAGTCGTAAATAATTTCATATTCCTCATGCTATAATCACTGTCGTCAGTTTATGTCATATCTAAATAAATCTTTTACTACTAAAATATGACATCATTACATTTAAAAGTCACATTGAGAGCTAATCAAGCAACAAACTTGCTACTTAATCATTCATTTTGCGAAACACATCGAACATAAATACTTTGCTCCTTTTTATGATCACATGAAACTATCAAAGTAGTTAAAGAATTTTTTTATTCATTTCTTTTCTGTTTTTGTGTAAAAGTCATAAAATTTATTTTATTGCGACCAGAGAGTCGTTCGTCATTATTGTTCGGTTGCGCTTCTCCGAAGAGTGTGAGAATGGGGCAACATAAATATTGTTATGCGCAAAGAGTTTCTAATAATTTTACGATCTTTGTGCTATTTTCTCTGTTTTAATATGCTAGAATACTCAACGCTTAATCGACTGGAATCTGATGCTTTTCGGTTTCCCTTCCCAGTTCGTATAAACAACAAAGATGGTTTGTTTATTTATTGAGAAATGACATCATTTATTTGAAATTTTAAATTGCCAACATTGTCACTTCATCCATAATTGATTATGAAATATTTTTGCAGAAATTAGTTTAAGTATTCATCCCGAACAGCCTTGAATACTTGAACACTCGAATACTCAGCAAGTGAGCAGGCAAGCTATCAGTTTTTAGAAATATATGATGAATGATTTCCGAAAATTCAAATTCCTGTAAAGATTTATGGCAAAGTTTATTAAATACTTTGTAAAGTGGTGACTAGACAATTTGTATAAAGTCAAAAGTTTTCTCACAACAACGTGATATCATCGCTTGAATGAGAAAAGCGTGAAATGAAAAACGAAAAAAATTTGAAAAGTCATTACGATGATCGTCGTCATCATCATCTTTTACTTTTTTTCTTAATTCCAAACTCATTTCATTATAAAAACTCCAAAGGCACGTCATTTTCTTCCGCTCATACATTTAATATTCTCTGTCATCGGATCATTTCTGACTTTTTTTTATTTCCCCTTTCGAGACACTTGTAAGAGCAGAAAAGAAGGAAAAATAACTTTTAACCCATCGTAATTGAAAAGCGTTTAAAATTCAAGAGAGCGAACATAAGAAGGCTCAAGGCCAAGTTCTTGATTTGAGGAAAGCGACTCGACAAGTGTAAACATTCGTTTTCTTGGTTTCATTTTTCCATTTAAAGTCTTTTTTAACTGGAAATCTTTGACAGCAAAAAAAAAAAGATTACTCAATTGTGTAAAACTTTTCGTAAAAATTAAGCGATCGTAAAGTTTTCTTTTGTTAATTAAATCATTGACTTTTACTAGTATCACGACTTGTAATTTAATTAAGAAGACACCCAAAATGTTGCTTTGAGCATGGGCCAACAATAAAAACTTAATTTATCTGCTGTCAACTAAAGTTTGATCATAAAATGTTGTATATTTATTTTTATTTTTGTGTGTCTAAAAGCAATTGACAATCACTTAAACATGACGTAACCTCCATTGAGGTTCTACATTTAAGAATCGCAATTCACGAGCAGAATTCACAAAAGTTTCTGTTCATCGAGAAGAAGAAGGCGCGTTTGCTATTTCTGATAATGAAAAAGCTAAACACGGTGAATCATTTCAAGTTGAGACAAGAAACTTTTCGGATGTTTTCTTAAATATCATCACGACGAAGCATGAATTTTAATTGAAGGAAGTCTTGAAGGAGAATTAAAATTTTCTTTTTTCTTTTTTTTTGCAGAGAAATGTAAATGAAAAGGGGAAGGAAGTATCGAGAGCGAACACCACTTTCAACATAATATTTAATACATTTACAAGAGATTGAACGTTCAAGAATTTAGAACAACAAATTTATTGTGCAAACATTTTGTGAAAATCTTCTAACAAGATGCTTTCAAAAGGATTTAATTTCTTCTTTCGTAAGTGCTTTTTCGCTTGGATTTAGGACACTACGATGATGAGCTTTTTTCCTTATTTAGTTATTCTCTTTGTCTGTTCTGCAAATTCGCAACAGCCTCACCATCAACAACGTCATCAAGCACGAACGATTCAACAATTAGCGAGAACGAAAAAAATCTTTGCGATGTGTCCACCAAACTTTACTAAAATTGGAAATGAATGTTACTATTTGTCACCAAATAAAGCGAGCTGGTTAGATTCTCATTTTGAGTGTAAAGATAAGAACAGCAAGCTTGCTGAACCATTGAAGTCATCCGATCGACTTTTACGAAAATATTTCATGACGCGTGGTCGAACACGAGGAGAAATTTGGATTGGAGGCATGTACAATTGGCAACGCTTTAAATGGCAATGGGGATACAATGGAAAGGACATGACATATCAATCTTTCAGTCAAATGAAGCCTGGGTAAGATGTTGTAATTTCCTTCAAGCAATGACATGATTAAAGTGAAAAGTTTGTTACTGATGGAATTCCGTTTTGCGGACTAGTCATCGGAATTATCCATGAATGACTTAATTTCAATTCTTCCATCATATTAATTTTCATCTCTTTTCTTGTTTCAGTGAGGATCTTAAGTACAACTGCGCTGTTCTTAATCCCGACTTGAAATACAGGTAAGTTCGCCATCAATTGAGTTTCTCTCATTTCAGTCTCGCAAAAAGAATTTTTATTTATATTTTTACTTTTTATTGCCACATTGGTTTCATTGTTGAGAAATAAATTAATTTCTTCCGCATGATATACGATGCTGAAGATAAAAAAAGAAATAATCTCCCCAAAGATTTTCAAGATTCTCGTTTCGCCCATGAGCACAGAACCAAATACAAAACTTTTGACGGGTTTTTTGTGTAAACGACGAAGATATTTGACTAAGCGGAGAAAGAAGCTTTAAATCTTTCTTTCTTTCTTTTTTATTATTATTTTTTTTTGTTTCTTTTTACGACGCAACAAATAAAACAGATGGTCAGCCAAATTATGCTTTGAAAAGCATTTTTATCTCTGCCAACATCGAATGCCCTTCGTAAGTGAACGAAGCCGTCAAAGAATTTATGCAAAGTGGAACGAAACTTTCCCAGGGCAGTTTGCAAATGAAATTCAAGTTTATGTAACAACAAATGGAAGCATTGGTAATCGAAGGTAAGCGTCACATACATACGCAAGTAAATACATATTTGAATAATCTTTCACTTGCTTTGCTTCTCGTTTCTCGTTACGTTCAGGGAGTATTATCGCGCGACATCTAAACGTCCCGACATTCATCAAATCTCGTCGTCTGGGGATCAATACGCTCAGGCAAGCAATCAAGTGCCGTCAACTGCTCGCTTTAACGGTGTCATAAGCAATGAAATCAATCCCCCTGAAGTTCTCTCCAATCGTGGCAGCACAATCAATCAGAGTAAATTAGTTCGGAACAAAAAACAACCAAATAACCGAAGAAAACAATTAAAAACTCTGAAGTTGACAGGAAATGTTGATCTTGGCAATGATATTTTCAAGCATAACAAACAATATCGTCGAAGAAATAATTCAAGAAGGCCTCCAACAACGACGGCAATGATGACAACATCAACAACAACAACACAGCATCCAAATACAATTTCGGAAAACTTCCAACCGAGCCATCACCGTCATAATCATTATGAAAATCGTCAACATCATCCCAAACCATCTCAAAATGAATCCCCACAATATCCAGTTGCATATCCTCCTGAAACCACATCCACCAGAATTCCATTCATTCAATCAACAACTCCTCAAGCTAGGATTGTTGAGAATACAACACTAAGTCAAATGGCCACCAAGCTTTTGGAAAAGGTAATAAAACTTTATGACAACACTAAGCTCATGGGACAAACGATTTTATTTAACTTTTCCTTTTCATTTCTTTTTATTTTTCAGAAAAAACGCTTGGAGAATATTCGTAACAAGCTTTCAAAGCTTTCCGACCAGGAAAGACTCGAATTTTTAAGAATGAAGGCAGAGCGTAAAGCTAAGAAAAGCGTCAAAAGAAATGACACCATTCCGTGATTCGACCATCTTTTGTCACTTGTCTCTTTCCTTTGTTAAGAAGCATAAGCAACATAACGATAGACAACATCATTAAATGGAAGGAAAAGTTCTGATCTAAACAAAAACTTTAACTCTTTAAACTTTTCCATTGTTGCGATTAAAATGAACGAAGGAAAGAAGGAAAAGGAAGAAGTAAATTTAAGCATTTGATTTAACTTTCTTTTTTTTATGCAAATAAACTTTCATTCTGCCGTAACTCATTTTAAAACAGAATTGAATTGAATGTGATGAGCATGAGATTCAACTAAAAGAGCAGAATTGAAAGAGGTTTACTCAGATTCTTTATCTTCTCAGAAAACTTTTCATCTTCTTTTCCTCCGTGAAATGAAGAAAGGAAAAGCTTTTCTTCTTCAACCTTAATTCATAAGAAGTTTGTGTGCACGTTAAGTCATTTGAAAAAGTTTTAAGTTGGCATGAAAACATATCACAGTCAAGAGAAAATAAAAGATAAAAAAGGCTTTTTAAAAGCTGACGTAAAACGAAAGGAAAACTTTTAAAAATGTGACCCAACAGGCAGACATTCCCTAATTTCAAGCTTAACTCTTTTGTCAGTGCAAAAAGCTAGTTGATAATGAAGTTAGCAATAATTATTTCTTTATATTCATAAATTCAAATGAATCTTAAAACAGTTTAAAATTGAACAAAAGTCATCTTCTCAACCTTCCGACCTTTTAAATTGTAAACTTCACAACCATCAATCGTTTTTTATTTAATTATATTTTAAGAAGATTTTTTCATCCACCCACGCAACAAAACCACAACAAAACTATAAAATATTTTCACCTTTCTTTATATTTCTTTAACACCTTCATGATGTTATTTAAGAAGAAAAAAAAGCTTCATCTCAAAAAGGATTGTTAATAAAGAAATTAATCAATAAATAATAATAAAAAGATGAAAGCACTTCTAAAATCCTTTTTTTAAATTTAGAGAAGTTGTGACGGAATTCTTTTTGCCATTTTCAGATTATTCAAACTTCGTCTGATTTAAAATAATAAAATGATTAACTCACCTTTATGTAGTGACACAAGCCATCGCCTTTGAGTTGACCATTGGAATCTCGATACAATTTCATCTTTAACTTTCCTGTTTTCAAGTCTTTCATCACCATTCCACATTTTCCCATCAATTCGCTAAACTCTTCTTCCGTGATATCCAAAGGCAGGTTTGAAACATAAACCTTTGTGTTTTGTTCCGGTGGAAGTTCAAACCACTTTGGCGGTGCCGGTGGTGCTTTTCGTTTCTTCGCTTCATTGCTTGTTTGAGGTTGTTCGTCAAGATTTGTTGTTGAGGCGGCTTCAGATGTTGATACCTCTGACGTTTCGACGTTGCTTTTCACCACTTTATCATCTTCTTTTGATGTGTTGTCGATAAATCCATAATTCAACTGATACATAGCGAGGAAATCATCGTCGACCTTTGGAAACCAAGCTTTCTTCTCGTTATCAAAGAAGAATACAGCGCCGTCTTTATCTGTGTAAGTATGGCAGCCTTCTTTCTCATCATACCCGTAAGTAATTCCTTCCTTGCCACTCATCTTAGGAATCCACTGATTTGTCTTATCACACCAACGATAAAATTCATTTTCAGTTGAAGCTTTCGGTATCCACTTTTGACTTTCATTACACCATTTGTAGTGTTCATTCTCAACAGGTTTCCACTCATTGGCTTCTTTATTCCATTTATATTTGTATTTTGTTGTTGGATCAGTAAAAATAGTTTCACCACTCTCATCATAAGTTATATTTTCAGACGTTGCTTGAGATGTCTTTTCTATTGCTTCATCATCAACTTTTGCCGCAAGCAAATTTTCGCCAACATCAGGCTTCTCGTCTTCCATTTGTAACAACAAGCTGTGAAAGAAATTGAACGTTTAATGAAAAATTCTGTTTGGAAGACGATAAAATATTCCTTTCGTCCCGTCCCCCTCCACCCCATCCTTCAACACCAGAAAACAAACCTCGTTTTCAATGAACCATAAAAGCTTTATAAATATCTACATAAAAAAGCTATTTGTGGAATTGTAGGGCATTGCATTGTTGGAATTATTTTCGAGGGAAAAGCATGAAGCTTTCCACTTAGCAGTGTCAACTGCTGCTAATCTCAGTGCTTAAATAATCAGCTGCAATCTCGGCTAAATAAAAATTTCTTTCGTTGTTTTTTTCCGTCGCGACGGATTTCACATGAAAAGTAATAATTTAATGAAAATGTAAATAAGCGAAGGTCATAGGAAAGGAGAACAATCGGAAATTACGCATTCAAAACAGTAATTCTGACCGCTTTAAATCTTTTATTTCTTTCGAGAGGGTTCATAAATATTTGGGTCAACCAACAACCACATGCGACGTTGTTACAATTACGATNAAGCTCACTTTTACTTTTTTTGAATTGTTTTTTTTTTCTTGTATGTTTTTATTTTTAATACATTCTCGAAGTAAATATAACAAAATTTACGTCGTGTTTGCTTAAAATTTATTTTAATAATTTAAAGTTCACTTTCTATGTTTCTCTTTTTTAATTTCGGATTCAGAGATCTGTGGGACAGGTGCACATCCTTGATTATGCAGATTTCTTGTGATGTCGTCATAATCTTCATGATCTTTTGGTGGTTTGTAATCAGATACATGATCAACTCTCAAAGTTTTCCCTAAAAGTTTTATCCCATTTAAATTGTCAACAGCTAAGATCGTTGAACGTTGGTCTTCGTAACAAATAAAGCAGAAGCCTTTTTGTTTTCCACTTTTTTTTATCTCTTATAAGATTGATGGTCGCTATTTCTCCGTATTGCAAAAACACACAAATAATGTCACCTTCTGAAAGATCGTATGGTAATCCACCGACGAATATCCATGCGCTGTTGCGATACTGATCATGCCATGAAGTTTTGTTGCCACTTCTAAGTTCTTGTTCAGAAAGTTTTTGAACATTTTTCATATTTGTTAATGGATTCATTTTTAGGCAATTTCCTTATTAACTTTCAATTAAAAATTTAATCGTTTTTAAATGAAAAATGCTCGTTTTTATATATTTTTTAATTGAAGTTTTTCCTGGTTGAATCGCCTGGTTAGATTTGATTTTTAATGTTGACTAAGAAGTCTTAACAGGTTGAATCTTAAAAGGAGACTGTTCGGTACATTTCTGAGTTATTACTTAAATAGAAGAAAGGAAGAAGAGAGGGGAAAATTGAGAGAACATCTCTGCGTGCCATTATCGTAGTTACCTCGTAACCAATCAGGTACTCTCTAGGAGCAAGAATAAAATTTTCTGTTAAGTGATTAGGCCCGGGTCACAGGGAATTACCCGCAATTACCTGGACCGTTGAAAGTCAATTAACTCCCATTCCTTGTCCCACAACGGAATTTCCCATAAAATTGACAAATTCTATTATCTTTGAGAGAAGTTGATTTGTCTATACGTGCAGATGCTGTATGCACATGTTTCTTGTGATTCAACATTGTGATTCATAAATAATTTAATTTGATTTATATCTAACATATTTAAAATTACACAAATGACTTCTAAATTCTTCCTTCGTTCCATCCCCATCCATTTGCTGATTTCTTTCAGCAAGTTCTTTCTTTGCATCTTCGGTTTCCAAATAGTTTTGCCACTTTGCCAATCGTTCATTCTTATCGGCTTCGGACTCGTCGATTTTGTATTTGATTTTTCCATCCCACGCTTCTGCTGAAAGCTTCCGTTGGCCAAAAAATCTCCCATTCATCAACTGAATAACAAGATCAGCTTCTTCAGCATCTCCCATCGTGATCTGTGCGATACCTTCAGGATGACGATCATAAACAACAACTTTCCGTACGGTTCCACACTTGCCACACTCTTCACGCAAATCATTTTGATATTCAAGTATCAGTTGCACTTCGCGGTCGAATAATTCAGGCTCGAAAAGATTTTTAATTATGACAGTTCTCTCATGCTTTGCACGTTCACCTCTCGTCTTCTCTGGACGCCAATCAAACAGTTTTTCTTGAATTTTTTTCATCTTTTCTTTCTCCTGTTTCTTCATTCGTGGTTTTAATGCTGGATTGTATTCACCTCGCATTTGAAATTCAGCCCGTTGAACGCTGATTTTCTTATCGCGAACATCATATCCGTCGAGAACATTCAGAGCCAGCTCAACAGATTCAATCTTTATGTAGTGACACAAACCATCGCCTTTGATTTGACCATTGGAATCTCGATACAATTTCAACTTTAATTTTCCTGTTTTCAAGTCTTTGATCACCATTCCACATTTTCCCATCAATTCGCTAAACTCTTCTTCCTTGATATCCAAGGGCAGGTTTGAAACATAAACCTTTGTGTTTTGTTCCGGTGGAAGTTCAAACCACTTTGGCGGTGCCGGTGGTGCTTTTCGTTTCTTCGCTTCATTGCTTGTTTGAGGTTGTTCGTCAAGATTTGTTGTTGAGGCGGCTTCAGATGTTGATACCTCTGACGTTTCGACATTGCTTTTCACCACTTTATCATCTTCTTTTGATGTGATGTCGTTAAATCCATAATTCAACTGATACAAAGCGAGAAAATCATCATCGACCTTTGGAAACCAAGCTTTCTTTTCGTTATCAAAGAAGAATACAACGCCGTCTTTATCGGTATATGTATGGCAGCCTTCTTTCTCATCATACCCGTAAGTGATTCCTTCCTTGCCACTCATCTTAGGAATCCACTGATTTCCTTTATCACACCAACGATAAAATTCATTTTCAGTTGAAGTTTTCGTTATCCACTTTTGACTTTCATTACACCATTTGTAGTGTTCATTCTCAACAGGTTTCCACTCATTGGCTTCTTTATTCCATTTATATTTGTATTTTGTTGTTGGATCAGTAAAAATAGTTTCACCACTCTCATAATAAGTTATATTTTCAGACGCTGCTTGAGATGCTTCATCATCAACTTTTGCCGCAAGCAAATTTTCGCCAACATCAGGCTTCTCGTCTTCCATTTGTAACAACAAGCTGTGAAAGAAATTGAACGTTTAATGAAAAATTCTGTTTGGAAGACGATAAAATATTCCTTTCGTCCCGTCCCCCTCCACCCCATCCTTCAACACCAGAAAACAAACCTCGTTTTCAATGAACCATAAAAGCTTTATAAATATCTACATAAAAAAGCTATTTGTGGAATTGTAGGGCATTGCATTGTTGGAATTATTTTCGAGGGAAAAGCATGAAGCTTTCCACTTAGCAGTGTCAACTGCTGCTAATCTCAGTGCTTAAATAATCAGCTGCAATCTCGGCTAAATAAAAATTTCTTTCGTTGTTTTTTTCCGTCGCGACGGATTTCACATGAAAAGTAATAATTTAATGAAAATGTAAATAAGCGAAGGTCATAGGAAAGGAGAACAATCGGAAATTACGCATTCAAAACAGTAATTCTGACCGCTTTAAATCTTTTATTTCTTTCGAGAGGGTTCATAAATATTTGGGTCAACCAACAACCACATGCGACGTTGTTACAATTACGATGTCAAGTTTAAAGCACAACTGAATGTCACAATCATAATTAATTGTAATGAGAGTTGTAATAAATATTTCACTCTCGACGGCTGTTCTCGTCGATTCCATGATAAAGTTTAAGGGAAATAAATTTTCATTCTGAAAACACAAAATTGCAATTCAACTAACTTGGCTGTTGGATAGAATTTTAATTTTTGCGTGAACTTTCTAAGCAATTCTTGATTTTCAAAAGCTTTTCCGCCCTTAGCATTTCCTTTTTCAAGCAAGAGCTTCACCTTTAAGTTTTAGGAAGTCGCAGTTTTTGAAAAAATAGCTGAAAAGTAATGAAACTGCAATGAGCACGATCCTAAAAGCTTCAGAGCTTTAACAATAGTAATTTTGCGAAATCGCAGTGGCTACGAAACGAAAAACTTTGCAGGTAAAAAAGTCTTACAGGTAGCAAACGTTCAGGGAGAATCCAACAAGCTTTGTTATTTATTTATTTATGAATGAAATAAAATGTTTTAATCAGTTTGCTGAGTTAAAGTGCTTAAAGCGTCAGAACGAATTTAATCTTCAAACTTTTTCATAAGTCAGCAAATTTTTTAAAGAGACTTCGAGGATTAATTTTCTCAGCTTTTCCCCTTCGAAAGTTTTAACTCGCATTTTGGCATTGAATGAAGGGAAAAGTTTATTTAACGTCTAAATATAAGAAGTATCATAATCTAACACAAGAAAATAGAAGAGTAAGCTTTTTTACAAGTCGACAAATCCTTCTTTCGTGTTAGCAGTGAAAGTATTGTTGAGGATCTGCTTAGAAATCTAGATTTGAACGTTTTTCTTGGTGCTGTTGACTCACAAATCATAATTAACGTGGTAATGAATTTGTTATTTGCTGTTTGGCACGCAATCTGCTCAAAGTTTTTCTTGGGAATTGTTCTCAAGATTTTCAGGGAAACTTTTCAACGATGGGGTTTCCCTTTCATAACATAATGACGAAGATGGAAGAGAAGAAAAAAGCAAAACTCACGTTAAGCTTTTGTTACAAACTTTTGAATTCTCTTCACTTGTTTCGTCAAGCAATACGAGAATGCTTCGTTTCGTTATACATGAAATGATTTCGTTCGCTATCAAAATCGAACAAAGAAGCACGTTTGCCTTCGAAAACATCTTTCGGTCTTAATATATTGAGATAATTTATGTTTTATATCGATTAAGTGGAATACGGACAAAAAAGAAAATCGATGTTTATAAAGGGTGCCAAATAACTTAAAATTCAAACATCCAAAAAGTAATAAACTTAGATAATCCATTCATATTTCATCCTTTTCTATGCCTCGAGTATGATCAAAAACTTTTGTTTCATTCCTTGAGCTCATTTGTAGTTGAACAAAAAATACTTGGAAATTACTTTTTGAGAGCTTTTTGGGTTTAACTCGGAGGAAAGGAAAAATTTAGAAATTGTAATTGGGACAGTGAATCAATATCTCCAAGTTATTCAAGCTTTTCAAGATATTTTTATCCGCTTCACTTGTGAAAGACATTTTGAGAATAATTTTAGTTAGATCTTGAATAAATGTCATGAAAAAGTGAATTAAATTATTGAGTTAACTTTACTAAGATCGTTTAAATATTTCTGTCACTGAGACCTGCTTTGCTATCTGTTCAAAATTTCAGGCTAGGTTAAGGTTGATTATTTATTAATTTATTCATTAAAAATTGAAAAGGATAATTTTAGAGCTCTTATTCATCATGAATTTATGAGAAAGGATTGTCTTTGACAATCTTTTTGTTGAAAGAGTTTTAGAGTTTGGATGAAAGTTCTTTCACAACTATCTGAACTATTTCTCTTTACCTTCCTAAGAAAGTAAACTTTAAACGAATTTTCAAGTGTTTCTTTAGATTCAGGTCGTAAAACAAAAGCAATTATGGTCGTGACAAGGTCGATTGTTATTTTCATATACTTTACAATTCTTAATGATGAAAACTTATCAACACGAACAAAGTTTTTTAATATTTTCAGTTGCTCGCTCAAATTGAGTGCAACTTTTAAGAAGTTAAGAAGAAAAACTTTTAGTGATTAATATTGAATTATGATGCTTTGAAGACAAAAATATAATAAATAAAGACTTAATGTGCTGTTCATTAATTAGCTGATTGGGATAAAGAAAAATATTTCAGGTAACTTAATTACCGACATGATTTTATTTAAAGATCCAAGAAAAGTTTCATTCCCTTAGCAATTCGTTAATTCGTTTCGTTGTGTATGAAATTAAAGTCATATCAATTAACTACACTAATCAAAACTAATTGAATAATTTCCCGATTAATTTCTCCGTTTAATTTGGATTATAAATAGAGAACAGATTTAAAGCTGCTAAATTTAGTCGGTTTCAGTGCATTGATTTGATAAGAATTTTTATTTTTTCTTCTTACTCAGAATCTTCACGTTCTGGTTAGCAATGAAATTGCTTGAGATATTCTTAATCGGAGCATTTATGTTGGGTTTGTGAAAGAATTATTTAAGATGTGCAACGAGCATTTAATATTCCATTACCGCAAACAGATGTTAGTCTCGCTCGACCATCAAACTTCAATAAACTGTCAAACTCTCAAAACGATATGCAAATCTCTGAAAGACAAATGAATGACAATTTAAATCCGCAATCGAATCAATTGATAAATCAAGACGAAAATGATTTAGTTTCACATAATTCGAATGTTCAGGCAATGACGGAACTAAGTAGTGGAAGCGATTTTAATGATCAGTTGGGAATTCAACAAATTAAACAAAGAAGACGAACAACTTCTAACACACCATCTGGAGTGCAACAATTTAGTGGCGATAATCTTAATCAACAATCAAACATTCAGAAAATCGATGCAAATGCCCGAAGAACGAATTCAAATCCTCAGCCAATGGTTCAACAATATGTCGGAAGAAACTCTGATCGACAATCTGATCAACAGATCAATCAAAGACGACAGTTTGGTGTTAATAATTCAAATATGCAAATGGATTCTCAAAATTTGAATTCGCAAGACCAGGCAGGAAGTCAACAGGCAAACAAACGAAGATATTACGGGAATCTTGCGACAGGACTTCAGCAATCCGGAAATGGCAACAAAATTAATCAAAACTCTGTAAATATGCAATGCTACCCCGATAAGAATGGACGCCGTTCGTCGTCTTCTGAATCGGATGAATGGGGCTGGTTGAGCCTTTTCTTTGATGAATATCAATTGATTTGTAACTAGTTAAATTCATAAAACCCAATTAAATTATTAGTTGATAGTAATCAACAAGAAATTTTCAATTAAAAATTCTTTACAAAGCCATTCAATAAAAAAGTAATCAGCAATTTAAAAATGTCCACAAAAAAAGATAATTACAAGAAACTTTTGGGTCACAAATGCAAACTCGAAACTCGCAATTTAATTCAATAAACATTTTTGAATTCCACAACACAACAACAGCCCGTAACCTTTTAACCAAGTTCAATACCAACAATTATTTAAGCAACCACAACAATATCATTTAAGCAACAGAAGGCTTTACAACTTGAATATGAGTTACAGTTGGAAAATCCTTTCGGAAAATTTATGTGGATATGTGTTTAAAAACTGATTAATTGATCTTTGGAAATCTTTTTATAACATCTCAATTTCAAGTTCCACTCTCTCATTTTCTCAAAATATGAAACCAAAACATTGAAGCTAATTAATTAAAGTTAATTAATGTTTGTTTTTGGCCAATAAATGTAATAAATGCAATATGTGTGTGAGTACGAAAAAATTAAAAAGCGATTGTAAAGTTGATTGGGGATGGCAACTAACAAGATTCGTTATGCAAGCAATCTTGATTTCAATGATGTTCGAACCAATCGTGCTTAGAATTCTCTTCTTCTTCTACTTCTTCTTATGATTGATCTTCAAAATATAATAAAAATTCTTATGAAATTGAATTATTTTCTATTTAACCAGCAAATCATGATGATTATTAGTTGGTTAAAAAGAACCGTTTAAGACTTGAATTTTCTCGGATGTATTGTCAGTGACAAGAAGCATAAAAATATCCACCAATAAACCGCCAAAATCTCAAATGAGAAGCTTTGGGAATCTCAGCATTTTCTTCTTCTTGGACAATGTTCAAGAAGATGTTGAATAAAATAAATCTCTTGTTGCTTCATTCATTCATTCATATTTTTCTTTTTACGTTTGTGAATCGCGATATTCTATTCGATGCTACGAAACCATAACATCCAAACTATATTATGAAGCTTCATTAAAAAAGAAAATTCATTCCAGTGTTGAACGTCAACGGAAAAACATCGTTCGAAGCTCTCATTGTTAAGTACATGAAAAGAAGAAACGGTTTCTTAAAAATAAAACAAATTTAACACTTAAACTAGCTAAAGTTGTTGTAAAGTTTGAATAAAGCAAAATAAAATTTGAGAAAAGAAAAACGAAACATGAAAAGTTCGATGTGCGAAGTGAATTCTATCGGAAATATTGCACAATAATTTTATTGCACATAAAGTTTAGTGCTTAAAAGTGAAACTTGTTGAAAAAGAATAACAGAAATTTCGATACACAAAGGAAACATCTCGAAAGTGGCCTACAAATTGTTGAAGAAATGATTACATATGAACGTAATTGAGAAGCAACTCTGAGCCCTCAAGTAGATGAAGCATTTTGGAGCAAAATGTTCATAACTGGAAGACACTTCGGATAATTACAGTCTCAGTTTGTTTTTTTGCAGTTATAATATTAACTACGCGAAGTGTTAGGGAATTATTATTGTCTTACTGACAATTTCAAGAAAAGAGAAGCGACTGATGATTATCATAACTGTTGTGATCTACCGAATCGTAAAAGAATAAAAATACAAAAATCTATATCAATTTTTCTTCTCTTTTTTGCGAAAAACAAGACATTGTTCTGACGAAAATTATTTAATGAGCTTATAGGACTCTTTGTGACAAGTGAAGTGAAAACCTACAACAAAATTTTAATCACAATAAATTGCGGAAAATATTTCCATCTTTCATCATGAGAAATCGAATCAGGTATTTACTAATCACTCATCATATTTATTTATAGATTGAATTTCAAACTTAAATCAAATCTTTCAAAAGCAAAAAAAGAAACATAAAATAATAAAGCAAGAGAAGATATCAAGTGTTAGACAATCTGCTTGCTCTAAGTTGCGATCATCAGTGCGTATCTAAAACTCCACATACATTTATTCATGAGACGATGCTGCTGAGATAAGTTGCGAGTGCCAGACAAAGATGAATGTACTTTATTGAAACTCGTCTCGTTTCTACAACTTGTACCTTCATGTTTTCTCATTTGCAAAAAAAAATAAAACAGCAAAGTTTTTCAAAATAAAAATACTTCACATGTAGACATAATTAAAGCGTCTCAATGATAGTTTGATTCCGAAACAATCGAAATGAATCAAAAAGAAACAGAAAGGAGACTTTATTGAAGAAAACAAGAAAAAAATCGTTTTCGTTTCATGAAATTTGCTTAGATTTGTAGGTACAAGAAGCTTTGGCATATATGGTGGAGTGATGGGATTTGAAATGACGTAAACCTACTAATGAACATCATCTCGTACGTGTAGTGTCTTTAATTTTTAATCTCTTTTTCCCGAAAATTAGCAGACATAACAACAGACACATGAAAGTAACAAAGAAACTTTGAGGGCTTTCTTTGCGAAAACCTTAAAAAAAATTTAATTAGTTTCTCAAGCGGATTTGATTACGAAAGAAACTCTCTTGGGTCACGGTAATTCATGAATCTATTTAATAACCCGGAAAGTAATGAGGATGACGATGGCACAATATGCCATAATTTCATCGTCTCGACCTCAACTCGCACTCACCCAATTTTCCTTCAATTACCATTTAATTCTTTATTTATTTTTATTCCCTTTGTTTGTTTTATGGCATAAAATTATATTTACTTGCTCTTGATCTTCTCAGTGTCATAGTTCTTAGTGTGACTTGGAGGAAAGAAAAGATTATTATGACTGCATAAGCGTTACCTAACAGACCTACATTTTCCAGTGAATCGTCGAGATATGATTTTTGTGTAGCATTCTCTGTCATTGCTTTCCATCCTCCTCACGTGACATTTAATCACGTACAAATAATCAAGAGTTAATTAGACTTCTCTATACATATTCTAGATCTCCACAATCTCAATTGAGGTGAAAATAAAAATAAGTGTGAGAAAGCAGTTAGTGTTGGCCGTGCATGACCCTCGAATTCGCTAAACAAAGAATAATTTAATTTTCTGGTCTATGCCTTGCCATCTTGCGTTAAAACTATCGAAGAAAATTGTCAGTGTCCAATTGTGCGCGTTCTATTTTCATTACCGTCATAGTCAACATAAATAATTATGTAAGCAAAAGAATATTAATTTAATTAAGTCATGGATTTCGAATTTGTTCTTCTTTTTCTGTCAATTTTCATCTGGAAATTCCGTTAACTTTTCTACCAAGAATTCAAAAAACATTCACCGTTTTTTGTAAAGTTTTTCTACTTTACTTTTATGTTCAAAGCATCATTATTATGAATGTTCTCGTGTCGTATTAAATATCTTTGAGATTAGATGACTTATCTTGACAATGACAAGCAAAATCTTTTGTAAGGTTGTGTGGCGCAAGTTTTATGTTAAGTTGCTGTCATTTTGCACTTTTTTCCATCTTATTCATCATTAAATGAATGAATGAATGAAAATCTTATGTTTAGCTGATTTTAATTGAAGATTTCTAAGACAAAAGCTTTGACAAAGGAGAAAAAGAACATTAAATGATTTAAATTCGTTTCCGTTTGCATACAATTCACTAATGAAAAATATTCTAATTACAAAGTCAGATATTAATTTTTTTAATATGCATAACTTTATAATTAAAAATTCTGCAATTAATTATTAACCAACTTTAATGCGATATTGTGTAATGCCACATAATTTTAATGGATTCTCTCTGGATGATCGTCTTTTGTTCTTCAATGAGTATTTATTTATTGAAACGATCAGTCCGTTAGGAACAATTTTCACGGATTGATGAATTAAATTAATCGAACATCTCTTCTAAGGTTCTTGAGGTTTAAAATATAATATTATAAAGATAGAAGCATGAAGATCATTTCAATTCGATCAATAGGTACTTATAAGCTTATTAATTTAAGTAAAGACGATAAAAAAAATTATTGAAGTTCGACGAGGCAAATGAACTTGTGGTTAACTGTGACATGTTTCAAATATCCGCTGAACTCTTCTGACTTCTTGCCACTCTTCAATAAATAGAAATAAATCAGCTTGAATGAACCTTTTATTCCTTTGTGAATCGAAAAAAACCAACGAAATGGAACAAAAGTAATTAATTTGATAACACTTAAGTATTCATGTACATCAATATTGTTCTATAAGCATAGCCAATCGATTAGAAAATTTCTTTCAAATGAAAACGAAGAAGTCGCAAACGAAAATTCTTTGGAAGAATTCTTAAACCTTGAAAAGTTCACATCTAGAAAATTGACGATTTATAGATTATTTCTGATTCTTCTTTGTGGTTTCCAACAAGTAATTTCAATCGTTGGCTTGGATCCGCATTAAAACAGTTGAACCCAAAACGTCATGCGGTTATAATAAAAAGTTCTCAATTCTATAAGTGAATAAGCTTATTATAATATCTTTCGTCTAGTCAATCGAATGATATCAGAATAGAAATGATTGTTAATGTTCAATATGCTCGATGATGAACTTCAATTGAAGGAAGAAAGAATCCGAACATAAATTGATGCGAAATGAAGAAAAAGAAAGTTCAAGGCGCTTATTTAATATTCTTAAATTGCGTATACGAAAGGAATTCATCTTTGTGTTCCATATGAACTGATATTCCTTCATGTTCAACAGAAAATCGTTCAATCCTATCATGAAAGAATCAAACAAGATTTGATGATACAACAAATGGATGTCGTTGAAGTGATGCTCAGGAATCATTCCACAATGTCAAGCGTCGGAAATTCTTTCGATACTCAATCCCTTGAGATTCTGAAGCATGTTTTCTTCCGTTAACACTGTCTTCATACTACGCCGTTAGATGCAGATTAAATCAAATTGATTTCTAGCGGAAGAATCTCTATTTTCATAGTGGCAAAAAATGGTGGTCTGAAAAACGCTTTTCTGATATTTAATCACAATAATCTCGCTAGCGTGATTTACAGTTTTCAACCTAATTCTAGGTTCTGGAATTTGTTAAAATATTTATGTTGTTCGTTAACATCTTGTTTGAGAAAAGATTACCAAAAATTTAATAATATTGCATCTCTCTCTCTCCCTTTCAGATTATACAATTCATGCATCAGCATTTACATCATACTCCAGGTAAGTTTAACTTCTCTTTTTTTACAGACCTATTCAAATTTACCAATTCGGTTTCAACGCCAATAAATTTCTTTCATGGTACTGATATTTGATGTGCATTAAAAATACAATTACTTATCCAATTCAAACCATCATGGTCAATGGAAACGAGTATGAAAGTTGGAGAAAACTTCTTAAAACAATAAACAATTATTGTTGAGAGAGTAAAACAATTGATGCTTGAAATAGACTTCTAATTGTTATGAGGCTTGAAGAAAAGATTTCTTCGAATAATTTAATGTTGCATTATTTTCACATTTCTATACATAAATTTTGATAAAAACCCAAGTTAACTCGTGCAAACTGATTTAAATGAATGCACATTATGGAAAATGCGTTTATTACGTCATTGGAATTGGAAAATTGAAATTATGTAACGAAAATTTTCAAAATTTATTACAATCAGATCATCATCGCTTCATCAGACTCGCAGTCGACAGAATCAGCAGCAATTACATCAACAAATGTTTCTCTCAACAACACTGTGACGAGTACAAGTAGCACAAGTAGCATGTCATCATCAACCACGCGTCACAAATTCATCCCATCGGCTACCGCTAATCCAAAGGTAAAAAAACGTGGAAGTTTACATTCAACAACCGATTCATCGAAAACAAAAAAGAATTCACATGGCGGTAACGTTAAGAATGTTAATGCAACACGAGAAGCATTAAATCAGGAAGGATCTGATCAGCAGGTTAGTTCAATTATAAGCGTTGTATTCATATGTGTGTATGAGTTATGACTTCTTCTGACAATGACATTTAATGAAGAGATTCTATCATCGAGGACGTTCGCGTTCTGTCTTGAGTATCAAATAAAAGAGCCATTAGAAAGTCTTGCCTAATAACAACAGAATTGAACAAGTAAACGCATTAAGTTGAGTAAGCTATAAAGAAAACAATGGAAATCTTTATCTTTCCATTCGATAGCCCATCTCACCTTCGTAGCTTGGCTTCTTCGGCTTTACGAAAACAGAAAAAAATAAAATAAAATAAAAACACATAACTAGAATTATTGAACGGCGACTCATTCAAGGTCGTTTTACGTCATCTCGAAACTCAATTAAAACAATGCTTTTTATTGCATATTTATGGTCGTTTGTGGCAGCTTAGTGTAAATACGATCTTAATTTGAAATGTTTAAAGATAAGGCTTAAAAAAAGCATTAACTTGAATCTGACATTCTTCATCTGTTTCCTAAGCAACGATTTAAATTAAATAAGTTCGTGTGATTTTATCTTTTATTGTATACCGAAGAATTCTTAAGTTTCCTTTCAACAATCTTAATTTGCCACTTAACAAAACGACTTGCTGCTTAATTAATTTCTTAAGTGACTATCTGAGTCAAATGGAAATCAATCTTTGTTGTGAACATCGGAACATGTTCCAAGTTGTTGTCCTTCCAATTATTTTATTTTAATGCACCAGATTTAAGTATCGTAACTACTTATAGTAAAATTCAGTAGAGTATGAAGAAGCAAAGCAAATTATGTTATTAACGTCACGGTTCTGAAAGAATTCTCTTCATCTTTGCTTTCTATGCTTGCCATCATTCAACATCAACACGGAATTTAAGACACTTTTGCAGCTGATTTTTCTTCACCGCATAACGAAAATTGTGTTGCGTAACGAGAAATTGAATAAAAAAAGAGCTCCAAGGTCGAAAAGAGAAAAATAAAAATAAGAAACAGCATAACTCATCTTCAAGAAATGCACTGAAATGTTTATTTCGTTTTATTTTCTCAACATTCGTAAATTACATAATTTTGCCACAATTGTTTCAATTACACTGTTCTCTCTCTCACTCTCTTCATTTCTGGTTTCGCATTTTAATTAAATGTCTATTTATTTGTTTAACTTGATGATTATTTATTTCAACTCTCGCTTTAAGCAGTTAATATAGTTCAATGTTAAAATTTGAAATTGGAAACTTCCTCGACATGCTACCACCTCATATATCTCGATGTGTTTCAGAAACAATTTCGAATATTTACCACATTTTATATCTATACTGAAATACATTAGGTCGTCTATTTATCGGACACGAGTGGATACATTCCATTAAACTCTTTGAGAAATGGCCCAGCTCCGGTGATAGCACCGCAACTTTATGGCGGCGCAGATTTAGAAGCTTGGAGACCTGAACTGTGGGATCGTGAATATAACCGAAGATATCGTTTCAACAACACAAGAGTTCAGCGTGAGTTAAACATTTTACGACTTTCACGTTAACGACATTAAAAGTTTTCAACTTTCCCGTTTAGATATTGAAGCTGAATGTCAAGATGATTACATGAAGATTAGAATTGGATTTAATGGATCGTTTACTGGTCTTTTATATTCTGCAGGTGAGTTTGGATTGCCCATCGAACTATTGGAAAAGCTTTTTCAATATCCATAACTACTCAGAAGATTTTTCTTTAAAAAAGTTAATTAATTTTTGTCATATTTCTTCTCCAGGCTATGCTTACGATCCTGACTGTATGTACATAAATGGATCAGGACGTGACTACTACGAGTTTTATATTCAATTAAATCGATGTGGAACGTTAGGAAAAAACAGCTTGCACGATGATTCACATAAAAACCCAACTGCAAGTTTTAATAAAACTTCAAACAACAATTTTTTAATTAATGTTAAACTTTTATGTTCAGAAAAACTTTATGTGGAACACGGTAACAGTTCAATACAATCCATTGATTGAAGAAGAATTTGATGAACATTTTAAAGTGACATGTGAGTACGGCTACGACTTTTGGAAGACTGTCACGTTTCCATTCTTAGATGTTGAGTAAGTAAATTGAAAATTTGTTGATGTCGAAGTTGTCATTCATTTTATCAAAAATCTTCTTAAAGAGTGGCAACGGGCAACCCTGTTGTGTTCACTCTCAGTCCACCAGAATGTTATATGGAAATTAGAAATGGTTATGGAACAGCAGGGACAAGAGTCGCAGGTAAACAACTTGTTAAATGTCAAAAATTTATTAGATTGAAAGAATTTTTATCCATTTTAGGACCTGTAAGAGTTGGTGACCCTTTAACCTTAATTATTTACATGCGCAGCAAATACGGTGAGTTAAATTCCTTTCCTTAACATTGAACTGGGAAATTAATAAACATTTTTTATACTTTAAGATGGTTTCGATATTGTTGTGAATGATTGGTGAGTAAGACATGAAAAATTATAAATTAAAGTCTAAATTTCTCTTTCTTCTAGTTACGCGCACAATGGAGCGACAAAACGTATTCAATTAATTGACGAGTTTGGATGTCCCGTTGATGATAAGTTGATTTCACGATTCAGAGGTTCTTGGTCTGACAGTGGAATATTCGAAACACAAGTTTATGCTTATATGAAGACATTTAGATTCACTGGTTCACCAGCTTTATATATTGAATGTGATGTTAGAATGTGTCATGGAAGATGTCCGGTAATTCATTCAACCTTTTATTAAATAACTTCCCAACATTAACATTTATGTTGATTATTGTAGAGTCAACCATGTCATTGGAGAAATTTGAAAGGAGTCACTAAGAGAGAGGTCAAATCCGACCCCGTTAACTCAACGTTATCTGATAACATCAGCTTATTCCAATCAATTCGCGTGCTTCAAGATGAAGACGAAAGCAGTTTACGACAAGAATCAATAACAAGTAAATTATGAATGAATTTCAAAGGTCAATTTGAAAATTTCCAAACATTTTCTTTAAATTATTTTATGAACAGATCAAGATCCTACAGAAACGTGTTTGAAGACGTCAGTCTTGTCTGCTCTGACAGCTACGTGTACGATGCTTCTTTGTATTCTCGTTGGATCACTTTTCGTGACATGCACCAAACTCAGACATCGTAAAAATGAGAATCCGTTCTTCGATTCAGCCTATGTCGGTCATAAAGGACAAATAGATTAAGTTTCACATTAAACAATTAAATATTATGAGGAAATCTTAATTTGGTGTCTAAAATGAAAATTTTTCATTTGAACGTTGTCATTAATTTTCATTTTCATTTGCAATGTTCAATGATTTTTACCCCAGCACATTTTCGACTCTAAATTGACATTTGCCGAGTAATTTTATGTTAAGAATATTATTTTAAGTCATCACATCATATTAAAATAACTACTTTAGTTTTTAATATCAAATTCACTTTTGTAAATATTTCGATACAATTTATCAACTTGTTTAATAATTAAAAATTTTTCATCGATATCTGCTTATGAAAATTTTAAGAATTGAAAATTGTTTGACTTGAACAGTTTGGTGCGTGGGTAAACCTTCTAAGATTAAGAAAAATTGTAAATAGAAATTAACTTTGAAATAAATATTTTCCATTTACTTTACACGTAAACGATGAAAGTTCGTTGTTGGTCTCGTTCTCGTTTCGAATATTTCAATTTAAAGCTTTTCAGTAAATACAAAATCAACATTCAAGTTTGTTTTATAATTATCAAGATTAATAATTGGAAATTCCGAATTTAGAATTCTGAGGCTTGCAACAAATACATCAAAACTTCTAAAACAATTTTCCAACAATAAGTTTTTAAGTTCTGCCATCGATTTCGACAAAGATTTTAATTAAATTTGTGGGTGGAATTAAGACACGAGAACTTGCGTTGAAAATCAATTTTTGTTACGTTTTGAAGTTTTTCTGTTCCAAATATTTCTCTCATGCGAAGATTATTAATTTTTCATTGATTTTCCATCAGAGTTCAAGGTTGAGCTTATTGAAGTATTTAACGGCGACTGCCAAGAAGAAGGAAAATTAAATTTCTATTATCAACTTTTCACTGTTCACGTTTCTTACGATGGAATTCTTTAATGACACTTTTTTACCGATCCCATTAATGGAATAAATACTTATTACTAAGCAAAATATTTTCATTAAATATTCAAAATATAAATTTTGAAATGGTAACGAGATGAGTTTGTGCACACGAGAGAACATAATTAAGATTCCACAATGATAACACAAGCAAGACGAGGTTTTGCTTTAAGTTGAAATCGATAAAAGGAAAAGAAAGACTCGAAAAGAAAATAAATAATTACGGAAACTTTCTTGAGATTATTTTATTATTTTTTGTGTTTGAGATTTGAATTGTTTTAAAAGTTAATAAGCTTCGAAGATTCTTTCGATATCATTCAAAAAATTTTGAAACTTCTTTTGTCGATATTCAGGATGAATGCTGATGAAGTTGCCAGCCTCACTTCGATTTACAATGATGACATTTGTTTCCTCGAGATATTTAAGGCTACTTCGAACCCATTTTATTGAGCAGCTTTCTAATGTCTTGCAGTGATTCAAGTCAAAACATTCTTCTCGCATAGCTCGCAAAGCTCTTTCGATGAATTTATTCTCATCTTCTTGACTATCTTCCGGAATTTTCTCCAAAATACAAACAACAGTAAAAAACATTTCAAGGAATGGCATGACGACTTTCTTCATCGCCTGGATTTCTTCTCTCAACTCTTCATTTATTTTGACTTCATTACACGGAGTTCTGTCTTCACTCGACTCATCATCGCTGTCATCAAATAAATTCTTTGCGATTCTCAATGCTCTCATCTCGTTTTCTGTTTTAGTTTTTTCTTCCGGCATTATCAATAATCCATCTGAAACGCAACCTTCGAAGGCATCACGAATCTTGTGCGGAATATTTTCACAAGGCTTCACAATTGGATATTCGATACTTAAAATATTGCATTTGAATTGACTGAGATTAATGACATCTTCATAATCAATGATTCTTCCTTTCGACTTTAAAGTCAGAGCTGAAGTAACGACGACAGATTTAAAAAGGAAGAAAGGAGTCAAAACTTGTGCATAGCTTGACAATTCAACAATATTGTCGATCATTCCAATTGGTGGTCTAAAAAATCCATTTTGATGAAGCACCAAACGACGTCCTAACATATCGATTGCATGCTCAACAATCTCTTCCGAATCTCCTTCAAAAGCAAAATCTAATGATCGATGACTTTCACGTATTTCATCTAACTTTTCAGATAAATCTCTCTTTGTGGCGCCATCACGATACCAAGTAAGCAACAAAAATGCGACGAAATTTGTTGACATAATTGGACGTTTCATATCAATGTCGTAACTTAAATGTTTGATGATTCTCAAGAATTTTACATCGTTATTCAATTTATTTTGCTCATCATCATACTCATTAGTTTGTATGAAATCTTTTATCATGTAAGGTTCATGAAAATTCACTTTCACAATTCCCAAGTTTTCCTTTAAATGACTGAAACTCGTCAACTGACATCGCTGCTTCTCCGAGCTGATGGTAACAGGCAACATGAAGATTTCCATCGATAAACCAAAGTCACAAACGTTTAAAACTTCTTTCAACTCATTTCCTTCGTTATCCATCGTAAGCAGAAGTGTTTTATGTTCCTGAAGACGTTGCTTTGTTAGTTTTGCTTCATTGACTTTATCACCATCGTCGATAAACGTCAAGTTAAAATGTTGCAAAACATCACCAACGGTTGGAATGTTTTGAAGCTTTTTGTCGACGACTGTTGAGGGAAATTCAAGTTTGTTGACATAAAAAATGTAGTTCAACATCAGCAGATCAAGAACGACATTCTCTGACTTTAGAACGAAGACAATCGGCACTTCGGGCTTCTTTTCTCGAATATTGTGCAACATTTTAATGTGTGCTGGGTGAATAACAAGTGAACTCATGGAATTTGATAGAATAGCATGAATTGAAAAGAAAGACGAAGTCATCCAATGAAACCACTTTTTTGATGGAATTTCTATTTCAAGCGCATCAATTGCTTCTAAACACCAATCATCAGTCTTCGTAAACTCAAATTTATCGACATCGCAACGCCAGCACTTTGAATCCTTTTCACAGACATTTGAAGGTAAAATAATTGGCAATGGACTCGTTTTTGGTTTCACCAGCTGATTATGTCTTTCAGATTTTAACGTTTCACGATACTTTAACCGACTTACGGTTTTTGTGTCGCCGATTAATCGCTGCAATCGTGATTCTTTCGCCGTATCCATCGTTGGCTTGACTAATTTCTCCATTTTCTTTCTGTAATAAGAAAAAAATCGAGTCTTACGTTGTAGAAATTGAGTAGCAGCACAATTTACACTTCGCATGTCCTTAATCGAACAACAACAACACTTGGATGATTCATAAATGGGTCGATTTACAAGAACAAGGTGATTAAATTTTACTTCGTTTATTTAGTGAACTGTCACGAGAGAATTTATGGAATTAATTTGCTTCACGAGCGACATTTTAAACGATTTATTTTGCGTTATCAATTTCAAATTTGAGCGTCGTAAAGAATTTATCATTTTAAATTAGAACAACATCGATAAACATTATTTAAGCTCTGTTTACTCACTTAAAGGAACTTTTTTTCAGCTTGATTTATGGCATTCATTCTCACAATGTCCAACACTATTTTCCGTAACCCAAACTTCAAAAAGATGAATGAATGAAATTTCTTTCTTTCCTTTTTTTTTGGAAAGTCACCCTCGACGAGTTAAGCACTGTTATCGAACTTCATGAATACCAAAAGAAAAAGAATAATAAAAAAACATCAAACACTTGTTCTGCCATCACAATTCCCCTCGCATACCAACAAAGAGAATTCCTTTTTTCCAATTTCAAGTTCTCTCCCCTAGCCAACTCAAGTCGTTACTAAGCTTACAGGTTTACCAACAACAAATGTTGTCGATTCACCACGCTATTCGCTTCCAACACAACGAATAAATGCTTTTAGTTTTAGGTGGACTTTTAAGCCGAGTGGACGTGAAATTGAAAAAGTAATCGCTTCAATTTTCAAATAACAAAAAAAGGGAGAAAAGCTTTTGATGTTTGCAAAAAAAGTATTTTGAGTGGTGAAGTGTTTGCTGATATGAAAACAGAAATCTGAGATGCTTTAAGTGTCGAATAATTTCAATCTTTTAACCAAATTTTATTGGATTATACAAACATGGACATCCCAGGTGACTTTCATTTACTGTCATTTCATAAATATCTTAGAAAAAACTAAATTCAAATTGACCTGAAACTCAACAAATGTTTGTGAATTATTAAAACAAGAAATGTTTTCCACTCTTCACAGAAACTGGCGCTGTTTTTGCTTTCGGCAGATCCCATCTGACTATTTCGGGAGATGGAAATGATAACAATTATTTTTTCATTAAAAAGGATCGAGTTAAACGACTCATTTGCGGGCGAAACCAAAGTGCAGTCATTTGTGGTAATTTAAGAGAAAGAAGGAAAAAAAGGCTCGTTATCCGAGCATGAACATTTTTCACGCTTTGAAATGAGCTTCGTTATGTGTCGCGACAAGAAAAGGTGCAAAATTTCATCACCTGAAGTATGAAGCTTGATAATGAAAATCAGAGGAAATTTTCGAAAGCTTTCGCATGCAATAAAAATGTCGTTGTACGGGAAAAATATGTGAGAAATTTTAGCCATCTCACCCTTTCTCTCCTTCCCACCCCCACAACACTTCTAGTTATCTTGAATAATTAACGATTCTTTTTCATTGCCATTTCTCTTTATTCTCATTTCTTACGATACGATAAGAAGCTTTATTCACGCACAAATTGAAGCGCTAAAGAAAATGGAAGCAATTATTTACGATCAACATCGAAAGCGTACTAAAATTAATTTTTTTTCCACCGAAAGTGGCACTGGGAAATTGCAATTTTCCCGGATTTTAATTGAATTTTTCTTCCACTTCGCTTTGTTGTTTGAATGGAAAACCTTGAAAAATAATTTCTTCACTTTGAATTCTTTAACGTGAATACATCAAAAAATAGTTTTCATTTCATCATTTTCATGAATCATAAACTTTGAAGAAAATCCCGGGAAATTTAGCGGCAAAAAGAACATAAACAATGAAACAGAAATGCAGGAAAAGTGTTTTATCAATACATAGCGGCAGTGGATGAACGTATAAACATTTCAACAATCCACATGTTCATTTTGTTGAGAAAACGAAGTTACAAGATAAAGAAATTTTCTAAGTCAACAAAATTTCTGAAATTCCCACAGAAAACTTCAACATGTTTCTTGCTCACTGCTCGTTTGCTTCTTTATCAAACAGAGAAACATTGAAAATGAATTCGCTCAAATATTCTTACATTTGTTTAACTTTCCGTTTTCTTAAAACACATTCATCAACATTAGTGCATTGAAATTATCATGTTTTTGAGAACAACTACATAACTTAGTATGTAGAAAGAAAAGGAAATACTAAAATAATAAACACAACTACGAGAAAGTTTTTCTTAAACATTACTTTCATAGAAATTCTTGTAAACATTAGTAGGCCGACGAGAGGCGACATAACTAAACACAGACAAAAGCACAGCAACAAATCACCAACATAAATATTTATATTCACAAATTTGCATGCTTTTGGAAAAGCTAAAAAAATTTTTGTTGTTTGTGGCACTTAATGTTATGTTCTGGGGGTTCGTGATGTAAATTGCGAGGGTTAATGGTCCGATGGAATCCGTTTTTCATGTTTTTTAAATTCATTAGTGACGTCAGTGCATCCGTTAGTTAAGCAATTGAACTTTCAGAAATCGTTTGAAGAAAATCTCAAAGTATGAAGGTACATAACATGAAATAACTTAATTTTCAATCATAAAATGTATCATTAATTTAATTGAAAAGTAAATCTCATCCCCCCTGTTCAATGCGTTTCAGTCAATAAATAATTCACAATTTTCCACCCTAATGGAAGTTTATCGTGTTCACTTATACATTCGCTGACATGCATTCTCTAAATATTTCCTGAAAGGTCTCCGTAATTGAGAGAACGATGAGAACGATCAAAACATAAAGTCTGCTCATAGCAAATACCAACATAATCAATCATAAATATTTACTGATTTGTGGCTAAGACTATAACCGATATAAAGCATTGGACAGTGATATTTATTTAATTTACTTTATGTATGTCGAAATCAACCGGCACCGGAATGAATGTAAACACAAACTATAATTATTCATCATTCATTAGTTGCATGTGATACATGAACTCATAACAAATGTTGAGTGCACACAAAGGTGCATTCAATTTTCTGATTGCGGTCTTTTAGGTAAAATGGAACGATCCCAAACAAATATTATCTCATAAAGCAGAATGTTATTAATGTCCTTCTTCTTTTTATCAAATTCATTCGTCTGCATGTGCAAGCCTATTTTTATTATTAAAATTTATGAAAAATGCAATTTTCTGTTTGATATCTCGTAAAAGATTCCATGATTCGTGTCTAAATAATTGTGCTTTTATGAAAACCCAACAATTGTGGCTTGCAGCTATGATGGTAGGCCCAAAGTTTTCCTATTTCATCGCACCATATAAATTGTTGATGATGAAACAAGCTCATAGCACATTACGAAGTGAAGCATGTAGCGAGTCAACGTTTTCATGCAATTTTTAACGAATTTCATTTTATAAAACAAGATTCAGGTCGACTCTTCGTTTGGGGTGAAAACCCTTGTGGTCAGTTGGCAATTGGGACATGTGAGAATATTATAACGAAGCCATCGTGTGTAAAACACATCAAGCAACTTGGACATACTGTAAAGGATTTTCAATATGGATTGGATTTCTCTGTCTTGCTAACAGGTGATTTATGACAATTTCCGTTGAAAATTCCCTGCTAAGACGCTTTCATTCTGTTTTTGATTCATAAATAGATTCGAATAAAGTTTTCTACGCTGGAAAAAATATTTTTCCATTTAATGCTAAGATTGAAAGTTTGAGCGATAAGTTTAGACATGGAATAACTGAGACTCCTGTTGAGTTAGAAGAATTTTCGCAATTGGATGAGGATTTTGAATTAATTCGAACGGGTGACGAACATTTTGTGTTGTTGAGTGTCAGCAAAAGAAAATTGTGCGGTTGGGGCTTCAACTCACATCATCAACTGGCTATGATCGACTCCTACAAAGTTCTTCGAGCTCCAGATGTTTTCTTCGAGACGGAAGACGACGAAACAATTAAGTTTATTGAATGTGGAAAGCTATCAACATGTGTTGTAACCGGTAAAAGTCATGTTCGTTGAATGTCAGTTCAAATATGCTCATTTTCACTCATTTTCAGAGTTCAACGATCTTTTCATTGTTGGAAAATTCGGGTCTATGACAATTTCTACTTTTACAAAGATTCGTCAACCTATCGCGAACACAAACATATCTCAACTTTATTTATCGGATGACGATGAAATTTATCTCGTTACTGAAAGTGGTTTGGTTTTCAAGTCGAATGACTTTCGAAACATTATGGAGCTTCAATTTGACGAGTTTAAGTTTTCAAATCTTGATGAGAAAATTTTGAAAATTGCACCAGGAGAGAATTTTGCTTCAATCATAACAGAAAGCGGACGCTGCTTTTCATTACTTAAAAGAGAAAAAACTTTGATTGAGTCTTCAAAGTTAAAAAACCTTCGAGTTGTTGATGTGAATGCAGGTTCACAACATGTTGTGGTTTCTGCATTCCGTCGAATTAAAGATATGAATGGAAATCATGAAACTTTGCTCAATCAAACTTACACAATCAATTTCAAACCTATCAAGGGTGTAGGAAGCGGCGAAGAAAACTATCAAGAGCCAGACACTGGAGAAAACTTAAGACCAGCATTGAATTCTGAAAATATTTCTCGATTTGAAAACGAAGATAAAGTTTCTTTACTCGACTTGGAAGAGTCTCCACGTAACATTGGATCACGAGCGACTACACTTGAATGTAAAGACACAGATTCATCTGGGAATTCATCCAGTCAAAAAGTGTCACCAAACCGTTCTGATTCAACTATTCGATTTATTGATAATGGAATTGATAAAACTCTCAATGTTGAGGATACTCTTGAAGATGGTAAATTGTGACTTTTGATTTCTTTAGAGAATAATTTAAAATTAAATTTTCTTAAATAGAAAAACTCAAAAATGGGTCAGTGAAGATTGTCGATAATAATGAAGGGGAGCATGATGAAAATGGTATCATTGACCGTAAGAAAACGCCGATGCCTCGATCACGAAGAGTAAAAATTGCAACCGATGAGGATTTAGACGAAAGTGGAATCATTGATCGAGACGAGGATTTATTTATTGACGATGATGATGATGTTTCGACTTCAACATTACATGGAAGTGAAGAAAGTTTGAAAGCTTATATTAAGGAAGAGAACAAAATCAATGAAGCGAAAGCAAACGGACACTTTGTCAATGGGAAAATGAAGTGGAAGAAATTTGTGTCTAATATAAAAGACAAGGGAAAAGGACTCTCTTGTAAGAATGCCGACAATGTCATAGCAGAAGATGAACCTCATACAAACGATGTCATTGTTGAAAGTAGTCGAGAGCATTCAAAATCTTGTTCAATTATGTAAAATAAAGTTATCACGTTGAGATTCTTTTGTTTTCATTTGTTCATTTCGCAATGACTTGTTTTGTTCGATTTTAAGGCGTTATTATTGACTAACCTGTTGTCGGCTTTTAATTTATTGAAATTTAGACGAGATGATTTATCTACAACAATTTTAATTCACTGAACTTATTCTTACTTTGTGATTAAAAACGATTTAACTTGCAATGAATTGTTTGTATACGATTACACTCTGCTCAATTGAAACTTAAGAATGAAAAGAAAAAAACCCTTTCTAACTTACAAAACTTGTATGATAATGCGCCATCTTTTGACAGGATTGTGAAACTTTGCAATATTTTTAAAATGAAAGTAACAGAAAATGTTTCATAATTGAACAGTTCCAATAGAATACATTTAATGATGAATATAAAGAAAAAAATGAGAAAGAAAATCTTTAAATTTAAATAGCTTGAAGCTAGATTTATTATCTTTTCTTAATATTTTTAACAATGGAAGCCATTTTTTGATTGTTTTTATACGTATAATTGTGATGCATTAAGCGAGAACAAGAAACTTTAAGTTTTACATATTTTCTTCTACAACAAAGTTATCAAAGTATTTAAAACATGCTTTTGTAGACATGTCATAAAAAATAGTAATTAAAAGATATGAAAAAAAATTAACAATGAATTCATTCGAATGTAAGGATCAGATCATCGCCTTCCAACTTCATTCCAGACTCGATGTTCAATGACTTAACCACACCAGCTCTTGGACTTTGAACGACCATTTCCATCTTCATGGCTGTTAATTTAATTTAAATAAATATTGTAAAGCAAAATAAAATCAGTTAAAATCTTACCTGATAACACAACCAATGGCTGTCCCTTCTCGATTTTATCTCCAACCTTCACACGAATGTCAATGACTTGACCAGGCATCGGTGCACCAATTTCAGACTTATTTCCCTTTGTAGCTTTTGGATGAATATGCAATTCTTTAACACCTTCTTTATCACGAATAAGAACTGAACGCAATTGTCCATTAAGTTCAAAGAAAACTTCTTTCTCTCCGTTCGCTGTAAGATCTTCAGCCATTGCCAGCGTCTTAATGTGCAACGTTTTTCCCTTCTCAATCGTAACTTCAAACTCTTCACCAACTTTTGGACCAGTAAGGAAAATTCTTGTATCCAATTTGTCAACGGGACCGTATTCTTCACGGAACGTCATGAAATCATCAGTGACACTTGGATATAAAGCTGCTGACATCACATCACGATCAGTCGCATGAGGATGAGATTCCAAAATTTCTGCTTTCAACTTTCCGAAATCCAATGGTTCAAGCGATTCACCAGGACGGCCTTCAACTCTTGGCATGTCTTTTAACACACGAGATCTGAAAGGTTCTGGGAAGCCTCCATGCGGTATTCCAATTGCACCTTGCAAGAATTCAATGACAGATTTCGGGAATGACAATTCTTCAGCACGTTCCTTAACTTGATCAGCTGTCAAATGATTCTGCACCATAAATTGAGCGAGATCACCAACAACTTTCGAAGATGGCGTTACTTTAATGATGTCACCAAGCAACAAATTAGCTTCACGATAAGCTTTCTTAACATCTTCAAAGAAGTCGCCAAGACCAAGTGAATAAGCTTGGAATTGAAGGTTTGTGTATTGTCCACCAGGAATTTCATTCATGTAAACATCAGCATTGCCTGACTTCATCGTTGTTGTGCACTCAAAGGGAGCGTAAAGCGTTCTTGTCATCTCCCAATAAGCTGAATATTCAGAGATGTCAGATAAGTTGAAGCCAGTGTCAAGTGGCGTGTCTTGAAGTGAAGCAACAATAGCGCCCATGCTTGGTTGACTTGTCATTCCACTCATAGAATCAACAGCGACGTCAACAACATCAGCACCTGCTTCAGCACATGCCAACATGCTTGCAACACCAGCACCTGATGTGTCGTGTGTGTGAATGTGAATCGGAACGTCTGGATGTCTCTGACGAATAGCATCGATAAGAATATGAGCAGCACGAGGCTTCAATAGACCAGCCATGTCTTTGATAGCTAAAACGTGAGTTCCAGCATTCACCAACTCATCTGATAAATCTGTGTAATACTTCAAGTCGTACTTTGACTTATTAGGATCGCTGACATCTCCGGTATAAGAAATTGCAGCTTCAACAACACCTCCAGCTTTTGCTGCTGCTTCCATTCCAAGAACCAAGTTTGGCAAGTAATTTAAACTGTCGAAAACACGGAAGATGTCCATTCCACATTGAACCTAAACGTTTACCATTTAAAAAAGATTTTTTCTTTCGTTTTCTCTTTTTGATCTCACCGATAATTCACAGAATTTGAAGACAACATTGTCGGGATAGTTTGTGTAACCAACAGCGTTAGCACCACGCAATAACATTTGGAACGGAATATTTGGGATTAGATTTCGCATTTCTTCCAGACGTTCCCTAAAATTCCATTTTTAAAATTTATTTATGAAAGAAATTAAAGAATTTCACACTTACCATGGACATTCATGAAGGAATCGTAAGCTGACATCGAATGTTGCTCCACCCCAGTTCTCCAACGAGTACAAATTGTTCAACTTATGAGCGACAAATGGTGAAATCTTCAACAAATCATGAGTACGAACTCTCGTCGCTAGAAGTGATTGATGAGCGTCGCGGAAAGTTGTGTCCATCAATAAAAGATTTTTCTTAGCACGAACAGCTTTGGCGAACGCTGCTGGACCTTCGCTTTTGAGAATGTCACGTAATCCAGGCGGTGGAGCGGTGACTGTCATAAATAATTCATAAAAACGTATTAGAAAAAGTTTTATAAAAGGAAGGAAAGAAAGACAATTGCGACAACAAAACAACAGAAAAGATCTTTGCAAATGATAATTCATATTAAATATTAATATTATTAAAGAAAGGTTTCAGAAAAAAATATTAATTAAATAAAAAAAATACCTTTTCTTCCTTCTTTTTCTTGTTCAAGTGCTTCTGGTGACAAGTCTAAATTTTGTTTGGTTTTGATTTGGTTAAAATTTTTGTGTGAGAAATGACATTGAAAATTATCAACTAAAACTATCGATTAACGTCTAAATTTATCTAAGATGAATTCAAAGGAGGTTACTGACATTCAGCAAGTTATTTAATGAATTTATGAAGCTTTCAGTTCTTCAAATGTTAAAATCTCGTCATCGATGCACCATGAAATGTTTTCATATTTTCAGATCTTTCTTGTCTTGGAAAGTTGATCTGAAAATCACATTTTGAATGGCAATAACCTTCTTCAAAGCCAATTCCACGCCACAAACTGCACTTTAAACCGAGCAGATTAAGTGACTTACCAAACCAGTGATAAATCACAGGATGGAATTCGCCTTTAAAATGAACATTTGAAAATATTTTTTCTTCAATTTCAGAGTCCGACGTCGAGACGATTGCATCAGTTAAGCATTGTAACGACTTATTGCATTTCATTCCAACACTTAACTAATGACGCCGATCTCTGTCTTTAAACTATTCTAACAAATTAATTGTCTTTGTAATCAACATTAGTCATTCGATTAGAACTTTTCCCTTCTTCATCGAACAAAGTTAAATCAATTTTCCCGTTTTTTCATGTTTCTACTAAATAAAAAGCATTTAAATTTGTTTTTAATGAAAAATAAAATAAATTTTCTACTAAAATAACGACATTAATGAATTTTGTTTCCCTCTAAGTTAGTTTAACTCACCTAATGGCACTTCTGGTACATGTGGATGAATTTCAGCGGGTTTGAGTTTTGTTGCAAGTGGCGTTTGAGGTCCATTAACGAGAACTTCCCCCAAATAGTTCAACAATTTTTGTGCACGATTCTGTGAACGTTGAAACTTGAAGAGTTGCGGATGTTCATCGATGAAGTACGTGTCAAGAACTCCATTTAAGAACTTTTGATTCTCTAAAACATTTAACAAAAATGGGATGTTTGTCTTCACACCACGAATTCTGAATTCTCTCAAAGCTCTCGTCATTTTCGCAGCTGAAGATTGAAGATCAGAAGCATGTGAGATGATTTTAACAAGTAAAGAGTCGTAATAAGGTGAAATGATTGCGCCGGCATAAGCACTCGCTGAGTCAAGACGAATTCCCATCCCTTCTCCACTTCTGAATACTTCCAAGCGTCCAACACTCGGTTGGAATTCATTTGCTGGATCTTCAGTCGTCACACGACATTGAATTGCATAGCCTTGTGTCTTGATGTTATCCTGACTTAATCCCATCTCAGGCAACGTAATTCCTTCAGCAACACGAATTTGTGACTGCACTAAGTCAATGCCCGTGATCTCTTCTGTCACTGTATGCTCAACCTGAAGACGTGCATTGACTTCAATGAAGTAAAAGTTTCCAGTCTCGTCACAAAGGAACTCAACAGTTCCAGCATTTTCATATCCTACATGGCGTGCTAATCTCACAGCATTCTCAGTCATTCGATCGCGAACTTCTGTCGATAGTCGAGGCGCTGGGGCAATTTCCACAACTTTCTGATGACGCCTTTGAACACTGCAATCACGTTCATAAAGATGAACAACATTTCCAGCTTTATCGCCAAGTAATTGAACTTCAATGTGACGTGGTCGCTCAATAAACTTCTCAATGAACATCGCGCCATTACCGAAAGCTGCTTTAGCTTCTGAACTTGCACGAATGAAACTTTCTTCAACATCTTCCATCTTCTTCACGACTCTCATTCCACGACCACCTCCACCATAAGCTGCTTTGAAAATCACCGGCAACCCATGCTTTCTACAAAACTCTAAAGCTTCTTCTTTCGAGTGCACTGGCCCGTCAGTTCCAGGTCTGAAATTGTTCATAATTAAATGTCAAGTTTTCAATTGATGAGAAATTTCTTACACAATCGGAACTTTGGCTTCAATGGCAGCGACACGAGCCGCAACTTTATCACCCATTTGTTGTACAACTTTTGGCGATGGACCAATGAAACGTAACCCAGCATCGATGACAGATTGCGCAAAGTCTGATCGTTCTGAGAGAAAACCATAACCAGGATGAACTGCATCGATGTCATTCTCTTTACACACTCGAATGATTTCGGGAATGTTTAGATAAGCTTCGACAGGTGGAAGACCTTTACCAACGAGATAAGACTCGTCAGCTTTCTGTCGATGCATATGCATCTTGTCTTGCTCTGAATAAATCGCAACAGAGCGAATGCCAAGTTCACTACATGCTCGAAACACTCGAATAGCGATTTCACCACGATTGGCTACAAGCACAGATCGGATCGGTCGATATTCGACCTGAAATTGAGTTTCAAGGAGATCATTTAATTAATTTGTATTACATTTTATGTTGTTATGCAACTTACGTTTGTTGAATATTTATTTCTACTGATGTTGAAGATTCTTATCCTTGGAGCATGTTTAAGTGAGCGAATTCCCATGCACAATGACATGATTCTGGTTTATTAAACTTTCTTTCCTTAATTCCTTTTTTTTATTTTTCTATTTAAAAGCCTAGAGAAAAATTTATGAATTAAATTAGAAAATTCTTATGCAATAATCTTGTTTTCAATTTAATGAACGCAATTGCTGTGCAATTCATTTTTAAATTTGAAATGCAAAATTTAACTTTTAATCTTTTAGTTTTGTGATTAATTGCAGTAGAAGTTGAAATATAAAGCTTTGAATTTTATTTATTCATAATAAAAATTCGACCTTATTTAAAGAGATTCCAAAAGCACTTTAATTAATATTTTTTATTTACACAAAAGCAGATTCTGAACTCTTTTCTTTTTATTTGTAAATCTTACTTTGTAAGTTTTATTTATTGTCGAGTTCCGAATTATTAAAGACAATCAGGCAAGAGAAAAACAAAACAAAAACGTCGCTCTTTTGGGTGAGAGAAAATATAAAAAAAAAAGTAAACAAACAATCGGCAGTGAATACGAATTGAACTTCTTCCAATGAAGCCGCACTCAAGACTGACTCTTGTAACTTACTTAATCTGCTTTCAAACGCAGACAGATGAATTCTGATTTCACGACAAAAAATGAATAAAATAAATAAAAACTGACAAAAATATTCTTCAATAATCGTGCTGGACATCATCAAATTGGCCAAAGTGTTTGTTTATTGATAAAATTTTGATTCAAGTTACTTATTCTTAATTCTTAAATGACGTCATAGATGTAATCTCAAATATTTACGTGACTATTTAAGTTAATAAAAACATTTCCAGACGTTTTATTGATGCATAGAAGTTTATCAACGATAAAGTTTTCTAATGCACACAGCCTCAATTTATAAACAACTCCCATGTCAATGATCAACAGCCAATCTCAAATTCAACTTTCTGTTCTGTCTGTGAGCATAAAAACTAAATTTATTGTATTATCTATGACGATCGAAAGATGTTAATAACAAATATTTATTATCGTTATCTAAAAATATCAAAGGTTGCAATAAGATCAAAAAAAAATATTTTTATGAACTGATGTTTAACCAAAATCTCAAGCACCGAAGCGTTAATTTGCTTTCATTCGCGAGAAATTCTAAATTGATAACACATATAAGTGTTCGTGACTCTAGGCTGGTTTTTAGTTTATCAATTTTGAATAAATGGTAAATATTTTTCATTGGCTGTTTCTAGCCGCGTAGAAGATGATTACAACCTTTGGATCTTCGTTGTTACGATGTTTTGTTTTGTTGTTGTTTCAAATAAAAGAATTGGAATTGAGAAGATTAAAAAATGTTCCAACGAATGCCTCATAAAATAATTTAAGCGATTTCCCCTCAAGGCTGTCCTCGTTTATCTCTACAGTAAAAGTTGAAAAGATTCTTGTAAACATTTTTATGGCATAAATTAAGAAGAAAGGAAATGTTTGTCGCCACGCGATTTTTTTTTAAGATCATTTAAATCACGTGTGAGTTAAAAATAGAAATTTAAATCAGTGACATTCCACTGTCTGTCGGTGAACGTTTTGGTAACTAACTCTTGATAATTATACATAAATACTTCTAGCAAGGTTCACACGATCTCAACGAACTAAAAACTCTCGTCAATTATTAATATCAGTAAACTTATCAGGTTGGATACGCAGATAAGAACATTGTAGTCATAAAAATTACAAAAGTGGTGATTGAAAGTCGATGTTAAAATTATATTCAGCGAGATAAAAAGAAAAAGGTTGTCAATCACGTTTCTCAAGTCCTCAGATTCATAATCAATCATCTGCCGATTTTACATGCGAAATGTCTTCAAAATATCAAACAACAACAATTTCAAGAGTTTACATAAAGTAGGTATGTGTTTGTGCTTAATAAAATAATCACAAACTGCATTAAATTAAATTGCCACATGCGCAAAATGTGCATCATATGATTGATGTGAGGTAGATAGAGATAGACGATGCTCACAATCAACAAAAGTTTAAAAAAAACTCTGAAACGCTTGTAATAGTTCGCTAAGTTCACACACTTTTCAATTTATACACCAACATGAAAGGAAAAATAAGAAGACATAAACTAAGCCATAACTTTTGTTTATTTTAAAACAAACGTGAAATTACAGGTTGCCTCCAATCGCCATTAAAAACTTTTATCAAAATTTACTTGTAATCTTAAGATTTTGTTTACTTTCATGCTTCTTCTTTTCCAGCGGCAAATTTTAAGCAATGAACTGACAGGGTGATTCATTTTTTTAATAATCTGTGTGAGAAATTACGCAATATTCAAAGCTCTCTAATTTTCGGGTCGTTCACACAAAACTTTTTCGATTTTTTCATTCAGCCACGACAGCTTGAACATTTTCTCTATTTTATTATAATTTTAATTGCGTCGTTCACGAAATGCTTCATATTATTAGAGAGAATATTTACTTTTGCTTTGGAGAAGAATTATACAAGAAAAAAAAATTTATTCCACACGACGAAACTTCTTCACAAATGGCGAAACACAAACTTATCGATCCGATTTTAAAACACAACTGAAGCCGGCTAGAAAATGAAAACACCAAAAAGCACATGGCGAGAGAATGGAGAGAGAAAATATTTAAAGAGAGGATCATTAAAATCATAAAATTATGCTATCGGCGACAAACATTCGATTTAAAAATATTCAATCGTTACTTATTAAAAAAATTGTGTTTTCATGTCTACTAAAAATATCTTTGAATATCTCGGCACTTCTTATTAAAAACTAAGTTATAACTATAAGTTATAAACTTGAAAACATTCATGTTCTTATCAAACTGATTATATTATGTCCATTAAAGATTTTTTACAACATTTTCTGTCTTATTTACAGTAAAAAACTACTCCATAAAACTTAACTTAAAGACTTGTTCCTTGGAAGTTCTTTGTGAGCATAATTTATAGATACTTGTTGAAACTCTTAGCATGAGACAAAGAAAATAAATTTTAGTAAGCAGTAAACTAGGTAGATGAGATATCGATAAGAACTAAATTTCTTAAGTTTTATCCTCACATTAAATTCGCCAAATGTTTTGAAAGAAAAAAAACTTGCTGGTAACATAACTTTAAGGGGCATTCGGAAATTTAAAGTTTTTTAAAATTTTCTAAAGGAATTTTAATTCTTCCTTCAGCTTGCATTCAAAGCGATTCGACTGTCAGTTTATCGCAACAAACACTTAAGTCAATAAAACTGAAGTGTGTAAATTGCCCCATTATTAAAAAATAAATCTTTTATAAATAAAACACTGTGAAATTGTTCTAAATATCAACTTATTTATTAAAATCACATGCTGTAAAATAAAATCGAATAAACATGCAGAAATTACATGCATTTGAACTAAAACAGAAGACCAGATATAGCTGTTAAAATTATTAATCACTAAACTAGGTTAAACCCCCATAAAACACATTGACGAGTGAATCCCAACCACAATCAGCAAGTTGATTTCTTCTCAAAGGATTCCAATCGAGTCCATAAGCAAATTCTGTATGTTGCTTAATTGATTCGAGTGGTTCGTTTGTGCGATTAAAATCCCAAATTCTGGAAAATAAAACTTTTTATTAATTAGTTTTTAACAATTCATCATTATCAACGAACCTCGTGTAATAATCAAATCCAACTGAAGCAATTGTACTAATGTCGAACGGAGAAAATTGAATTTTCCTAACAGCATAATCGCAACCTTTCAACTCAAACATTGGAACACCAAAGTGTCTGATATCGTAGCCTCTTATCAGTCCATCAGATGAACCTGTTGCTAAAATATTTTGATCATATTTACACCAATCGCAAGTTAAAATTTCACCATCGTGAGATTTTAAACTTGCAATTGGACGGTCTTTGTTAAACATGTTCCAAATCTTTAGATAACCATCAGCTGAAACAGAAGCAAAAGTGTTAGGAATTAAAGGGGAAAACATTGCATTGTAAACTAATTTCGAATGTCCGGCATATGTGCATAAAGATGTTGTGGAATTTGGATCCCAAATTTTGATGGTACAATCCCAACTTGCGCTCAAAATAAAATTGTCACTTCGTACACTTACCCAGTCAATACTGTAAACTTCTTTACGATGTTCTTTGTAGATCATTTGAGGCAAGTTATTTAAAGGTGAATCATCACTCATGGATTCCAAATTCCACAACTGCAAAGTTCCATCTCCAGACACTGAAATTACAATATTTGGATCTTTCTCTGAACAAACGACGTCAAATAATCCATCACTCCACTGGAAAGTTTTTGTCTCTAAGAAATTCTCTTCGTCATCTATCAAATCTAAGACATAAAGTGTTCCTGCACCCACAAGTCCATAAAATTGACTGGCAGCAACGATAAGCCGATCAGGTGAAAACTTTGAGAATCGCACAGCATAGCCATGACGATTAGCAGTGAAATATGTCGGCATAATCCTTTTTATCTGCAATTGAACATAATCGGATTACTTAAATTGATCATCAGATGAGTTTCAACATTATAATTAAAAGAATACATTCAGTAAAATCATGTGGAATGTAACGTGATTTAACATATTTAAATGTTCACGTTGATTTATAATTCATTTTGTGTGTTTATGATTGCAACATTTTGTTGATTCATTTTGGGAAAAATATGAAAAGTTCTTGAACTTGGAACGAAATTTATCGATTGTCAATGACCTGAATAAGAATTTTAATCGCATTAGAAAATATTTGAATGGCCTTTGAATAATAATACAATTATAGCGAGAAAAATGTTGGAAGCCTTTGATGTGCAAGGAAAACTGCTATAAAAGAACACAAAATTTCCTTCATTTCTTCAATACATTTCTGGCCGTTTTGTCAAACAGAATTTCAAACTTTTACTCTCTCGAAATTTCATCTTTCAGAAATTTTGAAACGATTAATGAAAGTATTTTTCATCTTAAACGAAGAAACTTTTTAATTACGTGTGTGACTCAAATCAATTTAAAAAAATCTTTTTTGTGAAATCAAATATTGTGATTTAATTAAAGAAAAATGGTCGTCGCTGTAAAAGTCTTCAAGAAAACTACTCCAAATGGAAAGATTACGGTTTATTTGGGAAAGCGTGACTTTATTGATCACGGGTATGAAAAATAATACAAAAATTTAATTGAAAATTAAGAAGAATTATTTGTGTTGTTAATTAGAGATTATTGTGATCCCGTCGATGGTGTTGTCGTCATAGATGAAGAGTACATGAGAGGTCGTAAAGTTTACGGTCAACTTGTTACTGTTTATCGTTATGGACGAGAAGAAGATGAAGTGATGGGAGTTAAATTCAGCAAGGAACTCGTTCTTGCCACTGAACAAATCTTTCCAATGGTTAACGCTAAGATGGAAATGACACCAATGCAAGAACGTTTGATCAAAAAGCTTGGAACAAACGCTTTTCCATTAACTTTCCAATTTCCTCAATCATCGCCTTCGTCTGTTACATTACAAGCTGGTGAAGACGATCAAGGAAAGCCATTGGGAGTTGAATACTACATCAAATGCTTCGTTGGTGACAGTGAAGAAGATAAATCTCATAAGCGTAGCTCTGTCAGTTTGACCATCAAGAAACTTCAATATGCTCCACCGCAAAGAGGTCGTTTCAATAATTTCAATCGCAATTTCATTTCATTAAAAATTTGTATTGAAAACAGGTCGACGATTGCCTTCATCACTTGTCAGCAAAGGCTTCACGTTCTCGCAAGGGAAAATTAATCTCGAAGTGACTTTAGATCGCGAGATTTATTATCATGGAGAGAAGATTTCGGCTAACATTGTGGTCACCAATAACTCACGTAAAACAGTGAAGAGCATCAAATGCTTTGTTGTTCAACATTGTGAAGTTACAATGGTCAACTCTCAGTTCAGTAAACATGTCGCAAGCATGGAAACCAGAGAAGGTTGTCCAATAACACCTGGGGCCAGTTTCTCGAAATCTTTCTATTTGGTGCCCGTGGCAAGCTCCAATAAAGATCGCAGAGGTAAGCAAACGAGACAAATAAATGTTTACCCAAATCTGAGTCATAAATTTATGAATAGGAATTGCGCTTGACGGTCACTTAAAGGAAGAAGATGCGAATCTTGCATCGTCAACTTTGGGTAGCGAAGGAAAGACGAGTTCTGAGGCGATGGGTATCGTCATTTCTTATTCATTGAGAGTGAAACTTAATTGTGGAACACTTGGCGGTGAATTACAAACCGATGTACCATTCAAATTGATGAACCCTGCTCCAGGTAAATTCACATAATTGGATTAAATATTCGAGCGTCAGAACTTGAATTATACAATAATCATAATTTAATTATTTCACTCTAAGGTACTGTTGAACGCGAACGTGTTAATGCGATGAAGAAAATGAAGTCGATTGAACGTCATCGATATGAGAACAGTCATTATGCTGATGATGACGACAATATTGTGTTTGAAGACTTTGCAAGATTACGAATGAATGAACCAGAATAATCTGGGACAATCATCAACAAGCTTTCTTTCGTTTATACTTTCCGTTTCATCCCTTTTAAGTTCAACAAATTTCTTTTTTAATTTTATGAATTATTATGCAACCATCAATTCGACACTTTAAGTTGTTTACTCGACATTTTTAATTGCCATTGAAATGTTTATTGCGCAGTAAAATTCTCAAAGAAGCTTTTCGAAATGTTAACTAAACGATATTTACGTCAGAAATGACTTCGACATAACGAAGCACCAGAAATGATTTCAAGCAATTATGAAACGAAATAAGTTCTGATGCAAGGACATGTAACTTATGTAATTGTTTTTATTTTTGCTTAAAACCATGAAAATATCAATTCAAACTCCAGCAACGAAATAAATAAAAAAGAGAAGAAATTTCTTCTAAAGTTTTCCCATAAAACTTCACTTTAGATAGAAATTTTCTCGAAAAATTTGTAAAAAAAATTAACAAAAATTATATGAAAAAAATTCCTTAAAATTTCAATAAATTTTTTCTTTTGATTTCCATCCCACAAATTCAGGATTCAAATGAAAAGAAATCATTTAACAACAATTTATTTGTTTTATTTGTTTAAATCTTTCAGATTTCACTCACAATTTATTGCACGAAAATTAACAAAAGTTTTAAAAAGTTTTTCTCTTAGTTTGATGTTGCACAACTGAAAGTCTAAGAATGACTGAAGAAAATTGTCTCAGATCTTAAATTTCAAGTTTATTCTTAAGTCCTTTAATTTTTAAAGTTCTTACATCTGTCTGTCATCATTATGGTCACTAACGGTTTTTATTATTTATGTAATCAAAAAAATAAATTTAACGTCCAGAATTTTATATTTATTCAAGATGTTTCAACGTTCTTTGAACACATAAGAATTGAATAAGAATTTTGATATATAAGCAGTTTGCATTGCATAACTCCACCCTTTAATTTTGATTTACAAAGGTTTGTAAAGTTTCTTAAAGAAACGATTTAGTTCTTCTTAACCCTTCAACAAACGTCATTGGTTAAAGCTTAAAAGTATTTAAGATGTAAGAAGGGTTGAAAAGATTTTTTGTTGTTCTTCCTTGGTCATTGTATTAAATTTTATCATTCTCAGTTATTATTTATCAGTCGAATCAGTTGTGATATTTGAGTAACAATTGTGCGAACGTTATTTAACTGACGTTCATAATTTTATTGAGAACTAAAGAAAAACTTTAAAGTTGTTGAAAAACTTTCACGCGTGCTTGAAATTAAAACTTTTTTTAATTAAAGATTTTAACTAAGCGTATTTTTTTCCAACAAAATGACGAACTCCCCATTTAACATTTGCGTTTTTATCAGTCTTGACGTATGTGTGAACTGGTCCAGTGCTTCTGGCACTTTTCATAAGCCTCAAATATTCATTGTCATGGTTGAAAGTTTTGAACGGTAACAAATAACTCACAGGATCAACATTGCGCAAATTTTGATGAACTGTTTCGTCGGGTGCTGTGAAATATTTCAAGAATGTTTATTCCAATCACTTCTGATGCTTAAACAAACTTACAATAATATTCCTTCTCACACTTGACAACAAAAACTTGACTTATTAAAACTATTCCAAAAACTTGAAGTATTCTCAACATTTTCCTTTTTAGTTGTTGCTTTCGTCTCTTACAAAATAACTCTGAATAAAATTTCCCAATTTGTGCTAATCTTTATATAAATTTGAGCAAGTCACAAATAGCATCAAAGCATCAAGCAAATGTTCCGCTGTTCGAACAAGAGTAGCGCGTTGCTTAAAGACGTTTCACGCTTTATTGGAGAACGTCAAGATAAATGAAAGAAAAAATATGAAAAAGAAAAAAAAAAGTTTTCGTGGAAAGTCACATGGAACTGAAACTGAAACTGACCAAAGGTAATTCACCGTTTGCTCTCTAGCAATTCATTATTCAATTTGACGGTGTTGCTTGGCATCGACAGCTATCCATAGACAGAACCAATGATCACAACTTTCGTCTCTCATAATTCCGTAATAATATTTGAACGGCAAGATTTGAGTTTTTTTTATTTTGAAAACAGCTTTTGATAAATAAAACGACTACAATTGTAAAATTACGATTACGAAGATTGTTTCTTAACATGGAAAACGAAGTGGTGGTCTTAATGGTTTTTTTCCGATTCAAAGATCTTTATAAAACTATTGTTGAAATCAATAATATCAGTCAGTATCAGATTGGAAGTCCACTTAGTTTAAACTGTGATAACTGTTCAAATGGTTTATTAAAAATGAATTTTAAGTTGAGAAAGGTGAAGGGAAAAAAAAATTATTTTTGTGAAAAACTTTTTCATTTTCATTGCATTTTTTCTGCAGATATTTTACTCGCTTGTTGTGTTAATTTCGTTTCAAGAATTATCAGCTATTGAAATACCAAGAACAAACATTCAAATAATTCCTTTACAATTAAATGGAAGCTTTCCATTAGCTTATGAAAGGTTTATTGTGCCAAATGTGAATGATTTAAAGAACGAACAAGTGGAACAAATCACAACAGAGAAAAATTCAGGTTCGAAGGAAAAGTTTTGGTTGCTTACAGAGTCACCGATAAGATTAAAGCTAAAAAGTGATGAGTTGCTAGACACAAAAGTGACAAGACTGACAACAGAACCTTCAACATATTTCAATCCTGATTTAAAAAGTAGTGAACAATCAAATAAAGTTGTTATAAATGCAACAGTAGAATTGAATGATAAATTGGTTAATGCTTCTGATTCAAAAATTACAAAGTTGACGACAGCAAAGCCTGCCAAACTACAAGATCAGTCAGTTGATGAAATATTAAAACAACTTACATCTGAAGCACCAAAAAATGAAACTGAAAAATCAGAAACGCTTGAAGAAAAATTTAATAGAATTTCATCGGAAGTTTCTCAAAGTTATAAAAATAAAATTAAAGATTCTCAGGAAAGAAAGTTACAGGAAAGGAAGTTGCAGGAAACAAGCACAAAATCTGCTCCAAGAGTGAGAGAAAGAGTTGAGAAGTTTATTCCTGATTACCAAACAACATGGGCTCCTAGACAGATAAGAACAACAACAGCAGTTCCAGTTACAACTCCATTGTTCGTCCCACGTTCGCGTCAATCTAAACGAACACCTCAAAACTATGACGATGATGGAGAAAATTATCCAAATCCAGTAAGTTTTATTAAAAGATCTGACGTCCCACATCATCGCATAAGAAGTAGAATCAGTTCACCACCAAACCCCATTCAGCCCCTTCACATTGATCCAGAAATATTCAACAACACTCGACCGAAGAGGAAGAGGCAAAGACCATTATCAGGTAAATATCAGTCAGAAATAGTAGAAAAAAATAAGAATGACAGTCAAGTGTTGAAAGAAAATGCCAAAGATTCCAGACATAAATTAAAACTTGAATCCTTACCGCCAAATCCCGAAGAAATTCCCGAAACTTCTTGGTTCGATAATACTGGCAAATATTTTTACGGAATCATTCATGGCGATGTTATCACTGAACCGCCAGAATATTCAAATAATCAGGAATCTGTTACAGCACATGACCCAAGAAGCGTGGAGCCACCCCATACCCAGAAGTTGTTCAAAAGCAGTTTCCGTGACCCACAGCATCTGCAAGTTCATCAAGTGTCTGGCGGAAGCGGTTTAGGTGACTTCCTGTATCAGAGCGAAGTTCATTATCCTTCACACCGTAACAACCCTTACCCACCAGCTGTGATTTATCATCCACATGGCGAACATTATCCCAGTCAGATTGATCAGCCCACGACAAAGGATCTTCCAGCTCCTCCAGTTTACAGACAACCTGCTAGGACAGAAGTTATTAGAAGAGATCCACATCGACATGTATCGAGAAGACCACACACAGTTCCATCCACAAGGAAGCCTGTTGCTCCATCAACACATGCCCCAAGAAGACTTCCACAACCAACATATACACCAAGAAGACCAACAGCACCACCACATCGTGAATCTAGAAGGCCAACTACCCCACCACCTCCAGCACCAAAACAATCTGATTATGAAGACTACGACGTTGATGATTCTGATGATGATAACGATGCTGATAATGATAAATATGATGGCGATCCTCCTGGTGATTATGATGACGATGGATCTGCAACAGAGGATGAAGATGAGAAAGATTATGACGATGAAGAAGAAACTACTGCTAGAAGCAAAAATCATCATAAGAGTAAAAACCCAAGCAAGAATAAAAGTCGAAAGAAGTATGAAGATGACGATGACGATAGTGAAGACGATGATAGACGTAAATATGGTTACAGTGGCAAGAGAAGAAGTAAAGCTAAGGAAAAGTTCTATGCTGATGATGACGATGATGATGATGACGATTATCATAGAGATAGCAGTCGAAAGAAGAATCGATATCGCAATCATGACAAGAAAAAGCATCGAAGTCAATCACATGCCTCAGAAGAAGAACAAGATGAATACGAAGGCGAAGGAAGCGGATCTGGCAAAAATGATTATGACGATGGTGATGAGAAAGGCTATCACATTGTTCATAATGATGGAGGCAAGAAAGGTTACGATGTGGATGAGTTTGATAGATCTTGGAAGAAGTATGGATATGGAAGGAAGAAGGAATATAAAGGATCCGGCGAAAAATCAAGGCGTAACAAACAGTACAGAGATTCCAGTGAACACAGTGATGGCAGTGGAAGTTACGAATCAAGCGAAACGCAACTTCAACCCAGAAGAATAAAGTTTTATCATGAAATAAAAGAAGAAATTACAACGCCAATAAAATCGACAACTGAAAAACCTACAGAATCAACCACAAAAAAAGCTGAAGAAGAAGTCCAACAGATTAGAAGAATCATGGTTAGCACATTTAAACATAATCAAAAAACCACCACTGATTCGCCAAAATTAATGCCAAAAGTTTTGCATGAAAGAAAAATTGAAGAACCGCCAAAACTGCAGACAATGATTGGGGATAAGTCGAAGAAACCAAAAACCAAGAAATCAGGGGAAGACGTTAAGGAGATAAGAAGGATTTTGGTTAGTACGTATAAAGAAAAACAACAGAAGAGTTCTGACGTACCCAGCACAACACCAAAAGTTGTAAGTGAAAGAAAAGCTCCAAAACCTTCCAAGCCTGAGAGCTCCGTCACTCCAAAGTCACCTCCATTGCCCCCTAAAGTTCCAGAGAAACCGAAAAATATTGAGAATCAAGGCGATGGTGCTAAACAAGCACAGCAACAACCAGCTAGTGGCCCTGACGATCTCAAATATTTTCAGTAAGTTGCAGAAAAATATCTGAAACAATAAAAAAGAAATTATCATTAAATTGCTTACATTAAATTGCTATAATCATCCATTTCATTCTCATTCAAAATTTCATCTTACTCATCTAGGGATTTATATCTCGAAAAAAATTCGCCATTAGAAATTGAATTTGGTCACATTAGTGAGACGCCGAAAGGATGGGAAGAACGCTATGAAAAGCAAAATCATGATCATAAGGTTAATCGGCACCAAGGGAAAGTAAGAAGTTGCGGTTTATTGTAGCATTTTGGTCATTATGGTGGCTTTGGTTGCGGAATAATCTAATTTTCATTTATTTGAGATCAGTTGAGATTTAATACTTAGCAAGGTTTTAAATCGAATAGTTTTAAATTAGAATAATTTACTCTTAATCATTGTTATTCTATTTCAACATTTTCATATAAATCCTCTGAGAATTTTTCAACTTTGCACATTAAATTTTCTCTGGCAATTCAAACCTCAAATCTATTTCACAATTGTGTTTTTTTCTTTCTTTCTTTCTAAATCTCTTTTCTGTCAGATATTTTAACTATTTTGGTAATGGCGTTCATACCGCTGGTGGTCGGTCGGGCAATGATAATCATTATATTGAAGCACATGAGAGAGGAAGTAAACCTTTGGGGTTGTTTCAAAAGAAAGTAAAATTACCAACAATTTTGTTCTAATCTAAACGCTTTTAAATTTTCTCTTTTTTTTACAGGTTAGATGGGCAGACAAGAATGGGGGGTTCGGTGAACACTACTGGGATTTGAATCACTGACATTAACCTCTTACTGTAATCTAGGTCTCTTTAAATAAATGTTTGTTAAGATGTCAATATAGAATAATCAAGGGAAAAATAAATAAAAAAATACAACAAACTCATGTCTATCGTGTAATGTTTTTCTTTCTCACGATCACAATTCACATTCCACTGAGGTGAAACTTTAAACTAGCCAGTCCACTTTTTCAACTAACATTTGTTTTTCTTCATTTCACATTTTTATGTTGTTTGATTTACTGTCGCTTCATGAAATCCTTTTCTTCATTAGATAGATGACCCTCTTTGCATTAACTTCACGTCCTTCGAATTCATGACAAAATGCTTAAACTTTTATGAACAAAATAATAATCCTAAAGAATGAAAAACCAGTTTTTCTTTTCTTCATTTTGATGACCCAAAAATATCCTCGAGAAATAAGGCAAGTAACGTAATCGCAATAATATAAATGAGAGAAGACTCTTCTGAGAAGAGTCGTAAGGAAAGGGTTAAAGTGAAAATATAAAATAAAATCCCAAGACATTCAATGTGACTTAATTGCGAAAAAAGAAGAAGAAATGGAAAGCGGATAGTATTACGAATAACGACATTTGTTTTGGGAAATAAGCAGTCAAGTCGACCATTAAATGTTGACTGACCGAAGGGTTAAGCAGATGAAAAAATCACACGAAATGGACACGAATATCAACGGTGGTTGTTTGTATGACTTGACATAATTTCATAATTTATAAATATGATATTCCCTTTCAAACAACTGTCCATTGTGTGACCTCGACATTTAATCACCGTAAGACTTCATGATGAGTTTTTGAATGCATGAAATAAATAAAATGTTCAAGCTGAGAAACAATGAGAGTTAATTTTTGCTGAGTGTCGGTTCCCATCGGAACGATTCATTTTTATGTTCCGGAATGTTTCTCGTATGACATACAAACAATTATCATATCATGTCATTACGAAAGGATAAAGCCGGGCTTTGTCCATAACCGGTTATTTTATTTCTTTCGACAAGGGTCACCCAGCTGATATATTCGAACGATTAAATGCCCAGAAAGGACTTCGACTCAACCCTTTCCTTCCATCGTTGGGCATGAGAAAATTTCAGTGTGTGAAAAACAACATTTTGGACATGAAGCAACATTTCGAGATGATACATCGGATTCTTCCCTCTTTTATTGAATGGAGAACAATTGAAAAGCGAAAACTGGTCAAACGGGTTTTGCGAGTGACCGTAAAATCCACAGCGCTTAAAATATTCATGCTGGTTGTACCCAATTCGAGGACAGGTAGATAGGAATCAGGAAGATCAGATCCGTAGACATTAGGTGCAGTTATTGTTGTCGCTTGATGCATAAACAACTCATCTTATAATAAATATCAAAAAAAGGGTTGATTTTATCGACGCTTAAGATTTTGTGAAGGGAGACGAATAAGAAATGATCTTAAAGAAACTTTTTTATATTCAACTTTTCTCATTTATTTAATATTTAATCATCCCTTTGAATTTATAGTAGCAAAGGGGTTGAGTTATGTTGCATCATTTAAGGTCAGCAAAAAGATTTTTTTCCCATTCATTTTGTCTTGAAGATTAATTGAAAAGGTCAGTGCAAAATGTCATTAAGGGATTGACAAAATTTACGACACTTTTAATATTTTACTTACTGAAGGAAGCACGTCTTATGTAAATAAAAGATTGCTGGGAATTCCTCGAAGATATTTGAAGAATATTCACAAATAAACATTTTTGATTTTATGTTAAATCACAATCAAAGTTATGTGAAACATGTTCACGAAATATTTTATAACCAGACACATCCTAATAAATTACAAAGTTATTTAATTTAGAGTCAATCACGATATCAAATCATTTCAAAGAAATCAATTTCTCAAAAACTTTTCATAATGTGCGTTAATGACATAAATTCACAGTCACTTTGGTTTAACACAGAAAAATTATTAAATTAATCTCATGTCAGTGACTTTCATGTGCCTTTTTTTCTGTGCTGCAATCGTCAAGTAACTTTTTCGCCTGTTGAATTGGATTTATATAACAACACAAATCAACAGTTCATTTATTGCCTGCAAGTCTCAAAATTAGACCACAAAACGACAACAAAAGAAGAAAATTAGATAAAAGTGAGAAACGAAAGGTGATTTTACTTTGCATCTACGATTGCGGATGGAAATTTTAATAATTGACCATTAAAGATTCTTCCACTTGAACGATTTTGCATGAATTTCGTACTTTCGTTGCTTATCGATTTCGTTTCTTGCCAACTCAAACTTGCTAAGAAGACTAAACATTTACTTTTATTTTTAGTTAAACAGCAATTCATGTTGAAATTTAATGTGTAGCGATTAATCGCAATTTAACACTCTGATATGTAGCAAAAGTTTAGTTAATTAGCTGCTTCATTTAATGACTGTGATTGCATTTCCTTCCCGAAAAACAAAGACAACAAACATGTCAATGGCACAAGAAAAGAAATGCTCGGAGAAATGCTTACGACTGGACGTCATGCGATGAACTTACTCACGATTACCCCCCCACCTTGCAATTTACGCTCTTATATCTCATTTCTTCTCAATTACAAAGCTTTACAATGAAGCTTAACGCAAGTATAAAAGCCAATTCGATTTTCCCAATTATCGTCATTGATTTAATTTCCAGTGTTCAGTGTGGTTTCATTAAACAAAAAAATCAATTTTAAATATAAATAATTAAATAAAAATGCGTTTATTTGTGACAATTTTGTTAACTGTGGTGACGATTGCATCAGCCCAGCAGCACGAATATGATCCCGCTTTGTTAAGACAATACTACGCTCAAGCAGCACAACAGGCTGGTGCAGAAGCTACACAAAGAGTTGCAACGCCCATCTTTGAACAACAAGAACAACCTCAATATACGCAACAAAGAAGTGTAAGAGAATTTTTTTATTAATCTCTAATAAAGTAATTTCATGAAGGGTTAAAATTATTTTTTCTTACAGTACCCAAGACAACAACAACAAACCCAAGCTTATGTTCCTGAACAACAACATCAAGCGAGACAATATCAACCACAAGCTCAGCAGGTAATTAAGCAAAAAATCAATTATCCAACTAATGTTAATTGTTTTATGTGAATGTGATGAAAAGTGTTCGGAAGCAAAGAAAGTTAATTTATATGAAATAATTACGAGAAAGAGAGAAAGAGAGATTAATCGCATATTTCATATCAATTTCCTGTTGAACATGACATTGTCTGTAAATTTTATTAGAAATAATATCAGATGAAAGCCAATCATGGATTGCATAATTAAAGAGTAATTTTATTGAAAGTTGTTTAAATAATTTACCATCAATATTTCGCAACAGCTTCAATATCAACAAAAGGCACAAGCAAAGGCAAAGCGACCACAATATACACAACAACAAGAAGAAGAAGCTCAGGAAGATTATGACGTAAGTAAATTTTTACAGTTTTAATTCAATAAACATGAAAGCATAAAAACATGTTTCAACCTTGAAAGTTTTCTTTACGGTCAACACGCACAAGTATGAAATGTCTTCCGTCTGGTTTTATTTCATTTAAAACAACATTAAGTTGATCTTTCAATCTTTGCAAGATCATTGTAACAACAACTTTATAACCAGTTGATGGCAAATTTCACTTTCAATGCAAACATTTAGTTTTTCCGGTGATAGACATTGAGCAATGATTTATTGCATCGTTATCCAACGTGCAATTTAAAGGCAAGAATTCACTCAATAGCGCACGTTTTTATAAGTTTTATTATATCTGCTTCTTTCCCCGGAAGCTTTTCCTTTTTGTTTTAAACGTAATTCAATACTTAACCGCGACGATATTTAAGTGAAAGATTGCATAATGCAAAAAATAAAAGATATGTTATGAACCTCCACTTAACAATGTCTCCAACAACAATGAAACATTTTCACTTTCGCTTTTCACATCTAAAATTGTCTATAAATTTAACACATGTTTCCTTATCAACAGCCATTAAATTAATCTCTTGTTTGAATGTTAAAACAATTAATAACACGACAACATTTAGAACTTACGTAACTTGGCAAGGAGTCATAAAAAAGCCGGTAAATTAATTCAAGCAAATCGTCTACTTCGTTCGTGTCACGTCGACTCCAGACAACATAAATATTTGCTTCTTCTTGTTCACGTACAATCGTAAGCTAAATTCTCAGCAAGTCTGATCTCGTTAAAGTGAAACACTTTCACTTTTACCCACAAATCCCAATTTGCAACTGTAACGAGGTGCTGCCAGTTACTTCTTACACTACACAGATATTCATTTGAACGAACATGTGCTTAAGAAAATATTAACGAAAAGAAATTGCATGTGAAGCAAACCAGTTTCTGTAAACATTCTCTTTGACTGGGCGCAATAACCTCAATTTCTGGTTCATTTGACACAATTTTCGCACGAGACTGACTGCGTAATTGACGGTTTCAGGCCCGGTGACTTAACACGAGCGACAACAACTTAGTGTTACTTATTATATAATAATTATACGAATGATTAATAATATGTCTGCTTCTGTCTGCATTAATCTCTTATAGCCCAACCCTTCATACCAATTTGGATTTGATGTCAAAGACGATGAGTTCACCAACTACCAAAATCGTAAAGAACAACGAGAAGGAGGCGTTATCAAAGGTTCATACAGTGTCGTCGATAGTGATGGCTTCATGTGAGATTTTCATGAAATTTTCTTTATATTTCCGCTTAATTATTTTTAATAATCTTAACAGTCGTACTGTGAGTTACACTGCTGATCCAAAAGAGGGTTTCAAAGCTGAAGTTATTCGAGAACCAACTGATATTGTTGTGAAAGTTCCAACACCAGCACCCCAAACTCATCAACCTCATCAAGAATTCCGTCAAGCTCCAAAACAACAAGCACAAGCACAACCTAGTCATCAACAACATCAACAACAATATCGTCAACCTCACCATCAACGTCCTGATTATGCCCAATACCAACAATGAAAAGCATCCTAACTTTTCCTAAACTTCCTTTCCATTCCCACCCACCACCATTCATTATCCCTTTTTATGAGAGATCGCTCAACTTTCTGATGATTCTCATATATGACTAAAATAATCCTTAATTTATATCCTTTTGTCATGAATCCAATGACGAAATGCTTTGTGATTTTATTACTGTTCTATCAACAAAAAGAAGATTAAAAGAAGAATAAAATTAGTAGTTATCTAAACAACATTGTTGTCGTCATTTCACATGACTTAGTTTTGTTTTAAAGTGCGGCGATTGCTTTTAAGAAACGTGCGGTAACGAGAACAGTAAATAAACAATCTATTTGATGTGGTGTAATAAATATTTATTGAGAAAGAAGAAAAACTGACCCACACACATCCGAAAGATGTTACGTTTTTACTGACAAGCTTTCCTGAGTAGCAAAAGAAAAGATGAATATGAAATTTTCTTCTTTATTTTCACATTTGTTCACTACAAACTCAAGAAGCGTTTATTTCTTTTTTTTTTCGTCAAATTGGAAGAAAAACGTCTCAGTCAGCGTCGGGATCTTTTGGAAGAAAACTGTGCGAGATTTCTCTCGAAAATAATTCAAAGAAAATATAAAAAAAAATCTTAGAAATTTCTTTGAAAGTGTTTACAGAAAAGTTCCAAAATGTCTTCAGTGTATTCAATGCATCGGCCTGGTTTCTGGCACGTTCCAAAGTTCAAGAGCAAGGAATCGCAAACAACTAAGAAGAAGGTTCACTTTTATGACGACATTGTGAGTGCTTGAAGTTAAAATATTCTTTTTAAACATTGTTGACAGGTGTTTTTCATATTGCGATTAGTTATTTTATTTAATTTAACTCTAGGTCAAACATAAAGTCGATGATCTTTCCTAGCCGAGATTATTTTAAAACTATTTTTGAATTTTCATCACGTTCTAATTATTCATCAAGGACGAAAATTATTTTAATATCTAAGAAGGTTGAAACTGATGAGTCATGAGTTGAGAGGAATCTTTAAAACTTTCACAAATGTGAGGTATTAGGAAACCAATCAAAACGATCTCTGTCAATTTATAACTGAACGGAGACTAATATTTTGTCATGTGACATCACAGCTAAGCCCGAGTCGTCTCAATCGAATCTAAAAATAACAGCAACAACAGCTTCCTGAAATTTTAGCTATTTTTTTTTTTCTTTTTCTCGTTTTGAGATGTTCACATCGAAAGAACCACAAAGAGAATTGATTTTTCATTTAGGAAACAGATCCACACGGTAAAGAAAATTCATCTCTGTTCAAATAATAATAAAGTTCACATGGAGAGATGTTTTCGAAGAAATGTGTTCAGATTTGCGTCATGATCATGAGAGTGAAGTTTTATTAGCGAAAATATTGAAACTCAAGGAAGATTTGCGGTCTAATTAATAAATTTTATAAATTCTACTTCGGAGAAAATCTTTTGTGTGATCAGCAGAATTATAATTAAACGCTTATGATTGAATTTAGTTTTATGATCCATGTCGAACTTTGCTACAATATTTGCCCACAAAAATCTTGACGAGACGGTAATCAAATAAACTTTTTGTTCTCTTTCTGTGAAGATCAAACGACACGAGGCAATAAACAACTGTGAAAAGTGATCATTCATGAACAAAAAGAAAACTTTTACTTTACAAAGATTTACCACGTTTTTATTTCGTCTAAACAATGTCGACGATATTTTTAAATGTTGTTTTGCGAAAACTTTGATTTTAGATTTTTAAACTGGGAAGATATTGAAATAAACAAAGGAAAATTGAATATTAATTAAAAATTTATTGGAAGCCATTAAATCAGGGCTTGCAGCTTGTTACAACTTCATTTATTTCAAAGTCCAATTCCAGTCATGGAAACGCTTTAAATCAGGGGTCGGAAGCTGAAGCGGAAGCAAGAAACTTTTAGCAAAAAATCGTTAAGCTTCCGACCCCTGGCCTTAATACATTAGAAACATGTTTAAAATGTTTATCAAACATGATCAAGATGGCATTTACATGATTAAAATTAATGACTTTCCTTCAATTGCTTTTTTTTGCACGATTTATTTATTTATGTCACGTCATATTACAATGCTCATAAATTACTTAAACACTCAGAATCCGACAAGAAAATTGCTTCAGTTATTATTAATGTTCTGAATTTCATAGCTCAAGTTGTAGTAAAATCATTAAGAAATCTCGTAAAAATCTTAAATGTGGAAGAAGATTTCTACAAGAAACATGATTTTTTAAGTAAATATTGCCATGTTTAAAAATTCTTTAAAAAAAATGAAAATTAATGAAAATTTCTTGACAACTAAAATGTGCGAAGTGAGAAGTCTCAACCAACGCTTGGATTAAGTTGCAACTTGCAAGCTATGACTGAATAAAGTAGAATCTTGAATGATCATAAATTTCAAGTCTGTTGCAATTCCTATACGATGAAAATGTTCAATCAAAGCTCTTAATAACATTTTGTTTTGATTTCTTAAGCAATGTCCATCCATTAACATGTCACCCAATCACCTGTTTTAACTTGAGATTTATTATGACGATGGGAAAATGAAAATGTTGATGTAAATGTAAATTTCACTTTTGTAAACCCAACAAATAAAGAAAAAGAAAAACTATCGACCTGATTACGTTCCCGTCAAAAACACATGTTTTTCTCTTTCTCGAACGATGAAAGACGAATTTCTTCTTCAACTTGCTATCATATTGTTATGACTCACGTAATTGCCACTTTCTGCATCAGATTCCAAAGTCATCATATGGTTTCATGAAAATCTCAGAAAACGTTCTAGAGAGAAATTTCTTTGAGAATCAAAGAAATGAATACAGCGAAAGTTGAGTAAAGCAAAAGCGAAAGAATGATTTGAAATTGTAATAAAATGTCTTGAAATCTAATTGGGGGTTTTACCGTAGAAACGATCCTCACATTCGACAACAAACAGAAAGAAAAACTCATTTTCGCTGTACATGACCGCAAAACAGAAAAAAACCGAACAGTGAAATTTTGTTTTTCTTCTTTAACCCGAAAAAATTTCTTCCTCTCAGTGCTCGAGAGTCTTTCATTAAGCTCGAAACAAATCCGCGATTGATTTTTGTTTAATTAATTTTTAATTTTCATCAAACACTGTGAAGGTGTAAGAATTTTATTTTCGGAGAAAAACTCGTGGAACTTCAAGTTTGTGAAGGAAGAAAACAAGATTTTCCAATTTGTGCAAAGACAAAAGTGAATCGTAATTTAAATCGGCACTCGTTTTGATCTATTTTTAATTCCCTTAGGAATTAAGAAAGTAAAAAAAATAGAGAAAGAAAGGAAGATTCGCAATGAGTCAATTATATCATGAATTTGGTGTGACACTGCAACGTCGATCTGCTGATGATGCTTGGGGAATTAGACTTGCAGGCGGTTCAGACTTAAATTCACCGCTAATTATCATTCGGGTAACTAAATAATGAAAAGAATTCTTTTCCGCCTTCTTTATTGTCGAGTCTGCTGAATGTCTTTTAAATGATCTTTTGTTTGTCGAACAACAACAAGTTGTAAATCACAATCATCAGTTTGAGTGACGATATAAATAAACTAACCTAATTCATGATACACTCTATGATGCAATTTAAGTTGATATTCTTCATGATCTATGGTCACTAGGGAAAAAATTATATTTTTTGGCTTCATAATAAAAATTTTCACAATCAGAGATTTTTCTTTCTATTTTTTTATGACCGAAGATTGCGGGAAAAATCTTTTATGAAAATCTAGAAATTCATTTGAATAATTTTTTTGGATGGATAAATTTCTCAAGACAGATAATCTCAAGTGTTTATGTTGAGAGAATCATCATCTGTTGATGAAACTCCTCTGCTTTGGCGAATCTTCCGGTTTCCGAGACGCCTTTTGAAATAAAAATATCACATATTTGTTCGACAATCTCTTCAGATTTTTTTTTTGCGAAGCGTCAAATGAAAGCTAAACGATTGCCAAAAGATGTCTGAACATATCGTTCACGAACGAATATTGAACTTCTCAGAAAATCTTTTGCTATTTCTCTCATTAATTACTTTCACTATGTGACTAAATTCACATGAAACTCAATTAATTGAACATTAAGCGACTCAACACTTCAAATTTTAAATAATGTGTTGATGACATTTTGAATTAATCAATGAAATTGTCATTTGATGAGAGCGATAAATTAAATTAACCTTAGCAGTGAAAAGATCTTGCATTAAATTTAATTAATATTCAACATTTACTCACTTTCATTAATAAAGTTTGAATTTTTTTCATGCATGAAAATTGAATGAAAGAAAATTCCCAAGTTTTGTTTGTTGCATAAGTTGAAGGGGCTAAATTGGTTTTTTTTTATTTTCAGGTTCAGCCTGATAGTCCCGCACAACGTGAACTTATTCGAGGTGATATCATAACAAAAGTTGAAGACTATGATGCTAGAGACTTGCGACATGAGGATGCAAATTTGTTGTTTAGAACACAGGATAATAAAATTCGATTGGTTGTAAGACGAGACAATAAAATTGCTATGAATTCGGGTAAATCTAATCCAATCTCTTCGCTGCCACCACCAAATATTGCAGCATCATATGTACCATCACCGGAACCTTATGCTCCAAATAGGTTTGTTTAAATCAGACATGAAAGATTATCAATGATTGATTTTTGTATTCATTTAATAGCGCTCCAATACCTTATCCTCGAGGACAACATAATGTGAGAGCTACTTGCATATCACCGGTGGAATCACTTCCACACAGTGATTTCTCCAATCATTATCAATCGAATCAAGGAAAAGCAGAACAACATATGAATTATCCTCCTCCACCACCACCTAGAAGTTGCTTCAGTCCCCAACTGACTCGAGATAGTTATCAAGGTTATGATGAAGAAAATGCTGCTATTCAAAATCAGGTAAGACGCGAACACAGCCTCGAATCATTTTACATATACTCGGTTAATGCACCATCAAATGCAAAACATTTTCTTGACCTAATTTCATTTGTAGAATTCCCCCACACAAGTCATGTACATCTGTTTGTTTATTTTCTGAATGGAAAGCTTGAAATAACTGTTTCATTTTCACAATTATCTTCAATAGAAAGCGTTCTGCTGTTTTTTATGATGCGTTGTTAATTGGCAACTCCAATCATTGTCATATGTGTTTAAAATTAACAAATTTTGATGTAGAATAGCTTGTCGTCAAACAACATAAACATATGAGACTTCGACAAACGTAATCCATTCATTTAATTAAAACGGGAAGAATTCCAAGTGAATTAATCGTGATTTGTAGAGCCTCGTTAAAAAATAATTTCATTAATTATGACAAACGAAAATAAATTTCAAAAGTTTTCAATGTAACTTTTTATGGAATTCCGTCGTACTAATTTACTTTGTAAAAGTTCAATCTTCAATATTGACTTATGTCATGATGGAAAAACCATTTTTCCGAACAGTTCTGTCACAGTTTGATAAGTTTTATTCAATACGGCAAAATGCCCACAACAGCACGTTAACGGGCGACGGTTTGAATGTGATTTGACGAGATAAAAACAAATTTTCTTGCTGTATGACGTCTTGGCTACGATCCAATTTCCAAATTTTAACTCTACTTTCGCCTACGGTTGAAGAACATGTTATTTTGTGTGCAGAGTTATGAGTTGCTTGTATACAAAAAGTGATGTTTCATGACCACATATCAACAAGTATTTACAAGCACAACTTCAGGCAGTGACAGCAGTAGAAAAATCTTCAATCTTGACCAAGAAAAAATCTTTAAACGATCAGTGGGATTTTATAACATTTTGACACAAGATACAATTCACATTTCTAGTATTTTGTCAAGAAATAATTAAGTTTAGGAGGACGGACTTTGTCGAACCTTTCTGCACGTGATTAAAATTTATTCTCGGTTTAAATATTTTTTATGTTGCTGTGTGAGGAAGGGAAATTAAAGAAAGCATCAACTCATGTTGCCTTGCACTTGTTTATACAAACAAAAGACATTTATCCTTGGTGAAAAATATTTCAGATATTAATCTTTTGTTGGGGACGAATTTTTTACGATAAAGAAGAACGTGAAAATTTTCTTCGACTTTGAGATATTTTGTTGATAATTGTAAATGTATTTAGAAATTTTCAATCATTTCATTCATCAGTTTACAAAAGAGAGCGAGGAAGAAAAATATTTACATTTCACGTTTAATGTGTAATAGAAGCTTTCAAGGCAGGAGTTTCAACTGGCGCGCTGAGGGAATTCTTGGAAGTGTCATGAAAAATGAAATGAGTTGAGAAGCACTGATAAAAATGAAAAAGATTAGAAATCGTTTAGTTGTTGTCTCATGTCTCTCGTTTGTTTCCGCAACAACAAGGCACTTGCTAAGATTCGAATAAAATTCTTCTTGGAAGATTTATTACAAAATGAAAATGATCTTGAAACTATTTTTGATATTTTTTTTATTTCTTCCTATAGCAAATTCTTCAATATTTCATTTTTGCAAATTTGACGATTTTTGAGTGTTTAAATATATTTGCTAGTAATTTATTTTCATCCACACATTTGCGATGGAGAAATGAAAGAAAAAACGTGTCTGCAATAAGTTAGATCTCAAAATATTAAAAGAAATTCGGTCGTTATAGGAAAAAGAAATTAAACATCGCGAGATCAGAAATTACTTTTGATTTTACACGAAAATTATCCGCACCACTACAGTCTTAGATGAGTTTTTCGTGAACATTCAGTGAAATAATATTTTCCACATTTTTCACGAAGTCAAATAAAAAAACCTGAAAGAAAAAATTTTCTTAATAATTAAAATTTTCAAAAATCTTCTCAGTTGCGTTCGGGATATTGAAAGTTTCACACCTCGAAAACAAAGAGAAGAAAAAGTCTAAAATTGATTAAAAGTAAAACGTGAAAAGTTTGGAAATCAGGAAAAATAATTAACGAATAAAATTTCTTTTGCTTATAGTTCGAAAACTTCTTAGTTTTGAAAAAATAATTTTACACTTAAAGTGAAATTCACAAAATAATATAACTAAGATGACGACCTTTTACCCCAGTCAACCAACTCCCTCGTTCTTGAAAAGATATACCAAAACTGTGTATAACCGCGTGCATCACGATGCGACTTCAAACGGTCATGTACTTGACGAGGCCTCTCTTCAGTTACAAGTAAGAATGACCGACTGACTTGTTGGATAACGATAAAAGTTATTTAATCAAAAATTCTTTCATGAGAAAAATGAAAGATATGCGGCGAGGGAAAGAAAAACAAAATTGCGTGTAAAAATAAATATTTCGAAAAGAGGGAACGGCGAATCGCTAAAAATAATCAGCAACTTCTTTTGATAAAAGATTTATACAAAAATAGAACGGAATGAGACAAAGGACATCTTTAATTACAGAATTAACAAGTGAAATAACAAGTAATCCAGTCAAGTTGTAAAAATGTTGAAGTTACATGAACAAAACTGGAAGAAAATTTTCAAGTAAATCTCGAACTTCAGTAAATATTTATTCTACTAAATAAGCTCCAATTTTCGAAGCCACAAATTTTCTCGAACAATTTATAAACAACGTAATTTCACTTAATTACGTTATTTTCTTTAAGCTTGGAAAATGAATCACAGATTTTCATTTTCTTTTCATTTTTTCTAACCAACGCTCGCTATTGTGATTTTCCTTCGTCTACGAGAGCTTTCACTTGTTTACCGTTTTTTTCCTGTTATTAGAGAGAAGGAAAAATGTTTCCTTCGAACTAAACAGCAACCCTCAGATTTTAATGACGATAATTTTTCAATTACGGCAAATTCATCTTTTCCTCCATTCGATTCTGCTGCTACATTTCCCCAACATCAACGAACGATTTAAACTTTCAAGATTGAACACAACTTTCAAATTTGATGAATTTTCTAAATTATTTTTATTAGAATTGTTTCTAAGAAGATGTTTAGAAGAGTTTTTAAAGTCATAAAATATTTAATAAATTAAAACTTTTCCTTCTGACAGCTTTCAAATAAAAAGTGATTGAAAATGTCTGTAAAAGTTTAACAATCGATGTCAAAGTCATTTCATTATGAAAAGTTTTGAAACTTTTAGGAACTTCAACAATAATTCATGATTCAATTAATTTCTCTTTTTTATTGTCATTTCCTGAATAATTCATCTTCGTAAATTAAAATAGAAAGTGAGTTAGAATTTCGTTCCATTTAATTTAATTAAACTTATCTTTCGGCGCCATTACAGTCATACGACATTGCGTTCAAGTGAAATTCACATAGTAAACAAATATTTCTCTCGAAAGTCCCGAAATAAAAAGAAAAATCTGTAGATGAAAGGTTGTGACATTGAAAAATCTGCGCCTACGCAAACATCGCATCTGGATTTAGAAACTGAGAGAGATAGAAAAATGAAATAAAAAGCAAAAACTATTTTCATCTGGCATAGGTTGGTTAAATGAAAGCGAGCGGAAATGAAGTAACTTTATGAAGGCCATGACAATTTCATTTCATTTAAAGTCCGATTCATCATTCAAATGTTTGTTGCAATGTTTGGTGTTTGAATCCAACAAGTGACTTTCACAACAGAAGGGTTGTTGATGTAGTTGAAATGAAATGAAATTGCGATTCATTTTCCTTCTCTGCTTGCCTGTTCTATAAATATCACAGCTCGTGGATAGCTTTGTTGTTTTATTGAAATCATCTGCTGCTAATAATTCATCTTTCTTTAGAACTCTCGTTGACTTCGATAGTTTCTTAAATTTTGAAAATGTTTAATGAAAACTTAAACAACAATTATAATCACACAACCGAAACTGAGACTTTCAATCGAAAGATTTATTGGATAATTCTATGAACAGCTAAACGATGCTTGAGCTTAAACATAAAGCAGTTCTTGAAAATGAATTGACGCGAAAGTTAAAAATAAAATTCATATATTGACATCATGCTGCAAACACTTTTATCTGTATTCTGCTCCACTTGTCGTATCTTTAAAAGAAACTGACGTCAAGCGTGTGAAGATAGATTGTTAGTGGTTATAAATAAAATTAATTTCGCAGCCAACAACTAACAAAAGCGGGAGAAATATTTCGATGATCGAAGAGTTTGTCAACAAATTAAATAAATTTTTCATGAAAATTTGCACTTAACAATTTGTAAATATTTTAACTAAACTTTTTCTTGCAATGTGTTGCTTGTTCACAGCCATATCGATCAACACCTTTAATTTTACCAGGTGCCAAAGTTAATCACCAGCGAAATTATCCCACAGAAAGTTATTTGCGTCATCATCCCAACCCTCAAGTTCGTGGTCCACCAACTCATGATTTTACTGATATTATGATGAAACAAAAAGTCGCTGATAGCGTTTTGAATCGCTATGGTACCGAAGCAACCAACGGTCCTAAGGTGGGCTCTTCATCACATTACATTGCATTACATTCAGCTAACAAATTTGAAATTTACACATTTTCATAATTTCAATTATAAAACAATAACATTAATTAATGTGCTTTTTATTTTAGCTTGTTCACAAACAATTCAATTCACCAATCGGACTTTACTCAGATAATCTTATTGAGAACACTATCAAGAATACTGTTTCACCACCAGCATCTGTTGTTTCAGCTGGTTCGTCATCAGTTCCGTAAGTATTTCTCATAAGATTTCTAATGAATTCAAACAAATTGGCTTGTTAGTGTAGGAAATTAATTGCGATAATATGACAAACAATATCAGTTGAAGATTAATAGAATTGATTTAACTTTGTAAACTTTCATCACATTCTATTCTTCTTCGCATGACTTTAGTAAACTTTTTCGAAAATATGCAAAATTAATTCTTTTCTTTCTTTTAAAAACAAACAAAAACAAAAACAATTTAATCGAAAATTAACTTCTAAATGATAAAATTGATCTTATAAGATCACCAAATGGAACATTGAATCGTCCACAACAAAATCGTCCGACAAAAATTCAAGGGTAAATTTGCTAAATGATAAAATTTCATTAAAAATAATTATCAGACATTCATGTTTCATGGTTTAGTTTCAATGCCTTGAAAATTTAAAAATTTAATTAAAATAAATGATCATAAAGAAATTTAAAGAAGCTAACGAGAAAAAAGCACTAATTCAATTACATAAAAGACTAAGTTAGCAATTTGCAATTTGCTTAATTTCATTTTTATTTACTCTCGTTCGTTGCTTTCATCTTGTTTTAATTATTTTCTCGCGAATTATGTACAAACATCCGTCCAATGCATTTTTGTGCAAATGAGAAATGATTGAGAATAAAATTTAAATGATTTTTTTAATGATGAAAGTTGAAATAGAAACTTCATTAAAATATTTTTCAACTTTCAAAGATCCCTTTCATTTAACAATTTATCGTAAAATTGAATCTTCATCAACAGCATTTTCATTGACATGTCGTTCATGGAGCAAAAGAAAAGAATTCTGGCTGAGCAGGAAGAGATCAAACGTCAGAAACAGCAGAACAAGTCATACTTTGGATACTCCCCAAAGCCCCAATTTAATCGTCCTCCAACAGCTTCTGCGCCTCCCCAACAATCGCCTAACTCAAGCTTTCCACCTGCCTTCCGATCTTTCAATCACTAAACTCAAATAATTTAATCAAAATATCTTTTTCTCATCTAACATTATCCTTAACGACGGATTTCGAGTGAACCTTTCTTTTATTATTTTGTTTTTCGCTGTTTCTTCTCCTTTCTAACAACATTTAATACGCAAAATGTGAGATTTCATCAGTCGCAAGTCTCAAATTCAAAACAATGTTTGACTCACCTGCAACCTGCACAAAAAATAATCACAACGATGAATTTATATGTTGCACATTAACTAACAAACACACAAATAATTGGCAATCGATCGAATCCATTAAAAACATTCGACCATTAAGCAAAAGAAATTTTTTCTCTTGTTTTTGGATTTTTTTTCGACTAAATTTACATAAAAATTTCTCGTTTCCATTTTCCATTCTTTCCGTGTTTCAACCAAAAAACAAAATTTATCAAACAAATCAATTTATGTTAACACGATACCAAAGCTACAAGAAAACAGTCGTCTATGATCCATTGAAAAGCGAGACATATCGTGCACTCCAAGAGAGTTCTTATACTGATGACAGAGTTAGGGAAGTGGCAACACCAGTTCAGCCAAAAGTATTTCAACCAAATCGCTTAGTTCCAGGAAAGGTGAGATGAAAACACAAACATGGAACTGAATTTTGTTTTTCTTATCTGTCGTTTGTTTGTTCTTTTTTCATGTTGAATATAATTAGAAACCAGTTTCGTCTTTCCCACCACCTGATCCCATCTCTAGACATCCTGTGAACTCTTTGGGTGAATCAACCGACGTCATTCATCAAAGCGGAAGCTTCAAGCGATTAATGTATCACGTTTTAGGTGAAACTGATTATTAAGTTTGATGTGCTGTCATCATAAAATATTAGAATGAAGCGAAAACAATTTTGAACTTCTTGCACAACCATCACGAACGGTCGTTGCAATGATGATGAACTTAATAATATTAATCAAAAAAAAATGAATTTTTAGTTTGAAAAGCTCGTTTTGGATAATGCATAAAAATGATTTTAATTTAATCATTTTCCAATGCACCAGCAACGATGCTTGATAAAGTTTTCTTAATTAATTAATTTATTCTTCTTTCCTTTTCGTTTATTTTTGCTGATGAGTGGAAACTCTAGTCAAGTGAAGAATTATCTTAAAAAAACAAAAAGTTTGTTGTAAATCAATATGACATTTGATATTTTTCACAAAATTTTATCGCATAAAATGATGCAAAATGTAAATAATTAAATGAAATCACGAATGAAATTATTTTATTTTATTTTGTCATGTGCAAAACCTTATTATGAAACGAATAAAGATGTAAACAATTGCAAATAATTTCTTGATTTATTGAATCATTCGTTGGATAACTCATCAAGCTCATCATTGCCACTACGTGGAACCTTTAAGGAAAACCAAATTTTTTATTGTTTAATTTATTCTTTCATTTATTTTCTAAGAGTGTTTTGTGAATGATAAATCAAGAAAAAAATTATTTAAGAGAAAATTAATTAAAAAAAGCTTTTCCGATTGAAACTAAAGATTTTATGTCAAATGTCGTTTAAAATGATATCAATTGAACATTTTATTGATCCATTGGCTCTGCATCGTCTTCGAAGTCCATTGGAGCACCTTCAATTGTTTCATCAGTGTCCATTTTGTTAGCAATTGGAGTCATTTCAAGTTCAATTGCAGGAGGTTCATCTTCATCAAGTGACATTGTGTTCTCAGTGATGACTGTCGGTGTTGGAATCGTTTCCATTTCAGTAGCAGAAATTTCTGCATCAGTTGATGGAACAATTTCAATTGGAATTTCAGAAATCTCAATAAGTGGCTCTCCGATCTTTTCAGTTATCGTTTCTGTTGGTTCTGCAATTGGTTCAGTCTTCTCTAAGAGAGCAGAGACATTGAGTTCAATGACTGGTTCTGGTTGAGTTGATGTGATTTCAGAAGATTCTATTGTTGGTTCGTCAACAGCTTCAATGACAGGAGTTTCGACTTCAGCAGAAGTTTTTACATTTTCGGCAGCAACTTCTGTCGATTGTTCTAGTAGCGCTTCAGTAATTTCAGTTGAGGAAAGTTTCAGACGTTTTGCTTCCATTTCAGTTGCATCTTCAGATACTGTTACGGTTACATTTACTACTTCACTACTTGCATTGGTCTCAGATTCCGAGGTCAAAGCAACTTCTGTACTTTGACGATCTGAAGTGTCAAGTGATGGATCAGTTCGGATGGCAACGATGTTCTCAAGTGCTTCAAGCGGCGTTGTCTGACTTATAACTGCTGAAGTGTCAACAAGAATTTCATCATCAGCTGAACGAAGCGATTTATTCAATAAAACATTTTCATCAGGTTTTGACTCAGCAACTGTTGCTGTTGTTGCTGGTTCGTTGGTGATTTCTGATGATTTTTGGACAAGAGTTTCAACTTCTGTTTCTTTTACTTTCTCGGTGGTTTTCACTGACGATTCATTCAAAGGAGAAATTTCTTTTGTATCATCGTCAGCTTTGGATTTTTCTTCTGATTCTAAGACAACTGCAGGAACAAGTGACGGAGAAACTTTTTTTTCTTCTTTAGAACTTTTTTCTCCTTCGTCTTGTGTCACTTTACTTGTTGTTTCAACTTCATATTTTTTCTCATCTGGTTCACCGTTTGGTGCTGTTTTTTCAACACTCGAATCTTTCATTTGTGAAATGATTGTTGGTTCTTTTGGCTCCTCATATGATCGATCATTTTCCATTTCTATGTCAACATTAACTTCGGACGAAAAGTCACCATTTAAAGCTGAGTCGAGTGAATCACCATTTTCACTTTCAGAACGATGCCTTCCTGGTGGAACCGTGCTCACCACCAATATCGTCTTCTCTACTGCTCGCATGAATTTATCAATTCTGTTATATTGTTTCTTTGGATCAGAAAGAAGTTCACTTATGCGTTGAATTGTGAATGGAGCTGATGCAAAGCTGTCAAGTTTCTCTATGAGCATCTTTTTCATTGTCTCATAGTTGAAGGGATCAACATTTGGGTACTGAGGAAGTTCTGGAATTGAGAAGAGTTCAAAACATTCAACAAATTGTTTAATAAAAGTTTCATTGTTTTTACCTTTTGTTGGTGTTTCATTATAAAAATCTGTAATAACATTTACGAGTTTCTCTCTGTACAAGTTTTTTACAAGCGACCATGCGTAGACCGAATCGCCTGTTCTAGCTACAAATGACAAATATTCTTCAAGTTGAGCGCTGATTTCCTTGTTGCGACTAACATTGAATCTTTCAAGAATTTGCATTACTTCCTCCGGGTTGTCCATGTTGTTATTTGTTTATAAATGATGTTATACGAAGACACGAATAATAACTTTGAAAAGTCTTTTATTGTACAATGTAAAGTTTTACTGAATAATTTATCTAAACGATTTCACAAAATATATCGCCGAAGCTTTCCCTCTGTAACTTCAACAATTCCGACTCGGGGAGTTAAACTGTTCACTTTTATCCCCTCGACTACGCGCACTCTGCTCAAAAGATTTGTTTACACTTTTTTCATATCAATTTCCCAATTCTATCTAAAAGCAAGTTTAAAACATTAAAATGACTATTCTGAAAGAAAAACTGAGTGATTTCAAAGAGAAATTTGAACAAGCACAAAAACTAGTCGATGAATGTAAAGTTGATACTCTTGAGCCATACAAAAATCATTATAAATCAAAAGAAATTTTAATCGATTTGGAAGTGAAGCTTGAAAAAACGATTGAACAAACAGAAAACGAACAGGATTTGTTGGTATTTCGTGCTATTTTAGGATATGTTCAGAAGGATATTGGGAAGATTTGTTCTTTTGTTGAAGAAACAAATCAAGCGAAAATTTACTTGAATAAATCATTGGAGCTTCTTGAAGGAAACAAAAACGAGCCTGAAATTATCATTTGTTATGTCGATACTCTCAATCAACTTGGAATTTTATGGTCAAAGCTGCAGGACAATGAAAAATCTTTGGAATATCTTCTGAAAAGTGAGAAAGCCGCTAACAGTTTTAAAAAATTCGGCAAGCAGCCGCTCACAATTTTCGATATTTTTGGAACGTCTGATGAAATAGAAAAAGGAAAAGGCAAGGAATGTTTAGAGAAGAATCTTACTTTAACATTCTTTTATCTAGCACAAGTATATGGTGCCGTAAGTAATCTCGAAGCATCTGGATTATATTGTCATTTAACATTGAAACGTCAACTGGAACTCGAAGATTATGAACCAGTTGAATGGGCATTAAATGCTGCAACTCTTTCTCAGTTTTACTTTGCTAAAAATATGCTCAAGCAATCTCGTCATTTGTTGGCTGCTGCAAACTACATGATGGGAAAATATTCCGATGAACTTGAACAGAAAGAGATGAGTGAAGATCAACGAGCAGCTGCCATGGAAAATTTCAAACATCGTAGTGCTGATGTTGATTTATGCTTTGCTAAATATTGCATTTATATACTTACAACATCTATTGAACGTCTCATGCAGGAGAAAGAAGAATCGCATAAGGAAACTGATCCAATTCAATTTCAAATCAATGAGAATTGTGAAAAATTCAATTTAGATTTGTCGCTTTACGAACGGGAAGTTGTTGATGATTTTGTACTTACATTTGAGGATGCAAAGGAAGTTTTCCTCGCTGCTCAATCTTATTTAAATAAAGCAAAGGAATATTATTCACTTGAAAATGAAGCATCGCAACATGCAAGAATTGTTCAAGATTACGCTCACATCTTCAAGCATCTCGCATTCTTCGAAGACGAACCAGGTGTTCAATCAAAACTTCACAAACGAAGAGCTGATCAGTTAGAAGAAGTTTTAACTCAATTAAATCCAACATATTATATGAATATTTGTCGAGAACTTATGTTTGAACTCGGCTTAACTTATTCCGATATGCTCGACATAAAATGTGATTTGCTGAAGTTTAATGAGGTTCAGCCAACCGCTCTTTCCAAAATTAACACGCTTTGTCATAAGGCGATCAATAAGTTTAAGGAATTTGAAAACACTTACAGAGATAAGAAGACTGGAGAAATTCCAGATAATCTCGATGTCGACGAACTTCAAGTCGTTGCATGCGCCAACTTTAATTTGGGTCGACTTTATTACAAAATCATCACTCCTGATAAGAAAATGCAGTTGGAAAACACATCAAGCAGTTACAAGCATTACAAGACTTTCATTGATTATTGTGAGAAGCATCAAACAATTGCTGAACGAATGAAGGGTGAATATGGCGTGACCAAAAATATGTGCGAGCTTCTTCCGCTGAAGATTAAAAAGCTGATGGACGAAAGCAAGCAATAAAACATTTTGTAGTCATTTTAATTTATTGCTGAAGTCAAATAATTTTATTGATTCATTGCTTGCTTAGCTTTTTCTTGTATGAACTGAAATAAAATAAATGTGAAGAAGAAAAATTTTAAATGCAAATTCAAACGAAATGCAATTTATGGAAATTATTTCTGGACATTCTTTTCTTTATTTTCTGTTTCAGTAATCTAAATAATTCATAGGCAAACAGTTGTTTTGAAATCAGATTAAATAATGTAAAGTTCTAAATTATTTAATTTTCCCTTAATGTCAACAGCTATAATGACTGAGTTCAGAATCGGATTTAGTTTTTTCAATTCCCTTAAAATTAAATTCAGTTCGAAGAAAATTTATGGAAATCAAGGAAAGTTTCCTAACTCTGCTCTGAATATTTCACTTCCTTATTTTCTTAAGAAAGAATAATAAGAAAATAAATTAAATAATTCTCTCATGCAATCAGAAAAAATTAAAAGTTTGGAAAACACAAAGTTCTTGTCAAATTATTTCGAAAGCTTCTAAATGAGGGATGCTCGTTCATAAATATAAATCTGTGAAGAGGGAGAAGTTTTTATGTTTCGTCACCACAAGAAATCTGCTCTCCTAAGTGACAACTTTTCGAATCATTTATGACGAGCGTTAAAGTTATGATGTCAATTTACGATGATGGAGTCAAAAATATGACAGAAAATTCCCTAACGTTACATTCTCAAATTCATTCATTGTATAGCTCTAAAGCAGCATGAACTTCCGTTTGAGTCTTCTGCGTTCTGTAGGTATTTGAATGTAGGTGGCAGAGATTTTCGCGCTTCTATAATTTTTCAATCTCCTCACAATTTATTTCATTATGTTGTGATTAGACAATTTCTACCGAAAGCTTTCGGAATCAATTCAACAGACGATTTAAGATTGAAAAATAGCAGAATAGCATTGCATACGGAAACGATTCGTACACATATATTTTGTCAACTGAAAAGATGATATTTGAATAAATTTTGCGATTATTTCCGCTAGTAAAGTATGGAAGATTTAGTGAGACTGAGACGAGAAGAAGTTTAGTGTGTTGCATCTCCACATTATTCAATAAGTCTTCTTCCTCTTCGATATCAGTCGTGATGTGGATAAAATGTAAAAAGCATTTGGTGGCTAAATTGAAAATGATCGTAAATTGAATTGACATAAGAGATGTTAGGAAGAGAATATGAATTTAAATTTGAAATTGAATTGAATTGATTTCGATCATATCTTTAGAAATACTTTTAAAGTTTCGAATATTTTCTATGCTTAGGTAAATGTTTAAATACAATTCAGCTGATAAAAATCTACTTTTAAAAAGCTTCTAAATTCAAATATGAAAATTGATTTTCATAAAGTCTGACGAAATCGAAATGTTTCAAAAATTAATCCCACGAGACAGATCTCATTAAAAATAAATGTCTCCTAACGACTTCAGGCTTTTAAGCGACGTGATATCTTTTTTTTCCTGTCGTTTCCTTCACCACTCGTTTTTAAACTCAGTGTCACGTCCGGAATCAAGAGTGAGATATAAAAAAAAAGAGATGAACAAATTAAAGGACCGAAGGAGAAAAAGTTGGAGAATAATTTTATATTTTAGCAATTAAAAATATGAGTTTGAGTTTGTCTCTTCGATGATTTTAACGATAATCCCCTGTTCACCTGTTCATGTCGAAAAGTTAATCAAATAATCTTACCTTTAATAGCTTTTCGCTCAATGAATGATTTCATCACCACGAAGCCAGACATATTTGAGGAGAATCTAACCGATGATCAAACTCTAAATCCTTTCCAATCCCATTCTGAGTAAATTGAATTTTTCATCTGTTAAAGTCCGGAACCTGGAGCCGGAAAATAACTTCAAATGATGAAAAATTTATTTATCTATGATGAAAAGTTTTCGTTTTTATCTGACGTGAGGTTCATGTGTAACTCTCGTTTTCTCACTCCCTTCACAACAACCAAATATTAACAGTTAAATTTCTGTCGTAGAAAAGTGAAATGTTATTTCAATATTAAAAAATAGCCACAAGCATTCAACACTTCAATGTTTAAGAGGATTTCGGTTGGCATTTAGCTTTCTTTCATGTGCAAAATTATTGCGATAAAATGTCTGCGTTGAAACCAACAATAATTGTAAGCGGACTAAAGTCATATTACTGAATTTTAATTGTTTTTTAGTCGTGACAAAACTTTTTCCAGCTCAACATCTTCCTTTCCACTTTCCAATTTCAAAATGATAAATTCGCCCTCAAAAATAAATTGCAAATTTGATAAAATTTAATTTTCTCTCGTGCAAATGTATTTCAAATTCACAGCATAATATTTAATGGCTGCTGGGTATTTTCATTTCCCAAACTACTAAAGGCTTTAACACCTTCATTTGCAATGGGAATCGACAGGAATTCTTTCCTTGTAGATATAAAATGTTGAAAAAGCGAGAAAAGGGAAAAATAATCTAAATGAAACGAAATGAACATTGAATCAGATAACGAATAAGAAATTTATGAAAGCATTGCATATAAAATTATGCTTGAAAAGGTCAGGAAAGTGGAAGATAGCAACAGAAACTCTTAAAGAAAGTTTAATCAGATTTCTTTATCATTTCATATTTTTTTCAGAAAATAATATTCAAAATTTTCTCTTAAATTGAGCTTTCGACAAGAAAATGATCAGCAAAAAGCTTGTTTGCCTTTCATAAGTTTTTGATTTACTTCTATATAAAAAAAATATTATTACACAATGATTGATATTGTTTCGGTTTGAGAGAAAAACATGGAAATTTATGGTATGTTCTCTTAATACAAGGATAATAAATTTTCTCGATAGTTTTCTCCAAAACTTTCCATAAACTTGCTTTGTGTTTATTTATTTCCTTTCTCTTACTCATATCGTGTCGAGGCAGAATAAGTTAACTCCAACTACATACATTTAACAACAACAATAACAAGAAACGACTCTGATTTCTCTGCTAGAATTATGAAATGTGTACAGAGCAACAAATGATTCATAATGATGAATCGCAATCATATTCAAAATGATTTATGTTGACTCCCATAGCAATTTTCACAACAATTTTTGAATGCTTCGCATCTATTCGTTGGACAGGTCGGACGACTCGTGAAAATTAACCACAGCAAAGTTACGTACGTTGCAATAATCATTTAATCCCCTATTCATATTATAAAATATTAAAAATCTTTACTAAATCTTTATTACATGATTTAGGATCCTGTTAAGCACTTCAATTAGAAGGAAAATGCTTTTAAAATGATTTACACATCCATGCTGCATGGCAATGCTTTACATCACAGTTGAACACTTTATGATTTCCTTTTCGAATTAGAATTTGTTTGATTGCAATGATTATGACACATAACAAACTTCTTCACAATAATGAATTCTCCTCGAAGGAGAAATTAATTTTCTCGATTTTACTCGAAATATGAAAATGCAGGCAGAAGTAATTGAGAGTCATTTGGCAGTTGTGGTACATCAACTTTTAGATTTATTCGTCGATTAAAAAATCTTTCTTTTCCGCATAAACTTTTCTCGAGCTTGACAATCTACGGGAAGCACTAATTCACCATGAACGATGAAAAACGAATATGGATTTGCGTACATATGATGCAAAACGGAGACTTCAAGTGAGAGAGATGGAAACACTTCGAGACAGTCGTTCAACATCATGAATAAGTTGGATGTGGGGAAAACTGGATAAATTTTCAATTTCAAAATTATTTTTTTCCATGTCTCGACGTTCTGACATAAGAGTAAAGGTTAATGATGATGGCGCAATGGTTTAATGTCAGATCTCTATCAGCTCTTTGATTTTATGAATTTCTACTCAAAATACTTTTATATGACATTTCCCTATATCTGATCTGATTTGCAAGCTTTTATTTCTCTGTAAAGTGCATGAAGAATATTCAGAATATTGCAATCTCTTCTTATATTTTTTATTCGTTATATTATTCATCATGTCGAACGTTGAGTTTCCCGGTTAGTGCAAAACTCTCACGCTTCACATTTTATCTTCGTGATGTATAAATACATCAGCATATATCTCAACATAAAATCACTGTTTCTACTTTATTCGACATCAGAATATATCACGATATGTATTTTCAATTTAGGTCCCTTTTTTCTCTTATGATTTTATAATTTCCGTTCGAGATGGAAAAATAGATGTATAAAGCATCAACATTTTGACTCATTGACTCGATGCTGAATGGCTTTCAATTGTAATTTGATGTTTTGACTGCTTTCATTTCTGCTTTCTGGTCGTATTTCCTTTTTTTTCTCTTTTTTTCTAAACGAAAATCAATTCTAATGTCAGTTCAGCATTTCAGAGATATGCATGATGATAGATTTCTGTGATTTCCTGTGATTTCAATTAAAATCTGCGTCAATTCGAATGCTTTCATTTAAAGTTTTCATAAAAAAATTGTAATAAAAAGAATCTGTTGCTTGATGATGCAGTTTTATTCTTTTAATTTACATTTGTTACAGAGATTGCAAAATAAAATCATCACATGCAAGAATTCACTTAAAAAGATTAATAACATAAAGCTCGTCGCTTCTGGCGAACAATTGACCAAATGTATTAATAAATTAATTGAAGAACAATTGTGGCTTTACTCATACACCCACGCATATACAATAAATAAGCCAATTAAGTTATCAAAGCTTTATCAATCGATTCGAAAAAGATTTATTTAAAATTTCTACCTACATAAATATTATTACATATTTATTTTTTGGTTTGTAAAGTCAACATAAAAGTCCGAGATTTATTAGAACGTTCATAATACTTAAAGAAACATAACCATGCATCAAAAACCTCACTCCAATTCATGGATAAACAGAACTTAAAGAAAAAGTTATTTCATAACTCTACCTAAGTAGTGCTAAAGAAAAATCATTGCTTTCTTTATGATTAACACCTTCAAATATAAATCAATTTCATTTCATACCAAGGCACACCTCCAAGTCAACGTCAGATTTACGTAGACAAATATTAGTTCAAGATCAGAATGGAATCAACTTTTTTTACGTGGAACTATTGACATAAATTGTGTATTTGTTAGTTTATGCTCATCAATCGTTAGCCTTCCTAATCCTTAGTGTATACAACAACATGCTTACTTACAATACATTTATGTATATAAATCATGCACATGTTAAAAATAAAATTTATTTTATCAGACTTTCGATCTTTAATGCTTCCAAAAATAGAAATAATTGACGACAAATATTTAGTTTTTGTCTCCTTTTATATTTCAAGTGGAAAGCTTCATCACGCTCTTTTGATTATAAAGTTTGTATAATTTCGCTATTATTTCCAACCACTTTGAAGAGCTCAATTTCATTCCACTTTACATCATGCAAATAAAAAAATTGAAAACATATTTCATGAACAATTTGTAAGCTTTTTCTATTCAATCTTGGTAATATTTTAGAGCACCCTCGACGATGATTTCGATCCTCCTCAACATAATTTTACTGAAAAGGATTCAAGTAGATTTCTGGTATCTCAAAAGCATAAAGGAAATTTCTCCTGAATGACGTTGATGAGAATTAAAATAAAAATAGTGAAGGCCACACCTCTTAATTGGAAAAAAATCAGCAAAAGGTATAAAATAAATTTAATCAATTTATCTTTACCGTGAAAGAACGGCGTAAACGCAACGTTCTTTTTGTGTCTGGGTTTGGTTTTGTTCGTTGTTTATATCCTGCAATATCATCGCCTTCAACATTTTGTTCGTTCCGTGATAAATTGTTTTTCTATTCAGCTTGTTTTTCCTTTTCATGCCTGTGCTTTCCCTCCGTTGAATTCCACGCAATTCCCTGCCATAAAATAAATTTTCTGCAACATTCTATTGCTTAAATGGAATTTGATGTGAAATAGAGTTTTCACTGCTATTCTTTTTCCTTTTTTCCATGAAGTTATTGATACCATCAAGGATTATATTTACCTATTTATTCCCGCAAAGAGTTATGAAGCTTTTGGAAGTTTTGCGGCATTCGTCGAGGAATGTAAAGCTACCACAAAACAACAACCTCATGAAACTGGTAGATCATACCCATGAGAAAAAGTTAGATTTGATTTCACATTTAAATACGAGTGTTGTTTTATTGAGTTCAAATGCTCTTAGAAACATTTTTGATGTAAATGTTTCTCCTACTTCTTGTTATGATATCAAAAATAAAACAAAAACACCTGATTTAAGATTGTTTAACCATTCAAAAACAAAACAATTTTAAGTTGTTTTGAAATGTTTATCAACAGAAATGATTTCAATTATTTTGATGAGTTCCACATGTGTGAATTTTCATTTGTCATTTGTGAGGAAGAAATGAGAATTTCTTGATTAACGACTGACCAGATGAAATTTTCAAATACGGAATGAAGAACCCCATCGTGTGTTCATAGTTTTTAACTTCACTGCTCGTCTCTTCTTCTCTTGCTAATAAATCATATTTAAGTGAATATTCGGATACAAGTATTTTTATTCATGATTTCCCATGTTATAATTAATTAATTATACCGTGATATTATGCATGTTTAATTAAATGTTTTCTTCTTGATTATATATGACATAAAGTGCTTAATGCATCTAAGATACTAACATCAAATAAACTGCACTTAATTAAATAAGTAATTGAAAGAAACCACACGAGGAAGAGATGCTTACATACTTAAGTCGTTCATTTATTCAACAATTCACTAGATGTAAAAAAATGAAATTTCTTTAACTTGAAGTATGAATTTTTATGTTTACGCACACACTCAACTGTTATCCAATCAATCATTCATTGAAAACATGCTTTGATGCAATAACAACTTTAATGGAAAAAGAATAAAAAAGTGAAAGATGATTTTACGATATTTGCAGCTCATTTCCTCGCCTTCCACTCCCTTCCCCACTCTCAATTATTAATGGAAAAGTTTCATCATTTGACTCTTTTATATGAGTTGCAGGAAAAATTGCAGTTTGTATCATATAATTTCACGATCAAAATATATATTTAAACAGAGCTAGGCGATACAATGATCTATTGAAGCATATTTTAGTTTTTAAAATGAGATAAAATTTCATGAATCGTTGATCCAATTTATAATTCACGATTCAAAAATAAATCAGAAATCCATGCTCAACTCTGCATACATAAATTCTCATTGGTTTGAGTTGAGAATCAGCCCAGCAAATATCATTAAGTGAATTGAATGTTCTCTCGGTATGCATTTTTCGGTATCATAAATTGTGCCGTTTTATTGTCTCATCATCAACAGTGTTTTATCATGAAAGTGTTTTAATGGCTTCTACTGGTAGGTACTGAAGCTAGTCAAAACATACACATAAAGACGAAATGCGAGTAAATAAAGTCAAATATATTTTATCAAAACATTCGCTAAGAAATGGAGAAAACAAAAGCTGTCATGCGTCATTAAGTGGTTTTCCTTTTATAATTGATTCTTTCTCATTCCTTTTCTTGCTTTTCTTTCATCAAATTAGTAATAAAAAGAAAAGTTCATAATAAGTTACAGCTATTAAAGACAAACCGTCATTTCCTCAATTAAACACAAACAAATGGCTATGCCATTTTTCAATAGAGATTCTAGAAACATAAATAAATTTATTTCAAAGACATCGACTGGTGTCGCCTTCCATAAAGTATCTCAGTAAATGAATTGCCATTAATTTGTAATAACAATCTATTCGCGACTATTTCTGGTTGATTTTACGGAATGGACTTTTTAATTATTTATTTAGAAGGTTTTCTCAACAGAAAAAGGTGCTTGTGGAAGGTTCCAAATTTCAATAATTATTTATTAACCGTCATAATTTAACATTTTTATATTTTCCATCAACTTTATTGCTTCAAATTCTTGTAGGATTTTTAATAGACTTTCAGTATTTTTCAACATCGAGTGAGTTATCAAGTTTGGCACATACAATTGATAGACACATAATCGATGTAAAAAGAATGAAATTCGATATTTTACTCAATATTCCTGACAAAACTCACTGTCACTGTCATTCTGTCATAGCTGCGATTTCTTTATTCATCAATTCTGGCATCTTCAGATTACAAATACCTAAATATTCTGAATGAATCTCTTCTCAGCAATCACATTTTAAATAAATGTTACAATAAAAATACTTCGCGTTATTAAACACGACACTTTTTAAAGTTATCTACTCGTAAAATAAAACTACCCAAACATTAATATCACCAATTATATTGTTTGTTCTCTTTAAGTTGGTTGATTGCTATAAAAAAGAAGCTTCAAGTATCTGCTAAAAAATTGAAAAAAATAGTCTACAACTTTCAAAGTAGTTTATTATATGCTTAATGCGGATGTTGAAGGAATGACATTATTATGATCACGAACAGAAGATTTCTTTCTCTTCACTGATTTAGTTTTAATGTCTAGAATCTAAATTTATTATGCATCGCATTTCAAACGGTTTTAAACCGTCTCAACAGATAACATAAATAATATAATGAGCAACATGACTTGCTTGATACAAGCAGTGATACATTTTCCAACATCATAACAAACATACATAACTAGTGAACTACTCGCAGGCATTTGGTATTTGCCAAACAAGAAAAGAATTGAAATCTGAATGAAACTTATTTTATTTTTCTCTTGTTATTTATTTTTCCTTCTGAATCAAAAAGTCTAATTTATTTTATAAGAAAGTGAATCTATTTTCATCGTGAAGAAGGAAGAAAAGCGATGAATAAGGCACTTCTCATTATAATTTATAATACTTCGGTCTCTTTCCCTCCCATCACTTCATTTTATTATGTTTGGTTTGAACGGAAAAATCGCATAAAGATTTTTTTTCCTTTCTTTTTATACATACAAACATTTATACGTACCTCAATGAAGTTTGCAATATGCTTCATGAACATTTCGTTGCGGTTTTAAATTCTATTTAATTTATAGAATGGCATCGCCAAGTTTGAGTTTGAATTAATAAGAAATGAAATGTTTCATGCTTTGTATAATATATCAAGACATTCCGGTAATCCTTTTCTTTCTGCACACTAATTTGATTGATGTGCATGTTCTTCTGGTTTTTCTGTCTATTTTTGCCTTCTTATGAATGTAATAAATTTTAATCGTGATAGATTTAATAGTTCGGCTTGCCAAACTGCTGTTTTCATAAAAACTTTTCGAAGAGAATTACTAGTTGAAAAGTCGTTTTCATCTTGAAACTTTTACAAGTCACTTGAATCATCTACAGAAAGGGTTTCGCGGTCTCAAACGACCATGTTTTTCACCCTCAACAAATACATGTGAACATTGAGACTATTATGGAGATAAGCCTCAGATTTTATTGCTCAGATATTGCCATTGACAATAAAATGTATAATTTAAGGTATTGTTCATCATTATGGCCCATAAAACTTTTTCGGAAATGGTGATTTTGTTCAGAGATTTTTGTGCTATAGAAGAGACAATCAGCCGCAAAAATTCACTCTCGTTATTGATCGTGTCAAGGTCAAATGTTAATATACGAGGGTGAATGGGATTGAAGATATCTTTTAGAAATCTTCTGAAACCGAAATCAAAAAAGTTTTCACTTTTTTTCCTTTGGATTTCTGAATCAACAGAAAATTTTCATCTTCTATTGTTCGAAGACAAAGTGAAAGGAATGTAGATACATAAAAGATTTTTACTTCGCTTTATGTATTCGATAATGATTACTAAGATGATACTAACAACTGAAAAAGACGCTTGACGCTCGATTTCTTCATATAAAACACATCATTGGAATAGATAGACCGTCAAAGATATTTTTTATAGAGAAATCTTTTCCCTTCTGTTTCTTTTCTCAAGCTGTTCATCTCATCATCGTGAATTTCCTTTTCTTTCTTTCATTTTTTTGCTGTTGAAAGCAGTTCATGTTCATCAGCTTTTCTTTTCGATGGAATGGGATGGTGGATAGTCAAAGGGGTCTTTTAAATGCAGCCCTGTCTCGAACTTTTCGAGAATAAAATATTTAATAGTTGTTTGTGGTAGCTGGAGAATTCTTGTACATATCAGTTTATTTCCATTGCAGACCTCAACAATAAAAAGTTTATGCTTTTCAAGAATTTTCCTCTCGCGCTTCTCAATTGAATGCAAAAATAATTTTTTAATGAAATTCTTGAATACATTTTCCTTACTTAAAAAAAGGTTTTACTAAAACCTTTTGCAACAAACTTGTCAGAAAACTGACGTGGTTGTTATTTTGGTATCTACAATAACTTTAGTTGCAATTTCTTCCTTTGTTGTGCGTAAATAGTTGAATCATCACCAGACATTAATGGAAACGGTGAAAGCATTGAATAAGAAATAAGAAAATCTAATTTTCCTCACTGCTCCTCTTCCTTTTCTCTTTCATCTCATGTATTGCATTTATTAGCTATTATAACAACCCGAAATCCATTTTCATGAAATGAAAAGATTTATTATCCCTTATTACAGAATTAAAGTCTCTTTCCCAACATTGCTTTTTTTTCCTTAACAACTTCCATGCTCGAGTTTTCAACGACGATTTGCCTCTGAGAGCGGATTAAGGTTTGAATGGCAATAAATTTATCACCTGAATTTCCCACTCGATTTAGACGGCGGCTCATCTTTCACTCTTACAATGTGACAAACAAAACTCTCTGTAATGGAAGGAGATGAACAACTAATATGCTGAGATATTTGCGGGGTATTTTTTCTTTTAAAGAGTTCAGAAATGTTTATAGGAAAACGTAATTGGCATTTTACGAGAGTCAGAATTTTTTTTTCATGTTTTCATTGCAAATAATAAAAAAAATTGTTTTTAAATAATTGCTTGCTATTTCACATGAAATTAAAATTAATAATACCTTGTTTGTTATCCACGTTATACGTATCCGGTAATTAAATAGTAAAATAAAATTAAATCAAATTTTCACCTCAATTGAAAATAATTTTTTTATAAATTTTCTATTGAAAGTTTTTAATAACAAGTTTGCAATTTAAATTTCAAAATAACTTCTGAACACATTTTTTCATTAATTATTTATGCTTCTTCCATCATCCATCCATCTACAATGAAAGCAAATAGATTTGAAATTTATTTACTTTATTTTTCACGCCCGTACTCTCTCACCTTTTCCAAATGATTAAGCTTGAAAGTAATTTGTATTTATTGATTTTTTTGTCATGTCGTGAGTGTGAGATTAATTTTCACCTTTTTCCCTTAATTCAATTATCCGAAGCAAAAGTCGTTTTTCCTTTTCCTTAAATTTTTTTTTCTTTTTCTCTTCCTTTGCCTTTTTCTCACCATCAATTTGGTTAAATACCCTCGATCTCATTTTCGTCTTGTTGTCTCGTCCTAATTTCCTTAAAGTGTCTGCTGTTTAATTTATTTTCTACACTGCGCAAACTGCTATAAGTAGGAGAAGAAATTATGGGTAAAATTAATTATAATGCACGTTTGAGTCTACAATAAATTTCAGAATCAAAACCTTTAACATGGGTGAGTTTTGTATCCTGCATCATCAACTTTAACCTTCCTTGTCGCTTGCAAAGAGCAAATGACACTTTCACCCTCCCACCCTCCCCGCAATCCGGAATAAAGTAATGAACAACGAACGTTAAGTATTTAGTTCCACCCAATTCATGTTTGTTGTGCATGAACGTGTAGGAAAATTAATTATGAACATAATTTCTTACTTTTCCTGAATGTCGTTTCTGTCTCGAGGCATACATAAGCAATCATTGTGTGTTTGAATTATCTGACATTTAACTGTGCAGGCACAATAATTTTATGTGTTGTTCTTTCTGTTATTTGCAGCTTTTATTTAGTTTCAATTTCTTTGACACTTTCAGGACTTTTGCATGTTGCAATTTCTATTGCAACTTCATTAAACTTTTGAGCATCAACATTTTCTTACACAACTTTACACAATACTCAACAAAACTTCTTCCACATGACAATTTTGCATCATATTATGCATAAGAAAATGTAATTTTTTATCTCTTGCTGCAAACATCTGAACATTTTCTATTATTTGAATTATTATTTTCGAGACAACAAAATTTTATGTTATTGTGTTTAAATGACACAAGAAAATATCTCATTTGGATGCATTTTTTTTCTCTACTTTTCCTCATTTTAAAGTCATTATTTTTGAACAAAACTGATTTATGATGCGATGTTTTGACGGAAGAAATAAGTTGAGATCGTGACGGAGTCAAGTTAACTAATAATGAGATCATTTCTTAAATATTCCCAGAATAAATTAATGCAAACTGCTTACATTAATTATTCACACAAACCTTGTTGAAATTTTCATAATTTCATTTCAAGAGTAGCGCTTTTTGTTTACATTATTAAAGCTTAGCGCTGATTAAATTTGTTGGAGTTAAACAGTTAAACGGCGTTATGAATTTAAATGTAAAAACAATTTCATTCTTTATGAAACTTTTTTTCATATTTTATGAATGTTCGGTTGAATGTCAAATCCTACGTTTAATTATTCATCACTCATTGATTAACTCTTAACATTTTAGTAAAATGTTTCAATGAAAATTCACAAAAAGTTGTGTCGAAACGATTCATCGAATAATTTTCTTGTTTCCCTCTATCAACAACAATGTGTAAAAAATTGACCTAGACAGGCGTTTTCAGAGACTAAACATTTACTCAAACAACGATACCCAAAACTACCGGATATTTATTATTCACCACATATGGTTTCAGAAGAATTTGGCTTTGTTTTCCGGAGTATGCTTTTTAAGCTTATCTGTCAGGGTTGTTAAATTTCAAATCAATCTTCAGACTTTGCAAATTGTGATTGGATATTGATATAACATTAAACGATTATCCTTTTATTAACTCAGTCAACAACCCTGTCAGTTCTTTCGATGACTTTGACTTTACTTCAAATATACACAAGTAGGCATTCCTATAACAACAACAAACACAGAAAACTTTTTTTGTTTGCGTTTAAATAAGTTTGAATGAAATTATATATCTACATGTATGTTTGGAATGATATTAAATATCAAAAATGTAAAAGAAAAGCGAAAAAGGCGCTCATTTTTTATGGGCATTTTTATTTTTTGCTTAAAGTATAAAAATATTTCCCACGAGTATAAAAGCGCTTAGAGAACGTTTTAACAGTTTGCTTTTTTGTCTATTTAGTGTATTGGTGTTGTTTTTCTTGCTGTTACTGTTTTGTTGCTTGCCTCATCAATTTTCAGAAAATAAAACTCGTACTCAATTCAAGCTACTCGAAAAACGCTTTGATTCCTCTCATTCCCAGAAGCTGAATTGCTTGCTTCACGCACACAAAAAAAAATTTATGGCAGACCAAACACATTGTTAAAATATTTTTTACTCTTGATATTTTAATATGTTTTTATTGCCTTTTTTATTCTCTTTTTTTCGGAAGGAAAAAAATGTTTGCGTTAGAATTACGAGCGACTTTTTAAACGAACAACGATTGTTGTTGCATGAATCTCATGCAGCTGACTCTGAATTTTGAATTTATAAAAAAAATCGCCCAAAAGCTCTGCAAAGTTGAAACAACGACTACTTTATGTTTACAAGTTCAAACATTTAATGTGGAACGATAAATTATTGAGCTTTTGTATAGCGAATACTTTCAGGAAGGGATTTAGTGGACAATGTTTTTGTTGTTGAATTCTGTGTTTTAATTATTGTATCCCTAAAACCTCAGCTAAAAATAAAGCAAATGAAGACTGTTCTGGAGACGAATATTTCATGTAGATGAACGCATTCTATGTTGGAAAGACAAAAACCTGGAAATTGTTGGATATTCTCTTAGTGTGTGACATTCATGTGTGACACCGAGTTTGTCGTTTCATTATTTTAAAATGTTCATATTGTAATTAAAACTTCAACAACGAAGTGTATGCATGTAATATCAATTAAGAGATTGAACGCCTCTCTTACTTTGTTGGGGTGATTTTTCATTAATTTTCCTTTGTCTGCTCAATGCTTAGACTTTTGCTGCTTCAACTTTTCAATGTGCGAAATTTTCTTCGTAAATCTCAAATGCTTGAATGAGAGTTTTGATGAAACGACGTCGAGAGCTGACATAAAAGTATCATTTTTAAGCTTGTGTTTAAATTAAAAAAAATGAAACAATGTCTAGGATGGGCAAATTTTGATCCCTGTTACTCTTGTTGAAGTTGGAGTTTATCATGTTTTTGTATTAGGACAGGAATCGTTTGCAATGTCGATATTGAGGTCAAAAGATCAATTTTAATGATGCAGAGAATAAATTTTGATATTTTCACAAAGCCAGACATTATGCAACGATGGAGGATTAGCAGACAGCATATTTTGTCGTGTTTTACAAGATGTGCATATAAATGAAGTCATTTGTGTCACATAACTCTTAATTTCACATTTTTTTTAATAACGTTGAGTTTTTTTCCTACTTGCACTCCGCCAGACGAACAAATCATTCGAAAAAGGAAGAAAAAATTCATGCAAGAAAAAAAATGTCCACACTTAAAGTTCACACGTTCAAGAAATTAATTATTGTGCATAGTATCCTAGTCGTAGCGACTTTCATTCTTGCGGGATTTTCAGTAAAACTCCTGGGAATCATTTATGTATGCAACGGCTGTTGTTTCAGGTTTCGTGATTGTTGAATATAAAATTGATTCCACAATTTTCAAGACAGAACTAGCTAGATAGCTATTTGCCATTTGGAAACAAGTCAAAAATGTGGAATAGCTTAATGTTCTCAATCGAAAATGTCAAAATCATTCAATACAGACAACGTTGCATAAGTCTGTCTACATTACGCAAGTTTGCATCCCATGCATGAAACCAACGATTGAAATCTGTTGGCAATGTTTATAAATGACGTCTGATGTTGTTAATAATGACATGAGCAAATCTGATTTAAAAGAATATTTTATTAAATGTATCTTCATAAAATGATATTAAATGTTAAAGGAGATGAGCTTACTTTAATTTCACTTTTAAATAGTTTCTGTGATTGGCTCAAGTCTCAACAGATTTCTCGCTGACAGCCGTTCTCGATCATATTATTAATGGAATCTTAAATATAAAATAAATAATTCCTGTTTGGCCTGAGTTCAAGAAAAATTATGAATGAGTTTTCCGACGAAGTATTTTCTTCTTAGAATAAAATTTAATAAAAAAGTTGAATATTTCTTCGTCACGGAGTGATATTGTAAGCTTCTTGACGGATATGGAAAATCTCGGATGAAATATAATGATCAATTAGCCATACAACGACAGATTCTCATCGAGTTTATCTGATTTGGCAAGAAATATTTACGATTTAAAATAATTTAAGAAAAATAATAAAGAAATATTTGAAAGATTCTCGCTCTGATTTATAAAATGAAAAATCATTACGGATCCGAATAAATTAGTGAATTAATAAGTGATTTTTTATTACCTTTTAACAGCATCAGATTCACGATAAGAGATTTAAAAATAGGAAGAGAATTAGCATTTCAATGTGATTCTAAGTCTTATGTAATCACAATGTTAATCAATTTTTTATCATTTTTTTGCCTTCGGTTCATTTTCCTACTTTTTTTTTCCTTTTTACACTCAATTCACATTCGAGTCAGCAATTCAATTGTTAGGAAAAAATCATGATAAGGGATTTCACCCCCCAATATCCTCAGTCAATTGTTCACAAAACTGTTCGATGTATTTACGTAGCACATCAAATGAAGTAGAAGAGACTAAAACGAACCCACATCAAGCGAAAAGGGATGGATGAGAGGCAACGAGAACAAAGACAAAGAAAGAAGAAGATAAAGCAAAAAAATTGCATGAAAAATGGTATCATTAAAAACAATAGAAATGAAGACAGAAGCAAATTTACAAGAGGAAATCCTATGAGCGAAGAAGTGCATCCGAAGCAAACCAAAAGAGAAGAAATTCACGACCTCAAAGAGGTTGATCGTGCCGTTTTATAAATCACGTTTTAATGCATGAACAATATAACTATTTAAATTGGCTCAGTCTATTTTCATTCTTTTTCTTTCATTCCCAGCCAGCCAGCCGTCGTATTTTTCTACTTCGAACAGTTTTCTCTTATCTACAATTTTCTCATTTTTATGCTGTTGTGTGCAAGAAAAATACTCGTAATAGAATGTAATTATGTGAAACAAACTTAATGCTTTCTGCACTTGAAGAAATATTATAATGCAGATACGTCGAAAGATCTAACTTCACATGCCATTTATTCAAAAATAAGGTCACGCTTTACACTTCTTGGTAAGATTTTTAATGTTTCAAATGCTGGCTGATGCATATGAAGTTTGAAATTGCTTAAGTAAACATTAACAGTTCCATAAAAATTCATTTTGCATAAGAATTGAATGTAAACTTTACGTTACCAGCATTCTCATCCTGTTTAGCCACTTTCTACGGTTTCTTTCTCAAGAATTTAAATTTCCTTTCTTTTCAAAAAGAAAAGTTAAATATTTATTTCTTTCAACCTTCCTTTGTGACAATTTTCCCTTTAACTTTCTTTATGAAAATTCAAGTGAAGTCTTTTAAATTTGTTTGTGAACCAATTTACTACTTAGGCGCCTTTATTGCGCACCATTTGTACTTTAATGTGTTTCTAGGACATTTGATAAGCACCGAAAATTAGTACGCAGCATGTTCAAAATGTAAATGATAAGGAATCGTAATTTTGTGGAACAAGCTCCCACTCGTGTTACGGCAATTAGGTAGTTCTTTTTAAGTCTTTTTTTTCTGTAATGGTTTAAGAAGGAGGGAAATTAATTAATGAAAAGTCTTTCCTAAATGATGTTATCGATCAACTTTATTATTGTATTCCTGTGCTTAACAACAGTTAAAAATGACAAATGAGATATTTTCGATTATATTTTCTATTATTTACGTTGATGATGCCAACAAATATTTCAAAGTACTTTTTTTCTAGCTAAAAATTGACAGAATTATGTTTATGTGTAAATAACAGGAACCACAAGGAAAATATTAGAAATTTGGCAATTCAACTTCATTTCAGAATTTCAATGATACTATTCTTGATATTAGGTAGAAATTTATCTACTCATAGTAGAGTGGGTGGAATGTTTGAAAGAAATGAAAACTTTCTATCTAATGTTTTACCAGAATATCTCGTTTTATAGTTTCTAAAGACGACATTTTATTTGTATACTCTTGTATGATTACTTAAATGAAAGTTTAACGAAGGGAGAAAAGCCCAATAAATTAAATTTAACAATACAAACTTTTAAAATTGTCTTGGGCAGCAATCCAAAATGAAGCTTGAATGCATTAGCTTTTACATTAACGTTATATATGATACAACAGCAAGATATTAAAAAGATAAAGAAAAAAGACGATTTGCTTTAATTCTCAGGTGAATTGTCTCATAAAATTTTATTCGTTTATGCTTACCAAAACAATTTAAAATTAATTAAATTTGACAATTTCTAAAGAAATCAATGTGAGTGAGAACAACAACATGAATGGCATAAGTTTAATTCTTTGTAAAGCTCTTTTGAAGTGTTCATTCACTTTTAGCATAGCAAAACTGCCACTGACATCTGATATTGATTCAATAGCAAATTAAATCAACCTAAAGACCAATAATTCCAATTGATTATACCTAAACCATTTAATGGTATTTTAAATGACATTTTAAATCGATTACTTACTCTATAATATGCTATTTAATGATTTAACGCATTTAATCACAATGCAATGCAGATTTATAAAAGTACTGCAATGTTTTAATGAAATGAGAAATAAATAACAAGAGTTGAAGCTTGAAAGCGCCTCATAAAAGCTGATTTCTTATCATAACTTCCTAATAAATGCAAATTGTTTGTGAATTCTCATAAATCGAAAATTAAAATGCAAATTGAGTTGTTCATGTTTGAGTAAAAGACGAAAACTAAACATTCATAAAGTACTCGCGTGACTATGTAGATGCTTCGATAAAATGATAAAGAGAAACAACGAGGTTTAATTTCAGTCGTGAATTGCCTATCTGGTTTTAGATTTCACCATTTTTTCCTCATTCCTCATTGCGTGGAAGTCACAAATATAAAAGTCGTGAGAATTTATGACATTAACTATTTAGTGGAATTATTATTTATGGATGTGTGTGATTTTAAGTGTGAAAATTATTAATTAATTTTAAACCACATACTTTGTGTCATGGTATCTATGGTGTCTATGTGCATGTACCGTTTCCAACCCTAATGCATCAAAAGCTAAAATAAAACATTTGAAAATGGAGATTTTAATCTGTGACGGCTAGAAAAAGAGAAAAATGAAAATATTTTCCCATTTTTGCTCGTCTGTCTTAAATTCTAATTATAAAAGAATAACAGAAGAAAGCAAAAATAATTTCAAGTGACTTTACAAAGTCTGTAATTGCGTCTGTGTTAATTAAATCGCAGAAGCAAGAAATATCTAATTTCCTCGCTGTTTAATTTTCAAAAAAATAAAAAATAAAAATGCGACAATTTTTCACGCAATATTTAATCGTAGCTTTCATAGAAAAATACTTGTACTTAAGACATTCTTCTGCGACAGTTTTTGTCGCAAATGGAAGAAAGAATTTAATTTCAAGTGAACAAAAAATCTGAAAGATGTTTCAGCAGCTCGTTTCACCGTCGGTTTCTTATTTGGGAACGAGAAGAGTTATAAAGTAGAATGAAAACTCGATCTTCTCCTGACAAATTGCACAGAAAAAATTAGATTTAATATCTTGCGTCGTAAATTCACATTACAGTTATTTTCTTCTTCTCGTGCTCACAAACACACACACACACATATGCTCAATTACCTTTCCTTCGAACATACTAAAACTAAAGATTCCTTTGGCTGTTTGCATAACAAGCACATACTTTTCTCTACTTTACGTTAGCCTAATTGCATCATTTTACTCACAACATAAACGGCTAGCCATGCTTTGTCACGAGCAATTTAACTAACAATGCTGTCAGCATCGTCAATAAATTTTAATTATATGTTCAAATTTATGCTTTATTCAGATTCAAATTCAGATTTCAAAAAAATATCAATGAACAAAATAATAAAAAATCTGATTTCGAAATATTTTTTGTCAAGGTTCACGTCGATGCTTACTTGAATTCTTTAGTCATATTAATCTATGAAAATTGTCTGAATCTGAGATAATTTTGGTGAATTGTTTTATTTTTCTTTCTCTTCTTTTCAATAACGAAAAAAACAAACAAAGGAAGATAAACTTTCGGTACGAGAATATGATGAAAGTTATTGTTTTATAAAACAACTTTTTACGTTTAGGGAAAAAAAGGATTTTACCTTTTTTTGAAAAGGTGAAAGATGAAAAAGAAAAAGTGGAACAATGAATGAAAAATGCAAGGAAGTTAGCACCCAATTTGAAAACCGGATTTGAATTCATATCGTGAAATTTTTGTTTTAAACACAGCATGAGAATGAAAAGCAGAGCATGGACTATGCTGGGGGATTATATGATTAATTATCTTACATGCATGTCATCGACAGTTTTTGGAGGCAGAGATTATATCATTATATGTGTATTAGTCATCATTAGTGGCTTAACGATGAGCAAAGTCGTTCAGCACTGCCTTTTGTTGGTTGAATCGCTTAATGAAAATGATATGTCAAATGTCGTTGGTTAAAGCTTGAAAAATGTGTAATACCAGTCGGTGGGAGAAACAAACTATGCGTCAGCAGTTTTGGACATCATCTAATTGAATTTCGATTTTAACATACACAAATAGAAGCCCAAACCATTATCTTATCTTCAGTGTCGTCGATGACGCTTAAAGGGAAATGATATTATTCAGCTTTTATTTTTTAGATTTTCTTTCTTTTCGCTTCCTTCTTGTTACGGTTGCTGCGTGATGATGGAACAAGAATGATTGACAAAAAAAGACCTCGCTATGTGAACGATAGAGATCATTATTTCAGATCTTTTCTTTTTTGTGAGTGCGTGACAGAGTGTAAAGCAAAGTTATTTTTATATGACTTGAAGTGATGCTTGATGAGAAGTTCTTCCGATTACGTTCAAAGATGAGACACGAGAACAAATCTACAACAAAATTACACTCTGTAGACAGAAGTTGAGCTCTTCCCAATTTTACAAAGCACTTCTGTCTCTCTATACAATGTGTCGTTTGTATGATTGACCCCTGAAGTCTTCTAAGTCACTTTACACGAGAAATATGAGATGACGGTTTTATATTTCAATTATTCCGCTTTCCTAAACCGCAGTTTTTCAGGGACGAAACAACAATTCTCTTTATAATTCAGCATCCAAAGCGCGCCCTCCTTACAATGATTAAGTGTTTTTCTTTCGCTTACTAATACTTCAACAAATTTCGAATGATTTATCGTCTGGAAATAAAGATAAAACATGTTGTATTTTTATTGCATGCTTCGTGAATTTTTTTTCTCCTCATTTTGGATAACATTTTTTTTTTTGTGTTGGAACTTTTTGTGTGTTTTTATTTATTTTTTGTGTCACCAAACGATTTTTTTTTCCTTTCTTACGCTTTCCATTCCGTACTTATATCTAAAACAAAATTCTCTTTTTTTTACCCAAGTACTTGCGTGCTTAAAATTTGTTTGAAAAATGAAATGGAAAAATTTTCATTTGAAATGAACGACGGAGGAGTGTGAGTGTTTAATTTAGCATGTGAAATAGCACCTTTTTAATTAAAAAACTAATGGACGCCGAGATGATCCTAAGAAATGACATCGTTATCTAATGTCGAATAATTACAGAAGACGGAAATGACCTAATAACAATAAACATGTCAATAGCAACACTGATGAGCAAGTTTCGTCTGTGGGTGGAATTTTTCATTCATTTAATTGAAACAATTCCATTATTTCTTTTTGCTCCGCTTTTGCTTTTTCTTTTTCTGTGCCCATACCGAAATCCCAAGTATTTGTTCGCAACCCTTTTGCACATTAAACCGTTTAAGCTTTCTTATGAATTTTTACACAGCTCAGTTCATTAAATTTTTACGTGATTTCTTCGCGCTCCCTTACAAAATAACTTTTTCTGTTCTTTTCTTTTCAGGAAAATTGTTTTCATGACTCACGTAATAATTTAAAGCGGAGTCGACGGGAAAGTGAAGTGGTGCTACTGAGATCTACATGACGCACAAAACGAAAGGGAACAAAAAATCATTAGTTAATTCTTGTCTCTTTACTGACGTATACAGCGCAAATTCTCAAGCAAATTGTACTGTAATAGAAAGAATAATGTTTTGTGATTAATTAAAATATATGATCCAAGATTTATGAACGAGACATTTTTGTCCCTTAAAAATAGATGACATAAATATGCATGTCGTCGCATTGCAAGATAATCAACAGCTAAAGAGAGAATAAGGAGGAAATTTATAGGCTCTTGCGATGAAAGTTGTCTCATTAATAAAGAATATTGAAATCAACAAGAAGCTTTTAGCCTTCTACAACACATCATCAATAACTCGTCTGTGCTTGAGGTGTGAAGTGAAAAGATGTGAAGATTCTAAACAAATGACTGAAGTCATGCTATGACAATAAATAAAATTAACACCTTTGCTAATCCTTCGTGGCGTGTATTTATTATTTTTAAAATGTAATATGAATGAATATTAATTAAACATTCATGTGTTGCTTACACCCAATATTTGCATGCATAAATATATTTAAATTAAACACAGTTTGCTTATTTTTTTTATTCTGTTCTTCCTCAACTTTCGCTACTTGTTTACCAGCAGCAGAAGTTACAGCAATAATAACAACAGCAACTTTATATGTACATGTGAATATTACACGTTAAATCCCACAGATTTGATAAAGAGAACGGAATTGCATGTTAATTAAATTATTTGAGGCGAAATTTTCAACATAAATTTTGCATGTTTTTTAGTGGCAAACGAAACTTTGGCTTCTCACGAATACTTCAAATCATGATATTGAAATGAAAAGGCCGAAACTTAATGTTGATGTACAATCCTACCACATGATGTTATTTCTGTATGATTTATACTTTTCACCATGTGCCATGTGAGTAAATCGTTGCAATAGAATGCCTTTTGGTAGTGCACGCAAATACTCGTTTAATGAAACGTCCAAATGATTTATACTTCGTTACATGCGCACCGGTGGAAAGCGGAAAGGCAGGAAAAGGAATTTTCTCTGACATATCAAAATACCTTTTTTTATTCTTTTTCTTTCTCCATTCAATCGTCATACTGACCAGCTCGTTATGGCTCTCACAATAGTAAATGAGAAATTGCTACAATTTCTGCTGACGACCTTCATCGGAAAAAAGCATGAAAAGATGAAATGAAACTAAAAGGAAAAAAACCCTTAACTACAAAACAAGCTGGAAAATTAATGTTTCTCTTCATTCCTTTCCCTTTTCTCTCGATTCTTTTACAAATGATCTGTGGAATTGTTTTATTCGTTTCTTCTTCTACAGCACTAACTATTTACTCCATAATTCCGCCCATGCTGCTAAACGAAGAAAATCTTTAATGTTATCTTAATTTTTACACACAATTAATTTGAGAATAGCTTTTTAAAAGAGATGTTTATAGCACACAACTTCAACCCTCAAAGTTGCAAAGCTACCCCGCTTGCAATTTTTTTTCAGGGTGTTCTGATGTTAAATTCTATTTTTAAATTTTCCGAATGTTTCGAACATAGAAAAATGCAATTTTAGAAAACTTTCTTGGAAATAAATTCAAACGAAGTTTGCTATGTTGAAAGATAATAAATTTTCATGGCAATTCAAACAAGTCATTCGAACCCTAATCATATTTTCTCTCCCCTAATTACAGCTCATGATGATTTTTGAAAGTCATTGTTACTGATGCTTAAATTTTTCACACCCCATCACAATGAATCTCTGCAAAAGATAAATGTGAAATACATTGAGGTTTCATTTAACACCATCACAATGCATTTTGATTTACGACAATGAATTTAAACAGCTTTGTTTGAATTGCATTTCAAAGTTCACGTTAGAATGTCTTTTGTTAAAGGAAAATTATGTATAAGACTTTCTCATATCACTTCAGCTTTCAAGAATACTCTGTGAAAGTAGATTCAACCTTTTGACATATAGAAGGAAGGAAGGTTCACTTCCAGACAATCGAAATAATCGATTATTGACTTTTCAGTGAGCTCCGATTGTCACATGGAGGAGAAAAATTTGAAATTCAATTGCGATCTAAAAATAAATCTCAAGTTCAAAAGATCCTCTCGCAAGAAACGTTGACAAACTTCCACAATCATACAAACACGCACACGTTTCAGCTGTCTGTCGTTTATGGCCTGTATCTGAACGTTATTTTTTCTCCATTTGAATGAAATTTAAATTCATTAAATCTTTAATGGTAATTTTTATCTTCACTCTCTTGAAGTGCCTCTTTTATACAAAAATAAACATTTTATGCACATCAAGTTTTTTTTACTCGCCGTCTCTACTTCTTCTACCACCATTGCGGCTTAGAATGTACGAGACTTTTTTCAATTGAAACAATTTTCGTTTTATGTAGTTTTTATTTCAGCACCAAAGAGAATTTCAATTTGAGTACAAGTTGATTCAAGCTGTTACAAGCTTAATGAAAAGGGATCAAAACAACGGAATGATGATGAGAAATGGTCGAGTTTAACGACGCGTACAGGTACAGCCTGAGATGAACAGTGCGATATGAGACAAAGAATGGAATTTTAGAAGCGATGCTATGCACATGAAGGTTTCATTATTACTGCTTTATTGTTTCCCAGGCCATAAATTGTATGTTTTTCCTTCTTTTATTTTGTTTATGCACAACAAATCATTCTAATGTGCACTTTCACACAGATTCACTACTTCGCTTCACAGATGGAATGGAGTGCATTCCTCAAAAATATTTTTATGTGGATTTAATTATTCTCGCTTTATTTTTATGGCATTTTTTAATGTTCCTTTTACGAGATTCGAGTAATCTTTCATACCCGCCCTTCAGGCTTTGTATGTTTACGACGACATCTTTATAATAATTATGAAGAACTTGAACATAAGTAAGAAATATCATCTGTTCGATTTTTATATTTATAAATGTACAGAATAATTACTTCAATTTCATAAATTCAAACTTTGTATCACAATGTTGAGAGAAGTGAAAGACAAAGTTAGATTGTGGACAGCTGGTTGAACTTAAACTATGAATAATCTCGATAACATTTCGAAAGAAAAATGAAATATGAGTTTTTTGATGGCATGGAGAGAAAACCGCACTTTTACTGGTTATTTAACATCCTTAAATAATCCGTAGCATCGCACACTTTACAATGAATTCAGAACTTACAAAGTCTCACATTTTAATCTCTTTGAAGTTTATATTAAAGCTACATGCGAAAACATTACAATTCTGCTTAATCATTTAATTTTCTCAACATAATGCTGTTAGCTTCATCTCTCAATGTGTCTGAATGTGTGTGTATGTGGGTGAATGAGTGGGTGATTTTATTTTATTTATGCTGACTAAAACATTGTTTAAGCTTAAGCTATTTCAAAAGTTTTGGTTTCCATTTTCAGAGAATAAGCTTCGCCTCAACACTGCGTGAAATTAAACTTCGTATTGAAATTTCAAATAAATTTTAGAAAGGAAATTAATTTGAATAAAACTTGCAATCATATTTAGCTTTATACATGTTTTCATTATTTTAATTCTTCTTTTTTTTGTTTAACTTTTTCACTTGGTTTCAGCTACTTAGCAACGTCTTTTAAAATATTACTTAATTATTATAATTAATTAGATCGTTAACAATTATTAATTCTTGTATCTAGTTTACACTCAAAAGATATTAAATGTAGTATGAAGGGAAGTAGATAAAGAAAGAAAACATAGAAATGATGAAAGTTATGAAATATTCAAGCAGGTACGATCTGATGAAATGAAAGTTTGAAAAGGTAATAAATTCCAACTTACAAAATTTTAGTGTAAAGTTGCAATCTCATGCAATAATGCATTTTTCCGACATGAAAAAGAAAATTTTTCTTTTAACTTTTCATTCTGTCTGGTTGAAAATACATATACAGAAATAGGATATGGATTTACGTCAGGTCACATGCATCATGTAAGAGAATCTGTGCTTCTTTCATTCTTTCCCTCAATTTCTTTATTCTTGCTCTTTCAATGGATCCACTCAAGCAGCAAGTCTAGGAGAATGAAAATTGCGGAAAATATCGGAAAATGAAAAAGTTTTTGTTCTTATTTACAACATACTTGTTCGTTCATCTCTGTGATGATTCCATAACTTGACTGGGATAAAGTTATCAAGTGAAATTCTATGGTACCGATGAAAGGAAACTTTATGATATGCGAGATTCAGAATTTTGCTTATTTCATCAGTTTTCTGTTCTTTGAGGTATAAGTAATAAAAAAGATAACAAGAATAATAATAACAAAAACGAGGAAGAAGAATCGATCTGGTGTAGAAGATTAAAAATATAAAATGCCGGCGATCTTAATCTGTCTACATGTGCTTTCATCATCATTTTGTGATGATTCTCGCTTCAAATGTACACACTTTCAATGTCAATCAGATAAACAAACTCGCAATGCAATGTGTTGGTGACATTGATTAATTTATAAACTTGCAACAATTAAAAATCGATCAATTTCGATATTAAATCTTGATTTTCGAAGCTCAGTTGTTGATTTAATTTAAAAGTGAACTGTTCGCTAGAGATAATAAAATTAAATCGATTATTTGAAAACAAGAGAAAGGTGAAAAATGCCTCAAATACCTGAAGCTATTATAAGGCAATTGCCTAAAAGAAAGAGAGCAGAAGGCTTTGATGTCGAATATAAATTGAAATATTCTGGGACGACTGAAACTGATAAGCGCACAATGACTTTTGTCGATAATTTATGGGGAATTGAAGTGACAGGTGCCATAAATGATTTCGTAATAATGAGTTTATCTAATGTAGTGACAAAAATCAATTAGGTGGAGCGGATCAGTTCGAACCTTTAACTATTATCGCTGTCAGGCGAACGGGTCTTGCACGTCGTGCTGGTTTGTTCAACCACTCAATGACTCCTTATTCTCGCTTATCGATTGTACACATTCTTTAATAGGCATTCGAGTGGGAGACATAATAACAAAAATCAATGACACACCTGCATCGGATCTCACATTGCTTGAAGCTCAATTGGAAATTCATGAGTCGGGACGATACGTGAAAATTTTCGTTAAGGGGTATGGAAAATTGATATAACAAAGCAAATTAAGATACAACAACTAGCGAAGGTTTGATTATTTCATTTCATTATATTTAATCTAATTATAGCGATGAAGACAATGACAGCGACGATGAAAATATCTGCGATTTTTGGTTTAAGCCTTGTGAGTGAATAATGAAAGCTTTTATCTTATTTTTAGCTATTAAAATAATCTCACGGTTGTTTTATTACAATTCAATTTGATGTCTTAGACAAGCATTAAAGAAATTAAATCAAAACTTAATTTTTCCAAACATGTGGACATTCTGAGACTTATCACGTTTGATTTTGGTTGACATATCTGAAATCTTTTAGGCTTCTCGTTTTTATAGACCAATCTAAAGTTAGACATGTAGCTACTTGTAAACCTCAACTCACACACGTCGTTTATCATCCATTTGAATTCCTAAACTTACACACAAGAATTCCTTTCTCCAAGATATTTTCGCAACAAAATAAATGTGTACAAACATATCTTCGCTAAATTGTTAAAAATGTAGAAAATCTCCGGGAAGAAGAAAAAAATGAGTGTCTTAGGGAATGTCTTAAAAAAAAGGAGATTGTGCAAATCTAATTTGGAGCTGCTGTTAAATCTAATTTTAAAAAGGCTGACGTTTCCTTCTTCTTGTTTCTTTATTTGCTGTAGTAAAGAAGGGAGACCTGGAATTGATGGAATGGGAAAGAAGGCGTAAGAAGAAGCGCGAAGTAAGACTAATTCGCAAATAAGTGAAAATTGAATGCTTGACTGCTTTCTCTTCCTGTCTTTTCTTTATTTTTTTTTATCACTCAAGCTGAACATGCTTATTTATCAAGGGTTTCCTTGGAACGACAGAAGGCGCCCTATCTACAAGTAAACAACTTTTAAAGACGAGGTCAAAGTCAATCGGACCATCTGTTAACCGTCTTGAATTCTGTTTCAATTGCAGGGAATCAAACTGTTACTTGGTGCCAAGTGTAGTTCTAGAGAAGCGTGAACGCGAAATCAGATTGAAGGCAACGAAAGAAGAGTATTTGAGAAATCTTCGAGAACTGGCGGCTGAGAAAGAAGAACAGAAACGTCTTGAACAAGAAGAGCAAGAGGAATTTGAAGCTCTTGCGCGAGAGAGTGAAGAGAATTTGACAGAATTTAGTGAAATAATTAAGACAACTGAAACAACTTATGCCAGCCAGCCAGACACTTAATGAATGATGAAGTTAAAGAATAAAGTTTTCCTATGGAAAAATCAAAAGAAAAATAATGAAGATGAGTTTCTTTCTTTCTTTCCCGTTAAATTCCTCTGTCATTATTAAAGCTTAAAAGAATCTCAAACATTTGTTGTTTTTCGTCTTAAATCTTTTCAGCTCACACACAAAATGTTGTCATTTAAAATTCTTCTTATTTTGTTTTCCTTCGTTAAGCAATTGATTCGAATCGTCGAAACAGAAAACTTCAATCATTCAACTTCATCAATGCACGAGTTTGAAGGCGGGCGAGAGGGAATTTCACGAACCACAAAACACTATGCAATGAGTAGAAACAATTAGACAGTCAATTAAAGATGCAACGATAAACTATCAAGTCTCGGAAACGTGCATATCGGAAGTTTACTTAAACGAACAGTTTGACTTTTTCATTAGAAAAGAATTTAAAACTTTCTTAACAAAAGTTTAAATCTATTTATTTATTTCAATATTTTAAATAAAATTTTTCCATCTCCGTTGCCACTTTTTGAGGTGCGTGTTGTGAAAGTTTCTTCTTTTGTCTTCTCGTTTTAAACTTTCTTTTTAAAATGTTTTTTGATTAATCAGTTGAACGGAGAAAGGATGAACAGAACAAAATGAAAGAACATTTACATAACAGATTATAATTTGAAAAGTTGCAAAATAAGTTTTCTCTGAAGCTCATCAAATTTGCTGAAGGGAAGCAGTAAAAAGGAAGGAAAGATATAAAATAAAAGGAAATTTACAAGTGAATGAGAATTGAGAATAAAAAAAATTGATTAAAGAAAGTTGTTTAAAGTTCTAGAATAAAATTACTTGATACAATCGAGTCATTTAATTGCATAAACTGCTGAAATACTATGTAGCAGGTTTATTTTTAACTCTTCGTGCAATTTATAAATAAAACTTGTTGTTTCGTTGACACTTTAGTTGATAATCTAACTAGAAAATCTTTTCTCGTTTTATTTCATGTTTCAACTTCAAATAATTTAGGTCAGTACAATCTAAAAGACATTGTACAATTAGAAAGCATTTGAAAATGCCGGAACAGTCAGCAATTCATCATGAACAGGAACATTTAGCTGAGTTTTCTAAAGACTATGGAAGCCGAGATGTGTCACATGAATTAGTGGAAGAAGAACCTCAAGATATTGGTGAATTATTGGGATTTCGCATCACTGGAGGACATGACTTTTATATGCCAATTACAATCTTCCATGTAAATATAAATTCAGTCAATGGCAATATTTTATATCAAACATGACATATTTAATCAGGTGAAGGAAAACAGTCGAGCTGAGAAAGCAAATTTGAAGCTCGGTGACACAATCGTTTCCATCAATGGAAAGGACACAAGCTTCATGACTTTGGTTGAAGCAAATCGATATTTAGCAAGTGTCTCTGCAGGCGATGTTACGCTTCAAGTGTCAAAGTAAATATGAAATGTTCGAGAAATGATTCACATGACGCTAAATGGATTTTTGATTTGCTTTTAAGATTTGACGGCAGTGATGAAGATGAAGATGTTCAAACTATTGAAGAAGTCACATTAGAAGGTTAGATGACCGATTAACACTTTTTATCTCGTATTTCTAAGTGGATACGCTTAAAGATGAAATCATTGTTGATGGCTTAAAATTTTCAATTTCCAGGCCCAGCAAGTCTTGAACAAAAACTGAGGAACATGCAAAAACAGTTGCTTGAAATGACTGATGTTCCTGTTCAAATTCAATCGAAAATATCAATGGTAACGAAAGCTTTGGAACAATTTATGACAATGGATTCGAATGATCTCGAGTCAACATGGAACAGAACATCGATGGAAGAAGATGAAGCTGAAGATGCAAGCAATGACGAGAAATTTCCAATTATCGAAGAAGAAATCGATTTGGAAGAAAACAGTGAAAGTTGTGAACGATTTGAGATTGAACACTCAACTCGTGAAACGTCATTTTCGATCGATGATTTCGATGAAAGATATGAAAAGATTGAAACTGGCAGCAACGAAATTTCACTTGATGAAAAGTCGAATGTTGATGATGACGATGAGAAATCCGTTTGTGATTCGTTGATGTCGGAAGAGAAGTTGAAAGTTGAAGAAGAGAAGAAAAAGAAAAACGAGAAAATCCTAAAGTTAGAAAAGTCGTGGCAAAAACTCTGCTCAAACACGAGAACCATTCATAAGTGAGTTTAATAATTCAAAGTGTCGGTTTCAAAATTCTTAAATCCTTTGAATGAAAGTCCTTTTCATAACAACAATGAATTGCTTAACTTTATCCGTAATCTTGTGGCTTCAATGTTTCAGATACTTCACATGTCCTGATACATTTAATTTCAAGTGTTGTTGAACAACTTCGTCTTGTGAAACCTTAATGTGTACGATTAAATGTTAAACTTTTCCCGTTGTTCTTTTCCAGACGATCAAACTGCCATTTAGTTCCGAGTGTTGCGTTAATCAATAACAAGTAAGTTTAATTAACAACTCCACAACTTTGTTAAGATTAAAATCAAATCTTTCCCAACAATTCTACTTTCAGAATTAGTCAACTTAATGCATCGAAAGTTATTTCATTTTATGAACGAAAACGTTGCCCGATAAATGAATAATTTGGATTAACAAAATCTAAAAGTTTATTTTCAATTGTTATGGCTTGCAAGGTTCAGCGATACTTTTAAACATTTTTTTCTTCTTATCTGCTTTATTCATTTGCCAACAACTTGTACTTCACTTTAATTGTGTTTTTTACTTAATAAAATTTTTTATTACAAAACATTAAAAGCTCAACAATCTCAAGAGAAGTTCTTTAATTAAAATCAATAAGAAATTAAAGAAACTTTATTTGTTCAAGTCAAATCAAGTTGCTTACAAAGTTTAAGAACTATTTGACAGAAAGGTGTGAACGGAAAAGTTTCTCGAACCTTGATTTCAAATTGGTTTGTTTTTGCACAGTTAAATATGCACATTGACTTGTTCTCCGCTCCTCTTTTCCATCAGACACAACGAGGGATATGTTTAAAGTTATTTGTTGCTGCCATACAAATATCCTTCCCAAATCTTTGTTGACAAATATGTCTACGAATTTGTCGTCTGCATTCTTCGAATATTTTGTGGTAAATATAAAAGAGTCGACAGTAGTTGATGGAGAAACTTTTTTCTTTCACATTTATACCCACCCACCTATGCTAACCAGCTTCATGCTTTTAATGGAATATTTTTGCCATGGATAAATAGTTGTTGAGATGAAAAAAAATTCAAGGAAAACATAAGACTTTCCAATATTTTTTCTCTCATCCATGCTGTAGATTTGTTTCAATCTTGAAACTGAAAAAGCGCGAAATAAATTTTCGACTTTGTGTTGAAATGTTTATCTTATCTCAATAAATGCTTCTATTGATTTCAAATGAATGTTGTCGCGCGATGTATTTGCTGTTAAGGAATTTCATTTGTTTGCTTTCTTGCATTACGAAATGCGTGTTTTGTAAGTTTATTGATAGTTGAAGCCATTATCGAGAATCTCTTAATTACTTAGCTTGCTTTCAACACAACAAACGTGATAATTATACCGACACGTAACAAAACCCAAGCAACCAGAGATTTATGGAAATATTTTGAACATATTTTATAAAGAACGAGGATTGTATTATCATTATGCAGCAGAAATGTATTCATTTCGTACAGAATTATTTCCTCATATATTTTTAACATATTTTCAGTGTCACATACAAAATTAATAAAATTTTACACGTGAACATTCTTCTAGAGAAAGTCTTTTGAAAAGCAGCAGAGAAGTAACAACGAACGGGAACGGCACCCTCGTATAAAAGTCAACTTTATTCTTCTTCCTTCTCAATATAAAGTATGAATTTATTCATAAATTATATCTCTCTGTGTATTCAACTTCCACCAAAGTATTTTATTTTAAACCATGAAAAGAATTTTTCAGGTACCATAAACGGTAAAAAATTTTAATTTATTGAATCAATAAAATTCTTTAGCTCTTTCCAGCAGTGATTTAGGGATGAAACATTCTTACGATAGATATCTGCCTTCTGGAGCTTGTTAGTTTAGAAACTTTTACTTCCGCAAAATTTTAATTAAATGCTAAACCATCCATTTTCACGATCAATATCAAGCAATTTATTCAATTGAAAATTAAAAGTAAAACTTCAATTTCACGTTAGGAACTTTTAGTAGAAATTTAAATGTGAATCAATCATGTCAATGTCTGAAAAGTAGTCTGAAAGGTAAACGCTTAGACAGCATTTTTATTTCGTTTTCAGTTCAATTACTTATTTACTATCTTGGAGCACTTTTACCAATAAATTTCAATCTACAGAATGAAAAATGCTGACAGATTTTCTCATGGAATAAATTAATCCGTTTCATTAGAGTTGCTTGTGTTCAGTTATTGCCGAGTAAGGTCTCTTGAAAGCAATGTAAACAGATTCGCGGAAAGTCATTGAAAATTTGTAAAAATCACACGCAAGCAAAAAATTAATGCTTAACCTTTGTTTTCGATAAGTTATGCAATTTTTCTTAAACCCATCGTTCTATTGCGCTACAAATATATCACATTTCAAACACACCTCGTTTAAGCCACTTGAAAACATAACAAAGCGATTCCTAACCAGCCCCTGGTGATTTCTATGCATCCCATTCCATTGTTCTTTGTATTAGACACAAACAGAACAGAAAAAAAATAAATAAAAATACAGTTAAACTTCGATAAGCTGCTACTTCGATAATCAGATATCCTCAGGGGTCGGAAGCTTAACGATTTTTCGCAAAAAGCTTCCAAGCTTCCGCTTCGGCTTCTCAAAATTCTGAAAAAGCTTCCAAGCTTCCGCTTCGGCTTCTCAAAAAGATGAGCTTCTTCAAGCTTCCGCTTCCGAAGCTCGAAAACATGAGCTTCCTTAAGCTTCCGGCTTAAAGTCGGTTCATTTTCCGAACCGGTTCTTTTTGTTTGAATTTCCGTTAAACCAAATAAAAATTCAAAGCATGCTGCAATATAAAAAATTTTAAGCTTCCTTCGGCTTCTCAACATTGAAAAAGCTTCTAAGCTTCCGCTTCGGCTTCTCAAAATTCTGAAAAAGCTTCCAAGCTTCCGCTTCGGCTTCTCAAAATTCTGAAAAAGCTTCCAAGCTTCCGCTTCGGCTTCCCAAAATTCCGAAAAAGCTTCCGAGCTTCCGCTTCAGCTTCTCAAAAAGTTAAGCTTCTTTAAGCTTCCAGCTTCCGCTTCCGCTTCGGCTTCCGACCCCTGGATATCCTTGATAAGCAGATATTTTTTGGCACACACTCGAATTTGTTCNTTGAAAACATAACAAAGCGATTCCTAACCAGCCCCTGGTGATTTCTATGCATCCCATTCCATTGTTCTTTGTATTAGACACAAACAGAACAGAAAAAAAATAAATAAAAATAAAAAGGGCAATTCAAAGCAGAGATTTTCTGTCAGGATCGTAATTTTAACAATGTCAGTGATGAAAACGAGTGCTCGCCTTTTCACATGAACTTGTTGTTGTGACGCGTGTTGGTAATAAATTAATTTATCAATTTGTTCTCTCTTCTCACATTTAGGATAGGAGCTATTTAGACAAATAAATTAAACTTCCGAAAAAAGAAAAAAAAACGTTAAGTAATTATCATGAAATTACTGTCATAGTTTTAACATTTCACTTCAATGTTCGTTCTGACAAAAGTTTTGTTTTTTAATAGCCTTAAACATTGTGGCTTTATGAGTGAAATAAATGCTTTGGTTACAAACTTTTATTTCCTATATGAGTGTAAAAACACGAGCGATTGCGTCTGATTTAATCGAGATAAGATGTTGACTGATTTGAAAGCCAAATACAGAACATGAAGCGTGCACGTTATGGTTGAGATGTCAGAGTCACAAATACAAGATTTATATTTGTTAAAAATTTCCATCGCTGTTGGGAATCGTTCATTCATTCGTTCGTGTAGAAGTCAAGAATAATTCAAAAAGTTATCTCGAGGTAGTATTTTATGCAAAATAATCATTCACCAATAACGACATAATCTCGCAACTCAGACACAGAAGCACTTTAAAGGGGTTTAAAGAAGATATTGAAATTATGTTTGCGTTGTAAAACTTTTTCTTTTTCTCAGAATTTTATGTCTTCTTCACGCATCAAGCAAAAATATTTCAAGGGATGTGAACAGAACCCGAAGGAAATCGCTCATGATAAAAATGAAATTGAAAAATTATTATTTGGTCTCATAAAGTTGTGTAAATATATAAAACATGCAATTCATATCTTTTTCTCGTTCCCTAACGCTCAGCCATGTATGTAAACTAATTCGCCATAAATTTAGCTTTGAAACGGAACGGTCAGCTGTCCAAAACAGATTGTAGTGTTTTTTATGTGCCATGCTTCTCTGTTTTTTTTTTGTGCATGGTTTGAAAGCCAAAAAGCCAAAGAAAGAGAAAGAATGAAGGAGAGAATTGAATGAAAAATTATTTCTCATGACGTTTTCAGACATATTACAGTCGCATGTCTCAGGATCAAGTGTTTTAAATCAAAATTGTTACAAAGTTAGCAATTTCAAAGCTAATTGCTTGCGACTGATGTTTGTTTTAAGATTTAAATAACAAATTTTTAAACACCTTGTACAGATAATTGAAGCTAAAAAAATCCTCGTAAAGATGTTTTATGATCTTTGTGAAAGGAGGAAGTTTTATGTTAATGGTCGAAACAAGGGAAGAAGAAATTTCCGACATCAATAAACTCAGATAGAATTTTTTTTTCAAAGTCAGGATCAAAGTATAAAAAATCTCTTCAATTTATTTTTAGATCATTCATTGAAATATCAGTTTGATTAATGGAAAAGATTAGAATTACATGACTACATTAAGAATTCCTTCATTTTAATGTGCAAATGAATTTGTATTACAAACCCTGACTCAGCTAATCTTTCCTGAATGAAATTGAGGAATGGAATTTAAGGCTGTCAGTACTGTGCAAACATATTGAATTGAAAGTCTTTCCATTTACTAAGTTTTTAAATCTACAGATGCGAAATGCATTTTAAAAGATATTAAATATATAACGAAAACATTAAGAAGATTTTCACAGCTCTTCCCACACACGAGAAAAAGTGTTTTACTATTTGTTAAAACTCGTGAAAAAGAAACTTTAAGTGTATAAAATTTATTTGCTGTTTGTTGGTTGTAGCCATGTTTATGGCTTACAATCATTATAATCATCGTTTCAAGTACGTAAATTTTTTATCTGTGACAAGCAGTTCAGAAAAAGAATTTTTGCACACTGAAAGTAAAATTTTCTCGACAGATTACACACGTTTGTCATTAACTTTTCAAGACATATCAGATTTAATTTTTCCCTTGGTGGAAATTTCGCATAACAATTTAAATATCGATTTTTTTTGTCTTTGCTTTGTCGTTTTCCTGTACAACAGACAATAAGTTTGAAACGGTTCATGGCTTATCGTAGGTGGTGAAACAATCAGTTCAACAATAATCATAAAAAAGAATCTTTCCTTCTATTTGAATGATTATTTTATGGTAACAGAAATTTATATCAGTTTCAATTTAATTCATTGAAGTGAAGAAAAAGAAACAGATCGGAGTGGAATGGAAAATAATAACGTGGAAACTTCACGTCAATAGCTTCATGTGTTTATTTTTAACAGGTGATTATCTCTCGACTTTAATCTTATCAGCTTGAAAAACAAACATTTTTCGACTCGAAATTTCAAAATCGATTTTCTTTAAACTCTTTAATCCAAATATCTATAATTTAAATTTAATCTGACATCATATTTAGATAAGTGACTATTACTCAAAATAAATCGTTAATTTTTCAACAAATCCTAAGCTTGTCATAATACTAGAGTAAAAATAAATTATCACATGCGTAAGCTCAAATTGTTCACGAATTGTTGTTTTTAAAACAAAGAAAGAAAATTTATTTTCTTTGCTCAACTCGTTTTACTCGATTGTATCGCATTAGCAAAAATAGAAATATCTTGACAGATGTGAATCGGTTTTCCTACTCGCGACTGTCGTACGCTACCAGAGACGATAAAAATATCATAAAAAAAAACACGAACTGAACTCAAAATACGTCGTTTAAGTCTTAGATTTGAAGTTCATTAAGTAAAAATTATCTTATCTCATTCCAAAAAATCACGTTACACAAAAACGCTTGCTTGAAAAATGCGTCAAAGCCAAAGTGTGATGAAAACAGAGAACTCACTTAAAAAGTGAAGATTAGCTATTTTTTAATTTGATTCCTGAAAGTTAGCCGCGAAAAACATTGAAATTCCACCCAAACACAGCGTGTTGGGCAAAATGAGCTTGGTCGTGGTCATATAATTAATTGCGATAGCTTTAACAGCGGCACACAACAAATTAATTTGATTACAAAGCGGCAATTTAAAAGCTAATTGGGGTATTAACATTAAAAACATGATGTTTCAATTAAAATGTAAATATAAATATTCTTTCTAAATTAAAATGTTTAAATCTTCGTGGAAGAAGAAAATGAATAAGGAAAAGAGATTCTTCGCCTACAATTCTATCGCATTCTTATTGTAGTCTGTAAGTTTATAAATTATAACAAATTTTCTTTTCCTCTTCGTCGATGAACAGTTTACTTACCTCGGCGATGAGTTTGAATGAGTAAACATCGAATAAATTTTACAATTAAAGATTCTCGTTTGCTTGATGTTTATAGCTCTGCACACTGCGGTGCTTCCACAAAAAATTGTAAATTTTCAGAGTTTTTCTCGTCTGGGCTTAGATGAGTGTTTTCACACGTTTTTAAATGAATCGGTTTTTTATATACCATGTGGTGACTTGATCTATCAGATGCTAAAACATCAAATACCGGCGGGAGAATTATTCACACATTTAATCTCAGCAATAATTTATCATATCGTTGGGAGTTTTGATTTTATTAGATGAAGTGTCGATGACATTATAGTGATGCAACCTCAGGCTCATTAAGAAATATTTTTGTGCGGTTAGTCAACATTCAGCCGACGCTAAAAATCCACAGAGGAAAACTAAATATTTTAATGATGCTTAGCGGCTGTTTTTCCTTTTCGTCTTTTATAATTTTGGAAGATTTTTCTTTAATGAAACTTTTTTTTCTTCTGCTAAGCACATGCTTTTGTGGTTGGTTAATCGTTTGTAAATCATGACTTTGTAGAAAAAGAAATATGAATAAATAAGAAACAATTTAATTTCATCAGGTGGTTTTACGCCTTTCATGAGTCTTGTTAAGAACCCCAAGCGAAGACAGACATAAATGTTTATTTAATTTCTAATCAAAATAAAAGACTTAAACCTTTGATTGAATGATAAGTTTCATAAATTTTCGAGAAATGACATCGATTAGTTGATAAGAACTTAAATCAACTCGATAGTTTAATTCTCGTTCTGTAGTAGGAAGGCTAGTCAATGAATGAAACAAGAACATGCAAACATCAAGTAAGTTTGTTATGCAAACTAATTAGTCGCAACACGACATTAAAGTTTTTTAAATGTCAAATTAATTAAAATCAGAAAAAAAATGTCTCCCTTTCCTTTTTTCTCCTATTTCGTTCCATTTGATGTGTCTAGGAGTCGACATGACTTGACGTAAGTCGTAGGCCAAAGTAAAGTAAAAAATGTCGAGAGTTAATGTGTGCGATGTCAAGTCGTTATACGATATCTCATCAAAAGTGACCTAAATACATTTTTGCCGGTTAATGTTATTTACGTAGAAATAATTAATCATTTTTTTTCGTCTTCTTTTTCATGCTGAAGAAATTGATGAGTTTCTGTCACAGCACAGCGAGAATTTTTGCTGCCGTTTATGAAAAAGTGTTGAATTCACCTTTCGGTTAACCTTTTCAAAATCTAATCTTGATGTTTAGATTTTGCATCGTCATTTCATGGGTTATGTTGAAAGTAAGACAGAAACTACCGGATGAAAAAAAAACCAACACAATTTATGAGCTATTCATGGTATAAATTGAAAAATTTATTGCTCTTCGATGCTTCTTCTCATGACATTCTCTGCCGATATCTTATTGAAAATTTTCAATTTCTCTTCTAAAGAATAAACATATCAAGCAGAATTGAATTGTTTCAAATGCTATAAATTATATGAGGGAAAAAAGTTGGAAGCTGGAGTGTGACTTCTCGCGGTTACAAGGTTAAAATTTATTATCATCATGTGGAAAGTGCCTGAAGGAAAATTGAAATCAGAAAATAAATATCTCGTTTCGAACGACATTCGAGACAATATTTTGCAGCATTTGCGAGTCGATAAATAAACTTTAAAGGTCTTTCTTTCTCATACTAATCTGAAGTAAATCTTCAACGACTAAAATGCGTCATAATATTTTAAAATTAGAAAAAAACTGAATATTTTTAACTTTCCTTTCTCTCCTCAAGAAAAATCACGGAGATGAATAATCTAAAGGAGAAGAAAAAGTGTTTTTAATGAACGAAGAATGCTAGTTGAGTTACTTTTCAGCTGTATGAGAAACGATATTAATTAACACTTAAAAATAGAAAGAAAGAAAAATATAAGCATTTTAAACAAACATTGGTTTTGGAAATATTGCCCGAGAAACACTTTACACAAATCATTATCGCTAAATCTCGCATGTTGCGAGACGAAGCAGAAGCAAGCAAACAAACATCGAAACTAAATAAAAATCGGTAGAATGCTACAAAAAATAAAGAATGAATTCAGTTTATTTTAAAAATAAATTCATTTTTTCTCTGAACTGAACCAACTGACTCGCTTGACTTGACATGTGTCAAAAATCGGCGGTTCTTCTCACCATGCTGTTCACTATAACACCACAACATCGAGTGTTTAAGAAAACTTCAAAAAACGAAATGAAAAACGTGGAAGAAAAGAAAAATCATCTCGGAAATGTGACACATTGATTACAAGCCGAAAGCCAAACCAAAACGAAAATTTGTGTAATAGAAAGAAATATGACATCAATAAGATTTACGGATCATCATGTGATTTACTGTTTGTTAATATTTTTGTTGGTTTTTCATTTCATAAAAATTGGATTTTCTAGTCTCTCGGTTTTCCTCGCAACTCGACGCTATAAATATTCATCCGATTCACATTCGAAGTCGGACAGAACAGATTATAATCTACTAAGTGCCGAAAGACTCAATTCTAGAGACTCAAAACCAAAGCAAAGCTAATCGTGAATCATAGACATCGAATACAGAGATTAAATTAATTGACTCCACATGATTCTGTTTCTCTTCTTCGTTCAATGCATTGCATGATGATGAGAAAGGGGAAAAGGGAAAGGTGGAAAATATTCTCAAGTCAAATAGAAAAGAGAAAGACAGAACGATGAAAGTTTGTTCAAAGTTCGAACCCTTCTGCATTGCATCGATTTAACTAAGTAAAAACTTCTGAACACTTCCTGAATTTACACAACAGTATAGCGAATTAATTCAGTTTCATTCGCTTTTCAATAAATTTCATGAAATATTTATTTTTCATTCGTTATTGTATCCCTGATTGTACCTGCATTGCAGACTGGCAGTTAAAGTAAAAAAGAAAAAAAAAATTACGAATAAAATTGCAATAAAAAAATTTGCTGATTTTAATTTTCTTCAAAAACTTTATTTTTCTGCTTTGCTCGTTGTTGCTGCTCTGCTGCACTATTGAATATTGAAATGCAAAACGAAAGAAAAATTCTTTTTCCCACATAGAAAAAGTGTACATAAAGTTTTATAAAATTGCTTTATAAGGCCATTCATTTCCAGTTTACTACCAGACATGACCCGCTGATTTCCTTAGTCCTACAAGAATTTTTTTTCATACAGTCGACGCTCTATAAATGGAAGCTCTGTGAGAAGAAAAGCTCCATACATGACCACCCCCTCAACTTCATTTATATTGGAAAGCCATTACATAAGAAGAAAAGCTCCATACACGACTATCCCCTTCTGTTTCCGCTTATAGCGATTCGACTGTATTTAACATTTCAGAGTTAAATCTTCATTTATTGACTTTGGTAAATATTAGAAGCAAGCAATGACATTGTATTGTAGATAACTTAATTTATTAAATACACCTCAAAAAGGTAGCGTAAATGTTTTCTTTGACACTCAAATGTACGACAGACACTCTAAATATAATTACCAAATGTTTTCTGTATTTTCCTATTTCGCACCTTTATTTATCACTTTTATTCGCCCGTCTGAATGCCTACCCGCGTGTTTTGTATTATACAGAAGTTTTTGAAAGGTAAATATACGAGTTTGTTATTTCGTTATCTTATCTTACATTTATTCGCCCGCTATGGAATAAAATGCCTGATGCTATGCGGAAATGAAGACAAGAAGAAAATTTTAAATTGGTAAATCGCGATACAGGATTTGAAATCGTAAAATTCCATTCATTTTACATTCCTTCCAGAAAAAAACAGCATAAAATTGATTAAAATAAACGACAGTGTTGTCGGTCATGTGCTCAAGTAAAAGTTGCTAGTAAAAAATTTTATGGCGTCAATGAAATGAATAATTTCTCGGCTTTATTGAAAAATTGGTTGTTTGACCTTTAATTATTTCATATCATTTCATTTCTTTTTATTCTCACTTGTAGAAGTATTCGAAGTTAATCAAGAATGAAATACATTTACATAGAAATTGCACAATTCGAAATCTGAATTGAGTGTCACGTGATTGTAGAGAAATAAGTTCTATTAATGTTATCAAAATGTGTGAAGCGACAGCAATTTTAAGTCAGATTAAATTTCAATGTGAAATGTTTATTAAATTCATAAAAAGAATTTGATAGCTAAAATCGCATTAAAAATATTTTCACATACCTTCTCGTTTGACACAAAACTGTTTTGACTAGGATGATGAAAATCACTTCAATGGAATGGGGAAGGAGAACGATGCTTCAGAAGGTAAATTTTCAGGCTTTTAGACTAAGTTTTAATATTCTATCTAATTAAAAACTACAGACTAAAAACAACTACGAAAACTATGCTTCTAAGTTGAATAATCTCCGTGTAGCAAAACGAAATTGTAAAGCGTTGTTTCCCGACACTTCCCATTATCACTTTAATAGAGTCAAATGAATAACATTCTTAATTAAAGTCGATATTCTATACCCGATATACACACTTCACTGACAAAAAACTGACAACTGAAAAACGAAAAATATCTACCAAAACATAAAACATACGAAAAGGCAAATCACGAAATATATTTGAGAGAAGAAATCTCTCGTTTCTCTCGGTACGACGTCGGTTGCTTTTCTTGTCGTCGCGGACTAGAACTTTTTACTCTTTTCGCTCAATTCCTTCTCTCTCGTGTCTGTTCCAAATGTATTCGATGAATAACATCATCATCATCGTCATCATCATGTGCCGTGTGCCGGGTTTTCGGTAGGAATCGCAAAGAAGTACAAGCGACGAAATAAAAGCAAAGGAGAAAGAAAATAAAGAAGAAAAATCGATTTTCATTGAAAAACTATGAGCGAAACACCGAATGTTGAGCCTACACACAGCTTGTATAGCTCGGCATCGCATACATTACAGAAAATCGCACACCATCGTAGCATGAGTAGAATGAACAAAACTTTTTTTTTCCTTTTGCATTCATACTTTCTATTTATTCTACCGTCGTCATCAGACAAAACAAAATGAAATGGATCGCAATATATAAGCCAGCGGAATTGCACCTACAATTGTGTCTGGTTTCTCGTTCTCACCTGTGTCTGACCGCAGAGCAGCATACAATTCGAGAAGTGCAATCATATCACTATTTCGCTTCGAGACTCAACTCAACTCGCTTGAGAGAGAAAATTGCATTCAATAAAAAATCATTGTCAATTACGTAACGATATCAGTTGTAGACCAAAACATTTAATTTTTAATGCGATAGAAGAGCGACAGACACTAACAGTTTTTCCTTTTCCCTCGTTTTTATTCTTTCATTCCTTTTTCCTTTTGATACTTCACGGAGAGACCGGAGAAATGTTGAAAAGAATGAGAGAGAAAGATATCAAGAAAAAAAGTAAAATTTATGAAAAAATACTCATAAACTCAACGAGCTAAAATTTTGTGTGCTTTCTTCCTGCTGATATTGCTACACCTTCCACAGCCTGATTTTTTAACCCCAGGCCCAACTCTATACGCTCCCTTAACATACAAAATTCATTCTACGTCGTTTACTCTTTCGATATGTCACATACAACTATTTTATGCTTACTGTGCTGTGATTGTGACTCGATTGTATAAAATTGATTGTTATTAATTGAACAATAAAGTAGAAAAAAAAATTATAAATAATACTTTATTCATATAAAGAAATTCACTTGTTAATTAATTGGCGAAAAAATTACGTGAGTTCATAGCAAAGTTTTATACATTACAAAGATATATCTACTCGAGTACTAGAGCTTTGAACTGCTCAAAACAGCTCATGAGAGATAATTTTTAGGCGTGCGAGTTGTAGAAAGAATTTCATGTGCTTTTTTGTTTTTATTGCCTTTACACATCCCGTACAGACATTTATGTTATATATTTTGCATAATTTATGTTCTATGACTTGAGCTCGTTGAGCATTAAAGCACTTATTTACAGACGAGTATCAATAATGAAAAATATGTTCACTTTATAGCGGTACAGTATGAATAAAGCGGGGTAAAAATATAATTATTTCCTTTTCCAAGATATTTATGTACAAACGTACCTATGTACATATATCCACATATATATGTAGATATATGTTCCATACATGTATTATTGGAAAATTGGTTTACTATACGTAAATGTATATAAAAAGAGAAGCTGAGAAATGAAAAGCTTTGTCAAGGATTAAATGAGATATCTGAGTTTGTTTCGTTGAACAAAGATAAAATAGGATTACTGAATAGTCGACAGCATATTGCGTATATTATTTCCAGCTTTTGGTTTTTAAAGCTTTCCATCTTTTTCTCGTCAATCTTTTTTCCATCTCCTGATTAAGAAAAACTTCTTTTTTTGTCTGTTTTCTTGTGGTTGAAAAATTTGTGGATAGAAATTCTTATTGCTCAATCTTATTACCATAGAAAAGCGATGAATGTCAGCAGGAAAAGCTGTAAAGAATATTTTCGCGAAATAAAGCATGATGGGTACATATCATGTTGAGATCCCATAAATAAAATAAATTCCCTTCGTTTGAGTACAATGACTAAAAAGAAGGTTGTTGTCGTTTTTATACTTCTATATATAACTTTTTTTTGTGATTGACATATATAAATATTTTGAATCGCACACAAAACAGGCCTCGGAATTGGTATTTTATGGATTCTTAGCTGTGGTTTTCCATATGAACACAGTTGGAGCCTATCGCCGATATTCCCAACGTGAGAACGCAGCCGTCAAAATGAAATGTTCGTGAATAATAGAAAACTCAAATAACTGTGATCATTCATAACTTGCTGAAAACCTTTTCAAAGGTTTTTCTTTCGATTTTCTATAATCGAGGTTCAAGGATTTCACATTTCACAGCGTATCTACACAGGAAATCAATTACAGATGTAATGGAGAAGAAAGTTTCCTTTTTGTTCAGAATTTAAAGCAACATGAAAAGTCCAATCGAAAACTTCACAATTTAACTTTACATGTTTTCATAAATGTGATCAAAATTTTTGCATGTTTATTTGTAAAGAAACAAATCTAAAATTGAATACAAGAGGGAAATGAAAGAGAAAGTTCTAAGTTATTTTATTTATGCTGTTATTGATTTAAATTCTTGAATAATTCTGTGACCGAGAACAGAGTCATTTTCATTTTAGTCAGTATGTTGTTATGAAACCACTGTTGTCAAAAACTGAGAATAAAGTCTCTACTTGATTTACGTTGGAAGAAGAAAATCAAAAAATGTTACGATGCTTTTTTCAGTTCATTAAATCCCACCCCAAGTCTTTAATCTGAGCTCTCACAATCGTAGCCTTCTTTATAAATTATTCAATTTTTTTCCACACAATGAGATCCTGCTAAGAAGAATTCTTTGAAAAGAAAAGAAATAAGAAAAGCGGTTGTGATAATTATCAGACGTGATTATTATAAAATCAACTTTGCCAATTAAATTTACATTAATTTTTTGTTCAGCCAAATTCAAACCCTTATAAAGAAGAAAATTTTGTTTAAATAGAAACTCGAAACCTTGTTGTGTAATTTACAAAATTGTCTCCAACTGAATTCTCATTCAAAGAGTATAAAGCGAACAGATTTCATGCTAATTAACCAATTAATAATCAATTGATTTGCTCTCTTTTAATCATATTATTATTTATAAATTTTATTCTGTTTTATTGTTCAATTAATAACAATCGAGTCACAATCACAGCACAGTAAGCATAAAATAGTTGTATGTGACATATCGAAAGAGTAAACGACGTAGAATGAATTTTGTATGTTAAGGGAGCGTATAGAGTTGGGCCTGGGGTTAAAAAATCAGGCTGTGGAAGGTGTAGCAATATCAGCAGGAAGAAAGCACACAAAATTTTAGCTCGTTGAGTTTATGAGTATTTTTTCATAAATTTTACTTTTTTTCTTGATATCTTTCTCTCTCATTCTTTTCAACATTTCTCCGGTCTCTCCGTGAAGTATCAAAAGGAAAAAGGAATGAAAGAATAAAAACGAGGGAAAAGGAAAAACTGTTAGTGTCTGTCGCTCTTCTATCGCATTAAAAATTAAATGTTTTGGTCTACAACTGATATCGTTACGTAATTGACAATGATTTTTTATTGAATGCAATTTTCCCTCTCAAGCGAGTTGAGTTGAGTCTCGAAGCGAAATAGTGATATGATTGCACTTCTCGAATTGTATGCTGCTCTGCGGTCAGACACAGGTGAGAACGAGAAACCAGACACAATTGTAGGTGCAATTCCGCTGGCTTATATATTGCGATCCATTTCATTTTGTTTTGTCTGATGACGACGGTAGAATAAATAGAAAGTATGAATGCAAAAGGAAAAAAAAAGTTTTGTTCATTCTACTCATGCTACGATGGTGTGCGATTTTCTGTAATGTATGCGATGCCGAGCTATACAAGCTGTGTGTAGGCTCAACATTCGGTGTTTCGCTCATAGTTTTTCAATGAAAATCGATTTTTCTTCTTTATTTTCTTTCTCCTTTGCTTTTATTTCGTCGCTTGTACTTCTTTGCGATTCCTACCGAAAACCCGGCACACGGCACATGATGATGACGATGATGATGATGTTATTCATCGAATACATTTGGAACAGACACGAGAGAGAAGGAATTGAGCGAAAAGAGTAAAAAGTTCTAGTCCGCGACGACAAGAAAAGCAACCGACGTCGTACCGAGAGAAACGAGAGATTTCTTCTCTCAAATATATTTCGTGATTTGCCTTTTCGTATGTTTTATGTTTTGGTAGATATTTTTCGTTTTTCAGTTGTCAGTTTTCATTTGCCGAGGAATCTGTATATCGACCCCAAGGTTTTTTATTACACAACAGAAAATCAGTTTAGTTTGCAGTGTGTTTTAGTATGAAATTCTGAATTGAAAAATTGCAATTGCACCGGAATTCGATTTGCTTAGTTTAACCGTAGTAGTTTCTCGCAGAAGATCGTAGTGTGTTTGTGCAATAAGTGAAATAATAAAAAAAGAAGATTTATCATCTTTAATTTTATTCGAGTTAGAGGAAGAAAAGGGCCGCTCTTATAAATTACTCCGACGAAGGAAATATACATTCGCTTAATTTAGTGCGTCTGTCAGTAGTAGTCAGGTTCAATTAAAAATAATACATTAATCATCTCAGAAATATCCGTCGATATCGAAAATTCCCATAACACTTATCTTCAGTTCAACTTTAGTAGTTTTAGCTGATATTAATGATACTCAAATAGATAAGAAGGAAAGCAAGAAAGAGTTATAAACAATCTACAAAGTGCTTCATCGATTGATTTTTAGAAATTCTAATCGCAAAGCATCATATAACGGAAATTATAATAATATTCATTCGTCAAGAGAAATCCATAAAATCTATGTAAATTTTTGGTTCTGTTTTTCTTCCGGAAAAATAATTCACATTAAGGAAATTTCGCTGTGGTTAATATTTTGCGAATTGTCGTTGACAAAGGAGAAAGAGAAAAATATAATAAGAATAAAAACAAAAATAATAATAATAAAAAATAAAACTTCACCGAACCTGGAAAGCAAAGGAAGAAATTTTTATTGAAATTAAAGTTGAATAAAAAAACACGTCGCAATTCAAAGAAGAGGGAAAAAAATCAATTTGGAGGAAGAATAATATTGAGGCAATAATAAAAAGCTATTCAAAGTGCAGCACTGTTATATTTTTTTGTGGATACCAAATCGTCCCCACGAAGGCCAATAAATTTATCTCATTCTTCAAATATTTGTGCTAAACCCAAATCTATATCGCTCCAAATATCCAAGATAAGAAGTAAAAGGAAAGAAAAAGAAAAAAATTCTCGTGATAACATAGAAAAAGTAATAGCAGAAAAGTGTGAGATTCAAGGATACAAAAAAGAAGAAATTTACAAATAAAAAAAGAAAAAGGAATAGTGAACCAAAATGGAACACCAACAACAGCATCAAGATATGGCATCGGGATCTCCAGCTGAGTTAAAAAATGATCCAGGGTGAGTTTCCGCCATGCAACAATCTCACAATTATTTATCTTCATATCTGCGTCATTGTCTTCTTTGAATGAATAAACGGGCGCTACGTCGTGTTCCTAATTAATATTTTATCTCGTTCATTGCTTTTGGAACTAAATACGTTCGTGTGTGTGTGTGTGCATTCTGTATATGAGAGATGGTTTTGTCAACATTCGTAAGGCGAATTCAAATAAGAGTCTCATTAATCATAAAAAGTAATGATAAAATTAATGCGATGAATTTCTAAGGAAAATCGTTTTAGTTCATTGTGTGCCGGTGGAAAACTTTTCGTTCTTCCGCTTTACTTCTTTTTCACTTTCCTTCTCTCTCTCTCTCTCTCTCTTTCATGCTTGTATCGATGAGCTTTTTTCTCCTTGAGAATTTACTTTTTAAATGTGTAATGCTAAGGAAGAAAATTCTGTTACAACAATCACCCTTGAACGTAAGCATGAGAAGAGAAAAATACTACACTACTAGCTACACGAGATAAGGATAAGAAAGTTAAGTTACTTCAGAATCGAGAAGAAAGATATAAAATTACACATAAGTTTCATTCAGTAAATATTTATGGTTTTTCGGTTCTTTCTTTGAGAGTATCTGTGCATTTACGTCTCCAGTGTGTGAGAAATGTTCTTTTCATGCCCCAAAAAAAAGGAACAGAAAATAAAAAAAAACTGTTCGAGGTTTTAAGGTGCGTGGAAATGGGAAAAGGGAAAATAAAGATTTTGAGACAATTTATTCAAATATCCCAGGAAAATTAAAGGAAACATTTTAAAGCTTACTTTTGTAGATATTTAAAGATGGGCAAATAGGACACGAGCTAAAGCAATTGAATATATTCCATAGATAATGTAAAAAAAGAAATTAACGACGAATTCTCAAGAAAGTCCACTTCTCTATGCCAAATGTTCTTCTTCTCTGAAACACAATGAACAGCAGGGATAGAGTGAAACCTCATTTTGCGGTTGAATTTACTTTAAGTACGCTGTTTATGTATATTAAATTATTAAATTTTGCAGTCGTTTCTTCTTATTTTCGCAAGACTTGTTAGTTATGGTCGAATTATTGGTTTCATCTCAAGATTAAGCAGATTTTATAAAAAAAAATGTTCTGAAAAAATAAATTGAGGTAATTTGTCATCAGCATTGTAGAAAATGTTGTGTCAAAGGCTAAATATTTCAGTATTTAATCGTCGTGCAAAGGAAATTGACCGTTTTTCTATCCCTGACACAAGTGGAAAAGTAAAAGAAGGAAAAAGGCAAAGAAAAACAAAACATGGATTTAACCGCTTGGTTTTGACTTTGCGTTTCTTCTCAAGTGAATCAATCCAAATAAATACGAAGAAACGTAGAGAGAAGAAGGAGAAATATAAAAATAGATTCTTTCAAGTGAATAATATTGTCAGTTTTCTCCCCTTTTCATGCTGTTTGAGTATACCGGAATTAATAACGATGATTACCAACTTCTCTGTGCTGTGTTTTCACTGTTGTTCTTGAAGTAGATCTTTAGCATTCATTTTGCTATTGCGATGAGAAATTTTCGTATTGTTTTCCCATGATAATGATTTTTTTATTATTATCGCTTTATGTTTTCTCGTTCCACATTAAACAAATCTCTTCATAGCATTATTCAAATTCTTTTTCTTTAATCATTTGACAAACGAATCATGCGTGAGCGATTCTCTTGTTCCGCTTAAATCAAACAAAAGATAAAAATTCTTTCACTGACTCCCCAGATATTCTCAAGACGCTAATAAATCCATTAAACACGTGACGTTGTATTTAAGTCAGAGAAGTCATTTACTGTGACTTATGGTGCAATCAAAAACATCAAAAACGACGTTGTGATGAAAGCAAGTTCATTGTCGACATCCTCGATCACACTGGGGCTGCATTTCCTTTCCGACGAAAACAATTGAGCGAGCAGTTCACAGTCATACGTGAGATGTTTAAAGATAAAAACCAGGGTATGATCAAATATTTGCTTGAATCGCTCTAAAGCGTCTTGTGACTAAATTATGCTAACAATCTATGAGATTTGCTTTATGATGTAAATGACAAGAAAGAAAAAGTGAAAGAGAGAGAAAAATGTCAAGCACAAATCATTTAATACTCATATGCAGTTAACAATTGCATATCTGACGTTTTTACGTCTGTTTATGAAGAAACTGCGAAAAACAACTGCACGGAAAGATAAAAATTTTATTTAAATAGAGAGAAAATATTTTTAAAGATATCCAATGAAACACGATAAAGCCAGCAAGCATTAGATGTTAATTTTTGTTAAATCTTTTAACACTTTTAAAACGATGGAGAAGGAATAGTTACAGTCATTCAACACTGTCAGCTAAAAATTTCCTAATGAATGACTTATCTCAGATCTTTCTCCCTCTTTCTATTTACACAACATTCAAAGACTCAACAAGACATCGTTAGTGCGACGAAATGATGTTGAGACAAAACTATTTTTCTCCACTTTCAACCTGACACATTTTCAACAGATGTCAATCGAAAATTTTCCTCTCAAACGAACCTGATCGGAATGAGGTCTTCTACGTCTAAGATTTCTTCTTTATTTCAAATGTTTTTCTTCACTGGTGCTTGCGATTCTTAAGTGACAAGTGTGAAAATTGGAATGTTGGTACAAGATAAAAAGAAGAGAAAGAATTGTTCATCATGCCTCCTGACTCTTGTCTTCATGTGAAATGTTAAGGGAAACGGAAAATATTTTCACATTCACATGTTTATGTGTCATTTTCTTAGCGAGTTGCTGGATGTCTCCACTGGCTGTTTGTTGCTTTACTTAGTTGCTTTTCCAACTGAGAGAAATTGTCGAGTAATTATCGCTTTATTGCTTCATCTCGCTTCATGAGCAGCCTTTCGTGATGACTGCATTACAAAAATTTTACTACTGTATGCAATTTTCATTCATAACATTTTGTATAACATCAAATCAGAGATTCCCACAATATTTCACGCACATAGCGGAACGGTTTTGTTGTCTTGTCAGTACGGCATTCTCTCACTACCAATAATGAATAATTCGACGATTGTACAAGACGAAACATAACAAAAAATAATAAAACAAAATTAAAGCTATAAGAAGTCAAAGAGCGGGAGCAAAAAAAAAACATAACAAAAAAAGAAGTGAAGACGCTTATGAGCGTTTGATCACACAGCGCCATGTCCTGTTGATTCTTCTCAGCTATATCGTTTATCTTTGAACAATTTCTGCTGCTTGTTGATTTTTTTTGTGTTCTACTCGCAAATACAGCACTTAGATACTTAATGTATGTGACGTCAAAATCTAAATCCGGCGCAGCAGATACAGAAAGAAAGATAGAATAAGAATATTAATGCTTAGCATTTGAAACTCTTTAAGACTTACAAAAGTTTTGTAACAATTCATATCGAAGTTCCTCAAATCTTTTTGAGTGAAATTGAAGAAAGCGAAGCTTTGTGACGTAACATTCCCTAGACATCTTGCAGATCGTAAAAGAATTACAAATTGGTTTTATGGTTTTCTTTCCTTTTAAAGAAGCAGAGTGAGGAAAGAATGAAAAAATTTCTTTTTTTTTCTTCTTCTTCTTTCCTTCTTATATATTTTTGTGTGAGATTTTCATCGTGATTGCTTTGAAATGGCAAATAATATACATAGAATAATAAACGAAAGCTGAATCGGAAGGATTCGTCACAGATGGGGCATGAAAAACGAAAAAGAAAAGTTCTAAATAAACATAAATTCTTCGCTCTTCATTTGTCGATTCTGAAAAGTAAAAAAGCTTCGAGGCGTTCTTTTTTGGGAGATTTTTATCCAGTTATTGAAAACAAATATTATTTTTCATTCTTCTGTTTGATGAATTAAGAAAAGAACAACAAATAACCGAAACAGTTTAAAAGGAATTTTCTTTTGTTCTTCTCTATGAGACTTGAAAGTGAAATAATTTTAATTTAATGTAACAATTTCTGAAGGAAACTTCCGCGGAAGACAAAATTGAAGAAAAATTCTTAAGAAATAAAAATGAAAAGTCTTTTTTAACTTCTCATATTTAATTAAGAAAATTCAAATGAGATATTTTCCTTCACAAGCTTTGCAACGAGAGGATTTGTTTCATAGTAATGTAATGACAAAGTTGATCTGGTCGGAAGCTTTCGATAATAAATTTCCAACAATGAAAACTTTCTTCTCCCCCACATGTTCAACCAGAAGAAAAAAAGTTTTAGAAACAAAAAAAAATCGTTTGAGATTCAAACGAGATATAAAAAATGGATTATTAAAGAAATTTATTCGACTCATAGACATTGAATAGAAAACATCCTAAAAATAATATAAAAATTTTTAAACAGGAGGGCAAAGCAAACAATCATAAATTTATTAAGTACATTGCATTAACAAACAAATCCAGACGCTGTTTTAAGAAAGTGGATGGAAGAAAGAACGGAATCTGAAATTTTACTCATTTATTATTGTCTGTGTTTTCAATTTAATTTACGAGAATGATTTTTCCCCATCTGGGATCACTTTCCACATGACGTCGACATCGATTAATATTTCATTTAAAAATTATTCAATTAATTTCAAATCATTTCATAACTTGACTTGCAATTTTTAATTCTTCTAATGACCATTATTATGAAACTGATGTTTACGTCATGTTGACGTCATTGCAAGTCATCCCCACCAATCTCTTGAAATGCTGTTTTCAAAGTTTTTAAATTTTCAGACGAAATAAAGCTAATAAAAACGCAGATTGAATTTGTACGGAAACTTTTTTTTTCTGTTCTCCTCTGTGTGAAGATTCGCTTTTATTTACGGTTCAAATGGGTCAAGAACATGAGCAGGGGAGTTAAAAAATATTTCTGGTAACTTAAACTTCGGCCTATTTGTTATCGATTTTCGACTTTGAAACTTTTCCCCTGTAAAATGAAAAAATAAAGTTTCTAATCTTTTGGAAGACGTCATAAGGCGTTCGTTTTCCAAACGATTTCCTCTAATCAGTCAAAGTTTATTCAACTCAAAGCTTTTCTTTTTTTCATTTCATTTCTCTCCCGTTTTTTCTCCTTCTTCCTTTCTCTCTCTCTCTCTCTCTATCGCTTTCTGCTACAATGCAACATAACGAAAAAAAATGTGGAGGCGACATAAAAGGAAAAAGGAAAATCCTTCGACATCTTTGATATCAATACACAAAAAAAGTTGTGTCAATAAGATTTTCAAGACTTCGTCTTTACTCAAGCGAACAAGTCTCGATTGCAATCTTTGGTTGATTGAAATTCAAATAGCGCCGCTGTAAATATATAGGAAATTCCCTCCGCAATGATGGCAACAATATTTATAGCTAATAAGAAGAAAACAAAAAGTTCATAGTAAGAATCGTCATTAATCAAACTATCGCAAATATTTTATATGTTTCGACACAATGACTTATTGTCTGCGTTCAAAGTATTCGTGGAATCCTACCATACAGACAAGAAAAAGAAAAAAACTGAATCAATTCAAAGCGAATACATAATAATTATTTACATTTATTTCCATTGTATCTTTCTCGTATTCTAATGAACATTTTTTCAGTCATTGACAACAAGAATACGAAGTTAGGGAAAAGAAAAGACAGAAAAGTTTTTACGCTATCAGTGTGTGAAATTATTTTATTTCACTGGATCCTTTACACAGCTCAGCCATCTTTTATGATGGAAAGTTACATTGTCTCTTGTAGCAAGAAATATTAACACTGAGACACAAATTAGAGAAGTCATTAATTAATTACATAGTTCCGACTAGTATACGTGAACACATAAAGCATTGTGATGTAACGATGATGACGGTTGATGATGATGAGATGAAGAAAAAAAACTGAAAGATGAGTTTCTTGATTCTTAATTACTGTCAAAAACTATAAAACCAAAATTGCTTTCGCAAGGAGAGGAGAAGTTGATGATTCATTTCTTATCACATCAGCTGCATGGACGATGTAATTATGAGAATATGGGAGCAATTAAAACAATTAGTGTTTTCTTTCTTTCGTTTCTTCTTTTCCATACTCTCACAGCTTCGTTTGCGGGGTCAAATGTTAAATAAATTTATGGAAGTCAGTTTTGAGACGTTTCTGTTTGTCTTTTTTTATTGCATATGATTCGCTATGAAATCTACTTTTACGTTTTTCATGGACTTTGATTATTCAAATCATAAGTTTTACGAGTTGGATGGAAATAGAAATCTTGTAATGGAAGGTTTTCATTTAATAGAAATCAAAGTTAAATAATTAGTGCAGAGATTAGAAACTTTTTGTCATTCAACGCCACAGTAGATATTTCATTAATCCAAATTGGTCTTACAATCTCATGATTTCTGCTATTAAATCATATTTTGTAACAACAAACAACTAAGAAATTAAACATTTCTCAATAGTTTCCGTTTGTAAGTTTTACAATTTTAATCTTCCGAATTCTTCATGTTCTTTATGTTTCTTAATAATTCTATGCTTCAAGATCAATTTAATGTTTTTGAGAATTTAAATCGGGGAAGTTAGTCTTGTAATCGATTATGACAGATTCGTACAAATGATTAAAAACTATCATTAAACTCAAAGAAACGCACATCAAAAATCAATCAAGCGTAAAAACATAATTATAGGCACATTATCAATGCTAATGAAGTTTCTACTTCTTCGAGTAGATCATGAGCACGAGAAACTCAAAGTCTTGTGTTAAGTAAATAACGATCTCACCTCAACATCAATTGCGTTTGTGTTTTGTTTCTTTTTTGTTCGATTTTTATTGTTGTGGTTTGACTGGTAAGCCACTAAGGCCAAGAAGTTTCATTTTTATCAACAACAAATTTCAAATTATTTTTTTAAACTCCAACATAACATTTGAAACTTAAATAAGGGAAAAGTCAAGTGCCCGTAAACATGATTCTTTTCTACGAATGTTCATTTTATTTCTCTTTTTTCTTCTGTACAACTTGGCAAGTCTGACGATATCTAATTTAATTCCTGTGGCTTTTTTTCGTATCAAATATCATGTGCTTTGAAAAGATCAAGGGAAAGATATGAACAGTGTACTTAAACTGAACCTATTTAAGTCTTTATAAAATGATAATTTTTTTTGTGTTTTTAATAGAGGGATTAAATGCATGACTGAAGGTTTAATGAACAAGGTGCAAAAAGTATTGCAAACTATTTAAGAAACAGAATTTTAAAGCTTCAGTAAATTCGTCCCAACTAACTTCATTAAATATTTCAAAATGTCAGAGAAAAACACGCGACTGAACATTAGAAATCTGGATAATCTTTTTGCCAGGGAAAACTTGCAGATTTCGTTGAATCAGCGTTAATTAAGTTAAAAACAACTTTTAAATTATGCGTAGCCTCCGTGTTTTATCTTTAAGTTAAGTAAATTATCAAAGTACTTGAAGATTCTCATTCCATAATGAAAGTTCGTCAAAGTGGGAAAAAATTATGCGGTGAAAAATTTTCTTCTCATAATTATGCTAAACCAACATAAGATAAATGTTTAAAAACTAAACATATCATAACTTTAGCTACGCAATTTCGATTCGTTTAAACCGCATCAATTTTGTTCTTGTTTTGCGACAAAATGTGACTTGAGAACAAACAACAAATGTAAGTTAAGGGCAAATGTGAATGTTTATGTTTACAAATGAATTATTGTCCTAAAGTGACACGGTCGCTAGTTTTACACATTTGTTAGTATAATTTTTCTCTTATCTTAGAATTTTTGTTCTCCACTTGAAGAGTCTAGAATTTCATTTCTCTTTCATTTTTGCCTTCTTTGCCATTTGAGTTTGCTTATATTTCTAAGGGGAAAAAACTTTCGAAGGCAGCTCTGTAATCTTAACATTTTGTGGCTATTTTTTTGTCAAGTTGTTGCTTGAGAAATGTCAAATCTCTTCAGATAGTTGAAACGTTCTTAAGAATCAAGTTGCGTACAATTTTTGATAATAATTTTGTAGAAGGAAAATTACTTCTTATCATCAATTGTAAAAAAAACTTTCGGTAAACACTTCAGTTCGAATTGAAATTCAAAATTAATTTCCATTCAAAGCTTGAGGCTATCGAAAATTCACCAAAATAACTTCTAAAATGTCATGAAGTCTTATAAACTTATTAAGGAAATAATTTCCTCACTCATTTTTACGCCTTCTTCGAGTGAAAATTGTGTTGAAAAGTAACTGAAACTATCTTCGTTCTTCCACAAATAAGAAGCTTTAAATTATTAAGAAGCATCCTTATGATTCAGTTAGACGACCTCAAATGAAAAAGCCAGAGAAAATAATTAATTTTAAAAATGAAAATCTTTTATTATATCCTTGCGTGCTACAAAATAGAACACAAGCGCTTTCAATTATTAAAAGCTTTTGAATATTTCTGATGTTCACTTCAAAGTAAGCGAACAGAATGCCTGCCCAGATTTTCCTTGCCTTCTAAGCTTTGTTTTTGAATGAAGGGAAAGAACGAAATTAATCGATATTTCCTTCTTGATTCCTCAGTAAAACCATAAGCAAGACGATAAGGAATGATAGTCGACTAAATATATATCTAAAAGTTGACTACAGACTCTCATCAATCATACAATGAGGAAGAAAAAAAAAACCCGCTGAGTTCCAATGGAATGACACACGAAATTGATTGCCTTAAAAATCGATCGAAATGCATGTTAAAGCTCTGAATAAATCATTCAAGCCTAGGAACTGAGTGAACGAAATGAAATGACTGAATGAATGAGAATGTTCGGAGGTGGAGGGTAAAAGGAGAAAAGTTAAATTGTTTGTCAATATATCTACATAAAGCAATTCTCTATTTTCTACACCGTTTAAGGAACATTTTGCTAACGTAACGAAAACGAATGAAAGCACTTCCATTTCTTCTCCCTTCAATCACAACACGTAGGTTGAAAAGACGACACTTTTAAACGATTTTAAGAGCTCTTATTGTCACATTCATAAGTTTCCCTATGGTGGTCGTAGACGTCATAAAAAATATAATTATTGTGATATATTTAAGCAACGATCTGTCGTTCTAAATTAACAGAAACGAATAGATATGTGTCATTTGATGTAATTGAAACAAATTAAATGTGGATGGGAATGAAAAGCATGTGAAAAAGAGCAGTAGATGAGAAACGAAGATTTATAAACAAAACATATCATGAATTGATTTAAATTGATATTAAAATACAAAGCGAAGCATTTTGTCTTCGTTGGTTGTTTATTTCACTTTATCTTTTGTTTCGCTTTGAGCGAATGAAGTCACATGAGATATTATTGAATTGTTGAATATGATTTTCGTCTCGTTGTGAATACCCGCATTTGATTCGCACTCGCGCTTCAAAGAAACTAAACTAAATAAAAGCAAGAAAAAGAAACTTCAATGAAACAAATAAGTCTGGGAGCTGATATCTAATTATTTATTTAGTTTGAGTTCTTTCGTTCGTTGGAAATTATTCTTAATCTTCGTAACACGTTTCATTGATTCATTGCTCGAAGAATTTCAATAAATTAACAATCGAAAGTTCAATTCATTGACAAAAATGATTCAGCAGAAACGAACATCTTTTGACTTTAAATTCAAAATCGTTTACCATAACTTACAAACACGCCCCAATGAGCACAAAAAAGCAGACTCATGATTTTTCGACAAGAATAGACTTAGGTACTTGTTTTACGAGATGTGTCTAGAAATGTTCTTAAATGTAAGAAAAGTAACACAGATAAATAGAATTTGGCATGGAAAGTATTGCAGCTATTTTTTTGTTGCCGTTGAAACACTTCGTTTTCTTTCTACGCGATGTCTAGGAATGAAACGCTTTTTCCTAGTTTTTCATTTCTTGTCACAAACATGATGATAAAGTTTTTACTCGCCTTGGACAAAAATTTCTGTGCTTGTTCAACTTTGAATTGTAGGAGGGAAGAATCAAAATTGTGTTCAAACGATTTCCATGAGACGTTTTTCAGAGAGTTCCTTCCTGAACAGAACATTATATAAAAACTTATCGTTGAGACTTAAAATATTTCTCACCTTTTCCATATTTAATCTACTAGATTAAATGAAAAACTATGTGAGCCCTAAATTGCCACAAATGAAGTTTAAAAAGCATTTCTTTTGTTACTCATTTGCAAACTATTCTTATAAAGTTTTCTTTAATTTTTTTCAGAAAAATGTTCATTGGAGGACTGAGTTGGCAGACGAGCCCAGGTATGTTCATTTTCCTTCTTTAGTATTGATTTCTTTTGAAGCAGTTTGTAGTTTCATCTAAATGGCGACAAAAAGCTATAGAAAATAAACATGACAAAAATCAAATCTCTGAAGCGATGCAAAAAATTTTCAAAAGTTGTGCTATCAATAGATTTAATGCATCGAAAAATCTAAATTGAAAGCGGACGCTTTCAAGCGGAATAGAGATAAATGATTATCATTTATGTGCCTTCAAACCACGTGACTTATTATATTTATTAATGGTTGCTTGTATATTATTTTACCATTGTATTAACACAAACTCGTCAAATAATCTTTCAAAGCAGACGATTTCTGTCGAGGAAAGAAATTTATATCACTTGATAACGATTTATGCTCAAGTGGCAAAAGAAAAGAAATTGGTTGTAGGAAAGTTTTGTAGTTTTTCTTTTTGCAGTATAATTTCTGGGAATTTATTTTCTCACCGACGAGAATTTGAGAGTGTTGGAATTTTCGGGAGTTTTTGATTACTAACACCACCACATTTTCTTCTCCCGCTCTCACTAAATGAAGTACTAGATTAAAAATGAAGAGAGTAATCAGCGTGATCCAAATTTGGCAAAGTTTGGGAGAGGAATAAAATTAAATTGCGAGAGTTAATGCCATGTGTTTGCTTTAAAACGTGATTGATTATGTTCTTTACAATTTAAATTCTTAGACCTTTTTTACTTGGCTCTAATTGAAATTATACTAAAAGGTTAATGAAAAATATTTGACGCTGGTCCCAGCATGTTACCAAATTTTAAATAAACAGCTTTTAAAGCTTTGTTGAAGAAGCACTTTGAAAGAAAGTTTATTTTCGGGAAAAATAGACAACTTAATTTTATCAACCTTTCATATTGGATAAATCTAAATTTTCCTATTTTAATTAATTGAGCATTTAATAATATCACGCACCTCACTTCCCTTTCATAAAATATTGCATGCGACATATGGTTATTTATCACATATTTAATGTGAACAGTAAAATGAAACTTATAATCATACACTAAATGAAAGTTCATGAAGTAATTGCGCATTAAGAAAAGTTAGTGATCCTTTTATAAAAATAATTATTTCAAATTCATCGCAACGCTAAAATAAAATTCAAACATAAAAATATATGTCAAACGAATTTAAGCCAATACACATTTTTGTGGTGAACATAAATAGAACTTGGATAGAACCATCCGATTTAGATAAATGTTATCTTTCCTTAACATTCTTTAATTGATTTTCAATTATAACATGAGAATATTTATCATTTAAAGAGGATAAATTTAAAATAATTTTATGAAACAATAAAAAAGTTTTGTTTCCTTCTTTTTCTTTAAATGAATTTTATTTAAATTGAATCCGCCTCGTCTTCCCACATAATAAAATGGTGAGTTTGCGCATAGATTTCAAACATAATTTCGATCACATGAAATATTTGGTACATTTCTATTGTATCAGTTGTTTTAAATGTTAAAACCTGAAATGCCACAACTGCTTTGCCACTCAAAAATTTGGGTCGTGAAATCAACTGCTTCGATCTTTAAATACCATTTTAATTAATGCCAAAAACTTAACAACTGTTATTTATTTGCTATTAAATGTCACATGAAATTCAGATGTACACCTTGTAAGACGAAAGCAGAAGAAGTTGATCACATCCTAGAGAGGCAATTCGAAATGGTGATTAATTAAAACTCTGAACCCATTCATTTATTGCGCAATAAAATTTATTGCATTCTCATATGATTAAAAATACCTAAGATAGATATTGAATATTTTCCCGTGTGTAGTAGCGCTTCATACTATATGAAAGTATATCATTTGATGGTGACAAATACACTTGTATTACTTTGAAATATGGCTAATAAATATTATTTATATAGAAAGGAATGTATGTAATATTATGATGTCATGTTACTGTTCGGTAATGGAAACAGGCAAACTAAAGGTTTATAGCTTTTAAGGATGAATGAAGTTCTTTGTTTTATTGACTTTTATTGTTATGAAAACTTGAGATGAGCGAATACGACAGAACAAGAAAGACAGAGCGAGAAAAGTGAAAATTGAAAAAGTTTTTCACAGCTTTGAATGGATCGTAATCATGACAAGTAAAATGTTGGAGTGAATTTTTAATAGTTTTAATTTTCTACAATAGATATAGAATGGATCTTAGGGAAGGGGGGGAATGGAGTTGTTTGTATCATTTAATGTATATCCTTAAAATCGTACCATCAGCATAAAAATGTCTGTAATAGGTGTCTTAATGGTTCAAGAGGTTTTAGTTGACATAAAAGCTTTTAAATTTAACTCCCACTCAACGCAATTTTAATTAAAATCATCTAATAATATTACGGCACTTCTCGGCTGTGAAATTTTAAATGCGCACTAAAATCTGCCACGAGTTGTTAGAAAACTGTTAAGCACTAAATTACAAGCTACTGAAACATTTCATGTTGATCTTCTTTCAAATTGATTTGTGAAAAGACTTAAAACTTCCAACTTTTCATAATGTATGTCGTATAATGTTTAAAACTAAAACTTTTTTTTATCAAATGACACCAAATTCATTGTACGACTTATTTATTTTGAGTTTATGTGATTTTTCAACGATATCTCAGGAGAAATGGTTAAAAACTTCATCATCAAATAAATTATTCACATTTTTAACATGAGTTTGCATTGCAATTCTAGTTTTCAGTTTGAGCAATATTCGTATCTTGGTTCACACACTTAAAACTATATTTTCAACAATTTAAAAAACCATTCTAGAATGAAATAAAAAACTTTGATTGGCTTATGAATATTCATACGAATTGTGCATTTATTTAAATTTTATTACCTCATATATGACCATAACCGTAGCAGATAACAACAAAGTTTAACAGCATACAGACATGCAATATGAATAATTTTTATGATGTGCTAAAATAAATAATTAAACCTAAAATAAATGCACAAAACTGAGAGCTTTGCAATGATTTTCCTTCCCTGAGATGCTTCAACTTTCTCATATTATTTTCTCCAAGCCAACGACAAAGAAGAAAAACCAAACAAAAAATTTGTTTTAAGATTTCATTAAATTTGAATTTTTAATTAAAAATCTTTTCATTTTTTATCTCATTTCAGAAAGCCTAAGAGACTATTTCAGTAAATTTGGGGAAATAACAGAAGTCATGGTCATGAAAGATCCCACAACTAGGAGGTCGAGGTAATTTAATGAATATCAATAAATTTAAAGCTTTGCTGATTAACCACCACTTGTCGACATGACAGATGTATCGCACATGCGATATATCAAATGTCCTTTTGAATTGAATTATTGCAGTGTTTTGTTATTTATAGCCTCTTAAGCATCAAAATCGTTCTCAAATTTGACACTAATTAGACAAATTCATGTCAAGAAACATGATTATAATATCACGTTTAGGCTCAAAGCCATCTCTCCCCCACGCTGTGAACAAGACGTCTGTTGTTGTTATTGTGCGATAAATTTTGAACGTATTTTAGAAATAAATAAAGAAACAACCCACAATGAGATTCACAATCAAATGTTTTCCTTGTGTGACAAGTTATTAAAAATAAGTCGTTCAGTTAAGAAAGAAATTGTTTGATGAATGGATGGGAAATTGGAAAAACTTCACATTTTAACTGAATGTGACAGAAATATTTCATTTATTTCCTAAATTTGATATGAACAAAAATGAAAGTTTCTTCATCATATGAAATACAAAGCAATGACATATATTAGTACATTAAGTGCTTAAACATTTCTGTGTTACCATTCTAATTATTATAATCCAAAGTTTTCGTATAAAGGAAGTTAAAATGCTTCTTAACGTACACATTATTGTTTAGTTTTCCCACCAAGCACAAGCAGCTTCCTTCTGCAAACTATTAAATATGATAACAAAACTTATACTTACTTTATTTACCGAAATTCAATAGAAATTTGAAAACAATTGAAAGTTCAAATTTACGATCACATAATTAGTTTGACAAAAAAACTTCATCACGATGAGAAACTTCTCACTTCACACTTAAAAACTAAAATTATTGTCTTGTTGAAGCAAAGTTTCTCACTCTTCTTACATATTTTCTAGATAGCTCAGCATTTCGTCTGAGAAAAATCTCATTTAAAGTTAAAGTGCTTTTCTAGATCGATGCTTTCATTGAAATTGAAAAGCTCAGAATTCAATAAAATCGGAATTTATGATAGTTCAGCTGAATTTAATTTCGCAAATTGATTTCGCTTGTTATTAAGATAATCGATTTAGCAATATAATGGATACCTTTTTAATATTTTGTGAGACTTGTATCAAAGCTTTTGTTGTGGCTATTCATTGAATTTGTACCCTAAATGAACTGCGTTTACAAATGATGGTGCACAATGTTGGAAGAATTCTTCGGAATTCTTCCATTCCTTTGTGTCATTCAGATTGCATAATATTTTTGTTGTGATATTTACGATACCTACTTGTTGTTTTGAGGGGCCACACGAGAGAAACGAAGTAAAAAGAAATGAGGATAAAAACAACCTCATCCGTTTATGAATTTATACTTTGTTTGGTTGAATACGTTGCTTCGCTTCGGACTGAATAGAAAACAATCAATTACGAGTATGATAAAGGGAAGCATATCGAAACTAATACTTAGTTATATCTACCAAGCTCATTTGGGAAATGTTTTAATACTTTAGTCTTCTTCCATTCTCTTTTTTGATAGTTGAAGAAGGCGAGCGAGCGAATACATTTGGAAATTAAATTAAACATCATGTTTTCATATCAATTATAATTTTCATTTGGCACAAATCTGATGCGAAACTTTTTAATTTCTTTGAGTTCTCATTTAGATAGTTTAAATTTGGAAAATGCTTTTCCTCTGGTCAAAGATCCAGATTTGAGTTGAAATTTTCCGACAAACATTAAAATGAGATTTAAAATTTTTAAATATCACTTTTAATGGGTAAACAAGCAGTGAGTGGTCTTGGGGTTTATTCTTTCACTTAGTCTAAGTCACGAGATATGTGGAAAGCAATAAAACTTTAGAGTTGTTTTATGAAACAGACAAGACGAAGCTAGAAAAAGAAGAAGGCGGCGATGTATTCATAATCGGAATATCGCTTTTATGAAGGGTCGTTCTGTATTAATTTCATGGAAACATGTGTTTAGTAAAGCCATTAAACATAAGAATGGAATCTCGTATAAGATTCAAGCTTAACATCGTCGTACTCTTTACATTCGAAATCGTATTTTTTATAGCGGTTGAATTCGTTTACCAGAAAAGTCGGGTTTTGGCAATTAGGTTAATTATTACCTGAACATTTTTTCTTGTTTGTTTTTAAAAAGCCAAGTTAGGTTTATTAATTTGTAGAAATTTTTATTATCTAAAAAGATTGATACACAGCAAATGTTATGACAAACTTTTGTAAAACAATGTCGAGAAAATATTTCCGTCACGTAAATTTCATGTAGATAAAATTAGAAAAAATGTTTTGTGAATTAACAAAGCAGTTCGTTCAATATTGTCCGTTCACATTGTTTTCCGGCTTTTGCTCAAGTAGTTCAAGCTCGACTTAACCAACTGAATACGTAAGTCGTAGTGGAAGTAGAAAAATGCAAAATTTAACGATGACTAGTTTTGCACGAGCATGTTTCACAAGACGCATGTTTCCCCCTCTTGAACATGGTTGCAAATCGATTTTAGATTGATACGCAAAACATTTCCTCTCGATCGCATCATCATTTCTCCCTCTCTCTCTTTCTTTCTTTCTCTGTTCATGTATAATAGATTTAAATAAAAGCTCATCCAAAGACGGAAGAATCAATCATTTTTACAATGATAAATGATTCTCAAAATTATATTTCGAATATATGTATAAACATTAATATGATTTAATTTTGCTTTCTACAATCTCATCATGATTTTCCATCGAGAAATGTGTATGCTAATAAATATATAGAAAAAATTACTTCTGGACGAAAATTTGTTATTGAAATTTTTATTTCGATAATCTCCGAGAGATTTCTACGTCTATCGCATCATTGCATGTTATAAGATGAAAAATACTCGAGTATTGAGAAAAACGTTTCAAACATTTTAATACACAAATGAAAAGTTTACAACAACAAGTTTTGGAATAATTCAAAAGTCTTTTCACAGAATATTTTCTAGAAAGTTTGTACAAGTGATCTATGGGGAAGTGAGACAATTTAAATCTTTGAATGCAAAATTAAGGCAGTTCAAATGTAAATTCAATAAATTAAAGCTGTCTGGATCTTCTTCATCATATTTTGATGGAAAGCCTCTAAATTAATTGAATTTCAATCTAATGTTGATCGGAATGTTAATCAATGAAATATTTTTTAAACTTTAATCAAAATGTAATTAATAATTGATCAGACNCAAGTGATCTATGGGGAAGTGAGACAATTTAAATCTTTGAATGCAAAATTAAGGCAGTTCAAATGTAAATTCAATAAATTAAAGATGTCTGGATGAAGAAATCGTTACAGAAATTCATCTTTTAATGAAAAGCCTTTAAATTAATTTAATTATCATTCAATCTAATGTTGATCGGAATGTCAATCAATGAAATATTTTTTAAACTTTAATCAAAATGTAATTAATAATTGATTTTTAAATCAAACAATTTTCTATCTTAATATTCATAGATTTATTTTGAATGAAACTATTTTCAGCTCAACAGGAATGGGAATAAATGATTCATCAGGACCACTTTTCTCTAGACCGAGGTATGTTGTAGAATTTCTTTTATACTCTAACTAATCAAAAGGATTCTTTCATATGCTTTAATCGCATGTTAAATTAGGATTCAAAAGATTCTTTATCTTTAAAGAGAACTGCAGTTTTATTGAAGTTTGTCATGATGGTTAAAAATCTTCAGAATTAAGAAAGAGAAACAAGCTTAAAGTTTGAAGTTTAATAAGCTTAAAAGATTTTGTTTTTTGAGAATTAAAAGATCCTTGAGCGTGAATCTTAATACAAACCTCTATTAAACTTTTAAAGTTGAAATCTTATTAATTGCTCATTTGTGTTTGTTATTTTCAGAGGATTTGGGTTCATCACTTTCTCAGATCCAGCCAGTGTAGACAAGGTTTTAGCTCATGGAACGCACGAGTTAGATGGTAAAAAGGTAAGCTATTGAAATGTTATATGAAACGACTGAATTTGCATTGCCATCCCATATGGTCGAAGTCATGACACACATTACTTTATGACAGCGATGATAGTCAGCTTAAACAAGTAAGAAAAGATATATCGGGTCGGGTCAATACGTCTTATGGTTTTAGGTTATTTTTTGTTTGTTTCATAAAGATGCAAATAAAATTTTATGGCTATGCTTATGCTATTGAACATATCTATCCATGTTTGTAAGATTCTTTTTTATGAAAGATCATAAATTGAAAAAAAGCCTTATTGTCACTGATCGCTTTCTTGTGTGTCTTCTTCTGATTCCGACGTCGTCGTTCTTCTCATTGACTACACATCTAGAAGAGTGTGTAAAAGAGCTCATGCAAGGCAATATTAAATGTGGAAAATAGTTTACGGTAACACATGCACGATGATCTTAAACAAGTATACATATTTGAGGCGAAGACTAAACGTCCGATAACCATCAATGTTTCTTATTATCAATTTACTCTTAGAAGTGCTGACTTTGAGAGAACAAACCGAAAGCCTGGGAAAGGGATTTCAATAAACAAGATTATTTATTGTGCATGACGATGTTACGTAACATGAGATTTTATATGATTGAATGCTTCGTTTGATAATTTCGGGTTCGAAACATTATCGGACGAATAAAAATGAAATTTATGGCTTTCTTTTTCCTTTTCCATACCAATGGAACATGTTACGAACTTTTCTAATACAAAATATAATTTTTGTTTTCTTTTTCTTGAATTTTAGATTGATCCAAAAGTTGCATTTCCTAGACGAGCACATCCAAAGGTAAGTTTTTATGAAAACAAACATTCAAAAAGTTTATTTTATCCAAAATAAAGCTTCGGAAACAAAACTTAAAAAGCACATTAAGGAAAAGTTTTATTTTTAATATCATCTTATCATCCACATATCCATGTTTATTCCATACAAAGAAAAAAATCCAAAAAAAGAAGCTCAAAATGCAAAAGTTTTTCGTTCTATTGAAATTAAAATTTAATTCTTCTTATCTGTTTTGAGGACTGGGGCGGTAGGAGTAAGATAAACTTTACGTTTCTTATTCTGAGTATCCTTTTAAGAAGGCAAAAGAAAAAAGAAAAAGGGATCAAGGAAGTCAGTGAAAAAGAAATGAAAAGTTTACTTTCTTTTGTCAAAAACAATTCTTTCTTACATATGAGAATGTGAATGCCATAGAAGTAAATTTTAAAATTGATTACCATGTGGATCAAAGATATGTTTATGCAAGCAAAAGAATTTTTCACTTTCAAACGCAAATATTACCGTCACAAAGTTTTCTTCTTTCATACGTTTAACTGAGGTGAAAGTTTTACACCGCCATTTCCATACTCAGCATTAATATAGCGTGACGAATGTTCTGGAAGTTCTATTAAGGATCATGGATCAATTTATTTTGTGCTGAATATGTACGAATAAAATTATGCAATTTATTAGCGATTGTGGGATAAAAGTTTATGCAAACAAGCAGATTCTCTCAAATATCAGTACACATATCGCTTAAGATTCCCATCTATTCATAAAACATTGAAAAAACTTCGTCCAAAAGAAAGAATTTTTCTTTTATTCTACTTTTTAATATCAGTCACGTGGAAAAATGTTGAATTTAGCGCGTGCGACGAAAGAAATTTTTTTTTCTCCTTTTTTTTCATCCACCGTGTGCAAAATAAACCTGATTATGTCAGAGAGCAGAACAGAGCTTTTTTTATAACACACAGGAAAAAAAAGTGTATAAATGCTGGTTGACAACAAAGTACCTTTTCCATTCTTTCTTCTTCGAAGCGAACGGTTTCTCGGATTAGATCAAATCGGCACACAAATCGAGTGTTGACCGAAAATTTTCCCCTCCACGTGCTTGCTTGCTTTCTTCTACGAGAATCAAGCGAGTCAACTCCAACAATTTGCATTCGTGTATTCACCTCAATTTTATCGTTCTCTCAACGACCGATACTAAACATTGTCTTCCTTACAATTCATTACACTCGACAAAGAGCGACCGACATCACAAGGGGAAAACCTTCAACTGACTTCGTGGAAAAAGATTTTTTCATTTTCAATTTTCTCTCGAAATTCGGAATGCATTAAACGAGCACATAAGAGAGAAAACGAAACGAAAAGGGATGTTTCACTCGTTGGAAGTGCTCATAAGGATATTTCCCCTTCGTTGTCGGCAAACGAATATTCACGAGTCGATTTATTGCTGCGTTTTGATCCTTTTAACCAAAACCCGATGAAAATTTCATGACAGAAGCAAATATTCAATTCGATGAAGTAGACTCGCCCGGAACGACATTTAGTGTAGTTTTAGCATTCGCTGTTTAGCGCTTAACGAGTCGAGTTTGCACTGATTTACCGTCCTAGAGGTTACAAATAAAAAGAAAATTCATCTTTAGAAAAGCAACATAAAAAAGAAGTTTTAAACAAAAAGTTGTGTATTCATACACTCGACGATAACGAGAAAATAGATAAAATTTATTCAGTAATAGGAAAATTTGGTCAGTCGTACTTTTCGAGTGTGATAAATCGGGAGTGTGCTTAGTCAAAAATAAAAGGAAACAAAACAAAAAAAAATAATAAAATAGATAAAAGAAATTAATCGCACCTGCAATTCGATTTTGTTTCGCGCGACATTTTCTTGCAGATTTCGTCAACTTCATATATAAAAAATAAAAGAGTGGAAAATTCAATTCCCTCAATCGCGGATTTGCATTGGGCAATAAAAATAAATTTCTTGGCGAAAAAGTTTTACGGTTCTTGTGTGCTTTCACTTGATATTAAAGAGAATATAAAAAGGAAAGAAAGAAAGTTGTGTCGTTTGTCGCGTCGCGGTTTGCAATCAAATTAAATAAATTTTTCACTCCCTCAATTGCCGATAAATATTCTTTGTGAAAAGTCGGGTGTGTGCAGTTTGCTCAAAAAAGCAAGCTCAAATATTAAAAGGACGAAGAACACAAACATTCTAGACGAAAACTATAATAAAACAATATTTTTCTCTTTAAACTGGTTTCTGTAAGACGAAATTTTTACATCTCGATCTACGATAAAAAAAAAAGTTTTTTTCGGATAACTCAAAGCTCGTAGTTTGCTACATGAAACGATTTTTTCCTGCTGTTACAACAAAGAGAAAAATTAAGTACAGATAAAAAAGTGTTGATATTTTCTTCTTTGCACAAACGAAAATCATTTTCACTGCTAAAGCTTTAATATTTACATGAGAATAAAATTTCTTCGTTCATCACAAAAGATTTTCAAGTGTCTCAAATAAAAAAAGAAACTTTGAACAAAAGAAGAATTTAAATAAACACACAGCAAGCATTCTCCCGTCCACGATTAAGGAACTAAACCCATTACAAACTATTAGCAAAGTCATCGTAAGTATCAGCTTTAATTTTAACAATTAGATTTACACAACTTTTTTTCTATGTTCTGTTGTTGCTGTTTCTGTTGTTACTTCCACCCTCCCCCCAACTTGAAAACGTTCTCGGTCTCACGTCTCGTGTGTGTGTTGAGTTTTAACATAGATGAGTGAGACATGGTAAGGAACGAAAGAAAAAAAAACCAGAACAGAACAATTTGTTGTATTGTTGCGAGGATTTAAAATGTTTAACATAAAATAAACAGCTTTTATTGCTCGTAAAAAATCCTTAAATTTATCTAATGTGCTCGTTGGAGCGAACATAAAACATACGCAAATTGTCCAGAAGGCAGTGAGGAACAGAGTGAAGTGAAAATGATGAAGCTTTTGCAAAGCTATGTAAACAAAGTACTTTAAAAAAATTATGACGAAAGGGAAACTAACAACTGGCCCTAAGATTATCGATTTTCCCAAGAGGTTTTCCTTTATTTTATTTACGTAGTTTTCAATACAAAAGCAATTATTCACCAATACAGTCAAGGATTCCCCGAAAAATAAAATAAAAAGGTTTCAGTTTTTCTTTTTTTTTGCTTCTTCCTTTCTTTGTCGCTTCGCAGCAGTTCCTCTTTAATAGCATAAGAAAAGAAGGAAAGAAAAAGAACTCCAAGAACTCGAGAGGTTCGAGGGAGGGTAGATTTATTTCATCAGTTGAAATGAAAAATTTTTACCAATCCATTTAAGTCGGTTGAGGAAAGAAAAAGAAAAGCAAAGCAGAGATTCTTAACTGTTAAGGTGAGCGAATCTTTCCATAGCTCCATTCATGGTTCACATGTTTTGACTACATGCATCAGCTTTCTTTTAAGAAAACGTATTTCATTATTGGCATAACCTTTGGTACAAACTTTTCATTTTAATTCATCACAAGAATCTCGAAAAATGAGAGAAAAGAAATGATTGTTATGCCAAAAAGTTAAGCTATGTATGATCGAAGCGTAAAAGTAAAAGCGCCAGAGAAACCCAATACCAACGTTAAGAATGATTGAAAGCTTGTAAATCTTTGTTTTGATTATAAACTTTGTTGAAAGTGGAAGGAGGTGAATAAATCTGGTTGAAAACTTTTCAACATTAAAGCGCCCATTTAAAGTTAACAACGTTTTATGGAGCAGCAAAAGCTTGTCGAGAAAGGGAGAGAGAGAAAATGTGGGAAGAAAGAAAGGAAAAAAAATCAATAACTTTCTACGGTAGATAAAAATTTCACACTATAAGAAAGAGTTTGTGATTTTACCTGTAATAAATATATTTTACATTTTTCACCTTACACAAGAAGAGCGAAGAATTTCTTTCCGGTTCAAGTATAAGAGAAGGTAAACATTTCCTGCTGATCTGCTCTACTCTGCTCCGCTTTGTATATGAGTAAAAATGTGTCACCTTTTTCCTTCTTCCTTCTTTTATGGGCGAAGGGAGGAAAAGGGGAGGGAGGGAAATATTTTTGCCTCTCATTTTCTTGCGACGCTTTACGTGTTAGAAAGAAATGTAATTAATGTGATGATTTAAAATTTCTCACACTGACGAGGCTCTTTAAACAATGATGAAATGAAAACGTGTCTTAAAAGGAATCTTTATGGAGCTTTTTTTTTATTTACGACCACAGTTTAAACTTGTAAATGATGTTGCAAGATTATCAGATCAACTGTAGCGTTGGACGAGCTTTATGATTGGAGGAAAGGAAGTTAAAGAAGGAAATGAGATTTTGATGCAAATGCAAAAGAAATTTTAGCGTTTTTAGTCAATATTTAGATGGACAGGAATGAGATTCACTGACAGGGAAAATTTATGATAAAAATAGAAGAATTCAAATTAACTTAAAATATTCGCTTTGAATTATTAAAAAAGAATAAAAGCTTCAATAAATTTGTTTTTACGACAGTGAATTTAGAATGATAATCAATCAATCGATGACTTAAGTATGTAAATTCGACACTCTTCTTCCCATTCAATTATACATGAATAAATTTTCAATATTTATGTTGCCCGATTAATGGGAAAAAGAAAAGTTTTTTTATTCATCTTTGAATAGAAAGTAGAAAGCTGAATTGAAGATAGGAATAGGAAACGATAGAAAGGCATCAACTCTACAATTTTGCATAATTTTATTAGACTAATTTCCTATACAGCAATTTGAATAGCAAAATCATCTTCTGAGAAGGAAATGTGGAGAAAATAATTGCATGATAATGCTGTAGTTCAATCATCAAGGGAGACATGAATAGTAAGAAAGAAGTAAAAAGCGAGGCCCCATGCGATAAACAAGTTTTCGAACTTCCATTTGCCATTCAAACTTGTAAGCATTCATATATCATGGGAGATATAGAGCAGCAAACATTCTTAATATTACTGCTTTTACATTTTTTATACATCATAAACCAACACGTTCGTTTATAGTGCTTGCCTAAAAGCGAGTTCTGCTATTCCTTCTTATGATGTCATTCTCCCTAACTTCGTCCCTCTTTACATTAAAATAGAGAAACGACGAAAAACATTCAATGGATCTTCATTCTCCACATTTCTCGACAAGCTTTCGTGCCATTCGCTTACATTTTTTTGCCTCAAACATTTATTGAAGTACAAGACATTATTTCACTTTTTCGTCATTCCTCTATTATGATCGTTTTTTTAAGTAACATTTGAAGAGAAGAAAAAAAAAAGATATAAAAGTGAATGAATAGAGCATAGCATAAGGTAGAAAGAACGTGGAAATATGATAAAAGGAAAGGGATCAAGAGGAAAAAATTATTTTCAGTCATCCCGGTGTTTGCCTGAAAATTATTTGCTGAGAGTTTGTTTCGGTGCCAATTAGTGTTGCTTATGTGCTGTATTGTGTTTGGTATGTGGTAATATTATACATTCATTCTCAATGGGTGTTCCATTTAATGATTCAAATAATTGAGTGAGGCTCTGTAACCGCTGAGTTTCAGATTTCATTTTCAAGAAGAGATGAGAAGGAAGAAAAGTTTTCACTTATTTTCTCTAAAGAATGGTTTTGTGGGTTGAAAAGGAAGAAAAAATAAAGAAAGAAAGTTGAACATTTTTTTCTTATTTCACAGTGAAAGCGAAAATTTTCACGTTTAATGAGTTTTTATTTTTTTTTCTTTATTTTTTTTTTTTTTTCAAGTGAAGAGAAGCACAAAAGTTTGCTTCTCATGTAGCAATTACGACAGCCTCATCCGTTAATGAAACGGAAAATTCGCCTTAAAACGGCTTCGGAGAGGTGGAAAAAAGGAGAAATTCATGCAGAAAAGCAAGATACACAAACATAAATATTTGAAGCAAAATAAATAGAGCATTTTTACCTTTACGCAATTTATGCCCTCGTATGCTGCTTACCGCTGTGTGTATAAAACTTCAAAAACCTTTTTTTTTCTTGCAAAATCATTGCCAAATTGAGCATTCTGAAAAGCTTTGAGAGAATGTTGAGGTTACGCAAACATACACGCACATACATACTCATACGCCCGCATTATCCCACAGAGCTTTTTCACGGAGCTACAATTTTTTTTATTTATTCAAGATTTTCTTCCTTAAGACGAAAAACATTACTTTGCTTTTTTTGCTTTCTTTCTTTTTTATTCTCACACGAAGTTCGTCTTTCACCCACTTAGTTCAGTTCTCAGTTCAACTCGAATAAGGTTCAAGAAGAGAAAAAGCGAATAAAAGGCATGAAATTTCTTTTCTTTCTTTGGAGGCTTACGATTTCGATATAAAATAAATACATCGACTATTTATTTTTGAGAAGAAAAAGGAATTTTCTTTCTTTTTTTTCTATCTGTTACTCGTTCCATTTCAATAAGTAATTGAATCAACATAAATATTTATTTTTCTTCATAGGACTATTGTTACGCTTTCACTCACAGCCTCTCGTCTTTCTATAATACAACATGCTCTTACTCAACTTCAAATTCTTGCTTCGCGTTTCTTATCACCTCCCCCGCATAGAAAACTTCACACCAAACAGATTCACGCCGAGATAGATACAAAGTTCATACTGATAAAATACTTCTCGTATTCAAACGCTCAGTAAAGTCACAATTAAAGTGAAAGCTTTTATACATTTGCAACAAAACGTTTTTCCTATTCTCGACTTTATCTCAATTGTGGAGGATGGGAGAAAGAAAAGAAAGAAAAAAAAATAAATTAAGTATCAATTTTGTGTCAAATTAAATAAGAAAATAATGCGAGAGAATTATATAAACACCGTAAAGACGAGAAAAAAAAAGAAAAAAGAAAAAAAAATAAACCGAAACAACCTGACAACTTTCCCTTCTTCATGGCTCGATGTCGCATTTTAGTTGCGTGGCGGCGGGAAGAAGGGCACACGCTGAGGTGTGAGTGAAAAGGCCAAAATTGACCCTCGACATAAATTTGTTTCTCTGTTATAAATTAGGGAAAATCGTACCTAAATCAACTTGACCATTAATCATAATGTGAATATCAAAATATTTACTTGATGTGTTTATACTTTAAATATCACAAGAAAATGCTTTTTTGGACGGAGTTAGATATAGAAGAAAACCGAACAAACTATGTCAGAAATTTGATTCCATTTCAGTGTTTGTGAGGGCAAATGACTTTTGCGGTTTCTTCTTTCATGGCCAGTCTCGTCTTAAAAGCATTTTAAGACCTTTCGGATAAAAGTTACGCTTTCAATCAAAACGATATTTTGACTCTACAAAATAACTTCATTCAACCACCCAAGCTTGAATGTCAAATATTTTCAACGAAACAATAAACTGTTTGTTGAATATTATAACTAGCAATGTCATCAAATATTTGATGATTAATTATTTTCATTTGTCGATTAAAGTTAATTAGATATATGAATTCACCTTTACTTTATTCATCGTCTAATTTGAATAATCTCAAATGCTTTTCTTATTTTCTTTCTAAACAAAAATATTATGAAATTGAATAATAAATAATTTCAATAATTTATCTTTTCACTTTAAGCTTTCATGATCTAAGTTGTTTCATTCGTTTTCCGTCTATTGAATATTCACAGAACTCCTAAGAGAGTTATAGATCATTTCAGATACAAGGGAAAACATTTTCTTTTTATTTGTGTAAATTAATTCGAACCCGCAAAACGTAAATCAAGAATCAGCTATTCAAATTTTCTGTTTCTTTTGGGTTTTCTTTTTGCTGGTGTGGTGTTGCGAAGGTAAATGAAGACGAAATTTGGTTGTACATAAGGAAGTAGGAAAAAGAAGAAAGAAAATTTCTTTTTCAATCGTAAATTTAGGAAGGCAAACGACGACGTTGAAAGAAAAATCAAGCATAAAACTTTTCCTTGGTATAATCATCATTAATATTCCCGAAAATAAGACAGCAGAAAAAATTTGAAATAAATGAGGAAAATACTTTTAATATCCATCTGAAAGAAGCAGAAACACAATATATCTTGAGCTTTGTATGACGGAGAAGTAAAAAATAAAATAAGAACATATAAAGGCGAAGCAAATAACAAAAAGTCTACATGAAGCGTAAGAAAAGCGCTTTCGTTTCTCAACCAAAAAAAAAACTTTTTTTCCTTACCCAAAAATCACCAGATGTCACCGAAATTGTTTACAAATAAATTATAGCACACAAGATAGCAAAATTTTGATGCAAGAGTACACACATTCATGAAGCTGGCGGGCGGAGTGGAGAGAAATTTATTGAGGAAAAATATATTGTTTTTGAATACATATTTATTTGTTTGCCTTCGAGTCCTCTTGTCGTTGATGTGATGGAAGGAGAGAAGGGAATGTCGTGGGTGGAATGAAAGAAGAAGAAGATGAAGAAATATCGAATGGGAAATTTGAGTTGTGCGAGATTTAAGAAATCAATCAATCATCATTTCGAAGCCGTTTGACGATATGTCAAATAAATTTTCATCTCGTGCTGTCTTCCGCTTCACATTTGTTTTTTTAAGTGTAATTTTACGTCGATATTCGAGTTGAAAAAAAAGAAAGAAATCTTTTTGTGTGTTTCTTTTTTAAAACCAATTTTTCTTTTTCATCTCGCCGCGCTTTTTCTTCTATTCCTTCAGATACTTATTTCGTTTTTTTTTTCTTTCACTCTCCCACTGTAATTTCACTGAAAATATTTTCTTAATACAATATTGTATTTCAAAAGAAATTTCCTCATTTCTCCGACAATATTATTGTTATTGATTTTTTGTTGCGTGAATAAAGTGCCTCTTGGTATTTCCACGAAAGCGAAATAAATTGACATCGAAATTACATTTAAGAAGAAGGAAGCAAAGTCGTTAGTATGAGGAAAAGCAAGCAGCACACAATGCTTCTCGATTTTTCATTCAATCGTCATTAATTAATTACTTGATAGCATTTTTCGTTCGTTCATTTCTCTCTTCAGTTTTCATTAGCTGCTGTCGATAAAACGTATCATCCGATGATTTTTGTTTGCTCTACTGACATTTTGTATCCATTTCGAAGTAAAAGCAAATAGAAAATGACAAAGAGAGTAATTTAAAAGATAATTTAAAGAGGTAAAGTCTTATGATCAGTCATATAACGTTAACTATTATTTACCTATTATCACAAATTACATTGGAAGGTTTTCTACTCGATTAATATTTCAAGACGAGAAAAGAAATATTGTTTCCAAACAAAACCAAATGTATTTACTCCATTTCGGAATTGTTTCATTCATTTAAAGAAAAAAAAACCAGCTCAAGTTGTGATCAACTCACGCGATGTAAAACTTCCATTTAATTCATTATTAAAAAGAACATTTTCTTATGCTTCTGTTTACACATCAAACTCATTTGTCGTGGAAACAAAAGGAAAAAAAAAGCAAAATGCTACGTTTTTATTTACACGAACGAATTAAAAGAGAAAGAAGGAAAGGAAAAACCATTTGAAGGAATATTTTCTTTTATGTTGTGCTTTCTTGAAGCTTAAAATTTCGTGTAGGAAATAGCTACGTCATAAAAAAGCATGTTTAATTAAATTCTCTCGTAGTAAATGACAAATTGTAAAATGATACATTAAAGTCTTATATGTGCGATAATTGACATTGCAGAGACGACTATAATATTATTTATCTGCTTTCCTCCCCATTCCCACTTTTCATGCTCGAATATTTCCCAACCCGACTTACAGCAAACTTCAATGATATATAATTAAGTTAAGAATTTTTAATTAATTACTATCTTCAAGCTTTCCTTTTACTTTCTTAGTTGAAAAAAAGCAGAAATGTTAAGGAAAATTATTTACTCAGAAATTTCTTTTGCCAAATGCTTTCTTTTTTCTTGCTGCTCCTTGTACTGGTTTAAATTAAATTATGATCTGCAGTTAGTCGAGGGCAGAGTTTGCATTGGATTTTCATTCTTCATTTTACATAAAAATAATTAATCATGAAGAAGAAGAGCAAAAAAATGAGGGATAGAGAAACAAATTATGCTTTCCCAGATTTGATGTTCTTCACCGACATGCTGCTCGCTCATTCTGAAATATTAAAAATCTTCCACTCTGACGACTTTTTTTTCACTTAGCTTAATGAGAAAAATGTTGGAAAAAATGATTTTTATGGGGAGAAATTGCTTCGATTCTGCATGATTTACCGCATACATTCGAGCGCATGATTAGTTCACATTAATTAAAATGAAAGTAGTTAAACTTTTCTCAGAGCACTTTCAAAATCATTTTAAAGCTCAGACACAGACTTTTAACTTTCAATAATTGATTTAAACCCTTTTATGTTTGTTTAAAATATTTTCCCTTGCTAACAAGAGAACGAACCCCCAGAAATTTCATTATAAATAATCTCCTCTCGCACAAATTACTTATCTGACTCGGATAAACGCACACACTCAACAGTAAAAATCAAGAAAACCTTCATACTGATGTTACGATGAAAGCATATTTCAAAGCAGAAGGCTTTTGTTTATTCTCTGTTTGTTTTAAATCCCATTGAAAAATGATTTAGGTTTTTCATAATTTTTTTATTTCTTTTTCTTATTGTTCTCGGTGCGAAAAAAAAGCTTAAAATCATCCCGAAAATTTTCATTCTTTTCTGCTTGATATTCTCCTACTTCAAATATTTATAGTTCATCGTCGTATCTCATCAAAATTAAAAGTCAGGAAATCCATCATGGATGTTTTAAGTGGAAGATAAAAAAAATAAAGTTTTCAAGCATAAAGTTTGCTTAGTCAAAATTTTGTGGTTGAATAACTTTGATGTTATAAAGTGGCTGATTAAAAATGTACATCATCTGATGGACGTGATTTTAGCTTCGTTTTTCTGACATTAAACGATTAGGAATTCCAGCAAGATGAGTAATTTCGACATGACTTGATAAGATTATTCGATAAATACAAATATAATCTTTGGTCCCTTTTACAATCTTTCTAAATATTTACAAACATTTTCACTGAGTCTTGTGAAACTTAATCTATATTGAAATGAGTATCATGTATTACAAATGGGTTACACAATGACCTCGGTAAAGGACGTGTGTATAGATTTAGGTATAGAAGTGAAAAAAAAAAGAGTTAAATCTTTATAAAGACACCACAATGATGATGATGATGATGATGATGATGATGAAGAGACAACATGCATTGAGCTTTCTCTCAGAAACACAACATTATGTGAAGATCTTTACTATCACACGTGAACACGCTCTTCATTTGAAATGAAAATCGCTCTAAGCATATTTTGTCACACATTTTATCTCGCTCGCTTATTTATTGTATGTTATTTCCTTTTAAATATGAAATATGAATTTTGAGATTGGAAGGAATAAAATGGGGAAATCATCATCATACACACATTTTGATGCCGTACCGAAGTTTTTACTTCAAGTAGAATTATATCAACATGTAGACAAACGGATGAGAGAGATATTTTTATTTAAATGCGGAATTCTTTTTTTTTCCTTGTTATTTATTTTTCTTTTTTTTTTTTTTGTTATGTTTTCGCTCGACTGTCGTGTCGCTTTAGCGCTTCAGAGAGAAATATTTTAGAACGAGTGAAAGAGGAGTTAAAAATTAGAGATTATATCGTGTTCGCATTTTAATCACAAGGCAAAATATGACATTCGGTGTTGAGAGGCAGAATTCGTGCTTGAATGTAACATTTACACATTCACTGAAAATATTCACGGCAGAGATAATTGAAATTTCAAAGGCATAAACAAACCGAAAATTGAAAATTTTTCCGTTTGAAATAACATTAAGCTAACAATGAGATAGAGAAAGAAAGACAACGAGTTCTATGAAATTATCACCTGTGAAATTGTATAAAATTAACTTATTCACGTAGCTCCCTCGTACAAAGTGAATAATTTAGTTTACCATTCTGCTATTACCTTCCACCCCCAACTCTTTGATATATGTAGATGAGAGGAGAACGTTCATATGTATATACGAACAACAATAAGCATCTTCTACCATTTCTTCATAATAACGACGATGAAACTTTTTAATATTTGTTATGTAAACTGCTTTCTGTTCATACTTCTCATGTTGAATTCAATTTTGCATGATTAAAAGTTGTTTAACTTGAATACGACGTAGAAAGCAACCTCGCCGAGGATTCGAAGAAAACTTCATAAACTATTTTTGACACTTTTAACGCTTTAAAAAGATTTAAGCAGGTGACTTAAATGAATTTTACATATTTCTGTCAGCTTCATCCACTCATCCCATTCTCATGCACGAATATTCAATTAAGGTTATCTCTTGTCACCGTTTGTAATGCAAACGCATTAAAATTAGCATCAATCTTTCTCACTTCATGATTCGCAACTTTTCTCCTTTTCTTTGTTGATGTGATATGAAATGTTGAGTTGCTCATACATTTTTCAAAAACTTACCGCCCCCGCATTAAAAAAAATTCTCGTAATGCCACTTTGTTCATCGCAAGCTAGAATTCATAAATTTTCTTCATATCCTTTTGAGAATGAATAAATAATTTTAATAACATTTTCATTTTATTGCGTTACGTTGTATAAACATCAGAAGGTTGCTGGGAGAGATTGAAGGTGGTGGTGGGGGGCGCGTGAACAAAATGAGTGACAGGATGTGGGACACAAAAATTTCATTCAACTGTATGGTGAATAAAAAAACGATTTCACTTTTTTTTTCTCTTTCTCAGTCATCCCTATGCTGTCGCTGTATGTTGCAAATGCCAGCAAATGCGAATCCCTCCTTTAGCTCCATTTCGTATTCGTCTCTCACTTGTGCTACGCTCTGCTTGCGTACGCTTTATTTTTTCCTTTTTTTTTTTTCATTTCATCGCAACATCTATCGTCGTGTACGATTTCAGGGCACCCGTTTCAAATTCAATAAAAATAAATAAATATAAATGTTTTTGTTTAAAAATTTATAAAAGGTTTAAGTGATTTTGCGCTGAATGAAAAAGTACTGGCATGGATGCCGCAAAAGTGCTGTATAATGAAATTTTGAGTACGTGAACATTAAATTTGTACCGAAAGGAGAAGACTTTTTTTATTAACTTTTAAGCAAGTTTAAGGATTCCTTTCACTGATCATAAAAATCGTTTTTTCTTCTTCTTTCAATGTTTCTCATTCATTCATTGTAAGAGGAAGAAGACGGAAACGTTTTCACTTTCCAGTCTCTTCAGATTCCTGATGACGATGCGTGTGCAATTTTGATATTAATGAGAATAAAAGAAGCATAAATTCCAAGCAATTCTTCATTAAAATTCCTTTTCTTTCCTTCTTTCTTTTCATTCTTTCGAGAAGCTTCAAGCTTGTAAAACAGATTTTATTTTACAAGTGTATTGAAAGCATAATTTGCCTTCATTAAATTTCAGTCACATAATGGAAAAGTTTTTCTGTTTTGCCAAGAGACGAGAAAGAAAAAAAAAACCGTCGTTTGACGATGCTAAAAACAGCAAAAGGTTTTCTAGTCTATGTTTGCTTTTAAACCCTTCTTACGACTATTATCGTCACTCGCACACATAAAACTTGAAATTTAGTAGGTAAACAAGAACAAAAATATTTCCTTGGCGGTATGAAACATACACCAAAGCGAAAAGTATAAAAAAAGAGTGGAAGGATGGTGTGTTCAGGTTGGAAAATTAGTTAAGGAGGCGAAGGAAATTATGCTTATAAAGCTTAATGTCAATAATTACAATCCAAGGTTTATAATATCTTTGTCTTTCTTATACTAAAAGATATGCGCACACGAGACTTTTCCGTTCGCTTCTCATCTCTTAAGATATAAAGCATGATGAAACATAAATAAATTAAACATATTTGCGTTAAATTTGTAAACTTACTTGTGCAAACAATATTGTTGTAGCAAATGATTTTTTTTTCTGCCTTTTCTTACTTTCACTTCCACTTCATGTATCTTACGCAAATGCTGCTGCTTCCTAAGCAAATATGCCCCATCTTGTACACACATACACTTCAGTATTAAACGAAACATTCAAGTACTTACTCTGTTAAGTCAATATTACCTAAATGCATAATTTATTAATGAGAACTAATTCTAAATAATAAATCCTTATGATGGAATTTAATTTTGCTTTGAGCAATACAGACATCAGCACACAAATTTTCTTCATTCTCCTTAAAGATTTTAACACGGTGACTGAAGGAATTCAGCCACAAGTCAATTGCACGTCAACTAAGACTTTAAGAAAGATGCTTTTGAAACCGAATTAACCAAAACATTTTCCTTTTTTTTTTATTTGCAGATGGTGACTAGAACGAAAAAGATATTCGTGGGTGGTTTATCAGCACCCACGACTCTCGAGGACGTGAAAAGTTATTTCGAACAATTTGGAACGGTGAGTTATTTGATAGTTTCGTGACAGAAACTTTACAGTTTTACGATTTTACCACTATTCGCCATTTAATCTCTTCAGCTTCTTGTAATGAGATTCAGTAAAGACTGAGATTATCAAGGCAGAACAGGAAACCCCTTTTCGAAATACTTAATAACATTTTATGCACATCCTTCTATCTACATGTGTAGATATGTGTTGAACATTATAGGAGAAAAGGAAAAACGAGGCTAAATAGATAGATAGTTGTAAGCGCGCTGTATAAATGAGTAATAAAATTATGTATAGTATCTAAAGTAATAATTACAACTATAAAAATATCTTACATTCTTCGAGAACGAGAAAAGGAGTCTTATGTGTATTCATTTTCTTTTCCGGTTTCCCTCGTAATACCCCAAAAGAGAAGCAAAAAGAAACGAAAAAAAAAAACACACAGCCAAAGAAGAAAACTTTCTCTCTAAGAGCATAATCAAATAAAGGAAAAACTTTTTTCATTATCTTATATGGGGATGAGAGGGAGTGCGGAGTAAGAGCTTAGAAATCTTATACACATTTCCTTTTCTCCATAAATAATTTCTATTTCAAATTCATTCGCTGTTTATGTGAAAACTCGCTCGTCGACAAGCACTAGATGCTGGGGAGAAAGAAAAGAACAAAAAAAAAATTGTCGAGATTGAGAAACAGTATCTTTCGTCTCTTATTCCTTTCATCCACCCAATATACATATTTCATGTTGTGCATACCTTGTGTTGAAGGAAAAACTTTATCTATTCTCATACAGCGATTTCTCTCGTTTTTTTTTAGAATTTTTCTTCGAAGCTCTTCACTGAGCAACTTTTTTTTTCATCTTTATTCGTAAATGTTCTTTGTTGATGAAATAATAAAATTATGATTAAATTCTCGTATTGTTGCGATTATACGTCTTCACGAAACGGCACAAAGAGGCAAGGGAAAAAAATGATAATATAATAAAATTTTTGTGTACGAAAATATTGTATAATGCTTCCACATTATAATTGCTTTGTTACTCGTGTCTTACCTCTTCGGAGAAAAGAATTATTGTGCCATAAATCAATTTTAAGTACTTTTGTCTTTAATCGTTTTTGTGATATCAAATTTCTTTCGCTCGTTTAGAAGTGTGCAAAGTATTATTTTTGTGTTCTTCCCACCCACGCCCCCCGCTTTCCTTTCTCTTTTTTCTTGATGCTTGTCATGTATGATGTTGAGTAAAAATTTTCATCTCACTTGGATCAAAATCATAGAGCAGCTCGTCGAGATAAGTTTCATGAGAGCTTTCTTGTTTCTACAAATTCTGTTCAATTCTTGAAACAAAAATGAAAAGAAGAACAAGCAATGAAAAAGCACGTAATGCATTAGTTTTAAATTAAAGTAGATGATACATAAATTCACACTTTACACAAACGTTATGTGGGTTATATGCTGAATGATACAATAAATTTTAAAACATACATTACAAAAAACCCATAAAATATCATGTTATTTCATTTCACCCCTCTCTGAGCCGAAAAAAAAAACAAAAATATTACAAAATTTTGAGATCAGATGTATAAGAAAATTTAAGTTTATTGCCGTAAAAGGAAAATTAGGATAAGCAAATTTTCTTCATCTTCAAGCTTCTCTCACATAGCAAAAGGTTACGAAAATAATGGTTAAATATGTTTATTTATTATCTGCTTTTTGTCAGCAATATTTTTATGTGCTTAATTTGCTTTTCATCTTATGTTCGCGTGGCCTCAATTCCTGAGTCATCCATCCATTATCCCTGCCGGTGGTACCGTGCTTGCAAAAATTACGCTGATGGAACATGATTTATTTGGTATTTCATATTATTTTATTTTATTTTTTTGCAAACGAATACAGGAAAATTGCTTCGTCCATTTCGTAATCATTTCCATGGAAATTGTAGCTCAAAATTTTCAAATTTATTTTCGAATTGAATCAAATTTGTTTTTTCCGTTTTATTTATACACAAAAAAAACAAAATAAAACGTGCTGTCGTTGCTTTTTCACTAAAGCATGTAATTATTTTATTGATTGAAAAGCGATTAAAATAAAACTAAATCGGATATGTTTCTATCGATGACATAATAGGGTTGAAAATGAGTGCTTGGCATAAGAGAAAAATAAATTGTAAATCCAGCTGTCCCTTTCATTAATATTATTGCCAAGGATAGAACGTTCAGCTGTTTAATCAAACATTAAATTTCACTGTTTTAAAGTTCAAACATGGAAGATGTTTGCTGGTATCGATTTTCTAATTTAATTTCCACTTAAATTTGATAATTCAAGGAAAATCGGGGAACATAAATTGTACATGTTTATCTATCAAAGATATCTACACATTTCATTCCAAGTATATAAAGAGAGTTAAACAATTTTCAAGCGCCAAGTCATAATCATCCTTCTTGTCTATTTCATTCACCGCCTATGGGCTTTTCCTTAAACTCGTGCTGATTAAAGTTTCCTGATTCAGCAAAGCAAAGCTTTATGATTGAAATAATAATAAAGTCATCCAGTCAAAGCACTAATACAACATTTTTTATCGCTTCATAAAAAAAGACAAAACGATTTCACCGTACAAAACATTTCAACCATACATTACAACATCCCATCCAACATCCCAAGCCAAGGCATTAATTTTTGATCAAGTTTTTGTTATTTAAATGACATGGGGTAATTATTTATTCAGTTCAAATTATTTTTGTGTGCTTTATTATGATGAAAGTTGATGGTAGTTAAAGAGAGAAAAGAGGGAAAATTCTGTGGAAATGAATATCTGATCCTGCTCTACGAACCTTTTTTTAATTACATGCGAGAATGTGTGAGCAGAGACTTTGCTGTTTATTGTACCTATTTAGAAGAGGTTGAAGTTAGTGCATTAGAGAATTCTTGTTTCTTCTTTCTTCATTTTATTAATGTCGGAAAAAAGAAAACAAACTTCAACGTTTCGTTGTTAATGATAGTCAGCCGTATGTGTGTTGATTGAAATGAGGCTGTAAAATTTTATATTTCTGACTGCTTGCTGAAATTTTCAACATAACGAGCATGATTATAATCTGGAAAAGGCAACACATAAACATGTCGACGAGAAATAATCAATTGGAAGTTTTATGGGAGTCACAATTTCACAATAATTCTTTATTTACGATCATTTTATAATTAACCAACGCAACCTTTCTTGTCTTTTCCAATCAATAAATTTTCATTTAATTAAAACTCGATTGAATCGAAGCTTGAGCCGATTTTTATGTTACTTGAGATTGATGATGAGCTAACCTTTGAACTGGATGACTTAACTGATGATGATGAACTGATAGATTGAGAGACCGACTTTTGTGAACTCTCAGACAGGTTTGATGATGATGTTTCCGAAACACTTTTCTGAACACTTTCAGCAACCTTCTGCTCAGCTTTTTGAACTAAACTTGACTGCACATTTCCGTCAACTTTCTTTTCAACACTTTCGGCAACACTTTTCGCTGTTCTACTTGCACTCTCAATAACGCCAGTTGCTGTTTTCTCAATGCTCGACTAAAAAGAAGATAAAGAAAAAATGAAAGGAAAGGAAAAGAAAAAACGAATTGAAAGTTTTGTGATTTGAATTTTGTCGTCACCTGCAAGAAATAAAAAGAAATTACCTCAGATGAACTTTCCGATGAAGCTGTGGAGCTTCTCGTGACATCGCTTTTATTCACTTCAACAAGATCCATTTTCTATGAATATATTTTCTGCTTTTTCTGGCTCTGATTTGAAAATCTGATGGAAATGAAATCAGAGAGAAAAAAAAAACTTTGAAATGAAAAATCTATGAAACGAGTTTTGAGTGTCAGTAGAAGCTGGTGAACATGAGAAAGGTTGAAATTCTTTTCAGCGCATAATCGATCGAACAAGGCTGAAGTGTGTGCGTCTATTTCTACATTTTAGCCAGGCATTCATGTGCTGTCATAAAAATAGACACTTCACCTGTTTTTGCCTTAATTTCATTTAGTTAGCACTGCTGAACTGGTATTTAGAAAAAAGTCATTTCGACGTTTATCAGTTGATAATTAGAAAATATTTCTGCTTTCTTTCTCTATGTACACACAAGTTAGCTAGCGAAAGTCGTGATTCAGAGAAATCAATGATTCACAGATCCTCCACTCACATCGCAAAATCTTCGCTTGCTTAACTTTCTCCAATAAGCTTCACTTTGACTTCGTTATTCACCTAAGACTCTTAATCCTGCAGCTTATTCTTAAGACTGTTCTATTCAAGTATTCAGCCACAACTGAGAGCTGCGGAAAATTTGTATGAAATATAAATAAATCGTCTAACATGTGTACGGAAAAATTCTCACTTCTTTAGTGGAAAAAGAAAATATTTTTCTTTACTCAAACAATGAGAATGAATGAAGTCATGAACATTACTTTCGGGTGTTTCATACACGCTATTTTTGAGAAAATTATTCACATCGTTTTTCTATACGAACATTTTAATTATTCGTGTTCTATTCGCCATTAAGCATCGTCTAAAAATAGTTTTGTGCTTCATTATTTTCTACTGCCAGAATTTAATTGCATAGATCGTGTGCCAACATTCATTAATTAAAATCGAATGGAATAATGGTCGTGATTAAGAGTCACCTTATGTCGATGTTAGAAAAAATGTGAATGCTTTCGATTACTCCGCATTCCAACATCTCATGCTTGACATCGTATTCGACTTCCATCTTTCAGGCAAACAAAGTGCTCTGCATACATTTTTTTTTTCTAGAGCCTCGTTAAAATTCCAAGCTGATTAATGATTTTTTTTTCTCCTCTGTGTTTTTTTCCGAAAAGATTCTCAGCGAAATTCTCGCTCACACTAATTGAAGCAATTTATTTTATTTTGACGAAGGACGAAGTAAAATGTAAACGAGAGAAGAAAAAAAGCTTCTTTTGTTTTGTTCTCTGATGGTGGAGCTTAAAAAATGAGGGAGGGAACGTCTGCAAGGAAAAAAAAACCAGTGCTTGAATTAATCTGAAGTAATGTCTTGAAGAGTATGAGTTGCTTTGATTTCAATCCGAGATTGATCATGAACATAAAAGAAAAAAAAAATTTTAACAACCTTAGAACTTTAAGCTTTGATTTTCGATAATTTTTCAGTATGTCGCATAACTTTGTCTTGTCTTCTAGCATATTGCATCATAAAAAATTTCCCACCTTCTCGTTTATTCTTCCTTCAAAAGCACCAGAGACTCTGCTTCACTCCTCTCGCCTCTGAAAAAATAAGATTGATGATGTTTTTGTTTTACGACTCATTTGAGTGCAAATTTATGTTTACGAGAAATGTTTTGCACATAAGAAAAATTTATGACTTTTAGCTTTGATACTACTTAATATTGTCTTTTTTTTTGCTGCATTCATTTTGAGAGATTATGGATCAAGCAAAGAAGCAACAACGGTGGTGGCAATATTATTATAACATTCACTCAGAGTCATTTCCTATCACTTGAATGCTTTTACGCTGAACTGAGACTTTAAACCAAACCATATTCTTTCGTTGTTGAATTTAAATGTCTATTACTCACGCCGTTTAAAATTTTATTATCAATTTCTTTCATTCATTCGCTTACTTCACGACGTTAAATTTTAATCTTTTTATTTCACAATGAACTGTCATAACGCAGTTTTTTTTTTCATTTTCATTTTCATTTTCATTCTGACAGAAGGAAGGAAAAAAAAAGTTTCATTGACGTTCGTTCTTTTACGTTCTTCTCTTGTGAAATCTCGAAAAGATTCTTCTTTTATTGCCTGTCAAAAAGAAATTAAATGTCGATTGCATTTGTTTACATTATGAGACTTCTCTCGAAAGAATTAATTGTTTTACATTTTTTTTATGTCTTTGCAGATAGAGGATGCGATGTTAATGTTTGATAAACAAACGAATCGACATAGAGGTGAGTACTCAAATAAAACGCTTTATTGCTTTCAAAAATTTGTTCACATCTTGTTGTCTGGGATGTGTGATGAAAATATTGATGGTGAACATGATGATCGCATTAATTTAATTTGTAACAAGATGTTTCACGCATGATAAATTTATATTCTATTAAAGTGAATAAATTCTAATTACTTGCCACATCTCCCGGTATCTTGAAAATCGGTTATCTTGTTTAAGGATAATAATAAATAAGCACATCTATCTATAACAGACACAGTAGAAGTAATCGACTCAATATTTCCCTGTAGCAACATTAGATATGCATTAATTTTAATTGATAGAGAAAGAGTCGCTCTCAACATTTGTTGCAAACTTCTTCATGTTAAGTGCTTGCAAAAATTGGAAATTTCTTATCATTGAAACTTCTTTCCGACACGACACTACACCATCAATATTAATAACAGTAGAAGAAGCAACAACAGACACAGTTTCGAAATGTTGTGCCTTAAATTAAAAAGTGCTTCAGTTTTTGTAATCAATAAACTTCGATGGTGGGTGTTCATTGTGAATTTATTGCAAGCATAAGGAAACTGCAAAAAAGTTTTACAACTCTTCGATAAGGATTTTTTCCCGTTAATCCCAAACTCCCTCTCATGTTCAAACTGTTGAATTATGGTCGAGATTTTTGCTGAGCTTTTTTTTTGTCTGTTATTATTATCCACTACGTTATGAACTATTTGTTGTTAACATACAGAACGCAAATACACATCGAAGCTGACTTATGTAATATCGATGCGAAATAAATATTTCAGTGGTAGGAAAATATTCACCAACACAGGGCGTCAATATTTTATGGCGCCAATCTCGGTGAAGGAAGAAATATGAAAGATAAACAAACAACAATGTTGGCGAGACAACTTCTTTCCTTATTCTTTGCCTTAGTTGGCTGCAAAACAACATTGTGAAGGTGCTGCCACTTAAGTTTTGATTTTATCTGACGCTTGTTTATTTTTCTGATAACGAAAAGACGAGAAAATAAATTGAACTTTCTATTTATTACACAATAGATATTTTCTCTCGTCTTTTTTTTTGACATTCCCATGACTCATTGAGTCAGGCATGATGGTTAAGTTTTTGTTTAATTTAATTGAAACTTAATCGATTAGATAGGAGAGAATGAACATGTCTTAACATAATACTTATAACCGAGATAACATTCTTTCTCAAACTAACCGTAAATAAAACAATTTTCCCAACTTCTCTAAACCATCAAAATTTAATAAATTTAAAAGCCAAGGAATTTTGCATGCTATTTTATAGTCGTTCATTAATTCAGACATTAAACATATTAAATTAATTGCTCTAAATTTGTGGATTCCACAGCGTGTGTATAATTTCAAAAGAGAGTTAGAATTACAATTTCATAGCGCTTATGTGAAAGGAAAATTGTAACAATTTAATATTCTTCCCCACTCATGATTTGTGGCTGAGCATTAAGTCAAAGTTATGACTTCGTACTTGTGTTTCGATACATTTAGGCTACAAAAGAAGGGATAAAATGTAATGAAACTGTCAAGAAAACTGCGCGCATGATATAAATGGATTTACTAGAAGAGAACATAAGCACATGAGCTATGTTTGGCGAGATATGAACGAACAAGCGAATAAAAACAGCGAAAAAAAAGGAAAAGAAACGACAATTTTTCCCTTAAATAAATTCAGAAGAACTTTTTGTGAAGATAAATGTCTTTAATTGTTTGTTTCTAACAGTTTGACAAATCGTTGCATTTGCATTACGACAAAAGTTTTCGTTCAACATTTCATTCAGTTGGTAAGATTTGTGCGTTTTATAAATTACTGGGATACAACAAAATGTGATATGCTTTCCATTCAATTAATTTTAGAAAACGAAGCTAACTGAATTTCTTGAAAATTATCTTCTACACATCTCCTTCCAGGGCATTTAATTTTTTTTATAATTACAATTTCTTAATTATCATAAATTAATGATTTGATGATGTTCATTTCATAGGCCGTCGACCAATCCATTTTGAAACAATCTCATAAGTCTTTCAAGCTTCTGTTTATTTATTTTACTTTTCTTCTGAAGCTGGTTCAAGCTCACTGTTTCGTGTGCGATAAAATACAAATAAATATTTTATGATACAATTTTCAAAAGTAAAACACAATTTTATTGCCCCCTTTTCCATTATTTATGCGATACACAGTTTTATTATAATTTTTTCTCTCTTCACTCTCGTGTTGGGTTCTACGACGAAAACACGAGAAAGAAAGAAAAGTAAAACTGAACTTGAACCATCGGCGAACGGTTTCGGAAAGCAAGTTAAATCAGGAAGTTGAGTTTAATTTTACGAGAGATTTTTTATGAATACTTAAAATCACTTCATCTCGAAGAGCGAGTGACCGAAAGCTTATTAACCCTTTAAATCCTTACAAAGGATCAGAGAAGTAGAAAGCAAAAAAAAAGAAGACAAGGAATGCTGTTCTCGTCCATAAATATCTTAATAATAATCTAAGCGTGTTTAAACTTTTTTCAAAAACTTTGCTACTTGATATCATGTTGCGATAAGAAGAGACGCGATAATTTGATCATTTTATTTAAACGACTTTTCTCACACTGACTACGCTTTTCAGTTTCGCTTGCTTATCTGATAAATCAAACCATTAGCAACACTTTTATACTATAATGTCGATGCTTCTGTTCGTTTTTATCATTTTAACGATTATTTTATGCATAAATGTAATCATCACAAAGACTATTATAAGCATCATCCATGGTGGTGGATACAATGAATTTGAATTTACATACAAAGCACAGTAACTCTGCTATCCTATCCTACATGTAGTATGTTCTGTTAAGGACATGAGATTATACACGAGACGTATCATGTGATATATTTCTCGAGTATTAAGCACAGAATAACTGAAATAGAATTCACAACAAACCATCCATTTTGTATGATCATTTATCGCTTGTGTAAAGTCAACGACACACATGTTTTTGGCAGTTTTTAACAATAATTTTTATGGTTGAAAAATACAATTAAACTTTCTTGTTTCGTTTGCTGTCTTGAGTCTGTGTATTCAATATGAAAACGAGAGATAAACATTTAATGAAACATGCTGAAAACATCGAAAATTGTTCACAAAAAGAGATGCGCTGTGCTGTTTTCTCGCTTTATATTTAATGATATTGATATTGATCACAAAATATGATTGTGAAGCATAATAATGACATAATGAGATTGCAAATAATTTAAACAACAGAAAGAAGTGCTTTTCATTCCTTTTAAACAACATAAACACAGCGTACTTAAATATATTAGTTTTTGTCTTCTTCTATATTCGTTTTCATTTCATTGTTGAGATCATGAAAAAGAATTTTGCTTTTATATGAAAAGTTTTCGCCATAAAACAATTTCTGAGGGAAAGAAGAATAGAAAGCGGTTGTTGAAGGAAGAAAAATGCTTATTGAAAAGGAAACACGACTGTTGTTGATATCACAATTTAAAGAGTAATGAACTGCAATTAAATATGACTAAACTTTAAGTTGGAGCACTTCAATAAAAGTGAAAAATGGTAATAAACTCTTTTCATAGTGTTGCTTTATTGACTTCTATTTCAACATTGATCAATCTTTCATTTCTCTCATTCCAACTGAAGCTTTCAAAATGACATTTAAATTGCATTTACATTGATTCAAATGGCTCAATTAAATATGTATATCAACATACATCAACTGGCATGGATGGAATCAATGAAGAAGAGTGAGTTGATGGGTGAGATGATATCACGATGAAAAAATGTTTGATGGTGAAAGTTTCAAACATGAATTTCCACTTTTCAGAATGGCTGTTAATAAAAATATTTCATCGTTGCTAATATTCCATCCTGTCAATTGTCCTAAAAGATTTCAAGTTTTGATTAGGATTATCATTGCAAATTATTTCAATATCATGCTATGCATACCAATGCTTGAAAGTTCAGGCAATCGATCCATTAAAAGTTCTATTGTTGCCATTGTCAAATGAGATGCAAATGTAAACCAAATATCTTCTAATTTATTGAAATTGTAATCCAGTAAAATGCTGCAGAGACATGAGTTAGAGAAGGGAATAAAGATAAAGACGAGATTAGAGGATTGCAATATATCCGGTGTTATGTTGTTATTGTCCTTCTTTTTATATTTTAATAACATGTTACCTTGCCATCTCGTAATCAGTAAATGGAACTCTGTCGACAGCTAATCTTCTTATCGTCTGATGACAATTGCATATTAAATTACGTAAAACCGTTGAACTCATTGGACTGTTGAGAATCTCGAAACTCTGAAGCTGATTAAAATTCTCATCTGTCAAACATGTAAGTTCGTCCATCATATAGAAATCTAAATCTCTTAAATTCGGACAGTTTTGAATCACAAGACCCACGTCCATTATGTTACGGCCCTTCAAACACGTTAGTTGCCTTAATTGTCTGCCAATACGCTTCAGCACATGATAAATCTCACTACAATTGAATTTATATATCTTCAGGCTTTGCAACATACTGAATGACGTTAGCTTATGCAGCACATTTGCTTCGGGTGAATCTAAATAAATCAATTTCAAGTTGGGACAAGCCTTGCACATGGCATTCATAGCATTATGTCTTGTTTCAGTGTCATGAAGATATTCTAATTTCGAGACAAAATCTGAATTTATATTTTCGATTACATATTGAATAGAGCGACCCACAAAGGAATAACTTCCGAGGCTTTTCAAATTCGGAATGTGAGTCAATAACGATGCAATGTCTTCATGGCAAATATTTTCTTCGCCTAACGTTCCAATATCGAGAACTGTCAGCTTTTGTTTTACATCCGAAGAACGGCACAAATATTCGATTCCAATGTCGGTGATATCGGTTACACCTGACACATCCAGATGCACAAGATTCTTCTGATACAACATTATATGATACAATAGATCATCAGTTGCGATATATGGAATATCCAATTTCACGAGATTCTGCAGACTTTTAACTATTCGAAACATCAAGCTCATGTTATCTTCTTTAAGCCAAATTCCTTTTAAATTTAGACATTTAATGTTCGTTCCTTGCATATCGACAACCTGCAATATTTTCTCGTAATATGGATAAGGAAAGACTTCAGTTTTCAAACTTTTAATGCTTCTGTTCAGCAGCATTTGGAGACAAACGAATCTTATGGGAGCTGGTAAATTATCCCAGCTTAAGATTAACTGCAGAATCTCTTCATAAATTGTATGCGTTGCACCATTCTCTTCTAAATATGAATTTATCTCAACTATAACAAGCGACAAATCCAATTCAGTTAAATTAAAATTTGTTTCAATATTCTCCTTAGCTATGCTATAACTAACAGCTGAGACGATGCTGTTTGCCAAAGTGCTCAGTGTCAATTCACTTAAGTTTATCACTTTATTTTTCTTGGACATTGTTTGTTTGCTTTGGCTTCGCTTTCATTCACACGAACCCAAACTCACTCATTGTCGTCATTTCGTATACAAATTTTCTCGTAATAAAGTGCCTTTAATTAATTTTCTATTTGTTTTGTTCTCATCTCCTTTCTGTTTAGTTTAGTCTCGGTGAAAGCGTTTCATCAGAAAGAAGCATTAAACCGCACATAACTCGTGTGTGACTCATAACCGAGAGTTGCTTTCAATTTAATTATCCTTCCTTCTCTCGTTATTACACAACTTTATAGCTTGAAAATAATTAGCAGATTACATTTCCCAACTTGTCTCTTTAGTAATTCTAATAATTCGATAGTTATCACGCCAAATTGCACATCAAAAAAATTCTTTTTTCTTTTCTAGACCAATCTAATTAACGCTTCTGAAATAACTGAGAGTTAGAGAAGAGACGGGACAAAAATTTCTGTTAGGAAAACTTTCTCGTGAAACGACGACGAAGTAAAATGAAAAACCTATGCTATTTTTATAAAAAAAAAGCAACAAGAGAATGATTTGATGCCAAAAACACGTACTTTTCTCATGTTGATTTAATTTTTTTCTTTTCCACTAACAGTCATCTCAGTCGTTTTCATCTTTTTCACGAAAGTTTCAGAATGAAAAAAAAAAGTGAACAAAAATAGTCAAAGTGATAAATGGAGACAAAATGAAATAGAAAAAGAATTTAAAATTAAATTTAAAAAAATATTTTCATCTCTTTTTCGCTCAACTTAACGACGATTACGATCAATAGACGTGATGATGAGAGTCATGTGAATAAATGTACGCAACATTTTTTTTCGTCCGAGAGAGAATGACGAAAATAAAGAAAAAAAAAAACTTTTCCCGAGAAGATTGAAAATGTTTTCGTGCACTTTTCAAATTGTGAAAGAAAGAAAGAACCGAATGACGACTATTTTTAAAGTTTTTTTTTCTTTTTAAGAGAAAAGTTTCCAATTTTTTAGTTTATGTAAGTAAATAGATGCGATGGAAGGAAACAGAAGCGTCTAGTAAAATGTTATTAATGATATCGTGTACTCATGTTTCATTCAAAACATTCCCCTTAAATGCTTGATGATATCAGCGTTTCGTTCCCTCAACCCGACTTCAAGTAAACAAGTAAAGGGATTTTTCTCGGTGTTTTCATGAAAAATTTAAACTGACAACTCTCGGTGAAAAGTAGTTTCAGTTTGAAAAGGTGCGGGAAGGGTCATTGAAGCAGTTTATAGTCGCACATTTTCACAACATGAAATTTTAATGTTGCTTCTTCTCTATCTACGCCCACGCCCTACACTCGTTAATTTCTTTTTTCACCTTCCTCATCACCAGAGAAGCTTTTCTCCGAGGCAATACATTATTCTTATGAGAATTTTATATTTCATGCTGCATCGTGTAGTGGTGGCAGAGCACACTAAATTGCCGATCAGTGCTGTACGGTTAATGGAATAATATATAAGTGTAGATAGTGAGAAAAACTAATTTTCTCCCACCTCTTCTACTTTTCTTCCATCAACCCTCGTCGCCTTATGTTGTTCATGGCTCTTTTTTTGTGTGTATACCTCTAGAGTTTCTGCTTAGGGTTGCTAATGAAAATCATTAAAGTTTCAGGAAGCCAAAAGATATGTAATAATTAGGAACCGAGCATTGTAGCAAATAAATCTTATTTTAAATAGCAACAATAAAAATAATCTCGAAACCTCATTACTGAAAATTCACCCGATAAATTAAGTACAACTTTGATCCCTTTGTTTCTTTTAGTACGTTTCTTGCTTTTGCTTTCTATCTCACAGCCAACCTTGCATAATAGATTGAACGTGTGTGACACTGCACTGTAAAGCTTCCTTTATCACCACAAGATGCTTTCTTTTTCACTCATCCTATTTCAGTCTCTCGACTCTTTATCCAATTTAATGCATCGACTTGATAATTCTTTCTTTTTTCTTAAGTTGTTGAAATATGAGCTTGAGAAGCAAAAGTTTAAATGCAAAGTCTTTAGAAATGTATGCAATTGGGAAATGCTTATCGGGCTTGGTTTATTTAAGTTTGAGATGGGAATAGCAATTAAATCGTAAGCATAACGACAAGAAACATAGTCGAAATGGTTTAACTTAATAGCGGAAACTAAAATTCGATTCCTTCGAGAATTTTGATCATTTGATCAATTTATTCGCGTCGAGTTTAAAGTTTCAACTTGAAACTTTCAAGTCTCCAATGTCTAAAAAATCTTAATTTATCGCATTCCCTAAAGAGTTTTAACGTTCGAAACTTTGAAATTTATCCAAATTAATATTACATGAAAGGACGTAGACGGGAAGGGAAAGTAGAAATTACAATAATTTAAATGCAACAACTGTTAGATTTATGATCCTCACTAACTTTTATCCTTATGTTCCAGACTTAAGAACACATTTTTCCTGTGCATTTCACAAGAGTCTCTCTCTCCCTTCTTTTGATTCTTTTAACAGTAAAAAACCGACCATAAAGCTTTAAAAGTGTAATTTAATTTCAAACTAACGAGAACGCAAATGCTAACAATTAACTTTCTTGCTTTCTCTCAACTCTAAAAAAAATAAAAATCTTCAGTTTTAAAAGTGGGATAAAAAAAAGAGAGAAAGAATAACTGAATTATAGTAAAAAAAAGCGCTCAACGCGAAAGTAGATCTTAAATGAATAAAGAAAATCCGATGCACAATTAAAATGCAAATTTAAAGCACTTTGACTAAGACTTGATACAATGTTTGGGGAGGGTTGAAATTAATGCAATGATTCAACTTCACCATCATCATCTGTTTCAATCCCTTTTATGAGCTTTTTGTGCAGCGAGCAACACATTTTAATAAGTAATTTGAATTTACATTGTTTTCCTTTTCTTCTCTCTCCTTTCAGGTTTTGGTTTTGTGACATTTCAATCGGAAGATGTAGTAGATAAAGTTTGTGAAATTCACTTCCATGAAATAAATAATAAAATGGTAAGCGAAGCAATGCAATTTTGTTTGCTGTCATTTCCACATTTCAAACCTGTCATTCTTTCGTTGCTGTGAGCTTTGTGGAGTTGTGTGATAAGAAAGACTGTCGTCTTTCAGTCGACAAACAGCTTACACAACTAATGGCAGCATCACATCAAGATGAAGGGGAAAAAAGTGAATCAATTAGATAATTGAATTCTCAATTTGTTTTGCCATTTCCCCTTCAACTTGATTTTCATTTTTCAATTTACCTTTTCTTTCTGTTCCAGCTTTCATCAAAATTTAATTTCTGTCTTTTCTTATTTGTTTGTTCAGGTTGAATGTAAAAAAGCACAACCGAAAGAAGTGATGCTTCCAGCTAATTTAGCAAAAACACGCACCGCTGGACGTGGAACTTATGGTGAGTTGGTAGTGTTGAGCGGTGGACCATCGAGCTCGTTAGGAGCTTCTGTTGGCCAACCATCAGCCGTACGCTATACTCCTTATCCTTTGCCTGCTACAATCACAGCGGGTCATCAACAAGCAGCAACGACTACTCACATTCTACCTCTCTCAGCTAATCCCCATTCGATTGTTCATTATGCACCTGCACTTGGTGCCACATCGAATTTGTATGATACTGCAGCACACGCGGTATCATACAAGAGATTGCTGGCAGCAACTGCAGCTGCTTCATTTCGTTCACATCCCCATCAAACTCATCGACCCACCGCTTCCCTTACATATCCTCTTGGTGATTTACTTGGAGTTCAGAGTCTCGATTTGTCGGGACTCTATCAGATTCCTACGGCCACAATCGGTCTTTGACCGTCGCCATCTGGCACCACTGTCATTCAAGTTCAACGGCCACAATAAAAGAGAAAAGAAAAACGAAAAAAAAATAACCAAACGCAAAGCAAAAGTAAAGTGAGATAGGAAACTTTCTTGTTTCTGTATCTTTCCTCATTACTTTTTTTTATCCAATTTTGCTGTTGTAGCAGTAAAGTTTCTTGTTTGTATCTCATTTATCTTAAAGTTAAAGATCGAATATATGTATGTACATTACATATATAATTTCTAAAGAAAATGCTCGAAAATAACTTGAAAAATGTTCGCTTCAGGAAAAGGAAAACTTTTTTTTATGTTTTCCTACATGTACTGAATATTTAAAGCTTTTAACTAATAATTTTGTGATAGAATAGAAAAAGATTGCAGAGTGTTGAAGCAAATTGAGATTTTTAGATAAACATTTAACTTTTGTCGTCATTGTCAACATGTTTTAAACAGTTGTAGAGATAATAAAGCGAATAGAAAAGAATTGTTGTTGACTGACAATAAATGCATAGAAACGTGATCATAGAAGTTTAGAATCGGTGTGATAATTTTATTTACTTAGATAGAAACATTTTATTGAATGACAATAGCATAGCTATTATGATTAGTTAGTTTAGATCATTTTTAATTTTATTTTTATAACGTTTAATTAGTAGAATGCGCACAACATAAAAAGAGAAAAATTTGATTGAAATAACAAACCAAAAATCATATCAAATCGTGTTCAGGGACAATGCAAAAGACAATATTTGATAGTTAGAGACAGTTAGAACAGTTTTTCAAGCTTAAAGTAGATTAAAATCGACTCAAAAAGAAGAACTTACCAAAAGACTGGTTTTTCAAGTAGCATTCAGAAAGTTTAGCTTTTCAACTTATTTTCCTAATCGCATTTAGACACGAAAATCGTGTCTGAAAATGGAACCAAATTTTAAAGTAGTGAAACATCATCAATTGAAGTAACTCTTGTGATTTTAGATAGAATAGACGTTGATAAATATACATACTTACTTACATATTCATAAATGATTGCTTTTGGGGTGATTTAGTTCAACAACGATAGTGCTGTGTTTAGCTAGTCAATTTTCCAAAATAGATTTTTACACATTTTCTTAGGATAGACATATTCAGTTCCTCGAGACATTAGCAACATTACCTTTAATTAATGAGTCAACACTCATGTTCGAGAGTATTTAGAATTCATCGAAGTATAGTGTTTTAGAGTTATTTCCTGGGCTTATACATTTATACATAGTTAAGCATTATATTTATGTAATGCGAACATATTTCATTACTCAAATAACTTTGGAAAACGGATTGTCATTAATAATGTGAGAAAAGTTGAAATTCCAACCCTCATTTGAGTGCTGCTTAAGTAAGGGGTGGTTGGTCGACGGCTTCGTTCTCTTTTCACCAATTTTCGCCTAAAAAGCCAAAGAACATTCCGTTCATAAAAATTCCAAATAATTCACCAAGAAATTCCAACAATCAAAATGGAATCTCATTACAACAATAACATCTTCTCCTTCATTTCTCATAACCACTTCTTGTCTTATGTATAACTTTCACTATTATTTATTGCTTTTTGAGCATCTTTCAATGAGAAAAGAGTAAAAAGAAAAGAAGTTTTGTTTTTTATTGTGATTAATATCAACATATTAATTATAGATGTAACAACGAGAATCGTATCTGAGAAAATATTTCATATTTATTGATTGTATGAGCAATAGTTAATAAGTGACAAAGTCAAATGAATGTTTGTTTGTTTTGAGAAGGAGCAAAAAGGAAGAAAAAAGGAAATGCTTAAAGAAAAGTAAAAGATTTATTGAGGATTAATATTAGATTAAGCAATAATCACATATATTTATTCGAGTAATTAATTAGATGAGTTTGAGGATCAGAGTATAATTTTTCTTTTTGTCTGTATTTATCTTGTATAACTATAAAAATTCCTTAGATTAAGAAGCCGAACAGATTAAGGAGAAATTATGGTGAAGCTTTTATATTCACAAATCTACTTCAATAAATACTTAAACTAGTTTTTTAGTCTTGATGTTTGATGATAATGTCCGGAGAATCCTTGTTGAAATGAAAGAAAAATCCAATAAAAGATAAAATTATGATCAATTTTGTTATGAAGAAAGGACAATATAATCACAAATCATTTATGAGGATTAAATATTATATCCCGACATTATTATCCATCGAAGTATTATCATAAATATAACATAAATGTAGCTGAAATGTTTAACAGAGAGAGAAAGAGAGATAAACAGAACAGAAAAAGAAATGGAAGTAAAGTTGAAGGTAAAAAATTTCCTGAGTCGAGCACGAGATAGTCTTTTTAAATTTTTCAATAGAACAGAATTAGAAGTTTAAATATTTAAAGGCAATTTAAACAAAGTAGAAAGTTCAGCAGATATATAACATAATCATTCCTTCTGAATTTTATATCACATTTCTTTCATGTTTATAAGGAGTGTTATGCTTTCTCTTTACTCATCCTCCTGTTTGTTTATGTATGATGAAAGCATATCGCTCCATGTATCTAATAATTCTCAAACATTATAATCAAAATCAAATTGTTTTGTTTGTGATTTTCAATTGTATTTCAATAAAAATGAAGGTTACATTGAGCAAAAAGAATATAAGAAAATTTATATAATTGGTTGTATAAAAACTTGCAGCTTTTTTTAGATTCCTAAGACTTTATAGAAATCTTTTATTTAGCATAGTTTCGTGCGCAATAGGAAATTCATTATTTCTTCTTATGAGAATTATATTAGAAAACAATTCGATAAGGAGATTGACGATGCATTCATGTATAAATTTTCCTCTTCAAACAACACATTGTCGACAATGTTAAACTATTTTCATCCAACGAACAGACCATTTGTATGTATCTACATGAAACTACTTTCATGCTTCTACAACTTATAAGCAAGCAACGATACTCCTTGGACTATCTACGCCATCACAAATGCTATGGAAATTTATTGATATCGTAGTCAGTCGTCAAATGCGATTAAATGTGTTTTGCAAGAAATAAAAATGAAAATACTTTTATTAAGAAAGGAAAGTTAGTAACAATAATTGATAAACTGAATTTATAAACGGAATATTTTTCCTTATAGTTTTTGTTCTTATTTGTGAAGACTATATATGAATATATTTATATATGTGTTGTAAATACCAAGAGTAGCTTGATGCTGATGATATTTTTGTTTTCTTTCTTATAAATAGTTCATCCAAAACATTTTCCCTGATATTGGTTGCAAATTCAGTTATTTGTTTAGCTATAATCCATATAAATATCTAGATATAAATATTCAGAACGACTTATATATGTAGTTTCATTCTAGATGTGTGTGTATTAATTTTCTTAGATAATTAGTTGAGTAGATTCTACTTAGCTTAATACATATGCCAATAAATATTGAACTATTAGCTTTAATCAAAATCGAAAAGAGAAAAAAGATCGTCGAGATCTTTATACTTATTCTATGTTAAAGGCAATGTTCCCATCGATGACATAAAATCTGAATCAATAAGAAATTGTTTGGTTTTTCCTACTTACTTAATATTCACAAACATACAAACACACACACAAAATGTTTATTCTGATTGAAGAAACGGATAAAAAAATTAAAGAAAGAAAGAAAGAAAGAAACAGAAAACTGAAATAAAAGTCATAAAAATAAGAAAACAGTCAGCAAAAATATCATCGGTATCGTTTAGATGAGAGTTTTTAAGAGACATGAAACAAATGTAGTAAACTTAGAGTAATATTTAAGAAGTGAATTATTTTGTAGTTGAAGCTACCTTTGAAGCTACATGAAAGCAAACTTAAATGTATCCTTAGACAACTTTCTTCTCATAAAAATGCTTTTTATTTTTAAGCTTTTATGATGCTGCAATCGAGGGAATTGGAACCGTTCAAAGAAATTTATATGGTTGCAAAATCCTAAATAAGGATGATTTCCGTACATGATTCCTAGAAGAATCCTTTAAACAATCAATTAATAACCTAGTTTTGTAACGATTCCCTCTCCTTTGCAACATCGCTTTTATACAAAGAAGAAAGTATGATAGAGATTTAAATAGAATACAAAAGTTATACTAAGTTATAGTGAAAATTCGACAGACTCTATCTAGGAGCTGTTTCGAAACAGAACAAAAAAGCAGAAGAAAGTTTTAAAGTTTTCTTTCGTTTACTTTTAATTTTACTTCTTTATTTTCTTGATGCAATTGAATTAGAATAGAAAAGAAGTTTAACATAGCTGAAGAAGACAGTGAGAGAGAGAAATATATTTAGTCAAGAAATTTTCTTTTCTTTTTGCTGGTTTTCTTTTCTTTATTCTTGTCGTAGTTCTTTCTAGGGAACGTTTTTTTCAATAAAGTCTGATTCTCTTCTTTATTTGACAATGTATCATTACTTTTACTAATTTTTTAATTTCATTTTTTTTTAAGTTAATTAGTAGAGGATTTCTATCTTTGTTTTCTGTCTTTCATCCCTCTTAACTTATATGCAGTGATGCTGTCTGTAATCTTGCATTTTTTTGAATTGAGTTTCCAAAGGATTGAGATTGATTTTAATGATTTTCCTGTTTTCTCTTTTTCAAATCTATCGATTGCGATTTTTCTTTTCATATTTTCCATTTGAGAGAAAACAGCATAAACCATCCAACATCTGAAATATCTGAAACGCTATCTAATCTCAGACGATGGTTTTACTTTTTCCATTTTTGAGTTTTCTTGCTTTTTATTTTCCAAAGCAAATTTTTTTTTCTGCAAAGAAATGAAAACCAAACAATAATTCATGCTGACGAATGAAAAATTCTAAGTAGTTTTTGTTTTCTACATTCCGCAGATTTTATGTGGTCTCTGGGGACATTGTCTGATGGTAAGAACAATATTTTATTTATAAATAATAATGTTATTCAATTTACGAGGGAAAATACTCAAAAGAAAAGTTTTCTCCCTCACTCGTTGGCAACGAACAATCCAATAAATAATATAAAACAGTACAATTATAAGAGTGAAATGATGACTACTGGAACATTTTCCGTTTGTTTTAAATGAAATGAAGAGAATAAATTGAAAAAGAATGTCAAGTGGAAGTTATACAATTTTAATGATTTTCCTTTCATGTTTTTCAGGTTTCCCAGCAGCTGCTTATGCTGCATACGCCGCTGGTCGGGGTTTCTCCGGATATCCAAGCTTTGGTTTACCTTATCCAACAGGTAATCTCAATAATTTAACCTCCTTACAACATCATTTGACTAACAATTTATGTAATAATCATAATCATATTCATACAATAAACAATCACAGTCATTCGATCCATCCATTACTACAATCTTGTTATCCACATTTGCATCATCCATTAGATCATTTAAATATTTTTTCTACCACAACTCATTTACCAATACGCTTGTGAACAGTAATTTTCGAATGATGAGCGACATTAAGATGATGAAAGATTTAATTAAATTTAATGAATATATGTGTGATCTCATTACCATAAGTTTAAATAAAGCTCAGCTAGAATAAGTTTGATAATGAAATGCTTTTGATGAATTAACATTGTTTTCCAAAGCCAAACAACTTCAAGCTTTGAATTGAATTTAAACAGAGTTTAAAGTTTTGTTCTCTCTTGGCGTACATAAGAAAACTTAAATATGTTGTTAGAACAGTCAGAGATATTTAAATGTATTTGAGAAGTTAAGTAGATAATTTTTATGAATAAGTATTATGTCTAAATAAGTAACCGAAGTAGAACAAAACTTTTATCAGCTTAGATTTCGATGAGTACTCGAAAGTTTCAAAACAACAACGTAACAAAAATTAACTGGTGTAGTATTAAGTCGTTAAAATGTTCTTTAATTAAATTAATAGTTGAGAGTCTCAAAAGTAATCTTTCTCATTATATCAACCGTCGTAGAAAGTTGTTGAATTAAAACTAGAAAATATAATCAAATGTAAACTCATATGAGATAATTTTAATTAAAAAATTCATACATAAATTAGCAGCACATCACAATAGCGTGTACTTACTTAGATAAATTGTTATTAAAATGAACTACAAAAGCCACAAAATCTTATGAATAATTTAAAAACATCTATTTTGAATAAAATGTTAAAATTACACAAATTAAATAAAACATTAAATTTTTGTTACATCAATCATCATAAAAAGACCTTTTACGTTCAGAATAACCCGTCCAATTGTTTTTTTTTTGTTTTCTTGATCCATTGTGTGTGATGTCAATGTCCTCTGACATCCATTCTGTTATTCCTGAATGATTGAGTCAAAGTGCTTTAAAAAATATTCACTCAATCTTATCATAGCATGACGATCATCAAGTCCATTCTGTATCTATTCAATAAACAAGCAAAACGACATCCCGTTGAAAGTATCAGTGAATAATCAAACTGAAATTTGTTTTTGCCGCATTTTGATTAGTTTAGATTGAAAACAATTTTATTTTTGTTTCATAATTATGAGTTATTTTATTATGTTTTTTCTTTTTCTTTCTCTTATTCTTACCTTAGGTGTCATGGTTTCTGATAATCGCTACATCGTCGGGGATCAATACTTAATGGCACCAACAACTACTTCGACAAGTTCATGAAATTTACAATGCTAAAGCTTCATAATTTCAATATAAGTTTTATTCAATAAGTTTTTTTTCTTTCCCTTTGTGTATCTCTCTCTCTCTCTCTCTATCTCTCTGGTACAATATTTAAATTGATGAAAATTTGAAAATCTTTTCATCATTTCCAAATTGTAACGTAATTTCATTTCATACTTTATCAAGTTTCATGGACTGACATTCGAAGAAAATATGATTTACAAATTGTAAAGTCAAAGAAGTTGTTAAATCATAAGAGAAGCATGGAAAGTCTCTGTCTGAAATGCAACTAAATTTGATAAGATGTTTTATGATGACTCATTTTTATGATGATAAATGTAATCAAACACACAATCAATAAACTTTTTTTTCGCAAAATTTCCTTTTTTTCTTATGATTGTCATTGCTTTTTTTATCTTGTTTTATTCTGAACGTAAATTTTCAGATTGGTCACTCGACTTCGCTTTAATTTAATTTTAAGTTTACTTCAATAATGAAGTCTGCGGTAAAACAAATATTAACCGAATGCTTGAGAAGAAAATTACTGTTCGCAAGGGTATATGAAGTTTGTACATTGTAAGAAATTTTTATTATTATTTATCTTTTGAAAGAAGAAAACAAAAACTCGAACAATTCAAACGCTTAAAATTAACTTTTGAAGGCAATAATTGCAATGTTACATAATCCGTCTTGACAACAATTCGCAATTGATAAAAATGCACTAATAATGTTTGATTGTAATCAATAAAATGGTTGAGGATCACGGCAAGCAGTACTCGAACTTAATAATTAACTTTGAGGTTTTTGCTCTTACGATGTTAAACAAAAAATTTTATGAGCAATCAAGACGAACATTTAAGATAAGAATAAAATGAAATTTATGTACATAAAAAGAATGAATGTTGAAGCCATTAAATTGTACATAAAGCTGCTTAACTTTGTTGTTTTATTATCGTCGGATCGAAAAGATTCCTTTTTTTGTTGAAAATTTTCAATTTAAACAGTAAAGTTTAAAAGAAAAGTGTGCTCAATGAAAAGCTCAGAAACAAGCGTCTGTTAAAATGACAACGGTGAGAAGTTAAGATCTTTTAAATAAACTAATAAAGTTTTAAAACTTTAGGAAAATATTAAATAGCCTAGAGTCAGTTTTATGAAATATTCAGCCATACTTAGATATCTGAGAAACAGTTTAAAATAGTGTGCAGAAGCAATATCTATTTAAATGTAACAACATAACATAGATCTAACTACCTAGAATAGATACTTTCATAGAAACCTTTCCCTTTCAACTTAACTGAAAGTTTGTTTTGAAACAAAAGGGTAGGAAAATAGCAAAAAAAAACCTCAGTTTTACTTACTGCAATATTTTTTTATGAATATTTTATTTTAATCAATACAAAAGGTTTTTTTTTCTTGTTTTGATAGTTTAGATTTATACTTACATTAACAATAACAATAAGTAATATTATCCGAGTAGTAATTTGGATTGAAATCCATCTTACCAACATCAATTTCAGTTATAATTAATTATGTGTGTTCATTCACTGACGTTTCAAATTTAGAGATAAGGAAAATTTATGAATTTTCTTTCATGTTATTCGAGTTTAGTTTTAACAGTTCACTTATTAGATATTTTTAGATGAAATGCGTAATCCTTCAGATGAAGCTTTGAAACTTCAAATTAGAAGATTTTTGAAGACATTTTAATCGAACTTATGATAATCTAAATAATTAGTGACGGAAATGTTAGAAAATTATATTTATCTAGAAGATTTTCATTTTGTCCATGAAAAGATATTTAGATGATTCTTATACATATTTTTAGATATTATAACTTAGCCCAGTTTCAAGAAGGATTTAAATATGCCATCGTCATTATGATCATATTAAAATTCCTTAGTTCTTCTCTCGGTATAAGATGAAATAAAGCACGCTGTTCGTTCAGCAGCTCAAGTCACTTTTCCCCCTAAACACAAAAACTTTCGTAAGTTGAGAAATGTCGGTAAACAAGAAAAAAAAATGAAAGAATGAAAGGAAGAAACGTAAAGGAAGGGAAATAATAGACAAAAAATAATAAGAGACAAAAGATTTGTGTCGCCATTAAAGTTATTTTTCTGCCCCGCTTCCCTTTTTCCCTTCCTTATACTTTTATGATACATGCGTTAGTGAAAGATCTGCTGGCGAACTGAAAAGGGAAGAATAACAAATTGATGGTAGAAAATAAGCGAGAAAATGGACCGAATAATCAATATTGTTTACCAACCAACTATCTGATTGGAACTTATTTTAAAAATTGTTTTCGTTACATTAAAAAGGGAAAATTTATAAATTTTGTTTCTTCAAAAGTTTTCAAATGATCTGAAGTTTCCAAAAGCTTCGAAAGATTAAGCATTTGGAGAAAGTAAAGTGAAAATAAACGTAGACAGAGAGTTTCTGTTCTAAAACTATTTTTAATCGTAATCATGATATTAATGTTAAATGTTTTAACTTTGTTTTCTTTTTTCTCCCACTTTGTTATCTTTCAGTGGATTTAAGTAATGGACAATTAACACCAAATAACAACACGCCACTCCTCACTCAAGCGCTATCAGGTGAGGTTATGTTAGGTATTTATATTTGTGTTTTTATGTTTCACAATTATTTTCTCCTTTCGTTTGCGATATTGCTTTGTTGGACATCAGAGAAAGTAAAAATATTTTTGCTGACTCGGAATGTTTCGCAATATTAAAGCTTTTTATAGTAGAAGTTTTGCAATAAAATTTCATATCAATTGCCTGATGTCAGATATAAATAAGTAAATGGATTGCTGCTTCTGCTAAGTATAAAAAGTCTTTAACATTTTTTTGTTTTTCTTTTATAACGCAATGCATGTGAAGAAAACTTCTCCCTTCTATCTTCTTTCCTTTATTGGAATGATCAGAACATTATTTTTAATCATATTCCTTTTTTTCTCTCTCTTCTGCATTCTTTATGTTGCAGTTATGAATAATTATCAAGCTGCTGCAGCACAAGGCTATGGTCCTCCGACATCGCCGCATGCGACAAACACAAGAACCGGATTTCCAGCGGCAAACTCTCCAGGACCAACAATAGATATGTATAGTTCTAATGGCGCCGATAGTGTGAGCTATGTGCAGGCAACAAGTCCACAACCGTCGGGATTTCCTGCTATTGCTGTCAGTCGTGCACCACTTAATTACAGCCCTGTGAGTAACAAATCAAACTACTTTCCGTTTTTCCAATTCTAAAAAATAATAAAAATTATAATTTTGATTTATTATAACCCGTAATAAACATAAATCGCACATTCTTTTCCTTACAGGGACCATTAATACCAGCGGCTTTCACAAATGGCTATCATTAAATAAGATTGCCCCAATTATAAGAAAAAAAAAGTTATTTCATGGATTTTTTTTTCTCTTTTTAAAGGAAGAAAATAAAGAAGTTTTCAATGTGAATGAATCAGAATTTCTCGAAATGAACTTATAATAAAATGATGAAATTTAATGAAAACAGGAAGAAAGAAAGGAAGAAGAAAAGAAGAAATATAAAATAAAAATACCATTCCCACCCAATTTTATAAAAATGAAAATAAAGAAAAACAAGTTTTCTAAAACTATCTGAATGAATGAAATTTTGTACTTTTTTCTCGGATTGCAGAGAGAAAAAGGAAGAAATTGATTGATAAAGTTTGAAGTCGTTTCGAGAGTTGTTCAAGTCGACTTTTGCGTCAAATCAGCATGGAGATGAAATGCGATTATATATTTATTTTAAATATTTCTCCGCACCGCAATCAAGTATAAAATTTCTTCAATTAATATTTAAAAAAAAGGTTTATGCTTTGTTTTCCCTCTTCGACCAATTATAAAAGGAAAAGAAATCGATTTTCATAACTTTGTTGATTCTATGATTCAAAATTTTCGAAACCGAGTACTCTGTTCTCAATTTCCTTTCTTCAAATTGGCAAATAGATGAAATTATAAAGCAAACAGATTTCTTTCTCGTGACGACTTAGAGTTGCATTTTTGACGACAGAACTTGAAAAATAAATGAAATATCAGATTCGGGGGAAAAACAGAACATAATAGAGAAAGTATTACAAGCATTAAATATCAATGTTATTTTTTCAAAATTTAGATAAATTAAGATTATATTAGATATTTTCAATATTTCTTCATGAAACATGTGAAAAAAGCAAAAATTAAAAAAAATGAATAATTATTTCAACTCGAATTTTCACATTTTTCAATAAATTAAATAAAGAATGAGAAGAAAGTTTTAAACGTGAAATGAAATGGAAGAAAACAAATATTTATTACTCACTTAAATTCTAAAGTTAATAAATATATTATCTGGACTAAATGCAGTTCTTTGATAAGTTAAATTTGCATTACTTTGCGGTCAGCTTTTATACGATATTAAAGTTTTCTCGCGACAAATTCAATACAAAGAATATATTAAAGAAGAATTGGAATGGAAATAAAAAAGTTCAACTTTAATAAATTTTATTCGGATAATTGAAGCGATACGATTTATGATTATAACTCATGTCAAGGAAGAAAATAAACTAGGAAAACCTGCATATAAATTTCAAAGTAGACGATGTGTCTGCTTTTATCTGTCGAATCAAACGTGATTGTTTTGCAGCATAAACCAAATTTTTGTGTGTTTGTTGGAAAAGCTGAAACGGAAAATGGTTTAGCATGATCCACAAAGAGAAAACTAAAATAAAAAAAAACAAATAGTTAGTAGTTTTGTTTCTACTTATAAAAAAAATAAATAAAATAAAATGTCAGAAACCAACAGGGTAAATCAAGTCTTTTTGAATATATAAATTTTAATTTAAATTCTACTTGGTGAGCGTTTCTTTGCTTTTAATAATTTCGTCTTTCCAATTTGTTTTCCTTAAATTTTTCGCCAAAACATACAAAAAAAGTTAAGGAAACGGACCAAAAACATTTGTTCGAATCAAGGTTTGAATATTATAGAAGTATGTACGGTGCACTTATGTATCAGTGCTTTATGTTGCTGCATAATTTGCATTAATTTCATTTACATTTCATTGCCAATTCATACATTTGAAATGATTTCATTTTATGTTGCTGTAAATGAAAATTTGTTGCATTAAACTCCATTTTGGTTATTTTTTCTTATTAATCAGTTCAAGAGTTTTATTCATATGTATTTACAACATACAATTACTAAACTTAATGAGACAAGGAAAAACACTCAAGAATGCTTCAAGACGCCAAACATGAAACTTGCATGAATCGTTTATGGATTTAAATCGATAAAACATAAATACAAAAACAATGTTTTGATATTTATCTATAACATTTAATTTTCCCATCACAATCTCAAATAAACAAAAAAGAAAGGAAATGCAAACCTTTACGATAAAAAAAATTCTTTGATGTTATTAGCATAACTTAATGATTAAAAGAAAAACATGAAATAAAACATTTACATAGCTTTTCCAAGCCTTTAAGTGTGCATTTCTTGTGACTCTTTCTTAATGCTTTTTAATTGGCTTTTAACGTTGTAATTAAATAAAAAATTTAAATAAAGAATACAATTGTTACGTTTCGTCGCAAGTAATGAATGTGGAAATAATAATAATAATAATAATATTAATAATAATAATGAAGAAAGCTTTGACCACAAATAATCCATTTGCCGGACGTCATTTAACAGGTTCAACTATTAAGTACGTCAAATAAATAAAAATGAAATGAAACTTTAGTAAATCAAGCACAGATAAATGTACATAATTACTTTCGTTTCTAGTGTAAATATGTACATTGAGAAACTAATGTTTAACAGAAAACAACAATAAAAACATAATAACATTAATTTATGTTTTTAAAATCATTAATACATCAATGCTGCTAATAAAAATGAATCATTAATATTCTTGTTACTTTTAATTTTTAATTTTTCTCTTCATTCTCAAAACCAGGGGTCAGAAGCTGAAGTGAAAGTTAGAAGCTTTTAGCAAAAAATCTTTAAGCTTCCGGCCCCTGCTCAAAACTAATTTTATGTACAAGTTTTCAAAGAATATTTTTCTTGATTCAGAAACAACAAAAAATGAGATAAAAAAGAAAAGGGAAAAAGCGTTGCCTCCTTATCATGTATATGAGGCCTAAACTATGGTTTTTGTTGTGTAGAAATTGTTTCACGTTTCTGTTTAACACCAACAATTAGAAACTTTTTTTCTGTCAATGATGAAGGCATGCAGGAATGAAAATTTTTAATGAGAAAAGCCATTATGAAAACAAAAACAAAAGTGGATAGCTAGATAGGGAAATTAATAAATTAATTCAATGTATTGTGCAATCGTACAAAGGATAAAGAAAATAATAGAAAATTGGACATAGAAAGATCCATGATGAGTTATCACGACTACAATGAACTTAGCATCTTTGTATTTATCTTCATGACTTTATGGACTCATTTACATAAGATCGGTTAAGAACACAAAAATGAATGCAAGGAAAAATAAAATCTGGAACAATTAGTTTCGGTTTGTTCTCCATGATGAAAGACATTCTAATTTCATTAAACTTAATTTAAAATTCCTTTGTTTAATGAAAGCAATTTATTCTTGTTTTCATTGACAAAAAGGAACCTTCACTTAAACTTCTATAGATGTAGTGTTGAATTTCACTCGAAAGAGAAAGATTGAATACAAAAAAGAAGAATATTAAAAATAAAACTTGCATAGTCTTGTGTTCGCGTATTTTTCGCGTTGACTGATTTGGAAAAATAAGCAATAATTTAAATCTACTCTCAAAAAAGAAAAGTGTAGCGGAAAAGACAAAAAAAAACAAACAAAATTAAACACGAATGATAGGAAAATGTCTTCACAGCGTTTTGTGTTGACGAGTATTAACAACACCATAATCGGAAAAAAATACAAAAAAAATCATGAAGATTATAAGCTACGAGAATAAATTATTAATCATAATGGTTAAATTTTCAATTTGAAAATGTCAATTATTCAAAATCCAATTGCACCTTGTGAACATAAATATTTATTAATATAATTTACAATTCACTTGCATCCCAAAATAAATCTTAAACCAAGAAAAAGAGAGAAAAATGAGGAAGATCAACAACAAATAAATAAATAAAATGAAAACGATGTTGAAAATTTGACGCAATTCCATTAAAATGAAAAACCTTAACTGAATTATCCACCGAATAATATGTAATCCTTGCTATTGATCAAGGATAAAATCTTTTATTTACGACACAGACATATCATCGAGAAAACGCAAATGAATTCGATATTCAAGAGGTTTTATCAGCGAATGTAGCTTGCATTGTTTGTTTAATGTCATTTTGATTATCTCAACTTAAGCATTGCAATGAAATAAATTCAAAAGAATTCAAAGAAAAGTGCGACGCTTTAAAGTTCAAAACCAAAGAAGAAGCTATCGAAATAATATCGGAACAGGCAGCTACCGAAATGAATTAATTAACTAATCATTGCAAAACTTGAGATAATTAAATGATGTTGACAAACACTTTTCAAGAACAACACAAATTTTGTCATAACAAGTCGCGTCATGTCATATGGAAAAATATTAAAAAGATTATTCGTCGATACAACAAATTGTTTATTTATTTGAAATAAACTTTCTCCCTTGTCCTCCCATTCACATCAGTCGCTTGAAAGCTACCAATATTTATATTTATTCAGCCGTTGCTTTTTTAAGTTACTTTAATAACATCAAATCAAGAAGATGAAATTCAAACCTAGTCAATGAAAGATTTAAAAAAAAAGAATTAAAAGATGCCAACCTATAAACTTAAAAAAATGAAGAATAATATGGAAAGATGATGAGGATGGAAGAATAATAGATAATAAATGAAATATTTGTAAAAAAAAAGTTTCGACAATATTTATATACACAAAAAAATTAAATATTTAAGTAAGCTTTTCCTTATTTCATTCGTTATAATCTAATAAGATTTAAATTATTTCCTTTTCGAGTTCTTAACAATTTGGTTTCTTCCTTTTTCCCCATGAAGATTGAAAAAGAGGCGAAGGAAAGGAAAAGCAAATTCTCATCAATCGATGAAATTGTTTTTCTCATCGATCTTCATCCTTTTAAAATGAAAATTGTTTTTGTGTTATCTTGTCTGTTAAAAACTTTTATCGTATGGGCCTTAAACTATTTAAATGTACTAAAGAGAACAAGAGTAATTATAAATAAATTTATATATTTGAATAAATCAATACAAAAAGTGGTATAAAAACTTGGATATTAAAACTTTATAAGACAAAAAAATGATTTTATCGTGTTTTTCTAAATGTCTGCATGTTAAATCATACTAAGCAAAAATTTATATACGACAAGTGCGTCTGATGACTTTTGAATCGTAAAGCGTAAAGCATAATCTGTTTTCACTTTGAAGACAAGGACATTAAAAAGCTGTCAAGATACGATGAGCGTGTATGAAAATTGAATCAAGAAAAAAAAAATCTTCATATGAACATCTTTTGCCTAGAAAAGTATTTTTCTTCTTATTTCTGCCAACACATAAAAATATAGCGATAAAATATCAGTGTCAAAGCAGCAGTTGAATGATAACTCGCATATAGATAGATGTGAACAGACTACCGCTTGTATCTGTGTCATCGGCATTAGCGAGTCTTCTCAAGATCGTATTTTTCTT